ACGTCCTCCCTAGGCCTCTTCGTACCAAGCAAGTTGAGAAGGCTCGGTCCGACGCCGGTTATCCTCCTCTTCAGTCAAATCCACCATAGTGATCTCTTGGACCTCGCTATCCGCACGAGGACGTTGATAGGCCCGACGGGATGGCCCTTGGGCCGACCGGACGACACTCCGGTCGTCCGTTAGGTCAATAATATCCGTTGCGGGTAAGGGACGAGGTGGGTGCCGTGGCCATGGCCGTGTAGCATTGCGGGGCTGTCTATCTCGTACAGAGCACCGAGATGCGTGATCACGCCACTTACAATTGCCACAACAGCCGCCAAACTGACCCGGGAGTCGGATACACTGCGGAAAAGGTTTGCACCGGTCCACACACGCCTCGCAAGGCTGAACGAGTTGATTGCCACGGGACTGGATCAGCAGGGCATTAATGTACGAGGGTCGCTGGGAGACAATTTGCTGCCCATTAATGTTGCCTCGTACATGCCAGATAGGGCGTCCACGACCCCGAAGGATCGCGAGCTGCACCGGAGTTGTGCACATCCGGGCAAGCTCATCGCCGCCAACTGGGAGTTGAAGCTGACCCTGGTTACCGCCTGGTCGTTCAGCGTATTGGATGAGGGACTGGATACCCTCCGCGTGCGTACGAGGAAGACGAGGGTTCCCATCCTGGTCAGTGTAGGGGAAGGGCCAGCTAGTAGAGATTGCACATTAGCTAAAGATCGTTCATAAAAAAGTCAAGAGCTTACCTGCTCCATTCCCCGGGACCAAAGTTCAGGATACCTTCGCCGGCATAGGGACTCCGCTCCCGACCTCCGCTGTACAATAGTTAGTTTCACATATATCGCTATAGGAAAGGAAGCATACATACAACGATCCAGAGCCACCACGTCCGCCACGGCTACCACCACCACGGCGAGAGACGAGGGAGGAACTAAATCGGAATTAGTTTGATTTCACTGCTTGGGTTGGGTTCGTACAAGGGAGACATCTTGACGTAATTGTACGTCAAAAAACGAGAGAAGAAGGGGGGCACAGGGCGAGAGACAATCAGTGATTTTAGAAAAAGAAGTAAAAAAAAAAGGTTGATTTTTAAGGTAGAGAAAGTGGTCAGGTAAGAGAGATATAAAGGAAGGTAAGTTCGAAAAGGAAGAAAACTTGATTATATATTGAGGATTGTACATTCATCCGAAGTACGTCTATTGTCCTAGTCTATTGAGGCCATAATGCGTTTGCATTGATGTGGCTGCCTCAGTCCTATTGTACAAGTCTATTGAGCCTCATTGTCCGAGACTATTGAGCACATTGTGCGTTTGCATTGAGCACATTGGGCGTTTGCATTGAGGTAGCTGCCTCAGTCCCATTGTACAAGTCTATTGAGCCTTATTGTCCGAGACTATTGAGCACATTGTGCGTTTGCATTGAGCACATTGGGCGTTTGCATTGAGGTGGCTGCCTCAGTCCCATTGTACAATTCTATTAAGCCTTATTGTGCGTTTGCATTGAGCATATTACGTGTTTGTATTGAGGTGGCTGCCTCAGTCCCATTGTACAATTCTGTCAAGCACAATAGGCGTTTGCATTGAGCACATTGGGCGTTTGCATTGAGGTGGCTGCCTCAGTCCCATTGTATAAGTCTATTGAGCCTTATTGTCCGAGACTATAGAGCATATTGTGCGTTCCCATTAAGGTGGCTGCCTCAGTCCTATTATCTGACTGCAATAAGATGACTACCTTAGTCCCATTGTCCGACTACACTAAGATAACTGCCTCAGTCCTATTATACGAGTCCATTAAGCCTATTATCGACTGCAATGAGGTGACTTCCCCCGTTCTTTATCTATTAATCTTATTAGTATACTAAGTATAATTAAAGATACGTCTTTAGCGAATTATAATAGAATATATAGATATTGTAGTGGTGGAATATATAATATAGTAAACGCGGCTGCGGCCTAAGGTGTCATGCATACCTAGGAGCATATATAGTATCTCCTACGTAAGGATAGAGATAGAGAAGTTATCTACCCTTTTTATTTATATTCGTTAATTAAGGTAGTATAGCTACTAGAAGGCCTTCTTTAATAAAGTAGTAGGGTTTGAGGGTTATACTAAGCTTATGTAAACCCCTAGCCTAAGGGTGACTAAGTATCGCACGACTGGCCAAAGCGCACCCCATCAAAAAAAAAGGTCCAAATTTCTAACCCCTGTAACTACCTCTTCTTTTGATTGTACGATCTTTAAATTGAAACCGGGTATAGAGCGATCGCGAATTTAGAACTTTTGAAGTTTTGATGATTGTCCGACCGATATTTTCAACTGGGATGCACTCGAGAAGTCCAACTGGTATGCACTCACTAGCGCCGTTTTTCGCCCATAGTAAAGCCAAAACCCTAACTGGTATGCAATGCATCCCACCACCCCCCATGGGATAGCGAGCGGGAGTAGCCACCTACCGAGGGCGAGGAGGTTGGTATAGTGATCGAGGGACTTAGATAGGGAGATACGATAGAGCGGTATAGCTACGCCTAGTTCCTAGATAAGTTCGACTAGGGATCGATGCTCTTCCGGGAACCGCATCGCGGGAGGCTCGCTATCCGGCTCCTATCGCTCCTTAGAGTATACTATTAATGGTATCAGTCAGTGCGGTAGAGCCTAGATAATTAGGTCTTTCTTCACGATATATTTCTCTAGCTCGAGATAGAGCGAGGGAATCGCTCCCAGTCGCGTAGGATCCTTAGCCTCCTAGCCGACCTTTGCCTAATAGCCTTTCGTCGGGAGGTATTCTAACACTTATCGAGGGTCTAGCGCCTTTAGGGACCATATACTACTAACGCGCTCGAGGGCTAACGGCCGCTAACGATACAGACCTTCCGTGATATACTACCGGGCGGATAGCTAGAGAAGTATACCTATCCACTTAGAGGCAAAGGGACGCGGATCCGGCATATCGACGTTATATTCGCGGTACTCTAGGGTTGGGATAGTGATAGTCGCTAGGGAGGGCTTATCCAGCGAACGTATTAGAATACAAAGGCATATCGGGAGCTCTTTCGCCAAAGTTTTAATACAATTATCGTTACTCACTCTTACTAGGTTACACAGAAGTGGCGTAAGCTAGTTCATACGATATTTATGCGTACCTATTAGGTTCTGCCGAATCTAACGGATCGCGACTTCTGGCCTAAGGGCACGGGGAACCGGCTCCCTCTCTGGTGTATAACCCACCCGACCCTACTCCAGTATCTTCGCTAGGAGATAATAGGGCAAACCGCGGATAGAAACGTTAAGTACCGTTAGGCGCAGGCGGATCTACCAACACTACCGTAGGTAGGATGGGAGCGAAGCGGCGCGGCGTTCACTATAACACTACCAATAAGATATTAAGTCAAAGTTATCCTTCTATCGCTATCTATAGGCTAAATTGCGGAGTGGGTTTCAGAAAGTATTCTAGATACTATCAAAGACCAAAGGCCACTAATCCTACCGCTAGATAAGGATAGGGAGATCCCACGGTAGATCTACGCGAATTTCCTACCCCGCTACGTACTTTGGTAGCTAACCCAGCGGGCCGCGTGGAGCCCAAAGAAGCTAATAAAGTAACTATGGCTTATTACCACTTATAGCGACTCCCTAAGGAAGTGTCAGGCGGTCGAGGATCGAGCGTTATGCGATATATTATCGACAGATAGCTTCCACCGTTTAGCGGCAGTCGAAGATACAGAGCTTACGGAGCTCGCTGACTATAACTCGATCTACAATAAATAGCGCTAGGCACGCTAGTAGGCCCACCGGCATTAGGAGCGCGGTGTCTAGACCCAAAAGGCGCTGAACCGGATATAGAAGTACGATACGTAGATAAAGGATTTACGGAAGAAGGGGAAGTTAGTTCACGATAGGAGGGTATTTAAGGGTCGAGATAACTATAACTATTTCGCGAAGAAACGGGCGCTTACGTAAGAGGAGTTTTTAAAGTGGATAGAGAAAACCTTAGTAGAGCTAGATCCGGAGCATTTCTCGATAAATAAGTTTAGAGAATCACGGCGACAGCGAGAGATAGCAAGAGGGGCTAAAGAGGAGACGCGTGAGCTTAGTGCACTAAGTAAGTAGATAATATAAATAAGACACTTAAGGTACTACTACGCTTAAAGATTTTAGATTACGTAGTTACTGTAAGGATGATACGATATAGATAATTAGAGACTGGCCTAAATATATTAGTGAAGATTAGTTCTTATGAGATTTGGGTGCTTAAATAATATTAGATATATTTTCTAATAGCTATCTAAAAATATTATTAAGACTGTACTAAACTTATAGATTTATAACTAGTCTTAACTAGTGTATTTTGAGCTATATTTATCTTATCTCGATTAGTTAGTTATTCGTATAATTGTAGAGTTTAGGTGGAAAAAGGGTAGAAGGATGCGGTTAGGAATGTAGGAATCGGGCGTGGTTCAAAATGTAGGAATAGGGCGTGGTCCAAAATGCAGGAGAAGGCCTTAGTCCAAAATGCAGGAGAAGGCCTTGGTCCAAAATGCAGGAGAATAGCTTGGTCCAAAATGCAGGAGAATAGCTTGGTCCGAAATGCATAAGGTCACTCCTGCATTTTGGACCAAGCTATTCTCCTGCATTTTGGACCAAGGCCTTCTATTCTCCTGCATTTTGGACCAAGGCCTTCTCCTGCATTTTGGACTAAGGCCTTCTCCTGCATTTTGGACCACGTCCGCTTTGGGAATTTTGGGCCAAACGCTAACCCCTTTCGGAATTTTGGACCAAACATACCCGTCTCGGGATCGTAACTTTGAACCTCTATATTAAATCTAATTAAATAGCTAAAAATAAATAGTCTTTATTTTTATAATCTAGAGGATATATTGCGATAGGGAAAAATATAATATATATGAATACTGCTTATATAAGCCTATCCTTTGAGCCGGTTTTCGACTACTAGACTTGCGGTCCTTGCCGAGGTCTAGTCCTCTGTCGTCGGAGCTTGTTGCTCAGTCCGAGAATTGTTGCAGTGCAGGATCGTTCCACCTGATTATATTGTTAACGGGAAAATTTTGCTCCTAGGACATTCAAGGGACGTACGATAAGAACTGTCCGCTGAGAGATCTTGGCGCACCAAGAGCCAATCTTGCCATCACGTGACCAGGTTGTTCGGGCTCAAGAAGATCGCTGGTTTGGTGCACTGATGTGAATTTAGAATGCATTTCGGCATCCAGGCTGCTAATATGTTCTTCTCGAAGCTCACGCTGCATTTCCGTATTGACCATGCCTGGCTCAATGGCCAGGCAGATAACATCGGACTCCTCAGCACCCAGACTCTGCGTCAAATTATTGATCGCAGCTTTGGTCGCTGCATACATGGCCCAGCCCCTAGAGGCAGAAGTCACTGCACCGGAAGAGGTGAAGACAATTCGGCCCTTAGATTCCCGAAGAGCCGGAAGAGCTACTTTGATCTTGGTCGCATTAGCAGCATGTTAAGAACAAATCTAGGAATCACATACAAAATTGACTGAGCTGAAGAAGTTGATCTCAAATCCTTGTTTCCACTGGTCTACCTCGGCCACAGAAATGTTGCCAATTTGACCAAGGACCCCGTGATTGAGGATTAGGCCGTCAATTGCTCCGAAGGATTGCAAAGCAATGGCAACAGCATCTTGAGCAGTTGAGGGAAGACGCAAATCCCCAGCCAGGATCTGTACTTGATCATCAAATTGGCTTTTCAGCTTCTGAAGCGGTTCGAGACTACGCGCCACGGCCACGACGTTATTGCGTTGGGGGGCCGACAGGAGATACTTAGCCATGGCAAGGCCAAGCCCTGTGGAAAAAAAACATCAATGTGTGCACTTTCGGAGATTAGGGATATGCGACCGACGTACCTCGCGATGCTCCGGTCACTATAATAGTCTTTGGCACCATGATAGATATATCGCTTTCTTCGAAAATGGTGTGCGCTGAATTGCGAGGGTTATATATAACGCACGGACTGAGTTAAATATAAAAAAAAATGGCACCACAGCGACATAATGACATCATCGTGTCCAATCCCCGGGTAACTCGGATGAACACCGGCCGATTAAAACCCGATCTCCACAAGCAAAATTAAATAGATGAGTCACAAATTATGACTCATTGACCATGCCTAGATCTTGCCCGATTTAAGAGGATTGAAATTGGCCAAGTTATGGGGTAAAGGGCTGGGTCTCGTGGACCCCCAATATCAATCAAGCACGGGCCGAAGCCCACCCACAGGGTTCGGCATCGCTAGGCCCACCCACAGGCTTCGGCATCGCTAGGAACAAACTCGGCCCCATAGCCTTGTTACAAGGTGGCATCACCACCAAGACAGGTGGATGTGTCGACCCCGCCGGTCGTGCGATTCTCCGTATACGGTAGGAGCGTCTTGTATCCTCCATTAACAAGAAGACTGATGCCTGGGTCGGCAAGTGCCCCAGATCCGACCCACGGACGAACCTCCAGTAGTCCGAATTGAAATAAGCTGTCCAATACAGTCAACTTCCGGTTATAGCATAGCCCTCCATCCAAGCGAAAACGCATGTTATAAGTGAATATTGTGACGTGGTCGGTAAGCAAGTGACGCACCCGCCCACTTTCTCGCATCTCCGCGCGTCCATTTATCTTCTATCAAGCACCACGCCTCCAATTCGCGTCGGACCAAGCCAGGATTCTATCTAGCAGGAGGGCTGTTTATCAATTGCTTTAGAAGCTATCTGTTAAGGATAGGTTGGAATATTTAAGGGACAAGATGATGAGGCACGACAACACCAATCGTATGATAGAATAGAACTGAACTAATCCTTGCCGAAGCAAGATTAACTGGATACATCTATCTCCCTTTTGTATGTTTGTGGGATCACGTGGCACTCGCTTCCATGTAGGTTATCTGCAGGTTATCGGGGGTTTCTCCCCATGTCCCGATCCGGATGTTGGATACCTTCATATTGTAGGTGTCGGCTGTGAAGGGAGGCGGATACCACGAAGCTTTTCGCGGCGCGGGGTACGCTTTTGTAGATGCTTCCCCACCACAGACCGTTGACTACCCGACCAAGGAAGGCTTGATCGGATAAAGATGGAAAAGAATAAGATAGAGTGCAAAGGGCTTATGCACTCTAAATGAGCACAATCCACAATCCTCAAACAAAGGACTAAGCAGAAGGTCTTTCTAAGCAGATAGAAAGGGATAGTAGAATATTTGAAGAGAGTGAAAGGTCTGTCATTTCTACTTGGTGTCTCGCGCGTATTTATAGACAGAAAGTGGTCCAAGTCACATGCTTTATATCAGATAAACAGAATAGAATCAGGGAAGGAAATGTGATAGAACTGATGGTGTGATGAGGGATATGTCATCGATCTTGTGGGGTAAAGAGGGGTAAGCGGTTTGGAGGGGTAAAATCATGTCTGCATCTCTTACTTTTCTTCTTCTTCTTCTTCTTATGTTGAATAAGAGGATACCTTCACCTAATGTAGTATTGGTCCAAATTCCAACATATTCTGCTAAAAATCTACGTTTAATAATATATTAAACATATATATATCCTCGCAATAAAATATAGCTAAGAGACTTAATACCTAATACTACCCAACTACCTACGATTAATATACTAAAATAAAGGAATATTATATTACTTCTAAATTTAATTTTATATCAAAGTGAATTACCCTATATTTTATAGCTTTTACAGTCAAAAAATATAATTAAGTAGTGTTAAGACCAAAACATTGTTTAATGACAATAATCTAAAAGTATAAAATAGCAGATTTATGTATGCCAAGACCTTAATTTTATGCAAAAATGATTTTTGTTGGGGCCCCAATGGGGAACCGCAATAGTTTGTGGTTTGATTTGGTTTTCACGGTTTCAAACCGCAACCATCGCGGTTTGGGTTTTGGCGCACTCTAGAATTAAAAGAATTTGCCAACTTTGTGGACGAATATTTCAACAACCAGAGCAGCTAGAGATAATTGGATTGCATGTATATAATTCTTGGGCCGTAATAAATATAATAATGTAAAAATACAAAGCCAAACCCTTACATCATGCGTTGGCTCGAGGTCACGATTGCAGGTATAGATAAGCACAACAGTCCAGCTGTCGAGTGAATGGTATGTATTGCTCTTAGAGAACTCTTATACCTCAAGGCTCCTTGAGCGAGGCTGGAAAACGAAACTCTAGTTAGCTAGAATTTGAGGCGTATGAGAGCGTGGTGCTTGAGCTCGTGACTAGCTAAGTTCCAGGTCTAGCAAATTCAAAATCATCATTCAAGCTCATTTTTCTAAAAGTCCATATCTTACTTTCCTTGCCTCATCATATGTGATTCAAGAAAAACAAGTATAAAAAGGATCTATTCTCTGTCTGCAAGCCTGCAAGCTCCGAGGATATCCTTGCGGGTCTTCTCTCCCAGGAGATCACTTAGTATCTTTGAAAGGCCTCACATGTGTGTAGAGGTGGCTAGTAATGGTGTTAGGCACTCGGCAGAGACTGTCGCTGCTATCTCAACTTTGAACGCTGGGTACGCGTGGATGGGACTCAACGTCTTCTGCACTGCCTCACACGTCCTGGGCACGCGCAAGTTCATCACCTCACTGAACTTCAAGGACTGGGACAGTAAGTTTCTGATCAACTACCCGGCTTGACAACTCAAACTAACCGGAATCGACTAGCCATATTCTATAACAACATGCTTTCCCTCCCTATCATGATCATCTGCTCCCTGTTTACCGAAGACTGGTCTTCGGCCAACCTGGCTAAGAACTTCCCTGCCGAGTCACGCACCAACCTCATGATTGGCATGGTCTATTCTGGCGTAGGTGCCATCTTCATCTCGTACTCGTCTGCCTGGTTCATTCGCAAGACTTCGTCGACTACGTACTCTTTCGTTGGTTATCTGAACAAGCTCCCGCTCGCCATCAGCGGCATCGTCTTTTTCCATGCACCCGTTACGTTTGGTGGTGTCTTGGATATCCTCCTAGGGTTCTTTAGCGGCCTTACCTACGGTTATGGCAAGATGAAGCAGAGCGAGCAGTCCAAGCAGGTCCTCCCCACCTTCCAACCGACTATGAGCGGCAGCTCTCAAAGCCAGAATGATACATACAAACCATAAGCCAATACTGGTCCGACTACTCGAGAGTGGCTAGAGAGTACTTGAAGTAGTGGGTACGCAAGGAGTCATCAGCAAGGCTTCACGAATGGTTAAGACTTTTACCTGTGTGTACGCTTGGGCTTGGGCTGGACATCCCACTCGACTTGCTTCTGAACCCAAGCGAACATCTCTTCGAAGGATCTGGGTTCCTCGTTGTCTTGATGAATTCCATTGTAATTGAGAATGCAACCCATCGCGGCTCCGCCTCTTCAATCGGATTCGTAGAGCAGCTCAGTGAAGCTGAACTGCGACTTCGATTCCAGTCAGAGAATCATTCAACGCGGGTATATTCACGTCTTTTATTATGGTAAGGGGAATTTCATAGAGAATCAAGTTTTACGCGTTGCTAACCGGTCACGGTGAGTTGCGTGCGCGAAGGTAATACGTACCAAGTCATAACTTGTTCTTATGAGGTGGGTTAAAACAAGAGTGCTATACTATACGGGTTGAATACGGCCTTCCAGGCACCGACTGCGAATTCCAAGATTTCGACTTGCAACCTTACGGTTTCCTACTTCACTAGGCTTTACGCGGGCTCGGGTCTATAGAGTCGTCTTTCAGGATGTGGCAAGTAGAGCTTCAATGAGGTCAGGTTACTGAGGAACTGGCCTGATCTCTGGATGGGTTGTCAACAAATCAAACAGTGAAGTTACTATCGCAATAGTAAATTCCCAGTAATCATGTAGGATCGATCACGAAGAACTGAATACATGTGAGGGAATGAACGTCTCTATATATCTGGCCGAGCTCTTCCTACTCCACTATTGACTCTCTGGGGGTGAATTTGGAGTCGCCGTGTACCCCTAGTAGTCGACGTGGATCACTTGCTCATCGATGGTTTATCCTATCTGTATATGTGCAAATAAACTTTTCAAGCGTAGTTTTCTTAATAATCACTCAACGGAGTGGAGCTGATAACCTCTAAAGAGGAAACCAATAGTCGAAATTTTATTCATCAAGCCTAGTTTATGAAACCGTCAGCCTATTTGGTGGTTCGTCTGTCTTTTGGCAATGATTATCTTTCACGGGCAGCGTTACCGTGGAGGCTTGCTCCGGATGGAAGGCTCTCTCACTTTTCCGTACTGTAGCTGTTATAACTGTTTGGTGGCTTTGCGGTTTATGGGTTTGCTTTTCGACGCGCTGAAGTGTTGGTAACGGAGGACAGTCGTGTTACTCGGGGCTTAATTCCTGCATCTTAGGGAATGTAGTCTACTCTCGGCCGGGTTCAAAACTCGACTGACTTTTTCTTTTCAATAATCGAGTCGGCATTAAATAGCAACCTAGGTGAATTATCACCCTGGCAGCAGCATGCAGAGAGAGAAAATATATTGACTGGGTTCTTTAAGGCCCTTCAAAAGAACTTTTAAAAGTATGTGTCAAAGGTCATTTAAGATACAGAAAATATAAGTGAATGGATTTATAGTGATAGGTATAGCGATCATCTTGCCTGGTCATTTGCTCGTGCGGCACAGTCAGTTCACCCCGTCCCAGCCAATCCAGCGTAACTTGGGCTAGCTGGGCATCGGCGCCGAGCTGACGGTGCTCACCAGCGCTGAGACTGGTGCGGAAGAGGTTGTAAGTGCTCTTGTTTCCCAGCAACTTGGCCATCTCCTTTCCCTGACCCGGCGTGGAGCTATCGTTCTCACCCTCACCAATGAACACAGGACAGTCGATATTGGCAAGGACGCTGGTGTTGGCGCTAGATTCGGGCAGACGGCGCCACCAATCAGAAGGGCTATCGGTGTTGAAGCTGAATAGCGAATGGGCGAGTATCTAGCGCTACTGAGTTGGGATGGAAGTGTTGCGCTCGGTGGCCAGAATGTATTTGTCAAACTCATCGAACTGGCCAGTATTGTAGAGGCCTAGAAGGCCAGTGGTGAACTGTTCCTTGAAAAGGGAGTACAGGTCATCCAAGCCATCCACCGACAGCACGGCCGACAGCCGGTGCTCATGGGAGGCGGCGAGTGGAGCATGGAGCGAGATCGCCGCCGAAAGACACGCCGACGAGTGCGACCTGATCCATGTTGACATCTTTGCGAGTAACTAGGTAGTCCACAACGGGCGTCACAGCGTTCCACCAGTCCAGGATGAAGCCGAGATTCTACTCGCGCAGGACTGTAGGCTGACCGTGCCCCTCGTAGGTTATGACATTCCAACCGTGGGGGAGAATCTCGACGCCCATCCCGTGGAAAAGGTCTTCCTACGTGCCATCATACCCGTTTCCGATAATAATAATAATAGTGGGAAGCTTTGCGCAGCCTGCCTTTCCTTTAAAAAACCTGATAAGGACGGAGAAGTGGGTGGGATACTACGGCTAGAGGCCGAGAGATTGGCCTTTACAGGGGGGATGACAGGCAGGGCGGCAGCGTTGTCGAAGTTGGCGACAGCACGGGCTCCAATTTCATTGATTCGAGAATCAGTTGCATTCCCATGCGGGAAGAAGGGGGCATTGCGGTAGTATGTAGACGCGCGGAAGTAGGCCTGACGAGACGGGAAAGCGGGAGGCGTTGATAGCCGCTGCCTTGGCATGAATGGAATCGCCAAGGAACAAAAATTATTTATACCAGCTCTCCAAGTCGGCCGGAATAATCGGCTCGCGGCCCGCAGGACTTTACCTGTCTGGGCACCGAGGTTATTACTGAGCGACAGGACAGACTCCAAGACGAAGGCGAACTCTGTATCATTGCTAAGCTGGAACATGATCGACGAGCTCGACGCTACCTGAGCGATCTAAACCAAATAAGCCATGTTAGTTCATTTCGAGTGTGATGCAAGTTAGGAAGGGAAAATGACTGCATAATTTGTGTGTGTAACAAACTGAGTGCTTAGTAGAGCAAAAGACTTGAGACGCATAGTGGATGTTGGAGAATGGGATCTGCTAGTACGGATTGTCTCTTTGCCACAATTTCGTATGACTTTGGGATGTTGGATGGAATTGTATAGCAAGAAAGGGTTTATATACTTGTTACGCCGACCTTGCGCCGTCATCCATGTTCGGCTCAGCCTAGCTTAGTTTGCACTAAACCGGATTAGGTATGCAAAGTGCAGGCGCGATATGGCGCCAAAATCTTATCGTAAATTTATACATGAATGCAGTTGGTAGATCAAATAGAATACACTCACTAGGTCCATTTTGGTCACATAGTTAAGCTAAAATCTGAACTACAATGCATCTTACTCGGCAATGGCCCATGGAATATATAGCAAGAATTTGCGGCTTAAAGAATATACATAGAGTCGAGACTCCTATCTCCCTCCATGCCATTTGAAGTTGCACCTTCTGCGACGAGTTTCTCCTTCTTTACGTTTCTACGCCTAAGCAAATACCAGCTTGCGGTATAGAGTAGGCCAGCGACACATGTTAAACCAGCAGATACTGCGTTTCCCTGGATATATCGGGGCTTTTGTGTGCTAGGGTAGAGTTGTGAGGACACCATCGAGGAAATATCGGCCATCGTATATACGATCGGCATAGCGATTGCACGTTTGGAGTCCGGTGCAAACGTATTAGTCGCCCAGGTCACAGCGAGCGTGGAAATAGGGTAGAGCCCTAAGTCAAGAGATTAGATACGGGCACATCAAGAAGATATATGACTTGCGCTTGCTTACCAATAACGAGAATGAACATTCCCGCGTAGCCAGCACCAGGGACCGATGACCCTACACAGATTAAGTAACCGACTGCAACCGGAACACAGCAGCCGATGATAAATATGCTTCGCCGCTTAAGCTTATCAGACAAGTAGACCTGGGTCAAAAGAGAGATAGCACCAAGAATATAGACTGGGATAGTTAGGTAGTTAGCCTGAAGGGAAGTATATCTGATTCAATCAGTAAGTTACGCAAATTCCCGTCGAGTTAACGTACTTACCCTAGGCCATTAATAATAGAAGGTAGGAAGACACCAAAGCCATTGATTGCGACCGATGAGGTGAAGAAGGCTATGCCGAGGAGGTAGACAAAGGGGTCTTTTAGTGATTCTGTAGCCCATTTCCAATCGAAATTTTGTTCTCCTCGAACAACATAGTCTCGCTTTCTCTTAAGACGCATAGTTTCCTTTTCTTCGTCGTTGAGATACCATGCAGTTTCGGCCGAATCGGGGATAAAGATCCAGCCAATTCCACCAATAAAGATAGTAACGCAAAACTCAATAATGAACAACCATCTCCAAGCCGCTAGGCCTCTTTTAGTTCCCATGTTTTGAATTCCATAGGCAAAAAGACCACCAAAAGCACCGGAAATGCACTGGGCAAGGTTGGTCGTCATAATACGCTTTCCTGCTTGATCTTGGGGGTAAATAGTTGAGTAAACAAAGGCAAACCCAGGAGACAGACCGCCTTCGCAGGCGCATAGAATCATCCGGACGGCGATAGCTTGACCATATGTGTGGATAAAGGCGGTTCCGAGGGTACAGATACTCCATAAGAGGAATGCAGTACCGAGTGCCTTCCTAGCACCAAAGCGTCTGACAACTAGGGTCCAAGGGAGCTCGCCGGCAAAACTGCAAAAGCTGGATAGAGTTTGGATGTTATTAAACTGGTTGCCCACAAGACCTAAGTCTTGATCAAAGCCAAAGACTACAGCATTTCCGATCTACTCAACGGTCAGAGATGAAGAGTTCCCCTCGAAGCCGAGTCTCCGCTTACATTGTTTCGGTCCAACGCGGACAGAGTAATGAATATGAGGGAAACCGGTACAAGGTATTTGTCGAATTTTCTCCGAGCTGTTGCTTCTTTCTCAGGATCAATATAGATGACTGAGTGGGCCTGGTCAGACCGAACATCTATGCCGATCTCAGTGTCGACGAATGAGGGCTTCGTATCCTCAGTCTTTGAGCCAAACTCCATTGGGGCAACTTGTGTTAGAAACAGGTCCTTGGAAATATGAGGTTGGGCATAGAAGAACCGGTCGTGTGTCTGGGTTGAGCATGACTATCATCATTGTCGAGTCACGTCAATATATACTTCATACTCAGATACTCAAATTACCAGTTCTGAACGTATGCGCAAGGAAGAGGTACCTTTCTTGAACGGCCTCAAGCTCCCATGATAAGACTTAAGCCATGGCTACTGGTGATTTTCGAAAAAGATTAATGTTTCTTTGATCGCTAACCCGATGTCTGCTTGATAAGAAGTGATAAGACGCGACGTCATCGGACAAAGCCGAAAAGACAAGTTATCTTATCGCAACCACTTCTTTGGTAGATAAAGCCATCCACGGCTCATGAACTAATTGAACCATTGCGCATTCGGGCAAATCGCGGGATTACACCGAATCCCCGGTGTAGCTTCCCTTCACAACTTACCGTGTAAACCTGAAAATCCCGAAATGAATTATTCGTTGCCTCGGGGATAAAGGTCTGTGAAAGGAGCGACCCTGTCTGAGGTAAGTCCCCAGATGTAAGGGAATGATGTTCCTAAGTTGAAGGGATGATTCGAAGCCAATATTTTACTGGCAATTGTGATGAGCACGTGACGTGACCCGAGGCATTCAATTTGCTCCAAGTGTACGAAGGTTCTAGGTGCCCCGTGCCTGGTATATCACTCAAGGAATCTCTTCTCTGTTACAACCTTGCACCTAGACCTTCTCTGCGCCGACTGAGATTCTCCGGCAGTCTCTCTAAAAGGAGATTTATGACGATATGTTCACTTAAATCCCTTTTTCGCTCGATTTACATACGAATTCAATGTCGTTAAAGACAGGTTTATCGTAGAAAACTTGTGAAGCCTACCCTTAATGTGTTTCTAAGATCTTCGATAGTTCTTTCACACAACGAGGTTCATCACGATGGAGAAACTCGATACTTCCAATAGAACTTTTGCGGCATGAACATTCCATAACTCAACACCAAGCAATCGCAATATATACGGAATGATAAGAATGGCCTGAATAAATAGTAGTCGCCACTTCATTCATTTCTCAGGTTTATCCTTGAAAAACGCTTCACATGGCTAGAACTCTTGATGTAAAATCCCACCGTAGAACATGTTGGCCTCATTGCAATGCCGACTCTACCAATGTAACATACGTATGTCGCCTGCAAATTCTGCACTTCGTTCTACTGATCAACCATGTAAGAAAAAATAACTAACGGGAAGCGGTTCGTCCTCAAAATGCTTACAGTTGCTAGACGTTGCATATATTCTGCAAAACAGGTGCATATGAAGCTGCTGATGGAAATACTCATACCCTAGAAAATGAGCTTTCTCAGCTGGTATGACCATTGAATCTAATGGTTTTGTACTATCCAAAATGCAAAGTGCCGCTTTCACTCGGGTTGACCAGCCATAATTGATTTTCCTCGGGCTTGTTTACTTCCATTCACAAAGCTCTCTATTGACCTAAAACTACAAGAAATACTCGTGAGATGTGAAGGATAGAATTGGAGTAATTTAGTGATTGAATTACTCCTAGGATGTCAGTATTTCTGACAATGAGAACACTGTCCGTCGTTGATCACTAATGCCCTCTCCACGGTAAAGTTGTCGTGATGCTCTCTAGAATTGCTTTCAATTACATAGTAGGAGATGGCGTAGCCGCTATTTAACATTTTGCAAGTAGTAGTGCGCAGCCAGTGCTGTACGGGACCCATTCATCGCGTTAATTCACCTATTCTCGTACAGACCATCTCCTGCTTGATGCCTTCAACCTGCTATCATAGTTCTAAAGAGATCGCAAGATGTCAACCGCTGAATCACACCCTGGCCATCATATCAGGTCCGCAGAAACGCGGTGTCAAGGAAAAGATCTAGGATTTGATCCTTAGATCAAGCCAAAGCAGGAGCCTTGGCTCGTCGATTACGCATCTCGGCTGCACAACCATCTCTGTTATAGATACCGCTTACAGATGGATGCTTCATGACGGCTTGAGCCCACGCATAAAACATTGGCGCCTTGTCTTTCAAACCATCGACCATGGCCTTTGGCAGTGGAGCGTTTTCGGTATAAGGCAGTGTGAAAATGCGCAGGATAAAGGGGGCAGTCAGGACCTGTATGTCGTTTCAGCCATTCTGACTCCATATTGCTTTGAAAAAGAAAACCAAACAAGAGGTTCCAAGGGAATTTAGAGTAAGTACCTCAGCCATGGTCAGCTTGTCACTGCCACCAAAGAACGGCCTCGCGTCTTGCAAGAGAGGTTAAACCTCCTTGGTAACGGCATAAACATAGCTCCTGCCGAGCTCGTCGGCATCTTCATCAATTTTGGCTTCGATTGCAAGGTAGTAGTGAATTTTGGTCTTTGAAAAGTACGTTTCGACAAAGAGGGCAATCCTCTAACGCATGAGAGCTCCTTTGACTTCCCCAGTGCGTGGAGTCAAGTGCGTCGACACCACGGAGTCGGCTAGAAACTGCGTTATAATAGCCGACTCGAAAATGACATGGTCACCATATGTCAACGTGGGAACTTGTCCACGAGGATTAACCTTGAGATACTCAAGACTAGTAGGCTTGCTATAGTCAATAATTTCCTCCTCGAATGGCAAATCTAGCTCTGCCAGCGCAATATGAGCACGGTGTGCCCCCTAACAGACTTTGTTAGCATTTTGCAACGGAACAGCGGCCATATGCTCAGGGTGAACAGAGAGAACACACACGGGCAGTTCCGATTGGTATATAGTTTAACTGACGCTCTAGCAGCCATTGCTTATTTCACCTGTCCAGGTAAACGGTGGGTGACAGACCAATAAAAGTATTCCAGCAAAACTCAACCGGCGGGAAATGGTAGATGTTATTGTTGAATAAATATTGAGAAAGAGACATTTCAAGTTGAATTTGAGATTCTGCTAAGCTGCTATCGCTGCATAGAGTGATCACAGTTATACATCTAGATATACATCGCTTTTCTCCGAAAAGGTTACTAGTCGTGCTTAGCAATGTTAACATTCCTGAGTCCTGATCGGCTTTTTCCGATCAGACTATCTAGTATATGTCCCTTCCTTATCAGGTGATGGAGCCACGAAGGTTTTACGGTCACGAAAATGGCACACTATACACACGCAAAAACCTATCTCAAGGAATATCAATGTAGATTAGGCCTCACTAAAAGTCATCTAGACCCGTGAGCGAGTTTTGAATTTGTAAACCCGACCCACGACCGGAATGGGAACCCACCACAACCTGCAAAAGCAAAAATAGGCTGGCCTATTAGCTTACATTCAATGATCCTATATTTTCCTTACCTATATCGGTCTACTTCAATTTTCTGAAGTGTTCTATCTACCATACTTGGCTTTTGCGGAGGGTGCCGTTACCACGATACCTTTTCGTGGCGCTAGGAAGCAGATAGATAGGACTAAGGGTACGTTGTTCATGAAGCCCATGAGTAAGGTTCTGGTCTCCCAGGTGGTACAAAAGGTGGTGGTGTGTCCCCCGCAGCACCCAGACAGACGGCTTTTGTGACCGGTGATAGCATCAACAGACGGCAATATAAATGCAGTATATGCAGAAAGTCTGGCCATACGGTTAATAGATATTCAGATAGGGTTTAAACTGAAGGCAAAGGCGTTGGGGTTATGTAAATGCTTCATGAATATGGAATTAAGTGGTTGGGGTGGCGGGGAAGGGGCAATGGCGGTGAAGTGGTAAAATACGTTTGTATCTACTTCTTGCGCGCGTCGACCCAAAACACGCCATGACATTCTTCCGTCACTAAAGTAACATCTGTCCACTTCTATGTTGAGCTGATCAGGACAAGCCATATTCGTCTCACTTCGCACTAACATATTATTATTCCATATCACCATATTTGTGGTAATCAATGACAGCATTGTGCCACTTATAGGATGTACATCGAATCTAAGCTCATGTCCCCTTCCAGACCATTTGTCGTAGCGCCTTCGGCGAGAAGCTTTGCCTTCTGAGCATTCCTGCGTTTGAGAAGCAGCCAGCACCCTGCATACAGAACTCCAGCCACCAGCGATAGACCGGCAGAGGTAGCATTACCAATAATATATCGCGGGCCTTGTTGGCTAGGGTATAGTTGCGATGCTACCAGTGAAGATAGATTGCCTATAGAATAGGCCAAGGGCATTCCAATAGCACGTTTGGAGTCTGGAGACAAATTGGTAGATATCCAAGTGACAGCTAAAGTAGAAATAGGGTATATTCCTAGCCGGAGTTATTTCTCTACACGATACACCAAGGTAGCTTTTACAGCGATAAGACTTACCTATAACAAGAACAAACATCCCTATATACCCAGCGACGGTATTTGCTGTAAAGATACAGATCAGGTATCCAACTGCAACCGGAATGCAGGATCCGACTATAAATACGCCACGTTTGTTGAGCTTATCGGAATAGTAAACTTGTGTGATAAGCGAAATAGCACCAAGAACATAGATTGGAACAGTTAAATAGTTAACTTGCAACGAAGGAAAGCTAGAACTAGTTAGTGCTTTGGACAAGGTTATTATTAGAGGTAATAAATACCCAAGGCCAGCGATGATGGTTGGACAAAAGACACCGAATCCATTAATCGCCACGGATGATGTGAAGAACCCAGTGCCCAGGAACCAGATAAAGGGGTCGGTAAGAGCAAACTTTACCCACTTAGGATCAAAGTTGTCTTCGCCTCGGTGCACAAAATCACGCTGCCTCTTTAGACGCATGGTCTTCTGTTCTTCTTCACTTAAGAACCATGCTTTTTCGGCTGAGGTTGGAAGAAGGATCCAGCCGATACCCCCAACAAGCACAGTAATGCAGAATTCGATAATAAATAGCCACCTCCATGCGGCAAGACCACGTTGATTTCCCATAGTCTGCACAGAATATGCGAAGAGCCCACCAAAAGCACCAGAAATACACATCGCGAGATTAGTTGTCATGATGCGTTTACCTATTCTTTCTCGGGGATAAATAGTGGAGAAAAGATAGGCGAAACTCTGAGCGAGACCAGCCTCAAAGGTATTCAATAACATACGAACAGCAATAGCCTGGCCGTAGTTTTGGATGAATGCTGTCCCAAGCGTACAGCAACTCCATAGGATAAGAGCGGTACCGAGCGATTTATTAGCACCGAAGCGTTTGACTGCTAACACCCAAGGCACTTCGAATACTATCGTGCAGAGACTAGACAGCAGGGTAATATTGCCAAATTCGTCTCCCTTGAGTCCAATATCTTTATCAAAGCCAAAGACTCGGGCATTTCCAAGCTAGTTTAGTCTTAGCAACAGTGGGGGTACATACTTGGAAAGCAAACGTTTCTTACATTGTTTCGGTCCAGAGCAGAAAGAACGAGAAATACCACCGAGACTGGGAGAAGGTACACGTCAAACTTTCTCAGAGCGGCGGATTCTTTCTCGGGATCAATATATATCGTAAAGCTCGCTATCTCGGATGCATTATCGTTCGAGACCTTTGTATCGACGACGGGCACTTTCGTGGTCTCGTGTTTCATCTGTGCAATATTCATTGCTGAAGGCTCTCAAAGTGACGGCTTTTGTTATGAGATTTAGAAATTCGGATGAGATCTTTGCGGGTGTTCTAAGAATGAAAAGAAGATTGTGCCAATTTAAGAATCTATATATCTTCTTCCAGAGACACTCTGGACGAGTAAATAGAAACGTGACAAGCAGTTACTGTGACTGGACATAGATGTTGAACGCCCCAAGATAAGGGCTGCGGGATATAGAGATGGTTGGGACGGGCGAAGATCATCGGGAAAGGACAAATTACTATTGACAAAAGCTGTTTTTGATCTCGTCTACGCATGCAGAGCAGCTGAATTAGGCATATCTAGATGATCGGGGTATGTTGTGGTGTCTTCATCGCGTCGCAGGTGTTCAGAGATACCAAGACGCTGGAGATGATCTGTGGGCTTCAAAGAAGGGAACGAACAGTGTTCGAAGGCACATTTGACGACCGCAAAAGCGGGGTAATCACATTCATTGGATAGACTTTCTTGATAAGACTTCGCTTGAAAGTGGATACCCCCGGCTTATTCCGATCGCTATCGCTTGACCTTTATCTTAGAATGCGTGGTCCTCACATAACGAGATCTAATCATAATTTTGCAGAAACTCATGCTAAGAGCTCTTGGGATTTCAGGCGAAGCCTTCTTAGCATTGAGTAAGAAATCATGAAAGCAGTTACTGCATGTCAGAGGTGGGTCAAAGTAGCATCTGGGACGGATCGGATGCAATGAGTCCACAATCCGAGGCTGACCAAGCACATAGGTGTCGGAGGAGGAAACAAAAAGTAGTTTAATCGACAAATAAACCAAAGAAACCCCTTCGCTAAATACGATGCAAGCTCACAGTGTGATCTGAAACGCCCAAACTGCTCCAATTGTCAGAGTGCACGCGTTCTGTGCTTGACATACCACTCAGAGAAACAAGCCGAGGTGAGTACCTCAAATCTTCAACGTAATACCAATGCAAATAGCTGACTTTTTTAAAGATACCTCGTGACTACGTTTCTAATCTAGAGGCACAGTTAGAGAAACTAAGGCAAGAGAACCTCGCGCTACGAACTAACCAAAGTCAAGCTCGCTCTGCCACAGGAGAAATTACGGCATCACCAGGCACATCACCAGCGAGAATTGGCGCAGGTTTTTTCCTTCGGAGAGTCCCGCAGTTTCTGACTCTAATTCCAGTCATTTTCAAGACTTGGTTACAAGTGTCCGAGACGTCGTCGTCGAGCCTTCAAGACAGCCGAGGTTCTTGGGACAAAGCAGTGGCATCACCCTTGCCCGATTAGTGATGGCGGCAATTTGCATCGACGAGCTGCCCTGTCTGGTCTCGTCGAAGACCAAAAATGACTCGAGGTTATCTGTGGTAGCAAACGAGGCCTCTCTCCCACCACGCCATGCCGCGGACCATCTTGTCGATGTTTATTTTCAGTATCGCACGCCTCATCTTCCAATTGTGAACCGCTCCCAAGTTGAAGAAGCTGTTGAGAATGCATATCTGCCCAGAGACGATAACCGTCCGTCGAATTGTTCATTTGACAAGGACAACTTCATTGCATTTATCGTTCTCGCGATCGCTCTTTGTGACGTGTCCAATGCATCTGGAGGTCGCCCAGCTCAAAGCGAGGGTTGCTTCCGATCCGCTATCAGCTGGATCGAGAAACTCATCACATACTCGGAAAGTGACGTTGAGACTCTGCGTTGTGTTCTTTTACTGGCACAATTCGTGGCTCTTTGTCCTTCATGGGGCAGCTTATGGCACCTTACTGGTACTGCCCTACGCTTATGTATCGACATAGGGTTACATTGGGAAAGTGAAGAACAGGCTATCAATATAGATCCGAGGCTGTTGCATGATCGCCGCTGCTTATGGTTTTCCACTTACCAGCTCGACCGTGACTTGTGTATCACACTCGGTCGGCCTTTTGGAATTATCGACGAAAGCATCCAAGTTCAACTTCCAAATCCTTGGGCAGTCTCTTGCCGCTCACTTACGAGTAACTCCTACAACTTTGATATCCACAGCCAACGAGCTCATAATCACATATTCGCTCTGTCTAAACTTCAGTCAGAGATTCGCCACGTGCTGCACAGTCATCAATGGCCTTTGAAATTAGCATACCCTAGGGTGAACTACTCGGCATGGCTCCAAGATATCCAGCCTCGTCTTGAAGAGTGGTATAATACTGTTCCGCCGCCTAGCAAGGCTCACCCGTTATCCATATTCGCCTGCCAGGCTTATTGGGACGGTGTCTATAACAACACAATTCTTTTGCTGTATCGGCCAAATTCAATAGTCTTGCATTCGGTGACCGAGGTTTTTATTTCATTTGAAGCGGCTTGCAAGCTGATCACAAGCATTAAAGCCCTACAACGAGAAGGAAAGATTGACATAATGTGGAAATGGGTTCACCACCTCTTCATAGCTGGACTTGCAGTGATATACGGCCTGTGGCACTCCAAAGAGATACGGGACCGAAAATCTGTAGGAAATGTGATTTCTTCGCTTCAGTCCTGCGCCTCGACACTCTCTGCTATGTCTGAGACTTTCCCTGGTGCTTCAGGATGTCGAGATGCATTTGATACTCTCTCATCAGCAACAATTAACTGGCTAGTCACCAAAGACTCCGAGGAAATACGACAAAACCCACTTGAATTTGAGAAACATGTGAAAGATTTAATGTCTGGATTGCAGCCATCCAGCATAGCCATGGGCACAGCCTACGAGAAAAATGCCGCCGATATGTCTACTATGTTGTCTACCAACAATTCAACACTTTGCGAAATGCTTAGGTCTGCCGCAGAGTGGCCCGAATTTGAAGATTTGGATTTCAGTGACACGGTGCCACGATAAAGATGAGCTCAATTTGGAGTTTCCACGTTAGTCCCACGCTGGTTAGCTTTACATGAGTCAACTTTCTCAAAAAGCAGTATGTATGTTAGATCTGGTTTTCTCTGCCTCATGGTGGCAATCTGAATGTTTTTGTCTTGGAACTCACGGATGTGTGTGGAGAGGCGAGCCTCGACATCTCCAAAAAGGGATGATTGTAGATCTTTCTTAGAAGCCTGATGAGCTAGTTCGATTTACAATTATGAATGAGGAAGGAGAATAGATGAGCGATGAATGTGTGTAGATTCCAGAGATGGAAGCTATGGAACTAGATATTGAAATGGGGATGGCTCGATGGCTGTCTGGCAACGCAGACTGGACAACAACAACCAATAGATAACACACCAACAACCAACTCGTAGTGTAGGTCGTCCTAGTGAAGATCACAAGTGTCCTAGGTGAGGCCGTGAGGTCGTACGGGTTGGGTTGTGGGACCGTACGGGCAATCCTGAACGCAGCAATCCTAAATGAGGCCGTACGGTTTTCTGACTGAGGCCATATGGAATGTACTTAATGCGGCATCATGAATCAAAGAACGTGGTGACAACTGGAATGAATTGGGTAGATGCTGCTGTTGTGTCTCCCCTCCCATCCTCATGTAGAAGCCATTGCTTACACCCAAGATATCTATGCCACCTCAGGCCGCAACAGTATTCATTATGTCATGCGTTCCACCACTACAATATGGAGGCTCGAGGCAAGGATGCGGTGAAGAGGGGCAGAATCCCCCATTCACTGCATAGACTATGTAAATTCAATAGCTACACAATCACTAATTACTCTCCGTTTCCACTTGCTCTGCCTTAGCTGGTCCATCATTCACCATCTCTCCGTACGAAAAGGGCGCTGTGATCAGGCATGCATCAGCAAGGCCAATTTGCCAGCGATCAAACGCTTCTTTTGGTATACGGGTTGATGACCACATGCCGTTCTGACGGAAAGAATTCGTTACGGCGATAACGACATTGACCGGTATACCTGGGAATAACTCGGCAAGTTCATCTTGGAATGATTCCGCGTTATGTTTAAGAACCCAATCAATGCCTTTTTCAAGAGCGATACAGAACCGCCTCTGTGAATCCAGTACTACCGGAGTGATAGTAGTAGTCTCTCGGTAATAAACACTCCAAGGGATATCGCCTTCCTTGACCATTTCCATTGCGATTGAAATATCCGGGTTTTTTGCTACCATAACCATAGCAGAGAGGTTATCTGTCACAAAAAAATCGCCCATGCCGCCTTCAAACAGAGTACCCAGCATCGCACCGTCTAGGTCTTGGATATAGTCGACAGATCTTGGGTCGATTCCATTTTCACGTAACAGCATTTTGAAAAAGAGACCAACACTTGCTCCTCCGCCTGACTTCATCAGGACGGTCTTTCTAGCCACATCGGCCAATTTGAATTCCTCATCTTGTCCTCGGCGAAGCAGAGCAAGTGGGCAGCGGTTCGCGATCTGAGCAAACACGGTGTAATTCTTCGCCCTGTTCCGATACATCGCTGGGACCCAAATACCGCCAAGAGCCATATCAGCGGTCCCTTTCTCAAGATGGTCAAGAACACCATCCCATGGAGTTGGTATGTTCAAGTCGAAGTCGAGTCCCTGCTCTCTGAAGAAACCATGACGGCGAGCGATATACTCCGGAAGATAGTTAAGATTGTGACCGGTGGCGGTAAGGTGGAATCTTTCCTTGATCTGCATGATAATTTCTCTTGCCGTAGCCGAATTAGGTCAAAGCTAGATATTTTCGAAGGTATCAACGATGGAATAAAAGGTTTGATTGTTGCGTGTCACTGAAAGCAAGAGGGATTGAACTGAATCCAAGTCTTTTAAATAGCCGACTACACGCCAAAACAACGAATTAAGTATTATTATTAAGCAGCCTTCCCTATAAGAGGGCCAATAAAGTCAAAACCTCATCGGGATGGGCATTTTTCTTCGTCGGGATATTGCGAAAATTCAGGTATCCGATCTTATCGCTGCGAGGAACCCTCTCGGAGAATTCCGCCACTCTCCGATATCGCTATCACGAACTGATTTCAAAACATATCTTACTATTTTCTGTTCCGCGTATACAAGAATTAAAATTTGACATGCAGTCAAGGGTTTCTTATTGAGTGGGGGTGCTGTGACTGTAGAATGATGTGGGAATAGTTACTACCTACCTACTTAGCATACTCCGGGTATCAATCAATAATAGTAACAAACTATTAGTATAACTGGATATCATAGACATTATTTCTCAAACTCGATCATTACTTTGCCCCAACCAGCGACGCTGCCTTGCTCACAAAGAAATCTTTGCCCTTGATCATCCGCACCACAAAGCTCCACGACGTGATGCCGAACAGCTGGCCGGTAACCCCAGCCTTGCCCACAGGCACCACCATCATAACCGCCCCGCCCTGGTCGTAGACCTTCCTACTACCATTGCCCCGGATATCAGACTTGAGGTTAGCCGCCGCCACGCCGGCCTACTCCACAGCCTTGACGGCAAGCCGCTGCCAGTTGTTGGGGATGTCGCCAGCCGTATAGATCGGAAGAGAAGCCTTGCTGTCGTCCCCTTACACGCGCAGCTCCTTGTAAACCTTCACCCAGCCATCCTTGTCGAGGAACTGAGCCGGTTTAAAGCTGCTATTGGGGAGCACGCCCGTCGTGGGGATATAGAGGCCCGCGGATAGCTTGTCCCCGTTATCCAGGGAGACAGTCCACGATTTATTGTTGCCGTCGCTAGGCGTCGCTTCCTCCACGCCAGTAACCCGCCGCGAGGTGATCACTTTGACCTTCTTTTGCTCCAGCAACTGTTTAGCAGGGGTGCTGCCGCCTCGCTTAAGGGATGGGAGCACGCGATCCGTCGCCGAGACCAGTGTAATAGAGACCTGGCCGGCCTTGCCGTTCTACGCGGCCGCCTCGGCGAGCTCTCCCGCTAGCTCGACTCTAATGGGCCCTATGCCCGCGATGACGATCTCCCTTGCGTTCCGGACGAGCTGCTGCGACGCCTCGATTAGCTGCTTCATGTTATTATGGCCGGTCTGCTTGAAGGGCATAGGCGTACCGGTGATCGTCCCCGTAGTGGCATCGGTCGTGCTTCCGGCTGCAGTCATCTGCTTTATTATTGACTTCTGGGCTGCCTGACTTGCTATCATTTCTGGTGTCTCGGTACAATTACTGTAATTGAATTCTGTTGCGGCCTAAGTATCCCATTTCTACACACACCCACTTGCTGCATAATCCGTTATTCAACCCCATAAAGCATGGGCAAACTTCACCTGAACTACATGCTATTCAGCCTAATTTCACTTATTTGCGTATCGCTTCGGTCGCGAGCGGAATGGTATTCAACAGTCTCAAATTTAGAATAGCAAACGCCGCTAAAGTTGAAAAGGACCGCAGCAATAATTAATAATATAGTGGGATTGTTTAAACGTATAGTCCGGATTGCAGAGGGGTAAATTGAGTTTTCACTATTATTGCAAAGAAAAGATCATTACGGATTGATTTGAAATCAATGCGGAAATAGGAGTACTGTATCATCCAAATGGCATCATCACTTCCAATGTTCGAATAATTCTTACATATATATACAGGCTTGTAGGGCTTTCCTTTAGCCTAAAATTGGATATTGCCCTTTTTAAACTATATAGTGCTTCCCTAACTCGCTTGCATGTCACACCAATTCTGCGCGCTTTCTCATTCTTAAATTTAGCAGTGTTGTCCTATCCATCTATCTGCCTCTCGTTTTGGAACAATGCCTTTCACAGGAGTGGTACTCATCATTGGAGCCGGGCCCCGTATTGGAAGGTCCGTCGCATCTAGGTTCGCAAGTAATGGCTACAAGGTCGCGTTAGTTGCTCGCAATTTGTCGAAACGGTTTTCAGCAGAGGGTTATCTTAACATCTAGGCCGACCTCTCTGGTCCCGATTCTGTTCCATCAATATTCCAAACTGCAGGAAAAGCATTTAGCGTTCCCAATATCGTCGTTTTTAACGGTTCGTGCATTTTTATACCTCTCTTGGTTATGTGACTAGCTGACGTTTGAAGGGGCTAACCGTCTCATAACTCCTCACGACGACCCTCTCCTCGCACCCTTGGGAACGATCAATACTGCTCGCACAGTCGGTTTCGATAGTGCCTATATCGCCGCTCAGCAGGCTTTACAAGGTTTCAGAATGCTTCCCACTTCAACACCCACAGCGTTTATATATACTGGTAACACATTGAACCAGATCGCTATCCCAGGCGTGATGCCCTTTGCACTTGGGAAAGTGGCTGCAGCGATGCTTGTAGAATATGCCGCCAACGTATATGGTAAAGATAGTTATAGGTTCGATCTCTTTTTTGGCACTTCCCAGTCAGGAGGTGTATTTATTGTATCTGACTTGTGTGTCCAAGTTTTACTTCGTTGATGAGCGCAAACCCGATGGACGACCAGCTGGTTTGCAGATCGATGGTGATGCGCATGCGGATATGTTTTGGACATTAGCTCATGAGCCCAAACAGTCCAAGTGGTTGGTTACCTTTACAAAGGATGGGGGGTGACAGGCATTTGCTGGAGTCGACTTTAACGGCAATACTAGGCGCTCGTATGATGAGCAGTTTGATAGATAATATTAATTCGGAAGATCTGTGATTATTGGCATCTTTGGTCATCTTAACTTTTCATAATCCGCCAACTGCAATTTGCAAGCTACTGTCGGTTCTCGGCAATCCGCCGAGATTATTGATCGCGCATCTCCTAGTGACGTACTCACCTGCCTCCGGCTTACAATAATTATCCTCTCATTGGTTTTCTGCCAACCTATTTCAAATTTTGCGAAGGCTTGGGATCGAAGTTGATTTCATCGAAATGGTGTAACGGTGACATGAAAAAGACCAACCAACGCCATCAAGAAAGAGAAGGGAATCTCCTATTTGAAGAAAAGAGTCAAGAATCAAACCAAAGAATAAAAAGATCCAGACACCTCAGAACCAAACCCCAAAAAACCCAAAAAAGACTGCCCCGCCCAGCAGTAGATTCTCTGTACAGTGATTGATATAAGGACACCTAATGCACCAGGCAATCGGGGATAATAGCCCCAGGAACAGAAAGAAGCCGAACTTAGAACCAGAACCCAAATAAGAAACATGTATAGTATACATGCATCATCTCACACGGTGTTAAAAAGGCAAAAGGAAACGGATGGAGGCGATCTCTGTCGGATTCGGATTGAGGAACTGGTTGAAGTCTTCGCAGTCGTTCTTAGGGTCGAGAAAAACCCCGACGACATATAGTTCATGGGCATCTGGCTGTTAAACATGGGTGAGGCCATTTGGCTGTCATTGAAAGACAAGTTGGCATAGTCAGCCAAGTTCATGAGGTCCATCTCATCAAAAGGGTTAAAGCTGGGTTTATTGGACCACTGCTGTTGCTGTTGAGGACTACCCTGTAGAGCAAGCGGGTTGACCACGCCCTGCATAGGCAGCTGCTGCGTATAGCTGCCGGAAATCTGAGGCTCGCCCTTGATTTAGGGCGCACGCCCCTCGGGCTATAGGCCGGCGGAGAGGGGGGCATCTTACGCTGACTGTGGGTGTCGGACGAAAAGCGAGACCGAGCCGTGGAAGACGGTCCGGGTCATGGCGAGGTCTACTTATTTCCCTTTACGAGAAAGCCACGCGTGGTCCAGGAACACCTGTTCCTTTAGCCCGGTTCCATTGGCCCTAGGCGTTTGTAACACAGCTCCAGGGCACCAGTGATAAGACATCTATGGTGCCTCGAGAAATCCCACTTACAGCCCCACTTAGTGCATTTTTAGCCAAGATACGTATCTTCCGTGGTCCACGGTGTACTTCAAATGGGATACAAGAGCAAATCAACATATTAATATTCTCTGTCAGCCTTAACACTTCTTGTTACACAGTCTTAAAGGTATGGCTTAGACTCAGTATGAGAGAGAAAGATGCCTGCATAACCACCGTCAACAGTAGCCTTATTCATAAGAGCCAAGACCGATTTGGCACTGTCTTCTGGTTTCATAGGTCCTTGGAAGGTGGGTGAATATTGCTTAAACTTCCCAAACATAGCCATAGCCAACTGTCCCTCCTCCTCCGTTTCTATCAAAACTTTAGCAAAAAGCATTCCATTTCAGTTTTCAAGACGACTACATACCAACATTAAGACTGCCAGTGTCTACAGCACCAGGGCATATAGCCATACAGAGGACGTCTTTCTCACGGTACAAGGCGCTGAACTTGGCTATAGCCATATTAAGAGCTGCCTTACTCATTGCGTAGGATGCGGCTTGGTAGATATCGGCTTTGAGTGTCATCTCAGGGTCCGACATGCCCGTGGAGATAGCAATCACTTTCTTCGCCCGACCATTCAAAATCAGGGGCATAAAAGCATTGAAAAGATGGACGGCGCCGATGGTATTGACTCGGAAGTGGTCAATCATATCTTGTTCAAGGGCTTTTGGATCGCGGCTCCTGTGGAGAAATTAACTCTGAATCAACTAGCCCAGGGACCTTGGCCATTCCGCCTAGAACTTACAGAGTATCAAAGCCAACCAGCGCAGTCTTAGATTGTAGCGCGGCATTGGCTACGATATAATCAAGGGCGCCGTTGGTTTTCTCCGAAACATACTGAACTGCTTTCTACGATATCTTTAAGTTACTTTCGACTTCGGTTCTAATATAATACTCATTAGCTTACCTCTAATGCCATTGGGTCCGTGGTGTCGGCCTGAATGATGTGAATATTTTTCCGGCCGATTTCAGCGGCAACCTTGGACTCGACGGCTGTTTTGTCGCGAACGAGGCCGAAGACGGTTTGGGTTGGGTCTTCAGAGAGCTGGCGGACGAACTCGAACTTGACGATGAAGTATGTGCATTAGTTACATAAGTCTTGCGCATAAAGCAGGGAATAGAGCGTACGCCAAGGCCACGGGAGACTCCGGTAATCACCCAGGAAGACATTGTGATGGTTTAGAAGATTTGTAAAGACTGAGATGTGATCGTAGGATGATTCTGAGAGTTGATGAACCCAGAAGAGCGGCAATAGCGCACGTATTTATACATCGAGCTTGGGCATCGTTTGCTCGCTTTTGCTGATTTCAAATCCGTCATGATGTCCCATGCGGCGTTCGGCACCCGAGACAACCGAAAACTTGGTAAGCTAAATATTGAATTCTCTTATGATTTCATCGGCGTTTATTAGGCCCTAGTATTCAACACAAACCAGGACTATGGGACAACCCGCTTGGACCTTGGGGCGTTGATTGGTCTTTAGTCATCGATACAAACAGCAGAAACTATGATGCAAACAAAGCCAAACCCGCCCAGATCGACGTTGATTGGCCCTTAGTTATCAATACAAACAACACAAACAGCACAAACTAGGGTGCAACAAAACAAACTTGCTCGGTGACCCACCCGCAGAGCGGTGTGGGTCAGCTCAAAGGGAGGTTATAATGAAGTTCAAGCAAACGGAGCAAAACTAGCAAACACGCGGATTGATAATACAGATGGAACTGCTATTTGATCATTGAAGCTAATCTAATAAGACGTGTATGCCTTCCCCATGGTCGTTCTTTCTCATTAATTCATACAAACTCAAATATGGCTAGTACAACTCCGGTTGTTCTCATTCTTGGTTCGGCGGGCAGCATGTGGCTCAGGCTTTTGCCGCAAAGGGCTACAAAGTTGCCCTTGCATCTAGAAGCCTTAAAGAAGAAACCAGCAATGCGGACCAGGTCCATATTTCCGCCGACCTATTGGATCCCGTTTTTGACAATGTCGAACGTAATGAACACAGTTTCGAGGGCGTTGAATACCCCGATTGAGAACATGGACACGATCTCGATGATTGCGATGTTTGCCCTGTGGTCCCTATTTATGACGGCAATTTGGCCATAACGCTATCGATGACCAGGCATGTCTTCGCAGGATCAAGAAAATAGGTGGATGCTTTGGGATGGAAAGGGCAAACGTCTGGGTCTATATTTTTATCGTAGAGCCTAGATGGGGGTGTACCTGTGTAGTCGCATCTTAGTTAAACAGCCGGTAGGGCTGTCGATGACTGGGCTCCAGGATGCTGGCCAAGGGCTGCAGAAGATATGTCAAGAGCCCCAGGAGCGAGTCAGACCCCGAAGCCAGTTATTCCATTCCCAGCTCCGGTGTCGTCATCAACAAAAACATATACTGAGGTCCGAGGACCAGTCTTCCCGCAACAGGAATAATCCGCTGGGGCCAGAAGCCCGCACGTGGATACGAAGTTTGCCAGTCCCAAGGATAAGCCACTTGGATCCCCGAAAGTAAAAACCTAGCCCTGGGATCTCGAACGAGCGCTCTAGAAGTGTCAGGGATATACATGAAGCATACAGGACGATGGAGATATTATCTACGGGACGCCCACATGGTGTATATGGGTCCCCCTGAACGCGAGGAAGCTACCTTTCCTTTGCTTCCTCCCGCTACGTCTTGTATCTAGAATAGATAATAGCTTCCTCAACATTGATCATTCAACTAGGCATACGTGAGATCTTCACAGTTGCCTGGGGCTCTTGGCCTAGCTCCTGAGACTTTTGACCAATATCCCGGAGCCCAGCCCTCGACAGCCCCACCGGCTGTTTGCGAGGATGTTATCACAGATACACTCCCATCATGCCTTGCGAGGGTTCCGTCCAAGCGATGAGTTGGGTTGAACAAGAAATCAATATTCGCATTAAGGCGCCCAATTCTAAGCGGGCGGTCTCGAAACTAACAAGCTACAGTGTGGTGGGCCCTTAATATGATTGACGTGTGGTCTTCATCTTGTATTTTGCTTTTTAGGCTTCTAACGCCGAAGAAGATGTGTCTCTAACCATGGATAAAATCGCATTCCTAAAATGACCCGAAGTCAAGCATTTGATGTCACCATTGACACGGGTCGAAAATCATCACTACTTGCTGAGATGGTCCATTTGAATCGTATCCTATTACAGATCAATGATTTCAACGTCCGTGCCCCCGAAGAAGAGTTAGACCCTAAGGCTATCACTAGCAACATTAAAAATCTTTCGCATCAGCTTGACTTGTGGTTTGAGGAACTTCCGAATCACATATGGGATACCCGGGAAAATATGGAACGGTATGCCGCCCAAGGTCTCGGACGCGGTTTTGCGGCCATTTACCTGGGATATTATCACTATGGCTAGATGCTGTTCTACCGATTCCTACATGACGACTCAAGGATTTACCACGCAGACCCGATACTATGCAGATAAATGCAAGCAGCATGCCAGCAGTTTATGTGACATCGTCCATGCTTCTGATGAAGAACCCGGCTGCGACGTCAAGTACAACATGATTGGCCACGTACCTGTCATCTCTTCCACCGTGTAGATTCATTGTGGCATTCGCGAAGCTGCGTTTGTTAAAAAGAACTTTTGTTTCCTCACTCGCCTCCGAGACCTTTGGCCAATTTTGGACCTTTGCATGGATCGGTTGATGGTTTTTCATGCGGCGTGCCGGAATTCTGCAGATACTACTTTTCGTATGGATCGGTGGATGGTACGATTTCTGGTTGAGTTTGCCAGTCCGGTGAGTGACAAGACATCAAGATCTGATTGGGAGAATTCGGGGTCCCTCGCTGGCCTTGGGATCACTCCGCGCAGGTTGAACTCGACCTGCCCATGATTCACGCCATGTTGGGAAAGCTCAGTAAGATCTGAATACACACCTCAATAGAAGATGGAGAATGATCATATTACCTATCTGCTATTATCTACTTCCTAATTGGTATCGAAGCCGCTGTTATTCTCCAGCCAAGTCCCGAAGTCCTTCAACTCAGGGTGGAGTCTCTTCAGCTCTTGAATATTCGTGTCAAAGCCAACATCATAAAACCACTGGAACATGTAACCTAAGTCCTTTACCATGGCCATCACGCCCTTGCCAACCAATCCAAAAGTGGTTGGAACTGACTTCCCTGTCTTGGCCTTGAAAATTTCAGTCATCTCCTCGTATGTGAGCTCGTCACCAGCAAGAGAGACAGCTTTATTTCGGTACTGATCTGGGTACATGAATGCCTGCGCTCCAAAGAAGCCAATGTCATCTACCGAGATGAGTTGCAGTGGCTTTTCTTTTACTGTATTCTTCCAGCAAGTAGCGAAGACTTTGCCGATGAAATCAGGTGTCAAGTTATCGAAGAACGCGACGGGGCGTAGAATCGTCCAGGTCATTTCGGTGCCTTTGGTCTTTTCGACCAGATGATGCTCGATATAATGTTTGGTGATGAAATGGGGAACGAGCGTGGGATTATCAAAAGACACATCACCACCGCGATCAACGGACGAGTAGATGAAGTGTTTGACATTGTTCTTGAGGGCTGCATCAATGAGGTCCTTGCCCTGTTTCACTTCGGCTTCTTCGTTTGACGCGCCAGCGACCATCTGATAGAATGTTAGCTCTGATTCGTAGGTTTAGACAACACTCCACTTACCTGAACACTGAAAACGCCCCAGATAGGCTGAGAAGTGGCCTTATGGGCATTGGCGAAGATCTTCTCCGCCTCATTCAGATTGCCTTCGACCAGTTTGATGTTCGAGGACATCCCTGGAAGCTTTTGCGCGGCCTTAGATGATGCATCACGGGTGATAGCTAAGATTTCAAAATCTGCCTTTGCTTTGAGAAGGGCTGCAATGATGCTGCTTCCCTGTTTGCCAGTGGCACCGGTAATCAAAATGGTTCTTGACATCTTGGGATTGTACGCAATATGTGGTTGAAGTTGTAGTGTTCTGAACAACACCGGCGGGTCAACAGGCAAAGGTAGAATTAATCCAGAAAGTACCTACGAAAATACCTTCAGTTATATAAAGGTTTTTGAGCTGATATCAAAGCCAAGAGATTCATAATCGCGACGACCCAGATTAGGCGTCGGCGTTGACCTCAATCCCGAGCCCCACATGAAAGGCGATGTTTGGCCTATCACGGTGGAATGCTGAAGTGTTGACCTAGCCTCATGTCTCTCGCGTCTTCGGTCTTTCGGCGGCAATGTTCCGGCTTAAATCCTGCTCTATCGCTTTCGGGCTTGAAACTGGCTCCTAATATGTCAGACAGAAGCCCAGGGCCATTTTTGACTGTTCCTAACAAGCGGAGTTGCAAACGATGCAACGAGAGAAAGGTGCGGTGCGATCGGAACACACCTTGTGGTGCATGCATCAAGACGGGGGATCAGTGCATTTTTCCAGGTCCTAAGCGTGCACCACGGATACTGAATAGGCCTCCGATAAGCGAGCTGCTTACTCGCTTGACGGAGCTGGAAACAGAAGTCCAAAGGCTTAGATCATCGAAGAATCTTGAATTGGACGCCGATGAACAACAGTCCAGCGAATTGCCTGACCTGATTCAATCACCAGGGTCTTATGCAGACCTTTTCGGTCTGCCGCGGGGGAAATGGCTGGATAAAAACAATCAGACGTGGTCTCAAGATTCATTTCGGCAACATTACCTTGGGCAGGTGCAGATACAGACTCTTTGGTGTATATATCAGAAGAATGTTGTACCTTTGATTGCCGTTCTTCACCTACCCACCGCAGCCAGAATATTTGAGGATGCATCCAAAGGCTTCAACATTGATTCCGCCAGGGAGGGACTCTTGCTCTCAATTTGCTTCGCCGCTGTGGTCAGTGTAGACCCAGAGCAACTACGGTCGGAGCTGGGGCTGGAATACCAAGCGGCACTGCGAGACTATGAAATGGCGGTACATCAGGCACTGAGCCGGGCCGAATTCATCAAATCGCCGGAGATCTTCACCTTGCAGGCTGCAGTACTATATCTACTATGCGCGCGCGTGGATGGAGATACAAGGCTTGTATGGGTCCAGTCAGCCGTGATCATTCGTCTTGCGCAGTCGCAGTGTATACACCGTGATGGGAAGAAAATTGGGCTAGCGCCATTCGAAACGGAGATCCGTCGACGTCTTTGGTGGCATATTTGCATATTGGACATGCTCTGTTCAGAAGACCAGGGCGTAGATATGCAAATCCGGCCCGGAACTTTTGATACCCGGTTTCCAAGCAATGTCGACGGGGCCGATCTTAAACCGCATATGCTAGAGCTTCCGCCCGAGAGGAAGGGCTTTGCAGACATCACCCTTTGCATAATGAACTCTTTCATGATTAACGAAGTGCATCTATCAACACAGCCCCTGAATTCCGTCGCATCACTGCAAGATAGGAGGGACCTGATCAAGTCTGTGGGTGCAACCCTCCATGAGCGATACCTCGATCATTTCAATCTGGGAATTCCAATCCATTGGGTATTCGCCACAATCGTTCGTCTTTACTTATCCAAAGCATGGGTCTCGGAACATAAGCAACTACCATCTTCAGGTCTGCACGGGCCGCGGTCAGAATATCAAAGCTCGGTCTTTCGCACTGCGGTTGAGCTTGTCGAATTTGCATATTTCTTGCAGACAAATGATGTCACGACGCAATGGGGCTGGCTCTGTAGGAGCTACAAGCAGAAAGAGGTCATTGCTTATATTCTCGATGAGATAAGCACTCGCCCAAACGATCCCGAGACGAATCGTGCTTGGGAAGTAGTGACCAAGACCACATCCCTGTGGATGCAATGTTCCTCGGGCGCGGGTCGCGTGCCCGAGGAGCCTTTGCTTGAGCTCATCCAACGTGCTGACATGCTACGAGAAACAAAAATGAAAATTCAAACTACCATACAAATGGACGGTTTGGTTGGAGAGCCTCCCGTTGGAGAGAACGTGGATCCCGAGTCGTGGAATCAATTTGCAATACAGCGACTTCTTTTCTCTAGGGTGAATATGTCCGGATCATACAGTAATTCATCTGCTCTTGCATGGCTCCAGGGAATCTGGCCCTATCAAAGCATCAATGATCTGTCATTTACCTAGTGAATACATATAATGTGTCATATCCGGCGTAGCATTCCTTTGATGAAGCCTTACCAACCAGGATCTCGACGTATACTTCCAATTTTATTTCCGAAAGAGAACAAACATAATGACTGCAAGATTGTTTGCCAGCAGTAAACCTCCAAATATTCCCGCGATGACAACCGCATGGCCCCTCGATAGAATCCAATCCAATAGATATGAGCCCATACCAAATGAGATAGCCTGCTTGCCAAATTTCATGGCAATTAGCATCTCGGATGTCCTCGCGTAGTATGAGTCCACCGCATACGCAAGCGTGAAAGTAAAATATAAGTATGACCCGAACTGTTCCATGACGACCCCGGCGAAGTACAGTGGCACCGCAAAAGTATTAGACCAACCTTCACACCGCTTTTTTAGCTTCATTCCACCGCCTACCATAATAGGCCTTCCAAAACACGCCAAACTAGCATGTTCTAGAAACGCGTGCCGCGTATGAAGCTATTATTGTTTTGTATCGGTTCCGCGAGATGCAGTATGCACTAGTACTAGAGTAAGCCAATGAAGCCATTGCTCGGTACATGAGATATGTATTTCTCTATAATTCTGATAGCAAAATAAAGGGGCTCTTTCGAGCTGATTCAGCAGTTGATGCCTTTGTAATCAGGTAGCAGTGGATTGTCAATACGAATACCGCGTTATCCTTCATGTTTATTACATATGTAATCTAGAATCCCTTTAAAGTGGTCGGTAAGCGAGTGGCCCATGTAAGCGAGTGGCCACCCAACCCACTTTTTCGTATCTCCGCGTATCTACCTATCTTCTATCAAGCACCATGCCTCCAATTTGCGTCAGATCAAGCCATGATTCTATCCAGCAAGAAGGTCGCCTCTTACTTGCTATACAAGCGATTCAAAATAAAGAAATTCGCTCAGTTACCGAAGTTGTATATCGCTCTAATATATTATTATTATAATAAATAATAAGTTATAATAAAAAGAATTAGCACTTTTTTACTAAGCTTTGATTCCTCGTATAACCCTTCGTCGCCGTATCGCTGGCACTATAAATTGCATGAAAACTCGCGCAAATAGCCATAAAATGACCTAAATTGAAGAAGAAGTGCTAAAGGAACGCATATTATCGCTAGATACGCGTGGAGCTACCCCTACGTAAGCTTCCGTACGAGAAATAGCGAATATTCTTCTTGCGAAGCGCGGTTCGACCCCTATCCAGACTGTTAGCGAAAAATAGGTATATAACTTCACCTAACGCTATCCAGAGCTTAAAGCTCACTTCTCTCGACGATGCAATTACTGTTGGAATTTGAACCAATGCTACATTAGGTGAAGGTATCCTCTTATTCAACATAAGAAGAAGAAGAAGAAGAAGAAGAAAAGAAATGCGAACATGCTTTACCCCTCCAAACCGCTTACCCCTCTTTACCCCACCAGATCGATGACATATCCCTCATCACGCCATCAGCTCTATCACATTTCCTTCCCTGATTCTATTCTGTTTATCTGATATAAAGCATGTGACTTTGACCACTTTCTGTCTATAAATACGCGCGAGACATCAAGTAGAAATGACAGACCTTTCACTCTCTTCAAATATTCTACTATCCCTTTCTATCTGCTTAGAAAGACCTTCTGCTTAGTCTTTTGTTTGAGGATTGTGGATTGTACTCATTTAGAGTGCATAAGCCCTTTGCACTCTATCTTATTCTTATTATTCTTTCTTTATCCGATCAACCCTTTCCTTGGTCGGATAGTTCAACGGTCCGTGGTGGGGAAGCATCTACAAAAGCGTACCCCGCGCCACGAAAAGCTTCGTGGTATCCGCCTCCCTTCAAGGCCGACACATTTAAATCCTGTCTAGCTGGGAATGATAGGAGCTTTTACTTTTGAATTATAGCGGTTATCCTATCTGTAGTACTAAAACTCTAATAGATATCCACTAATGATTAATACTAATGCTCTTCACAAAAACTCTGAAGCTCTAGGCTGACGAGAAATTTACCTATAATGTATAAGTGCTTAATAAGCGCTTAATGAGTGCTTAACTAACCTATTGTAAGGCCTGGGTTCCGGGATGATCGGATGATCCCTAGTATACCCTTAAGGATATTCTCTGGTGCTTTCCCTGGTGGCGGTGGAGTATGCGTATGCTCACCTCTAGATAGAAAGATAAAATAAGGCCGAAGCTTAAGGTCCTTTAGTATTAACCAGTGGAACTTCACAGCACAACCTTATTTTTGGAACCGTCCGGGGCCTTGTGGATGGTCATATTCTATAAAAAGTAAGCGCTTATTAAACGCTTATTAAGCGCTTAACATACCACAAAAGCCTAGCCTTGTAGCCTATCTTTCAACCGTTCCACATAAAGCTTGTCTAGTCTCTGCTTTACCCTCGAAAAGCTCTCGAAGTAGGCAAATGTTAATATCGCCTGCGCTTGATAGGGCTGCTGACCTATAGTATAGCTCGTTCACTCGTTGATTATCGGTCCAATTAATATATTGAATATAGATTTTTGGAAGACCAATCGCGTTCTATTCTAGTTAGCCTTAGCGCTCAGTAAGCATCTAAATAACTTATAAGAGTTAAGCTTTGGTAGATAATAGGGCTATATGTGAGGTGTCTTAGTAGACAGGGGCGCCGTGTACTTGTGGGATCAAACTATTGCTTATGCACCTTGTAGTTGCTTTATTAAATTAGTAAGTGCTTATTAAGCGCTTGTCAAGCGTTTAACTTACTTGATCGCATTTCTCTGTGGTATCTCGACTAATAGATACGGCATTTTATGCCGAAGATCCTGGATTTTCTGCCATATATCCTGATCCACTTACGTATGGCTCATATATAATAGGTCTAGATAGGCGAACTCGCAAACCTTGACGCCCGAACAAGTTGCCGTTGTGTGGAAATAATCCGTGGCACCAAGATATGATTTCGATATAGAGCAGGGCACAAGCCGTGTATGGTTCTGCTTCGACGAATATTGGATCTGTTTACCTTAACTTAGTATTCAACCTTCCTCCTAAGCGCTCATTAAGCACTTAGGAAGCGCTTAATCTCACTTACACTTTTCACTATCTCATCAACCCGTACTTCTAGCCTTAAGTGCGTCGTTTGCTCTGCGGTATTTTGTGAATCAACAGATACAACATATGCGAAGCCATCTCTCGCGGTCTGCGGGTATTCTGGTAGGTCTTAGCAAAACTCAAGATATTGTGCGGATAAAGGGTTACGGTTCGTGGATGTAAGCTGTGTTAGAGACACCTGTATATTTTAGTAAAATAACATAAGCGCTTGACAAGCACTTACATCTTCATCCTCCGTCATCAACGTCGTAGCCATGGTTAATGATCCTTATAATTAGACTTTGTGCGGCCTAGTAAAGTGGAACGTGTGCATAGCATAAGCGATAATTATTAACCCTAGGCCATCTAGTTATACGGTGGTTTTGGCGCTATTGTATAGGTGTCGCGTCGCCATTGACTACACCATATTAGGCCTAGCGGTAAATTCAATGGCGGTGCCAAGGGATTTCAATGGCGACGCCACATGTAAACTCTCGACTAGAGCACGCGGATATCACCCGAATATTATATAATGTAGTGGTGGAACGCATGACATAATGAATACAGTTGCGGCCTGAGGTGTCACGAATACCTTAGATGTAAGCAGCAGCTTCTACATGAGGATAGAGAGAGAAGAAGCATCTACCCAATTCATTCCAGTCGTCACTACATTCTTTCATTCAACATGCTATATTAAGTACATTCCATACGGGCTCAGTCGGGAAAAACCGGACGGCCTCATTTAGGATTGCTGCGTCCAGGATTGCACGTACGACCTCACGGCCTCACCAAGGACACTCGCGACCTCCCCTAGGACGACCTCTACTACGTGCAGGTTGTGTGTGTGTTGTTCGTTGGTTGCTGTTGTCCAGTCTGTATTGTCAGACAGCCATCGAGCCATCCCCTTTTCAATAAGAAATAAGTACTTATTGTAGTAAAATATGTGAGGGTACGAGACTAGTAGGACCTTCCCCTCGAGATAAATCACATATATATATATTATTATTTTAAGTTACTCCTAGGTAGGCTACTTATTTTATAAGCTTAGCACGGAAGCAGGGAGTTTCTCAAAAGCGTTTTTATACCCCTCTCTCATCAACAGATCGCCCAATTTTTGATCGACCATAAACCACCCTCAATCAGCTCTGATCGGGCTAAAATTAAATGCACAATCAAATCGGCGCTAACCTAAGACTGGCCAAAATCTGGATGTACTTCAACAGCAGGAACGGAAATTCACCGGTAGGTAAAAAATCATCACTCTATTAATTCGCCCAGTGCTTAACCCACTTTTTTCCCATTCTAAACAAACCCCGCAGGCTCGGTGAATTAACCCCCATAGGATATGCCGCAACTGAAGAAATGGTGGACATTTGAAGCACAGATTGAATTGTTAAATTGCTTTGGTAATCCTTCGCATTTTTAAGAAACTAGGGCATATCCTTCCTTAGAGACATTCCCTCTCTCATGCAGAAGAGAAGCCAAATGAGTTTGAGCTCCCGCACATATAGCCAATGCATGTATGAATGGCATGAGCATGGTTGAGTCCCTGTAAGTACATTAGGCGATTGGATGCCCTCACTGGATATGCCCGGTCAAACCACCCTGCTCTCCACACTCGATATTATCCGCCAGCTCAAATTCCACAGAACACCCCCCACCTTGAGCAATACCAACGCCGAAAAAGCTGGTACTGGAATCACCTTTACCTGTACCTAGGCTGCCACCGTGTCCATCAAGCACTTCGCAGGTCTTTGGAACTCCACCCTCGGTAGATGTACATTTGAACGAATACAGCGCATCTGTCAAGCATCCACCATCGAGTTTGAATGTTTGCCCGACCGCCGCACATGCTACATAGCCATCAGGGTAATCAGCATTGTAGATATCCTTGCCATCTTCGTCAAGTAGGGCAAAGCCACTAGCATGACCTGCTGTGCCGGATCCACCCGGACCGCTGACAGTGTTGAAATTGCTACCCATCCATGCAGCCTGGACTTTCTGGCCGGCAAAGGCCGGAATAACCGCGAGGGATGTGAGGAGGAGCTTGGAGGCAATTGAAAGACTCATCATGTAGATTTGATAAAGCTGTTTGGTGATTTTGTTGCAGTGTTTGGCTTGGTATAATAGTAAAAATGTGGACCTTTGAAGGTCGAAGAGTATAGATGATTGTTGGTAAATGAGAAACATTGAGCTCAGCCCAGAATTTATAGATCAACAGAGCAGATAGTTACTAGACACGTGTATGCAAAGTGTACTCAACGTGTACGGCCCCCACCTTGGAAATCGGAGATCTTATGACATCATATCTTTTCATTGATACTTGAGGAAACCCTGATCGTCAGATATAAGTGAGCCGCTAAAGAACCATTTTATGCCCAGCGCCGGATATAACTAAAATAGGATATAGAATTGGGGGCCAAGCGATTCGCTAAAGGTCAGTTTTATGCCAAGCGCTGAATGTGACTAAAATGGGATGTAGTATTGGGGGCCAAGTGATCCACAAGCAAATTTCCCCAGGGGCCGCCTTGGAAGCTAACACGGTCTACTGCGGAGTAAGCCTCGCCACGTTGATATTTACCATCACTGGCCTCGGCAGGCCGTCCAAGCCAGGGAGAACGCTATCCGCTGGGTTTCCATGAATAACATGGCGGCAGACGGACTCACGAATATACAGCACCTTACCAAATGATGTGTCAGTGAGAAAAGAAGATCGCACTCAACGTTGCGTTCTCAGGCATACGTTGGCACAAAGGCAAGAAAGGCCGAACTGCCCTGTCATGGGCTGCTGAGAATGGTCACGTGGAGATAGTGAAGCTTCTTCTTTGCGAAGGTGGAGCAGACCCTTGCGAAACGGATCGTCGCAAGAGAACACCACTGAGTCGAGCTTTATGGAAGGCGCAGCATTTCTATTATACAGATTCTGAGGTCACAAATCGACGGAGCTCTTTTCGGTGTTAAATAAGCTTGATCGCCTAGTAGGATTCACAGAGCAGAACTGCAGAACTGCAGAATGAAGAATCGAATTTCATAAAGAATTTTCCAGATGTAAATGTATTCCAATGAAGTCGAATTTTCATCTAGCTGCCCTGATCAGAGTAAACTCTTTTAGGCCAACAAGATTATGCGACTGGCTTACATGCCATTTTGAAGATTCATCTGGAAAGAAAAGCTCCATTTCATGAAGATACAAGTACGAGTTTTCAAGTAAATCTACGCACTAGGCTCCTATCATAATCGGAGTGATGCTTTGTGGCGCTCCAGTTTCGATACAAGGAGCTTTGACGCTGCCGAACAGTGGCAGGTTCAACCGAATGTTGAAAATGGCGCGCTTACTGCAGCCAGCAGCTTCCGCGCTCTGCAAAATACTTAATTCATCGCTGCTTATCATATCACGAATGGATACAAGCGTAATATTGGGTAGGTTGAGAGCCATCATTTGTTGCACCGCTAGTGGAAGTGCCAACCAAGAAAACCGGGTGGGAAGGGGAAAGTTGACGTGGGGACACTGAGATGGCAGTTTAGAGACCTGACAGGTAATGAACATATTCCCCGCTATTATGATAGTCTGGTAATTTGAGGTACAGCGTCAAAATCAATGAGGCTGATATGGCTTTTTCCAAAGGTATTTTGCGTACTTTGGCATTAGGCTCCAGGAAATAATGAAAGAGTGTAGGTGGTCACACTGATTTCCGGAAATATTGCAACCGATATTGTTGATTCTTGCAACTATTTTATCTTCAACACCCCTATATAGTAGCTTGGGTTCGTCGCTGACCAAACAATGTGCCTTTTTGGCCTATTAGTCTAGTGGTAAAACCCAAGCGTCCACATCCCTGGAAATAATGTTCATCGCTCCTGGGGTATATTCTGTATATATGTTTTATTTTAATAACTCGGATCATTGTTTCAGCGCAGAGCAGATTTATAGGAGCTAGGTGAAAAATAATATTGCTAGTAGATTTGGGGGCGGTAGGGTATTGGACAATGCACGGATGTCAGAGAAGGGGATCGGTCAGCCAATGTTATTCAATAGACGCCGTATCCTTCTTTTTGTTTAAGTATTGATCAAATGCTAATTTCGTTCATCGATGGTGATTTTGTGTAACGCAATTCAGTCCAATGTTTGATTTTCCCGAGAGCAGTTAAAGAAAGTGAGAGCCCATAGACCTCGCCAAAGTCCAGTATTGGACATCCCCTAGGTGTCCAAAGTCCACGACAAGAGTCCAAATACAATCAGAATACGGAATATACAGACTTCTTATTAAGAAGATGCCTTGTAACTATCTGAGAAAAAGATGTCCAAAAGTGTGTCCAACGCTGGACTCTGGCGAGTTCTAAATCCACTCTCGCTTTCTCCATAGGAAGGCATTGCTCATTTTCTGAAACTCAATGCGTTGTACCTGTCTTGCTTCATATGAAATTGTAGATAGGAACGATCGTCCGTAGCTGCCTAGCGTGGCGCAGTTGCGATGGTCAAGTTATCGGTTTGAGTACGTCATAGATTTTAAGTCATAAGTCAAGTCAGCTACCAGTTTTCGTTCGACAATGGCCAGCCTTATTGTGCAAAAAATTATCCAAGTGTCAGTCAGAACGGAGCTATATTTACTCTGTTTTCGGGAACAGGTATCTTACACCGCGGCTTCTTTACAGCGGTATCGCGGATAATCTCCTGTGTTTACTTGTCTCATCAGAATTCAGCATATAATCATGGTTATACTTTTACCTCGTCCCGGCGTGATCCGGCAAGTGGAGCTTGGCTGCGCAAATTTGAAGGCCCTGAAAAGATGTTCGACGAGTGGCTCAAGCTTGACGGTTGGGTGGAACACATCGCGTCCGTTACACTCTCTGTGCAACCAAAGAAAAAAAACCAGAGCCTTCGAGCGGTCGGTGGCTTGGTTCACGCAAACTTTAACAAAAATTTCATGGATAGATCTTCTTTACTAACATCAATCAAAGAGGCGGAGGATTATCTGGTTTGAATAAGAAGAGAAATTTTGCCTATCGCCTACTTAAAAATATCGACAATTTGAAACTGAAGGTAGAGCAAAGAATAAGTACACTTGCTAGCGACGGGAGTGTTGGATAGCACGCTGGAAGTACACAGGCATGCGACTATGTTCAACGATTTTTGCTGGTGTGACGGTTGACCAGTCTCCAGTGACAGAACAAGACTCAATGGGGATCGCCGGCGGACGGAAATCAAACGATTCTGCGACCTCTGCCAAGCTCGGCACAATATTGTCGACCAGTCTAGAGTGGAAGGCGTGTGAGTTATCTAGTCGTCTAATCAGAACGTTGTCAGTCAATTTGCTTGCCGCGACAGCATTTTCGACGGCAAGGATAGATTCCTCAGTACCACTCACCACAAGCTGATCTGGTTCATTATAGCAGACAATATCATCACCGTTGTCTGTCTACTCTAGTAATCGCTGGACCACCACCTCTGTGCCTTCTACGGCAAGCATCACCCGGGGCTCTGAGTCCCAGCTGGACGGAATCAAATGAGCACGTTCGGACACGAGGCGGATACCGTCACGAATGCTCAAGCTATCAGCCACTGATAGCGCGGTGAGTTGGCCGAAGCTATGGCCGACAATGCGGTTCACATGGAGCCCAGTGTCAAGCCACGCTTTTGCACTCGCGTATTGGATAGAGAATAACACGAAGTGCAGATGAGCGATGTCCGGGATCTGATCCGGCCTGAAAATTGTTGAGAAGAGACTGGGACGGCCCAAAGTCTGACCTTCTTGCTCGCATGCCGTTAAGTGCGTCCGTAGGAGGGCATAGTTATCAAAGTGATCTTTCGATTCGCTATAGTATCATTTTGACCACCCAAGCACAGGACCACTGGTGGTTCACTGGTTAGTCGCTTCTGGATATTATCGGCGGACGTGCTTGATGCAATGGCTTCCAAACAATAGTATGATGAGGCCGAGTCTGCGGACACGCAGATGGCTAGATTGAAAGATAAAGCTCGGTTTTGCTTGTTTGCGAGGTTGTACGCCAAATCCCGGATTATGTTGTCGGATAGCGGATCGCTCGATAGGAACTCGCAGAGGGCACCGCAGTACGCCCGAATAGATTCTTCAGACCGCGCAGAGACTAAGATGGGTATGTCCGAGAGATTTTCTGAGGACTTACCCTCAGGACCCATGGAAAATGTTGGGTGATCCTTCACCACAAGCGCAGCGTTGCTCCCGGATGCACCATAGTTGTTGACCGTGGCGACCCGTTTCGTCGACACCCACTCAGTCGGCTCCACGGGAATTATCAGTCGGCTTTAGTCGAGGAATGGAACAATTTTAGGGTTTAATCGCTTAAAGTTTGCCAATCGCGGAATTCGCCGCTATAACAGCATCGGGATCGTCTTCAGCTGCCCAGCTACCCCAGAGGAGGTTTCGGTATGTCCGATGTTGCCTTTTATGGACCCCGCATAGAGATCCTGCTATCGGCGCGGGCTGTTAGAAGCCCTGCGTAGACTTTCCAGTTCGATTTGGTCACCGAATTGACTTCCTTTTTTGTGTTAGCAAAACCCAGAGAGGAAATGGGAAAAACGTATATAAACTGGCGCCATGAGCCTCCACTTACGTAACTTCTTCCGCCGCAACCCCGGACTGCGAGAATGTCTTCTCATACAGCATGCGCTGAGAATCCGAGTCGGGGACGGTGATGGGTGACTTGTTCGAGCCCTGATTGATGGCCGAGCCGGAAATCCCAGCGAGGATGGGATCTTCGTTATCGATTGCATCCTTCAACGGCCGCGGGACAACAATACCAGCGCCCTCGCCACGGCAGTAACCACCTGCGGCGGCATCAAACGGCTTGTACGCTCCAGTCGGAGACAAGAAAGATGTAGCAGCCAGGTTCTGGTATACTTCTAGGATTGGTCAGAATGTTCACGCCGCCGGCCACAGCAATCGAGCACTCTTCTGTCCGTAGGGCCTATAGTCTTTTAGTAATGATCAAGCCAGGTTGGTTGAAGATAAGCAAGAGGAAAACACCTTTCTTACCTGGCATGCCAGATGGATAGCTACTGCCGCGGACGAACTCTTCCCTTGAGAATGAAACAAATGGCATATGCCACTTCTAAATACCCCGTCAGTGGCACGCCCCATCTCTTGAAATCTTATTTGACAAACTTACACTCCTATAAACTTGCAGGTTCTGATTTGATCTGCCCCTATTTGGATATACCAAGTATTTTGCTTGAGCGCTCCACAAACGTGCCAGCGAGTAAATATGACAATACTGTGATTTATTTGTATAATACATGGGGCCCCCACTTACATTTAGACTGGTAGCTTATTACATCTCCTTCAATTCCTATCTAGTCAAACACGGTAGTCTAGGCAGTTTATCTTCTCTTTACCCCAATACGTCGTGCCATTCCAATATTGCCTTGAACAGTAAACAGCTATAGATTACGACCCCAGTCGTATCGTTGGAGAGGGTAAAGGGAAAGAGCAGATATTCTGAAACCTGAAAAATAGCGAAGCAGTATATCAACACGCTCACAAGGACCAATGGGCGGGCCGGTAGAAAGCTACAAATAGGACCTCGCCCAAACGACAGGGAATCACGCACAATTTCCTTCTACTATCTCTGCGTCTAGAATCTCTCATCCAATACATGATGACTTCCAACTCCGCGGCTTCCGTTCTCCAAGAAATTTATAGTTCGGCCAAAAGATTTGAGCGAAGCTGGTGCGAGGGAAGCTTTGATTGATTGTAGCAGAGCTTTGATCTCCGCTCTCGAAATTCCAAGTGAATTCATTCAACACACTTTCTGGTCCCAGGTGAGCTTTTGTCAAGGCGAGTTGCCAGTCTATGATACATTGGCTTATCCAAAATAACAAGACAGAGCTCTCTTTTCCACAGTTTCTTGTCAGCACGCCCCCATATTTGCAATACTTCAACTCTTACATGGGGGCTTACCGTGATGGGAAACCAAATTGGTGTGACTCGGGATTTTACCCTGTCTTGGATCGTCTTATCTCGGGTTCGATACCTCGATTAGCGATGTCCTGTTGGTTGATGTGGGCGGTGGAAGAGGCCATGATCTGGCAACTTTTGCTACACGGCGCTTCCTATTCACTTTCTGCTTGGCGATTCTTACCTTGTGATGTTCGTTTATAGAAAATGGAACTCTGCATTCCAAGCTTCTTGGCATTGTTGCTAGCCAAGATATCCAATTCCACAGCCAGTCTGATGACCCGGTCACGACTGTCATGTCGACGAAGCTTGTCACTGCTCCCGCGGGCACCACTCTTGCTGAGGCCAACGAAGTTTTCCGGAGTTCAAAGAAAGGAAAGCTGCCGATTGTGGACAAGAACGGGTCCTTGGTTTCGCTGCTATCGCGGAATGACCTGATGAAGAATATTCATTATCCTCTGGCATCAAAAGTCCAGCCGAAGCAACTTATTTGTGCTGCAGCTGTGAGTACTCATGACGCGGACAAGTTCCGTCTCCAGAAGCTAGTCGACGTAGCACTGGATCTTGTTGTTGTCGACTGTAGCCAAGGACACAGCACGTACCAAATCTCGATGATCAAGTACATCAAGGAAAACTTTCCACAGCTTGATGTCATCGCAGGCAATATCGTCACCCGGGAGCAAGCCGCAGCATTGATTGCTGCCGGTGCAGACGGGCTGAGAATCGGCATGGGGAGTGGAAGTGCATGTATTACCCAGGAGGTTATGGCCGTTGGCCGTCCCCGGGCTGCAGCTGTGCGCAGTGTCTCTTCTTTTGCTGCACGTTTTGGTGTTCCTTGCATTGCGGACGGCGGAGTCTCGAACCTGGGCCACATCGTCAAAGGACTCCCGTTGGGCGCGTCAGCGGTGATGATGGGAGGCCTGCTCGCTGGTACCACAGAGACCCCTGGAGACTACTTTGTCAGTAACGAAGGACAGTTAGTCAAAACTTACCGTGGTATGGGAAGTATTGCAGTTATGGAGGACAAAAGTAAAGTTGGCGACAACGCTGGCACTGCGCGTTACTTCTCGGAGAACGACAAGGTCAAGGTCGTGCAAGGTGTTGCAGGCTCAGCCATTGATCGCGGCTCTATCAACCAGTTTGTCCCTTATTTTGTGGCCGGAGTGCAGTATTCTCTCCAGAATATTGGCGTAAGGAGCCTTGACGCCCTGCACGATGGCGTTAACCATGGTCAAGTTCGATTTGAAATGAGAAGCGCTAGCGCCATGACTGAGAATAATGTTCATGGCATATATAGCTACGAGAAAAATATTTACTCTTCTTGAGCTATCCTCCCTCTTTCGTTACCATGCTTGACTGTTCTCATGTCTTACATGCACTCAAACGTCTGTTAAGAATTTACGTTCATTCATATATCTTTCGACTATCCACTATGAAGAACAAACAGTCCATATATTTCTCGAGAGCATAGAACTCGAGACCAAAATAGAAAAATAAAGTTCGTTTAATTCTATCACCTAAATAGTTATTATTACACTATAACGTCAAGTAACGGGAAGTTAGACACACGTAACATAGACATACCACCGTATATCGCCAAGCATTAGTACACTACAGGGTATACCAACGGGATTACTAACTGAATAGGTCTGGTATACTACGGGTGCGACTAGGGCTCAGAGACAAAGGATATATAAGGACACTCTCTCATGTACTTAGTTTAGTTATTCGCGATTAACCCTACATTATTACTTAGAGCCTACTATACAATATTATTTTCACTGTTTGACTTATTGACAACTCATCCTACAATTAGGCCAGCTCCCCAGTGATCTGACCTTATTGGCGCTAGATATGCTCTAGGAGCTGCTTAGTATCGTGGTTGGCATTTATAATGCGTTCGTTAATATTGCGTGGCTCGGCTTCCGCAACCCCTGAAAGGGGTGGCCAGAAATTCCATACCGCCACCATAACGATCACCACTCAAGAGTAGGATCAAATAATAGCGCGTGAAGTTAGTTAGAACTGAGCAAAGTTTAGTAGGCGTGGCCCTTGGCGTGGCTATACGATTCCAAAAATTCGATTTACGCAGAGATAGATGTTTTTTTGAGTGTGATTATCCATACACGTCACGGCTGGCCGAACTCCTTTCATTTGGATGCTTTTTCGCGTGGTATATGATATTCGGTATATACTCTAGTGTTGAATAAGATACCATTTCGGATCATTGGAAATATGAAACAAGCCATCTGTATACGGCATAGGTATTTTTATTGCCATCACAGCTATCAGCCGCATCGGTATATCGCCTTCGATAATTAAGCGCCAACCCCGCTTGGGCACCACATGGACTGCGCCTCCCACCTCAGCCTCATCAACCCCCTCTCAAAATGGCCTTGAATGATAATTCAAATCCTTTTATCTCTCTCAAGCGACTGTGGAAAGAGCCAACTCGCCATATTGACGGGTCAGGTCCATCATGTCCCTGGCACTAACATCCGCTTCGCGCCTGAAACCCGAGGTTCGCCTGGCACAGGCTGTCTCGGATTTTGAGGTTGACCTTTCTGGAGAGCAAAAGGCAGCTTTTCGCAACCACAAAGCCAAACCACTCCAGTCACCACCGAGTACTCAAGATGCCATGCGTCTTACTGCCGAGATTGATCGGGCGGTTGGAAAAGGTGGCCGCTGCCTGGGGCCTAGGCTGGTCAATTTCCTGCAGGCAGCTCAGAAATTTGCTGCAATGGGAGACATAATAATTGGAGGATCACATTGTCTGGTGGCCTGTGCAATGTGGACGAAGGTGCGCACGTCGTTGACGGTAAGTTTTGCTTGTTTCTAGCAACCTAATTGGGTTGCTCAAAGTATTTTTTTTTAATTTTGTGATCAAATTCTCTGACAGAATTGAAATAGCTCATGACGGGATTCTCCGCTTATATGGAAAAACTATCTGTGCTTTTCATGAATGTCGGCCGTTCAGCTCCCCGATTCGAAAGCATGGCTCTGCTGTATCCCCGCCCAAGGGATCTGCAATCATCATTTTGCGAATATTTCATTATCGTTGTTCAACTGTGTCATGAAATGCTGAAGTTCGCGAGCAAGTCTGTCCTGAAAAGGGTTGGGTCTTCACTATCCGATAGCAATCTGGCAAAGTTCCAGACCGACCTTGAATCACTGGGGAACACAATCAAAGATGAAGTGGGCATCCTTATGGCAAAGCGTCTGGAATAAGAAGCCAACAAGAACCCCCAATTGAGGACTATCTCGAAGGAGTTTTTCAAAAAAGCGTCAGACCAGCAGATGGTTCAGGCACGACAGCGAGTTCTGGAATATTGCTCCAGTTATGACTATTTGGTGGTGTGGAAGCAGATTCGCAAGGTCGGAAGCACAACTTGGTTTCGCGAATGCCCATACTATCAGGCCTGGAAGAGCAAATGGATCACAAGTAATAATTTGGGTCAAACAACGGCATGCTTACCCACGCTCCTTTATACCGGTAAACTCGGGGCCGGTAAGACTGTGATGCTTGCGAGTATCGTAAACGACTTGCACCTCCAGACTCGAAGTGAAACCACACCAGTTGCCTTCTTTTTTATTCGGTACGATGTCTCGGAAAGTCTCAGAGCCGAGACAGTAATTGGTCCCATCCCTCCACAGTTGCTAAGTCGAGTCTCGGACCTTGAGAGGCAGGCGAAGCTCCTTGGAAAATTGGAAGGCTTTGAGACACCAGAAAGTTTTATTGCTTTCCTCCGCGAGGCATTTCGGTCAGAACACAGAGCTCTCATCGTCATTGATGGCATCGATGAATTGATCGACACAGCGAGGCAAAAATTGATTCAATTTCTCCGTACCATTCAAGGGATCTTTTCAATTGCACTATGAATTTCAATGCGTCAGGATGCGGATGAATCATTGAAAGCTAGCCAGTAAAGACTGAATGATGTTACAATTGCCTCGATGCCCGACAATACGACCGCCATCCAAGCCTTAGTCTTGGAAGAATTGCAGAGACGTGTTACACAGAAGCAACTCCTCGTCGGAGATATCTCTATTCTGCTTGAAATCCAAGAGGCTCTTACCAAAGGATCTCAAGGAATGTTGCTTTGGGTAGCTCTTCAAATTGAGTCTCTGTGCGCCATAGAGACTGATGAAACTATTCGCCATGCCCTCGCAAATCTTCCAAAAGGACTTTCTGAATCATTCCGGAGGATTTTGCACAAGTCCCAGAAATCTGGATCGTCATACCAACGGCGTGTCCTATAATTGGTCATTATGGCCCAACGACCACTGACATTAGAAGAACGCCGCGAAGCCTTGAGTATAACACCAGGTGACATAGTATGGAAACCAGACCGGCTTTTGAACAACATCCGTGGTACATTGGCTTGCTGTGGAAGCCTTGTCATTGTCGACAAGGAGGAACTGTCTTTACGCCTGGTTCGCCACAGTGTCAGGCAATATGTTCTGAAAGACTTCAGAGACACATTCAATGAACCTATTTCGTCGGAACAGGCACATAAAAGGATGGCAGATATCATTGTCACGTGTCTCGGTTCCTCCGCCTTTGATCGACAAATTTCCACCTTTGTCATGCCTCAGATGAAGGGAGGAAGAACGCTCAATGGCATCATTCAATCAACTAGTCACTCCTTGGACAGTATGAGCAATCTTGCCTTGAGGCTTCTTCGATCGTAGAATGACACAAATATCGATATGGCGAAGGCACTTGCAGAGGCGAGGGTATTAAGCTCCAATTCACGAGATAACTTCTTCTTCCGAGATTATGCAGTGATGTACTGGTCGGATCACATCTGGTTTGTTGATTTATCTTTGGATTTGACCAAGATTTTTGTCAACCTTTGCAAGAGAAACATTTTGGACTTGTACAAGCTCAGTGCACCACGTGTCGGATATGGCTTGATATGGCAGTTTACCACAATCAAGAAATCATTCTTTTATACATCCATGACATACTCGATGCCTCCAAGGAGCTCATGAGGGATTTGGATATAAATATGGGACACACGATACTGGACAAACCTCGTTACACGTGGCTGTCTCAAATGGGTCTGAATCCATAGCACGCCGCCTGCTTAATTGGAGGTCTATCAACATATCTGTCAGGGACAATGATGGAAAAACATCATTTGACTTGGCATTTGAAGAAGTAGATCTCCCCATTGTCGACGCCTTTCTGGAATTTGGTGATTCAAACCACCAAAACAATCAACCGGTGGACTCATTATTCTGTACTGTACTACGGGCCTTTCAATATTCAAGCTACTCTATGGTCATAGAGCTTCTATGTCGTGCCGCACGCGACGGGAACGACGAAATGGTTGGAAAGATTCTTGACTCCAGCTCGTTAGTCTTGAATGAAATGAAAGAAATATGCCAGCCAATCCGTGAGGCAGTGCAGAGGGGCCACTTGGCAATTGTGAAGAGGCTGCTGAGTCCTCTTGATACACCGTCACTTGAAGATTATGCGGTCAAACTGGTTGCGACCCCCTTCACCAGGCCTGTGAGAATGGAGACAGGGAAATGGTGGATTTTCTGCTTCAGTACAAGAAAGTGAATGTCACTTCGATCAATCGCCTTGGAAATGCTCCTCTATACATCGCAATCGAGACTTCCAATCGATACATTGTGGAAAAGCTTCTTGCCCATGCCCGGATTACTGCCTATACCAAAACCACCAAACATTGGCCACATTTGCGGCTCACCTCCCTCCTAAGACTCGAAGGAGCGGATCAGCTCATGATCGATCAGCTTTTTAATTTCGACTCGATGGCCGAAAACAGCGGAAAAGTGGTCCAGTCCACCTGGTTGAAGGACGAGCATGGACGCACGTCATACTCCACGTCTTTACGTCATGTGGCTGAAACAAACGATTTTGGTTCTTCTGGTTCTTTTAGACATTAATTTCCGAACCCTAGCCCAAAACCAGCTTATCCAATTTCGGGCCTTCCCTAGTAGTCTCTGTCGGTACAACCCCTAGAGGTAGCTTTACTGCGCTGAGCTTCAATGTAGCGGGCCTCCCCTCGCTCCTTAACTCAAAGATATCAATGGGCCAAGAACCGAGAATGTTGAAGAAATCGGCACCTACTTTGCCGAGTATGGCTATCTTATCATCAGCATGCAGGTGAGCAAGGTCACTTAACCGATTATAGTAAACGAAGAAATTTAAACCAATCCAGGGTTTCAACTACCACGCCTACATACCAGAATACGATACCCACATTTACCCAACGGGAACTTCGGGTGGTGTAGGCATTGGAATTGGCCCAAACACTCTCTCCGATTACGACTTGGCTGACTTCACCCGCGCGAAGTGGGATACCTGCCCCGAGGCATCAGATGCGTTTCCTTACAGTATTTTATAATGCCTCATTCGACAGTAACATTGTTCGATCGTAAATTACGCTAACCAAAGTCAGATTAGCGCTGCTATAATAAGGTTTGTGGAACAATTGATGAGTGTGTTAAGAGGTGAATCTGTTTTCGACTCCGGCTGTAATAAAGTACGGTTCGTTATCAGTTCCATCATTTACACAAGGAGACTGTTTGTCTCACCTACTTCTGGAACACGGCATACATATTACTGCTACTCTATCCTTGGACACCTCTATTGGCGGTAATCCAGTACAGCTATGAATAACACAATAAAAATAGCATATGTATCGGGCCGGTATTTATGGTATTTACGTAGTTTTAACTTTCGTCCGTTGTAGGAAGGCCAAATTCACCTATCCCATGGGGGTAACTGTACGTGCACGACTAGGGCCTTGCCAAGACCAGCTTATGTAATAGAATTTGAGTTGGGTTTTCTTGCTGGCTGGACCACAGTGGGATGAAATTCAGGTAATGTTGCGCGACTTGTAGTCACTAGTTGCTTCATTAGGCTCGGCATCTTGAGCAAGCTGCCCAGACGTCCTACCAATATGCCTGTTGGCCTATTATCCCGTTTGAAGGGCCGTTCAACCGGATATGTGAAATCAAGACAGGGGTGCAAGACCTGCAAGTAGGTGTTTCTATCCTCTAGGATTTATCAGTTTCTTTCACGAAAAGGGAAAAAAGAAACTAAACGCCACATAGAATTAGAAAAGTCAAGTGCGGAGAAGAAAAGCCACACTGTACCCGATGCGCTACCACAGGCCACAAGTGTGAATATGAGGGCACCATCTCCATCATCGATAATCCTGTTTCATCTGCACCAAACACAGTGTGGCAAGAACGCCGGTCTTTCGCCTACTACTTTCAGCAGGCCGCGCCCTCTGTTGGTGGTGTGCTAGATGTCACTTTCTGGAGGACTATCGTCCCACAAGTTTGTCGGAGTGAACCTGCCGTGTGGGATGCTATCATTACCATTGGTGCACTGTTTGAAAGCCCCGAGCCATGTCCAAATCTTACCTCCATACGCCGCGGTCATTCTCAAACTCTCAATCAAAATCACCAAAACGCGTTAGGTTGGTACTCGCGCTCGGTGTCTGCCATCCGTCAACAGATTGAGCGAGGTCGCTTAAGCATGTTTGTCGGGCTGATCAGTTGTCTACTGTTCATCTGCATTGAGTCTCTTCAGGGAGGTGTCGAGGAGGCTTCACAGCTTTATACCCAGGGAGTGCGTCTTATTATAGCTTTCCGCGCCCAAATAGCTGCCGAAATCGTGCCACCAGCCAACACATCTTTCTTAGAGGATGTCATCGTTCCGATCTTCCTTCGTCTTGGATCAATCGCTCTCCCTCTTGCAGCACTTCAAGTCGACTCTTTATTAGAAGAAATCGAGGATACGTCGACGCAAGGATTTAACTCCCTCAGGTCTGCTCGAGAAGGCATCGTCCTCATAGCCGCAGAGACCCAAGTTTTTGAACGGGAATGTGTGGAGTATTTACGAGAAACTGATAACTTCACAAAGCTCCACGACTTGACAGGACAAAAATCAGCCCTATCAGCCAGACTCGAGATATGGCACTCTGCCTTTGTCATCCTAGTGGACTCCCTACGTAGAACAGAAGTCTCACCACAACAGATTGGAATGGGCGCTCTGCTATTCGCTTCTTACGAGGCGCTGTTTATAACACTCCGCCTCTGCCTATCATCAGCACAAACCGATACAGACGCATATACGCAAAACTTCCAAAACATAGTGGAACAGTCCGAAATCGCGCTTCATGCGACAGCACGACCGGACGGAACACAACCACCGTGCACATTTGAACTCAGTGTCGGTCTTCCACTCTGGTTCACCTGCCTCAGATGCCGCGAACCTAGAACCAGACGCACAGCACTCGCCCTATTACGCCGAGCTCCACGGGTGCTGGGGATCTACCAGACCCGTTCCGTGCTCACTTTTGGGGAGCAGATCATGGCGTTAGAAGAAAGATACGGGATGGCAATGAATGCAGGTCAAGCGAGAGCCAGTTCTGCATTACTGAAATCAACCAATCCACCCGGTGATCATCTACCCGACAGTCAATGCAAGGATAGCGAGGATTCGAAAATCGACCTGAGCACTCTTGTCGCCGCTCCGGACGACGAGACTATCGCAAGCATATATTCCATGCCTGCAGGCTTCGAAAATTCAATATCGACATCAATTCTCATCCCGGAAGAGGCACGCATGGGACCCATTAGGATTTTTAGACCACAAGATGGGCTTCCTCAAGGAACGACAGAGGACGATATTGCGAGGTGGAAGCCAAGCCGTGACCAACTCTTTTTGCGATTTACATGGAATGAACGTGATCCGACTACCGACACTTGGCGGAGAGCTCATGAATACATTCCCACTACTCTTTAATCTTACAAGTAACAGAATATTGGGAAAATCCAACGATTATACCTTTTGGGCCCCACTGAAAAGGACCGGCCGCCTTAAAATTCCTAGATCGACGCAAGGCCAGACATATCCGGCGCATGTAAACGATACTATGAGTAACCGCATGCGACTTACACAGGACAGTGGAAGCCTACGGCTGAAGTCTAGTAGTCGAAAACTGGCTCAAAGTATAGTCTTACATGAGCGGTAGGCCTCGCCATAGCACCGCGCGGAACCGGAACCGCACCGCACCGCACCGCACCGCATTTTCGCGGTTCGGACCAGCGTTTCTACGAGCAAGATAAACAGAAAATATATGTACATTTATTTAGGTAATATAGGTAATCTATATAACTTCTAAAGTAGTAGGAGGGTTTATAGTAACACAGTACTTATATATCCTTTCAAATGTATATAGACTAGCCACCTTTAGAATAATACCTAATCATAAAATTTTTTAATCCATCCAGAAAAGGGGATCCTTGGCACATTTATGCATTTGCGGTTCTTGCAGTGCGGTGCGACACTTTTGGAACCGCGAAAATATGCTATGCGGTGCGGTGCGCGGTTCTGGATATTGGAACTGGAACTGCACCATGCCGAGGCCTAATAAGCGGTATTGATTTATATTATATCTTTCCCTATAGCTATTGGCCCTTTAGATTATGGAAACAAACACTATTTATTTTTAGCTATTTTGTTGAATTTAATATATAGGTTTGTTAGACAAAAAGGGCGGTGATACCACGAAGCAGTCGTTCGTGGCGCCAACTAGGCTTTACGTACCCCCTTATGCCTAATAGGGGCTTTATCCAACTATTCGATCCAAATCGGATAAAGGATGACTCATAGGATAGACTATAATCAGACATAGTCTCAACGAGAACAATTCACACTAAGGGCTTTTACCCTTTGCAAGCAAGCAAGGAACTTAGGCAGGCATCCAGAGAGTGAAATGAATGTGAAGTCTTGAGGGAGGGCCCTTAATGGTAAACCCTAAAACTGTTTCACCACCCGCTCCGTATGCCGCTCCTCAGCCTTGACAATCTTAAAAACGGGTCACCTCCAAGAAGATTCGTTGGTTCTTTTTAGTAAGTCTGAGGAGAGGGGGAAGGAATACAACTAATAAGTAATGTCGCGCAAAAAGACGAACTCAAGGACATTGGGACCAATCCCGCAGAACAAGTTTAACCTGTTACCGTGGTTTTTTTCTGTTCTAAATTGCGACCTTCTAAATCCGTCCATTATTGTCTCACAGTTCAGTACTAGTACCAAAACTTGACCGAAAATCAGAGAATTTAAGTTTTGACATTACACCGATCATAGTTTAATCTTTAAGTGGGTGGCGACGCGGAGCACGGTAGTGGTGGGGCTAACGGGATGAAACGCAGACTGGTCCAATAAAGCAGGGTATCACGAGCTGCTTTCAGGGGCGGGAACGCCATCACGCGTAATAGATATTAAAACACCTTTTAATCGGCTTTCTGTTCGAGAACAGATTGATCTTGGCAAGAAACCTTAAGTTGTAAGCCAAAGTATGGCACGTGATCGACGAAGTGAATAAGTGCGTAGCAAATAAGAGTTGTATTAGGGCTACCCAACAGACGCAAATACAAGCGCTCTTTTTACGGGGCTAAGTAAAGACATACTGCGAATATGCTAGACGTCAAAGCAATTCTGGGCCAGTGGTGCTTCCGCTGTTTTCCTATGTCTTTGCATCCTGCCAGCGTAGATTTGGTCCAGAATCATCAAGGACTGCGGCGGGAGCTGCTGGAGTTACTGCTGCTGGTAACCGTCGGTGGGCAAATACCAGGCCTCAGTCTCATGGGGAGCAGCGGTTCTATGGGAACATTTCGGCCGAAGTCATGGGGTGATAGGCGAGTTGGGTATCAGTAGGAGCTGGCAGTCAACTGCTGGGAGTTCTGATAGGTGGAGAGGCCCATTTCCCCATTGGACAGCTTGTGCTCCGCGGAAGTCTTGGGTAGCGGCATGCAACAGAGGCATGCAACCGAAGTAGCTAACCAACCAACTTTGGCGGTTGAGAACGCATTCGGAGATCTGCGAGTAGTGCGCTGTGGTATACTTAAGCATAGCAACTTTAGAAGGCTGTAAGTGAAGTTGATGGGAGAAGCCAAGGAGAGTCCCGTTGTAATAGTCAAGCTAGCCGGTGCGATGAAACTGGCGTCGGTTGAGGATGTAGCGCGACGGAGCCAATAGTATTGTTCGAGTGAGTTCATCCAACGGACCGGGTCGCTGTTTGTGGAGGCCATCCAGTACCAAACCCACACAAGAACCACGCGAGGTTGGCGGATCGACGACGATCGACGACCTTGGAGTTTTGGAGATCCTGCGGGGACTTATTATGAGCCGGTGGAACAACACCGGACTGGAGAATCCGGACAATCGACTTATCTGGTCGGGATCTGTGGTTCCATAAGGCTAGTCCTGTGAGTCAGTGTCAGTGGGCCTATGACCGGCTGAGATTCCCCTCTCTCCGCCTTGCGTTGTTTCTATGCGCCAAGGACTCCATTCGGTGAGTTGATTTGGTTGGATCCTGATCGACTAATCCCGAGGTGATCAACCATGTGTACTTTGACGCCACATGGGAAAGAGGAGGGGACGTTCGTGACAAACCCACATTATGGGAACTGTAGGCCTGATTCGTGTAGTACATTGGAAAGACCCAGATCCTATCACTCAGTGGTCCATTCTATATCGAGCCTCACCAGTCTTCTTGGCTCCCAGTGTCTCCGGTGTCTACATAAACCCCTTGTCACCGTTTCGTTACTTCTCTTGCCCCCTTCTTCAGGGCCCTCCCTTATTATAACACTGAAAGCATGAAAACTTCGATATCGTCATGTGTGTGGGAAAGGAAGAAAGCTTTGATCAGTACGTTATACGTGGAGGAGGAATGGCCTCTCAAGCATGTCCTCAAACAGATTCGTTCGGATGATTTTAACCCAAGGTGAGCTATTGCTTCCATTAGTTGTGTGTCTTTTGGTGGTTATTTGGCATTTTCTAGTGAGACACAATTGCGAAGCCGCTTGAGGAAATGGCGGGCCACCAAGCTTTCCCGTAAGATTCGTAGGCCCCCTGGTTACGATTCGGGGGACGGCGAGTCTGAAAAGGATGAGAAGGGATCCTCAGCTACTCCTCCACACAATGAAGGGCCATCACCGGGGACAAAGGGGACATCCACCACAGGCTGGGATTGGTCAGGTCTTCCGGCCTGCGCACTACTAGATGTGCAGTCCCAGCCGATAGACCAGAAGAGGAAAGCCTCTATGGCTCAACAGTTGGTACCGAGTCCATTGGTAGAGAATTTCCATACCTCAGACAGATCCCATGCCGCCCGAACTTTCCGAGATCTCAACCCGCCTGCTACCTCCTTTGAGCAGCCGGTTAGGACCTCTCCAGTCGCCAAAGGTCTCATTGTGAGCACCACATTTGCTGTGATGCCTTCCACCCTGGGGTACCCCGTCTATCCTGGCTCATGTATACTCAATCCAATGCCAACAACCAACCCCACAATGGCAGCGTGGCCACCTTGCCCCGTCTCTCCCGACCTGGGTCTTAATCCCACCTTGCAACCCGGATGGTGGTACTCCATGGCTTTCGAAGCCACCAATACTCCGCCAGGAGTGCCCCACTCTGCATCTGGGGATCTCTCTGTATCATATCATCAGGAATATATTCCTGTCGCGGTCCCATTATCCCCGGGTGCTTACCCTCTTGAGCTGGCTCACTATAGAACCTACGAGCCTAGGCATTGGAAGAGCGACTTTTCTCTCGAATATGACTATCATGGACGGCTCAAACATGGCGAGAGGAAACCCCTCCCGCCTCACCAGCCATACCTTGCGAGCATGGTGCCATTGCCGTATAGCGCGACTGATAAATCAAATAAAGGTAATTGGCCCTCCTATTGTCCCGAGCATGGGCCGGGACCCGATGGTGCAGTATTCTAGTGCGTGATATTAAATAGCGACATATGGATCTGTGATATGTTCCTGTAATACCAATTTGTCTCTCATATTATGATATTGTGATAATGGGTGGGAATTCTGTATCTCATAAATCTTTCGCGTTCGCAATGCGATCACGGTTTGTCTCTTCATGCATGTTGTAGATTGATCTGTACTTTGGAAAATACACGTTTGTGTACTCCATGAGATAAAACAAAGGCGAGGATGAGAGTATATAGGTAGGAGATGATTGCGCGTTGACTTCTGGAGCGATATAGAAAACGAAAGGAGAGAATGTACAGACCCGAGCCAATATCACCACTCCTCCCTGCATGGAGTCCACACTGTTTCCAAGAGCCACCGCTAACCACTCGTGTGGTGTTTCTATATGTCATACTGGTTCCGATGCAGAACTGTCAACAACTTTAGGGTTCATGGAAGTATTGTCCAGCCAATACCGCACAATCATGTCTTCTCCAGTTCTGTTGAAAGTTCTACGCCCCACCACCCGGCAACCCCAAAACACAAAGGTGGCTCTTTATTTTGGCAAAGCTTAAATTTTAGCGTGAGAGATCGATGGTAACCTTATCTTGGCACAGGCAAACGGATTCCCTGGTCGTACGGAAATCTAAGCCTCTAGTCGAGGCATTCATAGTCCCCATCTTCCGCGCGACGTTTCCGGCACAATGAAACGGCCGGGTCCCTTCGTGCCTTTCTGAAATATACACCAACCAGACCAACCCTCCTTATCCAAAGGAACCTCCGTAGATATCTGGAATCTCAGTGGGATTTCTCCAATGCTCCAAGTTTCCCCAATGTCGGGTGTGTCTCCAAGTAAAAAGGTTCGCCTGCAAGCCCAATCATCCAGTCACAACCACGCGCTGCCAACCCCTTTGCCTTTTCCAGCCCGGCTTATTATTCCTGCAGAACAAGCTGACCAGTACTCCGGATTAAAACTCTCCATGCGATTTGTCAAGAATGTTCTTGAAACGTCGTCGGTATAATCTAAATCTCATTCATACAGCAGTACATCAAAAGCGCACAAAGTGAGGCAGAATTTTCCAAGAAATTTCCGGTTGCAATGGTCAACGAGATTGTAGAGCAGATCCAATACCAAGACTCGGACCGGGCTGAGGGCCTTTCTGGCTAATCACTGAAAATACTCAGAATGTTGTTTGCAATTTGAATATTTAAGTAGCCATATGAACTCCATTAATCCTCCAAAGTAAGAATACACAAATACATATTGCTAGACACCATCGGCAAAGCCATCGCCTTCGGATTCTGTGTCAACCTTCATGGCATCCGCCAACCCGCAGACCTCGAAGATTGTTCTTGGACCTAGTCCTTCAGGAGTACCTACAACTCCTTCTGTCTTGAGGTGCTGCAAAGTCGTCTTAATTCCCTGGTAAGCTGGGGTTATTGTAGCAAATGAAAAGACCATGATCCTGAAGCCCATCTCCTCGGCCTCTTTCGTGGTGATGAGAGGGGTCGCCCCATTCTCCATCATGTTGAGAAGAAGGGGCCAGGGAGCCAGATCCTGGACTGCTTGTCGGGCTTGCTCTTTCGAGGTGAACCCTTCGAGCAGCCCGACATCAGCTCCAATGTCCCTGGCGGCCTTCAGCCGACGAATGCACTCCTGATAACCATGTTGCTGGAGTGCGTCAGTTCGTGCAATAAGAACGATGCCCGAGTGCAGACGATCCTTGGTCAGTTTGGCGGCACGGATACGTGTGAGGTACTCGTCCAGGCCAACGGCCTTCTTGCCTTGCAGGTGTCCACAACGTTTGTTCTGGATCTGGTCTTCAATATGGAAGCCAGCCACGCCAGCCTGGATGTATTTTTGTATGGACTTTGACACCATCAAAGGGCCTTGAAGTAAATCAGTCATTTTTCATGCAGAAGGTAAAGTTGTTTTGATTTGGGCCGTTGATAACTGACCTCCGTAGCCGGTATCCATGTCCGCTATCAACGGGGGGCCAAATGGATCCAAATTCGCAATCATTTCAGCGTTGGTTTTCATATCATGAAGCTGAGCCAGGCCAAGGTCCGCCATTCTCAAGCGTGATGCGGTAGTTCCAGCACCAGTCTATGTTTTTTATCAGTATACAGGAATGTAAAGACATAGTTCGGAGTTCTTACCATGTAGAGACCCTTGAACCCTACCTCCATTGCAATGCGGGCAGAGAGGCCATCGTACACGCCAGGACATACAATGAGGTCTTTCGTGTCTTTGAGCATGCGTCGGAACTTGGAAGCTGCCGGAGTCATATAGAGAGACACGGTAGGCTCCTGTCGGGCCCCGTTGACCTCGTAGTATCCATCCTTCTCGGCGGTGATCATGATAGTCATGTTTAGAATTTTGATAAAATAGTAATTTTCTTGATTGCGAACTTATTTTCTGCGTTACAATCAAATCCTCGAAGGAAACCGCTGCTCTTTATATCTTCGAGACCAAGCCCAGAGCAGAAACGTCTGTTTGACCGTATAGAAGACAAGCCTCCTCTCATCAGAGCCGAAATGTCTTGGTTCCGCGCCAAATCAACGATAGTGACAAGACCGAAATTTAGTGCGAAGTGGGAGGCCCCGGGGCGACGGGCGCATGGCAATAGGTAAATCCAGAGCACCGTGGTTCCTTCCTTCCCTGGCTCCACTGTGGCTTTGGATCTGTGATCTGAAGCTTGTGAGAGGTTGTGTGCGTTTGCCTATCTCAGTGTGTTAGGTTTGACCCCTGGGTCAAACCTGGTTTGCTTCAGGAACAGGGTCCCTCAAATAATTGTTGACCGTTGGTGGAATGGAAATTTCAAAAGAATTGGCCTCGCGTTTAGATGTAAACCTTGCGCCCAAAAGATTGTATACCACCCACAGCCGAGGCTGACCACGCTTGTGAATATCAAGATTCTGATCTCCTCCAATCTAAAGATCAAATGAATTTGTGAATTTAGCGTGGATGCGGGGGTTGGAGGCCATCGGGTTCAACCATATTTTGTAATTCCCGTTCACTGCTTGCAATCCCGCCATACATAGAATGCCATTTAGCCTTGCCCGGTTGTAATTGCCGCCCAGGAACTATCAGACACAGTTAATTCGATACCCCGGCACGTGTGACAAATAATGTTTAGGCTGAAACAAGGCTGAGACTAGAAAGGAGGGCCGTCTCGGTTCCGCAATAAAACCCACAAGAAAATCCACTTTTTGCCCGTCAATTTTATGCCAATTACCATTCTACTCAAAGTCCAGAACTGTCAGCTTTTTTATACGACCCGCTTAGTTCCTTCGCGGTACATGCAGCTCCACCGATTGATGTCCTAAGCCCTGCACGTTATCAATCATGCACGTCTACACTACGTGTCACAATGTCACGACTTCCTCCCGGACACCGGGTTATCCATCAAGGTGACAGGAAGTATTACCACGAAACTGGCAATTTCACAGGCTGGTAATCCCATACAGTCGTGTGTAAACTAGTTTGCAATCGTTTTTATATATCTATATCTCCAATAGTGCCAGGGTTATATAGCTGCGTAGAAACTTGGCTCAGTTCATTCCCTTCATCGGTACTCCTATTTTCGGTACCGCGGTTGGTTATAGAAACACTTAAATGCTGCTATTTCAATTTTGAGACCTCATGTTTTCATAATTTGCTGTCAGCACATCTAAAATTATTAGTGATGTTCAATTATCAGTCCCTTATCAGCCTGTTGTCAATGCCTATATGTTTCTAAATTTAAGAACATCGCTGAATGGATGATCGTAAGCGCTCACATGTTAGGGTCGGGCTCGTCCCGTGGTAACACATGAACACTTCCTTGGCAGAAACCTAAACTTGGCCGTTCTTTGAACTTTGCTGTGACCATGGCGTTCGAATGTTCCACTCGCAACTAGCCGGGACAAGTAAACCGGCTTCGTTAGGTCGAACCTGGAAGCCCTCTTGACCGCCCGTCCCTCCTACATGAGGTTGAACGAAAAGTTCAGTACACCTTTAGTTGGATGGCAACGACCAAGCTTTTCATTGGCTGCGCCGTGAACAACCCAAACCTATGGTCGGAACTTGTTGATCGAGTGAGGACACAAATTCTTAGTTTTGTAGGAAGTTCAACCGAAAGGGGCCAAAGAAAAATTGTGAAGAATTCAGCTTGCCCCAAGTTATTTATAAAGACCATGTGCTCGGTCTCTATCACCTCTGAAAACCCGGAATCTTGTCTAGTTTGAGTGCTTAAACTTTCACACGTTCATCCAGACACATGATGGAGAAAGCCTCTCGGCCCACAGCGGTCCCCGATCTCGAGTCCAGTCTCCGGCGGGACAAGCCTCGGGAGTCCACTCTCTCTCGCCAGTGGAGGCAGAACCTGGACCCTACCCATGCCGACCTGGTGTGCCTGCTGCTGTGTTTCCTGGCCGGACTGTGCGATAGCAGCGCCTACAATGTCTGGTCCTGCTTTTTGGGAATGCAAACCGGTATGACTCAGGACTCCGCTTCCATAGAGACGTCCACACTGGCTTGGGCTAAGATGTGAGCTTTGATCTTTGATAGGAAATACCATCTTCCTGGGTCTTGGTGCCTCCGCTCTGCCTAAAAGCAAGCCCTGGGGCTGGCTCAAATCCCTCGTCTCCATCGTCTCCTTCTTCACCGGCGCCATGATCTTCTCCACTATCATGCGGCGCGTGGGCACTCTCCGTCGCGGCACTCTTTTCGTTTCCTTCCTCGTTCAGACCATCCTGATCATCATCGCCGCTGTTGTTATTCAGGCCGACCTGATCCCCCACACGTCGACCGACATGTCTCTGGACGGGGGCCAGCTCTTCCTGGAGCTGATCCCTATCGGTCTGCTCGCTTTCCAGTCCGCCGGTGCGATGACCTGCAGTAGGTCGCTCGGGTTTAATGAAATCCCGACCGTGGTTCTGACTAGCGTCTATTTCGATATTGCGTCGGAGCCCAGGATCGCAGAGAAATCCATAACCAACGTCAAGCGGAACAGTCGGATCGGAGGGGTGGTGTCGTTGCTGATCGGTGCGATTGTAGGTGGGTGGCTCAGCCGCAGCAGCGGTAGCATGGAGTCGGCTCTGTGGATGGCGGCGGGACTGAAGTTCGTTGCGGCCGTGGGGTGGCTGTTCTGGAAAGCGGCGGCGCCCAATTAGACACCAGGCCTTGAGGCCCAATTATCGATTCTGATATCGGTACATTTTGCTACTTGCTATGGTAAATGCATGTAGATACCGACTGTGTCACAGGCCAGTACTGGAAACTCGTGTGCCATTCAGAAAAGTTCTAAACTGAGGAAAGAAAGAGAAGAGAGGGAGAGAGCGAACAACTGCAAAACAATACCACCCCCCGAGTCCCAATCTGGACTAGTGTCGGCACGAAATAACGATTATCTTAACACTTAAAGTGTCATTGGCATTTTTGGTCAAGTGGTCTTCGTTTTGACAACTAGCTTACTACACTTGACCTGTCCTCAAACCATGCGTGACAGCGTAAAAGATTCAAACAATTAAACTCCTTTTCTCAGCTCATAGTTGCAAACGTAATAGTAAGAGGCGTCATGGCTAGGACATACAAGATGACGACTTGCATAAATGTCCAGGAATAGGCTAGGACGGTGAAACAAGGGCAAATTCTGAGATCTCCAAATGGTTCAAAACTCAAAATGACTTTTTTATCACTGTAGGCAGACTTTCCTTTCCCCAGTGGCTACCTGATAATTGTCTCATCCCCATCCCAGGCCGCGTTAAACCGGCTTATTAGGGGCTGTCAAATCGCGATGCAAAACGGCATATTACTCGAGCAAGAAAACAATCAATTACGCGCTTCTAACACTATACAAAAGTAAAAGTGCGGCCGTGTTGATAGACATATGGCCCACGAAGCTGGTATTGCGATTATGTAAATCAAGCCCTAGCAATTTGGACAGGATTATAAGCCACGATATGGACGCAAATAATTAAAAAAAGAAATAAACCACCTAAGCGTTTGTGGATATTATATTTACTATATCCAAACTTGAACTTACCGATATGGTTTAGGCATTTACCAACCTTACAACTAACGCTGCTACTTAACGCCTAGTAGAGCTGGTCAATGTGACAGATCCCAATTCAGAAACTCTCAATATGACAAAAATCCCAACATCACCCCAAAGACCACTATTCAGGAGGCTTAACCTTGGAAAATGACAAGGGAGCTTGAAGATCTATCTAACCATGCAAACACCACAAAGAAGGACTTTTGACTCAAAGAATAACCGAAGACTAAGAGGACCGTCGAATTTGTGTGAGCATATATGTGGTACTAGCCACAAGACAATTGATCAGCCCAAAAACCGATGACAGATGATAGGTCATCCTGGTTATCGACTCGATAGGTAAGGTAGGCCAGAGGCTCGTGTTTTAGGATCGAGGGCGTTGAGTGCGCGCATTGACACACCGGTCTCAAGATACGTCAGCGGTCTAGATAGAAAGTCGTCGGCTCTTTTTGAAGTCGGGTCAGTAGGACATTCTTTACCATGCACCAATGGATAAAACTTACCAGGAAAATTTCCTGCACAAGTTTCAAACGACTCCTTAGGTTTGGTAATAGAGACAATCTTTATCACTTTAGAAGAGACCTGGTCGATGCAGGCGCAGCCAGCCTTGTACGTATGTGCGCAGACGGTATCGTTTTTCGAGATCTTCAAGATGCTCGTTCAAAAGATATAACGAGAATAAAACCACTAACGCGACTACCAGTGCGATGCGCACGCCATTATGCATGATGAAGGCAGAATCACGAATTCAAGACGTTGTTGCAAACTGCGACTATGTGTTCTCCGCGGCAGGAACCCAGTGTGCCTCAATAGAAGATATCCTGAGCCATTGATATCGTAACATAAGTGGCGAGTTGGTTGATAAATAGGCAGCAAGATAAGAAAGCGTGGCTGATATTGCTCTGATACGAATCCGGATAGGGCTCCATCCCACCGAAAACCATCTTGGGAGGATTCCATAGGCCAGCGTATTCCGTGGAGCGGCTGCAGTTGCATCCGGCGACTATCCAGCGAACATCCAGCGAACATCCAGCGAACATCCAGCGAACATCCAGCGAAGCAAAACATTTAATAAGATTGCCCCTTCCTATTTCGTCTTCGACCTACGCTCTTTTTTCGTCCTTTTGAATTCGATTTGTTCTCCACTTGGTCACTTCTTATTTATTTTCTCTCCCCTTTTTCTCTCTCACACTCGAACTTGGGTTCTAATGTCTTCGCCTCCTCCTCGAATCTATGTCACAGCGCTAAAAACTACTAATCATCCTCTACGCAACTCTCGAGATCTTTAGAGCTAGAAGGCCCGTGATACTAGCTCGCCGAAGCTATTTGACGACTCCAGACTTTCTCAATTGACTTTTCGCATTTGTCTGCCGACTGGACCACCCTTAACCATCATAATGCGGCGCCGTCTTCTTATCTTTCTCCTGATCAACCTTCTCATTCTCATTCTCCTGCTTCGCAGTGTCTCGACGCTGCTATCGCTACTCGTCGAAGATGCCGGCGCCGACGCGATTCACCGCGCCGAGTTTTCCTCGCCAAACTCCAGCCTGATCGAAGAACGCCCCCAGATCATCCCTAAGATTATTCATCAGACCTACAAAAACGAAACTATTCCTGAGGTCTGGGTCGATGCCCAGCAGAGCTGCATTGACATGCACCCGGACTACGAGTATATTGTACGACCCTCGTGTGACTCGACTTGAATCCATGCTAACGAGTGTTCCAGCTGTGGACGAATGAAAAATCGCGCGACTTCATCGCCGCTCAATATCCCTGGTTCCTGAAGACTTTTGACGGTTACAAATATCCCATCCAGCGCGCAGACTCGATCCGCTATTTCCTTCTGGCACACTATGGTGGAACTTATATTGATTTGGACGATGTATAAATTTATCTAGTAATAGTCACTTTTGATACGAATAGTCTAACTCTCACTAGGGCTGCAATCGTCGCTTAGATCCCCTACTCGCTTACCCCGCGTGGGTGCGTCGCACTGTACCCACTGGTATCTCTAATGATGCGATGGGCTCGGTGCCCCAGCATCCCTTCTTCCTACGCGTGATCGAATTGCTTCAGCAGTACGACCAACACTGGCTCCTCCCCTATATCACCGTTATGTACTCGACTGGGCCACTGTTCCTATCGGTTATCTGGAAAGAGTATATAAAAGACTATCCGTCCGAGATGAGCCGTGTCCGCATTCTTATGCAGGATGAGTATATGAAGTACTCCTGGAGTTTCTTCATCCACCACACTGGAAATAGCTGGCACGGCAAGGACGCGTATTTTATTTTCTGGGTAACATATTCCGAGACCCCAGGCCGCTTGATCACCGCTAACAAACATAGATGGGCCAACACTGGATTTTCCTCACCTTCTGCGGCTTCCTCCTTGCCGCTGTCTTCGGCTTCTGCCTCTTCTGGACCTATGGTCGAATCGTGCTCCTAGGGGCCCAGTATCGTTACCGCTACACCGAGGTCCCTTCAATCATCAGCGCGCCCCGCTTATCATCCTCGCCTTCGCGACACGCGCGTCGCCTGATGCCCACGTTGCTGCGGAGAATAAGCTTTCAAGGAGACGAGGCTACCGATACCTCGTGCGAACTCGGTCGCCGCGAAGACTGAGATATTTGCGATTTTTCGGCTTTTTTGTATCGATATGGCCTTGGACACGATCCCTGCATACCTAACAGCATTTAGTGTATACTTGTATTTTATTTCTTTATCAGCGCCAGGATGCAGCTGAGCTCGAGAGTTGGAAGAGCTGAGACCAGAGTTGTGGCTCCCACTTCCTAATCGGGTTTAGCACCCAACTCTGGTAGTACCCACATTATTACCTTGGCATTACAACTCACTTTTCTATCCACTCCACACCCCTCAATCAAAGGTCTGTTTATCCCCTAAGCCCTCAAATTCATCAAATCTATCAAATATTCATCAAATATCTATTAAATGTCGATCAGAGAACTAACTAGTAATGAGAAAAACCTAATTTCTACCTTCCCTTGATAAAATCAAGTGAGTTAATCCTACGGAGGAGTGGGATATTTGGCAGATATCTGATAGACATCCATTTTCTATGCCCTTCGAAATTAACTAACCTAAGTTCCTCCGGAACTACCTTGCCTTTATCTTAAAGATACCCCCTCAGGCAAAATTAACCTCCCCCCCCCTATAAGAAAGTAAGTTAGATATTCGCAGGATATTTAGCAGATATCTAGATACTAATAGGCTTTTAGGACGAAGAAAATAATATCTTAATCTATATTAGAGAGATATTTTGTTAGGTCCCGGACTACGAGCACGGCACTATAAGTAACTAAGTCCTTAGATATCTATTAGTTATTGTTGGCCGCGGAGGGAGGCGGATACCACGAAGCTTTTTATAAGACCACGCAGTAGTCTCTAGGTCAGGATGGGTAAGCGAGGTAGACACCTTTATATGCGTGTAATACAATATAGTGGATTGTAAGATAAACTGAACGCTGGCCCTTCCCAGGTCCAGCGGGGCTTCACTTAAATACAGACTGGCCCGGCTGCAGGCGGTGAAGCCCAACAACATAATACTCCGATGGCATCTAAGTATGCCTCAGGCCGTAGTTAGTATCATCAGTCAGTGGTCCTGACACTTTTCGTGGCGCGAGGTACGCTTTTGCTGACACTTCCCCACCACGGACCGTTAACTACCCGACCAAGGAAGGCTTAATCGGATAAAGATAGAAAAGAATAAGATAGAGTACAAAGGGCTTATGCACTCTAAATGAGCACAATCCACAATCCTCAAACAAAGGACTAAGCAGAAGGTCTTTCTAAGCAGATAGAAAGGGATAGTAGAATATTTGAAGAGAGTGAAAGGTCTGTTATTTCTACTTAGTGTCTCGCGCGTATTTATAGACAGAAAGTGGTCAAAGTCACATACTTTATATCAGATAACCAGAATAGAATCAGGGAAGGAAATATAATAGAACTGATGGCGTGATAAGGAATATGTCATCGATCTGGTGGGGTAAAGAGGGGTAAGCGGTTTGGAGGGGTAAATCATGTTCGTATCTCTTTCTTTTCTTCTTCTTCTTCTTCTTATATTGAATAAGAGGATACCTTCACCTAATGTAGCATTAGTCCAAATTCCAACGCTTAGTGTTAGTAAGATAGGTTAGACTAGTAAAGTCGGGGATCCACTACCTAAGGTTAGCGTCTGCTAGATATCTGCCAGATATTCGTTAGATATCTACGTACTTCTGAACCTTCCTCTCTCTCTTTCCGCTCCCTGATATATCGATCGGTCGTATCGTTGAGGGTACTACCTTGGTCTTCATAGGTTTGGGAATTCGCCATAGCTTAGTGTGAAGAGCGTGGTCTAAAGCCGTATGTGAAGGGTGGGTAGAAGGTAAAAAAAATAGGTGTATGTGTACAAGGGCTTGGTCACCATACTGCGCTAAACCCTCTTCGTCAGCTGACCTCGAGAGTTGAATTCCCAAATAGGTTTAGCCCCAACGCCACAACTCTGGCCTCAGCTCCTCCAACTCTCGAGACCAGCTATACACTCTATGAGCGCTACATGCATAGTGACCCAATCCTGCGGGGTCCGGGATTGGCTGCTTTCGCCTGGAGTAGGCCTCGCTGTGGGTCGGGTCTATACCTAGGACCCAAAGCCCATACCCGTTTTGGCTAACTAAATTACTTTATGCCAAGACGTATAAAACTGCTGATTGACTCTTCACAAATATTCTAACTTACCTCCGTTCTCGTTATGTGTCTAGCTTCTATTTACGGATGTGTCATTCTCCACGAAAAATTGAAAAATTAGACTGTTTTTGTCACAGGCCAGTACGGGATAATTCGTGTGCCATTCAGAAAAGTTGTAAACTGTGGAAAGAAAGAGAAGAGAAAGGGAGAGAGCGAACAACTGCAAAACAATACTACCCCGGGTATCCCACTCGGGACTAGATAACTACACGTGACCTGTCCTCGAACCATGCGTCACAGTTGGGGGCTTACTCGCCTGTGTGGTATCCTCGCTTGGGTAATATTCTGTTTGTGTTTAGAGCATAGCCATCGGGTTGATGAGTACCAACAAACAAATTGCCATTCTTAGAAGTCCTCAGAGGGCTATTATTGCATCTCTGCGTCTCTGAATTTCCGGTGTGTACGGCGGTTGGGGTAATATTAGCCTAAATATAAGCTTAGCAGGACGTTCAGATCGATTGAAGTCAAAGCGCGGGTGAATTGGGGTAAATCGACTAGTCGTTTGAACTTAGGGGGAAAGATAATGGCTGACTTAACGTTAGGGAGACTTACTAGAATTAAGATTTGACTAAGAAATTTGACGGTTAAATGGAGTTATATAAAAAGAACATGCTGTGAATTCAAAATTTTTCTTGGCTATTCTAGTTGCCTACTCGTCAATATGAAATCCCCAATTTGTATTCTCTTGGCCATCCTGGGCAATGTTTCGGCATGGGATTATACTCAGGATTTCGATGACGCTGTTACTATTGGCATCAATGCATTTGACCGATATCAAACAATGATTGGTGGTGGATGCTCAGGTGCATTCGGGGTTGCCTGTCAACAATTTGGATCCGAGGGCCTTTCCTCTGTAAATCAGCAAAAGGTGACCCAAATCCTCTTTGACGAGAATATCGGTGCACTTTCCATATTACGGAACGGTATTGGTTCCTCTCCGGGTACCACAATTTTGCCGGAATGTCCAGCCACCCCAGCTGGCCCATTTAACTACGTCTGGGATGGAAACGACAACTGCCAGTTTGAACTGACGAAGACGGCCCTGGAATACAACCCAAACCTCTACATCTATGCAGACGCGTGGTCCGCACCTGGTTGCATGAAGACTGTCGGAACTGAAAATGACGGTGGCTATGTCTGCGGTGTTCGCGGAACTAACTGCACTCACGACTGGCGTCAGGCGTACGCGGACTATCTTGTGCAGTATGTCAACTACTATAAGCATAATGGGGCTTCCATTTCCCTTCTCGGAGCATGGAATGAGCCTGACTTCAATCCAATTACCTATGAAAGTATGCTGTCGGATGGATTTCAGGCTAAAGATTTCTTGGAGGTGCTGTATCCTACGGTGAAAAAAGCTTTCCCGGAACTGGAGATTAGTTGTTGCGATGCAACCGGAGCGAGACAGGAAAGAAATATCCTCTACGAAATACAGAAGGCAGGCGGTGAAGACTTGTTCGATGTTGCGGTCAGTTATATGCTCGCTTGCTCTTCTAGCATAAAGCTAACTAGGAAAGACGTGGCATAATTACCAGAGCAACCCCGAGAGGCCGTTCAATGTGATAAACAAAGCAAATATCATGACTGAATGGGCTGATGTGAGAAATTCTCTTGAAATAGAAAGATATTCAGTTGTGCTAACACTTACGTCCAAGGGCTCGGGACCATGGAACACCACCTGGGATATGACAGGCCAGCTCGCGTCAGTAAACCTCCCGTTCGCAGGCTCTTCTCAACCCCTAATATCCCGTCAGTGAAGGCCTTCAATGGGGACTGTATATGCACAATGCCTTCGCCAACAGCGACACCTCTGGCTACACTCACTGGTGGTGCGCGCAACAGACTGACGGGGACAACGCACTCATTCGACTCAACGGAGACAGTTACGAAATTTCCTCGCGGCTTTGGGCCTTTGCATCATATTTTAGGTTTTCTCGACCTGGGTCTGTACGCATTGCTGCAACGAGCAACGTGGAAAATGTATACGTGAGTGCCTACGAAAACAAAAACGGCACTGTGGCGATCCCTATAATCAATGCTGCACATTATACATATGACGCGATTATCAACTTAGCTGGGGTTAAGGCGAGTAAGATCAGTGCATATTTGACGGACAATAGCCATAATGTTAGTTTGGTCGACCAGTTTGAGCTTCGGGGGAACACTCTCAAGGTAAATCTTGAGCCAAGGGCGATGAAGACTCTCTGGTTGGAGTGAACGAGACATTTCTCTCCAGTGGGATTGGTGGGATGGTATAGGATGGGAACACCCGCATAGGATAGGCTTAAACTTGAGCTGCAATATATTTCTGTGATAACTCCACAGTGGTGGTTGTGATCGCGCTCGCTCACAAGTCGTCCGTTCCACCATTAAAAACCCTCTGACAATTATCAATTCCTGCGACTACCCTTTGGAATGGCCGAGTATCCTCCCACTATCCCGTTTGGAAATTTATCGTTCACTTAAAATTGACTCTCTTTCATGCTTATTCCACCCATCCGATGGGTGGGCATTCTGCCCCTGACCCATGTTTTCCCATCGCATTCGGCTAACAATGCTTGACCTTTTGGTGGTTGGCGAACTTGATTATGACCACTTATTTTGGATTTTGGGTGCCACTGTGGGGCTGTCCTGAACTTAGCCTAAAGGACGCAAGTTGTGTAATCGTGGCAAGCTCCGGTGGAGGCCACATGAGCTGTTCAGGGAAAGTTGTTGTGTGGGAATCAGTAGACGTAAACAAAGCGGGGTACATCGATCCGGAGAGGGTAAATTGGTTCAAACGTGACTAGTATCGGGTAATTAAATACCCCATATGACCTCCAAAGAATGACCGAATTCGGCGAATTTCATTCTCAATTTTACGACAATTCTTAGTGGCCGATTAATGATGATACCCATTTAGGCTTCTAAGTAAGTATGGGAAGGCTTGTAGCCGTGCGGAATGCGATCTGCCGCCCCACAAAGTGGAGCACAGCGGTTTCGACTAATAGAAACAAGGATAATAAGTTCAATCTGACGAGTTACTATGGTCGTCTGTACCAATTTAGGCGCTAAAAGTTTCTGCCACGGGAAGACTTGAGTTTTGCAAACTTCTTGATTGTCTAACGTTCTCATAGTGGTCTTTATCTCTTGCAGCCCGCTCCTTCCTGCCGGATCAGGTGCACGACAACCTTCCCCAGCAACTGACACTCTACACCTACCCTACCTCATTTATGGATACCGGTCCACCAGCAGCTTTCCAAATTAATGGCAATTTCGGGGCCCCAGTAGGTAGACTTTTAGCCGTGTTCTATCTATAATAGGTCTCGAAAGCCAAAGTTGACATTAACCAACTATAGGTATTGCTAAAGCATTGGTACAAAGCCACGAACTAGTTTCAGCGACCATTGCAGATCGTAAGAATGCGTCCTCGAGCGCCGTGACTGTATCCAGTGATACCCAGCGACGCCTACCTATCTTGGCTAACCCTGAGGTAAGGATACCCTGCTTCACCTGCTGCCAGCTCTCCCTTTAACCTGGGCGGAGAACAACGGCGGATTCACTAAAGGGCTCTGCGCTGAAGGAGAATTTGAGTTCGATCTAGACTGTGATAATAATAGATGATTGACGAGCGTCAATATCACGTCTCCGGTGGGGAACCCAGTGTGGGTTACTGTGGGCAAGGATCCTATTGGGGCCGATGAAGCCAAGATGAACCTTACGCGAGGATATATTTGTGAGGAGAGTATAGGCCATGGGCAGTTTTTGTTTATTAGCATATAGAAGGGCAAATCATAGAGTGTAGAATCAGTATAGACTGCAAAAGGCTCTTTGTGTACTGTGAACAACCTCAATCAGAGGTCAGCAGCAGTATTATAAGGTCGCAAGTTTTGAACCATCCCCTCACGTACAGAATACGTAACTAGTCAGAAGGTCTGTAAATAAGCTGCGCAAGCTTGATAACGGAGAGCAAGATCTGTAGTTCTTTATTGTATCACTAAATCCACTTGCTATCACAGCTGCTATGTCTCCACTTCTTGAGTAATGTAAGCTTGTATAAGCTTACGATTTTGTGTCAGCATTCTGCCGAATAGGACCTATTCTGGGCTAGAGCCTATGACTTGAGTCATCTTTTGTTTCTACTTAATATCTCACGTATATCTATAGACAGAAAGTGCTTAAAATTATATACTTTTGGTTAAGGGGATATAGATAATTCAGAAATATGATAGATTCAGCGGAGTAAGAGGGGTAAAGCAGTCTGTTAAATAATCATTAGACCGCAGAGAGGGGTAAGCGATAAATGACAGGATTAAATGTCTTATATTGAGATAAGAGGAAAATTTTCAGCTATATAGCCTTGGTCAATATTTTAACAGATAATATAGTATATTGAAATGGGGATGGCTCGATGGCTGTCTGACGATGCAGACCGGACAACAACAACCAACGGACCACATACACACAACCAGCACTTAGCAGAGGTTGTCGTTAGGGAGGTCACAAGTATCCCGGGTGAGGCCGTGAGGCCGTACGGGTTGAGATCGTGAGACCGTGCGGGCAACCCTGAATGCAGCAATCCTAAGTGAGGCCGTACGGTTTTCCCGACTAAGGCCATATGGACTGTACTTAATACGGCATCATGAATCAAGAAAGGTAGTGACAACTGGAATGAATTGGGTAGATGCCTCTTCTATCTCTATCCTCATGTAGAAGCTGTTGCTTACGCCCAAGGTATTCATGACACCTCAGGCCGCAACTGTATTCATTATGTCATACGTTCCACCACTACAATATGTAATCAAATAAGAATAACTTAAATCTCTGACACAAGACTGACGACTGATACATGGACCTGGATGGGGAACCTGACTAACCCGATTGGGACTAGCGAGCGATTGTTCGCTGAGCTGGCAGCGCTCAACACTTAGTTTCTTCCTCAGTTTCATATCTATGAAGATGGAAGATGAATGATGATAGATTCTAGAGATGAAGCTATGGATCTAGATATCATGGAGGCTGAGGCAAGGATGCGGTGAAGAGGGGGCAATATCCCCAATTCAATGCGAACACCCCCCTCGCGCCGAGCGGGCTCCATGATAGACAAGAAGCTTTCCTGAGGCTATTTGCAACTTGCAATGCGCCTCTCTCATTGGTCGAATCAGAATGTGGTTAGAATATTAATGTTGAGCTGTGTGTAAGCGTGTAGATGTGTCAGGTGGGCTGCGGAACTGCATACAGTCCCAATTGCTTCACGAACCGCTGAAAGAGGGTCGATGCAAGTGGTTTGGTGAGGCCATCGGCAGCCTGTTCCGCAGTGGGGACGTATTGGAAGAGGCAGTCATTGGACGCAGTCTTCTCCCGAACATAGTGATATTTGACATCAATGTGCTTTGAGCGGGTGGTGAATTTGTCCGATGATGCCAGGGCAATGGTGCCCTGATTATCCTCATGAATGACTGTCGGTCTGGGCACGAGGGCTTGATGACCCAGTTCAGCAAGCATGAGTTGAATCCAGGATAAATCTTGGCAGCAGAGGCAAGCCGCAACGTATTCAGCCTCCGTGGAAGAGAGGGTGACAAGGGTTTGCCTCTTTGATTGCCAGATGATTGCGGCGCCGGCTAGCATAAAGACATAGCCGGTGGTCGAAAGCCGATTGTCGTCGTGCGGGCTTGCCCATGAGGCATCCACGTAGGCGAACAAGGCTAGACCGACTGCAGGATGCGGGGAGAAATGAAGGCATAGACGTTTGGAGCCTTTCAGATACCGGAAGACACGTTTGACAGCCTGGAAGTGCAGGGAAGCTGGGTTGTGTGAGTACTTCGCAAGCTTGCAGACTGCCCACGAGACGTCAGGCCTAGTGGACACCACCACCCACACCAGCGAACCAACTTGTTCTTGGTAAAGCTGTACCATCTGAGGGGTGGCCTGGGCACTGGAGTCGTAAGGGGGAAGGACCTCTTTCTCATTGAATGGCGTGGGAACGGGTTTGACAGAAGAGAAGGTGAACCGAGACAGAATCTTGTCGATATAGGCTTCCTGCGAGAGATAGACGTCGCCAGCGAGGCGTACGATATCTATTGCCAGAAAACGCTTCACAACACCATTGTCGGTAAGTTGGAAATGCTTTGATAGGATACTCTTAAGCAAATCGATCGCACCAGTCCCCTTAGGGGACAGAAGAAGCATATCGTCCACATGGACAAGGACATAGATGCGTTTGCCAGCATGGGTGAAGACCGAGTGGTCGGCATGGGTGCGCGTGAAGCCGAGGGATAGAAGGACGCCTTTTAGGGTATTATACCACTCCAGAGGGGCCTGCCGTAGGCCATAAAGGCTGCGCATGAGCAGGCCAACTTTGCCTGGGTGTTCGTCCTTCACTATCTCGGGAAGTTCAATTTGAATTGATTCCTTTAGGTCTGCATTGAGGAATGCTGCCACGACATCCACATGATGGCAATCCCATGAATAAGCTGCATATAAAGCCATAAAGACCTTGAAGCTCATGGGACGGGCAGTGACGGCATAGACATCGAGGAAATCCCGGCCTGGAACCTGTTGGAAGCCACGAACTACCAGCCTAGCCTTGTATGTGCCGTCATCCTTGACACGGAAGACCCAGCGTAAGGTGAGGGGTTTCTTGTTGCGTTCGCGGTCGATGATGCGCCAGGTTCCATTAGATAGATGATTCTTCAACTCCTTGTGTGCAGCTTGAAGCCATTTAGCCTTATCAGGGCAAGCCATGGCCTCAGTCCAGGTGTCCGGGGTGAAAGGGTCGCCGGGTCGAGAGGGCAATGTTTCGTCTGCCGCAGGAAGAACAGCATGCGCCATAAGGATAGAGGATTCTTCTACCTGAAGCTTATGGGTTTCAAGGGCATGCTTCGCTGCAAGACGTTCCGACCGTCGAATAAAGACGTCTTTATGCAGTGGAATGACCGGTGGAATAGGGTCCGAAGACTGCAAGCACACTTTTTCATAATCACGAAGGGTCGATGAAGGAACTGAGTGTCCAGTGTTTAAGGCTTGTTGTTTCGAATCCAAGCCCGCACGTACGGGAATAGGTGGTGTTACCTGCAAATCCCGTACTGCCCCCCTTCAATTTGTGCCTCCACTCCTTTATTTCTGTGTTGAATGTGTTCGTAAAGAGTATCGGTAATTGGTGCAAGGTAGGGGTTGAGGTCGGGGACGCTGGATGAACGGTTTCGAGGGTGTGAAGGGGAATATCTAGCCTCATTGCGGCGAGAAGTGTCAGCTTGGTCAATAAATTCATCATCCTAGTGGTCCGTATGGTCTTCAATTTGATCGATATCGTCGGTTTCGTTAGGATGATCATCATCGCCGGATGGAAGAAACTCAGCGGGGGCGAAGCGACGTCGCTGGCGCTCCATTTCGTCGCGGTTCATGGCCTGGTCGGCTGAGGGTTTGTGGACTGCATCTAGGTCATATGATGGCTTCGGTAGATCAGTGGGTGGCATTTCCTGAAAGATAACATCGCGGGAGATCACGATCTTCTTGGTTTTGATGTCATACAGGCGATAAATGCCATCTGTCTGGTAGGCAAGCAGGCGTGCTTCGGCCATATATGGATGAAGCTTGGTTTCACGGCGCTGCGATGGAATGAGATACCAGGCCTGACAGCCCAGGCCATTCAATTGATGGGCATACGGCGGTGAGGCATCCTAGGTAGTCCCTTTGGACTCAAGATAGGCTTGCAATGGACCGATGAATTCCTTGGCCTAATCACCATGAACAGACTTGACTTGATAGCCAAACTGGGTGAGAAGATAGCTTTCCACGACCTGGTAGCACTTGACGACGTCCGTACGGGCCTTCATGAGGAAGATCTAGCAGAAACGGGACGCCTCGTCGGTGATAGATATGAAGTAGGTCTCGCCTTCCTTGGTGGCAATGGAGATGGGTCCCCAGACGTCAATATGTAATGAATCACCTGGGCGCACACGAATAGACTTATCCTTACCGTACGGAAGCTGATGGCCCTTGCCAGCGAGGCATGGAGGATAGGGAGTCTTGAGGGCAGATCCCTTGATCAATTTGATGCCCTCCGCGAAGGCAGGCATGCGGCGTACACGTTGTTCGCCTGCGTGACAGAAACGGCGATGTGCGAGGTCCATAGAGATAGGTTTGACCTCCATGGGCATGGCTCGCACCACAGAAGCAGTGGCGGACGTGGTGAAGGATGCGGAGGCGTAGAAGGTCTCCAGTTGATGTTTCGAATCAGTTCGCAACTAGTAGAGATCATTGTCTGCATCTCCATAGCCTACGGCCTCTCCGGCCGGTGAGGTTAGGATTGCATGATCCGACAGCGTACAGGTGATGCCATCGTCACGGAACATCGCGCGACACGAGATAAGGGAGTTATCGAGGTCCTCGGCATGCCAGACGTTCTTCAGGATAATAGAACTAATAATTTGGCCGTCCTTGCCGAGCGTGGTTAGCTTGACGGTGCCTAGGCCTTATGTGTAGAAGCGTTTGCCGTTCGCAGCCTTCACGGGGACTCTGCAGGGAGCATACTCAATGAAAGCGTGGCGGTTAGGCGTCATATGGTGTGAGGCACCCGAATCTAGCATCCAGCGAAGTGGATTTAGACTGGCATTCGCGGTGGAGAGGGTGGAGATGTCTATCTCCAATAAGTTGACTTGTGGAGGCGTAGGCTCGTTTAACGGCTTGTTGAACGCGATGATATCCTCCATGGACACAATGGAAGTGATTTGTACGGCCGTAGTGTTGATAAACATATCCTCGGGGCTTGTAGGAAGCTCTGCGGTCGTATTTGCCGTGCTAGTTCCCTTGTTGAAGGACTTACCGGCATTTGCAGGGTTTAGGAAGCATTGTTCAGAGGAATGTGCAGACTTTCTATCGTGGTAGGTGCAATACCATTTGCTTCGGCTACCACCCCCTGATTGTTAGAAGGCTGCTGAGTTTGTTGAGAAGCTTGTTGGCTTTGCTGGCGACCAGATTAATTGTTCTGTTGTTTCTGTCGGCCAGTGGACTGTTGCGAGGACTGCTAGGAGGGGTGGGAGGACTGGGATTGCTGTTGCTGACTACCTTTCTTGGTATTGTTTGAAGAAAGGGTAGGATGCTGCTTAATGTTATTGTAACGCTGGTCTTCAGCAGTTCCAAAGTCAGCAAAGACATTCTCCATCAATCTTGGGTCCTTGAGATCGAACTTATGGACGCCCTGAAGCCATACAGTGGTATTAGGGTGGTTGCCCATAGCCCGGACGAACATAGAGTATTGGATAGCGATAGGAAGAGACTCATCGCCTAGGGCTTCGTCTACTTCCACGTAGGCTCGCTGCCAGTTAGCAATGAACTGGGCGCTTTGATAGCCTGCTTTGTAGACGGTGGACTCGAGTTTGGACCATTTAGTGGCGATAGTCTGCTGCGTGGGACGACCGTACAGCTTTTCAATGATCCTGAAGGCTTCAGATGCGTCTTCAGTCTGCTTGACATGCTGCATGGGGTCGTAGTCGAGACAAGAGATAAAGATATCGAGGACGGTGAACATGAGAGCTTCCCATTCTTGTTGTTCCTTGTTTGGTTCTTCGTAATTCTCACGAATGTAGTCTTCAAGCTCCTCAACGGAGACCGAATCAGGATAGATTGTGGTAGGTGGCTCGTCATCCTCATGTAGGTGAGAGCCCGAACGAGAGCGTGGTCGTCGTCGATGCTCACGCAACGCCCTGTCATTGTGTTCCTTTGCGATATGCTCACGAAGCGTGCGCTCGCTAGGGACAGAGCGATAAGAAGCGTATTAGGGACGATCCTCACCGATGAGGATCTCCCAGTGGCGTACGCCGCGAGACTTGAGAGCTCGCTTGAGCTTGAATAGCCAGTTGGAGTAGTTGTGTGAGCCTTTGAGCTTACCCACGCGGTCAGCGATCTTGCCGTAGTCATCTGTAGCCATTGTGGCGGTAGAGAGATGCAAGAGGAACCGAAGAAGATGCCTGAATGAAGGTCTTTGATGAATTCGATAAAAATTGCCTCTGAATGAGGTCGTTCAATGACAAAAGTCCTCACTCGACACTCGCAGCGACGGCGAGGTCGGCGACGGCGAGGTGGAAAAAGCACTGGTGAGGGGTGTTGGACTGTTGTTAAACAGCCTCAACAGAGCAGAGAGCTCATAACCTATGAAGATGGAAGATGAATGATGATAGATTCTAGAGATGAAGCTATGGATCTAGATATCATGGAGGCTGAGGCAAGGATGCGGTGAAGAGGGGCAATATCCCCAATTCAATGCGAACAATATCTTCGTTGAATACTACGTGTTTCATGCATTTTTGATTGTAATAGAATCCGTGGTTTGAATGAAAATTAAAATCTAGTTTTCCGTTGAAATATAGTGGTAGGCTTTGCATGGAAATACATATTGAAAAGGGGATGGCTCGATGGCTGTCTGACAATACAGACTGGGCAACAGCAACCAACGAACAACACACACACAGCCTGCACGTAGTAGAGGTCGTCCTAGGGGAGGTCGCGAATGTCCTTGGTGAGGCCGTGAGGTCGTACGTGCAATCCTGGACGCAGCAATCCTAAATGAGGCCGTACGGTTTTTCCCGACTGAGCCCGTATGGAATGTACTTAATATAGCATGTTGAATGAAAGAATGTAGTGACAACTAGAATGAATTGGGTAGATGCCTCCTCTCTCTCTATCCTCATGTAGAAGCTGCTGCTTACACCTAAGGTATTCTGTCGGAATGTTTTATATGCAACCAATCAACGATATCAAAAGCTCTGTTCTTGTATTACCCCTGATTCTGCCAATTTATAGGGGGATTCTAGATTACATAAGTAATAAACATGAAGGATAACGTGGTTCACAAGCGAGTGACGCGCCCAAGCGAGTGACGCACCCACCCATTTTTTCGCGTCTCCGCGCGTCCATTCATCTTCTATTAAGCACCATGCCTCCAATTCGCGTCAGATCAAGCCAAGATTCTATCCAGCAAGAGGGCCGTATATCAATTGCTATACAGGCTATTCAGAATAAAGAAATCAGTTCTATACGCGAGACGGCACGTCGTTTTAATGTGCCTGAAGCTACGCTCCGCCGTCGACTACGCGGTACTACAAATCGCGCTGACACTCGCGCAAATAGTCTTAAACTGACAGATATTGAAGAAGAGACGCTTCAAAAACGGATTCTATCGCTCGATCTACGCGGAGCAGCCCCTACACAAGCTCATGTACGAGATATGGCGAATATTCTTCTTGCAACGCGCGGTTCTACCCCCATCCAGACTGTTGGCAAAAATTGGGTATATAACTTTATTAAACGACGCCCAGAACTTAAATCTCGCTTTTCCCGACGATATAATTATCAGCGAGCAGAACAAGAGGATCCAAAGATCATTCGAGCGTGGTTTGACCTCGTACAAGCCACAATTCAGCAATACGGTATCCTACCAGACGATATCTATAATTTTGATGAGACTGGCTTCGCGATGGGCCTCTGTACGGCCCAAAAAGTGATCACTCGATCAGAATACTACGGTCGGAGATCAGTTTTACAGCCAGGAAACCGCGAGTGGGTGACTGCGATCGAGTCAATAAACGCTTCGGGGTGGGCGCTTCCACCAACGCTTATCTTTAAAGGCAAGCTATATAATCAAGCATGGTTTAAAGACCTTCCACCCGACTGGCGCTTCGAAGTCAGTGCAAATGGATGGACAACCGACGAGATAGGCCTTCGCTGGCTTCAAAAACAGTTTATTCCGTCAACAAATCATCGTACGCGTGGACGATATCGCCTTCTAGTCCTTGACGGACACGGAAGTCATCTAACGCCAGAGTTCGATCAAATCTGCGCGGATCATGATATTATTCCGATCTGTATGCCGCCGCATTCCTCGCATCTACTTCAGCCTCTTGATATCGGATGTTTCGCTATATTAAAGCGTTCGTACGGCAGTTTAATCGACCAAAAGATGCGGCTCGGGATTAACCATATCGACAAACTTGACTTCCTTTTCACATACCCACAAGCTCGCGTCGACGCCTATAAACCAACTACAATACAAAATAGCTTCCGAGCAGCAGGACTAGTGCCAATTGATCCTCAACAAGTGCTATCAAAGCTAAATATTCAACTTCGGACACCGACACCTCCTACAAGCCGCGGTAGTCAATCAAGCGCGTTTTACCCACATACGCCCGCGAACGTCGACGAGCTTTTGAAGCAAGCATCCTCAATTAAAGCTTTCTTAAAGCGACGCTCAAAAAGCCCGCCATCGCCTTCGCAAACCGCGTTAAACCAGCTTATCAAAGGCTGTCAGATCGCAATGCAAAACGGTATCCTTCTCGAGCAAGAAAATAAGCAACTACGTGCCGCAAACGCTACGCAAAAGCAAAAACGTGCTCGCAAGAACAGATGGATAGCCCACGATAACGGTCTATCCGTACGAGAAGCATTAGAGCTCGAGGAAGCTCATGAAGAGCCCCCTCAGGTAATACTAGCTCCACTAAGCCTACTACCGCGGGACACACCAGCACCGAAGACGCGTCGTCCACCTCAATGCACTAATTGCGGAGTGATCGGACATAGAAGGAATGCCTGTAAAGCTAGAGATTAATCAATATAAAGGCGTTGTGGTTGATTAATATGCATAAAAGTGTAGAAAATTTGGGTGGGTGCGTCACTCGCTTGGGCGCGTCACTCGCTTGTGAACCACGTTAATTATATCTCCGGTCCACCGCGGTATTCGTATTGACATATTCGTGACACCTCAGGCCGCAACTGTATTCATTATGTCATGCGTTCCACCACTAACGTGGTCGGTAAGCGAGTGAGCCATGTAAGCGAGTGAGCCACTCCAAAACTCCATAGTAAATGCAATAATTTAAGAACATCATTCTCAACAATCACAAGTTTTTTCCACTCTATCTTCCGTATCATAATTTTTTTTTTGAGCATGAGAAGCCTATTATAAGAGTCTAGGTCAATTTATTATGATTTGACAATATTGATAAAAATTATACTGTAATTTAACGTTTTGAGCTTCAAGAATATGTCAGCTAATCACCACCTCCTGAAATTTATCGAGACTTTCAAAGTACGTCAGACTCAACACGAAGAACATAAATATACAGGAAGGCTCCACGATAAGCTATGGTTGTGGAGATATTAAGTTGTAATCTATCGCATTTACTATGGTGTTTTGGGGTGGCTCACTTGCTTACATGGCTCACTCGCTTGCCGACCACGTTACAATATTTTAAAGCCTTACCTCATAGATATTGATGTACACCCTTGACATCAATAGTAGTTATCTTATTAACTTACGCGAGACCGACAAAATCAATAATAAAAGCATATGAACGATACTATTCTACAAAAATACATAGGGGAAGGGTAAGTTAGTCGTATGCGTTTTGACGGGAAAAGCTATAAATGACAGTAAATAACCAAGAAAGTTTGCGGCAAAATTATGCCATATTAGGCTTCTATGGGGATTAGGGGATGAGGATAGGAACCACTCATATTCAAGCAGTATGGGGGACCGTTCTATCTAGACCAGTCCTATGCTAGGATAGGGATAGGACTTGGGACCGACACTGGTCCTATAAGAGACCTATGCAGATCTCTGGCTTCGGTCGGGGCCCCTTCTTCCAGCAACATAAGAAAACCGGTGCTCAATAGAGATGGGTGGCTCCATGATCTCCACCAGTTCCAAGGTCCGTGCATTCCCTAATACCCCGCTATCCCCCAAGTCTACAACGGCAATAACTGCCGAAAGGTATTGTGAGGGAAAAGCTACAGGACATGCCCTCTCGTATCTATCAGGAATACCAACACAGGGAATACTTGGCCTTAACTCCTCTCACTACGTTCTTTCCATGCAAAATTCCACAGTACGTCAATCGTCCTATGGCGTGTCTACTCACCCATATTGAGTGCGCCAAATGCATGTATCCAGCAATTGAATATAGTCTGACAAGAGCATTCTGATCGCCTTTTGTTTTACACATAGTCAGACCTTTTGGAAAATGCTCGTACATTATTGTGTCAGGATGGAGAAACATCGTGCTGACTAGTACTAGGATTATCCGGTTGAGGTTAAAGATATCGAGCGGTGGAATATTGTATCTACTGTGGTTTTTCGGTTATCCAGCTCGCTCGTCGGTCCAAATCGCTACTTAATTACTTCAGACCGCTAAAATCAATAATATGCTATTGTCATTGAGCAACACATGGTCGAGCCGTGCCAATTCAACTCATTTGTAGAAAATATTAAAGAATATCTGCAATTCTAATGCAACGGTGACCCCAATCATAGCACAAATTGCAGACCATCGAGTAAGCCCTCGCCGGATATGATACCGAGCAATTTGGTCAATTGCAGCCCCATCGTTGATCCGAGGGAACGGCTTATCCTTGGGCACCTCCTTATCAAGTGCCTTACACAGCGGCTCCCATCCATCTTTGACATCAAAAAACATCAAGCGATCCTCAGGCACCACCTCTTTCAACCAAGCAATGTGCTGTTCATATATGGTGCAATTAGGATTCGTAGTTCCATAGATCTTGACCCACTGCTTTTTCAGCAGACTGATATAATGCACGAAATGTCTCATGCCCGGGAGTGGAAGAAGGACTCCACGCAGAAACCACAGCAGTGCCATGTGATGGATCTGAGACATAGATTCCTCCCAAGATACTGGATCGCGGGTTGTGCAGATGACCTTGGCGTTGGGATACATTTCCATCAATTCCTCGAAGAGTTGAGAGCAAGGTGCATCGGTTACTGCGGTAAACCCGTCGAGTCTGTGCCGTATAAGTTTCATTGTTGTGAGTCTATCTGCCCCCTTATCATCTAACCAATATTGCAGAATCCGGACCCAGGATTTTATCTCGATCGGAGGACCCATCGTTATTTGTGTTCCACCATGGTAGACAGGCCCATCCAAGATGGTTTCCAATGCAGCGCTGAATGATGCTGTCCCAGTACGCGATAGCCCGGCGCCAATCACTTGAAAGCGGGCCCCTGGTCGGGGGACGGATGGGTTTTGACCCATATCGCGATACTTTGGGTGGCTTGACGTGTGTTATATATGGTGGTAGAGTAGTGATAGAGCAGGCAGGGTAAATTAACAGATTCTTCGCGTTCTTGGGATCAAGCTAAGGTACGGTTTTCTCTTGGCTCATCGTGGAACGGCGAGACTTGTGTTCAGGCCCCCACTTATTAATAACATGGCCAGATCGATGAAGCCCACTATTTTACGTAAATCACCAATGAGTTAGAGACATGAGCGAGCTGGACCCGGGGAAGGTGGTGGGACGAGTAAGGTCAAATACCGGCGGTGGGCGATTGGCTAGGCTATTAGACCGTGGGGGCCAAGGGAAAATGGTCTCACCTTTCTCTTTTTTCACTTAATTATTATCTAATTTACAGTGTTGCCGTCCTTCAACTGAGCTAGGCTTTCAAGGCTACAGAGGGCTCGGCCTTTAACACTCCAAATCTAGAATAGTCATGAGAGTGAACTTTACGAAAAGGAATACATATCAACCGTATGATTTTAGCTAGGATGGGATGATTTACGGATAAATCAGTTTCTAATCATGTTAGTCGGCTTGGGTTCGTAAATTTGCAAAGGCGGGAAAACGGTACCTTCCACAAATTCAGACCTCAGATCATCAATGTCTGATCATACCAGAAACAACCCGGCTAGTTCTTGCTATCGCAACTTGATTTGCACCGTCAATAAATGGAGCCAACTCGCAATAAGTCTCAATATATGTGCAATCTCCAGTAAAGCTTGGTGCTAGGAAACGGTCAGAAAAAGGGAATTACAGGCCAAGAACAGAACAAGTTGGTGCTAACTACTCTGGACTTTCATATGTTTGTGGTTGAGCTGGCTTTTGTGTAACGAATCTCGTATTCCAATCTGAGCCCCGCTCGGTGGGGGCTATGTATTCATGTTCGATTCAAGCAAGGTTTGACGTATGATGGGACCAGAGATTTGGTCTCCAATGTTACTCATTTTGGAGGTCGTTCGGCGGGATAGTTAAGCTCCCAACCCTGTTGTGGTCATGAAGCGTAGTGCGAAAGGGGCCAAAACATATGGTGAACTAGCCACAACCTCATAATGGCTTGCCAGGTAAGCCAATCGCAAAAATATTGAAAACGAGAAGTGTGTACTCGCCGAAACAATTTTTGGGCCAATTATCCGAAATGTCCGTTCTATGTTGCGATGGAAAAAGCTTTCTGGGCTGAAAACGAGGCGTTGACCGTCGACACCCATCTTGGGCTGTTCCACTCCTAGCGCCATATGACGTAGCTAAGACCAACAACAATACGGGATAGCAATCGTGTGATATCTTTCATGAGGTTCTGCCCACTTGCTTACTTGCACATCGCACATCTCACGGGAACTATTGTGAAATTAACTTTCTTTGATTTTCTGGTAGCCGACAATTATTAGGCATCGGAAAAGTATTACGTTGAAATGAAAGGAGATTTAAGAAGAGACTTGCGCTAAGCATTTTCTAATCATCGTGAATGGATTGAACTAATTTACGGTAGATTCAAGTACTTCATGTCTGACATTCGTCAAGCGTTGTCAATCGCCAGTCTAACTTAGTCAACAATGAGCATAAGAAGGATAAAATCTGGATATTGTCTTCTTGGCACAGAAGGTTTATGGTATGATTAGAACATTCGCCAGATTCACAGAAGATTCAGGAATCATAGGAGCCAAGATGGAGAATTAATTATAGTAAGGAAGAATGACGGAAGGGGAAGGGCGCCATCCAAGGGGCATATCACACCGATAGGTCAGGTTTTCAAGAGATGAGTCCTAGCAAGATTCACGTTACTTCCTACTCGACCTGGGTAACGGTAGTCTCCTTCTCAACAGATTTTGACACCGGTGCGGTCCCTTCCTCCGCGTGCAAATTGGCCAACTTGTCCGATTGGATAGTGCCCAATTCGAGCTTTCGCACATGTTGAAATTCAACCTTGGTTTGCCAGGGCTTGAGACCAGGGGTATTGAACATGGTCTCGACGTCCTCTAGGGTCTTACCGGCGGTCTCTGGGAAACAAAAGAAGACGTGCACGGTCATGGAGAAGCAAAAGACGCCAAAAACCAAATATGTTTTCCACTGAATGTTTTCAAAAGCCGGAGGCACGAAGTAGGAAAGAGCAAAATTGAAGATCCAGTTGGAAGAGGTCGCGAGTGCCACGGCCTTGCCACGCAAACGCAATGGGTACAGCTCGGGTGGGTAAATCCAGCTGACCGGGCCCCATGTGGGTGCATAGCTCGCCACAAACAGGTACGTACAGGCGATGACACCCTTTGCAGCCATGGGGGCCTCAGTCAGATCCCAGGACTGCTCGGGTGTGTGATTCAGACCGCCCGGTGGGGCTGGCTTTCCGTAAGACGCCATGATGCCGCCGTTAGCGAACATGAAGATCATCATGAGAGTGGATCCGACCAGTAGGGGGGTACGACGACCCCAGCGATCGATAAAGATGAGGGCGAAGATAGTCATAACGACGTTGATGACATATTGAATAGACGAGGCAACGAGATTGGCGTTACCCGACAGGCCGGCCATACCGAAGACGTATGTAATGTAAAGCATCATGACGTTCATACCTGTGAGCTGGGACCAGATCTGTGTAAACATACCGATGTGGGTCCGGTAGATCATGTTGGGCTTAAAAAGATCGAAGTACGAGGCATCCGCGTTATGACGCTCAAACTCAACCATTTCGCGGATCTCCTGCAACTCAGTGTGGACAAAGGACGCATTACGGTCACCCTTGGCGTGAACGAGCGCCAGAACCTCGTGTGCTTCCTCCCAGCGGTCGTGCTTAGCCAACCAACGCGGCGACTCGGGCAGCAGAAAGACCATACCAAAGAGGAAAATGGCAGGGAGCATCTGCAAGCCCCAAGGGGTACGCCAGGCAGCATTTCCAGTCATGAAGCTGCACCCGTAGGAGACGTAAAACATGATGAGGATACCCCAGGTGATAGCCCACTGCTGGGCACCGACGACAGTGCCACGCTTACTAGGCTGAGCCAGTTCGGCGACGTAGACGGGAACCTGGGCGCTGAGGATACCGACGGAGATACCGTTAATGAAGCGGCCTACAACAAGCTGAGGAATGCCAAAGGAGGAGCAGACGATAGCACTTCCGATGCACCAAATGAGGGAGCCGACCTGGATGGAACGCTTTCGGCCCAGCCAATCGGTCAGGATACCAGATATGAGAGCACCGACAAAGGATCCACCGGGCATAGATGCCGAGATGCCACCTTGATTTGCGGAGGTTGGACCGCCGCACAGTCCATCGGTGGTGCCGGTCTGGTTGAAAAAGCACTTATACTGCTGGGTACCGAGACTTTAAGAGAATTAGCAAGAGCCATGATAGATTCAAGAACAAAATGGGAGAAATAGTAAACTCACATAGCAGACATTGAAGCGATGTCAAAACCAAAAAGTGCACCGCCAGTGACGGCCACCGTGGTGATGACATAGATATTTCCAATCACGTAGCCCATAATGGAGGCTAAAGCGAAGGGTGGTACCCGAATGTATGTTGAGGAAATTAATGAATCAGAAGTGACTACTAGGGGGAGGGGGGTTGAAGATATATGGAAGGAGAAAAGTTGGCTCCACTTTTCTTGCTTTTATTGTTGCTGTTTTTCGCCTTTTTTGCGGATATGCGGGGTCCAACCGATGGAGTCTTTCCCCACGAAACACTAAGTTGCTAGTCACTAAGCTGCTAGTACCACGCGTATCTGGAGCAGGGTTCTCTATAGGTGCCCTACTGCCCTACTTGGAACCAGGAATTAGACACGTAATATTCGGGATACAATAACAAACCTTCCAGAGCTCGCTCTAAAGCTGCCCGACGCACCAATCAACTTTCAACGGTGCGGTCAGATTCCCCAGATTTGTCCCGATTTTGGAACGAAATTAATCCCGAACCAATTTAAATCGAATACGAGCTAGTGCATACTACTTCAGGTGTCGTCTGCGATGCCACATGGTTTCATCGCGCCACCCATTCAGTGCACATTAACCCTTCTATCTTAATTACTCAATATTTTTGCTGTTGTTGGAAAATTCCCCTTCGTCAAAGCCTTTTGTCTCCAGCGGTATGTCTTCCATGGCTTTTTAAACACTATCCGATTTCCGATTTACTGGTTTGATTAGTGCTAAGGTCAGTGGCATTCGAGTTACTTGATGTCGATGCGAAATGGACTAGACTTGACGGTCTTCGAACGCAACTGCCAAGCTGATGGCATATGATCCGTTCCCCTCGGCCCCCCTCTTTCCCCGGACGACCCCCTTTATTCCCCCTTTAGCGTTTCACGGTGCTAAATCTGTATAGGATCGACGATGGCAAACTTCGACCAGAATTCGGTTATCCAGCCACTGAGCCAGTGGCTGCCGTCTACAACCTCTGATCTTGATGCAACCCGACTCGCTCAGAACAAGATATTTCAGATCCCGTGTCGCCTTTGCACCCGAACTGGCTGTCACGCCATACGCTACTGGACCCCTGATACTACAGACTGACTAGCAGCTTGTCCGTGTTGATTCTCCGTATATGCCATGAAGCCTGGAAACCTTCCTAGCCGTGGGTCATATGATATTTTCCGGTCATCCCAGAGTCCCACGACCACGCCAGCGAATGGGCCTTCAACCCGCACAACTTGGCGCATCGACAGAACGCCACCCGCCGGTTCAGGCTGGGGGCCGCGTCCACTATCGCTATTTGGTGGAACGCGTTTGCAGACAAGACGCTAAGTGGGGGCTCACTACCACCTCGGTGCCAGCCACCGGAGATGATCTGGAAAAGTGCCGCATCCGAAAAAGGTAAATAGTCAAAGTCACGTATTGAAAAATAGAGTCCCCGTGCTTAGATATTGCCGAGCTAACCGATCATCTATCTTGTTGTACACTTTGATGCCGTCTTCGCGGCTTGTGGTCAGTACTGTGCGTCGTACTTACCCAAGATTCCAAAACTCCGTGCTTGGAGGGACCTATTTCTCGATCGTAGCACAGACTCCAAATCTTAACCTTACCGACGGCCCCAAAATCACGCGGGCCTAGTGATTTTAATTTTCCGATGCGGTCGGCACAAAGATTGCAAAGATGTAGTCACATGTACTTTGGCAACTGAATACATATGCCTACGAATGATTTTACACATACTGCACCCAAGATTAAAAAAAGTGATAAGTTACTATAATGGATCTTGGTTATTCACAGGTACTCCATAGGCAGAAAGGGGCACTCAAGCATTCGAGTGCGAGAGCTACATATTGTGTCAATATATGCACATACACCGAGCCAGAATGAAAGAAGATACTGAATAAAGAAAGGAGGGAAGAAAGCGATAAGGATGAAAAGAAGAAGCTACAATCTATCTAGAAAGCCAGAGGGAAAGCCAGAGGGCAAAGGTGGTGAGACAAAACAAATTACCATGGGTAAAGCAACTGGCCCTTCACCCACGCCAGGCACTACTAAAGAATTTTCTTTTTGAAATTCTGATTGTTTCGTGTTTGTCTCGGTCGCTAAGCCTGGAATAAAAAACCGTCTGTGCTTTTAGCCTTCGATTCAGGAGGCTCCTTCACTTCCCTTCCATTTTTATTCCTTGGGTGTATTGATCCTTTCTCTAGGCATTTTAGACAATTGGTCAAGTATTAGAACATCACCTCAACTCAATTCTCGTGAGAAATTACTATCGTTGTGATAATCCTTGTCGGGAACCGAGGAGCCGTCTTTACCACGGGATGCCCATTCCGCGAACCTCGAACTAGCGACCACAATAGATCCCCGGGGCCTCAATCTCTTTCTTGCGATCAATTCACGTAAATAATGGAAACAGATTGCAGCCTCGTGCATTTTCTAAATTGAATCCTGGTAGCAGTGGGTGCAGAATACCAGTGGAACAATAAGCTTGATTTTGAAAGAAGCCTGCCCCTCGATTATGTTAACTTGTTCAGCCAAAGGAGCGCAGAAGGATTTTTGTACCTAGTGTCAAGACTTAGCTTTCAAGATAGCAATAATGTTTGTGAACTCAATCGCTTGGCCAGTGCCAGAGCCCCTTCCGTATTCTCTCCCTTGAAGGATATAGTGGAGCAAAGAAAAATTCAACGGAGTACACATGTGTTTACGGCCACCCGGTGTCCACGCCCAGCCCGGTGGTTTCAGACACCGGCCAATCTCTTCGCCTAGAGCATTCTACCAACAGATCAATTAGAAATAGCGGTCTTCTAGAAAAGGCCGTTCTAATCTGGCTCTACACGCCCCACTGATAGCCGATTTGTCGTCAGATCTCTTTCTTACTCTTTTTTCTTTTCTTCACTCCCCATAACTTTAGGAGATCCTGGGACATTGTTGCTCCTTTCAAAGATTCTCCGTTATGATGCTATCGATTTTTATGGGTTTTTCAAAAACAGGGGCCCAGTAGGAGACCTGGCCGGGCGCTTCTTTTGTTCTATTCCACTATGGGTCCGACACTACTTAACGAGATTCTTTTCATGGTGGGAGAGCAGCTCGATAAACATGAAGATCGCTGGAACTCGATATTCGTCTGCCGGCATTTTCACAAATTTTCTTGTCGCTCTTATATGGAAAGGCTGGACTCCACAACTGGCGTGATATGAGGCCCTTCGTTCATGTCATCATTGAGCAAGTCAGACTTGGGACTTCGGTTCGAGAGCTCGATTTGCGGGGTTGGAAGATATATATCGTCTCAGTCGAGGAATGGAAAGATATTGAGAATGACTTGGTTCTGAAAATCCTGGTCAAGAAATCGTCGCATTCAATTGAAGAGGCCACAATGGCAAGAGAGCCTAGGAAGGGCCATGGACATGCATGGATTGCACTAGCCCTTCCTTTGTTGACTCATCTCCAGAATCTGCAATTAATATACGCTACAAGAAATCATTTTGTTAATCTCACCATGCAACGGGCAGTCCATGGTGAGAAGTCACTCCACAAAGGGACTGCTTTCCAATACCTACAAGGAGTTTCGTGTCAAAGAGTTGGCCACATGGACCCCCAAGGGATTCCGATAATACCCAACCACCCTCGGCTGCACTGCTCATGTTGTTCTTCCACTTTCAATCCATGCGTACAATCGATGCCGATATGTTGATAGACTCGAATTCAGTCACCAGACACTCCAAAAAAGGGGTTGGCTTCTCTCCGGTTTCTGAAATCAATTTGCGTGCCAGTTGCGGTGACCAAGGAATGGAGGACCTGATTTTTTTTCAAAAAAGCAGCATTCTAACTCCTACATTCACTCCCAAGGTTATCAACCAAAAGCCTTCCATCGCTCGTTAGCTCGGAGCAGGGAAACTCTACAGGCGCTATGGCTAGACCACTGCGGTAGTCGCTATTCCTTCACAGCCGCTAGTTTGAGCCAAAACTATGAAGAATGGTTTAGACCACTATCAGACTTCTACGCTTGCAAGAAGTTCGCATTCGGCTGCTGAACCTTCTCGATGTCCGATTCCAAAGCGACCCAACCCCGCCTCTCGCCAATGTCTTCCTCGGTCAATTGAAACTCTGTATATCGAATGCTACGAGGATCGCCATTTAGCCATGCTAGTATCCCAGCTCCACGGCGCTCTCAACAATTACTTGACCTGCGTGCCCAAGCTCCAGCGGATAGATATTGAAGGGCCATTTCAAAACACCCCGGCCGACGATTCTGGCGATGCCAGCTCCACAAGGATAGAAATGATCAACCACACTATCAAAAATAAGGATATACAAGCCACGGAACCCCTCCATATGAGTTGTATCGCTTTGGGGGTTGAATTCTGCGTCCACGACCGCGCATTCACTCAGAACTTGCAAGTTTGAGCCCCTTTTTTATCTGATTTGCAGTATCTTTATCACCTGCTTTGTCGCGTTGTGGAGAATGTTTCGAGTTGCGCCTTGTGACAAAATTCGCCTCATTGACATACGGCAGGGTCAATTTACATAGCCCCAAGGAGAGTGGTATAGATTTGGTGTTGATGCAAGTATATTACAGCTTTCAATGAATCAATTATGGCTTTCTTTCAGCTCTAGTGACACAGTCTTTCATATTTGTCTCATCTCGAAAAGTGCGGTCGCAAATTATTCTGGAATTGCTGCTGGATTCACAGGTGGATTGGCAGAAGTATGCACGCAAACTCGTCTCATTACAGGGAAGCAAGAACGGCACCAGCGCCAGATTTCTGTATCATGCCATTAGGCTTAGCATTGATTTGAGGAATCATGGATTCGGAGCTTCTGCTTGGCGTTCTTACCGTGACAGCACCCCTCTCGGTTTCGATCTGGGCGTAACCAACTTTGCCGTGGTCGATAACGAGCGCATACCGGCCAGTGCGGCCAGAAGCACTATCAGCCCAGCCAATACTGTGGGAGAATTTGGCCTCTGGGTCAGAGAGGAATAGCTATTCCGCATATTAGCTACCGTGTCGACACGCGAGCAAGATAGCCTCATATACTTACAATCTCATTGCCTTGCACTCTATTTGCCTTGCTCCAGGCGTTCATCACAAATGGGTCATTGAATGCAACTACTGCCACAATATCTACACCCTTCTCACGGAGCTTTGGCAGGTTCTTGATGTATCCAGGCATGTGGTTCACGGAACAGGTCGGGGTAAAAGCACCTCAAGTGATAACGCGCAAGTCAGCAATCAAGTTTGTAACCATGAGAGGCGATGTTGAAGCTTACCAGGCACAGAAAAAAGGACAACTTTCTTGTTCGCCCACTCTTTAGAAGCATTGTAGTTGACCGGGATGCCGCAAGCGGCAATGTCCCCGCTCCCCTCGGACAATGGAATGTACCTAATAATGTTAGCGGCGCCTTGTTGTAGCTCCAATGGTTCTCACTTGAAGATCACGTCACTAGGGAACGCGTCGCCGGGCTTGAGAGTAGTCATTTTGAGAATGTATTGTTTAAAGCTGAGATAGCGAAGAGAACCAGAGAAAGAACAACGTGAGGCAGCCGACAGCGCTGCCTCCCGGCGGGAACCTTGGCTGATTAATGTGAGGTGATCGGAGCTCCCCGATGATGTGTCTAGCCGACCGATCCTGCACATAGCGTCAAGATTTGGAGGATATAATGTGTTCATGGTCATCAAGGTGCCAATTTCTGTCATATTAGCAGGCAAATCTTTGCTCGACATGGGCTTTCCATTGAGCCCGCTTCAGCTGTCATTGACCTTGAGATCTCTACCTCGATCTAGAAAAGTTTAATTAAAAAGACAACTACCTCAATCCTGTGAAACTCACAGATGAGTATTTTCTTGGCCAGCAGAGCTAATGTTTGCGACCGTAGCCAGTTATTGTTACCGCATGGAATGGAGGGAGTGGCTTCAATCTTCATCCGCTGCGATTGGACAGCTCCAGTTAGAGAGCACGAGTTCTACCTAGTTACTGACCGATAGAGTCAGGTTCTGCAAGGCTCCAAAAAATCTCCAATCTTGAAATATAGGAAAGTCGCCGTGTGTATATAGGCACTTAAATAAATGCTGGACTTCATTTTCCAGTAATAGTCCCATGGCGTACCCACACCGCTCCGGGTGTTGGTCTGATAGGGCCTAACGTGAGTTCAAGGCCCAACGTGTTAATCTAGCTAGTTAATACTACTTACTACTAGTGATTTAGGCGCTTAGTGGTGATAGGGCGCTACGTATGAGTTAACCGACCCTAGAGACGCGCCCGTAGCCGGGATATAGGAACGTTGAACTTACGCGCTAGCGATGCGATTCTCGCATTTTTTCGAGCTCTGGCGGCCAATTCATGGTGACGGTGGAAAAATAAAGCTGAATAGCTTCAAATGTTACATTGGGCCCTGAACCTACGTTGGGCCCTGGCGGACTAACACCCGGAGCGATATGGGTACGCCATGGGACTGTTATTAGCTTCTAGGCTAGAAGCTCCGGCATATTAAAAATGACTCCGGTCTGTCGGCGTGGGGTATTGCGGGGACAGCAGTCGCGGGTAATTGATCATCCATTGTGCTTTTTTAAGGAGCAACCACCGAAAGCTTGGAATTAAATAAATATCCTGTCATCACAACGCTACCATGGTGTTGACTGACTGGGCTTCGTCGAAAACAAACGGATTTGGCATTGCCACCTTATCCCTTGGGAACTGGAGAGAGCATCGACTTGAGCCTCGCGTTGAAGCAGCCGCCAAGGCTGGCTACAAATGAATTGATTTGTTTGATAAGTGCTGGGCGGCCTATTTAGAGGAGAATGGGCTACCGGGAGACCAGTTGTGGGAGACAACACCGCAAAATCTATGTCTTGCCCGACAGCTAGGCGACCTGGTCAAGTCAATGGGTATGCGCATTACCTGCACACAGCCTCTTCGTCAAATCGAAGGAGTGAAAGATCCAGCCGAACGTCGTGCCAACATTAGCCTGGTTGCAAAGCGCTTTCCATTCATGCAAGCCTTCGACACCGATCTCGTGTTCATGTGTGCTAATATTCGCACCGACAGCGGTGTGACCTCGGATCTCAAGACCGTCGGCCGGGACCTGGCAGAGTTTGGCGACATGGCTACCTCGTTTTCCAACGCAGATGGAGGGCGCATGCTAAGATAGGCTATGAGGGTCTGTCTTGGGCAACGCGAAATACTTGGTCGGCGTCATGGGAAGTAGTGCGATTCGCTAATCGTCCGAATGTCGGTCTAATTGTTGACGCCTTCAATATCCTCGCGGTTGAGTTTGCAGACCCTTACAACCCTGCCGGCCACGGGAGGATTTACCAAACACTGGAAGAATCTCTCGAGGTTCTAATAGGCTCCCTTTCATCTTTTGTAATGACTGTTCCCGGAGACCGGATCTTCTTTTTCCAGTGCGGCGACGCGGAACTGATGGACCCAATTATCTTTCAACCTCCTACGGACCCTAAGGTCCCAGCTCTTCTTCCTTGGTCAAGAAGCCATCGCTTGTATCCGCTAGAACAATCAAGAGGTGGTTATATGCCGGTCGAACTGGTCACAGCTGCCGTCCTTGCGACCGGTTACAGAGGACCAATATCGCTCGAGGTCTTCAATGAGTCATTAAACCGACCTGGTGAATTTATTCCCCAGTATCATGCTATGCGTGGTATAAATAGTTTGGAAAGGCTCACTGAGGTGGCTATGGCTCTTTATCCTTTTTGGCAGAGCAAAGCGAATGCTCAGAAAGCCTTATCCCAGGTACTTTTGAGGCTACAAAGATCATGACCAAAAATTGATACAGTCATATATATTAAATATCACGTTATGCCGTACGCTCAATGCAATCGATTCCATAACCATTCGTGACTTTTAGTCACGGCCATCTTAGAAGACACCATCAAATCCGGGTCCAAAAATCTCACGGAACAGATCATCAAGCCCATCCTCGAGGAAATGGTCTTGTAAGAACAAGCTGCTTGTCGAGCAAGCAAATTGATCTCCCAGATTAAATGATGTGCAATGTCCGTTCTGAGACATTTTCTCTCCCTGCGGTTCGAGGGTGCCTCTACTGTTGCGAGTGGCATTACCACGGCGAAGACCTATTTGCAGTTCCTCCTTGAAATCTCCGGCTTTCGTACGGAGAATTTTCATAAGATGTTGCCCATATAGAGCTGCGATTCCATAACGATGCGATGGTGTCGCGCCGGCACGTTCCAGCTGAAGGGCGACCTGGCCTAGGAAGGCAAACAGCTCAGCCTGATCCTCAACCCGAGGACCATAAATTGTGGGGAACACTTTCAAAGCCAATACTGCAGCGTAGGATATAATTTCCCAGGTGGGTGCAAGCATCGCGTAAAGTGGTTCTCCGACAGCTTGTAAGTTGTGCACGGCAATTTCGCACGTATTGACCGCTGCCTCAAAAGAATCTTTTCGGAGGGCATCGACGTTGTGGCTTCCGTTGATTTTGCAATGAAGGGCAGTATATAGCGTCCAAAATCTCCCATGCAAATAGACATACCGTAGAAAAATCTCGGATAGCTGTTCAGTTGGCGAAGAAGACAGGTTGATTGTTGCATGAGGAAGCCAGGTGCTGCACCACATTTCAAGACTATTATCAATCAGATTCCGTACACAATGGGGATCTTGATGGGAAAATAGTGCTTGAGACTGTATCTCTGTTTGCAAAGAAGGTAGATTTCTTCTCAACACAATAAAGGTATGTCTGTCCGTGGAATCTGCCAGGGGGTGTAACAACCAACTTTCGATGCTGCTGGTCAAGGGGGTTTCTGGGAAGCTGTGAATGAGACCATATGCCACACAATTGGCCCTTTGCCACAAAACAATCCTCAGCCAGGTTCGTTCACAGTTGCGAATCAATCGTTGGCTGTACATAGACGCGTCCCATTGACATGTATCGTGACTTCGCGCTTCCTCCTCGGTTGCCGAAGGCTCCAAGTCTTGCATTTGCGAAACCCTTTCTCTGCTAAAAGTACCCTGGTCTAATCTAAACTCCGTAGCCACGCCGAATGCATACATCATATATAGCCAAGAACGCTCTTCTGTCAATGTTTCTGCAGGAGTAGCTGACAGCAGAGAAATATAATACCCTTGAACGATTTCGACAGATTTGAAGCCACGATTATGCACATCTTTCGATAGTCTTTCACCATGTAGGCGCAGCCTCTTAGCAATCGATTAAAAGCATGATCAAACTGTGAAGTGAGAGCTAGAAGCCACGTAAGTAGCAAGGCAGACCGAGAGCGAACAAAATCCGGCGTATGGAGAACCGGATCAAGGATACCATTTATTGGGTGTAATCGTGTAAAATAGCTATCATCTATAAGCCTTCTGTACAAAAAGCTCAACGGAGTTACTCACATTGGGAAGAGGTACTCGGCTTCTTCCATGGTAACAAGCCCTAGGTCAACGGAATCAAAATCGGCGCCCACGTCGCGAAGAAGGTTCACTGACGGGCTGAAATAGTTTGAATACTAATTTTCAGCTGTGGAATGATAAAATAAAGCCTCGAGACTATATTTCAGGCTTTTTCTATCTAGGTGAAGCCCAAGGGAAATGGTTCCCAAGCGGTTAAGTATAGGCAAACCGAGGCTTCCGCGAATCGGTATATCAATAGTGAGCTCTCTAGTCTCTGCCTCAGAGCCCTGTACCAAGGAGGCATCTACTGGTATCGGCTGATGAAACTGAGAGCGTGCAGCATCTGATACATCAGCTAGTAGCGCAACGGGGTTATTGATCAGGTCCTCGTTGGAATACGAGATTCCTGATCCGGTCGTTTGATCTGCACGAGAGCTTCTAATCCAGCCTGATGAAGTAGCCGGATCAAAGGACGGGCTTGAGATCATAGTTTTCTCAGAGTGAATTGACTTTTGGTGATATTCGGTGGTTTCTGGCAGGTTGGATGAGGAATGTCCTTCGTGCGCTTGCTCACTTCCCGAGTAGACGATTTCCTGGAGCTTCACTGCTTCATTACCCATATTTGCCTTTCGCGTTTCAGACTTCAGATTGTGGACTGCTTTTTCGAACCCACGACACAGGCCTCGCGCGCCACGCTTTCGTCCCAGTGGTTGTGGCTCTGGATCTCTACGCTCGATTGGTTCAACCACAACGATCACACGGTCTTGAAAAGCCCGTCTCATTTTCTTTTGTTCGTGTGCACCTCATCTATTTTCGAGTTCAACATTGTTACCAGTGTCTTCTGTGATGATGGCAGCCGTACCTTCAGTTTCCGACATGCTTCGCATGCAGTTGCAGCAGTCGGTCGTGTCGGGTGCCCTATAACACCATCTCTTGTGTCGGACGATGACATCACCCTTGTTACCAACAAAAAAAACGAGCTGGATCTATCCGGTTTGGCTGAAGCCCAAGGATTCCGGAGCTGGTGAGAATGACGAGACTCGGTGAAATTTGAGATGCGGGGATATCCCGAAATCCCTAGCTTCGGATTCAGCCTAACCGAAAGCACTGAAATGGAACATAACCCGGTGTTTTATGGGCTTGAGGTCCGCTCGTCAATTCTTGAAGGATTTATTACAGTGTGAGGTCGATAGTTGCGCTCATCGGTACGAAGATCCACCCGGCTCTTTAATTTAGAGGCCGGTGCCTCAGGCCCTTAACGCATTTTAGTTCTCAAAGCCAGTGCTATTTGAACAGAATTAATTCCACTTTCGGAGTTACAGTAATATTGAACTGCTAAATGGAAGTCTCGGAAGTCGACACGTTGATTTGTGGAGGAGGCATGTCCGGCATGGCATGCGCTGCATTCACAGCGGAGGCTGGAGCCAAGACCCGGGTATTTGAGAAACAAGAAGAAGTTGGTGGATCTTCAAATCTTTCTGCTGGCATGTTGTATGTGTGGATTCTTCTTTTAGCGGGTCATATTTTTTGTTTTGCTGACCCATGCCAAGCTGGGCGCCGAATACTTATGAAAAACTAAGGTCTTGGGTGCCACACGGCGATCCAGATTTGCAGCGGGCATGGCTGGACGAGTACTTACCAGCAGTGCAATGGATGCGCGAGAGTGGTAACCCCACCGCAAACCGCTTCGACGGAATCATGACAATTGGTAAGATACAAGGCAAAGTTTCCGTCCATCAGCGCTAAGATGACCATGACGGTGAAGGTCCTTTCTATGCCATGGAGGTGCAGCCATCGTATGTGTTACCCGCTCAGGGGAGGGGAATATTTCTTCGCTCTTTTCTTTGCTAAACGATATGCTAGTATCACTTTTACGTACGGTGGAGTTTCAATTGATGCGCAAGGACAACACCGTCATCCCTGGCCTACTCATGGCTGGAGTCGATGCTGGTGGATTTATTAAGCTGGGTTACGCGGGCGGTCTCGGTCTCGCCCTTGTCACAGGCCTTTGGGCTGCTCGAGAAGTTACACGAGAGCTAGGATTACCGGAACCTCGTCTTCCTGCTGCCGACGCCAGAGACGCAGCGCCTATCCATGGTCGACTCTGAATCAATATCAATGTATATCTCAATTAGCAACGTATAAGACTAGTACTCAATCCGAAAACGTGTGGTTTAGGATGTCATAATATGCCTTTTCGTAAGCCCGGCTCAAGGTCCTCACTTAAAGTTAAACGTAACAACTCACCCGCCTTCTGATCTTTTTCTAAATTTTCTCTTTAACCAGGCTTCAAATTTCATTTTCATTTGAGATATTGTTCATGTTGTCGTTTTTAAATTACAAACAGGTAATAATCATTCCAGAGTCATGACCATAACTTTCAATCGCATGTGAGTCACCTGCACGCTCCTCAGTTACCAGCAACTAGCACACCTCGGTACCGCATCTTGCCATCTTCCAGAGTCTTCAAACTATCCTTCACTCCTTCCAAGTTCATCGGGAATGTCATTTTTATCGGCTTGATGTTATGATGAGCCGCAAATTCGAGCATGTCGCGGTGCACCTGTCTCGCAGACACAATTCCTCCCTGGATCCTGAGTCCGTTTGATAGCACAGGCATGTACGGGATTTTCAGGTCATTCGAATCAACCGAGAGGGGCGAAATGACACCGTTGGGAGCCATCACGTTGAGGTACAGCTGCCAATCTGGTTGGCTGCTGGTAGTCACAAGGAGGTTGTCGATAGGCTTTTCTAGTTTCAACTCCTTGACACCCTTGGTTGCATGAAACTCGGAAGCGCCCAGCTTCAAAGCTTCCTCTTTCTTACTATCCGTTCCAGAGAAAACGATGACCTTGCAGCCCATCTTGGTAGCAAATTGGATGGCCAGATGGCCCAGACCACCAACTCCGACCACCCCCACGCGAGCGGTCGGACGAACCTGAGCGACGTGAAGTGCGTTGAAAACAGTCGATCCACCGCACATCAAAGGGCCGGCGTCCTCGTTACTCATGTTTTCGGGGACCTTAAAAAGGAATGCTTCACGCCACACGGCGTGAGATCCGAATGATCCTTGATCTAAATCGGCCCCGGCGTACATCTTTCGCTCAGGGCACAGAGTTTCCCAGCCGGTCAGGCACTGGCGGCAGTGGCCACAGCAATCGTGCTCGTACCCCCAACCTACACGGTCGCCTTTCTTCAAGATCTTGGCATCAGGGCCGGTCGCTTCCACAATACCCGCTCCTTCGTGACCGAGGGCCATGTCTACATTTCGGTAATAGACATCGGTAAAGCAAACACCGGAGTGGGTGATTCGAACCAACACATTGTCGCCCCTGAGTTCGTCGCGCCGTGTGACTTCCTCTCGAATCGTTCCATCTTTGGACCCTTTGAAGACGGTAAATTCAATAGGCATTCTGAAAGTTTTATGTATCAGAGTAATACTCAGGGTTTTCTGAAAGTTCGGTGGCAAGGCAGACAGCTTAGCTTTTATAGCCCATTGACCTTTTTACGTCACCTCCCAGTGTGTCGGGATAAAAGGAGGGGAAATAGCTACATTAAACATTTTTCCAACCTGTTCTTTCCCGCAAGCAACGTTTGGTCACAGAAGATACAATCTGTGATGCAATCTGGTGGGCCTCGACGGAACCGACTGGGCCCGCTGATATCATCACTCTGAGAACTTGCTTGCGGCCTTGCCGATAAATCGGAACTTGATAAAACTGCCCTTGGACCAACGAAAGAAGCATAAATGCTTGGTAATGTTCAATAGTTTACTCTGGCCAGTTTCGATGATAGATCCTATTAACTCGGGCCGCTATGATGACCACGGATAAATAGCACCAGTGCGTGAGACCCAACATTCCTGAAACCCTGGGAAATTCTATGTATTATAAATCCCAGATATCGTCATCTACAGGAAATCAAATATTCTAAGTCTTAGCGACTCGAATGGTTTCCTTCCATGGGATGACTGACCTACATACTTCCCCGGTAATCCCCGATCATCTGATTAGAGTAAAGCTGCGGAGTAAACGACACAAAGGAGAAAGTTTCGGAGACAAACAAATCGCCTCATAAGCATCATTAGACCAACCACATTTGCTCCCAAAGATGGCGGGAAAAGTCTGTTCCTCGTATATTATTCCGCCCGCATTATTTGGCGGTAAGACAGTCCTACATTGGATAGCGGTGAGTCACGCGATATCGGATCCCGATCAGGAAGGTCTCTAAAAGTCAAATTCAAAACTTTGCGAAGATGATATTTGTTTACATGCAGAGCAGTTGTCAGTGATTGGCACCCGTGTAACTGCACAAAGCAGGGCTATAGTGGAAAAACCTTAAAAATGATCCAGGTGGACAGTATTGCCAGTGTCGGTACCACCCCTGACTCCGATAAGGACGTCGCGTTGGCAATGGTCAGCGATGTCGCCCAGGAAATCGATCCAGTCGTCGCGAAAAGAGTGCTCCAAAAAATCGATCTCTATTTCATGCCCGCTATGTTAATCGGTAAGTTTGCTCGATCTCCGACAAAACAAGCATCGACTGATCGCAAACTTCTATTTTAGGTTACGGCATGGTGTACTATGACAAGGTAGCATAGCTCCTATTTTCAATATGTAGCACTCAGTTAACAGTCATGAATAGGCTATTCTAGGAAGTGCATCCCTCTTTGGCATGACCACCGATCTGGCTTTAGAAGTGATCGATCATTCTACATCTCCAGCCACAGTCGATACCTCTCGTCTCAGCTGGGCAACGTCAATTTTCTATTTTGGAATGCTGGCGGGGCTTTACCCAATGACTTTCATCTTACAAAGATTTAACATTCGATGTGTTCTTGGTCCCGTAGTTCTGCTATGGGCCCTTGTCTGTGCCGCGACTGCTGGCGTGTCATCCTGGCGAGGGCTATTTGTTCAGCGTTTTTTCCTTGGTATTCCCTAGGTTACTTTCCAGACCTCTGTTATCAAGATCTCTAATAAAATGGCAGGTTTTATTGAAAGTGTCATTCCGACAAGCTTCATGACAATTGTCGGCAGCTACTACACGCAAGAAGAGCAAGCTCTTCGACAAGCTTGGTGGTTCTCCGGAACAGGCTGGTTCACCATCATTGGTGGAGCACTGAACTATGGCTTCGGCCAGATAACGTCCGGTTCTTTGGCCAGATGGCAGTACATCTATATTCTTGCTGGCGCTTTGACGTTTTTATTCGGTCTCTGGTGCTGTGCAATGCCCAACTCGCCGGTGTCCGCATGGTTTTTGACCCCGGCGGAAAGAGTGATCGCCGTGGAGCGACTGCGAAAGGGACAAACTGGCATCCGTTGCCAGAAAATCAAGTTTGATCAAATCAAAGAGTCCTCATTGGATGTCAAGATTTACCTGGTAGCCGTCATGATGGCGTCAGCGTGAGTTTTCCTTCTCTCGCATCTACAGCATCATCCAAAACAGGAACTGACTCATATAGGTACACCATTAACGGAGCTATTTCTGGCTTTGGGCCACTGATCGTTTCCACATTTGGCTATGAGACCCTAGACTCTATTCTATTTCAATTCCCCGTCGGTGCAGTTTGTGTTATCTTCATCCCTCTATGCGGATACATTCCAACCGTGATCCCCAACACACGCATTCCCATGTTGATTGTGTGCTGCTTGCCAGTTATTGCCGGCTGTGTAATGATTTGGAAGTCACAATGGGGCTATCAGCCCGCTACTCCAGTCGTCGGCTATGCTCTTACGGGTTTCTTCGGACCTGTGGTCAGCCTGATCATTACAGTCGGAGCTAGCAACGTGGCAGGAGCCACCAAGAAAACCGTTATGGCTGCCACGGTCTTTGTCGCTTATACTGTTGGAAACATTATCGGACCTCAGCTGATCAAGAGCGAGACCAAGGCCCAACACTATCCAGAACTATGGACAGGCTTGATCATCTGGTAAGCTAGTCAGTCAGGCACATCATCTGCAATGCTAATAGTATTATAGCTATTGCATCACCATTCTCGCGGCCATTACTTTATACCTGGTGCTCTGGAGGGAAAATCGCTCAAGAAGTACATTGGAGTTGGATGAAATACAGCGTGACAAGATCGCCTTCGATGACCTTACCGACAAGCAGAATCCGTTCTTTCGGTACGTTCTGTAATAGACATCATAGCAAGTCTCTACTATTTTTTTAAAAGTAGGGGCAAGACCCTGAACATATCGGGCCCCCAAACGCCTTGGATTTTGTCGATTGTATAAATGCAAGTTAAAGTGAAAGTGAACCTTTGGATCAGCAGAATAGAATTAATAGAATTCACTAGTTCTATCATATACTGCTTAAGTCGCATCAGTTGATACCTTGACCCTCAATCCTCGGTGCCTTGCTTTGCTTGTTTTCAACGCAATAATTATACTCGGATAGGAAAGCCGTCGTCCTGGATTGAATTGAACAATACTCCGTTGTAGTTACGTACTATTCACCCTGGATACTGAGGCTATTAGTCGACCTGTGACATTGCCGAGTCAGTAGATGTATCACGGAATCTTGAATATGACAGAATTTTAAAGATTCCGTTGCTCTTACCCCGCAAGATCACGGCTTGTATAAGAGCCGAATCACCCTTCATTGAATGAAATGTCGATTCACAAGTTTTTCCACGGTCGTGATGGAGTATAAAATATCTCAATCTGTCTCTTTTTCAGAACAAATGGTCGTTGCTCGTGATGCGCGGTTTGAGGTGACCTGGAAGGCCGAGGATGCGGAAAATCCTCGGACTTGGCCAGTCTGGTACAGAAGGTTCATTGTGGCCGCAATGTCTTTCTCCACAACTATCGTGTACGTTTGATACCCAAATACTGAAATTAATATCTATTATTGAAACATTGTACGCAGAGTAATATACACGACAATGTACACCTCTGGTGTGGATGGGATGCAAAAGGAATTCAACGTCTCCTCGGAGACCGTCGTACTCCTGGGATTGACAACGAATCTCTTTGGGCTTGCTCTTGGATCGGTCGTATTGTCTTCTTTGTCAGAGATCTACGGTCGTCGTCCAGTCTATCTCATCTCTGTTTTATTGTTTGGCATCCTGATTTTACCCGTGGCTCTCGCTAGAAATATCGAAGCAGTTCTCATAAGCAGATTTTTTGGGGGCTTTTTTGGTGGTACCATGATTGCCAGTGCCCCAGGTACTGTCACTGATGTGACGAATGAGCAACATCGCGCCTTGGCCTTAAGTTGCTGGAGTCTTGGGACAATGAATGGTCCTGTTCTTGGTAAGATTGTGGTATTCCAGAAAATCGTTTACAAATTAATTCTAATGTTTCCTTAATTTAATTTAGGCCCCATTATTGGTGGATTTATATATCAATACCTCGGTTGGCGATGGATAAATTGGCTGGTCATGATTTGCTCCGCAGTCTCTTTATTCTTGATGTTTCTAGTCAAAGAGACATATGCGCCAGCTCTTCTCCGAAAACGAACGAAGAAAATACAACATGAGACAGGCGATCAAAGATGGTGGTGTCTATATGATCATGAAGAGACCGGCTTTGAGATCATAAGGACAAATTTGATTCGGCCATTCCGCATGATTGTCTCTGAGCCAATTTGGTACGAGCACCAACATAAGTTGAGTCGAGTACTTGCTGATACTGCTTGATAGTATTTTCTGGAATCTTTACGTTGGTGTGGTCTATGCCGTTCTCTTCCTGTGTTTTGTGGCCTATCCGATAGTGTTTCAAGAGCTCCGTGGCTGGGCGCCAGGCCTTGCTGGACTTAGCTACTGTGGTATTGGAACAGGAACTGCAATCGCTGTGACATTGGAGCCACTGATTCGAAGATGTATTGCCATGCATCCGCGAGATTCGATGACAGGACGCCCTACCCCTGAAGCAGCTGTGTTTGCTGTATGTGTGGGAAGTTTTCTGATCCCAATCGGAGAGTTCTGGTTCGCTTGGACCGCGCGACCACCTATTCACTGGATATGGCCTATTCTTGCCGGTCTCCCGTTTGGAATTGGCAACGGTCTGGTTTTCATATATGCCACTAACTACATAGCTGGAAGCTACACTGTGTATGCGGCATCTGCACTTGCCGGAAATTCGATAGTGCGATACGGCCTGGCTGGAGTTCTACCGCTTGCTGGATCTAAGTTGTATAGCACTTTGGGTGCTAATTGGGCTGGGACTATGTTGGCACTTATCGAGGTGACATTAATTCCCATTCCATTTATCTTCTACAAGTACGGTCATAAGATCAGAGTGCAAAGTCCGATGATCGTGAAGGGTTTTTAAAATGGAACTCATTAGCAAGTCTCGACCGACGGGGATTGTGTACATCATGCTTGAAAATTTCATGTTGATGAGCCAGATAGAACGAGGTTTTTTTCAAAATTACTGGAGCAAAAGAATCCACATGCGCTAAGGAGCTTGTGATGTCCTCCCAGTAGCAACCAAGAAGAAATATGGAGTGTACAGGAACGATCAATCCCAAACTGAAAGAGGTTGCGTGTCAAGCCCATCTGCGAATAGTGTCTGTAGCCACTCTATTCCACCATCTACCATTTCATCTTGAATTGATAGATCCTGCTCGAATCCAGCCTCTCCCGTGAATGTCATGTCTGAAATGAGCCTTTGCGCATCAATGGGCGGGTCTTCGAATACAACATTATGTTGGTGTTGAGCAGCCTTCAAAGCAGGTCGAGGCCCATGTGTAACGTGAGTAGCAGAATGGTTTCCAGTAGAGCCTTCAATCGCCGCCGGTGATGGCTCGTCAGAACTTAGCGCTGCAACGGCCATCTGGTTCAGCTTCCAAACAGTCTGGGCCATCTTCCCGGACACCCATGTTTTGGCACAATGTTCCCTAAGTGATCGTGCGGCCTCAAGGGTCAAAGTGGCGTATGTGCTTTTGAACGAGGGCTGTTTGATAATGAGACCGAGCGCGATGATTGTGGCGCTGGACAGGTAATGAAGAAATGGAAAAGTGTACTTGGGGTGCTCCTCTGGCACATTACCAAAGTCATCTATGATGCTGCGAGCTAGTCGCATGCAAACAACTTCATTTTCTATAGTTTCGGGAGCAGGCCTTTGATGAGATCGCGGCATTTGAAGCATTGGCTTTCGAATCAAAAGATAGAGGGAGGACCATCTCTAAGACCCACGGTTAGACATGGCATACCGTTCCCAGATAACATCAAAACGGACGTACTATTCGCATCATGAGGTGTTGTTTTATTTGCCACCAGGACATTCCATCTAGCCCGTGGTTGGATGGACGGTGAGGGTTGTAGGAGAACTCTGGCCGAATGCCTGTTTGAGACTGGGTAATGAGATGCTCTAGATATTCGTTGAGAAGCGGGCTTGAAGTTGACTCAGAGGTTGCAGCGCCATATAAAGCCTCCCAAACTTTTCCAATCACCCGTGAATAGCTGGCCATGGCGACTAGATATGGAATCTTGGTAGGACCTGACTCCACAGTTCCCTCTGCAATACTGGAATCTTTAACTATTTGGCATCTGGTGAGCCATTCGTCACTCACATTGTGTGGAAGGCCCACGTCAATATTCACATCTTGAATCAGAAAAGGACGGCCAGTCTCTATAGCTAGTCGCCTATCCAATAGATATATGCACCACCATAAGCGACGAGACATCTCTCCTTGGAAAGTAGGCATTTTCTTGACAACTCGTTCTCTTTGTAGACCAAGATGATGCGCATGTGATATTGAGAGGGCCAGGACTTTTTCAGCGGATCCATGAGCGTCAAGGCGGAAAAGATAGATAACCTGGATCAAGGCCATCGATTAGAGTATTGCGGAGCTGGTCATTGTAGTTGTTCGGTCTTACTATTAAGAGAACAGTCTGAAGCACGAATACATGATTCTTGCATTGACGAAATCCCTCCAGGAGGTCTCCGAAGATGCCCCGAGCAGCACTGTATAGGCTCCAACCTGCAGAATACGGTCCACTGCCCCCTTCAGCACGAGAGGTCTCCACACATCTACCGTTGGCAACGCATAACAAAACATGCGCCGCTTGCATGCGTCGAGTCATACTTCGGTCGTAGTCCCCGGATTGGTCACCAAATGAGCTCTCCCATATCTCTTCATGAAGATTCCATAAGCTTGGCGGGTGTAAGAACGGGACAAGAATGTGCACCTCGTCGCAAAATGTGTGCATTAGACCCTCCCATTTTTTCCTATCGGGTATTATGCCATGAGCCTGAAGAACTCTGGGGATGAAGTCTGCATGTCGATCCGGTGAATGGTTAGTAGGGGGTTCCGGAGACGGTGTTAGGCACGATCGAAATGAGTGGTCCGGAGAAGCTGGTCGGTGTCCATAATGAACACCCATTTGCTCCAGTCGGCCCTCGACAACTGTGAGGTTGTGTGCAATAGATGTTTCCCCGGAAAATGTTGGTACTTGCAGAGAGAGATTTCCCCGTGCGAATAGGCTCTCATTTGAGTCCCTCGGAACTTGAGCTGTACGCGGGACCGGGCTCCTCAGCTTCAGACCTCGCTCGACCCGATTCAACCTAGGTGCCAGGATGTGTGCTGGTCCAGTCAGGACTTTGTCCTTTGATCGCCAACGGCCTCGCATATCTGTTCCATGTCGCTGGCAATCACGGGCTTTGGCGATGCAGGCTCGACATGGAGTATTGCCATCGCACTGCTCGGAGAGGTCAGGGAATGAAAAATCAGCTCTCCCAAGCCATTTTGATTCTTACTCTAATTTTTCGCCTTTGGCATTGTCCGCTGACGCGAAAGGTCAATCGTTGGCTCAATCGTCGAGGGTGGTGAGACATACCATGCCTTGGAGGCATATCTCCTCCGTTGATTTCGTTTCAAAGTTGGCTTGGTATCTCCCGTATCTCCCGAGCAACCTTGTTCTCGGATAGCCCGTTGGCTACTCTCTGGATGCATCTTTTTCGCAGGTGATACATGGGAAATTGCGCCGAAGCCGAGAGACGGAATTTAAGTGGGGTTCGCGTGGGTCGCTTCGGAATCTACGGAATCTTGAATGCGGGGGACGGAATCAGTCCACACTCATCCGGGAGATTTCCTCGGAGCTATGAAATTGATCCAACTACTCTGTGAATAAACTAACGACTGAACTCAAATGCCCACGCTGTGCTGGCATCGGTCTGGTAGATGGGGAATGTCAACGTGTCACCAGAATATGCGTGTGAGACGATGCCACGGTCACTAGGAGCATCGACCGTTTCATATACAGAGGTGCCTGCGAAACCCCAAGTTTGAATATCAACAGAGCCTTTGCTTGGAAGCCCGACCGAGCTTATACTGTGCACGGTGATCTGCCAGTTGCCCGTAGTAATGCGCGCTCCAGAGAGAATGCGCACTTTGTCAGAATCAACTGTCGCATACACGTCAAACAAACGGTCGCCAGTGCCAGAGGTCTCCACTCGCTTGCCCGTCATATTAAGGTTGTAATATTTGTAAACCTGATATTCTGGAGCCGAGGCATAGTCGGTCGCATTATAGTCCAAGGGTTCGGAGGACTTGGTGAGAAGATTGGCGAAGAGATCGTGCAGGTTCCAACCGCTGAGCCAGTTGCCACGCAGTCCAAATGCATCGTAGCGCTCTAGTCGAGAAATCCACCAGGCTGCCCCAGCTGGGATCTGTTCGGCCGAATTGGCGTATTCATTGATGTTGATTTGACGCTCAGGAAGGCCGTAGCTCTTCAGAAGCGCCGTCAGGGTGCCGTTTGTGTTCTGAAGATCATTGTCCCAATCGCCCGTCTCTCCTTCCAAGTGATAGGCGTACTGCTCTGGAATAGTGTCGTTTCCTGCAATCTGGGCCAGCCAGTTGGCCCACCAGGTATTGCCAGACACTGGGCGATAAGCAAGCGTGGGCCCAGAGAGTTGAACTTGATCAAAGGCGGCATCCTCACTGCCTCTGAGTGTTAGCAACTCGCCCAGGTCTCTTAAAAAAATACTTACCGAAGAATCTTATGTGTTCGAATATACAAATCGATCCATTGCTGCTGAGATCGAACCCAGAAGACCTCAATGTCTGGCTCATTCCAAATGTCCCAAACAAGCCCTTCGAGAGCATCGTGTGCCTTGAGATCGGCCATCAAAGTTCTCACAAAGAGGTCATAGTCTGACCAGTCTCCGCCATCGCCAGGCCATACCGTCGAGAAGTTTGCATGATCAGTGCCCCAGATATCGTGAGGCAGAATGATGAAGTCTGCTCCGTACTTGCGACATGTCTGATAGTTGGAGAGGGTCGATGCTAGACGGCCTTTGTACTCCTGCAGTCCCCAGATCCAGCCCCGAGCTGGAGCATCCAGCTGAGCTCCTCCAGCACGCCCGTATCGGAACCCCATCTGGGTATACCATTGATCAGAGATCTGATTGGGAGTATCAGGAATACCATAGATAAAACCAGATGCCCAGTGTGAGGTTGATCCTTTGGAGACACCAAGATTGACAGTAGCAGTGATGTTATCGGCTATTGCCAGACCTGCAACAAGCAAGGGCGCAAGGACTCTCAATGAGTGCATCTTAAAAAATTTTCAAATCCGGCTTGTCGATGATTAGTTACGACTCACATCCCTCATGGGAGCGAAGTTGATCACCTTTTATTTCCCCCGGATTCATTCTCTCCACAATCCGCTTTTCCGGCATAATGCACACCTCAAGGGGGCATACACAGTGTAGAGAGCATGCGGAGCTCCGATACCCCCCAGAACTCCATCCTTTCGTTAACGCGGAGATTTTCATTTTTAAGATAATAATAATAAAGGCGTTTTGTAAAGTTTCAGGGGCGTTTCCCCAGGTTTGCCCTGAAGAATAGGTACTGCACCTTCTCCGGTGGAGGGAACCCACATGATTCCGATCTCCTTAGAGGATTATCCCGGTGGAGTAGTACGCCCCATTTATCCTTTGGTCCATTTCGCATATCATGCAATGCGTGGGCTCCTGTGGACGAAAGCTCGGAAATGATTGGCGTGTATGAATTTCTGAATAATTTAAGGCTGGATGAAACACTAGTTCTATCAATAACACTGGGAATTAGGAAATAACGCGAAAGTCCAGGGACAAAAGGGAGAGGAGTGATGCAACATCCCATATATGTCCAAAGAACCGAAAAAGTGTAAAATCCCCTCCGAGTCCTCAAATATGTTCTATAACTTTTGATCCTTCTCAGCACTGTGCACCATCGTTTCATGGACCACCTTGATCCCTCCACCTTGACTTGTATGGCTATTTGTTTCCCAATCACCATCTTCAGCGGTACAGGCCGGAGCTTGCTCTCGCGAAGTGGGCAATATCATCTGTTCGTCACTGACAGTATTCCACTGTGTATCGGCAGGAAGTGACAGTGGGTGCAGGAACTTCTTGCGCTTGTGATACCCGCTTCCATCGCCATCAGACAAAGGGTAGCTCTGGCTACCACTCTTTGTAGCAATGTAGAGACCCACTCGGTGGGGAATCCCGCGCAAAGGGGGTAGATCATGGGGATGTTTCCGATAAGGACGGCGACGAAGGTCTCGCGACAGGCCCAGCTTCCTGCTTGTTCCGCACCATTGGCACCGGCCTAGAAACAAAAAGGCATTATGATACTGTCAGAATTGCAGAAGGAAGGCGTTCTAACCGTCAAGATCAAAACACAACGCAAGATTCCCGCCATCATTACGAACAACCCGCCGCTGAAGAGAACGAGAAGCTCAAGTTTTTCCCGCCACTGGAGTCGAGCTTTGAATAACATCTGAGAGATGTTTTTTTTCATTAGCAAACTCTCTTAAGTTTGGCAGACAAATATGCCGGCATACCGGAGCAGGAATGCTAATTAGGTAAATGTCGGTCGCGACATTGAGAACAACGGTAACATATATATCAATAATTGACACGGCAGGCTGGCAATAATCTATAATCAATTAGTTCTTGTCGTATGTTGGTAAAACAAATGGCTTACTTCCAGGGTTTGGGTAGATCTGCCAGTTCTTGTGCATCGGATGGCAACCAAAGAGAATGGAGAAAAGTGTGGCTATATAAGTTGCAGCAATCAACCCGTAAGCGATGTGGATGCGAACTCGCATGTTTATGAGACCAGCTCTAGATAATTTGGTCAATAGATTCCAATAGCCACGCACAGCTTGCAATACTCACGTTAATCGAGAATAGAATATGGCCATGCACGTCTTCAGCAACCATAGCAACAAGGTGTATAATGACCAGCCAGCCACTTGGACCTTGGATCCTCCAACTCGAAGGCGGTATCCCTCTGAATCGGCAGATAAAGCCATCCGTTCTTCGTCCGTCATCGCATTGTTCGTGAGACCATGAAACCACGCACCTACCATGTACGCTGCAGCTGTTTCCAGTCCGTAAACCATCTGGTGTACCTTAGCAAGGTTGTCGCAAGCTTCAGGGTAGCCTACCTACACCTGCCAACAGCATCAAATAATCATCTGGCTGGAAATATCTTGGCCCGACCATAATCCATCTTGCAGTAGTTCTAAGGCCGATGATCACGATGGCCACAGCCAAAAGTGTGAAGGCCTCTGCAACGAAATCACCCATGGCCGCGCAAGTAAGATTACCTTGCTTGTCTTTGAAGGAAAAGGCCTTGAGATCCCCGGGGGTGCACCAGATAAAGAAGGCAATCGCAGGGGGGTTTGTAGGGCGGCGGCAACAGACAGTACCTCGATGCTTCCCCACAGCGCTTGTCATTAGAACCAGGCCGGACAAAGGAATTCCTCAACCTGGTCGATTTATAAATGTCAGTGCGCAGAAATGGATCCCAAGTCAGTGGGACATGGGTGGGTTCCCAAGACAAGTCATAGAATGAAGAAACTCTCATGTTTGAGGAGATCAAAGCGTGGAGACTACTTCTGAATAGACTTAGAGGGTCCTGTTGGTGGCGGCTTCGTTGATTAAACGTCTAACTACTCAAATATCTGGGATGCACGGGTTTCCTAGTTTTTGGACGCCGAGTACACGATCGGCATTGCCTCAGTCAGTGAAGAGTCCAATGGTGCACGGCTACAAGGCTTGTTAGATGACAGTGCGATAACAGTAAGGTCATATACACCATGGGTTACTCGTGTGCATTTGACTGGTATTTTTCTTTGTCCTGGACCAGAAAGTGCGGTGACGCAACGACAGGATGCAGCAATAATCTGTCAATAGCCGAGCCGGTCAGGGCCGAGATGAGAATGCCTCTCGCTGCGAGGCTTTTGTGACGATCAGTCCCCGGGGAAATTCCCCTAATACCCCAGAGCTACGTACTACATATAATCGTTCGCAATGCAATTGAGGTAATTTTGGGTCCGTAGTCGCATCGTAGCCGCTTCTATCAAATCAAATACCTCGAATTACAGTTCAAATCAACCAACAACCAATATCAACGATTTTTCTTTGTTCATGGCCGCATCTCCGCTTAAGTTCCAGTCTCGGATGTCCATGACAGCGGCATCACGGCACCTCCGCCAACAGTGGGTCACAGCGGGTCGCGCCGTTGAACCATTGAATAAGGCAGGTCCCAGGGATCGTGTCATCTCCGATTGCCCGATGGATTTGCATGCAATCGAACATCGGGCCTGCAGTTGGCCATTAACGCGGTTATCTCTCGAATACACCAAGGTAGTATCAGTTAGGGACCGGCGGGCTGCATAGCCCGGGTTATCTATTGATTCCTCAGTCTAAAAGCAAGAAGAAGCAGTTGACAGGTTTACGCCTCTTGACGGATTGGATTCAACCATCCCAATTGCCAATGTTGGGGTGGAGCCCCTATTCCCCTAGTTCCAACGCTCAGAAAGTCCCCACTCGCTTCGAAGACGGTTGAAAAGGTTAGTGATCGGCCAGTGGATGCGCGACGCCGCGATGTCAAACGACGGAGTCCAAATCTGACTTTTGGGCGTTCAGCTGCAATCAAAGCACAGAGAATAGTTAACTAGAAACAAAAATCATGATCACGTAATCACATCGCGGGCCAAGGCCGGAATTCGACCAATTCGACCACCTGCATGCCAAGCGGGAACATCTGAATGAAGCAGGACTCGATTGCTGGTCCCCTCGTCACGGTAGGCTATTTTCTTCGGCTGTGCCACTAGGACACAAGTCTCAGCCCTAATGCGGGAAGCTCATTTCCCCTGTCCCCCTTGTGTCCCACTTCTGAAAGCGCGGAAAAGCTAGAAAACGCGCTGCCCAGCTCCTGGCTGTCCTCGTAACGCTCATTTCTTGGTTTCCTTCGGTGGTCATCTGTTTTTGCGCGTCTCTAGTTAGTTTCGTGCATAAACCTCTGAGCTCAACGCAAACGAATCATACCGCTCATTCACTTGCGCAATGGAGAATTTGGACCTGGTGGTGGTTGGCGCAGGTGAGTTTCGCGGGGGAACAGGGAAAGGCATGCACTCTGACCAAATATCAACCCACCAGGCTGGAGCGGGCTCGCCGCTGTCAAGACCTATCGCGATCTCAATCCGGAAAGCAACATCTTTCTCCTGGAGGCGGCCAGCTCCATCGGCGGGGTGTGGGCCAAACATCGTCACTACAAAGGCCTCAAATCAAATAACATGTTGGGCACCTATGAATTCAGCGATTTTCCTATGGACGAGGCCAGCTTTGGCGTGAAGCCTGGTCAACACATTCCCTGCGATGTCATCCAGCGATACATGGAAGCTTACGCCGACAAGTTCGGTTTCGCCGATCGCGTTCGACTCGACCATAACGTGGAAAGCGCCCGACATAAGCTGGATGGAACATGGCAGTTGATAGTGTCGCACGGAGAGAAATCGGTGACCATCGAGACTCGAAAATTAATTGTAGCCACGGGTATCACTTCGCAGGCCTATCTGCCTGACTTCACGGGACAGGAGACCTTTGGTGCACCTCTGCTTCACTGTCGCGACATGCTCCAGCATGAAGCTGAAGTCTTCAAGGCCGAGGGACGAGCAACAGTGTTTGGCGGCTCGAAATCCGCGTGGGATGCGGCCTATGCCTGTGCCACGTCCGGTATGAACGTGGACTGGATCATTCGTGAATCCGGCCACGGTCCTTGTTGGATGGCACCCGCCTATGTAACGCCGCTGAAGAAGTGGCTAGAGAAGCTGGTGACCACGCGCCTCTTGACTTGGTTCAGCCCGTGTGTCTGGGGCGACGCCGATGGCTTCACGCGTGTGCGCAGCTTTCTCCATGAGACTTGGCTGGGACGCAAAATTGTCGACGCCTTTTGGGCTGTGTTGGCCGACGATGTCGTGCAATTGAACGGCTATGACAAGAACCCGGAAATGAAGAAGCTGAAACCGTGGGTGAGTCCATTCTGGATCGCCTCGTCGCTCAGCATTCTCAATTATCCTACCGACTTCTTCGATCTGATCAAAGATGGCACTATCAAGGTGCACATCGCCGATATTGACCATCTTTCCGACCATGCCGTGCACCTATCCAGTAGCGAAATACTCCCGACCACAGCTTTAATCTGCTCGACAGGCTGGCGTTGTACCCCCAACTTGAAGTTCCTCCCGGAAGGCATTGATCGCGAGATGGGATTCCCGTGGAGCTCAGACCCTGTGGATGAGCGCATGGTCAAGGCCGCGGACAAGGAAATCCTTCGACGATTCCCTCGTCTACGCAATGGTCCTCCTCCCAACTCCAAGTACCAACCGCTCAGTCAACAGTCAGAAGCAGCTGCTCCGCACCCCTTCCGAATGACTCGATTCATGGTTCCACTTTCGTTCGTGAAAGAGCGATCTCTGGCTTTCATGGGAATCACCATGACCATCAACACGACCTTGATTGCTCAAACTCAAGCACTGTGGATTTCTGCCTACTTTGGAAATCAGCTAACCCCCACGGCGACTGAGCGCTGTCCGCCCGCTGTACGCGCAGCTTCGGACTCCAAAAGTGAGGACGACTCCGAGCTGGACCTAGCGTGGGAAACAACTCTACACACGGAGTTTGGCCGGATTCGATACCCAGGGGGCTTCGGCCATCGCAACCCAGACTTTGTGTTTGATGCCATTCCCTATATCGATCTGATGTTACGCGATCTGGGTTTGGCAACTGAGCGCAAGCGGGGCCTGCTTGCACAGTGCTTCCACCCCTACGGCACGGAGGATTACCAAGGACTAGTGGAAGAATGGAAAGCGAAGCAGGAGAGTCGGAAGTGATCGACATTTATTGTATTCTTTCTTTCTATGTGATTTCCTACCGCGCATCCCGCAAGATACCCCGCTTAGTTTACTCGCGTCTTTTTTTTTCCCTTGGAAAATACTTCATTGGCATGACTGAGCTCTCATCCATTCCCTTGTATATGTGCACATTTCGATCTTGGGTACCGCTTGGAAAAAAAAATTAAAACCAAAAGTGCCCCAGGGGCTTCGAATGAGCCATTCTAGCAAGGATCAAATATTCCTAATCAAGCAAAGCAAACTGCTCAAAAACTGCGAACGCCTGAAAGCCCAATTACGCTGGACTGAGATAAGGTACTTCCAGATACGAGGGTCGGGTTCAGCTCGTAAGCAAACTTTCGTCAAATGATCAAGTTCCCGAGGGACTGCGGACGGCTCCACGAAAGATGCCGAAGATGAGCACAAAGGGGATGACGAGAAGAGACATTTGCAGTGACACGATCCGTGAAGATGAAAAAGAGGAAGAACATTCACTGAATGCAGGGCAGAAATACGAGCACGATATAAGAGGAAAAAATCAACACTGTGCTAGAGGATTCATCTTTCAAGGCAGGCCGCAGTCGGCATCAACGGCCCTAGTCGGATTCTTTGCTTGAAGAGTCAGACACAACGCGTTGCCTGTATGCAGAAGAACGCCTCTCGGGTTTAATCTGTAATCAGAGGTCGTGAACACGAATGATTCACATTTAATTTCTCGCGTGGCGGGGCAGGTCTCTAGCACGACTGGGAGTGGATCAGTTCAAGTGTAATGCAATAGATCATTCATGCTATATACCATCGAACACCGGACTCGCGAGGTCCCCCGTAAAATAAACAGTCAAATCCAGGTGCTCGCTCTCTCAAGTCACAGAGAAGGATAAGGATCAGTACACACGTCACACGTCAGGCTAAAAAAACACAATAATCAAACACGATCAAGACAGAAGATCAGACCATCCCAGTTATGCCCAGTCAACGCACCCTTCGCCAGTAACAGAAAAAGACAGAAAAATATTATAAAGAACCCCGACTCCCAAGGCCGCTGTGGTCGATCCGTCGTCCTCGCCTTCCAGTAAATACACAATGACGGGGGCTTGTAGTTGAGGAGCTGGAACGGAGACCACAGGGATGCAGAAATACGGAGCACGTCTAGGTGCGTCCGTTGACGACAGGACTGCCGTCCTCGCTGCGCCCTTCGTGTTTAACGGATTCATCAGCACCCATCTGGTTGCCATCTAAATCACCGTCTTTGCCGCAGCCCTTGACCAGAATATGTCGCTGGAAATGTTGTTAGTTCGATGTCACTGTCGCACTCTCAAAAAAGGATATACACACCTTTAAAGCATCCTTGCGCGAGAAGCTTTTGTCGCAGTGCGCACAAGGGAATGGCTTCACAGCCAGATGAATGCGCTTGTGGCGCTTAAGATCGTGATTGCGGTTGAAACTCTGAGGACATTGGTCGCATTTAAAGGGGCGGTCCGCCGCCGGCACAGCCAGACCGTGGGGTGGTGGGTGAGCACCATACATATGCTGGGTGCTGGCGATATGCCCGCTGTTGAAACCTGGTAGCAGCCCTCCGGGCTGCATACCGCCCATAACCGACATGGGACTATTTGGACTGTGCACATTCGTCATGACCGGACCATTCATCGCGGGCAGGGAGTACGAGGGCCATGGCTGGCGAGGATATGCCAGGTGATGCTGTGCGCCAGGGTTCTGAGCAGGCATACGTCCGGGATGAATACCCAGTCCAGCATGGCCGATTGGAGAGGGACCGCCATACATGTGGGAGTAGCTGGCCTGGTGAGGAGTCGCGCCGTACATGGAGTGGCCTTTGGGTGTATAGGGGTCGTTCGATGGGAGAGGAGCGGGCGATGTAGCGTGACCTGATGCGTATAGGGACATGGAAACCGGTTGAGCGTTAGGAGGGAGACTGGAAGGTGGCGCGGGGAGAGAATGATGGAACGAGGCCAAAGGCGGCGCTTCATAGGATTGCGATAATCCGTCGGTCGTCGGAGGTGATGTCGCCGGTCCAGAACGTCCTATCATGCCAGATGGAGAGTAAGAGTTGCGCGCAGAGTAGGGATTGACACCGGGGGCCCACTGAGATGGGGCCGCACCGTAAGGCGAAGTCTGGGGCCAGTACGCGGGAGGTAAATCTGACGAAACCCCCGTCGACGGTGCCAAGGTCTGTGATACAGTGGCGGTCTCTCCGGATTGATTTGTGGCCGGGGGGTCAACAGATTCCCCACGCTCACGTTCGGAGGCGGATGGGACATGGACGGATATCCGGGATGCGCGGAAAACTTGGGGGCCGCACCAAATGGTGGCGGCGGTAGTTCGAAGCTGGGCAAAGCCGGAGCTTGTGGGCGACGGCTCACCAACGGCTGAGAAGCCAGACCATCCAGCGCCGATCCCATCGGAGGCGGAACCGCGAGTGCAGCCATATTAGCGGACGGATCTCGTGCAAACAAATCGGCTTCGGAAATTGATGGAGCGAGGTTGGAAGGAACGTAAGAGTGTCCCGTAGTCAACCAGTCTCGACCACCTGTAAGGCCCCCAGAAGGGCTCGAAGGATCCAGGAGGGGCAAGCGGTGATCGCTGGTGCTCGCGATCGAGAAAGCAGTGACTTGATCGATGAGGCTCAAGTCGGTATTTTTTTTGGCTTGTTGTTCTTTTTTTTTAGGGGAAGGCGTGGATGGGGAGAGGTTTAAGGAGCAAGGAGAGGAGGTGAACAGTTAACGCTCCGAAGAGGGGGTGAAGGATGTCAGCCCTGGGAGGGGGAAGAGAAAGAGTAGGGAGATCGCGACTAAAAGGGAAAGAAAGTCAGGGTCGACGAAAGCGCGAGAAGTGCATGGTCTCGAGAATGTGTTCCTGGTGAGTTTTCCCAAAATCACTGAAATCTGTGTATAGGCGTAGGGGAAGGAACCGTAGGAAGAAGAGGAGGAAAGGACAAGAAGCACAAGCCGTGGCGTTGGGGGAGGCGCAGAAGCGCGGGGATAGCAGAGGGTAATTATAAGAGAGGTATAGGTGTATAGGGACGCGAAGAATGGTGGGACCCGTGGTCGACGCGGGTCTGGCCAGCGTGGGGAACGAATGGAACGGATGGACTAAATGGACGATGCGAAGACTCTAGAAAAAAAGTAGATTGAGAAAATCCCAAAGAGGAGGGGCAACGTGGTTGACAGGCCCCGGTTGACCGTTCCGAACTTGAGTCTCTCTCGATCCGACTATTTGCTATTGCTGCTAGTGCCTCTTTTTCTATTTGACCTACATCCGAAATATGTGCTATCTATTTTCTTTACTAGGACAGGTCAAAGGGTAAACCGACCCGAGTCAAAACGGAAAGTCAGAGGCAGAAAGCGGCGGCTCTCCTTGCGTCCCGACTCGCGTGAAAAAGCAAATTAGAAAAACATAAATAAAAAGGAAATAGAAAGGGCAAGGGTAAAGGGAAAAAATGGAAAAATCAAAAAAGAAAAGAGAAAAAAAAACGAAAAAAAGGAAAAAAGGGAAAAAGAGGAAAAAAATTAAAAATTAAAACTCTAGAATGCGCGCTACCGATAAGCTAGGACCAGAATTAGGGGACTGGGAAGGTATCACTCCGGAGAGACAATCTATTCCTGACCATCTCCGGCTATCACATATTATTATTTTTCCTTTCTTATTTTCTGACTCCGTATTTTCCTCACTCTAACAATGAGACCCGGTCAGATTCCTGCCCAATGCGCGTAGCGACGCACGGACATGACCGGAATGGCCAGAATACGAGCCATGGGAGTCTGGAGCAGTCGCCTCTGATGGGCAGAGACAAGCGAGCCACGCGCATGGTCATTCGCCGGTTCCCGGCGCGCGAGAGCGGATCTCGTTAGATCGAGTCGAAGTTGGGTCCCGGAGTCTCTCGCGGTCTATTTGGGTCTTTTTAGCCCGTCTTTCTGGTCATCTGCATCCTTTCGGCCCCCAATGGCATTGAGGTTTAGTCCCCGGGTTCGCCGGCCATGGTTCTTTTCGATACCGCTCTCTCTTGCTCGCGGGACCGTGGCACAATGGATGGAGAACCAATAGTCGACATGCACCATACTGTCGGGTCCCCTCTTTTATACCCACCAGCGCGCGTGCGATCGGAGTGGCGTAACGGAAAGGGCTCAGCTGGCTTTCCCCTTGATCTAAGTCAATTTACTTAGACCTTCGCTTCCACGACCCGGGGATTATCTCCCCTTATCCCGCCAATAGTTGCCTTTTCGTTGCCGGTGTCTGCATGGGCTTACGATGAAAAGGGGAGGGGGAGAGTGTGTTTTAGCCGGTTCATCATCACCTGTCAAAAATGCCAATGTCGGTGTCGGTGTTAGTGGTCAACTGTAAGCGTCAACTACGGAAGTCCCGAGTAGATCTGTCGTTTTCCTTTTGCCCGGGCGCGCCCGTTCGACACTATCGGGGCTTCCCACAGGATCATGATCGGGACTGCATACTCTATAGTTCCCGTCTCGCTTGCAATCAATTTCCTGTAACCTCGTCTGAAAAAGGGGGGAAACGGACCGCATACGAGACAATTTGCCTCTGGATTGTTCCTCCTCCCCTTAGTCACATTCCCAACAATCCCTGTCTCCGACCCCTTGGCCTGTCTCTTCCATTTTGATTTTTACCACAAGTACCGAGTACATACAAATTATTGATACTGTCCTAGGACATTAGATAGCTTTAGGATTTATTTGTTCTACAGTACTCGAAACCCATGATAGAGCCCGACTATCGAGGCCCCCTCATCTATGCTGATCGAGCCGCGTACATCGATTGGGAAATCGAAGCCCTGATCGTTCCCCTCGGTAGTGTCAATGCCGATTTGCTGGCGATGCTCCAGTGCTCCAGTGCTCATGCAAGGCGGCTCCTACCTTACAGATGTGACAGCGCGGGTGGATCCACCAAGCTCTTGTCTCAGGCTCGAGCCATGCGATCGTCGCTTCGGTTCCTGCCGGTGGCTTCGGGCGAGGCGGTTTGGCGTTGGGACCATTCACCATGAATAGTAGTTGATCGACTTGAAATGGATGCGGGAGATCGACCTCCATGAGCTTCGCCGAGTCTGCAGTCGGGTCTTGAATTTGGGAATGTGGGAACCTCGTGCGTCTTGTGTCCTTGGATTTTTTTGGATTTTTTTTTTCGTTCTTTTTTTGGATTTTCTTTTTGGTTGCTGGGGCTTCACCCGGTCGTTCAAGACAAAGTAGCCGATTCTCGCAGCGAGTCGCAGAACCGGTGAATCACAAACGATCTGTCCACGCATAGAATTACGTGGAAACTAGTGACTGTCGAGGTGGATGCGAAGCATCTTGAAGCCCATTCCACTACAATCCTGTGAAACCTCGGGCGCAAACGAACAGCCTTCGACATGTCGTGTCCTCGATATATACCTCTAATAGACGATCAAGAGTCGATGGAAAATCCGTACGGCAGCTATCATATCTTTATACTCATATTCTTAGGAGGCTCTCGTTCTTGGCGTTATCTCGCTCCTTGTTTGATCTTCCAACCTGCACTGGAGTCTATCTAGCTTTGTAGATGTCAATGTGGAGTGCAGTCCATTGTGTAACGTGACAGTGATGGCTTCTCTGCTCTGTCGGGTGGCGCTTATGTGGTGGCGCTGAGGTTCCAGGGTTATTGACTCGATTGTGTAGCGACATATCCATGGATTAAAGTACATTTGATACCCAACAATATTTACCATCGATACCTACATTTATACAGTCTACACTTTTACCTCACCAACCCGGTAAATCGCCGATGGTTTGATTAATTCCAAGCTTCCCAGTCGGGTGCACCCAATAAACCAGCCTCGGAGAGAGAAGCATATAACCGAGTCACACCAGGTCGCATCCTGTCTTGTTGCCGATTGTCCCTGATGACGTCAAGCGGGGTCTAATCTGGACGAACTTCCCCAAACCTCCGTTGTTACAGCTTCCAATTTACTTCATCTTCCTCAATCACTACCTAGGAACTTCTTTCCACATATCTATATCTTCAAGCTCAATCGATCGATTAACTGCCAATCATGTCTGGAATCAGCAAGGCGTGCTGCTCGTTCGTCCACGTTCCTCCCGATCGCGAATCACTGCTAACGTATTAAAAGCATCCCACCCGTCGTGGCTAAGGGATACCAGGCCAAGGGAACCTATCAGACCATCAACGGCCTCAAGACCTGTAGGTGTGCAGATTGGACCGGATTTCCTCGGTCGCATGATCTCGAGTTCACATGTGGGACGAAGTAACTGACGCCTCCAATAGACGTTACAGGTCCTGAGTCGGCAACCAAGGCCATCCTAGTCATCTACGGTAAGTACAAAGGCCCCTATCAATTTATGAAGTTATGTGAAATGAAGGGGCTATACTTACGTGTCCGTTCTTGCACCAGATATCTTCGGCTTCTTCGACCAGACCCTCCAGGGTGCCGACATCCTAGCCACCTCGAACGAGCAGAAGTACCGGGTATTCATACCTGACTTCTTTGAGGGCAGCCCTGCCGATATCTCGTGGTACCCGCCTACCACCGACGAGCACAAGCAGAAATTGGGCGACTTCTTCTCGACTCAGGCCGCCCCGCCCAAGACCCTCTCCAAGATCCCCAACATTGTGGCCGAGGCCAACAAGCAGGCTCCCGGCGGTAGCTTCCAATGGTCCATCTTAGGCTTCTGCTGGGGTGGAAAGATCGCCGCTCTGTCCGCTGGTGCTGATAACAAGCTCTTTAAGGCTGCTGCTCAGGCCCACCCGGCCATGGTCGATCCGAAAGACGCCAAAGACATCAACGTGCCTTTCATGATGCTTGCCTCTGGCGACGAACCTACCAAAGATGTAGAAGCCTTCAAGGCCAACCTGCAAGTGCCCAACCACATTGAAACCTTCTCGACCCAGATCCACGGCTGGATGGCGGCTCGGTCGAACCTTGAGGATGCCGAAGTCAAGAAAGAGTACGAGCGCGGTTACAAGACTGTTCTTGAGTTCTTCCACCAGCACGCGTAAGGTATAGCTTGTTTGAACTGCCGATTGCAAAAATACCGAACATGAATAATGAACTATATTCCGAAGGGAGCAATCTAGCCAGTGCTGCAACCGTATATTTGCCCGCATATATCTGAAAAGTAGAAGTGTCCAGTATTGCCAAGGTTGTATAGTGGCAGACTAGGATAGATGAAGTAGGTAGATCGTCAAAATATCCCAGGTCATCAAAAAAATAGCCGATTCATCCGCTCACATTGCCAAATCGGGTGAAACTCGGCTCCGCCTCCGCTTCCGTTGCCGCTTGAGTTCCGCTGCGACCCGAGATCAGCACTTCAAGCTTCTGGGTCTACCTTATTTCAAGCTCTTCACTCTGTGAGCTGTTTAGCTCCTTCTTCTTGAAATATACGGACATATGCGACTCAGCGCTGGCATGGTTGGCCTGTGTCAAGATGTCATCTATCTTTGGCCGTCGACGTTCCCGATCTGACGTGAACGATCACGATAAGAGAGCAAGACCAACTCTTGCACGCCACTCTTCATCAGGACCCCACCAAGATGAAGAAACGGGCCTTTTCCACACCCTTTTTCGAAAACGGAGCGAGGGCGCATCTCTAGATCCTCCCAAGCTCGTTAAGGGCTCGGTAAGGCTACACCTGCGTCATGTGAGGCTACATCTAATAGAACATTTAGGGTCAGAAGGTTGTCCCAAGCATTGACACGACTGAGACTGCTAGATCTAAGAAGGCTCATAATTCACCTCGGTCTTCTCGACAAGATCTCTCGTGTAGTAATCCGGGGAGTCCCGAGCCGCCTGCTGCTGTGGCCCATGGGGAGCCAAAGCAGCCGACAAATATCCAGGATGCCCTGGAATATCGACTAAATGCGGCTTGCGGCTCCCAAGGTGACCTCACTGATGCAGGCGCCCATCAAAATGATGGATACTGCTTTAGTAAACGAGATGTCAAGGCTCTTTTATCGGGAGCACCCCATTTCCTCTTAGAAAGAGGCAAACATGGTCGCTGGTATCCGCAAGTGATATTCCCTTGGGACGAACATAGTCCGTCGATTCAGCGCATGTTGGATCGTAAGCCTCTTTCGCATGCATCATTCACACTCTGCACTCTCCATGCCCATCTGCCAGTTCCGGATGACTGGGCAGTGAAGGGCGGAGTCCCAATTCAAATCCAAGATTGGCGTCGATCAGGGGCTTCCAAACGGGCTGCTTTCGACGTCGGCGTGTTTGAAGTGCCAAACATGCTCGCGAATAACGGGCGGGAGCCGGGAACTGTTGGCTTCCGACATTTCCTGGAGTTTCCATTGGCCGATGCAGTCCGATATACCGGTCCTCAAGAGGCGAGACAGGCCTTGAATATGCAACGAGTAATGACACTCCCGGCCACAGAAGCGTTCGAATTGATGGATTCGTACAACAAGCCGTATTCGCAATGCCTGAGCGGCGCCGTCTTCGATCGACATCAACTCATTCGGGACGGGCCTTCAGGATGGAAACGCATTGGGGTACGGGATATCAATCTTTATACTCTGACCAAGCGGATGAATCAGCTGCGACAGCTGCGGTTGAATGTACTACAAGATGGTTCGACGATCACGATTCTGGACGTTGAAACTCCCCGTGAGATGCATGATTTACTCCACACGCAATTCCTGTATGCTCGCCCACCTCCAGCCGATCTCATACCAAGTCATCCGCAGAGCATCAAGTCTCAAATTAAGAACCTCGCCACGGTGCTAGCTACTCCGGGGGCCTGGATCGATTTCAGCCTGCCGGAGTGGCGTTTGCGAATCGGTCAAATTCTATACGAGACTCCGCCGCATGGGGACGGGGACTGTGTCAAATTTGGCCCCGGGGAGTCTAAAGAGCCGTGGATTAATTCTGGGATGGAACGCAAGTGGTTGCTGGTTCAATTGCTCCTGGCGGCAGAGCTACTGTTCCGTCTTGATGCCTTCGTCCACGTTGGCATGCTGCATGATCCTCATGGCGGCGTGATCACAGCTCCAGAACTTCATCACTTCGATAAATTGCGAGAGGGTAAAGTCAACTGGGATCTGGTTGTCGTGCGTCGGTTCCTTGACAACCTCGAGATCACTTGCGCCTCTCCATCCGAATCACCATCTGCCCCTGATAACCCGCCCCCATCCCCTACCGATAAGGCGCCTACAAAAAGCCGACGTTTCGCCCTGCTCGACTCCATCAGTCGCCGTATCGCATCTACTGGCGGGCCTGATATTCGTTCCGCCTGGCAGTGTCGGATCAGCTCCCCTCACGTTCGACAGCAACTGGAAGGCCTATACGTCTTCGCCGAGAATATCGGATGGCTAAACGTTGACGCTGTACGGTCTACTTTCGAACAGAAACTGACAAATGGAAAAGATCCTTTTATTCCGCGTGAAGGTTCGCGCAGACTGGAGAATAAGTCCGCTAATTCCAAGACGACGGCACTGGACAAAGACAACATGTACTCACGCAGCCAGTCACGTCGATGTGTTGAGCTTCACAGTTCATGTCGTGAAGACGATGATCCGCATGCAGGCGAGCCTCTAGGCTGGATTTCTCGAAGCTTGCTTTCAGGACTGGTCGTTCCGGGCGAGGCAATTTGCCATCTGCTTATCGGTACCCTTCTGGAAAACGATGGCGATGCAATTGAGCAACTGGGGCCTAAGGCGAATATGTTCGGTGGCTTTTCATACAAAGGACGCAGCTACTGGAGCAAAGCTTCGATCATTGGACGTGTAATAGCCAGCCTAGAGGGCGCCAAGACCTGCATGGGTTGGGTGGGCTGCGACGTGCTTCCCCGCGATGCGACTACGAATGAGAGCTTGGAGCCTGGTTGGTTTGAGATCCAGGCCAGCGAGGCTCTATGCAAGGCTGGTAAACCTCGCATCAAGCAATCTGGGAAGCTTGCAATGGAGTCGACGCCTCTGGGCATGGGCGATATCACCGCGGAGTCATTTACGTTACCTACCGATCGACCAGCTGGACCAGAGCTCGATGTCCAGCTTGATGCCCTAGCACTGTTGATAACCTCTTCCGAGAAGCGAAGCATCACTGTCAGTGACCAGGCCAAGCTCTCCTTTTCCCTTTACGGATCTATAGAAGCCCCAACTACGGTTTCCTTCCCTCTCGCACATCACGTGCGCTTCATATCAGCCCATGCATGCCGTCCACCGCTAGGGTTTACAGCGTACCACCAAAATAGCTCGTCGGACGAGCCGACAGCAAAGAAATGGAGCAAGCACAAGCGCCTACCAGGGCATCCGCTGCACCGATCTTTCCCATATAGGCATATCTCGCTGGAATCTCTGGCTCACCAGCCAGCCCCGCAGGCTGATTCGTCTTCTGGAAAGAGCCCCGAAGTTCTCGTGATTGATGCTCGCGGCAGTCGAAGCAGAGAGACCTTCGCCCGGGCCTGGTGCGCATCCATTGGCTGCCATGCGGTGATCGGCCGAGTGGGGAGGGCATGCGTCGCGTGCTGTGTTAGGGAGGCGAGGGCCCTGGATGTTCAGGTGGTTGTGAGAGTGGGTGAGTGCGCAATTCGTGTCTTGGACAGATGAGATGATCATCAAATCCCCCGCCCGATGTACATGATTTCGGTGGCAAAACGGAGTTGTGGAGGGGAAGCTGGATGTGCAGGCGATTGGGGGAAATTCCAATAGCCAGTCTCCATGCAGTACAGTGTATAACGCGCATCTCCAGTTCGCCACATGGAGCACATGAGTTTCTCGCGCAATGAACAGACCAAGTCAGGGTACAACTGCCCAAAGGTAAGCTTTCGGGGATATACCGGCATTCACACAATCACACGGGCCCAAGCCCCCTTTTTAGACAAAACGTTTTTTTTCTCCCTTGGTCCCTAGTGGAATTGAGGCCAGCATCATTAGCGAGCTGGAAAGCTCCAGAAAATACCACCTTCCTTTTTGCCAGGGGGGGGGGGGGGGGGTCCCAGAGGGGAAGTTTTCGGTCTTGGGAGGACGCGTAAGTGCAGGTAACAAGTTAAAAGAGGAGACCCATTACGAGCAGCCGAGCAATGCCGTATGGGGTCAAGGGCCCGAGAATGGTGAAACAACCGGGTCTGCCTCCAGAAGTGCAATTTGAGCCAGTGAGGTCCCTGCATTCCCACCCCACCCAGGGAAAATGCATAAAATTGAGTAAAAAAAAAAAAGAAGAAAAGCTACATAGAGAGAAGTCTGGGTCCCTCAAGATCGGGCCCACGATATGATAACGTATAGATCTCAGACACGAGTAGTTTTCTTGTGCGTTGCTCCACCTCGGGAATTAAAGCCCAGAACCACGACTGGGGCTCAGCTCGAACATTCCCGGGAGATTGCACATTTGTGGACACCATGGACGACCTACAGTACATGGTGCAGTACATCAAATCAGGCGATCCACGGAGTAACACCGACTCTATACCCAAGAGGTCGAATGACCTGCCAAATTGGTTGCCGAAAGGGTTTCGGCCCCCGATACAGTAGGATACGCAGGTGGTAAGATCAGACTCGACACTAGGGGCCTAGGGAGGACTCCGTACACCTGCAGCACCTGAGACCGGCAGTTGGTTTTGGCAGATGAAAACATGGCTGCCCACTAAGCCCGGATCAGGTTAGCGAGGAGGTCCAAGAGCGAGTAATTGAAGAAGGGAAAGAACAAGAGAGTAGTACGGAGTACTCCGTCCACGAAGTAGTGCCAGCAGTTGCTAATTGTAGAAAATGGGGGTTTGCCGGAGCTCCGACTGCCCTACAAGTTTGAAACTAAAAACTAGGACTAGAGTGCTTCTCGAATGTCTCAGAATATAGACGCGAATTTTTGGTTTGAAAACAGAGATCTGAGTCAGCCCTAGACCCTTGTTTCGCAAGTCTTCGTTTCAGATCGGAACGTTGGGAGGACGAGGGGGGAGGGGGCCTAGTGGGGGGGGGTTCCGGACCTCACCCAATTGCCCAAGCGAGGCCGAGGTGATTGGATTTACGAACATGTGGCCAGAGAAACATTCTACCTTGGGTCCAGCGTATCCCCTGGCGTCTTGCTGAGGGGCAGGCGACTGCGAGATCTATCGCGTGCTTGACAAGTCGCCGCGTCAACACATGTGCCTTGTAAATGCACCCCGACTTCTTCGGATATCACATACCCAATCATGACCTGCCTCCTGGTCTTCGCGAAGCTGCTTCGTCGATCTTCGCTCAGAGCGTGCTCTGCGGGGCCAGGGCTGAGTCTCTCATCGTTGCCCAAAGGGCGGTCGAGCCATGCCGAGAATGAGCGAGGTCCCGAGGGTTTGGGATTGAGAAAATGGGAAATGGAGGTGTGTACGGAGTACACACATACGAGGCGCCCTATGTCCTTTCGGTGATTAGGAGGCGCACACCGCGTCCACCGGAAGTACACCCAAAGCCACGCCTTGACACGCTTCTTCGCCTCTTTTGAGCCAGTAGAATATCAGAAATGGCCACTGATGGTCATTGATGCTTACTATGGTTGCCTCCCCCCCCCCCCCCCCCCCCCCTTTTTTTTTTTTCTTTTTTTTTGCCTCTGACAGGAGAGCATCGTTGAAGCCTGAAGCACTCTCGCTTTCTCCAACGCAGATCACGCCCTATCCTCGTCTCGACCCTCTCAAGATGGGGGCTTTCGTAGAAACTTCCTTTCTGCTCCCTATGGGTCCGCGATGGAAGCTCGCTTCTGGCTTCGAAGAAGATCGTGCGCTCGTTTCGACGGGTGCCAAGGCTACGGCTGTAACGCGCTACCGCGTCACGATGATCCTTAATTAAACCTTGACAGTGAAGGCCCACTTGGTGCCAGTCTGTCGCAGAAAACGGCAAGATCGCTCAACATCATCCCACGAGCCCGTTGGTGGCCAATGTCTAAGCCATCGGACCGTTGTCCATCTCGGGCGTAGTTGTGCATTTCCTTCTCCGATCTACTGCCCCAGCGACAGGGTAACCATGTCACTGTTGCTCGGTATACTCCGGAAAACCAAGAGGCTACAGTAATTCCTCTGTCTTGGCATAGCCTCGGCTGGATCAGATCCAAGGGCCTTGAGGACAAGCTGGATTCGATTATGATTAAGATTGTCTTGATTGACCGGGTTGCCGGAATCCCATCAACCAAGGTACCAGAGCCCGACTGGTCTCCTCAATTGTATTGCGGGTAAAACTGGTTTGGTGACTAAGTGCCACCGACAACCCTCATTGGCCACTCGTCAATTACTGGGATCATGGAAGGCCGTTGGTTTTTACCCTGCAAGTGGAAAAAAAAAAAAAAGAAAACCTGGAACCCAAAGGTGAGCTCGAAAGTGAGCTCGAAAGTGAGGCGATGACATCGACGGAGCCCGCTAAGGAATTAAGCTACGCCCCAGACACTGGCCAAGATCCGAGCGAAGAATCATGGAAGGAAGTAAGAAAAAAAGGGGTTGGGCGTAATAAAAAAAAAAAAAAAAAAAAAAAGACAAAAGAGAAAATGAAAAATAGAATGAAAAAAAGGCCGCAAGACCCATTGCGTGCTTCTTCGGTATGAACCTGATACATACACATCAGCCGTGGACCCTGAATCTGTTTTTAGTACCAATCAATCTGTGGTTCGTTCCTGAATCAATGGTACTATTCGTGCAAAATAATAATAATTATCATCACATCAGCGGCGTTCTCCGGATTTATTGGATGTATACAGTATCTCGCAATTAATCTTAAATGCGCTCCCCTTCGAGAAGCCCTCAAGGTTCTGGAGATCACCCTCCGGAATGACCAGACAGAGAAGGTTATTTGGGTCAATGGACCCTAGAGAAAAGAAGCTCATTGGTTCTAGCTGCCGACCCAAGCCTACGTCGCCAATCATCAAACTGGGACTTGAAGGAAGAATTCCCCAGTTCATCAATGATTGACAGGTAGCCCTCCTGGCTCTAAGCCCGAAGCGTACACGCGCGACCAACTTCCAACACCCACACCGACCCCACTGTGTCAGGGCTCCCAGACCATGGTTCCTCCCTCTGCCTCATTTGCCATGAACCGGCCCCGGGGGGTCTATCGTACGCAATCAGGGGCTATGAGTTTACCTAATCGGGTTGCATGGCCAGGGAATGCAAAGTACTGGTACCAGTGTTTAAAAATGGAAACAGTGCACATAATCTACCTGGGAATGAGAAATTAATGAAAAATTAATCAAGTAAAATAAAAATCAACTAAAGTAAAATCCACAGACGTGAGACTGTGAATAGTAGTTCCGAACTCTCTCTCTACTGTATGAGTACAAGAAGTGTGAAGCAGGTTCGCCCCGTGGCCCCCCTGAGTTGGGTCTGAGATCATCGATGTGGTCCATGACAATGACCTGCAGTTGATTCGGGCTAAGTCGATACATCCGTCTTAGTCCTAGTGTCGGTCTGATGCAGAGCCACTTTGTTCCACGTATGGATATACTCTGAAAATAAAATAAAAAATCGAAAGAAAATAAAAGGGAAAGAAAAACAAAACCTGGCTCAGGGCGTTTCACCCCGCGATTAGCTCCCAGTTCTTCTTCGTGTCTATACGACGTCCTCGATCTTTCTCTCTCTCTCCAGTTTCACCCAATCCACCCTATTCACTCCTTTGGTTTCTCGTTTCTCTGCCCTTTCGCCCTGACTAATATTCTCCTACTGTGGACGTTTGACTGGTCCCTTTTTTCCGATCTCATACTGGATCAACCATACCAATCTAGACCCTAAAACAGTCCATCCTCCCACGCCGCGCGCCCACTCCCCCTTTCATGAAGCACTCTAATTCCTATAATTATCATTGATTAATTCACCAATTACCGGATACAGCTCGGGTTTCGCGGAGACCCAAAACTGAGTTCCAATCAACCCTCGTCCGTTCATCTTCCCCTCGCCGCGCACCTCTTCCTTGGCCGATACACGACGGCCCCTCCCCCGACCTGCAACCGCTTCGCTCTGAAACGCGCGCAATATCATTAACAGTCCCGTTGTGGCGCAGGGTGGAACCGGAGTGCTCAGACAGGCACCGGCGTCATCATCCGGAAATCGCGACCCCTCCGGTACTTTCTCTCTCTTTCTCTTTCTCTTTTTTTCCCCCGGTGGCTGCATGGCCTGGTGTTTTTCCACTTTGCATTCGCCCCGGACCACGTTTCGAGACTGTTTCGATACGAGCCCGAGTGTCTAGAAGGCTGCGCCGTTGCAGCGCCGTTGATGCGATTCGGGTTGGAGTAGTGATAAGATCTCTTCGCGGGGGGAGCTATGCCCGTGGCTGTTGAGACTATGGCAACGACACCGAATTCACAGAGCGCCATGGACGCCGCAAACGACAAGAAGCGTAATAAGTTGGGATATCATCGGACGTCAGTCGCATGTGGTCAGTCACTCCATTTTTTTACTGGCTGTCTGCTTGCTGTGCCGTCTTGCTGTCTTGCGCATTGTCGCGCGTGAGATGCGCAAGATAAGACCTAGACTCTATGCGCGTGGTCAGCTATGTGATGATATAGAGGGGCCCTTTTGCTGATACATCTTGGGCACAGTACATTGCCGGCGACGAAAGATCCGATGCTTAGTAGCAGCAGACGACCCGCAGGGACGATGTGAGAACTGTATTCGATTACGAAAAGATTGTCAATTTTTCCCAGTCGATCAACAACCGCCGGTGGAGAAGAAGTCGCGGCCCAGTTCGAGATTAGAGACGGCATCTGGGGGCTCAGCGACGACTCCAATTTCCTCGTCGCCGACCAATTTGAACGCGGAATCGGTCGATACGTTTTATCAATATCAGCAGGTCGCCATGAATTCATCAGGGCAGGATATGGCGACTTTCCCACCCGGCGCATTTGCTGGGAACCCCATGTCGGGCTTTGTACCAGGTAGGTTGAAAGATTAGAGGTGGAACCCACGTGAGGTTCAATCGCTGACAAGAAAATCGCATGTAGACCAGTCTATGGGACCAGGGGAATTCACTAGACATCCGATGGAAGCAGGAGTTTGGGATGAGTTTACGACGATATCTGACCCTCAAATTCTGGCCACTATGAACGCAAATAAGAACCAGATGATGAATCTGTCGCCCAACGTGTGGCCAGCTGGATTGCCGCCCAATTCGCCCATGTCTGCAGCATCACCCATGGCAGGCCAAGCACAGCCTTTGAATCCCGGCGCAACATATGCTATGCAGCCCGATGGAATGGTCTGGCAAGTCCCACCCCCACCGTCAAGGGCGATGAGCTACCCCGGTCAAGATGTGGGCTCTTCCTTTCCACAACAATTCCAACCTCAGATGGCCCCCGACCTCAAGCGGAGGATGACAACACCCGCGCAAACAGTCGCCTCGCAAGGCGCATCAGGACCAACCCCCGACATGCAGGTACCTCCCGGATCCTATCCAACACAAGCAGGGATGGGATTCCCACAGTGGCCTAATATGAACGCCATGCCTGGTATGGGAGTGATGCAGTACCCCATGTACGGGGACGTCCAGCAACAACCATTCACCAATCCTCCTCCAATGGGGCATCCCGGCGGACCAGGACGATCGGGTCCCTAACACACACACACACACACACACACACACACACACACACACACACCTCCCCCTCCTTCATCTCCGGGCACATTTATAAGACCTTATTTTCTCTATGGACCCGGACACCAGTCACGTTATACCACACATTTCAAGGTTCTTAGACGGCTTGTTTCATTTCTAATACCCCGTGGGAGATTTACATTTTTGGGTTTTTACATTTGCGCTTATTTCCTTATTCCATTTCGCCTTATTCATCCTCATACACCGTGGCGGGTCTGCTATTGCAGCTGGTCATTAGCGGGCGCAAGGGTTTTTGGGTGGCATTTCTTGTTTCGTTCCATCATGGCATGGCCCACAGCCTTATTCTTTACTCGCGGTTCATAAGCAGTGTCTCTTTTTGCATTGGAGGATCTCTGAATTATTTCTAATTTTTCCCCCTTCTCGTTTTCCTCTGTGGGAAGATATGATTTGGTGGTGTTTCCTCGGATCAGGAAGACAGACATTGGCTTAGTTTTGGAGAATTTTGTTTTCGGGCACCTATAGACTTTCTTTTTTTTCCCCTCGTCTCTTTCAATCTCTCTATCTTACCCATGTTCTCTTCTCATCCCATCCTTACCTCTTCCACTTTGGTTCCCTTTCACGATGGATACAAATTATTTGTTCCTACCCTGGTGCATGGTTTGATTGCCCTTGTCCAGTCTATCTTATGGACCAGGGTACATCAGGGGGGAGGTCGGTGATTGGACAAAATGATTTGGACCACAATGACGCGCGACTATCGGACTTTTTCGATAAGCGAGGGTGAGTTGACGCCGATACCAGTCACCTTCTGAGATCACAACGCGAGACCTCGACGCTAAGGGGTCACGATCTCTATTGAAGTTGTATATCCCGGGTTCTATGAGGATCACATACGCTGTACATATTACATTCTACCTTCGGAGCTGGATCTGCATGCTACTTCATATCCATTCCATCCAAACCTTCTCTGCCGTAGGCGTACCCAGGTGTGAACCCTCAAGTAGTGTATTGAAAGTTCCGCACAAGGATAGGGGGGACAACCTTGATGGCGAAGTCTTCGCGCACTTGATCTACGCCCCGTCGGAGAAATATTTCCGTTGGAAGGTAAAAAAAAAAAAAAAAAAAAAAAAGGAAATGGGATCTCTCATTGCGTATTGTTTCATTGGGCTTCTTAGATTTCGCTGTGGTCTAGTTTATCTTGTCCAAGCATTCGATCAGGACACTTTATCGTTCTTGCATCACGAATCTACTTATCTCTAAGAGTTTCATCTAATAAACTTTATCCTGAGATTACAGATGCCAGGGACGCTGATCGAGATAAGGCGGAGTTTAGGTGTCACACTCGTGGCCACTATTGGCTCCGATCTTCGTTCACAGGGCGCATTTTGACCAGAGGCATTTGTCGTGCATCCTGGTGGGACTCCGGCATCGGTGTCACGCCTCATATTGGGCATTGTTTGCCGCGAATGAGCAGTTGACGTGTTGCCGCGCCATTCTGTTTCTCTATGTGCACAGTCCTCAGAAGGCAATCGGTGCCCCAGTTGGAAGATCTACTCGGCCTCGTTCGGGGCTCAGCAGCCGCATACATCAACCCTATCAAAGGCGTATGTCCGAGAACATGCCGGATGCGCTATGCACTGGGGGCAACAACTGAGATGAATAGAAATCTGTTTTTGCACCGCCCTTTATAGGACGGACCGACCCATGCTTATCCTGCAAGGGGTCTGTGTCAAATGTGACACCATGATAGTAGATCCGACTGATTGTTCAAATGATATCTGTAAGGTCCGACGCAGCTCCGAGGAGATGATTGTCTCTTGGTCCAAAACCCTGCTGATGGCGTCAGCGCTCCCGGTGCCTTAAGTCCAATCAGTTCCCTGCTATCTCAGCATATCTCACACAGTCGGTGAGCATTGGAGATATCAGGCCGAGTCTGACCCGGAGAGTAGACACATCGAAACCCGATTTATCAGTCATATCATCGTCATAGAAGTGATGAGCAGTTGACCCGTTGATGATAAGAGGGTTTTACACAGATGGCAAGATATTATTCGACGCCACATCTTGGGGATCAACCGTCGGAGAGAGTCTGGGGTGAAAATCTGGAGATAGCAGATCCGAATCGTTGGTCCACCAAAAGTAGATAAAGGTAGCGGTGTGGTTCAGATGCAGTGGATAGGTCCCATCGGACTCCAGTTAAATTCTGTTTGGAGACCCATTCGCCCCAGTTGAGGGCATTGATAACGACTTTCTTTGGGGGGTATATGTGCAGGATGATCTCCATTTTTGCGCCTCACTCTTTCAGGAGGTTCTTATCTCGTTTTGAGTCCCCTGGAACCCCCGAGATATGCAGAATTACCCCCGTTGGCCATTGTCGTATCGCCCAGGCAGGCACACGGGCTTTCGGTAGCGTCACACCTTATCGAGACAGTTTCGAGTGATAAACGAACGCTCCGGCGCCTGGCATTCGAGATATATAGACCTCGTTTCTCGCATCCCTAGAACGGGGTTTTCTTTGGAGAGGGGGAAAGGGGTTGGCCCAAGTGTTCCCCCCTCCAGACTCCCCTCCATGGATTTCCATCCGGTCTCTTCAACAGAGTATTGAACCGAGTTAGGGATCTTCATTGCAATGAGGACACTTGGGCACCTAGGCACCTGGACACCTGGACACCTGGACACCTGGACACCTGGACACCTGGACACCTGGACACCTGGACACCTGGGCCCATGAGCCTGTTTACCTTTTACATATGTGCAGCGTCGGTTTCTTTTTCCCCCACGCTTCCCTCCAACCTAGGCAACTCCGGGCTGGACACTCATATGAGGGTTGTCCACTGGTTGCCCTTGCCCGAAGCGAGATGGGATTTCAACCTAAGCGCAGGTGCCGGGTGAAAAGCCCCCAAAAAACATCAACCACCCAAAGGCCGGAAAGTACTATGTTGCCCCCCCCCCCCCCTGTCCCATGTCACTATTTCTCCCCTATCCTCACGAGGGCGAGGCCTGAGAAGTCAAAAGTACCGCCACCTCCGTGACCCCGGTCAAATTATCATATCTTACTGCGCCGTGCGCCATGGCCCACTTTGGACATCCCGGACCAAATCGACCATGGGCAATTATTGCCCAGCTGCAGATGGAACGCGGGTTACGTCGGGATGTATCCCGTCCCAATATGCTGGAGGGCCGATCCCCATTGCCTCCTTTTTTTTTGCCTCTCACGCGACAGGAACAGAGGGCAAACTCTACGGATCCGAAAACTGACATCAGATGGAAGACACTTGGAAAAGTCAAAAAAAAAAAGATCGAAGACACTACCAAATATCCGAACCTCCACCATGACCGTCATAGGCACTCCACTCTAGGTTGAGCCGTGTGAACGAGGGGATCGGCGGCGACTATCTAACATGACCACCACTAATTACCATATGCTTGGCAGCTTATCACCGTTCTTATCTTGTCATATCTTGGATGCCCCGACCTTCGGTGGAGCTGTGGGGCCCAAATGAACGGGCACACGAGTAGATGTCCGATTTGAGATGATGTACCTGCGAGAGGTGTGCAAGTGTTTCGGTTCCCCCACTCCGGGGGGATGATCGTGATGTCAAAAGGCCAGTCGGAAAGACCAGCGATACATGGAGTTAACCAAGCACGGTGGCAAACCTATAGAAAAAAGGGAAAGAAAAAAAAATGAAAAAAAAGAGGCAACCTCTCAGGAGCTGACATTAGCCGGGTTTAGGGAAACTCTGGGTTTCGAATGAGAATGGACGAAAATGGTTAAATGGGAATGGGGAATGAGAGCAACGAGTGGAAGTGGAATGGTTACCCCCGCGAACGTTTGAACCGTGAAAGACCCATACCGTCACATACACATTACCGCACCAATACAGGCCTCGGGTAATTTAGGGTGGCCTCTCGGTGAGTACTTGTCCCCAGGTCACAAAGGTGCTAGATCCTCGAAGCCGTTTAAGCTCGTTCTATGGTCGGGGGGCATCATGTCTTATCTCGCCGGGATCCATCCGCGCTGACGCTGCTATCTCCGAACCGTCTCTTTTTATTTTCCCTCCCCTCGCTCGCTCTCATTTTCTTTCTCTCTCTCTCTCTCTCTCTCTTTCCACCCCCCCGGTCCCTATGCTCACGATACAGAACACTGATGAAGCAGGGCATATACGGGACATGAGTGAGATCTATAATCTATAATTGATAGATACAAGAGCCAATAGACATAATCTCCTGCATCCTACATCCTATTTCCAATCCCATCAGTTACAATAGACCGGTTCGGGACTCCACTGAAAAGCAACCTTTTCCACCCGGCTCCACTCTTACACTTCTGGACACGCTCCGGACTTGACCTAGGTTGTCTTTTCGGCTCCAGACTGGCAAGTAAACTGCCTAGTCAAAGTACCTGCATTACTGGACAGTCTCGAATTGATTCTCGGTCTCGGCCCGATACACAAGCGACCCCACGTCCCGACATTTTCATTCGCCATGAAGCCATCGCGACCTCGAGAATGAGGGCCGTGCGTGGTCCGCCGCCGGGGCTCACGAGGCTGCCCACGAGTACGATTCGTGGAATTATCTATAGGTCAGAGGCTATGGCCACGAGAGGGACTGTTGACTCCTAGATCTCGGAAGTGGCGTCCTAGCCGCATGATTCCTGCGTGAAGCTGTAGTGGTAGCTAAGAGAAGCGCCGTAAATCGGTCGATGCCCGGATACATGTAATACACGTACCCATTCAAGTCCATTTACGATTTACAATTTACAATTTACAATTTACAGACCTCGTTCAACTTGGCACATATCACTTCCCAATTCCTCGCTCTCGATCTCTCTCTCTCTCTCTTCTTGACTCAATATTCCTTCCCCCTCCCCCCTTCTCCTCCCACTCTTGACGCTGGTCTCCAGCTTCTCTCGTTTCCTCGCTCTACGGTGGACTCCCACGCCGTGCACATTCCCTCGGGTCGCACTCCCCTTCCCCGTCGCAATCGCATCTCGGGGCATGAGCGTCTGGAGGGTCTAGCCCCCCCTCCACGACAGTAAGGACGGTAAAAAAGATAGTCCAAACAGTTAGGATAGGACTGGGTGGTGGCAGACCATCGTGTGTACCCCTCCAAAGCCCATCTGCACATCCGTATGGAATGTACTGACGTCGATGCTGACCCTGGTCGTTGGCTGCGCCATCCTACCAATCGCTTCACTCGCTCGACTTTCTATTTCCAGGGTCTCGTCTACGGCGGGTACGGGGATATTCCAATTTGGACTATCCACTTGAAACCCCCCTCCCTCCTCTTCCTTATTTATTCTTGACATTTTCCCCCCTCCTTCGACATGGAGGACATCCATCATGGAGGCCATGCGGGAGCCCGACCGCTGGCTTTCCCCGACATTGACATCGATTCACATATGATGTCCGATGACTTTTCCTTCGGCTCTCCATTCAGTCCGACCAACTCTGCCGCTCAGGACGGTATGCTCCAGGATCCCATCTTCCCGGAGTGGAAAACCGGTGTTCCGCGCGGTGGCGACAATCCCGAGGAATTGCAGAAGCAGGATCCCCTCGCCGCGCAAATCTGGAAGCTCTACACTCGCACCAAATCTCAGCTCCCGAACCAAGAGCGCATGGAGAATTTGACCTGGCGGATGATGGCCATGAACTTAAAACGGAAGGAACGGGAACAGCAGCAACAGGCCAGGTAGGCGATCTTCCATACATCCATTCCTTCCACCCCCCCCCCCCGATGAGCGGATAGCTCATGTCTTGGCCTGCAGGTCTTCGCAAGCCCAGCAAGATACCATCAGTCCCACCCCGAGCGGCATCGCGCAGTTGCATCTGTCCGACCAGGCGTCGAACTCGACCACCATGAATCACGATGCCACTCCCGATCCCATGAACCTGGATGACTTCATCGTCCCCTTTGACTCCCCCGCCGATTACTCCTCCCATCCCCATGCCGACCGACACTTTACCGCCACCCCGACCGGGATCCCTATCAAAGCGCGCAAGGATCACCCCATGACCGATTCCACCGTCGCTGCGTCCTTCGGCCACCCCCCGCAGGAGCAGCGCAAGAACAGCGAGTTCGGCTATGTGGCCCGTCGAGTGCGCAAGACGAGCGTCGACGAGCGTCAGTTCTTCAACGGTCTCGGCGTTCCCGGTCGCAAGCGTCCCGCCGAGGCATCCCCTCAGGTGCCCCCAGTGTCCAACGCCATGCTGTCGCAGCACTCGGAGCTGTCGGCCGCGCTGCCTGATTACTCTTTGGACCATCCGTCCTCGGCCTTTGCCATGCCGGGCAACGGCACCGTCGGCCCCCGTCGTCACCAGCATCACCACTCCGGCGTTCCCTTCGGTCTCGATACGTATGGAATAGGCGGCGAGGAGTCTGGCATCAGCTCGGCTGGTCCCTACCAGCAGCACTTTGCCTTCTCGCCTTCTGATTCTCCCATGGCGGCCAGCAATCCCTTCTCCAATCTCTACGCTCAGACTCCCTTGGCCTCTTCCCTCAACTCCACCGAGTTCTTCTCTCCTCCCCCCTCGGGGTACCAGTCGACCGTTTCGACCCCGCAACCCATATATGAGGGAGAACAGTCCATGTTCTTCTCCGATGCCCCCTCGGCGGAGTCTCACTCTCAGCGCCGAATCCCTAACTACATTCAGCACCGCCAGTCGAACTTGTCAGCCTCGCTGCAGCCTCGTCACATGTATAATACCAACGGCGATTTCCATTCGAATGGTGTTAGTGGCCCGCCTAGCTCCATGCACTCGTCCGCGTTCTCCGTGCCTGGCCCCCAACATGTGGATCCCTCGCAGGTGCTTGGTCCCGGCGAGTTTTCCACGACAGCGCCCAGCAGCAGCATGTTCACATTTGGCGGGGACTCTGATAATGAGGACGAGGATGGCAACCAGTTTGAACGCGGTGGTATCGCCATGCCGCATGACTTTGCTTCCATGGAGGACTCTGGTGATATAAACGCAGGGATGACCTGGGATGCCGGTTTCCCCGGATCTGTCCAGTCGCTGCCGGGTTTCAACGGCCAGCATCGCAAGCATGTTACCATCGGCTCGACCGACATGATGGACGGCCCGCCCGAATGGCACCACGCTGGCAGCCTGGGTCGTGGCCACGGCTCAGCCGCCTCAGTCAGTGATGTACGCAACCGGGAGCTGGATCCTCGTCGGCAGAAAATTGCTCGTACAGCCTCTACCCCTAACGCCCCTGGGCTGCTGCGACAACATATGAACGGCACTGCTAGTGGGCCGCCGACCAACCACCCGTCTCCCAACACGCCCCCCGAGTCAGGCCTCAGTAGCGCTGTGCCGTCTCGGCCAGCCAGCCCCGGGGGTTCGAAGAATGGAGATCCCAATGCCGGTCCAACCACATGCACCAACTGCTTCACTCAGACCACCCCCCTCTGGCGGCGCAACCCCGAAGGCCAACCCCTATGCAACGCATGTGGTTTGTTCCTTAAGCTTCACGGCGTTGTTCGGCCGCTTTCTCTGAAGACCGACGTTATCAAAAAGCGTAACCGCAGCAGCGCCAACAGTCTCGCCGTTGGCACTTCCCGGTCCTCCAAAAAGTCTTCTCGCAAGAACTCCGTCGCTCAGGCCGGTCCCACCAGTGCGGCTGTTTCGCGCGCCCCCAGTGGTACCACATCCGAGTCACCACCTGCGATGACTGGGTTGAGTAAATCTGGCGTGGTCCCCATCGCTGCCGCCCCGCCCAAGGCTGGACCCCCAGCTGGGGTTGCTCAGGCTCGGGCCGGTGTGCAGGTGGCACCTCGCCGCCAGCGTCGTCTGGAAAGGGCCCCGCCCGGGTCTGATCCAGACACAGACGAGAGCCCCAAAGCGAGCGCACCCTCCGGTCGATCCAAGGTGGTGCCCCTGGCGCCAGCCATGCCACCCGCAGCGGCCAACCCCGCCAACCATAGTATTGCGGGTGGTCAGGGCGCAAGCCAGGAGTGGGAATGGCTCACCATGAGTCTTTAATCGAGCTCATCTTCTCATTCTGTCAATGTCTCCCGACATGACGAAGCTGGTCGCTGTTCCACTAATTCCATCCATTACATGATTAATGTCCTCTTGCTGGTGGTCTCGCGTGGCTTTGCGATCCCATGCTTCATGTTTTCCCTGTGTTTTTTTAATATGTTACGTCTGCTTGATGATCTGATTTGATTGATACAATCGCGTCTGTCTCGGACCCCGGCTATTTTCTGTTGTTTGTTCTAGTCAGCCCAGGGCCGAGCAGAAGTGCGCATCTCTTGTCTGATTTTCTGATTTTATTCCTTTTATCTCGCCTCTTTTCTTTTCCTTGCGCTGCTGAGCAGACCTTGATGTGTTTTTTTCCACTACTAGATATTGAATTTGACTACGATTGTTATGACATTGCTGTGCTACTTGCTACTTCCTACTTCGGTTCGTATGTTTCTGTAGACGGAATTGTGTATACTGTATACTTCCATGCCAAAGCGAAGCGGCCCACGAGTGACTCGGCGAGCGATAGCCCGACATGATAAATGGGCTAGGCTCGAACCTGCCTGGCATTTCGGCGCGTGATAGGAGATGCATGCTGGGAGCACAATTCAGTCCTATTGATCCGGGGTAGAGGTAGATGGGGAAGATCAACAGGAAGCGGGACTCGAAAGAAGGAATGTGCGATCGTGGGTCACCCACGTGGTAGCCTTATGTTCATATGCCGTCTATGCGATCAGTGTATAAAGTTGCATAGTGGATTCTCGGTGGATATCATTCGCATTCACCCGGTACTTGATGATCCGAATGGGATTTCCAGATAGGGTTAGCCGGTCGAAAGATCCATTTCTGTCTATCGTCACGTCAAACTCGTTCGATAGCATTGATAAATGGCGTCTGCCTGATTTTACAAGATTCCCAGTTTCGTACTCGTCACGGTTGGACGATGAACTATAACCACGATTTTCTTTTGGGGTTATATTGACACCTTACCTTTAGGGCGCTTATCGGCATCACGTGTGGATAACCATTTAAAAAAAAAGCGGCGCCGCTTCGATTCAACATCATTAACCGCAGCCATGGGATCTAGCGCCAAAAGAAAGAAGGAGAAGCAAAAGGACTTCCAGGTAAGGATGATTGATCACTTTCTATGGCGAACAGTCTGACTAATTCACGCAGAAACCCAAACTCAAGGTCGGTAAGGCCAAGGCCAAGCCGGAGAACTTCACAGACACCAGCTTCCGAGCCAAGGGTAGGCACATTGTCCATCTAGTTTGAGCTTGAAGAATAATTGCTGACACCCCAAAGCAATCACTCTTAACCAACAATCCCTCCATGTCGCCGCACCAACTTCCAACAGCCAATTCTCCCACTTCCTCTCCCTTCTCTCATCCAAATCCGACACCCAGCGCCGCGACTCACTCGCCCACCTGACGACCGCAATCGCGTCACGACCAGTAAACCAACCTCTACCGCAACCAGTGAGCGTAATGCTGCCGAATCTACTCCCGCTCATCCTCGACTCAAGCAACAACGTCCGCACCCAGCTCCTCAAGTTCCTTCGTACCCTGCCGCACAATGATGTACAGGACCATGTTGGACAGCTTCTTCCATACGTGCGCGCCGGCATGACACATCTTGCAGCAGATATTCGTGTCTCCGCCGTCGAGATCTTGTCCTGGATGGTCGAGGCAGCAGGCGAGAATGTGGTTTCCAGTGCAGGCGGATGGGTCAAGACCATGAACTGCTTCTTGTCTGTACTGGGATGGCATACGGAGGAGTCATCGCGGTGGTCATCAAACCGGGCTTCCTTCGGCAAGTCCGGTAGCAAGGGTAAGCCGATGATTAAGGTATTGGGCGCTCTGGCAGAGTTCTTGGATGCAGGAATTGGACCGCCCAGTGGTTCTAGTGACTCATCTGATCAGGAGCAATCCTCGACCTGGACTTTCCCTCTTTGCCAGACGGCCCACCACATGAACACTGAGTCAACGGCACCGTACGCCTATCTGAACTTGTTCGGACAGCCACGCGACGAAGAAGGGGAGATGTATGAAACCCGCGAGGATCGGTACCGAGTATTTCAAACCCGCTTCTTGCCGGCTCTTGACCGTGGGCTGAAGAGTGCGAGGGAGGAGGGCGGCGAGCTGGGCCGTGCATCGTCCAGCGTGAACAAGGTGCTGAAAGAGGCCGTTGCTTATGGCCCAGGGCCATGAAGGCAGTCTTTCTAATATTTCTCGGCCATCCATATCTGGCATACCTCTGCCTGGCTTGGATTGTGAGTCTCTTAACGAATGTCCACGAAACAAAAGCACAGGCTCGAACACATTTGAGCAAATAGATGGTCTACGGAAGCAGGAAATAGTGCATTCTGTGATCTTCAAACGCGGTCCTATTTCGCTACCTAAGCGAAGGCATACTGCTTCCACGCGCGAAGGATTAGCGACCGATATGGACGTAGATTGGCCACTTTCGCAAGCTTGGGCTTGATGGCGAGAAGCAAACCTTCCCAACTGGCCACGCCGAGTTTCTTTAGTGAAGCAGGATAACAGTGCATCAAGCATCAAATCATGTACAGCATAGCAGCCTCAAAACTGCTTGAACATTAGAATTCAAATGACCGTAAATAACTACCCTCAAGGCAATTCAAAACCATGTGCAATCTACACGTTCTTCTCCGACGCCAATTCTTTGAGTGACTTCTCATCCGTCGAGACCTGCACTCGATCGGAACTATCCGTCTCCACACCTTCAACCACAGCACCTCTCTCCTCATAGATCTCATCAGCGAGAACAGCGTGCTCGATCTGGGCTTCGCGCTCAGGAAACCAATGTGACAATGCCAAATAGACCAAACTAGTAGCGAAAAAGCCAAGCAACCAGCCGAACTGATAGGGATGAACACCCACGCCGACATCAATACTTGGGGTCACGGCATTAATCAGACCTGGCAGATTGGGTGTGACACCCACGATGAAAGCCACCAGGGCACGCCAGTTGAACCCCGAGACGACTTTGCCAGAAAGTCCGGGTATAGCACAGCTGTAGCGATAGATGGGGTTCTGGGGCTGATATAGTGCAAGAACATCATACTTGCGCTTATTGACAACCCAGAAATCAAACAGCATGATTGCAGCGATGGGGCCGAGGAAGATGGCATAAGCTGACATGAAACTCAAGAAGTTACCGGCCGATTCAAGAATCTTCCAGGGCACGAGGGCCCATGACAGCAACGCACAGAGGATCTGGCCACGGCGGATGTTGATGTATTCAGGAGCAAGCGCGGTGAAGTCGTTTGCGGCAGACAGGGAATTGGCGGAGATGTTCACTCCCAGAGATGCGAGTGCAAAGGAAGCAGCGCCGAAGAAGCGACAGGCGCGGTTGGGCCAGTAGCTGATCAGAACAGCTGGGTCCCATGGAATGGCGGCGAGTTTGTATTTGGTCTGGCCAGCAGATGAAGCCGCAATACCGATAAAAGCGATGAACGTAAAGATGATTGGCAGCATCGGAATATAGAGGAGTTGCCAGCGAGGGTTGACGCGAGAGTAACGAGAGAAATCAGACTGTGTGTGGTTAGATATGCATAGTAAAGTCCTCGTTTCAGAGGGATAACGTACTTGATTGACACTGAGCGTAGCATAGTTGCCCAAAACCGAAGTCATGCTCGCCAAAAACAGCCAACTGTATTGGGATCCCGAGACAGTCGCAGTTTGTTGGGCAAAGACACCTCCACCGTCCTTCTCCGATACAAAGGCCCAGATCAAGATGGCAATCCAGGCAATAGGCACGAGAACCGACTTGACCGCGAACAACCAGCGCAGCTTATTCGGATGAATGCAGAGAAAGGGGAATTGAATCAGCCAGAAGATAAAAAAGGCCACCATACCATTGGTTGTGATGCCCTGGGACTCGGGAATTCCATTTGGCAAGTTCAAGTAGCTCGGCCAGATGGCGCCAATCATGACACGCACGGCATTGCCACCGTTCACATTCTGAATAGCAAACCAGAAGATAGCCAGAATGACACGCGATATAATCGCAATATACGAACCCCAGAACCCCCAACTGGCCCGAGCGATAACGGGGAAAGGGACGTGATATATGGCACCGACAGCACCATTACCGGCGATAACAAAGGACATGATGAAGAATCCGATGGCCACGATGGCAATAGCCTCCTTGTAGGTGAGGCCAACGGCGATGATACTGCTGGCGAACTGCCATGTTGCTGCGTTGAAAGCATCTGAGATCCAGTATGCTAGGGATGGTCAGCACGTTTACGGAAGGCATAGATCACGGAACGAGCACTAGCCACACGTACCTACTAAGCTCCAGACGCCCCATTTCCGTGCAAACTGCGGTATCGGATCTAGGTCTCGGTTGGTCCATCGCGCATTGCCTTCTGCAAAGGCCGATTGGGCCTGCGAAACGCGGAGTCGCGGCCGGGAGAGGCGCATGGCGGAGGACGGGAGGGGGAGGATCCAAGGTTCTACAGGAAGAGTAGGACAGAAGCAGAAGCCAAAGCGAGATGGAATTTCACGAGTACTGATCTGATAATCATTCCGGAGCAAGAGCAAGAGCAAGGGATTTAGGTAATTCGTGACCAGGTCAAAGATATCGATGATATCAATAAGCCGGGGTGATAAGATGGTATCAACGAGCCGGGGTGATAAGGTGATAAGCGCATCCCTGCAGCGCTGAGCATAGATAACACCGTTTGATGCTGAACGAATGAGCTACCTCCAAACGATGGTCGGTGGCCGGTTAAACTAAAAGGTCAAAACACCCTTCGTATTCATAGATTATCATCTCGTCCCTTCTCCCCCGGGAGTCGCACGTCTCCCCATCCCCGGCCATCGCCGACGTCCAAACTGCCGTGGCGTCGAATCCCCTTCCACTCTGTCACGTTCATCCAGCCGATCTGTTGCACATCGCCAAACCCACCGATCCAGTAAGCCTGTGTTACCACCATCCGGGCCCAGAAGCTAGCGTGCGGGGAACCCGATACTCCAGGCAACCAGACTTTGGCATCCGGGTGGGACCCCAGGAAGCACTTCTCGAGGCTCGCCGACGCAGAAGTAGACAGCTCGGGGAGCGGTTCCAGGTATCCGAACAAGGTAACACGCGGCAGGGCAGCTGGGCTATCAGGCAGACCGGGATAGACGGGTCTGGCATCCGCGAGATGGTCCCACCAGTCCAACTCGAGACTGAGGTTCGAACCGGCCCCAATATTCTGGAACGTAGTGGCCACGCGCAGGGCCAGAATGGTAGGGTCCCCGTTGTCACCATGAGACAGTTCATCCGGTAGAGACCCGTCACAGTCGGCGATGTACTCACGCAGACCGATGGGAAGACCTGCGACCGACGCCGGAGTACGACCAGAGGGTGGAATTGTATCCGGGAAGGTGGTTGCTATCACGCCGGATGAAGAGAGAGCCAGCATACGACGGGCCATCAGGGCCGAGGTAAACCAGGATGGGCGGGCATGGGCGTCTTCCTGGGATGCCGACTCCGGAGGGTTTACGGTACCCAGAACGGACTGCGGAATCACCCAGGCAGAGATGGGCACAGAGCACAGGGCTAGAAGGCCCGTCAGAAGAGCTTGAGGTAGCATAGTGAAATTTCAAGCAGGAATAAGCTTGAAGGTAGATAGCAGAGCTACCAAACGCGACTAGAAGAGAGGGGGGGGGGGAGACTTGCACTAAGTGCGGAGATTCGGAGACACGGCAGATTCAGTCGCCTGATCTTATCTGATGGCACCACTTTCCGACATGGACTCTTCATGATTCACCATGAACATACTCGGAGATTTCGTATCCGATCATGCAACTATTGGCTGGGTAATGATGTGTTCTATTTTTATCAACTTGCCCTGCATGGCAAAATGGTGGCGTGTTTGTTTCATAGTTAGTTTTCGTCCCCCGGATCAGCCAGATGTATACAGCAATACTCGCCCGAGGAGAAGTGCACCCTTTGTAGACATCTGGGGCCAGAAGCGTAGACCACAGACACATACGCCTGGGCAAGACTGTACTCATCCCTTGTTGATATTCTATCAAAGGTCGGAAAGGCATCTACTCACAGCACTGAAGCTACGCAAAAAAAGTTCAGATCAAAAACTGTACGATTTGGCTATCCATGATGCGAACCTATTCCGCAGTCCGGACGCCGCACATCTCCACTCGAGGCGCCAAAGCGCCAGGGGATGAAGGTAGATTCATCATGTCCCCATGAGTAGTTAAATAAGAACAAACCCGTCCCATGCCCATCACACTCCATGTGCAACAAAGAAAAATGGAAAAGAAAGAGATGACGAGGGGAACCACGTACATCGTACACTTGCGAAGCTTTTGTTTCAAACTCGCACGGCGACCGAGAAGCCCGGGGTCCGAAAGGGGTATGTACAGAAGGCAGAGACAACCCGGGTTCGGTACGCCAAAGGAAAAAAAAAAAAAAAAAAAAAAAGAGGGGGAGGAAATCATAATCCGGGGAAGAGAAAAGACGCGCTTTTTCTAGACCTCACAAGAGCAAAAAGATCCGTAACGCACCGCTTAATTCAAGTAGTTCGCGCGCAGGCTCGGGTTCAGCGCGACCTTGCGTGCCTCACTGCCACAGCAGGCTCGCTTCATGCCGGCAGGTCCCGAGACCGCAGTTCCCTCGCGAACAAGGAAAGAGTTCGCCAGATGACCGTCGGGAAGCACCGAGGAATCACCCGAGGCACCAGCATCGATCAGATGACGAACGTGGGATTGGAGGAGCAGATCGTCCGAACCGGTACGTCCGCGTTTACGCGTCTGACGCAATTGAGGGGTCGCGCCCGATAGCTCACACAGACTCTGGGCAGCTTCGCTCAGACTCGAATCCAGCGTGAAAGTGGACAGATCCGGGGCAGAGCCCATCGCACCGGGGTACGCGTCAGGGGAGCTATACAGATCAACCAGAGCACTCTCATCAATGGGAGAGGCAATAGCCAGGGTCTTACGGCTCTCCTTGAGCGAGTTACTGGTGCAACGCAGGGTAGCCTTGACAGCCAGGCGAGACGGGGCCGGAGCACCCGTGCCAGAGGCGTTTGAGGAAACCGAGGAGGACCGCGAGGAACGGGATGAAAGGGTCGATACATCCGACACCATCGAATCCGGGGAGGAGGCCGACGAAGCCGAACGAGCCAGAGAGGACCGACGAACCGCAGCCGGGTAACCATCGTACGAGGTATGCCGAGGGTAAAACGAGAGAGGCGGGCGCTGATCGAGTGTCGAGCGCGCCATACCCAAGTTCTGAGCCTGCGACATGGCCGTACCGATGGAAGGGTGGCGAACACCACACGTAGCCATACTCACAGCAGGAGTAGAGGCGACATGCGACTGAGGGGTCATCTGGGGTGTGGGAAGTATCTGAGGGCGGGGGATAGGGGGCATAGGCGGGTTGGTGAACTCCATGCGCGGAGTCGGCTCCAAATTCCGAGCCAGGCTCCGAGGGCAAATCGGAGTCTGCTCGTGGGAAGAGGAACGGATAGACTCGTTGCTCGAAGCACTGCGCGGCGATGGGGATTCTGCAAGGCCGAGATACATGCCGCCCATGGCCGAAACCGGGGTCATCGGCTCCGAGTCGACAGAATCCAACTCGGGAGTCAGATGAGGCAGAACGGTGCGCCAACACTGGCCTTCGCCGGCCGGGGGCCCACCGGCACCCGGTGTCAACTTGAGAACCAGGTCGGTCCATCGCTGGAAGGTGGCCTCGGAGATGTGCAAACGCCAACCGACCGCTTGGAGGAACATCAACTCATTTTGGTTGATTTCCAATGTATTCAGGCCGGAAATTTTACTCCAGGCTCGGGCAGAGTAGTTGCGGTCTTGCAGATACTTGGAGGCCAGGATCAGAGCGGCCAAAAACATACGACGGCCGCACTGCATAGCCCGCATCATCGACTGATCCCGAGGTTGTTCCTTGGTCAGATCGTGGACAGGCACATGAGGCTTGATCTTGATCAAATAGTATAAAGCGACTTGCAAAGTACTGTAACTAGTGCGAGAGCGACGGAGCGTTTCCTGAATGAACGTCCGGAGGGGGAGAACCCCTTTTGACCCGGTCGCAGCGTCGCTGCGGGATGCTGCGGCCGACAGCGGCCAGATATTTTCAACGATCTGCGACGCCGTATCTTTTGGAGAGGAAAGGACACGTTCAGCGGGAGGTAATTAGGAAAAGAGTATCCGACACGACTTACCGACGAGGTTATCGACGAAGTTATTCTTCCGCTCTGACTGCCGAAGCAGACACGGCGGAGGACGGGCGGCAGAACCGTTGGCAGAGGTACCGTTGGTGCGACGAGGATGCATACGCAGCTCGGCGGGCACCGGGCCGTCAACCTTAGGATGACCCTTGAAGGCACGAGGGCAAGTCCCGTTTCTTCCGGCCAACTGCCCGTCTGCGTCATTCTCCCAAATCACATCGACCGGGTTTGTGGCGGTGGACGAGATGGAACTTTGAGCATCGAGGGAGAAGACGGAAGAGGACGAGGAGGAGGCGGAGGAGGAAATGGAAGAGGCATAGGGATGTTTAGCTTGGCTTGGGTTTGAAAGGTGCAAACCCAAGACGTCCATCCCCGACATATCCGGAAGCGCGGAAGGATTCATGGAAGATATTCAGGGCGCAACCGAGGAAGGGAATGGTCCGATTTGAACCGTAGTGTCAAGAAACCGTTAATCAGAGAACCGGGAACGAAGGCCGAGGAGACAGAAGCCGTCTTGGAGCGCAGGCGACGGCAAGGCCTAAAAGTCGAAAAGCGCCAGGTTGACACCGAAAGATATTAGAGTATTGGGGAAGGGAGTAGCGGAGTAGGAAGTCCGCTAAAGTATAAAAACAAAAAAAAAAAAGAGTATGTAAAGTTGAAAGTAAAGGCGAAAAGACAAGGGACCGATCACACCAGTGTTGGGCTATATGAACACCGGAAGGAAGATGACTCGAAATGGCTTTAGACGGAGCCAACGGTGACGAGGCGGAAGTTGATAGCGGCAACACGGGCGATCGGAATAGAGGAAGCAGTATACATTTTGAAGCAGGATGAGTCGAAGAAAGATCTGAAGGCACCTAACGAACCATGGACACAAGAGTGATCTTGTGACAAGGCAGTCGTTGAAGTGACTAGGCAGGAGATGGGGGCGGAAGAGGGGAGAGGGTGGAGGCGAAGAGGCGAAAGGGTCGGGGAAGAATCAGGTAGTTTGGGGGTAAGAGGAAGAGGTTTTAGGCTCACCACGTATGACTCCTAAAAGAACATTTGACTAAGAGAGGGGAGTCACACTGTGGCGAAGAAGGTGGCGGGATTGCAAGGGAGGCGCAAGAGAGTTGAGGGTGAAAATCCCGGATGCAGCCGTGGTACGGTGAGTCACTGCAGTATCTTGTCCGCACGAAGTACCGAGTACCTGGACTGGTCTGACTCGTTTCAAGAGCCGGAGAATGATGGTGATGATGATGATATATCCTACACTACATTAGTATTATTCCTATACTATACTATACTATACTATACTCGCTGGTCCTTCTGGGACTATGTCACTTCCCGCACCGATGTTGCCTAACCTCCCTCTTTTTGACTCACCTGTTCGGTAGCGTTGCCACGCTGTTCTCGCCCCATCCAATGACATTCATCGGGTTCACTGGGGTCCCACTATCATATCCACCCTCATTGGTGCTGCCTCCGATCGGCGTCGCTGGTTGAGGATGCCTGCGTCGTCCTAGTCTGAGGTCGGGCACACTGGACTGCTCTACGTCTTCCCAAGATGGCTAATTTGACTCTCTATACTGGTTGGGTGGCCAAAAGTACTGCCTTAAATCCTCAGGTAAGGTAGACATGCAGTTTGCCCCGCTGACCTTGCTTTCCCCCCGGTGGTGCACATTATGTGGAGGCCGTCCACTTGCTGGGGGCCGATAGCGGGCGCTTATTATTATTAGTCTCTCGTTAGCGCTTGGGGTATCTATCTTATTCCATCCCAGTCCTCGTCATTATCTATCGACCCGTCTAAATAGATCCATGGATATCTATCCCACACCTGATCTGTGCGACCTCCTAGACATGTCTGTGAACATCCTCCGATATCGTACCGAGGTTGGGTTGAAACTGTGGTCTTATCATTCTCAGGCTTACAGTCAAGAGGCAAAATATATACCGGAAAATCCATCCGAATGACCCCCCCCCCCAATGACTCAGACTAATAGGCTCTCAGAGCCGCTCTTTTACGACCTTCGTATACACAGACACGCGACACGCCCATGAGAGACCGAATCGAACATGCCAAGGGTTGAACAGATCTACAGCGACGCCAGAACCTCGCCTAATACCTTCACTAGTCCCTCAACCTCGGCCTCTGTTGCCTAGTTAGCATGACGGCAAGAGCCTCATTTACCACATCACGTACCGGAGTTATAGTGCAGGAAGCTAACCCGTACCACACCGTCGTCGACATCTGCTAGGCCACAGACTTCCGCTAGCAATCGGTGGCTGTACATGTGGCCACTACGGAACCCGTAGGCAGACCGGCGTTCGACCGCCTCAACCAGTTGCTGGCTACCGATGCCTCGCACCGTGAAGCTAATGACCGGCACGCGCAAATCCTTGTTAGAAGAAGCCTCACCGATGACAGTAATGCGGTCATTCGCAGTCAAGAAGTCCAGTAGAATCCGCTGAAGCCGCTCCTCGTGGGCCGCCATTTCCGCCCAGGTCTTGTCCGGCTCGGCGCCAAAGTACTCCACCACGGCTGGAATACTCTGAGTGAGCTCGTAGTTGGCTGATGCCAGGTTGAGCTTCAGGTCTAGCGTGTTGGTGGGCTTGAAAAAGTGGGCGAGTGACTGAACCTGGTCCTGGATACGCTGCGAGGCGTATAGTTGCGCCAGATGTGGGCCGTAGACTTTGTACCAGGAGAAGGCCTAAAATGGGGGGCTTGAGCCGAGAGCCTCATCAGAGGAAAGAACGGAAACCTACGTAGAAGTCGACTCCGAGAGTCTGCACGTCAACCTGTCGATGCGGTGCAAGAGCCACTCCATCCACACAAAGTAGTGCCTATCAATCGGCTGTGAGTATTCTGCAGCTTCGGATACTTGAGCCACTTACCCGAGGATACGCGTGAACAGCGTCGGCAATTTCCCGAACCGGACTAATATTTCCAGTAATATTGGAAGCATGAGGACAAGCGACTAGTCTTGTCTTGTCCGAGAGCAGACTCTTGAGCTCGGCAGGGTCACAGACAGGGTTTGTCGGATCAGAAGCAGCCCACCACTTGACCGTCAGGCTCAACCGATCTGCAGCTTGAACCCAAGGAGCCGTGTTGGCTTCATGATTCAACTTGGACAGGATCAACTCATCACCGGGCTGGAATTTGAGGGCCGTGGAAAGATTGTGCAGGAGCTGGGTGGTTGAAACTCCAAGACTGATCTGGATAGGCGTTAGCTATATCTCCAGCATCGTCAAATCAAATATGAAATACCTCTTCTGGCTTGGCATTGATAAAACGGGCAGCAACCTTGTATGCCTCTGTATATGCTGAAGTTGAAGCCTGGGAGATCTTGTACGTGGCACCGAGCTGGACGTTGGTGTTCAACAGATAGGATCGGATACTATGAACATCAGCCAATATACTCTGGTGGGCATGAAGATGACCGGCCTACGAATCCGCCACACTGCCCAGAACCTGACTTCCTCCTAGATAAATGTTAGTGATAAGATCAAACTAAACTATAGAAGGCTGAACTGGCCTATGAGCAGTTGGGCTGGATTTTTCCAGCTTCGGGGCTTTCTGCCCGAAATGCCACTTACCCGCATTGTCCATAAAGATCTGCTCCTGCTGCAAAGCCGGAAATTGGGCGCGGGCGGCTGCCACGTCAAATGAAGCCATGATAGCGAATGTGAAGTATCGTTTGTGAAACTTGTAGAGATTAGGAATACGACTCCCCTTCGGTCCCCTTCGGGTGAGGAGAGGGGTAGTGGATCTAGTTTGATAACGGACTTGCTCCGGAAAGCTCATAGTTGCATTGCCACCAGCCGAGATCCGATCTATCTAGTCCCAGATCCGAGAAACATCAAGCTTTGAGAGCTATCGGTTTCTTTCAATCTGTGGCTGAACATGACAAGTTTGCAACTATCCAAGGCCTGTACACAGACTCGCAGGCCATACTCAACATTTTGAGGTCATGTTAAGTACAGGTATTTTGACATTTGAACACCAGATGCCACCTTCCCATATCTATAACCATATAATTGAAAAGAGAATAAAAGAAACACTACAAATGCAAGCCTCAACAATCATGGTGCAAAATGAGTATTGCCTCGATCGGGTGGGTATATGCCATATGAAAACCAAGCCAAAGCCCTTGTACAGAAAAAAAAAAGAATAGACATGACCCGAAAACAACTCAAGAGACAGTGTAGCAACAGCACAAAAGGAGAAATCCCGCCGATTACCGCATGCGAGCAGCAGGCCCAGGTCCAGCACTCGCATGCGCCGCATCATGGACAACACAGAGCAGGTACTTCCGATCCGGCACGACGACAATCTCATGTTTCCGCGTGCGCATACGTAGCAGCTTCACTTCGTCCTCGTCACGATCTCGGTCTGCATCTCGGTCTTGTGGAGTTGTGCCGTTTCCATATGTTCCATACACGTTCAACGCCGAATCGGAGCCCTCGCTGGTCTGGGTAGGCTTTGAGAGAGAGATGCCCAAGGCGGAGGCGCTGGAGACGTATGCGGTAATGTGCGCGGCTAGAGTCTCTGCTTGTGAGGGCTGATATGTGGGGGAAGGAGCTGTGGGCGAGGCTGGTGACGAGTCGGAAGATTGAGCGATCAGGTTCTGGTCAGCTGTAGATGAAGCCAATGACGTCTGACGAGCGGTTGCCTCTTGGATCGCGAGCTCTCCGGTGCTTTGGATGATAGAACCGTCTTTGCGGGAGAGAATCAGGGTGGATTGGACGCCCGGGCGGGAGGTGAGGTGGGAGAGGAGTGCGGTGACATGCTGGGGCACCTGCTGTGTGCGCTGCTTTTATAACAAAAGTCAGACCTGGAGTACAGAAGAGGGAGAGTGCTGCTCACAGGAGGGTTGGCCATTGTTTTGCGGGGGGTGGAAGGTTGAAAGGAGGGCGGTGGACGAGTCGGATGGATATGGGTTAACAGGACACGCAACTCATCGCAGTGATAAGCGGCTTCTTTTCTTTACGAGCGCCCGAGTAATATTGCACTTGCTCCTCTTCAATGGATATTTGTTTTCTTGCAATCGATTGAAGCTCCGAGACCAAAACATGACTGACTAAGCGGATCACATGGCCCGATTGCCCTACAGTTTTTATAGATATCTCGATAGTGCCTCTATGTGGGAAAGATGGTTCAATTGATCAAATGGTATAGAATAGTTTGATAAATATATAAATGCGCAAGATAAAATGTGCACATTCAAGATCCAGTAAATACGGAACAGAATTGGTATCGTCGAAAGAATGGTAATTACAAGCAAAGCATCCAGAGAGAAAGAAAGATGAAAGAATCGTGGCGGCTGAAAGAAGTTCGTGGCGGGTCATAAAATGAAAGGATAGCGGAGTATCAGCGGTGGCGAGCTATGTGAGGTCCACTGAGACTTGATTTGTCTGACAGCCAGCCGGACTCGATGTCCTCGATCATGTTATCGAGCTGGCGGACATCGGCCCGTCTGTCTGGCAATGAACTTGAAGTCTCGAAGCCACTGTGCTCACTGCTGCGGGACGAACTGACCCAGCTCTCTGGGCGAGAGTTGTGTCGGTGCTGGTAATGATTTCCCATACTCGAGGAAGGGAACATGGGAGACATGGAAGCGTCGGGCATACCGTCCATGTGATTCTGGCTTTTGACAATCCCAGCATTGAGTGCCGCCATGAGAGCAGCCTGAAGGACTTGGTTTTGACGCTCGAGGTTGAGAATGCGATCCTCAAGGAAGTTTGGAACTGGGCCACGTGCCGGTTCGGAACGATAGCTGTTCTGAGACTCTCGAGAGCGGTGCGTCGATTGGGAATACTGGGACTGGGGCGATGTAGGCTTTTCCATACTATGGTTGCTGCAACCCTGTGGCGTTAAAGTTCGAGACTGATGGGCGTAGTGAGATCGACCATGGCTAGGGCGGGCGTCAAGGGTCTCATAGCCACGGCGGACTGGATCCTTACGTTTGGAATGTTTCTCGGCAGGACGGCGACCACGCATGGATTGAGATTGGGGACTAAAGCCCTCGTCGTCTGATGAAGCGATAGGGGACTCGCAGTGGTTGGGTTCGTATGATTCGGGAATGCTCTCATGGCGAAGACTGCTTCGAGAGCTATTGCTGCGGGAGATGATCGAGGCGCGATGATGATCCAGTTTTCTTACAGATGGCACCTGAACTCCCGACGGAGCGGTATAGTTGCGATGCCGCACAGAGCGCTCAATAGGCACATGAGGAGGATCCGTTGGAAGGGATGCAGTCGGGGGAGGAGAAGGGAGACCGAAGGGGAGGTTCTTTCGGTCGATATGGGAGTTGATATGCAGATCCTTACGAGGATGACGCTTTCCATGAGGCTCTGTGGGGGTGAATTGTCGTCCCAGAACAGGAGAGTCTGCGATAGGTTCTCCCTCTGAAATTCTCCGGTCACCCTCGCGTTCTATCGGGCTTTCTTGAAGATCCTGCATGCGAGGGCCGCGGACACTAGATGATCGACGCCTCGAGGTGGGCTCTTCCGGCCCTGTGGACTTGGAACGCTCTTGAGATGTGCGCGAGTGTAAGCTCTCATGCTCATCTGCTGCGTCTCCTTCACCAACACATCCGAGCACAGTCGCAGGGCGAGCTTCAGGCTCTTGCGGGTCCTCGGCAATAGGCGAAGGCTGCGATGGCTGCAAGTCCATAATGCGGAGCCCTGATCCCGATCGCATTACCCGAAGGGACGACTTTGTTTTGACATCCAGATGGGTGCTGGGGGCACATTTGGCATCAGGAATTGATGGCAAAGGCCTAGTAGGTGCCGGAAGAGGGAAGGCTTGAAGGGCTCCCAGTGTCAACGATTGTGGCCGAGGCTTGACCTTGCTTTGAGTAGCTGGCGCGGGTGTTGGAACTTCGGCTTTTGATGTTATAGTTGACTCATTCGAAGGCTCCAAAGTGCCAGAACAGACAGTTTTCGTCTCATTATTGGCAGAATCCGGCAAAGGACTTTCAGATGAATGTTCCTTATTCGCAGGCCGAACAGTAATTGGAGTCTCAGCCTGTTCATCTTTGGCACCCAAAGGTTTGCCAATGGGACTTTGATATCGAGGCACTGCCGACAGCCTCCGGGCGTTCTTGCTGGAGACCCGTGGACTGACGTCGGGAAACAGTTTCAAGCTAGGCGGATTTGAAGGAACACGGTCTGTGGATTTAGCTGGGTCTTGTTCGTGCTTCGGCTCGCTACTCATAGACTGATCTGACGACGCGATGGTATGTATGCTCGCGGCAGCATTACTGGGAGCCAGAGATGAGGATGTGACACCGCGATCCACAACTCGAGTGCTCGAATTTGTAGAGCTGGAGAGCCGGTGAGTGAAGCCATCTCCTGACCCACTACCCTGAGTGTCGACGGTAGAGGCGATCGAGGAAGACGCTCTGTGCGCATTCTGTGGGCGACTATCAGACATGGAGCTTGGTAGTGGCAGAGTTGAAGTCGATTGGGAAGCAGAGTGTTGGTTGCTTTGTGATGGCCGGTAAGGAGATGGTGAGAAATCGTCCGTCGATGTCAGAGAGACGGCAACATCAACCATGGAACCGAAGTCTCCCAGGTCCAAGGAGACCAGGTGACGTTTGTTCTCGCTGGGAATCTTCGGACTATCGCCCTGGTTCTCTTTTTCTAACCATGGTTGGCCAATTGTTTCGACATCGTGCCTCTTAGAACTCGATATCGAAGCACGATCGATACTGCTTTTATAGTCGATGCTGTTCTTTGACCTCGTCGACCTCGTCGACCTTGTCGACTTGGAGCTCGGAGCAGGTTTTGAAGAGCTCGAAAAGAGATAGCCTTCCCTCATGAGGGCCTCGATCTGTTTCTGTTGCTCGTCCTGCTTAGCCTTGGGCAACGCCGACGGTTCCTTCTTCTGGCGTTGGGTAAACTGTAGTAGACGGCGATGCAGGGGCTTCGATTGCTCTTTCTCCACATTTTCCACCTTATCCATACTTTCAAGGGATTCCCTTGGTGGGGAGTGAACGACTGGAAGTGCAGTTGTACTGTCTGGACTCGTAACCACAGGCGGGGCGGGCATATTCTGGGTTTGAAAGAAGCGAACCAGATCTGACAAGTTCTCGTTTCGCCCCGGCCGTTCTGCCATACCCGCCGAGCGAGCCTGGGGCCTCGGGATGCTACCAACGCTAGGTCGGGCGGTCTCTGCGGTGGCAGAGGTCGGGGAAGACATACTGGAATACCTTCGCTTGGAAGGTGGATCGGGCCGATAAGTCGGAACAATGGGACTTGGTGCGACGTCACTATCATGTATTGTATTCCAATACTGCATAGAGACATCAATTGGGCGGCTTTCCAATCCGACCAGGTGCGGGCTTCATAGGAGGTCTGTCGACGCGCAAAGCTGCAGGAGCTAATTTCAAATGTTAGATCATTTTTGTATAGAGGTAGAGAACAAAAGGAGGGAGGGCATGGACGAGGAGCCTACCTGTTATAACTGAGACAAGAGGGGGGTACATGCGGCAGCGGAGCCGATACACGGGGGGATATGTACAAAATAGGGCCGTATGTACATGGGCAAAGAGAGGCGTCGATTGGAATCGAATGAGAGCGAAGAGCAACAGAAGCGAAAGGGCCAGCTGAGACAAGGCAACCGGAAGGAGGGAGCCGGGTTTATAATAATTGCATTTTAAGTTGGAGCTGTCGTCTCTCCTTCAGGGAGGGGCCAAAAAAGGGCCCTAGACTGGGCGATCAGGATGCAGGAGTACTTTAGGCCCGTAATGGGCGAATAGCCCGGAAAGGGCTCGGTTGGAACCAAGATGAGTAGTTCCCAGGGGGACAATGCAGGATCGTCAATACTGTACGGTACATGGAGCCATCGACTGTCTAGAGGAGTTCGGATCAGATGGCCCGCAATATGATGTATTACAGCCGCTGGTGGGATTGGCAAACTGGGCGCTGGTGCAGCTCGATGATTGGACTTGCTGGATCTCATATCGAGTACACTGATCTCACGCAGTAGTGTGCTTTCAATCCCCTGTGCCCCAGCGCATGACTAGGGACCGGACTCGGAACGGGGCTAGGGACCAGGAACTGCCAGGAACCTCGAAAAGGAGGTCGTTCCGACAGTATTTTCCCAGCTGGGTCGAGTGACGCACGCAAGGGATAATACATCGATCACAACCAATTTCGATCCGTTGACACCAGCAGGTTGGAACCCCCTCTTCCGGAAAAGTGTAAACGACGTCAAAGATGTGAGCTGTCAGGTTGGGCGGGTGTCCACCGCGGATCATCCAGGATTCTCCGGGCCCTAGTCAATCCAACGCAGGATGCACTGCGGTCCTTGACTTCTTCAGTGAGCTAGGGAGTGTTCGTCAGAGAGCGGAGTAAAGAGAGGTGGAGAGACAGCCCGATCGCCGATGCTATTGTGGGCGATGCATCACCCTTGCGTTTCTGATCGCCCAAATTGCCTTCCGCTATTATTCTCCGCGTTGAACTTTCTTCGATAGTCATGTTTCTAGTCCCTGATCTCGTATCAAACCTGGGCAACCATAGCCAGGCTCCAAAATTTGAAATAAGAACCGGTAACTAAGCCACCACCGACATGGGGCCACGCCAGTCCCCGTCGCAGAGACTCCTAGAGGTGACGGCACGACACGATGAGAGCTGTCAACCCATCTCCACCTGTCACCCTCCCCAACGGCCTCCGGGCTGGTGAGGATCCATTGGCTGTGGAATTCTAAGAGAACGTTCTAACAAATGAACAAGTATAGGATGTGGGACTTAGCCCGATATTTGAAGGGCAGGTTCTATGCATAGTACAGGATGATTCTTCTCCAATTCACGACGCCGTATAATGCTAGATTGGGGATTTGGGATCTTCTATGACTCGAGTCCATTACGAGTCATTTCTTTTGTTTCGTAGTGAGACAGTGTGTGTGTGTGTGTGTGTATGAGTTCGTTGCTAACGTGGTTGTCGGTGGAGACGCAAAGAGAGGGAAGTGGGTGCTGGTGAAGGGGACAAAGAAAGTGAAAAAGAGTGAGACACTCGAGACACTCTACTTTCTCCGAGGTTTGGGTCGGATGAACGGGTCTACTTCCTTCTTTTTTCGCATCTGAGGAGGCGGGCGTCTCTGCTGGGTCGCGTGGGGAGTCTAAATAGATTAGATCGACAGATCACAAAGAAGTGTCAAACGATGGAACAAACGCTTACCTGCGCGGCTCGGGGCGCCGACGGCGGACCTCCCGGCATTGGTTGATTTCCAGTTAGAGGATAAGCAGGGCCATCACGCGAAGGTTTGATAAGGCCCTGGTCGAGTGTTAGAGTGCCGTAGGGTTGTCCAGTTCTGGGATCGCTACATACACCAGGGGGAGCGGGCGGTCGCGAAACCGCTGGGCCTTTGGGGGCGATTTTTGGAGCAGTCGGTGCATCCTTCGGGGCATTGGGAGCATTTGGAGAAGCAGGACCCCTCGGAGCATGCGGATGACTTTTGGGAGCAGGCCCCCTGGGGGCATTTGGCGGCGGATTCGGATAATTGGGGCGCGGACGCGAGGCCTTGGGCACATCGGATGTCGAGTCAGTGCGCTTGCGCTTACTGTTTACGTTCTCGTTGCTTGATGATGGCGTGTGCGTAGTTGCCTGCACAACGGGGACCTTCCGATCATGGCCACCCTTCTGTCGCTGACGCTGGCGCTCGTTATTTTCTTTGCGTTGTTGTTGCAAGCGGCGCTCCTCGTTCTGGAGTTGCTGCTTTTGACGTTTTGAAAGTTCGTACGGGTTAGGGCACTTAATAGAAGAATGACCGATCGCACCGCACTCCAGGCACCTTTCTGCGTCGCAGAAGTACTTGGAGTGACCGGACTCTTGACACCGGTAGCATTGTCCACGAACGGCCTCCTTGGCGTCTGCGTTATCACAATTGTGTGTGAAGTGCTCACCACTACCGCATATTCCACACATTTTGGTTTCATCCAGACCCTTGGGTCCGCCGGAAGGCCCTTCGGGCAATGATTGAGGAGGTGTGCCGCGCGCAGAGGCCGACATCGAAATTGAGGGAGAGTCGAGTCCAATTGGTTCTGATGAAGGACGAGAAACCGATTGCATGGATGGAGTATCTCCCGGCGTACCAGGAGCACTGGCATCCACCATTTCGACTTCCTTGTAGCCAGTAAACTGCGGCCTCTCTAGCATTCTGGCGATGTTGCCCTCGGTATACACATTGCGCTCCTTCGCATCATTGATGAGACCCCGCCAGAATTGACCTTGCATCAGAGACTGGGAATTACCCAGAACCCACAGCGAGGATTTGGCACGAGTAAGACCGACGTTCATACGGCGGATATCAGCCAAGAAACCAATACCCTTGTTCGATGCACGAACACAAGAGAATATAATGATTTCGCTCTCCCTACCCTGGAAAGCATCGGTCGTGTTGAAATCGATCTTCTTCAGAATGTCCTCGCCATACCTGGCCGCGAATTGAAGCTTCATTTCTCGCAGTTGACCTTTGTAAGGCGTGATGACACCAATCTTCCCTGTAAAGTCATACTCCTTGACGTCCGTGATGAGTCGCTCGTACAGCTGCATCGCAGCTTGCAACTCCGCGTAGTTGATCAAGGAATGGCCCTTGGTCGCACTCTGGTGCATACCTTGGACGTCGAAGAACCGGTAAGGGCTCAACAGCTCGCTCTGATGCCACGGACGGGCTCGAAGCTTGGCCATGTCGGCACCGTCCTGAAGTTTGCCATCGTAGAACGTAAGACTGGGGAAACGACTGATATCCGGGTGCATACGGTACTGAACATCCAGCAAGTGCACATCCTTCGGGTGATTCTTTTGCATGCGAACGAACAAACTTTGCTCGTACTGGAACTTGGATGCCATTTTTGAGAGGACAGTTGGGGGCAACTGCTTCGGATCACCGACAAGAACACACTTCGAGCAGCCGTATTTGAGCGGAATCAAAGCGCTCAATTCGATACACTGAGCTGCCTCATCAATGACAACAGTTTCAAACTCGACATTCATAGACTGGAACATCTCATGACCGGAACCGCTGAGGGTGGTACAAATGACATGCGCTTCGTCAATGATTGTTTGCTGGATACGACGCTTGTGCATGTCGGCATTACGAGCCAAGGTGTGAACCTGGTCGCGAGCCTTGTCGATGTCCGTACTCAACTGAGATCTCTTCTTCTTCAAGAGCTCAAACTCGCGCTCAAGCTCCTCGGGAGCAGGCAGTCCCTTGGCTCTGCACTCGTCTAGTGACGAACGAGCCTCTTTGAATCGAGTGTCGGTAGTCTTATGCTCCTCGTACAGCTTTTGCATATCGACGTTGCTGCCAGAGGCAGGGTTTTGAGTGAGACGAGCATTAACCATCTCGTCGAGTGTGACATCCAGCACCTTCGAGTTGATGGCATCACTTCTACCCAGACGAACAACGGAGAGCTTCTCCTGACGACCTTGACTTGTCTTCACGCCATCCTTCAAGCGCATGACGATTTCATCGACGGCGGCGTTGCTGGGTGCACACACCAGGATCTTCCGGGATGTTGCTCGATTAGAGGACTGATTGCCTGTTTTGATGGAGATCGCGGTGTTGCCAAGGACGCTAGTCAAGAGACTGCCGAGAAGGGCAACAATGGTCTTGGTTTTTCCAGAACCGGGGGGGCCTTGGATAAGAGTGAAAGCGTCATTGTCCAGGGCAGATTTGACCGCCTTAGCTTGAGCGAGGTTGATGCTGTAGTTGTCCATGATGGGTTGCAGCTTCGCGTCGGAGTAGTTCAGGATAGGAGAAGGCTTGGCCAAGACAACTTCCTCACAAAGATCGTAGTACTGCAGGGCCATGAGGGCACCATATTCTCGCTCCACCGGGGTTAAGGAGGTGACCTTGGCTCCCCAGGCCGTAGAGCCAGTTCCGAATGACGACAAGAACTTGCTAGATCCAGGATTCATACGGTACGTGACCTCTAGCTTACCGCCCTTGCGGTTGACGCCGCAGACGCGTGCAAGCAAGTGGCCCACACTAGGATCCGCAGTGGGATTGGATGAGCTAGAGAACAAGACTAGGTCGCCTTCGCCGATGAAGAAGTCCTTTGGGGGTAGACCTAGAGGCTGGGTGCTAAATTCGATCCAGGAGTCGACAGTCAATCGGGACATTACTTTGACTTCGAAGGGGCGGAAGCCACCTTCTTCCTTTGCCTGCTGGAAGCCTTGCCAGGCTTCAAGAACCAGCAAGGGTTCGAAAGTGTTCTGATAGTCAGAGGAAGAGCGGAATGTGTTAGAAACCAGGGTATAATCCTGGCGGTCCAGAGACGGCGGAAGGTCGCCAGTTGAGAAGAAATCCCAGGACAGGATGGAGTGATGGAGAGATGAAAGATCCGGGGACAGACGTGCGCGCATATCTTTCATCGAACGGGCACGCTTGACCTTCTTAATGGGCTGCTGCTGCAACGACTGTTTCTTGCTCTGCTCGTAAGCGAGGACGGCGTCAGACTTCTTAGGCTTTGCGCCGAATAACTCTTTATCGAGTTCATCTTCACTCTCAGAATCCGTGTCAGACCCGGATGAAACCATCATACTATCTGCAGGAATCGCATGGTCTTTACCCTTGATGCCAATACCTTTGATGCCAGAGCCTTGCTCGGCAGTTTGCTCCGCGACTCCCCGCGCAGGCAAATTCTTCTTCAACCTCGCCAGTTGCTCCATGTCCCGTTTCTTCTTGGCCGCTTTCTCACGCTCACGTTTCTCACGGAAAGACATAACGGTACTAGCGTCATCCTTAGGCCGCGATACTATGGACTTGGAAACAGGTTGGCGCCGACCAAGAGCCCCGAGCGGCAACTTGTTCTGCTCAGCCTTTTGTTTCGCAGCGATGCGCTCCTTGTTGAGTTCGACGGAGCTAGAAAGGTCGAGGAGAGTTATATCGGCGATATCGTCGTCGAATTCGTCTTCAGAGGGAGCACGAGAAGACGGACTCGAGACATCGAAGGGTCTGGCGAAGGAAGTGATGGAAGATTGCTTCTTGAATGAAGCGGTAGATGCAGTAACGACAGGCTTCTTGTAGTATGCTTCAAGCGAGCGTACAAGTTCCGCCTTGTCACGGGGGGTGAGAATGGTTTTGATGGTTCCATTTACAGCAACACCCTCAATGAAGCTCAACGCGTCTTGCTTTACTGTCGTCACATTTAACCCTCCTAGGCGTCGGAGCAGCTTCGCTACTAGCCCGACTAGCGTGGTGGCTAAGTAGTCGTCCTTGAGACGTAACCACTTGACCATGGCACTCATCGTGGTTGTGGGGGACTTGAGGAAGTTTTCTGATGTGGCTTTGCCAGCATCATCCCCCACGGCACCTACGGCACCCAGAAAGACTCCATACTGATCAAAGAGAAAGTCGGCAAACTGGATTGTGTCCCGACAAAACTCCAGCATCACCGACTTGTCATTGCCCCTAATGTGCCACGCTTCAGTCTCGTCGAAGATAGTGGTCAACGCCTGCCACAAAAACTCCCAGAGCTTCTGCAGCGACAAGACCTCTCGACGATCCGTGAAGGTACGTGTTCGAAGCATGCCTGTTTGACTGTTACACAAGATTTCTACGATATCGGTACCTGTATGCAGCATTCGCGGGGCAGGAGCAAATGTCTTCATGTTGGAGATACGGCGGAACGACCAACTGAGGCCATACATTGTCGTGGTGAAGAACGTCTCAAGCAAGTACGAGATAGCATCTCGTCGAGCAGAATGGCCGCTGACGTTTTTGATCAAGTCCACCGAAGCTTGGTATGTGTTCAAGTCGGCAGCGAAGAGAGTGGATATGAGCGCACTGCTGGTGTCTTGACTTTTGAAAAGGGTGTTGAGATGATCGGGCCGGAACTCGGCGAGTCTTTCGATGATCTGGCATGAGAGGTGGGTGAGGTGACCATAGATCATGTTGAAGTGAGTCTTTTCAGAGTTGTCCCCGCCTTTGGTTGGGAACTTCTCCAGACCAACGAGTGGCAGGATTCCCAACAAGGATGCCGTTGACAAGGCAAGCCTGTCCTGGCGGAGGTGTCTGATGACTGCGTCCCAGATAGGCCCCGTATAAGTGGACACGCCGTGAGAGAGAGTGCCCTGCTTCAGAATGACTTCATAGTCACTCTTAAGAGATTGACATTCCAAAGCAAGAGCATTGCGGACGACATCCATACACAAAGAAAGGATCTCTTGTTGCTTCCCTTGCTCAATATTGAAGGTCGGTGGTTCAAGGATGACGGTGATGGTATCCTTCAATACCTCCATGGTTTCTTGAAGGACGACCCGTTCGACGGAGCCTCTTGAGGCTTCATGATCTGTGAAACGGCGAAGAGTTTGGAGGAGGCTAGTCAAGCCAACATGGAAGCAACGATAGCGAGCGAGGTTTGGATATTGAGGATCTTGAAGGCGTTTTAACAATTGACCTACCAAATACCGACATGCAGATGGCTGATGAACTCCTTTGAGAGAGTTCAGGAATGGGTTGATCCATGAGAGCATGTCTTTCAACGCAGACTTCTCATAGGCCTCGCCTTCGGTAGTCTGTATAAGAAATGCCTGGAATTGGGGATTGTGGATGGTGTGTTCCATGATGGCCTGAGGTGAGATAGTCTGCATGGCATCCCAGAAATCAACTGGGGCTTTCTCCAACAATGTCTGAATAGTATTTAAGAGGAAGCGCAGCCCAGGGGTAGGCAAGGCTAAATGATCGACTGAGAGGCGACAGGGGTCAATCTGCAAAGCCCGAAGCTGATGGGTAATTTGTTCCTTATCCAGCCTCCGTACGATGAGTTGCATGCCCCGCCACAAACGCTGGATAATGGCGAAGTGTGTCTGCATTGACTGCTGCATATGCGGTTGCATTGGCGGCTGAGATGCGGCCTGTAACGCACTTAGAAGGCCATCTCGAATGGCCCACTCAAATTCCATTGTGGTAGGTGGACGAGCATAGCGCATCCATGTTTGAAGAGCCCAAATATTGCGTTGTTGTACTGGGTCAAACAAGAAGCGGGTAACAGCAGGGACATAATCCGAGATCTTCAGGCTTCGTTTCGTTTGAATGAGCTGAAATGGTTCATCGAAGTACAGCTTCAGGTTGTCGTCATCACGCAGCATAGCCTCGCAGCTCAATGTCTCGAATATAGACAGTAAGGCAGCGCGGTCCAGTACATCCAACGCAATTTTCTCGCGTGGGACGCTTCTCAGCTGTGTTTTCGCGGTCGTTAGGTTTCGAGTGATACGCTTAACATCCCACTCGTCAACCTTCGCCGCGAATGCCTCAATGTCGTCATCCTGATAATTCTCTCTCTTCAGCAGGTCCATGAGCCAGATCTTGCCGGTGTAGTACTGCTTGATGCAGAGGTCGCATTTTTCCAGCGTTTCATCCAACTTGGATAAAACCCAGGACTGAAGCTCTTCCACGCCATCTGCACTATAAGCAAGTATACGCATGCACGAGAGAAATTTCTCCTTTCGTGTTGTACCTTCAGCGACCTGGTCCTTGACACTGACTCCTTTTTCGTCCACTTGGTTCATGTCATCATATCGCCCGTAATCATCGTCATGCTGTCGCGGGCAGAGGAGGTGAGTGCCCTCAGGGAGAGCTTTTAATTCTCTAATGACGTAAAATGTGGTTAGTTTTGGTTGACATTCGGTACTCCTTTGCAAGGGTCTCACTTAATGGCATCCACAAACTCCATAGTGGCAGGGACACAGAGAAGGGCTACCGAAATTCAATAAAATTTCCAACGCACATTGCCTTTTCGCAAAGACTAGGCCTTATAGCATCTCCCAAGTCTACTGTTAAGCTTCGGAAGTGTTTGCGTGGGATGTCTCGTCGTGGCGGAGGGTGAAGAACAGGATGTTTTGAAGTAAGATTTGGCGAATGAACGAAGTGAATAGCAAGGCACGGTATTCGCAAGGCAAAGCTTGAAATGAGAAGCGACTTGCAGAGGTCGTGGAATAAGAGGAAGCAAGCTCTAATCCGCGTGCTGGAACTTTCAGGTGTTGAAGACTCCTGCTCATGTGCCGGACACAGTAGAAGAGGTAGAAGATGAAAGGCTCAAATAAAGGCAGATATGAAGAATTTTAGGGGGAGGTCTTTCGGCCAGATGCAACAGCCTTCGAGGCACAAGATGTCGAACAAAAGAAGCTGGAAAGCCATCAAGCACCAAACGTGGGCAGAATTTGGCAGATCTTGAAGGCGGTGAGATACTGAACGCGTTTACGCGTCTCATTTTAACCCAAGTGGGAATTCTCACTAGTCTATACTTTACTGTAACACGAACAGCTGATTATACGAGAGCGTCTACAGTGCACAAATTCGTAAATAGCCGCATTAAATACTTTCCTCATGGAGGGCGTGGAATAGAATACATGAATCTCGTCCCCGGGCTCCCTCTCCAGGAAGACAACAGCAAAAAAGCAAATCCGAAGGAAATAACCCCAGCAAATGTTAAGAAACGCGAAACCATCAGATGAGGGACTCGTGCAATTCTGTAATAAGTCAAAACGCTTTTGTACAAAAGGCTGAGGACAGTATGAAACAGTTCAAAAATGACGGAGAGGTGGAAATCACCAGAGGGTGGTTTGCAATATAAGAGAATGACGAGTGAGAGCAAAAGCAAATAATGCGCCGAGCCTCCATCCGAATGTAGTATACCGAACGCCTGCTTTCTATCAGGGGAATATCAAGGCTTTCAATGGGTTGTGAAAAAAAAAAAAGTCCAAGAAAAAGTTGTGGAAAGGAAAATTGATCGTGAAGATGTAAGGGGGAGAAAAGCATTCAAACAAAAAATCCAAGAGACTAGATCTCGCTAGCCGGCCCGGGGGAATCATCGTCAAGGACGGGTCGTCAGAGTATGTCTATGCCAAGTTCACAGCGCCTCAAATCATATTATGTCCAGGAGGCTCGCCAGGTGCTCGGAAGGGATCCTGAGAAGGCTCATTATTGTGGCTGGATTCCATGCGTTGCAGCATGGCGGCCGAGGTAAAGTCGTTGCTTTGCTCGAAACTTTGACGTGCACGCTCGAAGGAATGACGAGTCCGATCATGAGACCGTCGCACGTAGTCCACTGACTGAGGCCGCGGGTACTGATCAAGGCTCGCGGTGTAGTTGGTGCCATTGCTGCCATTTTGACTTCGGGGGTTGTGGCCGTTGGTATGAGCGCCGTTGGCAGTGCCGGTAGGCGAATAGAAATCCCGCTCTTCATCGGGATTGTTGAAAGGATCCTGCTTCAAGGTGGGCTGAATGGGCTTGACAAATTCCGAGGAGGTGGCAGACCCATTACTCGAGACCGCGGCCACCTCCCCCGCTTTTGGGGGAACGGTAGGAATATCATCATTCGCCTCCAGGTGCTTGTACTTGCCCATGGTCACTTGCTCACGAATGATATCGACATCTAGAGGGAAGAACACCTTCATGACAGCGTTGTATGAGAAGCGAGGGAGCAGAGCGATCATGCAGGTCACGAGAAGGACGACCCAAAAACTAAGAGCACCGTATACCTCGGCAGCAGACTGGTAGAACTGACCCGAGGAGGTAAACGAGGAGTAGATGCCGGTCCACAGGAAGATCAGGAGGGAACTGATCGCGTTGATCAGACCCGTGAACCAATCCCAACGGTAGGTGTTCATCATGATGTAGGTGTTGCTAGCAAGCACAGCACAAGTTGCAATCAAGATACCCATGCGCGTTCGATCGGCAATGTCACGGCCACTTTCAGTGGTAAAGTTCGCAGGCTTGTATAGCATGTAGGGCATAAAGAAGCAAATCACGGACTGGTACAAACCATCAGTCATATACGCCCTGTTCAGGGATTAGTACATGCGCATCACAGAGAGCGGGAGGAAGACTAACCAAAACTTGAACTGTGACCATTCCTTGCGCTCAATACCTCTCATGTAGAGTTGAGGCACTGCCAGCGAGACCCTGTCATCAACATCCTGGTCGAAAATGCCCATAAAAATGACTGGCAACGAAGTGAAAGCCAAGTTGACTAGAACGATATAGGTGTAATCGAAGAGATAAGAGCCATCGAAATCGTTAAAGATACAGTACCAGAAGAGAGCGAAAGTCCACACCAAGTTCTTATAGAAGAAGTTGGCTGTGCACTCTCCCAAACGCCGATAGGACCATCGGCCGTGCACAAGAAGCAGACGCTGGAGGAAACGGAACTGTCCGATAGCATAATCCGAGGACATCACGGCCTGTCGACCTTCCTCACCGGCAATACCAACACCGACGTCAGCCTCTTGGATCATAGCGACATCGTTGGCACCATCACCAACGGAAAGAGCCATGATGTTCAAACCATGACGGACCATGTTGACGACAGCAGCCTTCTGAGCCGGACTGACACGGCAGCACAGAACAGCCTTGCACTGCTTGCACAGCAAGAGGAATTTCTGCTTGAACTCGTCGTCAAGCATCAGCTTGAGGGTTTCTCCGTCGACAATCACAGCATGCGTGGCTTCGGGGGGGGTGTGTTCTTTACGAGCAGCGACGAGTTCTTCGTCGGAGCCAGTCAATCCAAAGGCCTGGAGGTGCTTGTCAAGCTCCATAGTAGCTTGTTCGCGCTGAGTCTCCGAAATGTTGAGAACAATCAGCTCCATGTTGTTGTTGAGCAGATTGCAAGAGAAACCAATGTTGATGGCAGTCTCAACCTTGTCACCTGTCAAAACCCACAGCTTAATACCAGCGTCAGCGAGTAACTGGATGGTGTCTGGAACACCATCTTGCAGTCGATCCTCAATAGCGGTACCGCCGATAAGCGTTAAGTCCTGTTCGATCTCGCTCGAGACCTTCTCCAACTTCTCTTCACGATCGGTGATGGCGGCGGCGGCAATGTCGTGCTCTCGAGCCCAAGCATGATATTCATCCTCACTAAGGAGTTTATCAGCAACACACAAGGTTCGAAGACCCTCCTTGGCGAATTCCTCTAGGTGCTCGGCGGTCTTGCGTCGCAGCTCTTGCTGTTGGCCACGAGCCAAACGAGAATAGATGATGCTGTCTGCACCCTTGCAGAAGAGACGAATGGTACCGTCAGGCATACGGATGATAGCACTCATACGCTTTCGGGAGGAGTTGAATTCGAGGGTATTCAAGACGGTGTAAGTGCGTTCCTCGCCCATGATGTTCAAGAGCAGATCATCACCGGCACGACCGAGAACAGTAAAGCCACAGTCGCGAGCAGTGCTAACCAGGGCCGCTTCGTCGGGCGACTGTGCCTTGAATTCGATTTGAGGCGGATCACCAGGAGTATGTTCAGTGATGACAGTGTGGCAAACAGCCAGAGCCAGCATGAAATGCTCGGCGGCCTTCTTCTGCTCCTCGCCAGATTGCCCTTCAATGTCTGCGACGTAGTTGGGAGCAATGAAAGTCAAGTTCTCGTCTTTCAGGTATGGATTGTCATGGAGGCGGCGGAGGCTCTCGAGCATCTTGACTCCATTGGCGGCAATCTGTGCACGAGCTACGGCAGCCTCGGCATCGGCATCGACACCTTCACGGCGCCTCATGCCAATCTGGGCCTCTGTATAAGCTTCACCGTAAGAGACGCCATTGACAGTAGCCTTTTTGAACTCCATGACGTTCTGGGTCAAGGTACCGGTCTTGTCAGAGAAAATGTACTCGACTTGCCCCACATCATCAGAAATGTTCCAGGACTTGGGCACACAGTAGAGACCCAACCGTTCGTAGTACATGTAAAGATCACTGTGGATGAAGACTGCTTGGATAGTCCGAACAATTTCAAGAGAAATGTAGAGCGAAATGGGAACCAAGTTCTGGAACAAAATGACAGCCGTCCAGAAAGTAACGATACCCGTGACAGGGGGCGTGCCTCCATAGGAACCATAGTCGAAGAAGTCTAAAGACTTGTCTGGAGCAGCCCATGCAAAGCCGTTAACGATACCGGCGACAAGACACATGATGAACAGAATGATGAAATTGTAAATGACGTTCCAGTTCAGATCTTTGGCCAGACGAGCACGTTTGGCAGGTGTTGCACCTGAGTTAAGCATAATCTTGCTCTCTCCACCAGTGAAAACGACCACGCCAAGAATCCACTCGGTACTGCGCAACGAGCAGCCACGAAGCAGCATGTTGTTGATCGTTACAGGCTCCACCATCTCCTTGCGGGGGGCCTCGGGGAACCGCGGATCACGCTGATCCCAGCGAATCGCACCATTGTAGCTGTACAAGTTGGGATGAGGCGCCTCACTCTCAATGGTGAACTCGGCCTTTTCGCAGTCACGTGCATGGCGAACCTGGCGACCGCAGTGGAGAGCATGGCGGACCTTCAGATTGGTCTCGCCGTCCAAGCCCATTGTTTCGACATAACAAGCTCCATCGGGATCGGAGGTAGATAGAATCACAATATCGGCAGGGATTGGGTCTTCATTGTACAATCGAACAAAGTCACCAACTTGGATGTTCTTCCAATAGTCACGCTTGAAACGAGCCGTGCCGGGTGTCACCTTGGTGTTGTCCACCACAGTGCCAGTCTTCTTGTCAGGCGACGGAGCCACGACATTTTCGCGAGCTGCGCTATCGGGAGAAAGGTACTTGTTCTCGGGGCGGCTCGGCCACTCCTCTCGGGTTTCGGGTTTGGGAGAAGGAACATCGGTCATCGGGATAGCGACATCAGCAAGGGAGTCGCGATTCGAATACATTGAGGCCCGCGGATTGCCCGTTGTAAGGAATGATTCGCGTCGTTGATCATCTTCTGGGTCGGTGGTATCGGACTTTTTATTGAACACGGTCTTCATCCACTTGAAAGAAGCGATAATACCACGAGTGCTCGCCTTCTTGACCCGACGCCAGAGCCCAATGCTATCCTCGGTCGAGTTCACGTTACTCCATTCGATCAATCGGTACACTGGGGAGTTGTTCACTTGGTTATCCACGACAGTTCGTCCCCAATCTTCGATTGCGTCCTTAATCGCGGTCACCACGATAATAACAATTAGCGGAACTGCGTTGAGTCCGGGGTTGTTGGCACCGAAAATGGGGAAGAACTAGGGCAAGGTCAGTCAGATTGCTTTCGTCGGATCCTTTCGGGGGTCATAGGGAACGTACATTAAGAATAATGACGAATAAGAAATAGATGTTTGCAATGTTGTGGAACTGCAGCCAAATGTTCTTTGGAACGAAAGTCAATGCCGTGTACTTGGCTGTACGAATCTTGTTCCTAGGGTAGGTGTGCATCAGATGCCCATCTTCATCGCGTTCTGATTCAGGGATCGGGATGTTGAAGTAGATCGTTCGGTTCGCGCCGGATTCTGAGGGTTCGACGCCGTTCGTAGAAGCATTGTCGGCAGTCGAGCTAGGGGCGTTGGACCTACGCTTCTCATCTCTCGAATCCGATCTTTTATGAAAACGATCGATGATCGAGACACGTTTCCGCACGCCGCCGGAGCCGGCATGTCGTGTCGTCGCCCATCTTTGCCGTTTGGTGGGTTTTGAAATATTGCTGGGCGTCTCCTGAATCTCGGTATCCGGCACGTTGAGACTGTCGTCGGGGAAGCGCACGGAAGCCATCTAGGCTATTGATGCGCCCCAATAGGGCTTGAAACTGAACGGAAGCCTTAAACGAAGCGGACCATCCGGTTTATCGAACCGGGATTCCAGGGCCACGCACGGCTAGTCGACAAGGCCTTGTATCACAGGAAGTTCGTCGATGACAGTTGCAATGTCATAAGGACCAGGGTTGAGTTCGAGTTCGCGCGTAACGGGGGGGAAGTCAGACGGGATGATGACAGTGTCTAGAGGGACCGGTGGAATCGGAGGGGTGGTTCACACAGTCGACGTAGGAGTCAAAGAGAGAGGGTGTAATACCCACGAGGGGCCATGCAAATGGGGCAAAAGGGATATGGGAGAAGTAACGTTATTTTTTTTCGAGGGGGCGAGACGGGAAGAGTGAGGCAGTGGACAGACAGGACAACCCATGGGGACTCGGGCCCCGTAGCCTCCGTAATTACGGGCTGCTTACATGCCGGCTTGGTCAGCGCCTTGGCACTCGGCACGCATAAATCGGCTCTGCTCGGAATTAAGTAGGAGTGGTATTCTTCAATATTTCTTTGAATTAGCATTGACTGGTGGATTCTGCTCTATCCAACGGTGTCTAGAACTCTACGATCGACTGTGATCTTGCCGAGATATTCCATCTTCCGTCTTCCATCTTACTTGGCAACAGGTGTTGGCATAGTTACGGTAAAATTACCATACCAGCCTCATCCGGGCCTCCCAGCCCTCGCTGTCTGGTTCATTCTAAATTTCTGACTGTGGCAACGGGGAGATCTACCGATCTGAGTAAGTAATTATCCGTATGCAATTATTAAGGCCCGTTCGATCCGTGTCTATTGTCAAGGTTCTATAGTTCGCTATTTATGGAATGGCCCCTCAAACACCTCGTTTAGTAGCGTTTTGCATTAGCACGGTCGGGGTTATGCCTCCGTCATACTTCTGGAGTGTCCACTTCGTATTCCACATCTGGCGCACCGGCCAATACATAGGGTATTAGAGCTTCCGGGATGTTCATTTATTTATGTATACCGGACACTTCTTAGGCCGAGAAGCCGGTCCCTGGGACGGAATTAAATCTTTTCCTTGGCTATTTAATATCACAGACAATATCCTCAACGCAGAGGCCACCTTGGCTGTTCAACTCGGGGGATCGAGCCTGAAACCACCGACACGGCACGAGCGTTCCGATCCACCTTACTAAGACGGGGCTCCATCGTTCCAGTGTGGTTTGCTATGCAAACAAAGAAAGGGGAGGGTAGAATGATACACCGCTGGTCGATCGCGCACTACTGTATCAGAATCTGTAATCCAGCCTTTGCCCCCCCTTTTTTATTTTGTTTTTTTTTATTCCCCCTCTGCATATGGAGTCGGAGCCACCGTTAAACGAAGTATCCAGTCGACTGGAGCGGGCCCTATTAAGGATCATTTAAAATTGCCGATTGATCCAGACTTTTCTCCGCTCTGCCTAGAGGCAGCAACCGCTTGCGGGTCAGGCTCGGTAGCAGAGATTACAAGGTGCTTGGGACGTTGAAAACACTGGGGCTGTCAATCAAAAACTTAACGGCGTCGTCAGCTGGCGCGATCGCTCACGAACTGTAGTGGAGACGGTGCGAGTCGTCAACTTAAATCGGATCGGCGGCTACTCTTACCCCTGACTTTTGGGTGACTTGCCCGCATTTTGACAGTCGAGACATCTGTCTCAAATCTTGGAAGGTTTCAGCGCTGTAGATCGGAAGTAAGGTAGGGGACCCTCAGATCCCAGCCACTTCATAGGTGGCTTTCGTTGCCATCTATATATGCCCATGGGCATCCGAGGCGCCTGCGGAGCCCAGATTCATCCACGGCAATGATTCTATGGGCCCCGTTATGGTGGAATTTGGTTTTCGAAGCACTTGAGTGGGATGATCAATCAAATCATCCTCGAAAGCATCTGTTCACCAAACCTTGGGATATTGGACCTTCGGAATAATTATCACAACTCAATAACGGCTCAGATGCTTGCAAGAAATAAGTACTATTCAAATCAGCTCATGCGTAATAATTCAAAATTACCCGATGAGGAGATATAGTACCACGTGACTTCGCGCCGCTCGTACGCGACGCGGAACCACTGATCTTTCGCTCTCCAGATATTCACGATGCCTCCGATCACGAATTTTTTCAAACCACCCGCCTTCTCGCGCTTGTCACAACCCCCGACCCCGGAGAGAAATAAAAGCAAACCCCAGCCAAAACAGCCCTCGCAAGCCCCGTCGTCCCCGCCATCCGATCCCCCGCCATCTTCGAGAATAGATCTGACCTGGGAAGATCAAGATGACCCGGGAAGCCAGCTGGGTGCATCCCTTTTGCAGTCAATAAGCAACAATACTCATTCGTCTCTTCCGCCCGAACAAAGCTTTCAAAGTCCCGAGTCGGCACCACCACCACCACCACCACCACCTTCATCTCTTGGAAGCTTCATTGCCTCGCAACGCATCGTCAAAGATGGCAAAGAAGTCGTGATCAGTTCAGATGGAGAGGATACAGACTCAGCAGACTCACTCGATGATCCCAGCTTCTTGCTTGGGCCGAAGTTTAGGCAGCAAAAGCAAGAGATCAAGCCGATCCGAGTCGAAAAGGCATACCTGCAAACGCTTTCGGTCCCAACGAAATACAAAAACTCTTTAGACTCGCTTGTACATTCTGCTCTTGGCGACCAAAAGACTGAAGCAAACGTCGCTAAGATCAGGGCGGGTTTCGAGCCAAGTGACAGTCGAGCTGTGTCTGGTCAAGACGCGGGATCAAAGACAAAGAATGACGTTCAAGGAGTGTTAACATCGGCTCTGAGGGAGTCTGAGGATGGAAAAGACTTCCGACGTCTGATGGATGCCATTCGAAGAACTGAGGCTCTCGACCAGGACCGCATCTGGCGCTTCTTCGATCAGGTGCAGATGACGCCGGCCGCACCAGAGTTCCCACGAGATCTATTTCCGCCCAACTCTTACCTGTGCGCCCTACGAGGTTGGCTTATGAATATACCCATCTGCCTTGCAACTTGACTAACTCTTACAGAAACCAACTCTCGAGTTCGTGCTTTCCAATCGGGCATCTTAGAATATGCTGCATCGTTGCGGCAACTGCCCGATGAGCTTCTTTGCTGGCTCTTCCGCTCAAGTGTGTGACAATTGTTTTTCCTTTTCTAAAGCTAATGGCGATGCAGTCCCACTCGAGCCCCGGGATGAGTTAAGGCAAGCTTATTGCCGGATCTTCACGGTTTGTCGATGGTGTTTCAAAGGCCCCTGAACCTTCACTGATGACGATTCCAGCAAACGCCCGCTCAACGTGTGGAGAATCTCATTCATCCGGATGATATCGATGGACTATTTCGGCAAATGGGTGCCAGGCCGCAAGCACTGGATCTCACAGACAGTGTCGTAGAGGATACTTACGAACGTAAGACTTGAGTTCCCGCTACCGGAATTTCGCGTATCTAAAACGGACCAGAAATCTCCCAGAAGCCTCAGCTCAAAGTACGAGGGGTCCTTTTCTCTACTTTTGATTTGCTCCAGGATGCTGCCGACTTGTGAGCTGCCTCTCGTTTCCAACATAAACTTGAAAGCTGATTAATATCCAGGTTTTCGATTGATACTCGAGAGCGCGCAATTCAGATCTTGCTGCGTATGACACTAGACACATCATTGACGGCGGATAATCTCATTCATTCCGAGCTACAAAGCGCTCTCAGTGCTCTTCTGGAAAGAGTGCCTGAAGCTGATACCGAAGAGATGGTACGCACACGACTGAGGTCCAAACGAGCACTGCTAATTATAGTTAGGATCGTCGAATCTGTGCAACGGTGTATGGGACTGTCAAGGATCCCCAATTCCAAAGCCGCATGCTGCACCATATTCTTCCCACGTCGGCCTGGATTTCACTGCTGCGGTACCGCCTCGGCGTGGCTTTTCTTCTTAAGAGCCCGGAGGCCTTGACAGAAACTCCTGCGGCGGTTCTCGACCTTAAACGCCTCACCCTCTTCTTGATCCAAGACGACCGATTTCATAAGCAACTACGCAATCCAAAAGACGAATATGACTATAGCGAGCTAACTGCCATTGCTCTTCTCCTGGACGTTGTCGTCAACTCCGCTCCGTACTCCTTGAGATGCGCTCAAGTGGAACCGGCGAAGGAGCTTGACGCTATCATCGACAAGCTGGCAACGCAGATCAAAAAGATATTCAGCTCGATTCAAGACTCTGGCGCTTCTCATCTCAAACGCATGCTGGCTAAGGAAGCCTTGGAGGCGCTCCACTATCGAGTGCTTTACGCGGTCCGGTCCAAACCGCCTCCCAAGAAGACCCTCTTCAAACACTATGGCTTGGAGCAGCAAGATGGCAACATTCGCAATATATTTAGGCCCAAAGATACTAAAGATACCACTGATGACGGGATATCGAGTTCCGCAGATACGACCGAGCGTACAGCCATGCCTATCCGAGGGCACTAAGGGGATTAATGACAGTGACGAACTTTACGACCCTTCAATCATAGAGCGAAGCATTTTTCTGCATGTATTTGATACCGAGAATCTGCATTGATAGATGAGAAATCAAACGCTTGGCAAGATTGACCGTAATTCAGGTCAGGTATGAGATGTGCAAGGAAACCTCCCTTCTCTATGGAGATGGTCAAGACGCGAGGGTCCGAACTATAAAACAACGAAAGTACAAGTGAAGAAATAAGCGAGTCCCAATCTAGTCATAGAATCGCCGGTTCACGTTCTTTCCAAACAGTGTCTCCCGAACAGCGGGAAGAGCATCGATCTCCAACAGTCGCAGGCGCTCCTCGAAGGTGTTGTTAATCTCGATCTTGCCCTGGCCACCAACAATCGCGACACCACCGGCACTATAGCCTTGTTAGCCCTGATCTCCGCATACACTAGCTCTGGTAACTTACGATCCCTCCGGCAGAGGCTCTGACTCGTCCAAATCGACCTGAATCTCTCTGCCGACATTCTTCTTGAACTCCTTGGCAGCCTCCTCAATGGCCTTCTTCACGATATCAGAATCCTTCTTGCGCGAGCGGATAGCGACCTTGTCCTCATTCAAGTAGTACAGTCCCTCGAGGACCAGCCCCTGCAGCATAACCTGGTACTTCTTCTTGTCGTTAGCGGCGACGGTCGAGACCTTATCGCGAGCCTGCTGGAAGAGGTCATCCAAAAGCTCCTGACGACCACCAAGCACACGGAGACGCGTCCGGTTAGCGAGCGTCGAGCGGGTGATCTGCTGGGACATAGAGGCCTGCTTGAACTTCTTCTCGTAGAGGGTGTCGATGGCGGCGGTCTCCTGACGCACAAGCTTGGACTTCTCGATCGCGAATTCCTCGTCGGCCTTCAACTGGATCTCACGGGCTTTCTCGAGGGCCTCCTGCCGGATGAAGGCGGTCATCTTGCGGAGCTCGCCCGCGACCTGTTGGAGTTGGAGGGATCAGCCACGGTGTTCCCGGTGTTCACGGGGGCTGGACAAGGGATGTAATGATAGATCTGGACCTACCTGATCATCCGAGAGGGCATGACTTTGCGACATGATGGCGGTATTGTTGGAAAGAGGAGATGTAAAGGTGGAATGACGTGGGGAAGAAAGGGAGTTGTCACTCGTGTCCAACTAAGCTCGGATCCGCTCCTTGGCGTCCCGTCCGCATCCAGCAGACCTCCCCTCTTGTGTTGAACTTACCTACTTTCTACCTCCCCTTGAACCCCTCACATTATGCCTTTACTCCGGTAGTGCTTTCTTCTCTGTGCGCTCTACGGCCCCTCCGTGGCCCATGTACCAGACTCCAAGATGGGCAACCTAGGTGGCCTGTCGCCGCAAGGCAGCGTCGCAGTGAGTGTGGATATTGACATGTCGGATCTTCAATGGCTAATATGTTCTGTCATAGATCGGCATCCTCGTCGGGCTCATCTCGACCAGTTTACAGGCTATCGGGCTCACACTCCAGCGCAAGTCTCACCTCCTCGAAGACGAGAAGCACCCATACGATGTGCGCCGCCCTCCCTACAAGCGCCGGCGGTGGCAGCTAGGTATGGGAATGTTTGTGATATCCAATATTGTGGGCAGCACCATTCAGATCACCACACTTCCTCTACCTGTTCTTTCCACTCTCCAGGCAGTTAGTTATCCTCTTCCCCGGAGTCGGCAGGGTGACGTTAACATAGCGGTGACAGTCCGGACTGGTGTTCAATACGATCTTTGCGACTCTCATTCTCGGTGAACCCTTTACTCGATATTCCTTTACAGGCACCTTCCTTGTTTGCAGCGGTGCCATATTGATCGCGACGTTCGGCGCTATCGGAGAGCCGGCCCATACTCTAAATCAGCTCTTGGAGCTTCTACAACGCCGGCCTTTTCTGATATGGATGGGAGGAACAGTCTTTATGGTGGCGTTGATTCTTGTGGGATTAAAGCTGTTGAAGTGCTGTTTACCAGGGTCCCGGACGAAACCTGCTCCGGGAGGTCATTTCGCGCCGCATCTGCAACGGCTACAAAGTCGAATCAGGCTGTTCCGGGGCATGTGCTATGGAGCTATCAGTGGGATCTTATCGGCCCACTCGCTCCTGTTGGCCAAGTCGGCGGTAGAACTACTGGTGCGCACGCTGGTAGATGGGAAGAACCAGTTCAACCGTTGGCAATCGTGGGTAATTCTGCTGGCCATGATCTCCCTGGCCTTAACGCAGCTATTTTATCTGCATCGTGGATTAAAACTTTGCAGCACGAGTGTCTTGTATCCATTTGTGTTTTGCATCTACAACATTATTGCCATTCTCGATGGCCTGATCTATTTCCGGCAGACATCCCAGCTTGGCGGGCTCCATGCTGGTCTCATCGCTTTGGGAACAGTCATTCTGCTCGGCGGTGTTCTCTGCCTGTCTTGGCGGCTGGAGGACATCGACAGTCATGCTGCTGTCACCACAGTTGGCTCTACACAGACCGGACTTGGTCCAGGCATGGGGATCGTCGAGGAGCAGCACTGCCCGACCTCAAACGGGCTGGTAGATGGGACGGACGACGAAGAATCTCAGATTGGAGAACAAGAACCCCTTCTTGGAGGGGTCCAGCCTCGACTGTATTCGTCGTATCATCGAGCCCGAGCCCCTAGTCTTCCGCTTATTCCACCGGGTGACCGCCACGAAGCTGCCGATTTCAACGCCGCATCAATCTGGGCTGAGCTTGATGACTCTGACTATGACTTTCCCGACCCACAGTTGCGGTCTTCAGGCGATCGGCCGCGCAGTTCAAGCGGCAGTGCAGTCCTGAACGGCTCGGTGCGCGTCCTCGCGCGCCACTCAACCATTGGTGCAATGCCATACCATCGTACACGAGGCTCTCGCCGCCCTCCACCGATACAAACCGGTCTTTGGAGGCGCTCATCTGCACCTCTGGCAGGGATCATGGGCTCACAACGCAAGCGAAAGAGCCTGTGGAGCTTCTCTGCCTCATCGGGAACGGGCAACCTTGGATACGGAACAATCCGAGAAGACGATGATCTTCAAGGAAATGAGAGCGACGAAACAATTCGTCCCCGAAACCCAGGTTCTGGACTTCTGGCGGGATCGAGGAGGACTCTGGCCGGCGCCTGGCAATACGGACGCCAGTATCTATCTCGATGGGTGCGCCCGCAGGCGGGCAATCAAGCCGACCACGATGAGAACGAAGGTTCATCGTCGCCTTTATTACCTCGCGCCGACCTCCACCTCCCCCGGATACGAGATATACCATCACCAGGCGGTCCCAAACGTGGAAGGCCACCATCGTCTTCTTCGCTTTGACAGCCTTGGAACATTGAGTTATTCCATTTACATCTAAATCACCTTTGCTTGGACCCGTCACATCTTGATACCAAAGACCCTTTTTTGTTCCTTTATTTGTTGCACTATGTACAGTAAGACTCGATGTCTTGTTCTAGACCCGAAACACATTCGCCCGACGATCTGGATTCCGATATACGTGTGCGAGTCAGATTCGTCACGATTCTGGGGGTTTGAAAGCTTAGCCATGATACAGTCAATGATACGATACCACATATTTTTTTTTTTTTTCTTTCTGATTCCCGGTTATCGATTCCGAAGTTTGTGTTGGTTTTGAATAGAAAATGTGGGGATGTACAGAGTATAACCCTAATACTCGCCGTCAACACGTCCACTTAGTTTCTCGGAACTACGAGGGCTGTACTTTTAAATGTTCAATCTTGTAGACAAGGTTTTTAGGGTTGTACCCTTGGACCCTTGCTTCACTAGTTTGACTTGTTTGTAGATGACGATCATATCTGATCTATGTCTAGCTCGATCAAGGGCCTGGTTCGCCCCGCGGCAGATCTGCAAGCTAAATACCTTGACCACGAGGAGAATCGGCAATTCAAAAGTACTTGAGAACTGACAAACACTGAAATAATTGCATTAACTCCATGGAAATACACCCGGCAGCACAGCACCAACTACATACTACACAAAGTAAGGACGGAAAGCCACATCATATCCATACCAGATACAGGACAGGATGTACATCTCGGCGAGCAAGAGGCCATAGGCGTCAGCAACAGATACGAGAATCCGATACGGTGACAAGAATGAAACACAGGATGAGATTAGACACTTGAGAAAAAGAGCGGGAAAACAATATCAATAATGGGTCGTATGGGAGATAAATAGAAAGGGGAAAAAGAAAAAAAAAAAAAAAAGAACCACTTCGCCAACAGATCAATGCACCACGAACACCACCAGCCTCCACCATTATGTCTAGGTAGAGGGGGCAAGGGGAAACAGAAACAGCCAGAATAGCGTCGAAGTCCAGAGTTGTTTGCTTGCGCTCTTAGTCTCTTTTTTTTTTTTTTTTAAAAAGGGTTTTGGATTTGGGGGTAGAGAGGTCATGGCTTGAGCAAAGGAAAAAGAAGCAAGATTTTCTTTCAAGTTCGAGTTGAAAGCAAGACCGTAACACACGTTCAGTAACAAGACAAGACATCCACAGGAAATACCAGCGCAGTGTTTGAATATGTATACTTCACAAGGAGATGGAAGATCAGCATGGACATGCAGATCATACTCCGGGGAGGAGAGAGGAGGATGGATTCAGCGCGGATGGACGGGTATCAAATGAACGCGAGAGATTTGAGTTGCGCAGTGGAGGGAGAGGGGGAGAAAACAGAAGGAAGACGCAGTATCTGGGACCCCGTCCGCAGCGCCGCGAAAACAAAGCAAGAGAGTGGGTGTTTTACGCGGTCGGTTGGTGCTGCGGTGGCATGCGGTTGCCCACGGGCATGCCGGGATACTGGCCACCGGCCTGCTGTTGCTGCTGGAGGTTCTGGTAGTATGCCATCTGCTGCTGCTGCTCATTGGTCATGTAGCCAGGGTGCATGCCAGGACGGGGCATGTTGCCCTGGGGCGCGTTGACGTTGCTGTGAGCGACATCCTCGGGGGCCTCGGGAGGCACATCGCCGGCATCGACGCCATTCTCGTTGGTGGTGGGATCGGGGGCATTCAAACAGGCCTGAGTAAAGGGATTAGCATCATGCGACCGAGATAATCTGCTCGAATCAACTGACCTGGATCAGGTTCTTGCCCTCGGCCTTGGTGACGAGCGGCTGCAGCTTGGGTGTGGTGAAGGTATAGACAAGGCCGGTTTCGGAGACGACCAGCAGAAGGACTTGGGTACCGGTGAGAACGGACAGCTCGTAAGCCTGGAAAGGAAGGAGATGGTTAGTTTCCAGAATGGTTGGATGTGAACGAGCCGCGACGGGGGTATCTGTATGTGCACGGTACTTGGGGGGAAGGAAAGGTGGAACTAGAACGTACCTTCTTCATGATACCGGCCTTTCGCTTGGAGAAGGTGATGTGGCGACGCGACTTGTCCTGAATGAACTTGATCTCAATCTTGCGGCGCTCACGGCCGGGCTTGTCATCATCATCGTCGTCGTCCTCGGCGCTCATGCGGCCGCGCTTGGTGCCGCGGGTGTCAGCGCCGTTACCGGGCTGCTGGAGGTCATCGTGGGTAGGAGAGAGCTTCTCCTCACCAACGGAAGTCATATCGGCCATGATGGAGGTTGAAGGATATTGGTGGCAGGTAAAGACCAAAAGTTGGGAGAAGGTCCAAAAGGGGAAGGGAATCGAAGATACCCAATCGAGTAACGCGTTTTGGGATCGCAGGGTTGGAGAGAGAAAAGGAAGGGGGGGGAAGAGCGAAGAAGGCAAAGTGCGAGTTGCGATGGGCAGGCGGTCAGTCACGTGTGGGGGTGCATTACAGGATCCATAAAAAGGATACTTCTGAGGCCCATACGTAGTGCATATCGCCTCCAAGTACCTTCTGTCCGAAATGCCGATCTTACATGTCATGGACGGTAAACTTACAGTATCCGCCTCCCCCTCTCCGTGATTCTCCATTATAATTGGTGCCTCCTCGGGCCCACCTTGTCCTCCACTCAGCGCGAGGCACGCGCAGCTCCAAACCGCGCCTTCTGTTGGTCTAAGCACTTTCCGCCTCCGCTTGCATCGGTGTTTGAACCCGTCTGGACCCGGGTCTTTTTTGACTTTCCTTTCGTTCCATCATCCCTACACTACATTAGTACCGGACAGTATAGCACACTTGATACTTTCGACGCTCAACGCTCGACGCTCGACGCTCGACGCTCGACTCTCCACATACCTGGCTATACTTGGATCATCCCTGCATTCTTCGCTGCGGCTGACTGCCCGCTGCACCCGGCCTCGGGCTCGCCCCGGCCAGTACCTGACTATCAACCTAGGGTCAATGTCGTCGGGGCTTACACGGCGCTATGGACCGTTTCCCATGCACTCCTGTAAAAGAAACAAAACCAACCGTCGTACAATCAGCCTGCGGTGTACTTCCCCGGTATGGAGTGGGCCTGTCTAGACCGAGCTAGATTCCAGCAGAAACAGCGCCGTCGACGGTCGCTTTCGGCTTTCATCCCCAGGCATAAGGTATGTGTCACGGCATGAGTGTCTATTCTTGGACAAACATCATCCAGGGGCCTTGCACGATATGGGACTCCTTATCTCTATCTTATCGTTATTGTGTTTGTGTTTGTACATGCCACAATCCCTTTCCCTTTTCATCGACCCCTAGGGGGCAAGCATTGTCGGTTTCATCACACAATTCACCCGCACTTGGGTTTCATCACCTTGAAAAAACGCTATAATTAAGCAATGAAGCCAAGGCTCGATACATGAGATGCGTGGCTTTACTACATTAGAATATTTGATCTTGTGATTCCAAGGTTCTAGCCCATTCTATATGGATGCATGCCTCATTTCCAACAATATATATCTTTGTCGAAGCTTTCTCCTGCATGTGAACACCAACAAAGGCCAAAAGGAAGGAAGCGAAGCACACCACAATATTTAAATAACGGGGTATTCTACATTGATCCTAACCTTGGAAGGTCTTCGTTGAACAACCCAGATCCAGGCAGAACTCCCTCTACCGTCCCAGTCTGCCGCGCCAGGTGTGTGTATGGACATTGCTACCTTACACGAGGGACACACCGGCATTGGCTCACCTAGAAAGGCCAAGGGTACGCCCAGGAGACCTCATCAATATCTGGCCGGGATAGGCAACAGAGTCATTCACTTGCCACATGGCTGAAGATGGGCCCCGTCGCGCTTCTCGCGGGCCGATCCGCGAAGCCTAGCACGTAACATGTAAATGTTGCTATACGACAACGGAATGGGAAATAAGTATATTTGAAGTATTCATCATATTCTTCGCATAATGAACCTGGGCATAGTTCAACGCTAATCACCACCAACCGCGACCCAAACACGGTCGTCGGTTCAAGTCTATTTTTACAAAACGATGCATGGCGTGGGAGCCTCTCCCTCTGATTGGGGAAATCCACAAAGATAGCAAGAGAAGCACAGAGAAAGAAAAATGAACGAATAGCTAAGCCGAGGCGTGGGCGAGGATATGTATATCACAGGCCCAACCAACGTACGAAGGCAGCCAGATAGAAAGATGGGGGCCACACATAAAGGAGCCGGGGATATAGGGAGTACATAAAACCACCAGGTTGCTGCACCGGAATGGACTCCGCCAATGCTAACGCCGGATAAATGAACAATCAGAAACTGGAGGACGCGGAGTTCAGGTCACGATCACGAGTCTCATCCGGAATAAAGAAAAAGGTTGGGAAGGTGAGTGGGCGGGTGGTTCGGGGCCGATGCAAATGGTTTGGCGTCGTGACGTGGGAAAAAATAAATAGTGGATGGAAAATCATGTGCAGCGAAGTGAAGATGAGACGATCGAGAATAAAAAATGACAAGCCCCCAAGGACCAGCCTTAGAGAAATCGCTTAAGGGGCTTCTCAGCAAGGCTGAAGAGATCATTGCTGATAGGTACCGGTGATGTGGTGATCGCTGAGACCACCGCCACCGCCGCCCTTGGGGCCGAGCCAGACGATCTCGATCACACTGTGTCCCTCATCTTCCTCGCGCACATAGAACTGGTGGACGTTGTCACCCACCACATACGCATCGTGCATCAACCACCGATCCTTGGTGACACCCTCATCCTCCGCGGGACGGAGGGGACCCAAGCGCTCCTCGAAGCCGCGGGGGTCCTCGGGCCAGGTCTTCTCGACAGCGTCGAAGTTGATGGCATCATCCGAAACGAACTCATCGTAGGTATACTTGACCATAGAGTAACCGTTGGTCAAGACCCAGAAGTGGCGGGTAGACTTGCCGGTTGCGTTGTTGATAGTCTCCTCCTGATCGAAAACCCAACGGCGGAGAACGGACTTCCGGCCAGCGGCCGCAGAAACAGTAGTCATCTTCACGACGTCCTTGGAATACCAGCTGTTCCAGTGGTGCATAGATTCGATCTTGCGACCGGACTCGTAGACACCGTCGACGGGCTCGGTCATATCCATCTGGTAGAGCGAGGGCCAGAGAGTCAGAGGAGTGTCGCCGAATCGCTGGATACACTGGCCGAGCTTCTGGTCACCCGGCTGCTCGCCCCAGGACTGGCACTCGTCGTAGTACTTCATAAGCACATCGAGCAGAGGCTTGGAAACGAAGACACCGGCACCACCGAAAGCGATGTGGCCGAAAGTGTCCACCTGCCAGCTGGCCTCAGATAGGGATCCAATATAGTGCTTCTTCTTCTCATCGAACAGCTTCAGCTCCTCGGCAACGGTAGGAAGAGACAGGAAGAAGGTATCATCGTCGCTGAAACCGACCCAGGTGGTGTGAGGGCGATGCTTGCGGATGTGCTCCGAGAAGGCGTCGACCATACCGAAGTAGCGAGCAGTGAAATCGAGCGGGGAAGCGATGAGAGTCAGATCCAGACCCCTGTTGCGGAAGTAGGTCTCCTGCTTGTCCAGATCGTCGTCGGACTCGGGAACCAGAACGAGAAGACCGGCCTTGGTGTTACCATAGGTGTAAAGCAGGGAAGGGAGCAAGCGATCCAGACGGTCGACCGTAGTGGCTAAACCGAACAAAAGTTTCGAGGTCTCGTCGACATCGTCGTCCGCGGCAACATCAACATCGATAATTTCCGGGCAGACGAAATTCTCCTCGCTGTTTTCGGGAGAGACCACCATTCCGCGCTCCATGGCGACCATCGGTGGGAGAACGGGCTTCTCAATCTCCTCGAGTGTGTGGAACTCGGTCTTGGGGCTCACGAGGCGAGGGCGGAAATAGGCGCGGGTGTAGTTCTTACGGGGGAGCCATTCGGAGAAAGGGAGAGGAGCAGCCAGCTTGGGGTCGACCTCACAGGTGTTGCTGGCGGTGTCTGTGGTAGCCAATTTCTCGGTTGCATCTAACGGAGCCTGGTTGGTGCCCAGGTTCACGCGGTCCAGGTGCTTGAAACGGAGGAAGGCCGTCCGATCATAGCGTTCCATGCACCAGAAGAAGACACCGATTGACAACAGGGCGAGCAAAGGGAAAACCGTCTTCAGCCGGAAGAGAGGCATCTTGACGGTATTAGACGACGATTTTTCCAACATATACGTGAAGGTCGGTGTCGCAAGAGAGGGAGGCAATGAGGCGCCCTCGAATTAGGTTATTTCAGTAAATCGGCGTGGAAGCGAAATTGTGAAACCCGTGGTATCGTTGGGCAGCTGAAGCCGATCACAGCAGAACGAACGGGGCAAGAGTAGTTTAAAGAATGGCAGGCAAGTCAAATGCCGGAAGATAACGAGAGGCTGGCAGCGTCGGGACCCGCGACACGGTCTAAAGGGGGGGTGGAAGGGGTGGAAGAAATCAGTTGTAGATCAACGCGGCTGGACAGTGCGTCCAGGGCGAGAGAGAGAGTTCGATGGGGGTTGGGAGAGAGGGAAGGAGGAGGGAAGTCGTGATGAGGGAAAAAAAAAAAGGGAGGAAGTCAAAGCAGTTAAAGAGAGAGTTGGCAGAGTTGGGGGGGTGGCACACTTGAGGGAATGCGGTATCGTATTACCCTGACTCGTATTTTTGGATCCAACTCCGTTTGCAGCACTTTCCAGTCAGTCAACTATATCATGAGTCTCGGCCTCCGATATATGGGTTGTTTTCCGGATCCTTACGATGGTTTCCCTCTCTCTCGCTCACTGTATCTCTCTCTTTCTCTTGTTCTCCTGCCTGTCTCTCGGGTTTGCTTTGCCGTGTTGATCACATTGGAATGCTGGGTACTGGTCCGGGTACCTGCTAGGTGGTCCTAGGAGATGATCATCCCATCCATGGAAATACGTATCAGAATATTCCTAGAATACCGCAGATCACTGGGTCTGCTCTTTTCCGCCGTCGCAATGGTCTACTTGGCATTTTGGATAGGGAGTTCTCGGGTGCCTATCCTGTTTAAAAGACGGCGTTGGGATGATCGCTTGCATCCAGCAGATCCGGATCCGGGACGGCCACTGGCTCACTTCGAAGATCCAGATCAGGGGATCGTTCCAACCGGCTCTCGAGTCCGACGGAGGACCGTCCGGTTCGCTGAGCGATCAAATAGACACACATACACATACACATACACACATACACACAGTGAATCCCCGTGCTCCATTACAGAGAGCACACCATGGAAGAAGTACCCGGAACCCCGATCATAATGATGCGTTACCAATGTATCGTGTCTATAGATACGTCACGACTGTCCAGGTACGCTTGGACCATAGAAATTTACATCGAATGGATCTGTGTGTACAAAGAGACCCCGAACGACGAACGACGAACTATACTATACTATACAGGGTATAAAACAACTGTAAGGGTTTTGGTAATGAAACGACAATAAGGAAATGATTTGAAGGTCGATCGCTCTGGCGTCCAGCCGCCCCAGCCAGTCAGCAGCCCGTGGGAGGGGCTGTGGTGGTCTACCCTTCCCCACCGACGCGTGTCCCTTTAACATATGTACATAATATTGTGTTTCTTTTCTTAGTCTATTGCCACTTGAGGGTTGGAGTAACTGGAGAAGGCTTACGAGTCCGTCTCAGACTCAGCTACAGGCGAAGGACCCTGGAAACCTTATCGCCCTTCCCTATCGGAGGCAGCAAGACACCATTTCAGCCGTGGTCGGCCATCATGGAAAAGAGTGGGCCGAGATCGACACTGGAGCCATTCACTTCTGGCTTCAGGCTCAGGCCGTGGAGTTTTCGGCCGTGCGGGATTCTTCAAGGGCGATGAGACAGCTGCGTCATGGGTGTCGTGGCGTTCTACATATATTAACCCTCTAGAACGATGCCCGTTGTGTTTCAGATTCTATGGTCACCGTGGGGAAGTGCCTACAGTCGGAGCCAAGAGGTCCAAGGCTCTGGACCGCGGGTCTAAGCGAGTGATATGAGATTTAACCTTAACGTGGATGGCCCAGGTACTATACGCCCTACACGATGGAGTCCTGTAGGCACCCGCGAAAATTCAGGAGAATGCTTCATCTACCGCTGTCCGCGGTACCCGACCTTCTCGAGTGAGCTTACGAATCTCCCAGCCTCGGCGTCTCAGCGTCTCGGCGGCTCAAAGGTGCATGGAATTAAAACAAAAATTCGACTTAAGCTCAGTGCCGTCTTGGCGATGCTGTCATCGTTGAGACTTTAAATTGTAAGATTAAAAATAGGGGGCGCAGCAGAGGACTTGTAATTTATTCATTAAACGGACCCTGAAAACGAGCGTGTCACGTTCGGTGGATCTCTTTCAACAGGGCCCCTGATCGCCAGTCCCTTTCGGGTTCGGATCGCTGTAGTCCACTCATCGAACTTTCCAGGGAGAAAGAAGCACCAAATTGAAGCCGTTCTCGGCTGTGGGCCTCATACTTCGTGCCCTTTACAGCGCGAACTCGAAAAGGGAGTCTTCAAACGGCTAGGTCAATGATGCCACCCATCGCCATTCCGTACGCTCATCGCGCAGGGTCGGCCCCATATATTGAGCCCAGGCACCACGCACGGTGATCATGCCATTCGACTCCTGCTCTCGTCCCTAACCCCTTCTAGGAAGTCATCCTGGTCAGTTCGAATTCCACTGCGGGCCTGATCTGTACGAGGGGAAATGCGATGTGCTGCACATTCTGCTTGGAGTCATGTTCCATGATTGATCGGCCGATCATCATCGGGGCCAAAATTGGTAGGATTGAGGCCCAAAACGACGTCCTGCAGATTAATTGGGCCGGATCGAGATAGGTTGTCAGGCAATCTCCGATTCTGGTACTTCCCCATGCTTATTTTATGATGAAACGCACCATGGACTGAAGGATGGATGCAAGGTTTCTCTACCCTGCTCGATGATCAGTGACATGTCCAATCGTTCGTTTGGGGTATGGTACCTCTGTCCAGCGGCGGCAATCGCCATTCGTTCCCCTCTGACTTGCATGGTCTCACGGAAAGGATGCTTCTCAGATGGCCTGTTAAGCAAACCTCAATAACGGCGTGAGTCTAACGAAACGGCAGCGGGTCCGTATTAAGCTTGATCGCCCTGATCAGGTCGAACGAGAAATGGATATAGTACTCGAGATTCGACTTGCTTCACATAGACATCAATTGATGGTTAGACCCGGATATTGAAAACACCAACATTGGTCTTTGGAAGGTAGTTAACGGATGGTGTGGTCTGGTGTGTTCCCTATCTGCATCTCACCACAGATTGGAACTTTTCGACGAAGTCAAGGCCTTGAAATGGATTCGGACAACGCTGATGAGCGCCCACCTGAGCACCAGGTCTATATAGGCTGAATATCGAGATAATCCATTCTAGACATTCAGGCACCCAAATACCCGCATTTTTCTCGATAACTACAAAAGCCACGCCTAAAAATCTTGGAACTCAAATGAGAGGCCCAAGAACCTTGTTCGATATCATTTTGATAACGGAGATAAAATACCCTCGCTACGTGTGCCTTCGTTTTACCTACGCCCCACTTCATTTCAGGGACCTGGGCCACGGAAATTACAGGGCCACCATACCCTGATACTACCGAGATATTATTCCCTGGTCCCTGCAAAGCCCAGTGGTTTTCTAGGTGTCCATAACCGACGCCATTCCTTTGCACGTGTCCCACTACGGCGCCACGGCGCCCGCTAAGGACGAACCTAAGCTCAGACAGGCGGTTCAGATCCGTTCGGACCGTAGCTATGTTTATTTGCTCCACTATTGTCTAGGATAGCTCTGAAGGCGCTATGTTGCTCGCGTCTGATCTTGAATAGGGGGCGACATCGGTGTGGATCTAGCCAATTTTGGACATTTTTTCTAGATCTGCCAGTGTCTAGACTGGATATTCAGATATACACGAGACGGAGCAGCGTAATTGGAAGATGAAGTAGTTCGAAGAGTGCTTGAATTTAATGCCAAGCTGTCTGCTATTCTGTACAAGGCAGACGACAATAGAGGCGGGTATATTATGGATACTATGCTACAATCATTCAGCGGAGGCACCGTCACGATCATCAAAGATCATAAAATCGTCATGGTCCACCTCGACTCCTACGATTCGAGTCCACGCCTCTTTTACCGTATCAACAGTGTCGTCCTCCAATGCCAGATCAAGGCTCGAAGGCGGGAAGCTGAAGACATGAGGCGAATGGGTGTGAAGAGTCGGCGGCGTGCCGTCGTTACTGAGCCGGCCCAGTTGGTCATACCGCATGGACCAGAGCACAATAGCCTGAGGGCCTTCAGCTCGAACCAAACGGTCTACCGCGCATTCGAGGAGAGTGTGGCCTTCAGGCCCAGGGAGTGATACACTACCGTAGATAATGCCTGATGACGTTTATGTTAGCCATTGGACGAAGAAAAACGCCAGTGAATCTCAAATTGAGGGTATGCTCGTGATCAGTTATAGATAGAATGGTTTCATCAATGCAAATCAGGCAATGTAGATAAGTAAAAGATGTTCATCATATGAGCAGAGGGGAAGGGAACGACGCAATCGATAGGGGATAGGACTTACTCTGCTCTCGTGGACAATCACCGGTGTCACTCGAGTGGACCTGGAGATACACCGGCGGGGATTGAGGACTGCTCAACGTGTCACCCGGAAACATGAGGACCGTACTGGCAGCCATCGGCGCCCCTTCCACCGTAATGGGGAATAATGAGGCGAGACTTGAAGAAACAACACTGATTGAACGCGCGACCTTGGTGGGAGGGGACAGCTGCTCCTTCTCGGAGAGATCCCAGGTAGAGCCAAACACGACCTTACTTCGCACGGACTCCCCGCTGGACAGCTGCACCTCAACAGGGTACTCAGCATCTGCCGTGACATCACCGTCTGCGAGTGATTGAATGCCGGTGTCAAGGGCATATACACCACCACCGACGGCCGATGCCCGGCAGGCGACCTGAAGAATTTCAGAGGCGCTGCCATACTTCGACACTACGCCTCCAAATCCAGGTCCAAAAGTACCAATGGATGAAAGATGCCTCTTTACCCGAGGAACGGCGTAAGTTGCAGATGTGCTCTGTTGTGAGAGCTGAGACAGCGACAGCGAGAGCAGGGGAGCATGGAGATTTTGAGGAACACTGAACTTGGAAGACAGGTATTCTCCAAAGGGCATGGACAAGTCTTCGTCTGTTTCCACATCTCCCTCATCTTCTGACTTGCTGATGTGCCGAAGGAACCGCATCAATGTCCTCTTCGATTTCATGCTGATATGGGTATCTGCGAAAATATCTTCGCGATTACCCGGCACGCGATGGAAAGCCCGGGTAGCACCGAGATCACAGTCCTCGACATTGGGATTCTCAGGGGAGTGAATCCACCAACTTCCGACAGCCATAAACTCCAGCTGGCGGTAGACCTTGGAAGATATCAGGGTAGAAATTAGTCGTGAGCGGGTGTAAAGAAAGTATGGGGAAAGGGAAAGGGTATAGGCCCGACTAGCTGCAAGGTTCGCACGGATGTCCGGTGTGCCTGCCGGACGTGCGCTGCTCTCGGAGCCGTCTTGGGAGGGAGTAGATTGCGGGGAGTCTTGGGGATGCTGGTAAGTGAAAATCTTGACATCCTCAAATGGAGACTGTCCACGTTGATTGACACCGTCCATCCATTCCTGGGCCTCGTCCAGGCTGAAAGCAGCCTCGGATCCTCCATAGTATGGGTTCCGATCCAAATGAAGGACTTTCTTTCCCGACCGCGAGAGGGCTCTTGAGAACGAGTCAGTGACATCGTCGAGCCCAACCTCGGAGGGATTTACTCACAGCGCCAGTAGGGATTGGGCAAGCCCTGTCCCCGCAATGATCACGTCCCACGGTGTCTCTGACAAGGTTTCCATGTTGTCAATCAGAACTAAGGTCCGAGCTGTAGCGCGTAAGTGTGTAGGTTACAGAGAGATGCAGACCCAGCTCTCATAATTTTGGGTCAGAGATCAAGAATCTTGCGAGCATATCCGGCTTTCCGACTGAAAAAAAAACTTTCAATCCGTGGAGTGGAGAGCTTCGAACGGAAAAAGAGAAAAGAAAAACGCGCCGAGCTTTTTGTGCGGGAAGGCGGTCAGCGCTATGGCAGCTATACCGTGTTTGGCCCTAGTGCGCAACATCTATAAAACCCAACCGAGATACCATATGATCACTGAAATTCCTGTTTGGGCTATTAGTTTCTACTTGGAAATGATTTGAGATTGTGAAAAGCAAAGTTCTATGTTGAGAGCTTACATTGTCAACTAACTAGCCGCTCAAAATCGATAGGACGGATCCTGCCCCTACCGAGGTCTCAATCTGGCCGCGTTCCCAAAGTTGATCTGGTTTCTCAGCTCTTGGCTCATCTCATACTCTTCTAGGTCTTCAGACAAAAGTCGGCAAGACAGTGGTTAGCGCATATGGAGAAGCCACTTTGCGCAATGTGAAAAGTAGAAAATCGAATAGAACAACTTACACCATGAAGGACACGAAAGTGGGAAATCCTTTTCAGCGCCAAGTCAATTATATAGGGTGCACTGGATAATGCCAGGAGCTTTTCTTGCAGCCAGTTCACTTGGGCGGCTTATGATATCTGATTAGAAGGTGAAGATGGCACAAGCAAGAATAAGAAACCAGCTCGCAAAGCTACTCTTTTCAATAGAGCCGAGTGTGAAAGGTAGGAATATTAAAGCCACATTCTGTCAGAGAGGTATTTTTATCAGCTGAGTTTCCCCACCCGCGAATCTGAAAGCTGGAGACAAGATGGTTGATTCCAAACATCATTTGCCCAGCAGGCCTCGTAAGATCTGAGGTGTATGATTTACGGCACCATTCCGGGGATTTCACAGCCACTATGATCGAATGAACAATTATAGCAATGACCTGGCCGGATGGAAACCGAGTATTCGGAAGGTCCCCGGGCGGTCAAATTGTTTAAGACATTAATCATCGTTCTCAAAAAAGATGAGCTGGCTCGATGCACCTATGCATGCCTTTCTACGTTTTACAGATTGTACTTGTAGTCGATAATGTGCGTAAATATGAAAGATACTTGCTTATAGCGGTAAAGAACCGACATTCCATCGCGTCGGCAACTCGTAAGGTCTAAAGGGCTTTGATTTAATAATAACTCTTCTACAGCCCGACCGAGAACTTATTTTATGGGATCTTAAATACTTTGTTCTCTTGGTCCTTCTCGGCCTCTCCCTAGCATGGAGCATGGAGCATCGCTCCAAACAAAAGACCAATACTGCACTCCCAAGGAGTGCGTTTTAAATTCTAAAGTCACGATGACCTTTTGAGAACATAAGAGGAAGAGCTTGAAGGAAACGAGCAAAGACAAGGGCAAGTTACAGCAGCCAAAGTTGGTTACTTGACGTGCCCCTGGAATACACGGCTTGAGACTTCATCCAATTGGCATAATGGTATACCAAAATACCGCCATGCTTCTATAGAAACCAACCAGCAGGATTGGAAGAGAAAAACAGCAGTGGATAAAAATTTGATAAAGACAAGCATATATCGCGACATATCTTCAAAAAGCAAGCCAATTACATGTTATCCCATCGGCTCTATCGTCACCTGTAATGTGAACCCTAAGCTATAAAACTCCCCTCTCAAAAAAAAAAAAAAAAGGATATGTCCCATGTTACATATTCAATCACTTCATGTCAAACTTTATCCTGCCTTGATGATCGGGGAAGATGCCGGCTGAGTCTGGCGCTGACTGGAGTCCTGGGTCATGACCGGACGTGGTGCAAGCTCGGAGTTGGCAGTAGTCTCTCCGTGGCCCTTTTTCTTTGACTTGTTTTTAAAAAGGAATCCAAGAGCGATGCACATGGTGTCTGAGAAAGTGAATGACTATTTGAGAAAGGTGAGTGATAGTCCTCTTGAAGGAAAAGTGACTGAATCGACGGACCCGACTTCAAGTATATCTGGGCGTTTGGAATTTGGAAGATAAAGCGAAATGATGATACCGACTTAAAGAACTGCACCAGAGCTTTATACCATTCCCGGGCTCTCCATCGTGGCACCGACCTTTAGCCACATCAGCTGACAACACATCAAGGTTACCCGATTAGGAGAAGAAGATTGCCAAAGCGGCGATGTCAGAGCCCCATTTGAAAGCTTGACACTCGCATGATACACTTAGTTAAGTAACTGTTGCGTGGGTAGAATTGAAGGGTGCAACGTGGCTGGAGTCTGGATTTACACTGCCGTAAAGCGGCAACAGTACAGAGTTTAAAAGGACCGAATTTTAGCCATTGGGGCCTAAAGTGGGGTGGAAAGAGGAATTATGGATACTAATACACTTGGAACAAGTCCTTATGTAGTCATATTGGCAGCCTCCGTTCCGCGCTGGGAGGTTGATATCCGTGGCAGCCGGGGCTAGAGAGAAAACGGCAAGGAGATCGTTATCGTGTAATCAGGCACTTCACAGATTCAGTATTGCGTTCAATCCCATGACTAGGATATTTAGGGGGCGCAGCTACCCCAATGAACTTTCTTTCAATGACTGTTTAAACAATGCTACCACCTTATACCATTGCATCCCCCCTAATCTGCGGATTGAGTGTTGTGCCTCAGCTTTCTTCTACAGTAAACCCGATCTATACAGCATCAGGTGATCCGCTTACTAATCACGCCACTCAAAAGGAAAATTTGAGGGCCCACAACTTCCTCCTCTTCTCCATGCCACTCCCAGTGCTTGCACAAGCCGACTGCTATCTCATGGCAACCTCGGTTTTATGGCGCGGACCTTCACTGGTACACGTCACGGGAGTGCTAGAAGAAACTTCACTCTGTATCTGCTGCTCTGGATGAAAAATCTGATGGAAGCGGTTCGTTTTGTAGTGATACATTCATTTGCCTAACAGTCAATGTTGAGGGAGTCAATTCTCCAACTTTGACAGGTTTCGTAATTCGTATAAATGGGCACGAGCCCGAGGTCATGTCTGCAGGGCAAGCGAAGGCTTCTCCAAGCTACAATCGCGCTTAGCCCGGTTGTGTGCGATGAAGCACAATGCTTCCTGTACCTTGGACGCATAAATCTCCATCTCAGGTATCGAACTACTCTTGAACAGTCTCTTTGAGGGCTGTGAAAGGCAATTGCACAGCTTAGAGTCTGCTTCACTCAGCCCCCTCTTCCACCATACGCGCCCGAATAATCTTCACTTCATCCATGGGCTTGTCATCGCCATTGGTCTTGACCAGCCCCATGCGCTGGATAATGCGCATCCCGCTCTTGACGCGACCGAAGATCGTGTGCTTCCCATCCAGCCATGGGGTCGGCGCCAGGGTGACGAAGAACTGGCTGCCATTCGTATTGGGTCCGCTATTCGCCATGCTCAGAATACCAGCACCGGTGTGCTTGAGATTATCGTGGATTTCGTCTTCGAATTTCTCGCCGTAGATCGAGCTGCCTCCGCGGCCGGTGCCAGTGGGATCACCAGTCTGGACCATGAAGTTTGGGATAATGCGGTGGAAAATGACGTTGTTGTAGTAACCTCGTTGCGCGAGAGTCGCGAAGTTCTTGCATGTCTAGGAAGTCAGAGTCAGCTGGAGTTTGTCTGCTATCAAGCGTGGGGTACGAACCTTGGGCGCATGAGTGTTGTAGAGCTCGACGGTGAAAGAGCCCTGCCGAGAGTCAGTAGTCATTCAAAAAGCAGAGTGACAGCCAGGAATTACCATTGAAGTGTCAAATACCACGTCTGTCGCCATAATGAAGGCTGTTCTGGAGGGAGCGTTGCAAGCAAAGTAGTAGTAGTAGTAGTAGTAGTAGTAGAAGAAGAAGAAGAAGAAGAAGCTGGGAGGGCGGAAGCCGCGAAGTGGAGCTTGGCGCGGTAGCTTGAATCTCCGATCAAGCAACTTCTCAACCTCCCACTCTACAATGGCTTGATTCAATCTTTTTACCATCAAAGCCTCGAATACCCTCCCTTAGAAAATTGCTACATCCTGACTCTCCTGCTATGTCCGACGTCAGCCCTCTCGCCGAGGTGCTTGGGCACGCGTGGTATCACTTCGACCGCATCAAGCCGCTCCTCCCCACGTACGGCCACCTACTCGTTTCTGCTCTGTTTCCCATGTATATTGGAGCCCATGCTTCTCTATCCAGACCCTCTTCCGCCGCAAAGCCTCCCAAAAAAGATACTGAGAATGAAGAATACGATACCGATGATGAGGATGATGAAGGTGAGGACCAGGGTGGGCCGGTTCAGAAGATGGAGGGACTCGAGCCTTCGGATGCTCTGATGTTCCCATTGACAGCGGGCCTCACGCTGGGAACCTTGTACTTTGTGATCAAATGGTTGGAAGACCCGGCGATTCTGAACAAGATTCTCAGTTTCTACTTCTCCCAAATGGGCATTTTCTTCGCCGTCGCTTTCTTGAAGGATGCTCTGTTGATCTGGCGGTCGCTCCTCTTCCCAAAGTACTATCGCCATGGAGGAAAGGTTTGGAAGGCCAAGCAACACGAGCGCATATTCACATCGTTGGAAGAAGTTCGACGCTCACCACTTCCTGGAATCTTCGGTTCAATCCCTTTGCCATCGAAGGTTCTCTCTTTCCTTTGGGCGTGCCGCAATGCCTCGTACCAGCGACTCAGACTCAAACTCCACATTAAGAATGTGATTGATGTGAAAGGGCTTGTTGGACTTCTGGATCTATTAAGTGCAATCATCGCTCTCATTGCAGTGGGATACTTTGCATTCGTTACCAAGCCTTGGTGGTTGACCAACTTCCTTGGATTCAGCTTCTGTTATGGTGCTCTCCAGTTCATGTCACCGTCGACCTTCTGGACTGGAACATTGATTCTGGGATCCTTGTTCTTCTACGACATCTATTTTGTTTTCTTCACCCCAATGATGGTTACTGTCGCTACAAAACTGGACGTTCCCATCAAGCTACTCTTCCCTCGTCCCCCTTCCCCCGGGCAAGAACCAGATGCTGTATCACTGGCTATGCTGGGGTTAGGAGACATTGTGATCCCCGGCATGATGGTTGGCCTTGCGCTGCGTTTTGACCTCTTCCTTTACTACTTCCAAAAGGGCGCTCAAAAGGCACGCACAGAAGGTTCAAGCCAGGAAATCGTCAAGCCTAAATATCAACGATCGACTGGGGCGTGGGGAGAGCGATTTTGGGCACCGACAATCGCGTCACGAGAGCCCGAGCTCCAGCCTCCGTACCACGACGCGAGATCTTTCCCAAAGACATACTTCAAAGCCAGTCTTGTTGGGTATGTTGTTGGCATGGTCGCCACGTTGCTTGTCATGCAATACTCAAATCACGCACAGCCTGCCCTGTTGTACCTTGTCCCCGGAGTCCTGTCATTCCTCTGGGGAACTGCCCTCGTTCGCGGGGAACTGAAGGTAATGTGGCACTTCTCTGACGCTGAAGAAGAAGGTGACGAGGAGGAAAACAAAGATAAAGAATGTTCTGAGAAGGAAGATGCCGACAAGAAATCTTCCACGTCTGAGCAGAAGAGCCTCTTCATGCGTATCCTGTCCGGTGACCTGAAAGCGCTCATATCTGGGAATGAGACTGCGGGGAAGGAAAAGCGCAACGACAAGGCAAAGGCGTCGGACAAGAAGTCCGAGTCGGATAAGTGCGAAGAGAAGGAGACACAAGATAGATTGGATCTGATCTTTTTCTCAATTTCTTACCCCCGCAAGCCCCAAGGCCAAATCGATTCCAACTCTGAAGGAAACAAGAATGGAGAGAGCAATGGAACGGTGAGCATCCCGGGTGTTGGCAACCGGGATGATGAGCCCCCAGTGAAGAGGAGACGGGGGACGCCCCGTAAGGCCTCCATGCAATAAATGCACTCTGCCGGGACCTGTGAAACCATCAAAAACAGGTGTTATGGGAAGCTGCTTCACCTAGTGTAACGATACATGCAATGATAGTGTTTCGGTGTTTCAATTTTCTAATCGAGTTCAAATGTTGCTCATCAATCTTAAGCTCAGTATTGTCAGAAACATTGTAAGGTCAACTAGTCGGGGTAGCACAGTGATAATCAGACATGGTATCATATTTTTTCATATTCTAGCATTGGTCAAGTATCCGCTTCATCTCGTCCCATCGTTGGCCCGAGATCTCAACCAGCTGGCGGAGGTCCTCAGTATCAACAGACCAACCACCATGCTTCTCCATCTTCAATATGACATTCTTTCCATTCTTCGCCTTGTCAACAACCAGAGTAGCTCTTTCCTGACTCAAGCCCTCCTCATAGCCATCCGGATCCGCAAGAATCCATTTCTGCTGGGGACCCTTCTTCCGCTGGTTTTGGGCCTTCTGATCATTGACATCTGGGATAACGACGGCGCGCCACCCAGCTGCAGCATCAGCTTCAAAGACACAGAATGAACTAGCCACAGGCAGGCCGCGCAAAGATAGCCTGCTAGCTTCCGAGATGTCGTCTGAGCAGATGATAGTCTCGTTATCAATATCCCACCAAGCTTTGGGAAGCTTGGTGTCACGCAGAGCAGCCAAGACAGCAGCCCAAGCAGCGTCGAATGGGTTACCCGCAAGAGAAATAATCATGACGTCGATATAAAGGACCCAAAAGGCCTTGATCTCTTGAGGGTCGCTCTCTTCAGAGCCCTGTCCAGCATCAATCTCCATTTGCTGGCTTTCATTATGCCGTTCCAAAGCTTCCAAGCCGAGATTCGGTGGCTGGTACCAAATGCGCAAATCGTCCGCCCGGATGAGACGTGTGCTGTGCAAAAGGGAGAGGATCTGGTGTGAAAGTGATTGAGCGAGCGCAGAGGGAGGGGCACCAGGAGTGAAGCCTGGCGCACAGCCGGTGCTCAAGGAAAGGTTGGGAACGAGCAAGTTCAAATCTTCAATGTGGGCGCGGTCCTCTTCATTCTCATCCTGACCTTCATCTTCGTCTGTCGTCTTCTCGCCGAGGCGGCGTCTCTTGTTTGAGTTGGAAGTTGACGAGGACGATACGCTCCACGAAGCGATATCATCTGTGTGTAGGATCTCAGCGCGGACACCGCAGACGGCGGTCGTATCGCCAATGCGCACGACGGCGCTGCCATTTGTGTGCGTCAGAGAGCCTGCATTGGCGGATGTGACTCGGAATTGGGAAGGGGCGCGGCCATTGGCGCGGATGGAGGGCTGGTTGCTCGCCGGAGGAGGAGAGAGGTGGGCAAGAAGGTAGGCATGAGGTTGAAGGCGAGCAAATTGAGAAGGTGGGAGTGAGAGAGACGGTGATACCGAGGGTGCAGCATTTGCTGCAGGAGTTGCCATTATGGAGAGCTGTGTACTGGCAAGCTGTGTCGTTTCGATCGCAGATGAAAAAGCAGCATCGCCCGGCAGAATAATTCCCTATCAAAGGCGGTGTCTCTCTAAGACTGAGGCAGAATTTTAACGTGACAGGATCAACAAAACACATCCAACAGTGAACACCGATTTACTTTTTCACGGGCAATTTTCTTAATCCTCTCGGTAGGTTGCTGTGAATCTGCTGGTGAGGCCCTTAACAAGCCCGATATTATCACTTTCATAATGAAAGAAACAAAATCATTTAAAATATGGTAGACCCCGAGTCGCCATCTGCCTTTTTTCTTTTTCGGTCTACATCGCGGAGTTGCTCTCAAGCCGCCGCTAATCTAGATGCTGCTCTCAGACAGCTTTCCCCAAAGCTTCGTCCAAATCAATCTCTCACCCAAGAGCAACTAGCGTTGCCTCCACTGTCCTTTCCCCTACATGAAGTAGGCCCAAGAGCCAACGCTAGCCATCTGATAGTAATAATAATAAAAATAATAGTATACAGTACCCGAAGCCCACTCTCGTCCAACGCTACCACCTCCCACCTATTTTCCTTGTAATCATGCAGAGTATTCACCTTCGGAAGATTCAAGCCCTTTTGAAGTGAACATTTCAAACGACCCTTCTATATCATTCGCGATCCTTTGAAGTGCATCCGATTCGACGAAGCTGAGCTTCCTATCACATCTCCATAATTGGAGCAAAAGGAACGGACCACATGTAGTTTCTATAATAATCGAATCGAACTATACATGACTAGTGACGTGCATTCGGAGCCCCGGGCTCAAATGAACTATTTCGGATCAAAGTTAAATGTTTCTAATTCGAAACACCGAACACCTTGACTTGTTCTGCGCGAAGCGGCAGGGAAGAAAGGAATGGCGAGGAGACGTGCCCGCTAATGCGGCCCGATCACCGTTCGTCACCTCTGCAACTATTGACCTCATGATTGGCCCCGCGGGCGCTAAACCATCACACATCACTGGTAGCTCGAGAGATTTGACCTCCGCACGATGCGGTGGCCCTGGCGAGACGCCCGCAGTGCCACCCTGTGGGTGATCACAAGTACCTGGCTCTCGATTGGTTTGGCGCTGGTCAGCCTGCGGGCTCCAAAGACATCCCATCACAGCGTGAGGGAGTTATCGAACTTTTGTGACCCCCGCTCTGTGCCTTGTTCCCATACATCTAGGCGGGTGTCCCCTGTGGTTATTTTTCCCGTTTCCCGTGACATCAATGAGCTCGGTGCATCTATAGAACTCGGAGAAGAGAGCTCTTCGCAGGTGACGATCATCCTCGAGCGACTGAAGGGTAGGTTGTACACTCCACAAATTGCAACCGCCGCGGAAACTCAACCATTTGGGATATAGACAGGAAACATACACGCTGAACTGGATTCCGTGTACCAACATCTTCCACCATGCGGAACGCTATCCTCTCTCTCGGCAAGCGAGTCAACATCGTGGTCTCGGCTTCGCTGACCAAGGCCGAGCTGGTGGAGTCCCAGCGCGATCCCTGGTCAAAGTCAGCCAAATATGGATATGGATTCGTCTACTTCGCCGTCATACTGCTGGTCATCACTTCTCTCATTCGATTCTGGCATATCTGGGGTGACAAGATGCGGATTGCCTACTTTAGAGAGAGCCGACCTCAGATTCACCCAAACACCTCCATGTGCAACGATGAGTACGAGCTCCCTAGTGCTGGCACGGATGCTTCGAGCGCACACTTCTTCCCAGCTCAAATGACCATTGCTCCGCCCAAAAGACGCGAGTCCATCTTCCAACGGATCATCCCGTTGCAGAAGGTGATCGCACTGATGCGCTGGGTATTCTACAGACCAATTCCGGTGGTCAGGGTCGGAAAGAACCAAATCGTCTTTCCTTCTCTGGCAGTGACAATAATCGTGCTGATCGCGTTGATCTTCGTGACTCTATACTGCTTCGTACCACAGCCATTATACTACTGGTCCATCGCCTTGGGATCACCTCCTTTGGCCATTCGGGCGGGCATGCTTGCAGTGGCCATGGTCCCGTGGATTGTTGCACTCGCCACCAAGGCAAACTTCATCACAATGCTCACTGGGCTAGGTCCCGAGCGACTAAATGGACTCCACCGCTGGTCCGCCTATATCTGTCTCTTCCTGTGTCTCGTTCACATGATCCCGTTCTATATCACTCCGATCTGGACGGATGGAGCCATGGTAAACTATACGAAGTTTGTCAACCTACCTATGTATGCGTATGGTACCGGTCTCGCGGCAGCCGCTCCTCTGTTCGTGCTTTGTATTCATTCGCTTCCATCCATCCGCCACTGGATGTATGAGCTGTTCATCATCATTCATATCCCTGTATCCTGGATTTTCGTTTCGATGCTATTCTGGCACACGAAAAACTATCTCTCCTCATGGGGTTATCTTTGGACCACGGTGGTGATTTGGATCCTCACCTACATTATTCGACTATTTTATCTCAATTGGATGAACCCATTCCGGATGTCCTCATTTATGATCGGAGAAGAGTCGGCCATTACGCTTCTCCCACAAGGTGCTATCAAGGTCACAGTCCCCACGCAAATGCGCTGGCGACCGGGCCAGTACGTCTATCTACGCATGCCGAGGATCTCCTTCTTCCAGAGCCACCCCTTTACTATTGCCTCGCTCTGCAGCGACGACTTCCCCTCTGCATATGGTGAGAAATACCGAGATTTGACCCTCGTCTTCCGACCCGCCAAGGGTTTCACACGCAAAGCCTTTGAAACATACTTGGAGAATGGTCCATTCAGAACCTACACAGCACTCCTCGAAGGACCTTATGGCGGCATGCAGCGGGAGATGTCCGCATTTGACGACGTGATCTTCTTCGCAGGAGGAAGCGGTATCACTGCGATTGCTAGCCAGTTGCTGGATCTAATCAAGAAGATCCGTGATGGTAAAGCTGTGACCAAATCAGTCAAAGTCATCTGGTCCTTGAAGACACCGGAGACAATGGAATGGTTCCAAGAGGAACTCCGTATCTGTCGAGACCATGCACCTTCCAGTATCGTGCATTGCCACTTCTTTCTCACCGCAGTGAACCAAGACGACCAGCAAGGGCGAGACTTGGTCCAAGAGAAGATCTCTGGTATTTTGCAGGGCATTGATAAGCGCAACTCTGCCTGGATCAGGGAAGAGGCCGCCGGTGACGCCGAGAGAGAAAAGGAACTGCGCCGCGAAAACGAGGACGGCCTCGCTGCTCTCCCAGGCGCATATACTGCACCTCATGTTGCGACCACCCGCCACTTTAGCCAGGATCATTACGCAGGACAGCCTGGAGTTAACAATGCTCCCTTCGACTTTGGATTCAACGGCCCACAACCGGTATCCCAAAGAGCCACCCCGCGCTACGCGGTGTTCCAACCCTCACAACGAAGAGAAAATTGGAGGACGGACTACTTCCGTCCCAACATCCCCGAGATGCTCAACGGGTTCTCGAAGAACTTCGGCCGACGTGCTTGTGTCTTCGTATGCGGCCCACCTAGCATGCGTATCGAGGTTGCAAACACAGTGGCCAAGCTCCAAACGCAGGTGATGCTAGATCCGAATAGAGACGAGATCTTCTTGCATGCGGAGAACTATAATATCTAACTCAGCGATCTTCTTCATTGTTTCATCCTATTTCCGGAACTTTTGGTCCCACGACTTATACCCTTGGCGTTTTCAAATCCTGTCGTCTTCAAGGCAGTACATAATGCATTACATATTCCTATAATGATTTCAGCTCAATGTGTCTACTTGAGCATATATACATGCTATTGTCCTATGAATATCAAGATTCCAAGATAAATAATCGTACTTGCATTATACATGGATGTTCTATCCGATGCAGGGGGAATGTAATCTACTGGGTATTCAACAAACATCTCACTACATGGCACATATTCGAATGCACCTGGCACCGCTCACCTGCGCTGAGCCTGGATCCCCTTCTCATCCACAGCCTTGCGCTTTCTCGAAGGTGTTTCCTCGTGCGAATCACCTAGAAGCTGAACGCCATGATCGCCCTCTTCTCCATCCTCCGCTTCGACCTTCTCCCAGTCGTCATCTTGGGGTGAGCTTTTCGGAACTTCCTTACGCTCGGGGTTCTCCTGCGCATCATCGTAGGGTAAATCCAGACGGACAATTCTCGCACCGGAGGGTTTCAGTCGTCGATAGTACCCTTCCACAATGCCATCTTGGATCTTGAACCCACGCGCAACATACCACGCGAGTCCATCCTCGTTCGCTTCGTGGACATGGGCAGTCACAGACCGTATATTGTAATGCTTGACTATTTCAGAAACCCGGCCGCGTGATTTAGATTTCGGCGGTGTTTCGAATAGCAGTGCATTCAATAGTGCTGCGGCCACACCTTGACCACGGTAAGGCGAGAGCAGATGAAGAGTCTGAATGTAGAGGTTTGTCGATTCATCTTGTGTTCCTCGTGGCGGATCTGGCTTCTCTAGGCGACAACGAATACCCCCGATCACTTTATCTGATCCCACAGAGGTGCCAGACTCCGGTACAGCGGCGACTGGGTGGTCATGGTAGATTGCGACGCGTGACAGAGACGCGATGACAGGGTCCGTGATGGTGGCCGTATAGAAGGAGTTTGGGTAACGTATTGGCAGGAGCAGCCCAGTGATACGCACCAGGGACGGGATATGTCCTGTTCCCACCGTTTCTATCGTGACCTGAGGGTGAGGGGTGGCATAGCCCATAGAAATCGCATGCGGATATGGCGTGTACTCGTCTTGGAGGGCCTGGTTTGGTCTGGTCGCAGCCGCGGGAGGTGGCTGAAGTCGAGGAGGATGAATAGACGGACGAGTCTGATATGGAGGAGGAGATGCAATAGGAGTAGGAGTAGTACTATTAGCAGGACCAGACGGTCTGTCTTTAAAGAACTGGTAAGCCATGATGAAAGAAGAGTGCGGAGATACGATAAGAGATAAGCCCAGGGAACAACTTGCTCCAGCCTCTTCTTTCTCATCCTCCCGGAGATCGGAGTTGTGACGCGGAATCAATCGGTCAGTTCTATTGTTCCATTTCATGTTCATGTTCATTCTCAATCTGCATCCTTTGCTTCCCATCCATCCCCTTTGTCCCCCTCCCCCTTGTGCTTACTTGCGCTTGGCTCCCGAGGGTAACCTCCAATGCATCCGAGACCCGAGACATAGTGCATTCACTAACTTGCACTCGCCACAGATATCTGCGCTCCTTCGTGAACACTGAACACCGAACGCTGTCTTTGGGATCTCTGGGGTCCCTATTCCACATTCTCTCGGACCGGCTTCGACCTCGCTGCACCGATTGGCACCTCCCTGCATAGATTTCCGGCCTATGGAGAAGTAGATTGCGAACCGGCGCGAAGAGGGTTCTGACTGCGTCGCGGCCAGACACAGCTGTCGGCCATTCAGGAACGGACCAATCGAGGGTGGCATCTCTGGACGACTCCGAAAATGGCCGACTCCACCAGCAGGCCGAGCTATCCTGCCGGGACGATCGCCAAAGTGGTATGTGCCTGTGTATCAAGGAAACAACCGGACGGGCTTCTAACTTGACCTACCAGTCGACCGATATCCTGAACGAAACATTCCACAACATCATCCATGACCTGGTCGCCAAGGTCCACCGCGAGGAGAAGATGGCGCGGATGCGCTCCGCGGTTGTAATTGCAAGACAAAAGGCAGAAGAAGGGGCGACTGTACCAGAAGAACCTGGCAGCAAGTCAGTGGTGGATGGCAAACCGAGAGAAGTCATCATAGATGCGAACAAACTAGCAAGCACGCATCTGGAGACGGACGCCGCCATCTTCGACCGCGGGAAAGTTCTTCTGAAAGGAAACCCGCTACACACCGTGAAGGAGATTATTTGCCCGGACTGCCGTCTCCCACGCTTATCATACCCCCCAGTGGGCGCGGGCCACCGACCTCCCCCCGACCCAAACCGTGAATACTGTCAAAATGGGCCCCTGATCACATTACCCGGACACGACGTCCACGGGAAAATGTTCGCCGTGATGCCGAATCCGAAGAAACGCAAAACGGAGAAGGACAGCACAATCCCCGAAGTCCCAACCAGCAAATGCCCTATCTGCCCCCGATACTTCGTCATGAACCGAGTAGCCCAGCATCTAGACCGATGTATGAACATCTCCGGCCGCGGCAGCAGCACGCGCAACAAGACCCCCACAGACAGCGGAGCAAGTGGTGCCAGCAGCCCAACCTCATCGGCACCGAAGCGGCCACACAACGATGACGACGATGGCAGCCCAAGCCCAACAAAGAAGAAGAAGCTCAACTCGAGTAAGAAAGGCTCGATGAACAAGCCCGGACCCAGTAAGCTCAAGCAGTCCTTTACCGCAGAGGATGACGACGACGTCAAGAGCGAGAATGGGGATTGAGAGTGATGGGACGATTCTGTCTTCTCGGTGTTTTTTGGGCGTTTTTTTCTTTTTGCTTTTCTTCATTCACGGGCGTCTTTTGGTGTGGCTCTATCTACACAGAATTTGCATAGATGACGATGATGATGGGGGGAATAGGATTTGTACATTACTTTCATACCATACAATGGGCCGTGACTCGGCATTGTCCTGTGAACTCTGAGCTTCTTGTAGATTCCCACCCTTCAGCATAGGTGGACTGGATGAGATAGACAGCTAGGGGAATTTCCCCGAATACTCTGATCACGTCGACATCTAATATTGAAAGCCAAGGTTGGTAAGGTAAAGGTCCCAGGTGCGAGGTGAATTATTCAGTAGCTATACCTTGGACACTTTCGCCTGATTCAAGATATTAAGCGGCACTCATCTTTTTTCCAGATGCATCATAGAAGGCAAACCAGGCCCCCGGGAATCATTCCTTCAACCGATATATTCCGCAGATTGATCCCATTCCCGATCACACCTGAGCCCCTGTATCTCATCATCTAGTAAACAAAGCTGTATATCAATGTCGCCTCGCTCCGTGCGTGGCCGGAAGTACAACAAGCTCCGAACGGGCTTCGACGTCGGTCGCCGAACGAGAGTCGGCTTGCCCAGCAAGCCAAACTTCACGGAGTACGTCGCAACGCCCGCCCACGAAGATGCATTTATCCACGTATCTGGATTAAATTTCTTTACAAAGTTGAGCTTGGTCTTATCAGGTTCCTCCGCAATGGCTGTTGCCAAAGTACAAAGAAGATACCCGATCTCTGATTCGGTAAACATCGCGACGAAGTTGTGCCGCGACCTCTACTAGAGAGGAGCAATCCAGTTCAACAAGAGTCATAGTTGAGTATGTCTTCATTACGATGTCACCCATTTACTCAATGGGTGCTTCAAGTGCACGTCTGCAGTCGAGTGTGCGAGGGAAGCCAGTGATAGTATCTGGTTTCTGGCCCAGCTTCATTTGAACCGCACTAAGTCGTTTCCAGATAAATGCACTTAGAGCATCATCGACTGATGGTGTCTCAGCGAGGTCCGTGAGCTGTGAAAGTTGCGTGGCAGTGAATCGGAAATGGTGAAAAGCTGGTAGAGGATCTGGCTGGGGAGTTGGACGCGCAGGCTTCCCTAGAGACGTGGCGCAACGCAGGTGGGAGATATCGCATTTGGGCACATCTAGACTCAAAAGAGGAAATATATCCAGCCTGTTGCGCGTGTTGACTTCAACAATGGTTTCGTCGAACTCTTGGCCTCGGAGTGCGGTACCTAAGAGTTGGAAGAATTGGTCGATTTCACCCATGTCCAGCATGTTGTGGTGAGCGGCACAGTCCAGGAAGAGACCATTCTTGATCCAGGTTGCCGTTAAGGTTAGAACAAGTGCTGGACTTGTTTCCTCCGTCGCTATCTGGAAGAGATGGTCCTGCGGAGAAGAGGGCTACGTCTAGCAGGTTGCTTGACCCTTTCGCCTGGACAATCTCTTCATTTGATAGGCAAATGTCAGATCGATCCTGAAGCTTGAGAATGGGTTCTGAAGATCTGCGAGCCACAGCAAATGTGCCAGAGCTTCCCTCGCCTTCGCCTTGGTGGACAACAAATCCGCCGATCCATGGAAGGGCCGATCTTATCCGGTGAGTGGCTGTTTCAAGGGCTGAAGCGGTGCCTTCTCGAGAGAGGCTCTTGGGATGCGCAAAACAGAGAGCAAGATGGGTATAGCCCTTTAGCCGGGGTGATTGCCCCAGTATATCCTGTGTTCCCGGCAGGATCTCCATCTCGCGGGAGTTGCAAGATCGCAAGTTGTTCGGAAAGCAGTGATCCGAGCGAGACTATAATTTAGATAGACTTACCAACTTGATTCTTCAACTCTTACTCGCCATCTTTCTAGGTTTCGCAAAGCTCCTTTTGGACCTCTTTCCCAAGATTGGTTCCTTTTCCACGATATTCCCCGGGACCTCTCCAGATGACTTCGAATACGATGGAGATAATCAAGTCTCAGCCGCCTATTTCGAACTGTTCATTTTATCTTCTCAGTTGGGCTGTGTGCTAGCTACCAAAAAAGACCCCAACAATGGGATGTGGACATCATCTTATACTCGCCATTGAAAACCGACCCGCTACAACGCTGAAAGCGTCAGAAATTGACCTGACTCTGAGAGCTCGTAATCCAATGTAGGTTATGTATGCGCTTCACCATAGTATCGACAGAAGCTCTTTGATCTCGATCCTACTCCTCCAAGTTCTCAATATCTTCCAAGCCCACCGTGTAGCTTGAAAAAAAAGACTGGGGGATAAGTAGAGTCGGGGAATGTAAAGGGTATAGTTCCGCTTTGGTTTCCTTGCGGGGAGCTCCACCTCAACTTTTTCCCTTTCACAACCATGTCTGACCTCACAACCTGGGCGACGCCTCGGCTTAGCCAGCTTCTCCCACTGGATGAAGACTCCTTAAGGCAAGTTATCGACTATTCGGCCAGTCTTTCGAAAGAGGCCTGCGCCGAAAACCTGAAAAGCCTCGTCGGCGATTCCCCCGCAGCTCTCGAGTTTATCGCCTCATTCAATGCCCGTCGCGACCCCCGCCCGCCCGCGACATCTACACGAAATGAAACAGCCAGCGAAAGGCCGAAAGGGAAGAATAAAAAGGAGAAGAAGCCGCTACACAATGCTGGCCCGCCACGTCGACCGGACAATTATGGTGACGTGGGAGGAGGCTACATGAAGTCCAGAGCGGAGGAGGACTACATGTCCGCCAGCAAGTCGATGTCCAATTCCCCCAGCCTGCCTGCACCTGGACCCTCTGCATCCTCTCGCGCGCAGTCTTCCACGATTTCAACTCCCTCAAAACCGCCTCCGTCTGCTTCTGGGCCTGTCCTTTCCGATATGCTGCCAAATGTGCGATCAAAGACGAGCAAACAGAAACAAACCGGAGGTACAGCAAGTTCCTTAAAGGGCGGTGCAGCCCTCACAACCAACAATATCTCCGACTTGACGGCCGCAATTGCAGCATTGGAACTTTCGACCAACCCTACAAAGAGCACCGAAAACCGCAAATGTAACTGCTACGCTTCCATTCATCCACTATTTGATCCAGCCCCCAACTGCGTCAAATGCGGCAAGATAATCTGTTCTCTCGAGGGTTTACAACCATGCTCGTTCTGCGGCACGCCGCTCCTCTCACCAGAAGAGGTACAGGATATGATTAGAGAGCTACGAGAGGAACGCGGGCAGGAAAAGATGCGAGCCCATAATGAGGGTGCACACCATCAAGGAGGGCCGAAACCCACAGGATCCGGGTCGTCTTCTCCGAACAAGCTGGATGCAGCTAGAGCCCATCGTGACAAACTGCTTCAGTTCCAAGCACAAAATGCTCGTCGGACCAAGGTCGTTGATGAGGCAGCCGACTTCGAGACCCCGAATGTCGCCTCAACGATATGGATGAGCCCGGCACAGCGAGCACTCGCGCTGAAGAAGCAGCAGCGCATTCAACGGGAGATGGAAGAGAAAGCTCGTCCCGAATGGGAGAAGAAGAAGACCGTGATGAGCCTTGATATCAAAGGCGGCAAAGTACGGAGGGTGTATCATTCCGCACAGGTGGAGTCAACACCAGACCCTAGTGAGCCGGACTCCATGGATGTCGCTGACTCCGAGGGAGGTCCGGCATCGGGGAGAGGCCATGCTTTCAGTCGGAATCCTCTCCTTGCTGCAGGAGGGTTGATGCGTCCAGTCTGGAAAGCCCCAACCGGCAAGACGGCAGATGGAGCCGAGCGAGCGGAAAGGAAGCAAACATGGCGACGCGTGCAGGACGACAGTGACGATAACGAGCAGTGGATCCTGGATGGTGGATTACATGGGACCAGCTCATAGTCATCTCGGCGCGCTGCTAAGCGAAGATGTCGATAATGCAAGGAACCGAATCTGGCCAACGCATTTGTGCACAAGAGGCCTGGATAGCACATTCCAGGATCATTACCATGGCCAAGTTGCATGGTACAGTCAGCATTCATATACAAGGACAGCAAAGAATGAGCGCTGCGCTGGGAATTAGCAACGGCCCCCGAGCATGGACTCGGAGCACAGTGCAACACTCCCCACTGCCTCAACCGCGTCCAATTGCGGAGCAGATGATAAGTGATTACCCATCGGATAATAGCGGTAGGCCGCGTTCAAATAGAACGCCTAAAAAGCCGCGGTGGGGTTCGAGGGGTAGCTTGGAAAGATCCTCTCAAGGGGGGTCTCACCTGAGCAGTCGAATACCCTAAATCATAGACCAATAAATCCCAAAGCCTGATGTTGCGTTACTCTATACACGTCTTAAGCACCGGTTCTTATCTTGGACCACGTTCTAGAGGAAAAGCTTCCCCGCAAAGAGTGCAAAGTAATGAAAGCACAAAATCACAAAATCACAAAATAAGCATAACTTAACTTATCCGCGCCCCGCCGGAGAGGTTCTCTGAGATATCCATTCACTTCACTTGAAAGCACATAACTGAAACCAGAAAACAGCCGCAAGTACCCGTGACCACATACAGAATGATCTAGTCGCATTAATAGTCCAGGTTCACAAGGTCACAACCCCAGTTTTGTTGGGTCTATCGTCATCGATTCCGAAACACGGTTGGGCGCGGATATCTTCGGCGCGGCAAGTATATAACTCTCACTTCCATGACTTCGGAAGATAAGCACCCCCTGATGACGTGAAGACCATCCAAGATGCTTGTTGAACCAGTGGTGAGGAGCATGTCCGCACAGCGACTAGCAATCGACCTGGCCGCGGTGCTGGGCGTCTTGGTATGTATTTGAGGCAAACACAGGCTGCAAGAAAGCTAACAGAGCTCCAGACAATCGCCTACACCCTTTACAACCGCTTTGTGCACCCGCTTCGGCGCATCCCAGGGCCTTTTCTGGCATCTATCACACCCTGGGTACAGCTTTACCATGGATTGAAGGGAGATCGGCATCTGTGGCTGCACGCACAACACAAGAAATACGGCACGCATGTACGAGTTGCGCCGAACTTTGTTTCGGTTAACTCGGACAAGGGGCTTCATGATATCTATGGACATGGAAAAAGGTTGCAGAAGGCAGATTTCTACAATGCCTTCCCCGCGATCAAGGGCGTGTACAACACTCACAATGCGATCGACAAGACGACGCATGGACGCAAGCGGCGTGTGCTCAGCCAGGCATTCTCAGAGAATGCGCTGAAGGGTATGGAGGATGTAATGCTCTTGCATGTGCGACAGCTCTGTGCAGTCTTGGCCGGATTCGATGAGAAGGATGAGAGAAAAGGCGATGATCGTAAAGGTGTCGTGCGCAACATGGGCAATTGGTTCAGCTACCTCTCCTACGACGTGATGGGCGAACTGTGCTTTGGAAAGAGTTTTGACATGCTCATTGGAGATACTCGACGACACATGATCGGGCTGGTTGATCGCGCTGCAAATCGACACTACGTGGTAAGTACAACACATCTGGACTCGGCGGAAACCGCTGACCTGTGTAGTGTGGACTGTGGATGCCTTTGGACCGCTGGCATCTCGATCAGGTTTTCATTCGACAGCTCACGCAAGACCGATGGAACTTCATCATGAACTCGCGTGTCGAGGCTAACAAGCGGGCTCAAGAACGTGCCTTGGCCGGTCGCGAAGCCAAGAAAGACTTCTTCTACTATCTGCTCAATGCAAAGGATCCCGAGACAGGCAAGGGCCTCAGCACACCCGAGCTGTGGGGTGAGGCCAACGTGCTCATGATTGCGGGAAGCGATACTACTTCGACTACATTGGCAGCTACACTGTTCTACCTGGTTCGGTCCCCGGCTGCTCTGGCCAAGGTTTGCGCCGAAGTACGTGGCGCCTTCAACGAGGTTGAGGAGATCATAAGTGGCGCACAGCTCAACGAGCTCGGCTATCTGAAAGCATGCATCGACGAAGCTCTGCGCCTCGCACCAGCCGTCCCAGGTGCGCCACCGCGCGAGGTCATGGAAGGAGGAGCCGTCGTTGACGGCGTCTTCCTGCCCGCAGGCACAGACTGCGGCACGCCTGTCTACTCGATCCACCGTCAGGAGCAGTACTACCGATCTCCAGAGGATTACATTCCCGAGCGTTGGATTGAGGGCGCCACTTGCGCATCATCGGGTGCATCGTGGACGACTAGCAAGGAAGAAATCGAGACCGCGCGTCGCGCGTTCTGTCCGTTTAGTATTGGACCACGCGGGTGCATTGGAAAGAGCATGGCGTTTATGGAGATGCGCCTGACATTGGCGCGACTTTTCTTCCTCTTTGACATGTCGCTGGCTGACCGTCAAGGTGAGGATGCTGGGGGCCATTTGGCGCTGGTGGACCACTTCACCAGTGCGAAGAATGGACCAAACGTAGAATTTTCAAAAGTAGTACCGACCAGACGATAGATTGGACACTAGGCAACGAATGAAATGAAGAATGAAGTTCAACCTGACAAGTCTTGATGTAAAAAGTGTCAAGTGTCAAATGTCAAATGGCAAATGGCAAATGGGGGACCCTTGCCGATCGCGTCTTAGTCAGGACACGGTTGCGCGTCTTAGCCCCCCCAACTCATCGATTCAGCATCAAGATATCTTTTAATTCGGCGCCAGACGCCAGATGATGTCCAACATTCACTCGTTATGCCCTCACAGCTAACTGTGACGTTCGTGCAATCGACTGTCCTGAATGCCCTCTCTAACGTCCTGGCGCAGCTGATTGACCAGCGCAACAAGACTGTACGATTTACACCAAACGCATACAACGTCAGCTAACCACCTCTCAGGGCCCTTTTTCTCTGAACACTTTGGCACTGCTCCAGTTCGTGACATATGGCATCCTGGTCGTGCCGATCAACTTCTACTGGCAACGCGCCCTGGAGGCGCGCTATCCAGGATTCCCCTCTCGTGCGGAAATCTCCAATCTGTGGCGCTCTCTTTCTCTAAAGTCGCTACTTTCATTCGCATGGCTTCGTTCATTCATTTCTTCCATCCTGGGCACATCCACAGCAAATGACACGTTACCCCTCCAAAAAGACAAGGAGAAGTGGGCACCCGCGCGACATTCGGGACTCCATAGCTTCGTGATGAAGTTCTTTTTTGACCAAACGCTAGCGGGCGCGATGAATATCGTGCTTTTCGTCGTTTTGATCAATATTCTAAAGGGGGAGGGTTTCGGCCGTGTGTGGGAGCTTGTTCTCTTGGTATGTGTCCTTTGTGTGCTTGGCCTCGAGCCCCTGATATGTGGAATACTGATTTGATCTAGGATTTCCGGCCGATCATGAATGCCAGATTGAAATATCGCCCGGTTGTATCCACTCTCATGTATACGGTCATTCCTGTGGATCGGAGGGTTGTCTTTGCGAGCGCGTGTGGCGTCATCTGGGGCATTTATCTCAGTCTTTATGCGGTAGTTTAATATTCTTCATCTTCGGCCTTGGTACCTTGACCGGACATAGACTAATTAGAATCTTCACTTGTCTTGCCCTTTTCTATGAAATATATAGTACGTAGTTCCATTGGTTTCTCTACTCCAAGGGCCTGGGCACAAGGTATATAGGAATGACGTTTGGACCAGGAGTAATGAGAGGCTACTACTCTAAAAGAACGATCTCCATGACTGGAGCAATAGATCTTCTCATGAAAGAAATCTTTCAAAGAACCTGGCCATGGAGTCTCTAGGGCTCACTTGCGTTTAGATGACCTCAAACACACTGAAATGAATACATAAAGGGATGGTATGTACTCCTTAAAGAACAAAAATAGACTTGGAAACTAGGAACAAAGCAACCCTTTTACTCATAAAGATATCTTGAAAGGTGGAGCTCTTAGAGGGCAATTCCCTGGGTTGCGTGGATAATGTTCGTCGATATTATGGGGGAAGAAGCAGGGAGAAGAGCCTTGCAGGGCGCAAGGCACAGAACGCAGGATTCACGGGTACGAAGGTGTTTGACCTAGAGGATATTTCTTATGTTTTGATTTGAGCTCTTCTCATCATCAATCTCTAGTCTCTTCTTCCCTCCATGGTGTTAGACCACTTCCAACAATTGAAGGTAAAATCATCTAGGATCTCGGTTGTATCGAAAGTGCATAAAAATTAGGTCCATTAAGTGTAGTACTCAAAGCATGAAGGTATGTAGAGCCTGTGTTTTACTGTCTTCAAATCCAGAGCTCTCTGCACAACAAAAGAAATTACAAAAAAAAATATGCATGAATGGGTGAAAAAGTCGGAAGGTTTGAACGCCTAAGCCGGAGCCACTTCAATCTTCTTACCCTTGACGGAAAGCCACTCAACGAATATGGGGCCGATCAGTGACAGGGCGCCCATGGCGACGGCAACGTAGAAAGTTTGCGTAACCGCATTGTTGTATGCCAACAGGACGGGTTGCAAAGCAGGACCGGGCAGAATGCTGCGCAGCATAGTGGCACCGGCACCAACGATCTTAGAAGCGTCAGCACCAGGAGCATAGGTCTGGATGTTGTGAACAAGCTGGTTCTGGAAGACATTTTGGCCAACAGAGACGAAGATAGCGCCACCCAGGGTCTGAGCGAACATGACCATAGCAGTACCGCTGGGGATGTCCTCGGTCTTGAGTGCCGTCTGTATGACAATCATTGGCATTTGCATACCCATGCCTAGGCCGACACCGAACACGACCTGGTATCCAATCCACTTGGGGTGGCCGGAGTCCACCTCGAGGGTGGATAGGAGCCCTGCACCGATAGTCATAATGATAGACGATGCGATCATGAAAGGAGTGTAGTAGCCACAGGCAGTGACCAGCCCACCGGCGAGGATGCCGAGAACGACGACGGAGATAATCAAGGGCAGGTTCATGATGCCGGACTTGATGGCGGAGGCGCCTTTGACAGACTGGAACCAGATTGGGAGATAATAGATCATGACGAAGTATGCGGCACCAATGGCCAGCGCATACCAGGCCGTACCCCAGATATTACGGTTCTTGATCAGGCGAGGAGGAATAGTGGCGCGGTCCTGACCCCACCATTGAAGACCGACAAAGATGATGATAAGCACACCAAAGACGACGAAGAGTGCGATGATACGCGCACTGCCCCATGCGTAGGTGGTACCGCCCCATTGCAACGCCAATAGAAGAGCGATGATGGCAGGGAGGAAGAACAGCGAACCAAGGAGATCAAACTCGGCAATTTGCTGCTTCCAGGTTCGATCGCCCTTACCGATGAGAGGTGGAGTGGCCTTGAAGAAGCACACAATGAAAAGGAAAGTTACTGCACCAACAGGCAGGTTAATGTAGAAGCACCAGCGCCAGGTCAGGCGGTCGGTGAAAGCACCTCCCATGCTGGGAAGAAGGTTAGCAACATTCTCCGGAAAGGAAGCAAAGGAACATACAGCGGACCCCCGACACTAGCAATACCGAACATGGAGCCGACAAGACCAGTGTATATAGGCCTCTTGACAAGCGGCACACTTTGGTGAATGATGAGCATAGAGCCGGAGAAGAGACCAGCCGCTCCCAGACCAGCAATGGCACGACCAACAATCAGACCAACGGACGTGGGAGTTGTAGCGCAGATTAGAGAACCAATTTCGAAAATCGACAGAGCCAGCAGATAGATCCATTTGATCGAATAAAAAGTGTAGAATTTGCCAAATATCAAAGTCACGGCGCACGTAGTCAACAGATAGGAACTACCATACCAACCCACATCATCCAGAGAATTGAACTGGTCCGTGATTTTGGGAATGGCCGTTGCGATAATTGTGTTGTCCTATTCAATGGTAAGCAATCGTAATTTTTGGGTGGCAAGTAAACACACGTACTAGTGCCACACAGAACACGCAGAGACACAATGCGATAGTAATAAGAAGGAGTTTGAAGCCGGAAGGATATTCTTTGTCATCCACATCCTTGGGATCTGCATCAGCCTCACCGCTCGTATTGCTCTCTGCATTCGAGACCTCCTTTTCCTCGTCGCCGCGGAGCACTGGCTCTTTGTTGGTATCTTCATTGGGCACCGCCTCAGGCGAAGGGTCACTATTGGCATTGCTATTGCTGTGACTCGTGGTCTCCTTGTCCGTATCAAGACCAGCAATGTTTCTGAATTGCTCATCGGGCATTGTGCTTTCCTTCTCGCTTGAAGGCTTAGGACTTTCTTTGGGCGGTGGTTGTTGATCACTAGAAGTCCTAAGGGCGGGATGATCCTCCACCCTTGGAGGAATTGATTTACCAAAAAAGTAGGCATTATGGCAGTGGTGTAGGTGAAAGATTGACTGGAAACCCGAGGGGAAGCTGCAGGTTAAAAGGACTGCAGTTAGGCAGGGTTGGCAACGCAGCCGGCCCTTTTGTACAGGTCTCGAGATGGACCAGGGCGACCTTGCGCGTCCTTGAGTCCTTGGCTCCCAATGTCGCACAAGCTACGAACCGAGACCCCGGTCTCCATGTGGGTTGGAGTGCTCCGTTGCCTGCAGGCGGTGCACACGCAGTAGTACGGCTAGTATTGTCTTTGGACCATGCATTGTCAGTCATGCAACCTAGCTGACCGAGCAAATGACAGGCATCCACGGAGCCAGGGCTCCGCCGTAGTCCAGGCCGGGACTGCATCGGCCAGGAGACCACGCAAGGATCACGGAGCTATGTCTCTGCAGTTTGTTGACCCTTTTTCCCTTTCCGCTCGGTGGCGCCCAATTGGGTCAAGGGTGTGAGTATAGCGGCGATCCCTTACTCTGAGTGCCAGGACGAAGGCATCATCATGCAGGACAGGGGAAATGACGGGGAAATCGCCCCTGTCTGAAGCACGGAATGCCCTTGTCGTAGCGAATACATGTAGATGTCTACGGGCCTTCGAATTGCAACCGAGTCAGACTCGGAGCGGATGGTCATCTTCGGGCAGTCCGTGCTCCGATTGGGGGGTTTGGCAATTATGGTCAAGTCTGGCCTAAAAGTTTGTAACCTGTCAATTGCCAGGAGTGTGAGATGCCGCAAGGGACATGCCCTTGATGCCTCGACACCTCGATACCTTGACACCTTGGTTGACGGACTTCATGGCCTTAGTGCCTTTGTGCCTGGTGGCCCTGTCAGCGCTGACACCCCGATCTGGACTAGCGCTTGCCGGGGTGATGAGAACTGCGGAGTTTGGAGTTAAGCTTCAACTGTAGCCTCTGGCCAAGTGAGGAGAAGGTTGTCGAACTCGAACTCGAACTCGAACTCAAACGCCATGTCTCATTTGCATAATGCGAGAACAATGGAATGAGTTATGTCCGGAGCTATGCGGGACATTCGGTCGTGAGTTTGCCATGATATCATACCCGACTTATCTAAGTTAGAGGAACAGAGACATGTTTTCAGATTGCATTAACCGCTATGGGATTTTGATCTCGATTATGAAGAAGTTTAATGGGCGACTTATGAATATTGACATCATATACATAGACAACCGCGACTTGATTCCTGCCATGAACGGCGGACGAGTCATGGCGGACGAATGCCGTTAAATCCGGATGACACGGATGACAGGATTATCTTCTCTATTTCCTCTAGTTCCTGTATGTCCGCCGTCCATTAGAAATACAATTTCATCGCATTTAAATACAGTTCTGTCCCATCGGATATTAGTTCATCATTCACCTTTCCAACCATCCAATTCACTCATCCTTCGTCAGGAGCTATTCATTACTATCAATCTCAATCCAACCCAATTCACTCATCATGGAAGAAATCTTCAAAGCTGCTCCCGAGCCCGCCACCCCTTTGGGTCGGTATCGCATTCTCTCCTCCACCTCCGGGATGCGCGTGTCTCCCCTACAGCTGGGCGGCATGTCCATTGGAGACAGTTGGAACCAGTTCATGGGCAGCATGAACAAAGAGCAATCCTTCAAGCTCCTCGACGCCTATGCCGAAGCTGGCGGCAACTTCATCGACACAGCCAACAACTACCAAAACGAGCAATCCGAAACCTGGATTGGCGAATGGATGGCCGCGCGCAAGAACCGCGACCAGATGATCATTGCCACCAAGTTCACTACAGACTACCGCACCCATGAACTGGGCAAGGGTAACGCACCCAACGCCTGCGGGAACCACAAGCGAAGCATGATGTTGAGCGTGCGAGACTCACTGCGCAAGCTGCAAACCGACTTCATTGACGTGCTGTACCTGCACTGGTGGGACCATACTACCTCTATCGAGGAGATCATGGACTCCCTGCACATCCTTGTGGAACAGGGTAAGGTCATGTACCTCGGAATCTCAGACACTCCGGCATGGGTTGTGGCAGCTGCCAACACCTATGCTCGTGCGCATGGCAAGACTCCCTTCTCCATCTACCAGGGCCGGTGGAACGTGATGCGCCGGGATTTTGAGCGGGATATTCTGCCCATGGCACGTCACTTCGGCATGGCGCTTGCGCCTTGGGATGTGCTCGGCAGCGGTCACTTCCAGACGGCGAAGCAGCTGGAAGAGCGTAAGAAGGCAGGCGAGGGACTGCGCAACATCTCCGGAGCTGAACAGTCAGAGGAGGAGCGGAAGATCTCCGAGGCCTTGGCGACGGTGGCAGCAGAGCATGGTATTGAGTCCGTGACGACTATTGCATTGGCATATGTGCTCTGCAAGGCGCCGAACGTGTTCCCGATCGTGGGCGGCCGCAAGGTCGAGCATTTGAAGGATAACATCAAGGCGCTGTCGATCCGCCTGACCGAGCAGCAGATTCAGTTCCTCGAGTCTGCGAGTCCGCTCGATATTGGATTCCCTGGGAACTTTATTGGTGTTGACCCGGCGATCAATGGTGGCAAGGTGTCGTTCTTGATGCAGACTGCGGGCAACTATGATTTTGTCCAGGATGAGCAAGCGATTGGGTATGAAAAGAACTAAATAGTGAAGCATGGCCTGATGTATAATTCCCGGTGACCCATTCCTCTCTAGTACTTGAATGAAATCAACTTGAAAAATAATTTAATGCCATTGAATGAAATCGTAGCTAAGCCTGGGAAATGCAAATCTGTACTGATATCAGATGCCAATCCGCGCCAGTGTCAATAACTGTGCAACGCCGTGGTACAAAAAAAAAATATAAGATATAGGGGAAAACAAAATACGGAAAAGGGAAAGCTAATGATACATCCTGCTTGAGGTCTACACAAGAGCAGAATAGAATAGAGCAACGAGGATGGCGGATGGCACGTGGCTGATTGTGGTCCCAGAGTGGGTTCGCAATATCTCAGTCAAGGGTCCCCCTTGCCATGAGAAGCGAAAGGTAGGTGAAAGGTAGGTGGAGACATCGGTCTCGGCTCCGTAATGCGCTCGCGCGACGATCGTAGCCAAGATACTGGCCCAGCCGGTAAAGCTCAGACAGACGGTCAAGTGATGCTGCATTCAGAAACATTGGACAATGAATAGGCATTCAACGAATAGTGACGGCACCGAGCTCATTTTTCAGTGGATTTCTGCAGAGTCTTGTCCTTGCTGGCGACTAAAGCGATCAAAGCGGCACCCACACCGCTGCCGTCCTTGGAGATACCGATGCGAATACTCTTCTCACCGGCGGGGCCAACCTGGGGCACCTCGCGCAGAGCTTCGCGCACGTACCCCTCGAAGTTGGGGTAGAACTCGACCAGACTGCCGTCCACACCAACGTCGACCATATCGCTGGTCTCGAGCTTCTTGGAGTGGATGAGGATGGCGGCGATCGGGACGGCACTCAAACGAGCGGCACGCTTGCCAATGGCGTGAACGAGAATCTTGACAGCCTTGCACTCCTCCTCACTCGGGTTCTCAATCTTCAAGTGATCCTTCAGCGCGGCCTTGACGTCGGTCATTTGCTTAGTGGAGTCGGCCTCGACCTGACTCAGCAAGCTGGTGTCCAGGCCCCATTGGCGGTAGAAGAGAGAGTCGGAGGGGATGGAGACCTTGGAGGTCTGGCTAGACTTGAAAAGACCGAGCTTGGAGTCGTTGTGCATGGCCAGCAGAGCGCGGCGCAGAATCTCACCCAGGAACATGCCAGAAACGCGCTTCTCGAACATTTGCACACCAGGGTTGTTGCTATCGGCATCCAACTCGCGATCGAACACGGTGCTGGGCAGGACGCTGAGGTGATTGTCGAAGCTACCCCACTCGGCATTAATGATCATCTCGCCAGTAGACTTGTCGTAGTGGGCACCCTCCAGTTGTGTAAGTTTGGTGATGTTCTCGATCTTCTCAACGTAGGCGCCATTGGTGCCGGTTCCAAAGATGGCTCCAAGGAAGGTGCCAGTCTCGCCTGGAGAGGTATAGGAGCGGGCCATCAGAGTACCAACGGTGTCGTTGACTAGAGCGGCCACGCGAACAGGGAGATCCAAGTCGTCAATGGCAGACTGGAGCAGGGCGCATACATCGTGGCCGACAGCATCGGGAATGTTGAAGCCCTTGGTCCACCGGATCAGGGTCCCCGAGTTGATTCCGACCTGACGGACGGGGAAGCTGAAAGTGAAGCCCAGATCGAACATGTATTCTTCGCTGGAACCCTCGCGCCGGCGGAGCTGGTGCGCCTCGAAGTGCTCGTTGTGGTGGATGCGGAGGAAGGCCTCGATTTGGCGGGCCAGGAAGAGGAAGAGGTCCTTGGAGGTACCGGAGGCCATGAGTTCCCGCGGGATCATGATCTTGGATTGAGTGAGGTTGAAGGTAGTGTCGCCGTGCAGTTGAACAGAGCACACACGGAAGTTGGTGCCGCCAAGGTCAACGGCCAGGTACAGACCCTACAAGAGGATTTCGTTAGCGATGATTCCATTTTCGCAGCAACAAGACCGTACCTTTTCGGTTCCATTGGGAACAGCGGTGACGAAGGTAGGAATCTGGCTCAGGGTGCAGTTCTCCTTCTGCAAACCCTCGTCGGACTGCTTGATGTACTCCGCGACCCCGCGCTGCACCTGCTCGGCGGGGAAGTCGAAGTCGCGCGCAATGCGCGTAGCCTCATCAATAAGTGTAGAGGACATGTTGAGAGTTCAAAGGCCGGCGAAGATGAGGAGAGATTATGTACAGCCGGAGAGTGATTTAAAGAAAAAGAGCGAGAGCGAGAGAGAGAGAGAGAGAGAGAGAGAGAGAAAAGAGGCGTTAAGCGGGATGACGGAGGGGTCCATGAGGTCAGTCCGCGACTTTCCAATCTTGGCATCCAATTACCGGCTTCACCGGCCTTGTAAATGCTCACTTCGGACTTGGTTTTGGTTTTCTGTTCTAACAGAATCTGAAATCATTAACTATAGGGACATCACCATGGTCTTATGTACCATTCCTAACCTTCCGGATGCAGCGCATCCTCCTACATTCCTGAGGTCACACAGCTCTCTAAGAACATCTCGTTTCACAGAACCAGCCAGGTTTTTATTTTCTTTTTTTTTTTTTTTCGGTAATTTTGTGTTTTTTTGTTTCCTTCATGACGGCATGAATGTTTTTCCTGGAGCTAAAAACCAAACTACGGAGATGACAATGTGGAGAGTGGCTGTGAATGGTCAATGGCACGCCTTTCCCCGACTTCACCGGTGAGCGACACCGGTTAAGGCGCGGGAGAATGAGGACGGGGGACGGGGGACGGGGGAACAGGGGAATCAGGGCGGACACACAGCGTCGCATGCAGGCGCCTTGGTGGACTACGTGCCAGGATCGAGGGTAGCACACCCGAGAAGCAACGGTTGGGCAAGAAATACCACGTTAGGCTCAGAGCCCTGGAGAACATCGGGATCGTTCGGCACGGGCAAAGCAGAAGTCGGCTCCCGACGTCCTTAGGGCATCCGAACCCGAACGGAATCCCGATCTTCTATTATCGTGACTAAAACACACGGGGAGTATGGTGGGCAGGTGGATTCCACTACCATCAAATTTAAGCCCTAGTCGTCCCGTGGCTTTACTGTCTCAGGCTTCCTACACTCTCCATGTTCCAATGGTAGTGGGAATAAATTACGATGATTCACTTGTAGGCTGCATTGCTATATATTGCACTTCAATGTCTACGTGGCAACGTTGGTAGCTAACTGGTGTTCAGATTGAATGGCTTAGCAACTTTTCTTGTGGCACCGGCTCTGGAAGGTGTCGATCTTCACGCGTCGGTGGCGGCACTAGGCCTATACAGCAGAAAAGACCACCAAGGAATTAGATCTGGCTGCTACGTCAGAAGTGACCTTTGTTCCTAGGTCCTATCATGGTTGAAGTTCCTGATTCAATACTCTCACACCAGGGAAAAAGACATACTATACCCCGTAGATGCTTCTGGTTTTACTTAGCGCTGTTTTCGGAGGAGCTCCGAACGAGGCAAAGAAGCACCTGGGCAAGCTAACGAATCGAACTAGAGTCGGATCATTAATGTTGCCCCAGGGGATTTTTGGTCCTTTTCAACAATTTCGTCCCCCGCCTTCTCTGTACCCCACATAGGTACTCGCGTTTCTCTCGAGGCGACGTACCCATTATAAAAGCCAATCGCAGACTAGGCTTGAATTGGGCTTATTCGAGGATAGAAATTGGCACCAACTCGCTTGAAATTTGCTCGTGCACATAGTCCAAAGTATGCACTTGAATAGGTTCATCTAGCCGCACCAAATTACATGTAGATGTTGCATGTAGGAATCGCAAAATGTCGGAAACGGGGGCTTACGGTACACTTGCACCTTTATGATATTGACCAAACATTTGACTCTGAGTTAGTCTCTCTACCGAGGAATTGGCACAATTTCATGTTTGGGTTGATGTCGCTATACTCTTTCTCTAGTGCATTTTGTGTTTTCTACGTGTTCATGACGTCGTGATGCCATTATTTCATCCCGGGACGCCCCTCTCTATTTAAATATGCAATGAGCTAAGTCCCGTATGATCTCAAAGTATTTCAAGCTAATTTTATCGAATAATTCGAAGATCTTGGGTGTAAATAATCAAATAGAAGTAAAAGTAGAGAGTCGACACTCATAGTGGCAGACCGCCCACGTGACCGAAGTATCGGAGCTTCGGGTGAACTGGGCATCTCACAACCGCCCTTCTCTGGTCCAGACTTGACGGCAATTCACATCTGCCATTCACAATCATGGGTGCTGGCAGTTCTAAGCCCGAGGCTGCGGGCAGCTCTAGCCATGTCTTCTCTAGGTAATGCCCCTCCGATCTGCCATCACTCCACTTCGTTCCGGAAACCGAAACAACCATCCGGTCAACCAGCGCAATTGCGATAGGACCGGACATTCCCATTCAGGAATGCAGTCTTCTTTTAATCATGCCAATTGAACCATACACTGACAGAGATTATCATCCAGTAACTCCCCCATCCAGTTCTCCTCCAACCTAGTGGATGCCCTCCAGTCCACTTCCGAGGTAAATCCAAACTCTCAAAAACGAACCAAACACCCTCAACTAACACCAACCCCTCTCAGACCGACTCTTCGCGCACCAAGGCCATTGAGCTCGAAATCCAGAAGCGCGTCGCTCACGAACTCGAGCGCCTCCACCAACGCGAGAAGCAAACACTCGCCGAGATCGAGAAGAAGCTTTCCGAAGTCAAGAACACCGGCTCTCTCCCTGTGACTGCCGCGACCGCTCCCGTCGCCTCAACCAGCTCCGGCTACACAGTCGGTTCCTTGAACCTCGACGCGCCACGAGTCCCCTTCGCCGGACGCGAGCACGAGCCTTCCCCCGTCTTCACCGCGCCGGCCGCCGCGCCCCAGGCTGTTGCCAACCGCGATACCTCGCGGGATTCAGTGGCGAGTGAAATTGACCAGCTGCGCAGCCGGTTGGATGGACGAAGAAAGTTGGCGGAGTTGGATGAGGGTGTTTCGAAGGCAAAGGCTGATGTTGTTGGGTGCTTGCGGTTGAATGACCGTCGGCCGTTGGATTGCTGGCAGGAGGTTGATGCGTTCAAGCGTGAGGTTGCCAAGATGGAGCAGGCTTTCGTGGACCGCATTGTTGGTTGAGTAACCCGATGAACCGCGGTTTTGACTTGAGCGCTCGCTTTTGGTCGTGCCTGCTGGGCTGTATGTATAGATTACACTATTTTGTTTGCCATGAATCTGCATAGGATCAGATCTTTGATTGAGTGAATGGCCCTTGTGGCTGTAGCGTTTCGTTTATATGCTAGATTGAGAGTGAGAGAGAGAGAGAGAGAGAGAGAGTAAGGAACTGCATACGGAGGTCGATAGTCATGAAATGCTCGTTTTTATAAAATGCTTCCATGCAACCATTGACAGGGTATCAAATCACAAAGATATCAGACAAGCTCCCACGTTCCCAGTCGTCCAAGTTTCTCTCCCGCAGATCTAACAATACACATTCGCCGCTCAGACAACTTCGCGTCAGGAACCAAGACCTTCGACAGCTGTATTGAACCAATCCCAGTGCCTTTGCCCTCTGAAAGATTGTAATTACCAGTGCTCACAAAACCGATGAGATCTTCTTCTAATGGTACTTCCAAATGACCAGCCGTCGAGTTTTCATGTGCAGAAGTTGAGATCAGCGACTCGGCAAGACGACGGCGTACTTCCTCGTCAGAAAGCGTGGGATCATCAAGTGAAGTCAAGTTCGCGCCGGACTTGCGGCTCACAGATGCGAGGTCGAGCCACTTGCGCCGTAGGATGGGATCAGTGGGCAGACGATAGATGCGGGCACAAGGTGTGGGTGTGCCGCGGCTGGAAAGTGTGAGGTGGATAGTGGCAAGAGAGGAGGAATCAATGTTGGTCTTGCTGAGGGTGTTAAGGATTTTATTCGTGTCACCCGGTGTATATCGGATAGTGTGAATGTTGGATGGTGGGTCGATAGGACCGGCCTCTTGCTCATCGACCTTCTTAACAGTGCTGTGCACAGCACCCTCATTCGACGGCCCTTTCACAAGCCTCTCCCAATCACAGGCCCATCCATGTCCAATCTCTCCCTTGGGGCGACCGTCCCCAAGAACGAGAGTGTCAAATTCCGCTCGACGCCCTTTGGGGCGACGTTCCCAGTGGCGGCGGGATTTCTCGGCCTCGCGCTGAGTCCATTCCCATCCAGCTCGGGTACCTGGAAAATCGCCAGGGAACCATCCCTCGCCAGCCTCAAAGGCAAGCTGTTGATGTTCCTTCAGACCACCGAAGCGCGGATTTCCTCCACTCGAGAGAGGATGGTACATGAGCGAGTACCAAACAGGGACGACGCATTTCCAAGGTAGTAGCACAGTCCAGGATCCTGGAGTTGTGTTCTTTGAACGGGCTTGCGGTCGAGTTGTGAGTATCATTACCGGGATTTTTGGGTCATTAGGCTGTCTGGCAGGATAAACGCCTGGACCAGCGAGGGTCCGACGTCGGTTGATAGCCTTTTGGCTTGGAAGTTGGCGAGAAGCTGCAAGGCGACTGGGGCGATCGAAAAGGAAAGATTCGCCCTGTGTTTGATCGGGTGACCATTTTGATAGCAAAACTGCCAGCTCGTTCATGGAATTTTCATCGCTGGGTACCATGAGTGGGCGTGGCGGGAATTGAAGGCGAGGATCGGACACATTAAAGGCCAAGAGAGCATTTTGCGGTAGTGATGACGGATTTGATACTCCAAGAAGAGAAAACCAAATGTCTTCTGGGCTCTGTCCTACTGGAGCATCGCTCTGTGTCATAGCAGGCTGCAATGCAGCCAGCAGTGCTTCCATAGAGCCCGGTCCGGTAATTTCCACGCTGCCAATCTCAAATCGCAAGTCTTCTACCATAACAGGAGGGTTCTGTCTTTTCGACAGCTCAAGCAAACCCCGCCATAGTTGCAAAAATGCGGAGGGATGGACCCGGATCCAGAGCTTTCGCCGTGGCGTTTTCGATGCTGACTGGGCCTTACCTGCATCGGCCATCTCCACATCTTTGGACTTGTCCGGCGCACACCAGATAAGCGTAACAGGGGCAATTGGCCTGGAACGATCGTCCATTTCGAAAGTCCAGGCTTGGAATGACCTCGTCCCAGCTCTCCACTTCCTTCCCTTGGCTCCCCACGCCTCATTACCATCGACACCGACAGCTCGCAAAACAGCTTCAATGCACGACTCTGTTCCTTCAAGTTGAACAGTCGATATATAGCTCATATCCCAAGCCACGGCACCTCGAGCACCTCGCGCTCTATGTGTAGGTCGGTAGCTTTTTTCAGTTGGCGATAAGGGAATTGCGAACCGCCAGATCGGGTCCTTGCTTGTAGCCATATGGGCACGCTTTGCGTGAAACATGTGTGTAGGGAGCCATGTCTTGCACTTTTGGCGCTTGCGATATTTAGCATCTGCTGGCGGCGGCCTGGAGAGCTTGTACTTTTTGATCTTTGGTACCCGAGGAGCTGTATTAAAGGAGTGGCTCCCTTCCTCTTTCGATCGGGTCTCATTTTCCTGATCACGCTTTACTTTTGCGGCGGCACGTCGGACCTTGAACTTGGCATTGATATTTTGTAGACGACGAGCGGATTCGAGACGGATGCGCATGATCTGGGTGGGCTTGCGTCGTCGCGCGGTGACAGTCGGAGTATTGTCCTCAATCATCTAAAACAGAATCACGTTAGATCTGGAGCAGCTAAGAGCATACCCTCGTCAAACGTACCTCGTGTTTCGCCCGCGCCCGCAACCTCCGCGGAACCCGTTTAACGTTGTGACTTGCGGTGCGGCGTCGCAACGCACGAGGAACTTTTTGGAACGCCCTAGTTGTCAATGCGGTTTTCGACCGCTTCATACCATCCTCCAGGGCCTGGATCTCAAATGCCCGAGCGGCTGCGTATGCGGCGACATCGAGCTCGCCCGTCACGGAGAGCGCAGCGTCGGTTGACTGCACAGCCAGGGAGCGTGCATCGAATGTTTTAGCGCGCTTGCGAGAGACGCCGGTAGCTCCATGAGCTCCTGGCGGGACAGGCTTACGCTTTGCTGGGTTGGAAGCCATGGTGGCTGCGCTGTTGAGTCGGACTGAGTTGAGAATTAAAATGGTTGCCGGGGCTTGGCGCGTCATGGATCAGCCCCACGATCTGTACCTTATCTACTTCACCAACACCGTGGTAGTCTACGCAATGTTTAAAGCTTAAAATAATTAATTCATTGATCGAATTGAAATTATCCTCATCAAGTACATAAAGTGAAGTGAAAAATATTTGCAGAACACAACGTAACTCACATCACCACCGCAACGTGGTCCGTCATGTACTTGGAGATGTTGCCCAAGAAGCACGAAGCAATTATGGACACACCTCCAAATGCGATACTGACGTAGTATACCCACTTATATGACTCGGCATAAGCAAGCTGGCCAGCTGTGACGACCATCTCGTATGCCGTTTCGTTGCCAGCGATGCCGGGGATCAATTTGATTTCGTCGAGGAGGGAAGCACCGGTGAGCTCAATGACTTCTGTGATGAGCTTGACGTCGGTAATTCCAAGCTCCGCGACCATTGTACCACCAATATAGGTCTGTGCCAATGGGACGAATTTGGAGATGAAGACGTTGTAGTAGATACAGTAGCCGACACCACCACCCACGACACGAATGGAGAGGGTCAGCGCAGAAATGGTGGCAATCAGATCCTAACTAGTGTCAATATGTGACTAGGTAGTCATTTATCAAAGGGACTCACGTCGGGGCAGATGATGGTGGTGATAATTGAGGCGGGAACGACGATACCGCCAATTCCAAGGCTGGCCAGAATGAGGACTCCCCACAGCTGGTACATGTTGTCAAGACGCCCGATAGACATAGCACCGCAACCTGAAGACTAGTTAGTTATCTGAAGACACCATATCATGGAGGACTTTTGGATACGCACCTGCCGTCATGAGGATACTGCTGACAATCAACAACTCCTTGTTGTGTCCTCGGAACACACTCAAGAGCACCAGCACAATACAAGCACCAGCCAAAATACCAAAACCAATAGGCAAACTGCGGACACCAACCTCGACGGGGTCGTGCCCAAATACATTGAACGACTCGGTGGGCCAGAACATCAGCACCGAGAAGAAGTTGGCGCCAGAGATGAAGGTGATGACAAGCGTAAGACCCAGAGTGCGAGGCTCCTGCTTCAGCCGGGTCGGGAAGATGGGATACTTGGCACCGTAGATCTCCCAGAATGCAAATGCGACAAGAAGGAGGAAACCAATGATCAAGGGCGCAAGGACGTGAGCGGAGGACCATGGGTACTGAGCAAGCAAGGATTAGCATAAAGGCAGGAATGATGAAGAGCGAAACATACCATGTATCCACCCCACTGCAGGCCGGCCAGGAAGACAATCAATCCAGTGATACTAAGGAAGCCACCGACAAAGTCGATGCGTCTGAGAATTTCCTTCCGGCTGAGTCCAAGAGAGTTGGTTCGAGGAGGAGGGATGTAGAAGAAGACCGTGATCAAAAGACCAAATCCGCTCCACGCCCCACAGAAGGCACCAACATAACGCCAGCTGCTGTGATAAGCAATGAGCTGAGCCCAAAGGACGGACGGACAGAAGGGGACAATGGTGAAGATCAGGGCGGCGACATAAACACCACGCTTGCGGGTGGGAGCCATCTCGGAAGTAGCAGCTAGCGCAGTTAATTCATTAACACCAGCGCCAGCGCCAGCAATCGCCATGCCCGCTAAACTGAAATCAGAAGTTACTCTAAAAAAGGGACGATTCGAGGGAACACACCGATAAAGATGTTCATTGTGTGTGCTGTGCTGCAGACGATCATCCCAAGACAGATGAACGAGGCACCGATGATGGCGACATAGCGACGGCCGAGCAGATCAGATAGAGATCCGACAAATGGGCAAACACCCGCGAGACTGAGAAGATTGGCGAGAACCTGTTGAACACCGTTAGTCTATGGCGGAATTAGTCTGAATGGTGGTCCTTACAAACCAAACCCAACGATCCGCCCCTCCAATGTCTCCATAGATATATGGTGGAATACCACCTGTTTAAGCCCGTTAGGAAATCCCCGCACATGTACAGCATTCACACTGGGAGCATACCGAAGAGATAAACCGGAATCTGGCTACCAGTCCACAAGAAAGCCATTGCTGTGAATCCCATGAACCGTCGGAAGGTCATCTAGCGACAATCAGTACTAATACTCCACGAGATCAACGCTCCTCTTACGGGAATGTCCTTCTCGGACTCATGAAGGCCCGCTTCATTAGAGCTTCCATCGACCATCTCCTGGTGACTGTGAGACGACCCCTCGAGCTCCTTGCTATCCTCAGGCTGGATGGTGTGTTTTTCATTGTAATGCGCCGGAGGCGACTCTTCAATTGGCCCAGTCATAGTGGGCAGATTTCTTAACGGCAGGGTCGCCGATATTCAAGGGGAAAGATACCAGTGAAATAGAAAAAGATACAAACTGGATAGAGGGGTTTCAATTCCAGCTGGTGCAACATCGATCCACTTGGCGGGGAGACGGGGGAGATATAGCTTCGTTTAAGGTAGACAGGTAACATGATCGCGACCCACTGCCAAGTCGCATTAAGCACTTAAACAAAGTCATCTCGGATATGTCTGAATCCGGAGCCAATCAGGTATAGTATCGAGCCGGGGAAAAAGATTGGCGGGGGCGGCAAAAGGAGTACGGGGTGAGATGGAGTCAAGATAAGCGATAGCCGGGTTTTGAAGTCCAAAAACTAGAAAATACCGAGGCTGACTAGGGAACCCCTAGTAAATCCAAGGGAATGTCGGAGGGGCGACGCAATTCTTCCAGACAAAATGCGGGGGAAAACGTGGAGAAGGTGGATGCGGGCCTCGATCCCCGCCAGTCCGGGGCCAAGTTCCGCAATGGGATCAGCCCCGAAACTGTATCCTATCCAAGGATCTGTGGTCTTTGCTAGCTGCTTTCGTTGCTGCAGGATCTTGATACATTGTATGATTATATGATTGTGAGTGAGTGTGTGTGTGTGTGTGTGTGTGAAAAAAAGAGAGAGAGAGAGAAACTATTTACAGATGAATCCCCGGGGCTGAGGAGGCGTATTGTACATCGTACAAGGGGAAAACCGGAACACGATTCTCCGCCGCGCATAGAGGATTGATGCGAAGCGAGAGCACTAGTCCGGATCACAAAGTGGCGGACAAGTCAATTACGGGTCCATTTCGGTTGACATTCTCCACAATGACTCTAGTCATGAGTCTTGTGTAGCTTAACCGCCACCCATCGATCAAGCTCAAAAGTGCTCCCCGACTTCTTTGAGCTTGAGCTTCTTTGGGACAACAAACAGACCACTCGCTTCGACGCAAAGGCGTCCGGTCATGTCACGCAGCTCGCACTTGGCAAATGCCTTTGCGTCGGTGCTCTGCTCCTGGTCCAGCGTGGTGTGGAGGGAATAGAAGTTGCCCGAGTAGACAGGGGCGCGATAGTTAATATTGAGGTTCGCCGTGACCCCTGTACGAGCCGGGAAATGTCGAATAGCAGCACGTCCGAGGTTCTCATCGATCACAGTGCCAAGCGCACCTCCGTGCACCATGGTTGGCCACCCTTCGATGCCAGTCCCAAAGAAGACAACGCTAACGAGCTTCTTCTCTTTGTCGTTCCAAAATACTTTCTATCAAGCACAAACTGAGTTAGCCAAGAACGGGATACCGAGGGTCGGTATCGAAGCCTGTCGGTAGTTGCTGGTCTGGCTCGCCCAGACTCCAGGCTCCAGACTCGCCCACGCCGAGGACAACAAATGCGGAAACCACAACACTACTCACTTGCATGCCCAAGCCTCTGCTTCCAGCAAGTGGTCCAGAGGTGAGCCGATGTGTCTTATGATCATCCGAGAAGTTTTCGTAAACGTCCTTTTCCGTAAAATCGGGATTTTGTCGCAACTGCTGCACAATCGGAAGACCGATCTCATAGGCGCGCTGAATGTGCTCGAGCTCTGCCTGGTCCTCGATAGTTCCTGGAAGTGGCGGTTCCGCGAATTTGCTGTCCATCCATTTTCCAGCACTCATGCCAAGGGTTCCGAATATACCAGCGTAAATTAGGCGGCGCCTCCATCGCGAGGGTTGGGCCGAGGTGTTCGCATTCGCGGTAGTGCTGGCATTCCGGACGGAGAACCGAGTCAAGACAGGCGCGCTGGTGATAGCTGCGCGCAGTGGCTGTTGTAGGATCCGGCGGGAATACATAGTTGTCACATCACCATTCAAGAAGTCATAGGTAAGATAAAGTCGCGTGGATCCGAATGGCTTCAACCGCGGTTCAATCACGTGACAACATGTCTGATGTATGGTCACTTTACTCTAGAATCAAGGACCTTCTTTGCGGACAAAATCTACGCTACTCATTACGGGAATGATATATTTGGTTCAAAAAAGACCGAAATCACCATCAACATCGACTCGTGGTCATCGTCTATTCATCTAGAGGCGTATCTTTTGGTCGCGAACTAGAGCAAATAGTACTCCAATCCCAACACACGGAGAGTTTAATCCAATGTAGGCAGCTCAATAGCCCGATAGAGCAAGATCAGAGCAGAGTGGGACTCTCCTATGAGATTCGTTAGCAGCATTCTTTCACAAAATCGTCTGTTGTGTACTTACCGCCACCGGAAAGGGTCTCGATCTTCTCAGCGTCCACTTCGGTGACCTTGTCGTCGTTGAACCACCACCACTTGCCTTCGTCCTCGCGGCGCTCGCTGGCAGTCTGGGCACCATCGGACTTCCGCTCCTGCTGCTTGACATAGGCCGTGTAGTGGCCACTGTCGGCACTTGCGCCCTGGTGGGTAATGACGCCACGAAGCTCGTACAATCCAGACTGGTTGGTGCCGTTATCAGGTCTATTCTGCTGGAGCAGATCATGCAGCTCTTGTTTGGCGACGCGGACAGACTCCATCATCTCTGCCTCGTGCTCGGCGTCGGTCTTGAAGTTCTCCTCCATGTTGGTGTCGCCGTCCTTGTCACTGGCCTTGCCCTTTTCTTCGGTTGCCTTTTGCTTCTTCTGCATAGGTTCCATTTCGCCTCCAGTTTCTTTCCCGTTCTTTTTGTCCTCCTCTTCGCGCTGATTATTGAGCTTTTGGCGCTTGCGGGAACGCCCAATGTCAACCTCATCCTTGCGGATCTCACGAACCTTGTCGCGGACGGGCACGAGCTGCTTCCGAAGCTCCTCGGTACAAAACTCCACCACGTCAAGCTCGGCAGGGAAAGTGACCTTGCGCATGATCTTGGCTTTCTTTTGAGTCTCGCGCTTCCAGAAAAAACGAACGAAGTGAACCGTCAGGTACTTGGGCAGACGAGAAATGCGGGACTGTTTAGTGTACAAGGCGTTGCGGTTCAGTGTAGGGGACTGCTTCTCAATCTGCTCCCTCAAGCCTTCCATGATACCATCTTGAAGGTGGTTGGTCTCCTTCCCGATATGGCAATCCAGCTTGAAGAACACGTCAGAGCTCTTGTTCGGCTCCTCGCCTGCATCTTTAGCCCCAGGCTCGTCACACTCGGTAATAGACTCGAAGCGACCAGCCATATATTTCTCAATAAATGAAGTACGGGTGGCGGCATCTCCGTTTCCATCGGTGATGGTCAATTTGTTTCGCAGTTGATTCAAAATCTGAGACCATGCTTCCTCGGCGTCCTGCTGTGCATAGCCGTGGCCGTTACGGTCACGCTGAGCAAACTGGGGGAAGGCGGTGCGAAGAGCATTCAGGAACATAAGAGGAGGAATGCCCTCTTGTGTTTCGGACATCTGCTTGAACAGGTCACGAAGAGCTGCAGCCATATCTCTAGAGCCGTCCAGGGCGCCAAGACCGAAGCTGCTGAGGTCAGAAGCACCAGACTGACCAGACGAGTTGTCCGGACGGTACGTCTGAAGCACCTCCTGCAGCTCAGGAACGCTGCGCAGGGTTTGGAGGGTGGAGTTGAGGTAGCAAGTGTTTCCCAAGTTCTGCAGACCGGCGGGGGTAGCACCTAGTTGTTGCGCCACCTCCGCGGCAGTCATATCCTCAAGGAACTTGACTGCATCCTTCGGCCGACCCAGGTCGGCAGATCCTTGGCCGCCTGACGGGGTACCCATCATCATGAAGGTCTGCCCTGGCTTGGCGTTAAGAGATGACAACAGGGTCTCATCCTTCAGTTGGCCACCCTTGACAAGAACCTTTTGTCGATCTGGTTCGACTCCTGTCAAGGAGAACAGCTGGTACTTCAATGTCTCGCCGTTGGAGGTAGGGTCGAGCTCGACTTCGTGGCGTTTGCCGGCATGCTTCACAATAACTAGGATCAAAGTTAGCAACCAAATTTCAATCTAAGAGCCTTCTGTCACATACTCGGTATGGACGCCATCTTGACGAATAACTTTGCGGAGGGAGAGAGATGGGAGAAGTTGGATGAGTTGAGTGATTGGTAAACAGCTCCGGGGTGGCTAATCGGGCGTGGGGCTTTGCAAACCAACCAAACAACCGTCATCACCGCCCGAGCGGGACGACCTCTCCTCCGCCTCTCCGCTGTTATCGCCTCCTGTCTCTTCCTGCAATTGCTGGCTCCCTGATAATTCTTGGTACTTGTTGGGATTCACAGGGCAGAGTCGCGACTGTGATCTAAACCAGATTGCAAGCTTGGAGAACCCTTTACTCGTCCGATCCATACACGCTACCCCTCCACCATGGTACGTCAGGCCCCAACATCGCGAACCCGGCAGATCTAACCTAGGATATCAGTCACAATCTTTACGCCCCTACCTCCAGGCTGTGCGCGCTTCCCTGACCGCTGCTCTCGCCCTTTCCAACTTCGCTTCCCAGACCTCCGAGCGTCACAATGTCCCCGAGATTGAAGCCGCTAGCAGCCCCGAGCTTCTCCTCAACCCGTTGACGGTCAGCCGTAATGACACAGAACGTGTTTTGATCGAACCGAGTGTGAACTCGGTGAGAATCTCGTTGAAGGTTAAGCAGGCTGATGAGATTGAGCACAGTAAGTTATTTTATTCCACACAGGCTGCGAACTGTTGAGTAATAACCTCAAATAGTCCTTGTACACAAGTTCACACGTTTCCTGACTCAACGTGCTGAGTCCTTCTTTATCCTTCGACGGAAGCCCATTGAGGTAAGTTTCAGATCGGCCGAGTTTCACGCATGGTCACAGGGCCATAATTACGTTGCTAATGGCTTCTTAGGGCTACGATATCTCCTTCCTGGTGACCAACTACCACACCGAGGCGCTCCTTAAGCATAAGTTGGTGGACTTTATCCTCCAATTGTTCGTTTGGTCCCTGTTTCCTTCTGCGTCGCATTTCTGCTAACAGACTTCTAGTATGGAAGAGGTGGACAAAGAGATCAGGTAAGGCGCCAGCCAATCCCGGCTCCTCGTCTATAAGCGAACTAGTACTAACTAACTTTCTAGTGAGATGAAGCTTTTCTTGAACGCTCGAGCCCGATTCGTTGCCGAGTCTTTCTTGACTCCTGTAAGCAGCTCCCCGCTTCGCATCCCTCGACCATCTGCTAACACCCCCAAGTTTGATTAAATTGCGTGGCGTTCTTCAAGGTTGCTGGCGACGAAAGATACACCTGTCTTATCCGTATTTGTTCTATACATCAAAACAGGCTTGCAATGAAAGACTACCTACGGGTATATTTCCAGCTCCACTATACATTTCAAGCATCTTGCTTGATGCCCACGACTGGTGCACCGAGGACATGATTTAGTGCCTCTCCCAAGTCCTCTATCCGAATCCCTGTTCCTTTGCCGTCGAACCCCTGACCGAGCTAGAGCAGGTCCTAGACCCAGGTAAATGAGCTCTTCTTGCTTAAGGGCCGGGTCATATCGAGCGATCGAGGCTTAGAGTATCCCTTCCTTAGTAAGTTAGTCGCTATTCTTACCGTAACGCCTGTCATTCAGTTAAAAAGGCGTAGTGCAGAGCTGCTGAGGTGGGGGAGGCGGTTTCTAGGGAGAGCAGTTTGATGAAGATGCAGGGCTCAATCTACGTCCCGCACAGATCTCATCCGCAATATCATACTTGGTTTTGCTTCTCTTTCTCTTTTCGCTATAGGACCTATTCACTTCAATCGATGTAGTTGTGACCTGGTTAGGCAGCGCTTTGATGGTGGGTTTTCTTTTCTTACTTTCACTTCATCCCTGGGAGTTCCTTTCTCGTCGTCACCTTCCTCGACCTTTTCTATCCAAACGCCTTGGTAGGTATCTCACCTTCTTACTTTTTACGCCTCTTCCAGCGTTTCTCATCCTGTCAACCTTATGAACGCCCGAAGTCTGCTCACATTAATATTCTCTAGATCACATCTTCAAAGATGTATCACCACTCCCTCGACCCCCCCGAAGAGGCGGATGCAAATGCCAGAATGCGTGTCCTCGAGGACAAGACCATGGAGGAAGTGCTGCACCAGCCAGACTGGCCAATCGGTAACCAGGCTGAACGCCGGAAGCCTTCCCTCGCCGGGGTTGCTCGAATTGACAATGTTAGTCGCATAATTTCATCTGAATCATCTACTCTTTTCCTATTCTAACCAGATATTGGACCCATACCACAGATCCCCTACTCGCTCACTCGTCCAGAAGTGATCCAGATGTTTGGGCGAAGTGGGAACCTGATCCCGGAGTCTCAGTGCCCAGTTCATATCATCATGGAACGCTCTACTGGAAAGACAATGTGCTGCTTTGTGGAATTTGAGGACCGCGAGAGCGCGCAGGCCGCAGTGGATCGTTTGAACGCTACGACTATGTCTCAAACCGGCCCTCGTATGGGAAATCGCCATATCGATGTTACCCTGAGCAGCCAGCAAGAGCTGATGCAGGCTCTTTTCCCCAGGGCCAAGTGCGTTGACTGGGTAGGTGATCGCTTTGTTGCCCGTGACAAGCTTCCAACTGAGTGGTGGTCGACTGGCTTTGATGGATTCATTACAGATGAGGAGTTGTTCTGTGTGATTCGGCACGCAAAAGAGCCGCACCGAGTAGGCGGAATTGCTCCCAGTTCTCCTTCTTTGCCATCAAGTTAACAATCATCACAGAGCGCATTTGCAGGAAAAGTGCCTCAGCGCACTTATGAGTCCCTCATCAGCACCATCTGGAAGGTGAGTCCCCTCTCATCAAATATTTAACATTGTTTTATTGTTCCTCAAATTCTAACGGATTGTTTAGTTCCCATGGTATGCCACTAGCATGTACACCGTGCATGCTCGTAATCAACTGTTCGACGCCTTGCTGGCGATGGTGGAGCTCCTATATCATCGCATTGGAAACTCTCGTACCGTCGGCCTGGACTACCGTCTGGTTTCGGAAATGATGCAGACCGGTCTCCGGTGCCCTGGTTTTAATCCCCGCATGAAATTTGCAATGATCGAAGCTGGCAGAGATCACCTTACTCTACAACGCATGTCGCGTGATGCCCTCTCGCTGTTTCCATTTGATACTCTGACCTGGTTGGCTCCCTACGACGTTGCTTCCTTAGCGGTATGATTTTCTGATGGTTGCCCGTCTCATCATTCTTCCCTTTCTTTTCCTGACATTGCTTTTAGTTTTATGGATCACTGATGAGCCGTGGCCGTGCTTCTCAAACTGAGAAACAGGGATTGGAGAATCGCCACACTAATTCCAACTGGATCCGGCCCTACGGTCCGCAGCTCTTTGCATGGGGAGAAAAAGCCGCAAAGAGTAAGACTTTTGCTGAGGCAGTTGCCTACGAGTTGGGTATTTTCCGCTCTATCATCATCGCTGGCCATGGAAACGACGGTAGTCACTCCCGTGTCTCCTCAATCGGGACTGCGCCGCCCAGCAGTCCTCACCGTGCTGCGCCACCGTCTTCGACTGTGCCTCACACTGCGTCGAACACCACGCGACCTGGCAATATCGAATCCCTGAACACATATGTTGACTCCTGGTCTAACACCACCGACGATTTTCTTCCTCCTTACCACACGTCCAGCCAGAGCTGGGACCCCTCCGTTTCTACTTCTGCTACGAACAGCCGCCAAACTGCTCTTTCTCCAAGCATCTGCCAAAACCGAGCCCCCCGCCCTAACGGTAAAAGCCATAAGTAGGGAGCTCGTGCTAGTCGTCGTCTCCAAGAACGAAATGTACGATATGGTCAAGACAAGAAAACGACGTTGAGATTGGGATGTTCTGAAACCACGTTTTTTTAAGCTGTCATGTGACACCCCTGGGGGGGGGTGCTACCGCACAGTTGCTCTGTATCTACTCATTCTTGCTTTTCATTTGCTGCATGATGTGGAAGCCGGTCTGTTCCAAGATCTAACGGTCCGAATCTGGGAGGGAGGAGATGATTCGAGGAGCGGTGGCGGATGCATCATTCTCTATACTGAGAGCCCTTAGAAGTAGATACCTAATCATAGTCAAAACATCTTGAAAATTTAACAAAATCCCAAGTGACTTGTAGAATCAATAAATTGGATGCCCAGCAGCATTAACCTCAAATACTGCATGTATTCTAACAGGTGTCAGACTGCTTGAAAGACATGCCAAATTGGGCCAGCAGCAAAAAGATTCATACATTTCAGATCTTGGTTTTGTCAAAAAGATTTAAGATGGCTATTTCGCAGTACTAGACGCCATTTAACACGTTAGAATTGTCCTCTTCTGACCCTCCATAAGTCGCCCATCCTCTCTGTATTGATGGTAAACCATTCATTGACCACAGCGACCACTATGGCTTATAGAGATGTAGGACGGGACCCGTAAGAGAGGTTCTTACGCTATGCCTTACGTACACTTCCAAACTGCTGCTTGTTTTGTCGGTATTTCTCTTTCGCGATCGTTGCAACGCGGCGGCACTGCGATTTAATGCAATCGTTATAATTAGTGCTTGCGGTATTTCAATACAATGCATATCATGCTATATCATTGCTGGCTAAAGGAACGATAGTATTCATACCCGGGTCATCTCTATCGGGAACGCACTAATCAATCATCAAGCAAAGTTCTATTAGCTTAATTGAGCCTAATTAGTTGCGTCGAGACTATGTAGGCGCTTCTTTCTGAATCAAAGTAAGTCGGTGTATAGCGGGCATTGGAGTAGAACATACCTCTGTCTTGAGACGCCTGATCAAAGCCACATCGATCTGTATTCATCTCTTTGATCTTGTATAATGATTTCCGTAGATCTATATTGATCACATTTCTATGAGCATCGACACTTACGACTGTGACAAGCCCTAGGTGCTGCATTTCCGTCTTCAAGTGAGCCTCACACTAAGCCCATCACTCCGCAACTAAGCGGCAATTGGTTGGCTTACCGATATCATCGTCTTATTATTCAATCACTATATACAGCGAGAGATCGTGATTATGGGGGGACCTTACTAAAGGTTCGTAATGGAGCTGACTTGCTCCTTGCAGAAAAAAAGTAAATGCGCGATAGCTGGTTCTAACTTCACCAGGGAAGATAAGGTGAGTTCTATCGAGAGTATTAGGAAAGATCCATGTACAGCTAGAATGATTCATATTTTTGGAGGGACGGAATGTGGCTGAGGATTGCGTCAAGGCCGAATTGATAATCCCGATCATCGCAGAAAATCGCAGAAAATCAATGGCAGAAAAAAGGGTTGCGGAAGGCTAAAAGGCGGAGTCTAACTCATCGTGGATTTCCTTATTTGTTATTGAATTAAAAAGCCGGTTTTAAATGGACAGGTCCGCCCTTTCAATTCTCTTCGCTTTTTTTTCTCTTTTCTTTTTTTTCTTTCTCTGTATACCTAAATAGAAATACCTCTGCGTTTGGCCACAACGCCGTCTACATCAACCTTTTGACGTTAGTCGCTTTGCAGCCAACAAACAAGGACACAAAACTACACGATCCACATAGAAGACTAGCGAGATCAATTTTGGACTCAAACTATGCCTCGACGATCATCTCGGCCCGCTCCCGCATCCCCGGAGGCGCCTGCGGCGGCGCCCAAACGACGCGCCTCTGCACGGTTGTCCGTGTCGCAGGGCGAGGTCAAGCGAGTCAAGTCCAACGCCGACCTATCTGGGGTGAAGTCCACAACCAAGAAAAGCAAGTATTTCGAGCCCGAGAGCTCTGCTGAGCCCGAGGATAGTGAGAGCGGGGGAGATTCGGGCTCTGCCTATGAGGACCAGGACCAGGAAGAAGACCAAGAGCTTTCCGATCATCAGTCAGAACCAGAGGGGCCCTCCGAGAGCGAGGAGGAGTCCAGGGCAGCAAAGGGGAAGCAAGGGAAGCAGACCCGCAATGCCACGTCGGACGCAGACGCGCTAAAGGGCAAAGAGCTCTGGCGCGAAGGAGTGCGGACGGGTCTGGGGCCCGGCAAAGAAGTGTTCATCCCCAAACCGAAGGCTCGTGACGCAGGCGACGTGGCATACGAGGATGAGACACTGCACCCCAACACGAAGCTGTTTCTGCAGGATCTAGCGGAGAACAACGAGCGCGAGTGGCTGAAGGGTAAGTCTCATGAACGAACCCGCGGTTACCGCAGCTAACAGTGTAGCGCACGACCCCGACTACCGCGCGGCAAAGAAAGATTTTGAGTTGTTTGTCGAGACGCTCACTCCGAAGATCGCCGGCGTCGACGGCACCGTTCCTGAGCTGCCCGTGAAGGACCTGGTAATGCCACTGATCCCTGCTACTTTTGCCTTTTCATTGACACTCCTAGGTCTTTCGCATTCACCGAGATATTCGCTTCAGCAAGAATCCCCTTCCGTACAAGGTATGTAAAGCCAATGTGCCCCTCCACCAGACTCTACCCAGTTGTAGCGAGCCAGCCCCGTTCTTGTGTTACCGTGATGCTTATTAGCGGCGCGCTGACGAACGAATAGATTCACTTCTCGGCGGCCTGGTAAGTGACTGTGACTGTGATAGTGACTGCAACTGTGGCGAGAGGGCAACCGGCTTATAGAGGTGTAGGTCCCGCACCGGCAAGAAAGGTCCCTATGCTGCGTACTATGTCCACTTCCAACCTGGTGCTTGTTTTGTCGGTATGTCTTCTGCACTTTCCACCTTGCCATCGATGCAACACGGCGACACTGCGAAGTCTCGCAATTGTTTAAAGTACTTGCGGTATTACAAGTACATGCACTTCATGCTCATTATTGTGGTCTTTTGTCCCATGCTTACCATGTCTTATTGGGTGTAGGCTGCGGTCTCTGGCACCCAGAGGCTGAACCGCTAGCATTGCTGCGAGCGGATATCGACGAGAACGCAAGTCGTTGGAAGGAGGTTCTCAGGGCACCGGCGATGCGCCGCGAGTTTCTGAACGGAGCGCCTGATGATGATGACGCAGTCGTGAAGGCCTTTACTCATCGCAACAAGGAATCTGCCCTAAAGACGAAGCCCAAGGTATGTGGTCATCCTTTCTTTGCATCTTGGTACCCATATCCATGTCCTCCCAACTCTTTTCCGATGGAATCAACGTATGCCGATGAAAGGTTTCGTGGGTGTTGATGCATGGTGGTCACGGTCGATGACCGTTTCGATCCCCGATCGGATTCGACCATAAAAATGAATCTTTCGTCTGTGTGAGCATGCAAGCCAGGGCTCTCCAAACCCCTACAATGTTTCCATGAGATCTGGGGGGACCATCACCACCTTGTTGAGCGCCGTTTTGCAGTCATCATGGTACCGGACGCGTCTCCCAACGGCTCGGCCAATCCACGGGCAGGAGTAGCGAGGTACCCAGCCACGGCACCTGACAAAGAGGACAGCCTCAAAGACCAAGTGGCGGAAGAGGGCGTGCGAGATTTTCGAATCCCCTGGAACAGGAACACCATTGGCCTTCGAGGCTGGATTTTTCGTGTTTGACGCCGTCGCATCTGGTACCATGGTTCACTTCGGCGCCAGTCTCCACGGGCCTCAAAGCAATCAAAGCAGCCCCCTAAAGGAATTTACTGACTTGTCGTTTTTTTACAGGGCTATGAAGCCGACAATGCCAATATTCTACTTCTACGGTTGCGCAGTTTCACGATCGGACGACCCATCTCAGATAAGGAGATGTTGGCGCCGGATGCACAGGACCGCATCGCCGCGCTGGTTGGGGTCATGGAGCCCTTCGTCCCCCCCCCCCCCCCCCCCCCATGATCTATCCATTTCCTTCCCTGTCCAGCCTAGCCCGTTTTCCCTTCTGAGCTAGCCACTTGGCTGCCAATCAGCTCCGCGCCGCCATCACACCTCTGCTGCAGCCCTTAGGGCCTTCAAGGGAGGGGGAAATCGCACAATTGCTGACCGCTCCCTCGCTTTCTTAGGTGACGTATCTCAACAGCATCGTGATGCCCGATATGTAAGAGATCAATGTCAATGCCTCGGTCGAGATCTTGTGGGGAATATTGTTCCATCTGAGGTGTCTAGGAAGGAATTCTTGTTTTCAATTGTTTCCGCCAAAACCTGTAACTCGGTCATCATTCCCGCAATCATACATCTTGCCGTGCCCGGCTACTTCACCCACTTCATTCCCAGCCCAGCTGCATGCACACGGCCATCTTTGGCTGTCTCCGCCCCGCGAGATGCTACATTCCCGGGTCCTGCGAGGAACAGGGCAATGAAGTGTTAACTGCACATCCATCACATCCGGCTGCATTGCCCTTCTCAATCTACCCCTCCCTATTCTCAATGCCCCTCCATCACACAGCCCAAATCTGACATGGGTAGAGCCTGATACACATTCGATACAAACCTTGTTCCCATCACCACAGAACCAATCGCAGCAGCAAACCCCAACAAGCACCCAAAAAGGGGAAGGAGTCAACCCAAATCTTACCTTTTGCCCAGAGTAAGCGAGGACCGTAGACAATCTTGATCGAAACACCCATCTCAAAGATGTCGCTCTAAATAATAATAAAAATGAAACAAGCCCCAGTATGGTAGTACGATTCTGCAAACCGTCCCTGACACGCATGAAGAACAGTGGCCACCGCACCCGCACGCCGCGTTCGGCCCGTTGTCGGGCAAGCCCGTTAGGCAAACCTTGGAAACCTTGGACTCCATTTCTCAAGTTTTGTGGATTTGGTCGGAGCGGGACTCCGCCGCGTCCCAGATTTCGAAAACAATGAGCACCTTCCTGGTCTGGCAAGGACTGACTGGTGAACCAAACAATGGCTTGGGCCATTGATTGGTTTCTGCAGCTGTGGAAGTTGCCCGAGTACTGTATACCAATACCTATACCTACTTGGGGATATGGTTTGCCTTTTTTTCTGACCTTCGGGTGGTATTCATGGTGGGGTGGAGGGGATCGTGCGGGAGGCTCGAGATGTCTTACCTGGTAAGGCATCGATTGGTGTCTGAACGGTTCGTTCCGCCTGCGGAGAGGTTGGATGCAGGTGCGAGGGTGTTTCTCTTTTGGTGGAAGGTCCCGGTAAAATCTTTTCCAGGTGATTTTCCAGGGGGGAACACCTGAGCCGTTTAAGCCTATGCTAAAGTAAATCACGAGGTAGATCTTCAATGGTAAAAACTATGGATTCATCTAATTAGGTCAAAGGTACTGTCCACGGGGCTGTCAATCTGAGTTTGCACATCTTCTAGGCTTGAGGTATACTTCGAAATGTGTCACCTGCGCGTCATGTTTGATTTCAGAATTGAACGCAAAAACGGTGGCACTTTGGATATTGCAGAAACTCGAATTGAACTATTTGTGGAAGATTGATAGCTTCAAATGTTAGATGAAGTTAGGGACATGAGTGGCTAGCTGTAACTGTGGAAATTTCATATATGGGTAGGTAGTCATATAGCCCTGGAGGTATCAAGGTATAGATGTATGTTTCCCACAGGTGCACGATGGATTCTAGTGTCCTCCCAAGGTAAGCTAAGGTATAGCTCTGAAGCTCTAGCAAGTGGCTTTCAGGCTCCATCGGAGAGACCTGTAGGTTATTTCGATATTTTTAATGTTACTCGCTGTCATGTTTAGTCGTGGGTAATCATCGGATGTCAACCATTCTATATTTGGGCATGGCGATGGGGCTCATGGATATCAAGTGCCGCATTAGAATGGGCATTGAAGATTTAGTTTCTAGCAATGGAATTTCTGACATGGACTCTGCCAATGGGAACACAAGGCGACAGCCCTAAAGGAACCTCTTATCAAATCCCGGACCTCGGGAACACACGCCGCCAGAAATCTTATAGTTTCCGGGGCCGGAAGTACTCACAGATGACCTTGAACCCTTGGGAGCTAGGATCCAGCTGTACAAAGGGCCTACTATTTCACGAAGAAGCTCCCAGGTGCTTGGCTTCTACTCTCCCCCACCTTTGATCGAGCAGAAAATGGAACTGAAATTTCCTAGTTATAGGGTTGGATCAATGTTTGACGATCGCATTCACCTCGGCATCTTTCAAGGGACGGACTCATGAGATTCAACTTCTGAATTACTGCGTGAAGGTGGAAAACTGAATTCAGCCATCTTACGGCCTGAGCTCGAACACCTTGCTGCCCAAACAGGGATCAGAGTGTAGACGAGGCTCTCCCAATGTACTGTATTGGACCACGTGAATCTGGCCTCAGGCGACCTCGTCACTCACTTGACAGTACACCGTCAACCCCGTGCGCTGCACCTGCCCCAGACTAGATACCATCTTTTCTGATGTCACTTTTCAATCATGTCAAAGATTGCATGGATTCCCAAGTGAGCCACGAATCAACGGACACGAAGATCGCTCATGCGCCGGCTGGCAGCAGGCCGAAAAAGCAACGTGATCGTCCCGCGCTGTATGACACGACTTTTGCCCCGACAGCCGAATTGGAATCGCAACGGTGTGTCACCGCTTCTTCCCTGCACCTCCATCACACGACCGGGGCCCCCAGGACTGTGCACTGCCCCGAGCAACTACCATACACATCGCCACGTCAGATCCCCCAAAGCAGAAGGGGGGACGGTCAGCGACTGTCATAGGCTACATTTTGTTCCCGTGACTGAAAGGCCATGCGGGCGGCGTCTATTAGTGCCCGACGAGGCTCCATCCATAGACGCGCTCCCGTGTGGATTCAAGAAGGAAAATGAAGAAGAAAAAGAGGGGCCAAAATCCCCGAAACCGGTGTCCCCGATTCCCCGAAGACTAAAAACAGGAACCCCGAAAGAAACCAAACCAGAATAGAAAAAAAGTCGCAGCCTGCCGACTTGCGGTTGGGTCTCCAAGCCTGCGCTCAGTCCTTCTTTGGGACCGAAGCGACTAGCGTGTCCCTAGGAGAAAGTGCATCGACTGGCCAGCGATTCTGGGACGAGTGGATCCCTCTGGAAAAAGGCATCGACGAAATCCGGTACGCTAAACTAGAGCTGAGGCCAAAAAGTGGAGAGCGGCAACGGAAAGACGCGGACGGCAATGCAACGCGCCGATTGGGTTCGCACATATGGAGAAAAACGTGGCAATGAGAAGGAAAAAAAAATTCATTCGTGACGCTTGCGGGGGCTCATTCGTTCGATACGGAAAATGAAGGCACGAATCATCCTGTTTCTGCTCGTCGCTATTCCCGGTTTCATTCCATTCTTTTTATTTTATTTTGTTGTAAATTTTATATTATCTTTTATCATTTTTCTTTTAAATCCAGATGGCACACATGCATGAGATCGGCGGGAAGGCCGGAGCGGCCCGTGGGACAAGTACCCCGACCACACAGGCCGCAAAAGTTCGTCTCCCAGTTTCGTCCTTTTTAATCGAAACGAGATTACCCTCCCTTCCCCCTCCCCTCTTTCCCCCCTCACTCCCAATCGAGTTTGTCATCTGATTATGACCTCGGCTACGATGATTCAGATTGATGGGGGATGTATGATGACCGGGATTAGGTGACGTCCCAGACCTAGACCCGGGCCCGGACCCCGTCGAGTCCACCAGTCCACTCCCCGTACAACGTGGTTGTGGCACTTCGACAAGGAACCCGCCCCCCTGTCACAGCGGACAACGCAACGCTAATGCAGGTTACCTTGGCTCATGATGGGCTTTGGGGATCCAGTGCTACAGCCCTGGGAACTTAGGGCGCTCGTCACCGGACTCGTATCGGTGGCGGAAGAGCTGAACCCCACTCATCAGCTGAAGTCTGATCGCCACTGCACACCGCCTCCCTAAGCCTCGCGAAGAAAGGACAGTTCGATAGTATCCATACTTGCAGTAGCTTCATGCGCATGGCCTGGAGCAGGTTATTTACCGGTTCCCGCTTTCCACCCCTCTTTTATTATTACTATTTCCTCCTTCCTTCTTCCCTCCCCCTTTTAGCTGGATGCGATTGGGTTGCAATTATTCGCCCCGAGCCGGGCCCATCGCCATGGGAAGAAAACCTGGTTCCGCGGGGCCGGTTGCGGTTGTGCGTGGACGGACCGAGTCGCAGCTAGTCCATGGGTGACGGAGGCCGTAGCCAGGGATCAGGGAGGAATTCATGACGATCCACGTCCAACATCGTGCATTAGCAGGGTTTATCCAACAAACCCTGGTCACACGGATTGAAGGTGTCGTACGTGGAAGGGCAAAGAGCAAAAAAAAACCAGGACCCAGGACCAAGGACCAAAGATCAAAGAAAGACCCAAGACCCAAGACCCAAGACCGGACGGTAGTTATGTATTGTAACGATTCAGCTGAGGGACCCCCGTCCATGTCGACGGGTCACTAGGCGCCGCCCTAGCCCGCGCTGCCCGGGGTCCACCCCGTTGTCTAAAAATTCATCTTTTCTTCCAATCAAATAATTCATCGACACCTTTTCTTTTTTTCTTTTTTTCCCTTTTCTCTACGTTTTCCAGAACCTCCCTTATCTTCTTTGGTCGTGGGGTCTTTTTTCCCTTCTCTCCCTCTCCTCTCTCTGTCTCTATACCAGCCCTAACTCCATCGTGCTCACGTCATAGTCCCGAGGCTCTTCCCTTTTTTCTCTTTTTCTCTTTTTCTCTTTTGATTATTTTTTTTCCTAGTTCCGATTTCCTAGTTCTTATTTCCTATTTCCTTTCCTTTGCTTTCCCTTTTGGCCCCCTTGCCAATCCTGCCAATCTTACCAATCTTACCAATTTGGATCTTCCTGCGTCCACTTTCCCCTGCGTGACCGCGCTATGCTGGCATCGCCCGTGTGATTCGACTCGTCTCCCCCTTTCATAACTCGACGTCACATCCCTGTACCCTTGACTCATCTCATTTCCCACCTTTCACTTCCTCCAACTACAAATGTCAGGCAATCCTCCCGACGACGACCCCAATCGACGGGGCTACCCAGATCCCAATCGGCCGTATCCTTACGCCCAGGACGATCAAGGTCATCCTCCTGCTCAACCTGTATGTCTGCCCTTGGACTGAAGCTGGCGAACAACTCCTAATATGCCTCACAGTTCCCGCCATCTTCCTACCCTCCCGAGTACGGCGACCGCGCTTACTATCCGCCGCCACCGTCGCAATACCCGCCGCCTCCACACTACCCCCCAGGCTCTTCACAATTCCCCCCACCGTCTAGCATGGCCGCCGTTCATCCTCACGCGCAGGGCCCCCCCCTACATGGGATACCGCCCTGATGCGTACGGGCAACCTCAACAACCTCAGGTGGTGTATCAAGCCGCCGCACCCCGACAGAGAACAGCAATTGCCTGCCGATACTGCCGACGACGCAAGGTACGTTGAGGGTGGACCAGACTATCTAGTGGAAAGCTCACTGACCGGGGTATAGATCCGGTGCTCGGGCTTTGAGAATTCCAACGATGGACGCTGCACCAACTGCCAGCGCTTCAACCAACAGTGCATGTTTACTCCAGTCTCCTCGCAGGCGCAGGCGTTCGTCCCCGCGCATGCCGCCTACCCTCACCTGCGCGACTCGCAAGGCCGAACACGCACCGACCCGAATGTGCAGCTCTACGGTCCTCATGGGCAGCCTCTTCCACCGCAGGCGCATGATGCGCAAACAACCCTGCCGCCGCCTCAAGGGATGTACGGTCCGTACGGTGGTCCCCCGCCACCCCTTGCAGGAGGACCAATGCCCGATCCGGTATGTCAATCGTCGTTAATCCTAGCCAAGGGCCTCATCTAATTGTTATGATTCATGTAGCGCCAGCGTCGCGGCTCAGGTTCGGGTTTCGATTACCCTGATCCTATGAATCTGGCTCCCGTTACGCCCTCCGGAGCTACCCCCGGATTCCAAACGCATACCGCTCCTAGCCCCTACTATCCCCAGCAGCACGATCGGCGCACCTCGCCGCAGGGCGGATACCCCTACGATGGACGCCACTCAGCCTCGCCCCACAATTCGCCGTATGTGCCTTTGGCACCCCCGGCGGCAGGAAGCGCGACACCCCCTCCCGCCCCGACCTCGACTCCCGGCGGTTCTCAGCGTGGCGGTCTGAACGTGCGTGACATGTTGAACCCCGGTGACGATTCGGGGGCTCGGTCCAGCACCGATAACGACATGCTCAATGCGCTGAACCGGCGCGGTCTGAACATGGATAAGAAGTAAGGGCTTCATGTGGATCGAGGACGTGCCAACCGACGGAGGCACACGGTGGAAACGACGCGACGGGAATGCGGGAATCTGGAAGGAATGAGAGATGTACCGTGTGCTGGCCACACGGTTCTGGGAGGACCATGTGTTGAAGTTACGGTTACCTTTTGATGGCAGCGTGAGCCTCTGTCGGAGCAATGCGGTGGGACCGAGCGCGTCCAGGATCATCCAGGAATTCATTGTCTCTGCCCCCCTGCGAAGCGCGAGCACGAGCCCCCTCAATGAACGCCAGGGCGAACTCCACGACAAACGAGCGCATGCAAGCAGGTCGGAAGGATTCGGGGCGATCCGAGCTCGGCCATTGATGACGACGGTCTTTTCTGTATCTCTTGATGCGAGGCCACGAAACGCGGACCCATGAGCTTACGAGCCGCACGAACTTTACCCCGAGATCGGGCCTCAGGGTCTTCGGTTATCGGCATACGACTTTTTTTTATTGTTATACATTTCGATTCTGATCGACCGATTTAATTGCGGAGGGTTTCGGCGTCTGTTCTTGAGGCTCGGATCTCTCAGCCTGCCCCGGATCACCAATCCTAGGATTTGATTTCAGTCTCAACCAGCATCATGCCTTATTGCATTACATCACACAACAAACCCGCAACACCTTGGCCCCCGTGAAACCCCTCCCCCTCACGGCGGCAACAACATCATTGTCACAAATCTCGGGCGGCTATCTCTGAATCATTTGCAGTTCCTTGTTCTGGGTCGGTTCTATTGTCCGTTTTTGCGTTGATTTATTCCACTTTTTCTTTTTCCTCTTTCTTTTCCTTTTCCTTTTTCTTTTCCTTTTTTCTTTTCTCTTTTCCCATTCCAATTCTTTCCCCGTATATCTTATATTATCCGGAAGGCAATTTCCTTGCGCCAAAATATGGTCGGCTGTGTCAGTTCTTTTATCTCAGTTTTTGCGAGTCAGTTCATCATTTTGCTTTGTTTACCTGGGAGGCTGTCTGATCAAATTTTTGTCCTTTACCGCGTCCTGTCTGTTAACTTTCTTCGTCGGTTAAGCGCTTTTGAATTCGATGGTGAAGTGTCTTGAGTATAATATCTCCGAGTAGATTATACATCCACTGTAAGATTCAATATCTACGCTTCGGTGGTATCCGATCTAGGTAAAGAAGCTAGTAGATTAGATTGGCTTTGGCATCCGAGAAGATGCCGCAGAGTTAGGGCCAACTTTGCCGGCCTAGCGCTGTTAATTGGTCCTAATAGCCGCGCTGTTCAAGATCACCCATCAAGTGATCAGGACGTCATCGAGGGGCGGGCCGGTCAGCTTCCCTTGCAAGATGGGTATCCAAATGGCTTTTGACATCAGACCCCGGGAATTTCTTTCAGCCTTCCAACTAGATTTGATCATGTGGTCCAGATGTCTGTAGGCTCATCTGATATACCTTGGCAATTATACAAACACAGCTGTACTTTTGTTATGGCCCAATACTTCAGCACCCAAAGACCATCCGTCCTGAGATCAAAATATAAGCTGGACAACCACTCAACATGGCCTAAGGCAGCTATTTCTATCCCTCTTTATCCCCTCCATAGCCCTACAAGGCTGCTCGACGTAGTATAGTTTCGGTCCCGTCTCGGTCCCGTCTCGGTCCAGCCGTGGCGGGCCGTTTAACGGATTTAATTGGCTCAGCATAAGCACTACACCGATTAGATCGTATAGTAAGCCGTACACTTATCAAAACACCATTGGCAAGCTCGTATGACATATGACACAAGGTCAGACTGTTGATCCTTGCCCGTTGTAATCTTACTCCGGCAAGTACGAGGCTCCGTTACGCCAACACTGGGTCTGAGCACGACCTGCACGAAAAGGCGCGCCGTTTGTGTTTTTTTTTTTTGCTTTTTTCTTTTGTTCAGTTTTAACCTCTTATTTTGTTCCGCTTCAAACACGAAGTCTGACAACTTAGGGAGTATCATGGAACCGACGTCTAATCTGAAAGTTGTGATCGTGGGGGGAAGTATTGCCGGGTTGACTCTTGCGCATTGTCTGCTCAGGAATGGCATTGATTTTGTGATTCTTGAGTCTCGAGGGGAGGTTTATCCTCAGGAGGGCGCTGCGCTGGGGATGCTGCCTAACGGATCGCGGATTCTGGATCAGTTGGGGATCTTCGATGATTTGATTGAGGGAGTACAGCCACTTCGGAAATGCTGGTTTTGGTCTGGAACTGGCGAGCTGATTGCGGAGGATGATGGTCCCGTGGAATTTGAGATGAGGTGAGTGCACTTGTCTGAGTTGTGCGTTGAGCTGTTGGATTGGACATTGATCTTGATAGACATGGCTACTGCTCTGCTTTTATGGATCGCCAGTTGGTTCTGGAGAAGCTGTACAGCAAGCTGGGAGATCATCGCGGCCGTGTCTTAGTTAACAAGAAGACTGTCGATATAGAGAATCTCCCAGACGGTGTCCGTGTGCACTGTGCAGATGGATCTGTGTACGAAGGTGGCTTGGTTGTCGGAGCAGATGGTGTTCGAAGCACTGTGAGGCAGTCAATGTGGAAGAGCATGGAAGAACATAATCTGCAAGCCGAAGTCGAAAACGAGAAAACGAGTACATCTACTTTCCTAGACAAACGCTACAATCTTCCAGATCATCAGCTAACAGGACGTAGCAATGACATCCGAATACAACTGCGTCTTCGGAATAGCCACAGCCACCCCAGGACTGAACCCAGGAGATGTCCATCGAACCTACGCCGAAGGATACTCCTTCCTTGCTATTATCGGCAGCGAAGGGCGAGTCTGGTGGTTCCTCTTCACGAAGATGGATCGTAAATACAGCCACTCGGAAATCCCCCGGTTCAGCCAGAAGGATATGGACGAGCATGTTGCTTCGTATCTTTCGATGCCGGTGACTGGATCAGTGCCTTTCTCCGAGATCTATGAGAGGGCTATCTTCCGAAACATGCTTGCTCTGGAGGAGTCTTTGTACAAGCATTGGTTCCATGACCGTAAGGTTTGTATTGGGGATTCGGTGCATAAGGTGTGTCTTTGAAACTATCACTGTTGGTTTAATCCTCCTAATACATTCACAGATGACTCCAAACATGGGCCAAGGAGCCAACTCGGCCATCGAGAATGCCGCAATGCTAGCCAACTACCTTGCGAAGTTGACAAAGTCCTCTTCATACGAAAGCGAAGACATCCGTCGTTGCCTACAAGATTGGCAGACTACTGTCCAGCCACGCATTGGGGAGATCTGGCATTCAGCCTGTGATTTAACACGCATAGAGGCAAAGGCGACACTGAAGGGCAAGATTTTTATCTATCTTCTTCCGTACATGCAGACTATGCTTCTCAACAAACAATCTGCCGTTATGGTCACAGCGGCGAAGCTGGATTGTCTGCCTCCTCCAGCTAGGTCGTTGCGGGGCTCCATTCCGTTCAAGGATCTGAAACAATCAGAAGGAAAGACAGACAATGGAAGGAAGGGCATGGTTTTGGGAGCTCTACTTGTTGGTTTTGTTGCCGTTGGTTGGAACTGGAGACGGCTGCTGGTATGAGTCAAGCTCCACTAGCCAAGTCAACAGAACCTTTGTACGCTACAATCATCGATACCAGTATCGCCTCTACAACTAATACGGACGTGCGTTCTTTGCTGAAACGAGTTGATGATCGCTAACTACATGTGTTTCTCCATTCGTCGCGTCTGATCCTATCCAAGTCAGAAAGGATCGTACAAACATAGCTCTAGAGACTAGCTAGGTATCCACCGCCATTATGCATTACACTTTGATCCGAAATCAGATCGCAGAGGGCCTGCAGGGCTGCAAAACGGAAGAAAGAAGGAAAGGAAAGAGAAATCCAAGACGCAAAGAAAATAAAATAAAAGAAAGAAACAAGACGTGGGGTCGGATTAGATCAGGAAAAATCCGGTAGATTGAAGCAGGAACTCCGGGAAAAGGGAAATTCGGAAGGAAAGTATCGACAGCCGACGCCGGGCTCGACGGAAGTTGGGATGCAAGCGAATGTAGAAAGTGGGAGACAAGAGGCAGAAAATGCAATGGAGGTTTTTTTGTTGCAGGGGCTGAAACGCAGCAATGCGGGGAGTGTGAGCGAGTGACTGATTGAAAAGCGAATGGCGGAAATTAGATGAGGGATTTGGGCATTAGGCGTTTGGAATGGATTCCAGCACGCGGGACATCTTCTTGGCTCGAACGGTGTCTTGAACAATCATGTCACGGCTCTTGAGCATCATGTGCATTGTATCGACCACCTTGTTGAAGGAGGATGCGGCACCGCGCTCTTGTTTGAACCGGACCAGACTAAGGTTTGCCTGGCGGCCGTGCTCAAGAACAGTGTAGAATTCTGCGGTGAATTCAACCTCTCGGAGACGCAGGACTGGAGACAGGTTAGTAATGATGAGATAGAGAAAGATAGGGAGATAACTGACAGTTGACCTCGCCGACACGTCCGTGAACAACGCTGTTGCTCTTATCCATGGTAACATCTTCCATACCATAGTCTTCCCACTCACGAAGGAGACGGTAGACCTCTTTTCGTCCCTTGACCTTCGAGGTATTGAGGGCAATGACCCTAGTAGCAGGCTTGATCTGGAATACACGAGCGAACCAGTTCTGGTTGGCGAGGGAAAGGCGCTTGTTGCGTGCGGGATTTTGAGGGTCGTCAGATTCAAATGGGCTTTCTGCATCGGGAAATCCCTTGCAGGAACGAGGATTCTGTTGATCCTTAAGGTTCTCCTGTTCTTTGTCTTTCTTGGGGTTTAGCGGCGTATAGGCAAAGCAGTTGATAGTTGATTTACCTGTTTCCTGGGGGGCGGTTTTGTTCGCCTTCTTCGACACGAGCTTCTTCAATGCTCCTCCAAATCGCTCCATGGAGGACTTGCGAGTCGGTACCCTACCCTCGGTTGTCTTGATTGGCGAAGTCGGTGTTGAAGGAGGGGTGTGAATGACCACGGTGCCAGTGCTGGGGACAATTTGCTTGGTATCCTTAGGCGGAAGAGCTGGGGCGGAATCAGAAGCTTGAGGCCGATGCTTGAACCAGGACCACTTCTTGCCATCAGCCGATCGATGCTTAGGAGAGACAGGAGCCTCCTCGATGGGTTCCAGTCCACAAGCATTTCGGGTTTGACGAGAACTGGCAGAGAAGGCGCGCATGGGGTCCATAGACTCAGGCTCAGCAGAATATGACTCGGAAAGCTGATTCTTCTTACGAATCATCAAGGGCTTGACCTCATGAAGAGACCGCACGGAGCTATGTGGGACCATCCTAATTGTGGCTCGAGAATCGCTCACACGGCTCGCGGCCGACGGACGCTGCTTGGACTTCGACTTGGGAGTTAGGTCAACCGGGCCTCGGACGGGGCTCGCAAACTCCTCCTTGATAACAGGCAATGTTTCAGGTATGGTATCGAAAGGGTCCATGAAGACAGGAACATCTTCTCCTGATTCACTCCGCTTGTGATGCTGTGCTTGGTCTTCCTCAATCAACCTATCTAGATGTCCGATCACACCAGACAAGTATGCAGGAATGTTGTCATTCCTTCCCTTGCTGTGCTCAACAAGCTTGCGTCGTGTTTCGGTTAGCTCGTGAATACTGTAAGAGCGACCGGACTCCTTCAAACCTCCCTTTGGAGTTTCCGAGGAAGGCTTGGTGGGAACAGCGACGTGCTGATTTTGACTGGCAATAGAAACAGGAGTCGCAGGTGTCTCATATCCGGCTTCGTCGCTAGCGCTGCGAATGGTCGAGATAGAGCTGCCATTGAAGGCCTCTTCACAGATTTGGCTAAGCTCGTGTGACACCTTGCGGGCATCTTCCTTCCAACTCAAATCAGACACACGGATCCTTTTCTCCTGGCACACAGTTCTAGCCTTCATGCCGCTTCGGTGGACCACTGTCGGTTGGGCAGGAAGGGGTGGGCTGCTAGGAATGGGTGGGATATCCATCCCATCCGCAATTATCTGCAAGCTAGCTGCACTGGGTGACCGCTTAAGATCAGTCTGGGCGTTTTGATCTTTCTGTGCCGTCTTTCGCCTCTTAGGCTTGGTAGAGCCTTGGGATCGATTGCGTGCATGATGGAATGAAACATTCCGACGGTAGCTTGTTGACCGAGTGGACATCCCAGGCGCTCGAGAACTAGAGTGAACCAATTTAGACGAGTGGAAAGACTTCATAGAGCTTGGCTTGTGCTTCCGCTTCTGAAGTACGGTAAATGGTGACTCGGTCACATCGTCTGTCTCCTCAGGCTCTACTTCTTCTGCGATGGAAAGAGGGGGCTTGACCACGGGAGAGACATCACCAATTTCAAGAACCTCGACGGTTTCCTTGTGGATGGTGATCTGGGCAAACTTGGCCTCAGCAGCGGCGCCGTTGTTCTTCGGTGACCGATACGGATCATAGCTTTCAACACTTGCGCAAGACTTCGGTTCTTGAGTGCCACCCATGCGACGGTGGAGGTCTTTGACCTTTGAAATGTGCGAGCGACGCTTCGAGTTGCTGCGGTTCCGGCGACCCTTGCCTCCAGGTCGGGAAATATGGTGGTAGTCGCTAGCTGAGTATTCAAGAGGCTGTCCTTGATAATTCTCCAATTGTTCGTCGCGGAATTTGGCAAGGGCATTGTAGAACATCCGCTCATGGGTAGGTCTACATTGCAGTTAGTTCCCAATACTCAAGTCGCTGAGAAATCAACAAACTTACTCAAGGCACATAATCCTGTCAACCAAGGCATCGGGCTTAACGTCATGCCAGAGCGTCTGCAGGTTACGCAGAATATCACCATCGATATCACGGCGATCTGTAACAAGGTTGCCGCAATCCTTGACGGACAAGGCAGGTGGTGGTCCAATGTAGTGATCTGCCATAGCATTGTGAAGCTTTTCATACTTTGTCAACAATGGATGCATCCACACATTTTGCATGGAAATGCGGTCTTCAGGACGCTTTTGAAGGATTCGCTGGATGAGATCGGCCGATTCATCACTCAACTCTTGGGGGATCATGTAGTCACCCTTCTTGACCAGTCGCAATGTGTTAGGGAGATCACCGCCATCGAAGGGCAGATATCCGGTCAAAAGGGCGTACAAGATAATTCCACAACTCCACATGTCCGCTCTGTCGCCGCGGTATTTTCGTCCGTAGATTATCTCGGGTGCTGCGTAGTGGGGACTTCCACATGAGGTATTGAGCCAATGGCCAGCGGGTTGCAGAGCAGCCATGCCGAAATCAGCAAGCTTGACATTGTGTTGTCCATCAAGCAGAATGTTCTCCGGCTTTAAATCACGGTGGCAGATGTTGAATCGGTGGCAGTAACCGAGGCCAGCAATGATCTGACGGAAAAGTCGCACTGCCTCCTCCTCTGGTAGGGGTCCATGCTTGGAGACATAGTCGAAAAGTTCACCCCCTTCAACATACTCGAGAACAAGGTAGCTGTGATTCATGTTAGACGTCACTTCAATAGAGCACGGCTTGCAGCACTTACAGTTCACCACGGTTCTCCCAAACATCGTACAGACTGATGACATTAGGGTGTTCAATCAATTTCATGATAACAACCTCACGCTCGATCCCACAGGGCATGTGGCGAGCATTTGAGAAGCCCGAGAAGTTACTGGCATTACGATCCATGGCAGCAATGCTCTCGCTTTGCACCATCGCGGCAGACTTCTTGGACACGATCTTGATCGCGGCGGTCTGACCTGTAACAGCATGCTTAGCCAGCCGGACGCGGCCAGTAGCGCCCTTGCCGAGGGTTCTTCCTAGCTGCCATGGCCCGACATGAGTCTTTCTCTTCCCCTTGTTAGACAAGATAGAAGCGGCCGAGACGACAGAGTTTCGTGCCGAGTCAGACTGAAAATCTGTGGCAACGGAGAGCCGCTGGTTTTCCTTTTCTCTCGGGCTAGGGCTCATGACGACAGACATACGATCTGGTGTCTTCAGCAGATCGATATTCTCAACATGAACCTTGGGGGTTTCCACCTTTGGTGACCTGGCGTGGTTAATTCGGCTGGAGGCGTCTACTAAGGGTTGACGTCTCCGGTGTGGATCGTTCAGATCCAGCATCACCTGGTCCATTGCTCGGTAGTGATGTTTCTTGCCCACAGTGGCATGTGTTGTTGTTTTCGGTGGTTTTCGGTGAAATGATAGTTACAGGGGCGCTGGTCATGGTTAGTTCTTCCCTCAAATCAACTCACGTGTGTGTCTTCGGTTTCAACTCACATTAGACGGCGTGAAAGAAGAGATTAAGTCGACGTCCACTTGGAGTGCTGGTCGCGGGCAAAATTAGCGGTAATGATTGACTGGGATAAATAATGCAGTTGAAAGAGTGACAGGCGAATTAACACAACATCGTGGGATCGAAGGCGAACGAGAGACGTGGGAGCTGAGAACCCAGGGCGAAAGTCGACTCGAAGAGATGCAAGAGTCGCGCGAACTGTGGCAGCCCAGAAGAGATCAAAAGAGAAGTGGTGGAAGGGTCGGCCGTGGCATGCCTCAGCACGACTGTTGTGGAATGAGAAAGAGTGAGATTCCGTCGATGGCTTGGAATGCATTTCCCCTCACTACACACTACACACCTTTTACCACCACCACACCCTATCACTTTTCAATGGTCTCTTCATGATTGCTCAACTACCTAAATCTGTTTGAATTATGATACTTTTGGTACCCGAATTCTGATTTACTTGGTTCTTCGCCCGCCTGAGGGTTGCTTGCGATGCTATGGCATTATTTACTCCGTAACACTATCTCCCGTGGAGACACTTGAAACCATATGAAAGGATCGACGAGTTTGCTATGGAAAGTAAATCCTTACTAGGTGAAAGTCGATGTTTGTTTGGGCTAGGGTGAGGAAACTAAAAGTATACATTCCACCCGACGGTAGGGGGAGGGGAGCAATGTCGTCTTCACTATGGCCTTATCGGTTTAATCATCCGCCCCCAAGGGGCCACTCCACATAATCGTCGGCATTCCACTCCCCTAGAGTCCCCAGTCAAATTGAAATGGGCACTAGACTTAATTCTGTAGTTTCGACTTGCGTCGGACAAGTCGGTCATCCGGCAATATCCCGAGGCCACGAATTGAATGGTACGGAGGTTTGGGTTTTTTTATTAGAATAAATACACCAAAATGTCACCAGATGAGATGTCTGCGCTTTTCACGGATGTCCGGACCCTCTGTCGCTTCAGCATGTGCTCTTTTATGGACTGTCTTCTAAACCAGCTGAATGATCTCTCTTTTGGAAGCGAATGTATAATTTCTGTACAGATGGGACTATAGCCGTAGGTGGATATACATATAGTCGATTAACTTTCGCTAGCCGACGGGGCTAGGCACGGTGCGACTATGTCAAGCATTGTTAGATTTGTATTTCGGGGCTCACCAACGCTTGACCGCAAGCGCTTACTTGGATTAGTGATTGCTTTTTTTTGCCCCGCACTGTGGCTAGCTTTAGTGCCCGATGGGCAATAGGCCGAGGTGGCCTCGAGGCAAATTGTGCGCTACGAGTTCCGCTAATCAATAATCAGCCACCAACGTCCACGACTCTGACTTTCAGATCCCGGCCATGAGCGAGAGCCACAATAAATGTTAGCAGAGACGACCCCGGGATAAATAAATCGGTGTTTTCTCGTCAATTATTGGGAGCTCAGGTATAAGTGACTCATCGACTACCTGTGGATCTTGGTTAGGCCAGATTGGATATATATTTTGGCTCAACAGATCTCCCGCTCCCGAACCCCCCTCCCCCACCACTCCGTTCTATCTCCAGAGCTATCCACCCTTTCCCAGCAATGGCCGACATCAAACCCCCGTTTTCCGAGGAGACCGCCCGTCAAAAGGTCAAGGCAGCCCAGGATATGTGGAATACCCAGTACGTTCTGATATCCATCTGATTTCACCTAGACCGGTGGGCCCTGATCCCGACTGGCCCATGTGGCCAAAGCCAGGGCGATGCGGCGTCATCCCTTGCATTCCTCAAGCCCTAGTGTTCAATGTTTGTCCGTGCGAGTCCCTGGACACATGATGGCATCCCTATTCTGGTGCCTTCTACGATCTCTTATCTAGTTTTGCTGAAGAGCTCGGGCGACTACGCGGAAGTGACGCCTTGACCCGATCGGATACTAACCATGCAAAAGAGATCCCACCCGAGTCGCGAAGGCATACACTCCGACATGCATTTGGCGTAACCGGACTTCTTTCTTCTCTGGCACCGAGGATATTGTCGCGTTTTTGACTGCCAAATGGAAGCGCGAGCACAACTACCGTCTGCGCAAGGAGCTCTTTTCTTTCCGTGATGATCGCATCGCCGTGCAGTTCTGGTATGAGTATCAAGATGCGACTGACGGAATGCGTTGGAAACGGTGCTATGGACTGGAAGATTGGACTTTTGATAGGGAATCTGGGAAAATGTGCAAGCGTATGATGAGCGGCAATGACCTGCTTCTCGGGCCAGACGGAAATGGCGAGGGACGGTGGTTTGTTGAGGGTGTTGACGTGAATGAAGTCCCGATCGGCCCGGAACACTGGTAGTCTGTCTGGTCTTTCAGTGTTGGGTAGCTTTCCGAGTTTAATACCGATCTAACACCTTATCCTTTATGGATGTCGGGGTATCTCGCAAATCAAGTCGCACCTGTTCATACAATTGTATCGTGTCTAGGCTTTCTTTCAGCTTTGTTGACCCTGGGATAGGGTGGGTGCAGAAGCCTTCTAGGACCTCGACATGTTACATGCCTATAAAGCACCTCGACAAAGCATTGATTAGCATGGTGATTTCTTCAAATCTGAACGCTGTCAAAACCATTCATCAGGTGCAGATTTGACGCCAATTTTTGCCCCTTGATTTATCATGTGGTGAGCGTGCGATGTTCCTATCCTGCATTCCACGGCATCCTACATACTGTAGGGGTCTCGAGATCCTTCAAATAGTAGCCCCTGCCCGACTTTGTTTGTATGAATTGCAGCGAGGCCTAATTGCCCGTATAAGGCCGGTATATCAGTCGCCCGCGATCAAACTAGTGTCGGGTCGCATCGGAAGGGCTGCCGGTGGAGAAGCTTATCAACGGGTCATACTGATGATCGCTCGGCAACCCTCCCATAGACTCTGGCAGACGATGCCAGAGATAGTGCGATCAAGTGTATAAATTGAAAATAAAGGTCTTTGTGGGGGTAGATATGACTGACGCATAGGGCTGTTTGTTTCCCTACTAAAGGGAGGTTCACACGGGTTGACGCAACGCATTTTTGCTGGCACATGAGCCGACGGCTGTCATATTAAGAATTACCATTAGTTACAACTAAAATAAATTTACAGCACTTCTTTCAAGCCAAGTTGATCTATTTATGTATCGACTTCTACTGTCTGAAACATTATCAAAGAACCTGTAGAGTGTAGAGTCCCTCACTATTCGATTCAGCAACAGGCGTACGTAATATATCAATTTGGTCCTCTATCATCATTCCCAAGATTTCTAATATATGTGCAGGCTAGGATCAAAGCAACCGTCATAAATGGTGATAATAACCTATCGCAAGAAACTGGACGGTTGGCCATTTTGTTATCTTTGTGCCATGGCAGAACCGTCGATAGGCTCCACCGACTGATTCCCCCGCAATTTCATTGATTTTACGCTCCCCTCTCCGAGACGGAACCTCGCCCGGTATCTACAATCAGTCCTCATGGCGGGAAATGGATCTAAGGTCACCAAAAGATCCTTGAATGCGTACGCACTGATGTCTTGAACTCGCGCGATGAACGTGCTAATTTTCCCGGCCTAGTTGCACTCGATGCCGCAGACAGAAGATCAAGTGTTCTGGATCTCAGCCATGCGAGGGCTGCAACAAGCGAAGGCTAACTTGCATCTTTGACGATCGCGACCAAAAGATTCTAGTCACTAGAGGGTAAGAGCCTAAGCATATTGGCGTCCCTTGCAGGAGATAGGGACAAGCTACTAATCAAGCTGCAGGTATATCGATGAGTTGCACCAGAAACTTGCACATCTGCAGCGAAATGAACAAACAGATGCCATCCCTGCACCTAATCCGCTTAGTCCCGACTATGCAGATGATAGATCTCCAGGTCTGTTCCTCTGTCCAGCTCAGTTGGCTCATGCTGATGCGTCACAGATCCCAAGGATCAACATGATACACCAGGTGAACTCAGAAGGTCATCGCTCAATGATAATACCGAATCTCAGCTTCAAAATGAGCTCGAGGACCCTGCATCGGGGTTGACAAACCCGTTATCATCAGGGCCACCGGCATTTACGTCAGCCGAGAATGGGCGAACGTGTGCGTCGAGACCCCCTTTGGAAGACTTCACGACACTGACAAGAATATAGTTTACCTGGGCCCATCATCAAACTGGTCATTCACTCGTAGGGTCCTGAGCCTAACTCATGAGCACATCTACCAAGAACCTCTACCCACAGGTGCATTGCTGTTCGATGGTGCAACCTATGATCTCGGCTGGGACGGGTTGCGAACCGCTCAAAATGCGGACACTCCGGCTGTACCAACATTTGATCATGCAATATACTTGATTAATACTGTCAAGTTTCGCTGTGGACAACTATACCACCTTTTCGATGAAACTGAATTTATGCGCAATCTCCACGAGTTCTACACAGAACCTAAGCCGAATGCGACGGGCAGCTTGTGGTATATCCACTTTCTTCTCATCATTGCCTTCGGGAAGGGATTTGTTAAGCACAAACAGCAAGGCACCAAGCCAGCTGGCGCAGAGTTGTTTGTGAATGCTCTTCAGCTACTGCCCGACGTTAGTGTTCTCCACCAGGAGCCGATCGAATCAACAGAGATTCTATGTTGCGTTGCGCTTTATCTACAAGCTTTAGACTTTCGGTCCTCGGCGCATAACTATGTACGTCAAGGAAGCTATCAAATTATCATTTTGGCTAACAAAGTCTCTAGATTGGACAGGCGATGCGAATGGCGATGGCAGAGGGTATGCACATACAGATGCCAATTGAGTATCTGGGAGAGAATCTCGTTCAAAGATGTCGTAAGATCTGGTGGACTGTTTACATTTTGGACCGTGAAATGACCTCGTTAATGGGGCTTCCTCAGACTCTCAATGATGATCATGTCAATGCTCACCTCCCGGCATTTCCCTACTCCATACAGCGTACAGCGGCCATTGGTATGCACATCAAGCTGTCCAGGATCATTGCTGAAATTAATGGCAGTAAGTGACCTCACATATTCTCTAGACTTTATCATTCACTTACTATGTTAACAGCAGTCTATGCTATGGACGGGCGCTTGAATCGAAATTTCCTCATGCGCACCAAAGCCGCATTGGCAAATATAGCCAGATTGGCAGACGAGCTTCGAGATGCTTCCCCATTACATCTCGACCGAGCAGTAAGTGGGGTGTCCAGAATATCCGCCTATCTTCATCTGCTTTATCATCAATGTATTGTCCTCGCCACCCGACCGCTCTTGTTTTGCTTCTTGAAGATACGATTCGAGTCACCGGAGCATTGTTCGGATGCATTGAACACATCCCGAAGTGTGCGCAACTTAATTCAAATGTGCATGGATTCTTCCCAGCAAATCATCGGCATCCTCCATAGTCTTCAGATTGAAGGCCTCCTTGGTAAGTTCCTCAATTTCGCTCTATACCAAGGTCAACTTCTAATGCGGCTGCTTGTTCCACAGAAACCTTCCTCCCATTCGACCTTGAATCCATTTTTATCTCCACAGTAGTCCTTCTCATCGGCCCAGCGATCGATATCCGATGGAACTGCCCAGCTTGGCTGGAAAAGGCATACATGATTTTCGAAGACATAATCGAGAGCGGGAATCTTATCGCCAAATTTCGCCGATCGGAGCTCCAGCTTCTGGATGAGCTCTTGAGCTGCTTCCCTCAAGACCAACCGCGATGCCTATCAGCTCCAGTCTCTTTTCCAAACAATCTCCTCAACCCACCAATGCCGCATGATTCACTGGCAAGCTCTTTCCATCCTTCTACAAATGCCTTGAACCATGATCCATCATCGGGCCAGGGCCCAACAATTGATGACGACTTTAATTTTACTGACGGACTGACTGCTACACAAATCATGGCCGTGGCTGATTCTATTGAGAGCATTGATACGGAGTGGATGTCTAACGCGATGATTGAGCATAGCATATGGTAATGTGATATAATCATGCCTTATGCATTTCGTATCTGCTTTGACCATAAGTAAATACGAATACTGGAACACAAATGAGCAAATGTGAGCTTAGAAAAAATCCCGTTTCCACATTCCCATACAAGTCGGGTTCCACATCAGTAAAAGTTAGGCCATCCTTGCATTTGGCAATATGGGCAAGGACCAGCTAGCTTTGAGTAACCGGGTCTGAACCATCGGACCAATTCCTGGAACGTTTCTGACCGAGGCTGGATGGTTTTTGAATGTGGATAGATACAGGCGCTTCGATTCACTCGATAGGTGGCCTCTGCACAGCGTATAATATCAAGAACATACATGTGGCCGCAGCCATATTTGCCGGAGTGGTCGGCGACGTCTAGAAGACACATCTGGAGATCATTAGCTTTGGATTCGTATCCCTGAATTTTAACGTACATTGATCTAAAGATTTCGATTTGTCATGATATAGATACTGTGGTTGCAGGAAATAAGTCAGACAAGTGCAAGGCTACGTGAATGAGTGGTATCGATCTCCTATATTCCGTGGGCTATTTTCGGGCTTATCATTGAGAACAAAGCGCCTTCGTTGTAGCCCAAGATGTCACAAAGAGAACAGATGGACAAATTGACAAATTTACATTGTAGTTCGATCATTATAAAATGACCTAGACCCTAAACAGCACTTGTCAGGGGCCATGTCGATACACATAATTCTTTATTGAAACAAAGAGGCTAGAAACCTCCTAGGCACAACTAAGAATAGGAAACAAAGAGACGATTAATCGTTCTCTCGAGTCTGATTGAAATGACAAATGTGAAAAGATTCATGTACGCATTTCGTGGTGGGGAAGCAAGCAAAAGCGTACCCAGCGCCACGATAAAGCTATCGTGGTATCCGCCTCCCTCCTCGACCGACAGTTCTTGCCAACACGGTCGGTACCCCGCGATATAAGCAGTAAATCAGCCATTTCACGTACTATACTAGGCCTAGGTGCTACACCACGGTCATCCATAGAAATAATCTACTTGGTAAGCGTATCCTCTTCTAATTAGGTCAATTTATGACTGTTGGCGTGGATCGCGGTATGCCATACGTACGCGCAGCGGCCGAAGTAGAAGATAATGTTTTGTTCTGAATAGCCTGAATTGCTAGCTCGATCCTACATTCTTGTTCGATAGATTTTTGCTTTGATTTAGAACGAATTGGTGGCATAGTGGGTGATTGAACTGGCGCAGAGATACCTTAGGGTGGCGACCCGCTTGGGAAATACGTTGTCTGGCGATCTGGTCTGGTCTATGACCACTTCTTCCTCCCAGAACCTAGAACCATGGGATAGGGTTCATAACCTGCCCAAACGAGGTTATTCCCAAAATCATTTGCTGCGCAATACAACCGTAGACCCTCCCTAAACATCTTGCTCGACGAAAAGCCCCCTTTCCCATAGTGATCTCGTTCTTTCCTCACACACACACTTATGCCGATTCTATTGGCCCTTCGTCATGGTAGTCCCCAATAAACCTTTGCTCGCAAACCGGTCGACACCACAAGCCCAAAAGCTTTCTGCCAGAGTCCTCGGTCCGAGTCAGCGAATTGGACGAGGCGATCGAACGCATAGCAGCAGGACTGAGTGTCATCGAGAAATTGCGAATACGACTCCCCGAGCTTATTTCCGTATCGGTGAAAAAAGTCTTCTGCTTCCGCGTGCCCACCAAAACAAAATTCCTCGTAACCTCCGGAGGCAACTACTCGGCTGGGATCGAATTGCGTCCCAGCGAAAATCGTACCGATTTGAGAGTATTTTAGGGGAACAACACGGTTTCTTGTGTATTTCGGACAAATAGAAAGGCAGTATGACGCATGGGTTGCCCATCGTTTTTCGAAGTCTGAGCCTTCGGACTTTGCCTGCACCACAACCACAACGCAGATCTCATCACCACTTTTGCTCTCTATGCCATGGATCTGATCAAGCTGTTCGGTCAAGAAGATCATCTGGGGACTTGCAAAGCGATGTTTGCCAGCAGAGTTGCGATAGTCCTCAGTTAGAAAGGAGCCTTGCATCACCGCTAAGGCTGGCCATGTCAACTGTGCGTAGGAATGGCAGTCTTTTCCTTCTTTCAGAGGTAGATTGGGCAGCGATTTCTGGCCGACTAGAGGTAGAGCCAGCCCTTGGACATATTTTAGGATGATACCGAGGTTGGTCGCAACACCTTTCGTTTGGTTGGCATGCACTTCGCGAAATTCATGTTTGAATTGTTCGTTGGTGAGCTCGGGCAATTTTTCAGATAGGATTGTTAATTTGATCATCCTTGATACATGATACTAAATATTAGGAGAAAAACGTAGCGTGTGGGGGGAAGTCTACTTTGAAAAACCTTCGTAGAAATAGGTGGCTGGCTCTTCGGGATGTGGTCACTTTCCAAGGGACCATTCCGATAAAGGTACTGCGTAAGCCCTTTCAACAGCTTGGCAATATTAGTCATTCATACATCCAAATCCTAACGTAATTTCCACCAAGCCCGCCACCCACCATGCCACCAATTCGTTCTAAAAAGAAGCAAGATTCTATCCAAAGAGAAGGTAGGATCGAACTTGCAGTTCAGGCTATTCAGAAAAAAGGCATTACCTCTATTTCTGCTACTACGCCTATAGCATACCGCGATCCAAGCTACGCGACCGTATCAAGGGCCGCAATTCAATGGCGAGCACACGCGCCTATACCTCTAAAATGTCCCTTTTAGATAAGAATTTCATATAAGGATACGCCTATCCAGTTGATCCTATCTATGGACGATCGCGGTGTAGCCCCTAGGCATGCTATAGTACGTAAGATGGCCAATATTCTTCTTGCGGCGGCCAACACGGAGAAGCCGACCACGGTCGGTAAGAATTGGGTTGGAAACTATATCAAACGTACACTAGCTATCCAGATACGTTTCTCGCGTCGATATAATTATTCGCACGCAGAGCAAGAGGATCCGCGGGTATTAAATGATTGGTTTCAGCTATCCTGTATGTCATGTGCTATACATAATTGGCCAAATTTGCGCCGTGGCTGTGCCATAGGTGATGCTCGCCTTGAAAGGGAGCTGCCCAAGATCAATCCATCCAAAGGAGGTGCTCTGTCGATAAACAGCATAATTCCTGGTGAGCTTGAATATCAAGAGGAAAGTATATCAGGGACTAAGGAGTTGCTTACGTTACTCAAACTAAGCTGTGCGGTGAGTTTGGCCTGTCGATAGCATCGAGCATCTCGGAAGGACGGTGTTACTTCAAAATGGGGGTGGGCTGATCAACGCCAGGGGATGGTAAAATTTCTCTGAATTGGCAGGGCGGAATTTATGAACTAATAGTACGAAATGGTACAGTACTCGACTACATATTGGCCATGAGATTTTGTTGAAGATATTCGAACAGATACTCCATTTTAGGCTGCCGCCACTACATCCCTGTTTTGGCGTGCTTATTTGAGGGCAATACTCCAGTATACTTGGATCACACTAGGCTTTCTCCCCGGATATTGGTCCGAGAATAACTTCACCACCTCTGACCACGGTCGTACCTCGTCCCTACATTACTTCAGCAGAAGATCTACCTCTTCTGAGGACCACCGCAGGCGCCTCCTGGGCACTCATTGGGTCAAGTTGTGTTCATCACGGAATCGCGAGTTCGTGAAGTGCCTGGTCAACAGATATCTCTGTTCTTACGCGTTGTGGGAATAGTTCTTGTATGACATCCCCGACATGCCAACTGTCGCGAGGATGCATTCTCAGAGAAATTGTATGGGAGGGAAGACCGATCAGAAGGCATCTCGGGTGATGATGGCATAGATAGACGGTGAGTGACCTCGGGAAGTACCGGTCGATGACAGTAGCATAAGTAAACTGTGGCCAAAGGCGATCACTCATGTTCTTCTACCCTTATACCCGCATGTCGGAAATGGCCTTCAGCACTTTCCCCTTTTGCACCAACATGTTGAACACACCGCCGGAGGAAGGTGTGAAACTCCTGACTGGGTGGGATTCTCTTCGTATGCTGACCAAGTTTTCTTGATATGAGCCTTTAGTTCGGCAAAGAACTCCTCGATGGGGTTAGAATAAGGCGAATAAGGCGGCAAATACAATAGTTTGACACCTGAATCCGAACATAGTTGCCTGATTCGGTCAGACCGATGAAATGATGCGTTATCCATCACAAGTACGGATTTGGGCTCTGGCCACCTACCGCAGTGCTGGAGAAGCTGCTCAATGAGGGATTCAAATAAGGAGGAACGGTCGAGCCTTTGAAAATATGAGACACGATAACGCCATCTTACGCATAGGCTGGCAGTATCTGATAACGTTGGCCCCGATGAAATTTGGATACCTGGGTTGGTGTCACGCCTAGTGGAGACCAACCCGTCCGCCGATAGCCCACCCGTTTATCGCATCCAGACCCATCAACAAAAACTAGTTGGAAGGAACGACACTTTGACAATTTATGCTGGTAGAAATCTCGTAGCTATGGTGTTTGTTCGCTTGCTCTCTGCTGTGCCTTCTTCTTTGACAACCCAGCCCGATATAGAGCACGTTTTACGCTGGATATCGAAGGCAACACGTTGAACTCCTCGAATAGAAAGCTAGCCATCTCCTCGACGTAGAGGCCGGGTTTCCCTGCGAGGTGGTCGCATAGGGCATCCATTATCACCTTTGTGATACTCGATGGCCGACCGGGAGAGATTGGAGGAGACCTAGCACTGCCGAATAACCGCATGTTCTTGCGGATGTTAGTAACAGAAAGCTCACTGCTACCTTAGCTATTTGTGTGATGTGATGAGTCTCTTTTTACTGCGTAACATGTGAAGAATAATGTCACGCTGCCAGGAATCGATGTTTCGCGCCATGTGAGGGAGGGGTATTGGCGTTCGCTCGAAGGATTGCTTGAAGCGATATTTCCCTAGCGGAGTTTGCTCACGTGGGTGTATTAATACAATTGCATACAGTCGATTCAATTTTCTTGCTATGTATGCTTGAATTGTTTACTTTTCGTTCTCAGAACAGCTTTTAAATACAGAGCTAACAAAATTAGTTCCGAGTTATCATGTGATTAGGGTTAGAGAAAGCAGCTTATATACCTCCTCAACAGAAGGCGATGACGGTCGCCACTGTATCACTTTACAACTGAAAAGCTTTATAATTTCGAAGCCTTTGGTAGCATGATTGCAGATAGCTCCTTGGACTGCCCCAAACGCCAACTCACATCACCTCCCCAGTCACCATGACTGGCATTAGGATCAGAATCCTTCCATCTCCAGCGCGCAACAGGCTGCTTATCATCAACGGCCTCAAGAAGATCGGTGATGAAAGACCCCACAATGGGGAACATTTTGAAGCCGTGTCCTGAGTCACCGGAGAAAACAATGATAGAAGATGACATGTTGGGGAGGTAATCAACAATGAAATCCGAGTCATTGGTGTCAGCAAACCAACAGAGAGACTTCTTCACAAGGGGACGATCCGCGAGAGTCGGCATTGTTTGAGCCAGGAGCTTCCTCAACTGTTTCTCGTCATCCTCCGGGAGGAAAGCACTTTCCTTCAAAGTCTCCGGTGCATGAGAGACACCAGTCTTGGGGTCAGTGTTGATGTAGCCACCACCCATGGGACACAGCTTCAGCAAGTTCGTCTTCGGATCGGGCTCAAAGAAGAATCCCAGATCACGGGCATAGGTGACAGGAATGCCACGAAGAGCAGACGTCTCTTCATCAGTCAGATGCACATGTGCAACAGACCACGACTTGGCCACAACTTGAGTTCCGAGCTGAGGAACAAGACGATTGACTCCTGCGCCAGCCGTTACAATGGCCAGGGCCGAGGGGTGGAAGCGCCCGTTCTTTGTTCGGATACCCGCGCACTTACGTCCGGTCAAGGTGCTCACGTAGACAATTTCATCGACTGCGCCTTGCTCACCCAGGAAGAAGCGCACCCCTGCTGCTTGGGCGGCGCGATATACTGCTGCCAAGGCGTTACCGGAATGGGCGTATCCGTCGAAGCGGTTGAGGTATCCATTCCATCCGGGCAGTTGGCCGGTAAGCTGCCAAGCGTTCTGGCGGATATCCTCTTGTCCGTTGATCGGTACGAGATGAGGCTTTATTTGAGGATGTCGCTCCGCAGAAGCTTGGAACCTCTTTAGGGTGTCAATGGCTTTCTCGGGTGCTGCGCCCGATACACAATGCAAGAATCCAGTCTGATGGAAGTGAGGTGCGTAAAGAGGAGTCTTCCAAGCTGCAATTGCTTTCTATAAATACATTAGTCGCTCAGATCCGCCGTATGAGAATTCAATGAGGGGGTCATACAATGGTCAGATCGGTGTAGAAAGGATCCTCGTACTCAGCCCGCACAATCTTGTTGAGATCGTTGGCTGCGGAGAAGCGGGGCGGAATGTGATCATCTTTTTCGTAGACAGAAACATTCGTGTACCCCTTTTGAGAAAGATGGAGAGCTGTAGAGAGGCCGAAGGCGCCTCCACCCACGATAATGATCGCGTCGGACTTGGATACACCCATGATGGAGTGACGCAAGAAAAGATTCCCGATCGCTTTCTTAACCGTGCCCACGCTACCATATATACCTCGCTAGCATATACAGTCCAGAACTTGCTATCCGACGTGGCACGAGAGTGTATACTGCGGGGCATGTTATCGTGCTAACATCGGTAAACCTCCCGAGTGGAACCCTGCGCTCTACGTGAGGAGAAACCCACTTCTGACATCGGATGCCCCTCCGATGCGGGCGAGAACTTCTTATCTGGGAAACCGAAGGTTATTCTCGTGACCACACTCGCGTGCCAGAAGTATCATAGTATCACCAGAATAACCGGTTCTTCCTCGACAACACAGTCATGGCTAAATCCAAGAGCTCAACTCTGTGCTTATTAGGATGTGGTGAGTAACTCCGATCCCCACAATCACAATCACAATCACAATCATAGCTCATTGTTTCTAGGAAACCTAGGAGGTGCTATTCTCAACAGCTTGCTCAACTTGGCGTCAGAAGAGGCTCTATTCACCAAATACATCGCCTGCGTGCGTAGTGAAGGCTCGGCACATAAGCTGACGGAGCGATTCCCCAGCCATCTGGATAAATTGTCAATCTACCGAGGCGACAATGTCAAGGCCGTGCGAGAGTCTGATGTGATCATCTTAGGCGTTGACCCCGCCGATATGGCGAAAGTCCTGACACAACATGCACTGCGCGATGCACTGCAAGATAAGCTCCTCATCAGCATTGCTGCCGGCTGGACGAGACACAAGCTCGAGCAGACCATCTACGGAAGCGAAACAACCGCGGCCAACAAATTGGGCCGAGCCTGGGTGATTCGTACTCTCCCCAACATCGCCGCCCAAGTATCCCAATCCCTCACAGCAATTGAGGTCTCGGAGCCTACCCCGCCCGAGCACTACCTCCAAATCACAACCGCGATCTTCGAAAAGATCGGCCGCGCGGTTCAAATCGAGCCTAGATTGATGAATGCGACCACGGCAGTTGGAGGTTCCACCCCGGCTTTCTTCGCTGTGATCTGCGACGCGCTTATTGATGCAGCCGTGGCGGTCGGCGTTCCTAGGGATTTGGCGCATACCATGATTTTTCAATCTATGCAAGGAACCGCCACAATGCTGCAGGGAGGAATGCATCCGGCTGTACTCCGAGACCAAGGAACCTCCCCTGAAGGTTGCACGATTGGCGGTTTGATGGTTATGGAAGAAGCAGGTGTTCGCGGCCATATCGGGCGGGCTCTTCGAGAAGCCGTGACTCTGGCCCGGTTGATGGAGACGACGGAACATGTCAATGATACCAAACATTAAGTAGATAGAGCTGTGCTTAGGGAAAACAGATATATAAGAATACGAGAAAGGGTCGTCCCAGTTGCGTAATATTCTCTTTAGGATTTGAAGTTTCTTTGAAAAAAGGACCGTAGCTCTATATTCGCAAGACACCCAAACCCAAAAGCTGGGATGATACGAATACACCTAACCACGGTCGACGAAGCTAGATATCTCTGAGATTGCACTACTCGATCGACGAGCGGTACCTGATGCTGTCGCATGTACAAATCGAGACCCAACAAGTGCAGAGGAGTTGCAACCAATTGAGTCAGGACAGGAACTGTCAGCTGTGCTATAATGGGCTTTGTATGTGGGTGAGAAGCTAGATCATCTGGTATCATCTCTGACAGTCGAGGTGCCAGTGTGAACGAACCGAAGATAGTCACACTATCGCGTAGTAAAAAGATGGCCGTTGCTGCTCGCGCGACACTGCGATTTTGCACCAACGGAGGTCGCGTGACTCCGGCAGCCGTGGCATTTGATCCGAATATTTGGGCAAAGCGAATGTCCTTCCACACTCCCATCGGGACATTCACCAATGTTGTTGACAGAAATGTGATCAGCCCCGTCGCCTTCGCTTTAAGTTCGTGGCTGATTGTGTCCGCTCCATTCGCGACCGTGAATGTTACTCCATAAAGGGCCCATATGATGCCGAACGGTAATTGAAAGGCAAATCGTGCAGGATGTTTGAGGGCAGCGAGTGCATGTTTCCGAAGACCGCGGATGAGAGGCTGGTTCGATGCCGATTTCTCAACGAGTGCCCTGAGACGTCAGAAAGGCCATTCAGTGAATATTTTCCACAACTTACCGGTCAATAATCGTTACAGCTGGAGCTACCAATGTAGCGGACACCGCTGCAGCACCAAGATCGCCTGCTAGGCGCTTGATGAGAGAGCTGTTCCAGCCTTGACGCTCCTCGGATCTATGCTGCATTCTTTCGATTGTTGTTGAGTTCGGTGATTTCCATCAACCTCTGCTCGGAATATCAGCTCTTAGAGATTTAATTTTCTTTGCGTTTACCTACTCCAAGTGTTATCGTACGTGGGGAACTGGACCATCGGATGGCCTCCCGATGCTGCGTCTCCCGAGCGGAGCTCTATCGCCTCCACGCAATCTGCATCATAGCTTCAGGGTACAGCGGGGTATTTCGGTGCTTCATCGGCCATCCATCCGATGCATTATCGAGGCGTCCCATGATAAAGAGCGAGCTGTCGTTGAAATGTCTCTTCATCGACACGGCTTTCATCACCGCACACAATCGCCATGTCTACCTCCACACTAATGAGCATGCGCTCAGCGCGATCCTTTGCGCCTCGTTCGCACTTTCACCTTGCGAGGCCGTTGGTTCAGGCTCGTGGTAAGGCTACAGCGCCTTTCCGCCTTCCAGACCCCCGAAACGAACCCAACGTACGTTTCGCCATCGTAACTATGAAGTCTACTGGATTAACAAGTGACTAGCCTACGTACAAGCGAGGCTCCGAAGAGCGCATCAAGCTCGAGGGAGCTTTGACGAAACTTCGATCCCAATTACCCGTTCAGAGCAACATCGTCTTTGATGGAGTTGCCCAGAAGAGCGCCCAATCCTGGGATCAGCCCTTACCTGCCGAGCATGGCACCGTCTTCACCAACTACCCTCTCGCAACCAAAGAGCAGATCAATGCCGCCATTGAGTCGGCTTTGGAGGCCAAAAAGGACTGGGAGGAGACTCCATTCGTTGACCGAGCTGCGATTTTTCTCAAGGCTGCCGAGCTGGTGACTGGAAAGTATCGGTACGACTTGATTGCGGCAACCATGTTGGGACAGGGCAAAAACATCTGGCAGGGAGAGATTGATGCCGCTGCGGAGCTGGCCGATTTCTTCCGATTGAACTGCAACTATGCCGCTGAGATCCTTGAGAGACAGCCGACCCGTGGCAGTAATGGAATGTGGAGGTAAGTCGATTTTGATCCCATGAAAAAGAAAGCCAGCTGATTCATGATATAGTCGCTTGGATTACCGACCCCTTGAAGGATTCGTCTACTCCATCTCGCCTTTCAACTTCACTGCCATCGGTGGAAACTTGATCTCCGGACCTGCTCTGATGGGTAACGTGGTGCTGTGGAAGCCCTCGCCTTCCAATGTCTACGCTAGCAGCCTTGTCTACAAGATCCTGCTTGAGGCAGGTCTGCCCCCGAATGTGGTGCAGTTCGTGACCGGAGACCCTGAGACTATCACTGACGTCGCACTCTCCCACCGCGACTTTGCCGGTCTGAATTTCATCGGCTCCTCTGATGTATTCCGCTCCATCTATGGCAAAATCGGCGAAGGAATTGCGAAGAAAACCTACCGTGAGTTCCCTCGCGTGGTTGCTGAGACCAGCGGCAAGAACTTCCACCTTGTCCACCCCTCTGCCGATATCCCAAGTGCCGTCAACCACACTATTCGTGGTTCGTTTGAGTATCAGGGTCAGAAATGCTCTGCTACATCACGGTTGTATCTCCCCGAGTCTCGTGCGGAGGAGTTCTTCACTGCCTTGAAGGCTGGTGTTAAAGAGATTACCATGGGCAATCCGGATAAAGATCTTGAGGCTTTCATGGGTCCTGTGATTCACCGTCGGTCATTTGACAGGATCAAGTCCATCATCGACAAAAGCAACAAGGACTCTTCCCTGAAACTCATTGCCGGTGGTACTTATGACGACTCCGTTGGCTTCTATGTGAACCCAACTGTTTACCAGATTGACGCCCCCGACCACAAGTTGTTCAACGAAGAGATCTTCGGCCCCGTATTGGCGGTCTACGTCTACCCCGACGCCGAGTGGTCTTCCACTTTGAAGAAGGTCGATGAGGCTGGAGGTGGCTTTGCTTTGACTGGCGCTGTCTTTGCCCAGGACCGCCGTGCAATCCGCGAGGCTGAAGATGCTCTTCGCTACTCTGCAGGAAACTTCTATATCAGTGAGCTCCCACAATTTGCTCTAGTTATAGCTGCAGAAACTGACCATTTCTTAAGATTGCAAGACAACGGCTGCTCTCATCGGGCAGCAGTCTTTCGGTGGTTCTCGTGCCAGTGGAACCAACGACAAGGCTGGCAGCTCGGACGTTCTCCGTCGCTTTACCAGCCCTCGTTTGATCAAGGAAGAGTTCTTCCCTCAGCACGGCTTCACATACCCCAGCAACCACTAGCTTATAAGACTACTATAGAAGTTGGCGTGTATCTTTCAGGTTCTTCTGATTGTTTCAAAATGATATTGACATCTTCATTGCCATATATTTCCCCCTTCTGTAGACTAGTAGTTGCAAAGACTAATAGGAAGACTACAATCCAACGCTTGCCTCTATACCTTAACATATTATGTAAACAAACATAGTCCCTCACTTGAGAGAGCCTTTTGTGGGCACAGACCGTGAGGGCGAGGAATATTAGATGTAATGTGTCTATTGATAAAAGATCGGTTAAAGCCTGTGATCGACAAGAACAAACAATCTAGGTACAATTCATCGTTGAATTGGCAAGGGTGAAATGGAATCTGCGAGTGCGTTTTTCAAAGGCGCCTTCCATTATCCAATCAATTGACCAGGAGCAGACTAGAGATCAGTTGCATCATCCTTATCTCACAATGTCGGAATAAGCGTATTAGCTATCCAAAATAGGAAACACATTCCCCACAATGCCAATAATTAGAATTCAACTTTAGACCCAGAATGCGCTCGCCACTCGGGAGGGCTCCCGTTGATCAGCTGAATCTCCCCCCGGCAGATTCCCCGCAAACACCCAACCAGTACTACGCAACTCAAAGAACGGAACTGGAAAAAAGTGCACAGCCAAAAAATAGCATTGATCTCTTGTTAAACTCAAGGGTTACACTACCCATCTCTAAGTGGAAAGCGAAAACACCGCCTTCAGTCTGCGCCTGAACTCCGCCTTAAGTGCATTGTACTCATCAGTCGTGCGCAGCACTGCGTCCCGATTCTCAATCGCCCTCCGCAAAAGATATGCTAGACATTCACCCATGCCGCCCCATGTAGAACACTTATAGACCTCGGGTGTACCATCATTCCCTTTGAGTGCCAGGAGTGAGAAGCTCACTTCATCGGACATTCCATGCAATTGGGCGAAGCCGACAGGCACGGTAGGTAAGCCAGCAGCGAGGCGCTGCTTATGGAGTTGATGGGCAGCCATGACACTTTCCCTGTTGTGACTCGCAAGGAAGAGATTTGTAGAAGGGAAGAGCTTAGAGGTGCCGAATTCGCCGATGGTTTGTTTCAGTGCACCTTGGGAGATAGTGTTGTATGCATGATCTGTGTCTTCCTTTGTGTCGTGAATCAATGAGCGTTCATCCGATGCCATGTAGGCACCGCGGACGAGTTTAAGACCGAGTGTGAAGCCTTCAATTTGGGCCGCAGCTAGGTGCTTGGCTAAGGTGTCGGATGTGCTTTTGAGGTATGCTTGGTAAGAATTGTAGACGAGGGCATAACCATCACGGTTGTATTTGCGCATCAGGTCGAGGGTGACGCGAAGGATGCCCCGTTGAAAGTGCTGAGATTCGCCATCGACGAGGATTCGCACGTTGCGTTCTTTGCATCGGGTGCACATTTCATCCAGTACGTCTAGCATTTGTTGAGGTGGTAGTTCTCCGGCGGAAAATGCTTTGGTGACCGAAGAACCAGCCCCGGTTAGTCTGGTGGGATGTTAGCGCAGATGCATAACAAGGGAATGGGATAGATCATACTTCACAGCGAGGTAATCTCCATCTTCTAATTGCTCAACGGTCTCCATTGTTCCTTTTCTCCATGATTCGATAGTGGCACATCGAGCCAAGGCGGGATCTAACTCCTGGCCCTTTTCCAGAGCAGCAACACCAAGTCCCTGCTCGGTATTGGTCTTGTGGTCAAAGACAGTCTCTTTGGCATAAGTCATAATGACACCTCGGAATCCCATATCCTTCAACTCTTTTATCGTGGCCTTGGTCTCTTTCCCATTCTCTCCGGCACAGAACTGCTCATAGAATGTCTTCTTCAAGATGCCGTGCAAGATAGGATTGCGGTCCACATTCAGCAGGAAGCCTCGGTTAGGCTTGGAGAACATGGAAATTGCCCCTAGTGACGAGCGAAGGAGGAGCGGTTTTGATGAGATGGTAGCAACCAAAAGAGATCTGAGAAGGACTTTTGTGGGAAGAGCGGCGAGTGGTGGGAGCGGTGCAGCAGGTCGTTGAACGCTCTGTGCAGTAGCTTGTAGAGTAGATGTACAGCGCCGCGCCTTTGAACCCTTAGGAGCTTGCCTTGAGAGTCCATTCCATGATGCAGCGAGCACATCACCCACACCATGGCTTGGGCCCTTTCCAGTAACCCAAAGAGTCATTGTTCGATAAGTCAATCAAGTGTGCAAGTTTTCGGCCTTGAAGTCATCCCTATAGCAAGAACGGCGACTTTATTTATCGCTCTGCCCCGCCAGGACATGACCCCGCGATATCAACCATGATTAGTAGATCTCATTATCTTGACTGTACACTACCGGGCCAATGCCCGACTGGCTCTCAAAGCAAGCCTATCAGACTTCGGGGGTTCCGAATGCCGTGTTACCCTTTTTACCCCTCCACTAGCATTATTGAACCCGATAAGGAGATCTAATCCAAGGGTTGCGCATCTAGATGCGTGCTCGGGAGGCCGCCCGGTCGTAGGGTATTGGGCGAACGGAAGGGTCAATCGGCCATGCTGCCGGTAGGCTGGGGTTCTATGTGTCATGACAAGAATGAAATCGGATTAGAAAGGAAGCCGCTACCTCAATATCGTGTGAGTTGTTGGGGGTAAGGCAGAAGGTATTGCTTAGTGGCCCCCGCCTTGGAGACATGGCCGTGTATACTTCGAGACATCCGCGCCGACTCGGTCAAAGGGGTCGATGATAGTCATGCCTTCAATCATCAAAGAAACGTCCCTAAAAATAAGCCTAACGATATCTAGAGAGATTGGAGCAGATGTCTGCCAAGATGCCTGACAAGATACCTATCATGAACACCATTTTACGATCAAGAGAGACCCAGGACTATGATAGTGGAAGAAGCTTCCTACGTTTCAAAATCTGACTGGTCAGCAATTCGAGTCTCGCCCTCTGATTAATATCGATCAAGGTCTCTAGGTCGAAGAACTGATGCTTATTCAAACGGTCACCGATGTCGGGACTCGTATCGGGATTTGACTCCTGTGCCCCCAGGCACACACTTCCCGATCAGGACAACGCCACCGGCCAGTCAGCGGTCACGGGACTTGGCTGATGTCATGAATGAGGCACTCAGGCACCAAGGCACTCAAGCCCCGCCACTATCAGGCACCAAACGGCGCTAAAAAGGTACTGATAAGTCAGCGGGGCAGTTCTCGGGCGGTCCATCTTGCTAATCCATGCGGTTCGGTATCTTTCTGCATCGGATCACCTCATGGATAAGGCCCATGTTCCCACCTTTCCATCAGATGGGTGATCCCGATGGGCCGATATGTGTAAGCGCCGCTGGCCGCTTAAAACCGCCACCTTCCCCTTAGAACTCAATCTCTCTTATCTCTAACTTCTTAACTTCTTCAACTCCTCTACTTCTATTCCCTCTCCCAAATTTCTCATACTCAATCGTAACCATGTCTCTCAAGGCCGGTGACAGCTTCCCCTCGGACGTCGTGTTCTCGTATGTGAAAGTTTTTTTTTTTCTCCCGCGTCCCTTCATCAACCCACCATCATCGTGGCCCCTCCCTGTGATAACAACAATACTAACCCAATTTCCTCTCACAGCTACATCCCCTGGTCTGAGGAGGCTGGATCCATCACTTCCTGCGGTATCCCCATCAACTACAACGCCTCCGCCAAGTGGGCTGACAAGAAGGTCATCCTCTTCGCTCTTCCCGGTTCGTCACCGCTTGTTTTTTTTTCCCCCGAAAATTCCCTTCGCTGACCGCCACTCAACCTGCAGGTGCCTTCACTCCTGTCTGCTCCGCCAACCACGTCCCCGAGTACATCGCTAAGCTCCCCGAGCTCCGCGCCAAGGGTGTCGACCAGGTCGCCGTCCTCGCCTACAACGATGCTTACGTCATGAGCGCCTGGGGCAAGGCCAACGGTGTCACCGGCGACGACATTGTATGTCCACAATCCGTTCTTCTGGATCAATTCACCCGCTAATTGTGTTCTAGCTGTTCCTTTCCGACCCCGAGGCCAAGTTCTCCAAGTCCATTGGCTGGGCTGACGAGGAGGGCCGCACCTACCGCTACGTGATCATCATTGACCACGGCAAGGTCACCTACGCTGCCAAGGAGGTCGCTAAGAACTCCCTCGACCTGTCCTCCGCCGCCAGCGTTCTCAAGCAGCTGTAAGCTTGAACCTTACGAAAGGGATTAGACGGCGCAATGATTCAGGGGTAGAATTAGATACTAGATCGCCCTTGGGCTCTTGTCTGACATAGAGGAATAAATCCTAATGAAGCCATGACAAATACATTCGATACACATCGTAGATATTTCATAGTTCAGTTTACAACGTCCTCGTTAGTGCCAGGGACCCGGGGTTATGATTGGCGGGGCTGGGTGTGGACTGTTGCCGCGGAGGTCAATGCTCAACTGTGCTTTGATCTAACGTCTAACGCTAACGTCTAAATGTCTCCAGATCTCGGATGGTGGAGATCAGCGTAAGCGGCTTTGACGACTCGCAGATTCGTGGGCGAGCATCAGGGATCCGCTGATTGCGGAGTATATTATGGATCCTCGACTCAAGGCCGGATTGGAAGATTGGATCGAATCGAATGAAGTCACTGTTGTACATCGCGAAATGGTATCGAACAATATATATAAAACACGGTAGAACAAAAACACACAGTGGATATCAAGGTAAAGTCGAGTAAAGCAGTAACACCGTCCAAATAGAAAGATCATTTGCGCTTGGGTACCGCTAGCGCCACGGAGCGACTGTTCTTTCTGCGGTCATCTTTCGTGCGCAGGCCTTGGCTCAGGCCGCCGCCCATGCCCCGCGCAAGAGACGCAAAAGGTGAAGATGTTTGCCACAAATCCAAATCTTCTTCATTCTGGCCAACCCCGTTTTTGGGCGTATTCGTACCTCCCGTTCCGCTCCGACTAGCCCGGCCCGAGTTTTCAGGGCCAGCGGGTTCAGATTGGCGCCGGCGGTGACGTTTCTCGTATGAGTAGCTCCGATGGGGGCTTCTAGGGATCTGATGTTTAACATGAGAAGAAGGAGGTTCCCATGCCGGCATGGGTACTTCCACGGAAATGTGCTTAGAGCAGTTACATCCACATCCAGTGGGACAGCATGGGAGGGTATTGGCCAGATCAGCCACATCGAATGGGTGATCGAATTGATCGCCCGATCGGAGGAACCAGCGTCGGTGGCAATCAAAGCAGCATACATGGCCGCAGCTGAGGCAGGGAACCAACATTCCGTTTACCACTTCGCCGCAGATGACGCAGGGAAGCTTGGTAGGCAACGGTTGCCGGGGATTGCAGTTGGGGCAACGGCGGGATGGAGTTACGCTATGATTCTTGGATGGAGAGTCGGCCACGGTAAGGGCTGGTGCAAAGATTGACATCTGAAGAGCATGCCCACAATTAGCGCAGTGGCGTTGGAAGTCGAGGGCTTCGATTCCAAAACCAGCTTCACTAGGCATGGTAGGTTCTGGGAGTGCGGTCGCCTTGGAGCCGTGGCTGTGACTGCTCCAGTACTGACTCGAATGCAATTCTTCCGCATCATCGGCCACGGCTCCGATCTTGAGGACTTCGCTTTGCTGCACAGGAAGCTCCCAAATCGATAAGAGGTCGGCATACGCGCCACGATAGGATCGCCACAGCCATTCTTTGTTTCGGTCGAGAAGAGAGTCTGGTGCCGTCTCATCGCCATCAAATGCACTCTTATTCTTGAAGGTGACCTTAAATCTCGACGTCGGCTTTGTAGCTTTGACGGGCTGATCGCTTTCGGTGTCTGAAACAGGCTACATATTTAGAAGATTAGCAAATAAGATGCCTCGTAAAAAATAAAGAGTTGCAATCCATACCAATTGCATGGTTCCCACGCTCGGGCTCTCGCCAGGATTTGCTTTCTTCTTGGCCAATGCACTTGCTGGAGGTGATGCAGAAGAAGGTCCGAATGTAAATGAGCGAGATAATGAAGATGCTAAGACCGACCCGAATCCAGATCCGCCGCTACGCGGCTGGGATTGCTGTTCAGGGGACGCCGCAATAGACACATTGTGGCTGGTAGCCTTTCGATTAGCTGTGATGCCTCGTGGGCGAGTTGTGATCGGCGGCGTTGTTCCGGTTGAATATGGAGGTGTAGAATCAACGCGCCAGATTTCGCTCGATGATCGCGCCGACGTATGGGGCATAGAAGTAGGATCTCTTGGAACAGATGAAGCAGGAGTTGTGAGCTGCGATTGTGACTGCGACGTTGGTTGCGACCGCGGCTTGTTCTGAACTGTCGACGCAATTGACGATGCTTCAACAGAGAAAGCCCGTTGATCGGAGGAAATATGTTGCATTTGCTCTGGTCGCCCTTCGTGGTTGGCTTCCAGGAGCACACACGAGAGCATTGCAATCATTTGAACATCACCGATGCGCTCAAAATGCTCGAAGAGGGCAGGCACAAGCCAATGGCTGCCGAGGGGATGATCTCCCCAGCGAATGATACTACCAGCTATGTCCTTGTAGGGTCCGACTCCAAGAACTTGGCTCGAATCCATGCCTTCTTCTTTCAACAGATGTTTCGGTCCCATCATCGGCTGAGGTGGAGAGCCGGGTTTCTTTCGAACATGCAGAATAAGTTTGATAAGGCCCCATATTTGAGCCAACTCGTAACATCCAGCGTCGATGGCAACGGCGGCATTATGAGCGCAAACATCAGTTCCTTTCCCGCAGATGCGATATTTGCTGGCAAGATCACGCTTCACCGGTAGCATGTCACTCAAGTCATGAATAGAAACCACGTTTTTTGTGGTATCGGCTGATTTAGCCGTGGCAGCCCCGGCAGTCGAACGCTGAGAATGATCCGTAGACCGGGGGCGATAGATGCCGATACTACCAGCGCTACGCCACGTCTGCGGCGGCTGGAATCGAGCCGGTAGCCCGGAGAGAATATCGGCAGACGAACCTGAAGAGCTGGAAGTCTCGGAGTACGAATCGTCAGAGTAATCGGATGCGCCGTCATCTGTGCTCGTGATTGTACCGGTCATGCGCGGTCCTGGGGAGCTGGTCTGCAGGCGCCCGAAGCCTTCAAAGACCTTGTCGCTTCTCGACAATCTGCTCATTTCTTTGAATCCGATATTGTCGAAGAGAGCTGTAGACTTGTCCTTCTTCGGCGGGAAGAAGCACACCAAACGGCCGTCGTTTGCCCACAGCGCACCGCATCCTTTGGCCACGGGCACCATCACATTGGCATTGACTGGTCGGAGCAGCTCGGAGCTCATTCCCAACTCTTGACTCTGGGTCATACCAACTTCATCTTCGTCACTTGACTCGCCCTCGATATCACCGTTGCCCGGTGATTTGACATGATCGCCAGTTTCGCCTAGAATCCACGCAATGCTATCCTCCAGAGTGCTTTCACCTAGTAGGTAGCGCACAACACCTTCTAAGCAGCCACGTTTCCGGGACATATAAGTTTCGGCAATTGTGCGAAGTTCGGCAGTTATTTTCGCAGTCAGATCATCGGTGACAGCCGCTGTCTTCTGAAACGAGAATGTCGGAATCGAGGTCTTCGGATAGCTAACGGGGAACTTGATGTCCACCTTCAGGAACAATGAAGTACCTTCTGCACCCCAAGGTCCGTTCAAAGATATCGATATTTTCCGCTGCCGCACGTCAACCGAGTCGAAAACAACCTTGGTGAACTTATCGCCAACGTGACTGATTTCATCCCCCAGGGTTTCAATATCCCAGCCGGAGATCTTTACGCCCCGCATCCAGGAGATTGGATTGGTATCGGCTCTCAGGTTTGACCGGGGTTGCATGCCCATGCCATTCTCCTGATGACCGCTCTTGGTCCAGGCGCGAGCATGGGGAACCGAAATAGCATTCATCCCTGGCCCGCCGGGGTAATTAGTGCTTGGTTTGAGGCGGTTGACCGAAGACACAGACTCAATGTCCTCCAGGTCTAAGTCAGAGTTCACATCTCTAAAGCTTCGATAGACAGCACCCAGGCGAGTCACAGTGCGAGTAGAGATGTAAGACTTTCCCTTTTCGTAACCAACGCCCTCCAAGATTTGTGGGTCCACTCGATGCAGACGAAGTTCTCTGTCAGTTCCCCATGTCACTAACTGGAAGTCCCGGTGGTCGACTCCGTCATCGATCCCTCCGCGTGCTCTCCAAAGGAACTCTTTTACTTGACCTTTGTGGCCAGGGAAACTGTGAACTAAAGGCAGGTCATCATCAGGGTTGGAGCCATCGCCAGCTCTTCGGCTATAGAGATGTAAATCGCTGTTCCCTCTCTGTGGCATGGCCAACACTCCCCATCCAAAGGGCGTGTTTCTGGCTCGCCAAACGGGAAATGGTGTTCGGATCAGTTTCTCGGGAATTTCGGTGTCAGAAGTATAATCCCAGAATTTTATGGTCTTGTCGAGCGAACAGGTTGCCACGGCGCCTCGTCGGACACGGTTCCAATCAACACCATAGATCTTCGTGTCGTGAGCTTCAATAGATCGAATTGGATACGCGCCCATGCGGTCATCCCAGATCCGAAGAAAGCGGTCATGCGAACTAGCAACAACATGAGGATCTTGTCGATTCCACTTAACCTGGGTTGCACCGGTAAACCAGTCGGAGAATGAAATCACCGGGCGTGAGGGCGTACGCAAATCCCAGCAGTGCACGAAGCTGTCCACGGCGCAAGTTGCAAGAATATCGGGATGAAATGCGTTGAAATTGATATCGGTAATTGCTCGCGAGTGGGCATGCAGCACGAATTCAATGGAGTTCTGCCATGTCTTCATGGCCAGATTCCACACTAGCGCTTTCTGGTTGGATGTGCTTACAACCCAGTAGTCGCGTGCCGCGAATGGCGACCATTGCACATCCGCCACCTCCCATGGCGTATGGTGAGGGAGATAACGAGGTGGAGAATATGGGGAATCCAAGTCGATGACATGGAGACCTTCCTTCGATGCCAGCACCACATCTCGTCCACACGGCGATATGGACATCGACCCGACCGGTTGTTCCACATGGAAAGAGCTGTCTTCATCGAACGTCGGGCTTTCGAAGGCCGACGTCAGCGGCCGGGGTCCCATGGAGCTCGACATATTGACGGTGATGGCCTCACTGGGCCAATCGGGGCCTTGGCGGAAGTCGTAAAGTTAAAAACTCATGCAATATATGGGGGCTGGTGTATAGCGAATGCGCCCATGGTGAGTTTCGTCCGCGATAGGGTCCCTGCAGGGTATCAGCTCGTCGCGTGCCGGAGGGGGAGCTGCGATAACGCGGAGAGCAATGGCTGTGGCGGTGCACCTTGATGTGGCTGGTTGATGAGGCGCAGATCACGTGAGACGTACGGACGGCGGCAGAGCCCCGCGATGCAAGTGCCCCTCGGCAAGTTGCGTCGATTGCCGGCTGCTTCGTCTTCAAATTTACCTCCACGTTCGCTGTAAGGGTCTTTGGAATTGACGCTGGTGCTCGTCTTTCCTGCCACATTTCTCTCAGTCCTTCGACGCCGATCCATACCCACCGACTATACACCGATAAGCAATCGATATGGCCTTGCCAAAACGCATTATCAAGGAGACGGAGCGCCTCATGGCGGAACCGTAAGAGACCATACCTGTCACCGAGTTGAGCCTTTGCTAATAATGGGTTTCGCGACGCGTAGGGTCCCCGGTATCAATGCTGTTCCCCATGAAGATAATCTGCGGTATTTCGATGTCTCGATTCATGGCCCCGCTCAATCCCCATACGAGGGTATGCACTATCTCAAAAGTCTCACTTTTGTCCTAAATAACCAACACTCTGCACACTAGGTGGAATCTTCCGTCTTGAGCTCTTTCTTCCCGACGATTATCCCATGACACCTCCCAAGATCCGCTTCTTGACCAAGATCTATCACCCCAACATCGATCGCCTTGGCCGTATTTGCCTGGATGTCCTGAAGAGTAATACAAAATAGCCTTTGAGATATATTTGCACGTCTAACATCGCATCAGATAACTGGTCTCCCGCCCTCCAGATCCGCACTATCCTGCTTTCAATCCAAGCCCTCCTTGGAGCGCCGAACCCCGATGACCCTCTTGCCAATGATGTCGCTCAGCGCTGGAAGGACGACGAGCCTGCCGCGATTCAGACCGCCAAGGAGTGGACCCGGACACATGCCATGACCTGAGTATGACTAAATATGATGTGACCATGAGAAAAAGAGAGAGACGGCCATTCGATAAGTTGAGGCCCTTGGGGCAGGCGGACTTCTTTTGTTTTTGAGCGTGAAACCAACTACGCGACATTCATCCATTTTGATTGCAATGGCTTATGCAGACTCGGAGAACTTTGCATAGACTCCGCTGTGTTATCTGAAGTTATATCATTGTGACCTGCCTTTGGCGAGGTATCAGCTGCTGAGATACATTTTTGGTCTACTTTTTGGCCTTTAGAAGATCAATGCTCGACATCTATAAAGCCTTTGAGTTGATTAGAAAGTCTGTTTTGTTCTGTAGGTGGAATGGAAACGTTCATTTTCCAATGGACAATTGACAATCAAGTGTTTCATTTTTAGCAAAGATGGGACGAAAAATCAAAAGATACAAAAGGTAAAGCTTGATCATGAATGAATGAAACTTTCAAGCATGTAAACCATAAGTCAGTGTAGCGAGCATGTGTTTCTAGAGCGTCATGAGAAGAAACATAAGAATTAGATGCTCATCATACACCTTTAGCCGAGGGTCACTGGTAAAATGAGCTATTAAAGGCTGGTAAAGCTAGTACGTGGTCCGATATCCTTTACCTTTTGCTCTGGTGGCTTTATCTGGGGCTTCTCCGCGGCCAGACCCTCTTCATCTGGCCAAATCTAGTGAAATGTCGGTCAGTAAGCCAAAGTCTTCGGGCTTCGGGCTTCAAGGAAACGTACGTAGATCCTAGCGAACATAAATGCGGCCACGGGCACTTTGATCAAGTAAGAGCAGCATATAACAGGAGGTATTGCATCTGGGTGCTGGGTTGCTTACATGATGAATTGGGTCGGCTATATGGAAAAAAGAAACGAGTTGAAGTTTGCCAGGAGAAACAAGGTTGTCAACCGCATGGCCTCTTCCGTGTCTGCGAAGCGTCCAAGGCAGGCCGTGGTAAAGCTGCAACAAAAGTGATGTAACTTAATTCATAAAACATCATTCTTCAGGGTTCCGGCTCTGTTCAAAAGGATTATTCCAACTGAAGGTGATTCTGACAAGGCAGAAGAATAGCATTTGAGCGCATGTTCTGACACTCAGGTAGGCTTCCTAATCAACCATGATCCGTTCATCCTTTTGGGGTCTGACTTGACTATCCGGTACATGTCGAAAGTAGATCAGAAACTCAGTAATCTTGAGCTTAAAGTTAGTGAGACTTGTCTTCCATCAAAGGATATCTAGATTGACAGATTTCGATTGACTAAACTGTAAGATAGATGAAGCAGAAAGTGCTTACAACCAGAGGATGTCGCGAACATCGGCGGAACTCGTAGCCACGCAAATCATATATTGAGGGAATAGCTCTGGATATCCTAAGTAGACTGGCTTCCTATCGAACTATGACCCGTCTATGATGTCTCTTTCAAGTTAGAACTTAACCCTTTTGGTATGCTGAGTGTAAACCGGCAAAATAGTATAAGTTTCTGCAGATTTGAAAACTTGGATCTCTCACGATAATAGCTTTGGTCTCTGTGAGTCGAAAGGTTTAAATTGAATCAGGAAAAGATGGAGAAATTATGAAGTTCTCGTCCACGACCAGAAAATTAATCATCATATGTCCCAAAGAGTACTAGTGTCACGATAAGCCCCTCCGAGTCAAATCATGTGGTGATAGTCCGCAAAGGGCAGAGCGGATCACGTGTCGCACTTTAGCGAGGCGCACCACAATTGGACCCAGCAACGAGACCATCGCGATCCCCGATTTTCGAACATCACCCAACGCCAATCGACACCTCGTCAGCGCATCACCCGTCAAGATGCGTACCTACGACGACTCCTTCAGCGGCCAGAAGATCTACCCTGGCAAGGTGCGTTCTCCATCCCCGTCGATTTACGTGTGCGAGAGGAGGATTTGTGCGGAATCAACGACATCATCACCACATCGCGATTCAACCACTACCTACCCTCTCGACACGTCCCCACGATCGCTTGGAATATTTGCGCACACAACACTTTGTTTTGAATGACTCGGGTGCTAATTTTGTCTTTTTTGGTGTCAATAGGGTAAGCTGTACATCCGTGGCGACAGCAAGATCTTCCGCTTCCAAAATGGAAAGTCCGAGTCGCTCTTCCTTCAGCGCAAGAACCCTCGCCGGATAGCTTGGACTGTCCTCTACCGTCGCCAGCACCGCAAGGGTATCTCTGAGGTCGGTCACGCGTTGCTCCCTTGAATTTTGATGGATTGTGTGGTGGGGGAATACCAAGGCTGCCTTTTCGGGTTCGAATGGCCTTCAACGACACTTCGATACTCGGAAAGGTGGAATAAGAGGATGAACCAAGATGCCACACAAGGAATGACGTATCTTTTAAGACGGATTGCTGACTACGTTTGGGATTTACAGGAAGTTGCCAAGAAGCGTACCCGCCGTGTTGTGAAGCACCAGCGTGCTATCGTTGGTGCCTCCCTTGAGCAGATCAAGGAGCGCCGTGCCGTCCGCCCCGAGGCTCGTGAGGCCGCCCGCAAGCAGGCCATCAAGGACGCCAAGGACAAGAAGTCCGTCAACGAGGCCAAGAAGAAGGCCGAGAAGGCCAAGAACGCCGCCAAGGGTGGTGCTAAGCCCATCTCCAAGCAGGGTGCTAAGGGCTCCGCCCCCAAGGTCGCCGCCAAGTCCCGCTAAATTCGATATCTGGTTGGGAATTGAGGTGTTTGTGTGACGGTTGCGATATGATGGAACTTACGGGGACCGGCCTCGGGTCATTAACTTGTTTCTGAAACACTTTTATGCAATACAATGCGATGCAGAAAAAATGGGAACAAAGGAATCAACAAAATACCTCTACGCATGAATTTGTCTCTCTTCTCTGCCTTGGGCAACTAATTGGCAACTACCATAAGCCGTTGAGTATTTCTCAGTGAAGTTCTTATCTTTCCGTGTGGACTGGACTATGGACATCGCCTGGGTATGCTTATACCATAGGCCTTCCACGTGCGATATACGCAAAGTATATCAATCCCGAACTACGTCTTTCAACATCTTGGCCTGTAGCCTTGATTGAAGAATTCTACGTGGGTAGTGAACTTGTAATGGTAATTGTGGCAGAATATTTGTACTAGTTGGATTGCGGTACGTCTATGCATCCTCTTAGCCGTCCTCCTAATTATCGACCATAAAGACCGAAGATTGAATGCTGTCTTGCGACCACAAAATGAAACAAAATGAAACGCTTATGATACAAACAATGGTCCTTAGAACCGAAGTGCCCAGCTCAAGATGCCCCCATCTCTCGAGATCGCCGTCAGCCTGGCACAGCTGCGACCAATGGTAAAGTGCTTAGTCGATATCAGGATTGCTTCTGATGTCACCATGCACGGCGCAGTTCACCAGCATAAAGGGCAAATTCTATGATTTTTCCACATGTATGACTGTGTCTTGCAAAGAGACACATATCCAGATCATCCGAATGACCAGAACGCCAGACCGACCGGTCAAACAACCGGATCAAAAAAAAAAAACAGAAACAAATATAATACTAGAAGCCCGATTCAATAGTAGTGAGCCATCTCCAAACCAGCACGCTTGAAGCCACACTTGACATAGAAGCCCTCGTTGGCCTCGGAGCAGTCGAGAATGCTCTGCAAATAATCAGCACATGCACTAGAAGATCCCAAGCACAGGACAGAAACATACCTTATAGCAGCCAACCTGAGCAGCGACGTAATCCAACGCCTGAATAATGCGCAATCCCAGCTTCTTGCCCTGCTGGTTCTTCTCAACGGCAATATCCTCAATGTGCCCAACCATGCCAAGTGAGTGAATAAACTTGCGCTCGACAATCAAAGACCCGGTGCCAACGACACGGTCCTCGCCGTCGCACACAACGAGTAGGTAGTACTCGTCGTTACGGGAGCGAATCCAGTCGAAGCGCTTGTTCCATGCCTCCTCGCTGATATCGCCGACGGTCGTCAGCACCCGCAGAACGTCCAGGTAGCCTCGGTTGAAATCAGAGCGCAGGATCGGGCGGATGGTGTAGTCTGTTGGCAGGACGGAGATGATTTCGGGGGAGATGAGGGAGGCGGGGAAGAGGGGGCCGTCTTCAAGGTCAATGGAGGTGACTGTGGAGTTCATAATGGGCTTGGTGTCGATAGCAGCTGTAGAGATGGCGGGGGCGGCCATTGTGTAATGTTGATTTGAGGGGTGAGGGTTGAAGAGAGAGAGTAGCTTTCCGTGTTGATGAGGGGGCGAATGGCGGGGTTCGAGCGCAAGGGAGATCAACGAGTGTGATGGTCTTAAAGTATCTTAATAAGGTCTGAAGATTGAGGATTGAGGAGGATGAACTTGAGATTGAGCCAGGGCGAAAGGAAGTAATTGAAAGGAGAAAAAACGATCGGATCAACAAGTGCGGTCCACGGTTCCGCCAGGTGAGACACCCCTGATTTCTGCGTTGACTATTTATACGCCCTCCATGCCAGTGTGCCCAGGCGGGTTAGGGTGGATTCTTGCGTCGCATATTCTTGTTCTTCTGCAAAAAGAAAATACAATAATGAACTACTTCATATCGGTATCTCCGATCTCTACAAGCCTCGTTGTTAGGGCCGACCGGGGGTGCTATTTATAACGTGGCCAAAAATAGCCCCGCTACGAGGGATCCGCAGAGCCAGCATAATACAAAGATGGTTTCAGTATACAGACCCTATCGGGACTTGTCTATAGTAGCACAGGGGAGACAGCATTGCTGCTCCATTCATTTGAACTCCTTGGGAGCAAGCATCAGCTCGGGGCGGACGTACTTGTCGAACTCCTCGGAGCTCAGAGCCTTGAGCTCCATAGCGCTCTCCTTCAGGGTGAGGCCCTTCTTGTGGGCGTTCTTGGCCACCTTGGAGGCCATGTCGTAGCCAATGACGGGGTTCAGGCAGGTCACGAGCATCAGACTAAGTAGCGGGTTAGCGTTTTGCCATTAATCAAGGGGGGAAGGGGGAGAAACTAGATCCATACCTTTCGTGCAGAAGAGTGTTGATACGCTCCTCGTTAGCCTGCAGGCCGTCCACAAGGTGGCTACGGAAGCTGTCCATGCCGTCAGACAGGATGCGCACACTGTGGAGCAGGTTGCGGATCATGACGGGCTTGAAGACGTTCAGCTCGAATTGGCCGTTCATGCCACCAATGGTAGCGGCGACGTGGTTACCCATAACCTGGGCGCAGACCATGGTGAGGGACTCGCACTGGGTGGGGTTAACCTTGCCAGGCATGATGGAAGAACCGGGCTCGTTCTCGGGGAGACTCAGCTCGCCGAGACCGCAGCGGGGACCAGAGCCGAGGTAGCGGACATCTTGAGCGATCTTGAAGAGAGAGCCGGCAAGGGTGTTCAGGGAGCCGGAGGCCTCGACAATGGAGTCGTGAGCGGCTAGAACCTCGAACTTGTTGGGTGCGGTCTTGAACTCGGTGCCGGTCATCTTGGAGATCTCGGCGGCAACGGCCTCGTCGAAGCCCTTGAAGGTGTTCAGACCGGTACCGACGGCGGTACCACCCTGGGCGAGGAAGCGCAGGTGGGGGATGCTGGCCTCGACGCGCTCGACGTTGCGGTCAAGCTGGGCGACGTATCCGGAGAACTCCTGGCCCAGAGTGAGGGGAGTGGCATCCTGCAAGTGGGTACGGCCAATCTTAATAATGTGGTCGAACTTCTCGACCTTCTCCTGCAGGGCGTTGCGGAGGGCCTTGAGGGAGGGCAGGAGGGTGTTCTCGAGCTCGACAACGGCGGCAATGTGCATGACGGTGGGGAAGGAGTCGTTGGAGGAGGCCGACATGTTAACGTGGTCGTTAGGGTGAACGGGCTTCTTGGTGCCCATGGTGCCGCCCAGGATCTCAATGGCGCGGTTGGAGATGACCTCGTTCGAGTTCATGTTGGACTGGGTACCAGAGCCGGTCTGCCAGACGACCAGAGGGAAGTGGTCCAACAGCTTACCCTCGGCGACCTCGGCGGCGGCCTGCTTGATGGCCTCGCCAACCTTGGGATCTAGTTCGTGTTAATAACCCGGGCTCGTTCCAAGGTTTCAAGCCAATCCACCACATACCAAGACCGTACTTCATGTTGACGGTAGCGGCAGCACCCTTGAGGATACCGAAAGCCTTGACGACAGGGGCGGGCATGCGGTCCTGGGGCTGGTTGATGTTGAAGTTACCCAAGGAGCTATTCCCAACACTGTATCAGCTTTCTGCACTTGCATTCCATCGCAATCGAATGATATTGTCTGGTCGTCTTACCGCTGGGTCTGGGCACCCCAGTACTTGTCTCCAGGGACCTAGACACAAAGGCCTCAGTCAGCTTCTGCGGATAATATAGCGGGGATTCCGGCGACTTCACTCACCTGGATTTCGCCGAAGGCATCGCTCTCAGTGCGGGGAGCGGAAGACTAGACCGTCGAGCATTAGCGGTGTCTCCAGGCGCAAACAGCGACTCCTCCTACCATGTTGACGGTTGTGCTGAAGGCTCTCTTGTTCAGAGTCTGAAGGCGGGGGAACTGTCCGATCTGGCGGTTGGAGCTAAGAGCACGGGTAGCAGCCGGAGAGCGAGCAGCAACCGACAGAAGGCTGCGGGCTGCGGGGTTGGCAGCTCTGGCCGCATGTGTCAAGGTAGCCATAGAGCGCACCGCGGCTCGGGAGGTAGCAGAGTTCATGATTGCAATATGTGATGTTGAACTACCCAGAAAATGATAGGTAGGTGCCAATTGGCTTCACTCGCGATGGGTCAAGGGGGTCAAGAGCAGACTGTCTCCCTTAAAAAAACAAAAAACGAAAGTCGACTCCGACTCGCAATGCCGAATCTTCCCGGTATCGGCATTACATAATTACGCGGGCCGTCCAAGTGGAACACTGGATATTATTGGTAATTAACTGTATTGTATGGTAACCCGCTCTTATACATTCATCCCTGGAGCAACTCGCGCTTCAACGCTTCGACCACTCTCTCCCTATGCAGTCGCCCACTATGCAGGATTCCCTCCAAGGATGGGAAAGTATGTGGTGTGCCCTCATATCGATACAGCTCCACAACATTTCCTGCCGCTTCGAGCTTGGCCGCATAGACTTCTCCCTCGTCGCGGAGAGGATCCAGCTCTGCCGTTGAGATCAACGCAGGGGCCAAGTCCTGGAAATTGGGGGCGAGCATCGGTGATATTTTCCAGTCCTGAAGCAGTCAGCTTAGCGTTTCAATATGCCAACAGTTTCCACCACTTACCTCTTCTGAGGCTGCTGGTCGGGGCACTCCCAGAAAGTGCTTATGGAAGTATGCCATACGAGCCATAGGAAGTGCCGGAGTAAACTCCATCTCTCGATATGAATCGTAGGGACAACTCTCGCGGTCAAACTTGCCATCTGGGGTAAAGGCACCGTGCAGGTCACACACTGGCACACTCAAGACCTGTAGGCGTAGAGGTATCTGCGCGTCACGACAGAGATGACTGACAACGGCAGCGAGATGGCCTCCAGCTGATGGTCCGCCCACGGCGAATCGGTCTGGATCGATATTGAATTCTTCTGCTTTCTGGGAGCGGATCTAGATGGACCCGGTCAGTTATACTGTAATCCTCTGACAGGCCTTCAAATGCATACCCAATTGAAAGCTGTCCAGCAGTCATCTACGGGAATAGGAAAACGATGCTCGGGCGACAGTCGGTAATCGACATCGAAAACAACCATTTCTCCATCAAGAGCGTGGACAAGTCTTTTGCAGTAATCATGGTCGGTGTTGAGCCCACCAAACACCCATCCGCCGCCGTGGAAATTGACATAGGCTGCTCTCTTCAGAGGCTGACCCTGATCGTCGTTTTTTAATGCTGGCTCGAAAATGCGGATAGTGATCTCTCCTCCTTTAACAGGACACTGCTGTTCCGTAAGGCGAAAGACATTGGGCCCTGGTTCACTACCGTAGAAGACCGTGTACCTTGCCGGATCCTGACGATAGTCCTCTATCGGCACTTCGTGAGTATGCAGACGTCCAACATTGTACTTGTTGTAGTACTCGACGTAAACGGGGTCAAATCGGGGCAGAAGCTCCGCTGGTATGCTATTATGGAGCGGTTGTTGGATTTCCTGGGCACGAAACGCGTGCAAGGCAGAATCACCATGATCGCACTTTTGGTGGGCCATTTTGATTGGAACTACTGAGCTTATGGGCATATGAAAGTGCTTCAAGGTTGTTCCAATCGCACACGTGTAAGAAACCATGAGGAAGGATCGGGCTTGGGCCATGTTTATAAGACTGATTGGGTACTCCTCACCGTCACGCAAAGCGGGGTTGTTGATCTCGATTACCTTTCTCAATTTCTATTCCTTTCGATACAACAGCAGTATCCAAATACTCATGCGGAGCCTGTCAGCATTGACTGGGTTTAATAGTCGCATTCTCTAGACTTTCTCTCTGAAAGATGGGACGTGGGGTCGTCAGTCCTGGCATCTATATATTTCCCGCCGCTTTAGATCTACGCCTTTCCAGGTTGGAACTTTGACACGCATCAACTTATTCTTTTGCATCATGTTTGCACAGCAAAGACTCAAAAAAGGTCTCATGATCTAGATCAGAAGAGGATAACGTGGCCAGGCTATCTTCCCATCATGAAAAGAGCCAGTCAGCCGGCCTCCGATGACGTTCTACTCTGAAGTTTTAGGTTTACTGGCCCCAGGACCAAGACCTGGGGTCGAACTCTTCAAAATTTCTCACCTACCCAGTCCATTCACCAAGGCTATTGGCGGTACAATTGATCTTGTGACAACCCAAAAGCGAAATGGCATGTCGAAAGCAAGAAAGAGCTGGGGAACCGGCATTAAGCGGAACTTCCCGCGGGGCAAAAAAAAAGAGGACGGCGATATCGGTTGACTCAGCGTTGACCGACTCCGATTTTGTTACATACTCGCAATTTCCTCCGATTCCCTCCCCAAGGGAATTGACTGAACGATTCGAATCTTTCATTGCGCCGATATAATTCACCATGGAATCGGTTCCTACTCGTCTTAATGTGGCTCCCGTCCCGCCGGACGAGATCTTCGCCTTGAACGGTGCCTACTTCGCCGATACCTTCCCCCAGAAAGTCAGCCTCGGCGTTGGCGTCTACCGCACAGATGATGGCAAGCCGTGGCCGCTCCCGGTTGTCCAGAAGGCCGAGAAGGAACTCGAGAAGGACAACGACCTCATGCGCCACGAATACACTGCCATTGAGGGCGACGTTCCGTTCCTGAAGATTGCGCGGGACCTGATGTTTGGCTTCGAGGGCGAGGGCAAGGACGAGGAGGCCAAGGCCCGTGTTGCCTCTGTTCAGACCGTCGCTGGCACCGGTGCCAACCATCTGGGCGCCCTCTTCCTGGCCCATCACTACAAGCCTCGCACTGTCTGGCTGTCCAACCCCTCGTGGGCGAACCACATGACCATTTGGGAGCTGGCCGGCGTTCCCCGCAAGACATACCCCTACTACCACGCCGCAACCCGGTCCTTCGACTTCGAGGGCATGATGTCGACCCTCGAGTCCGAGGCCCAGGAAGGCGACGCCGTCCTTCTGCACGCCTGCGCACACAACCCTACCGGTCTGGACCCGAACAAGGAGCAATGGATCGCTATCGCAGACCTCTGCGAGCGCAAGAAGCTTTTCCCATTCTTCGACTCAGCCTACCAGGGCTTCGCCTCCGGTTCGGTCGAGGAAGACGCCTGGGCGGTTCGCTACTTCTTCAACACCAAGCCCGATATGGAAATGTGTGTTGCTCAGAGTTTCTCCAAGAATTTTGGGCTGTACGGCCAGCGCGTTGGTGCCTACCACTACGTTCTTAACCGCAAGTCTACATCCATCCGTGATGTTGTCGTCAACAACCTCTGCCACTTGATCCGCGGCGAGTTCTCCATGGGCCCGCGTATCGGATGCAGTATCGTTAAGAAGATTATGAACAGCCCGGAGCTGGTTGCCGATTGGCACCAGGATTTGGAAGTTATGAGTTCGCGCATCAAGTCTATGCGCCAAGCTTTGTATGATGAGTTGGTTCGCCTTCAGACTCCTGGCACCTGGGAGCACATTATTGAGCAGGTGAGCTTGATTTCGTTGTTTAATACTGTTAATACACTGCTAATCAAATTTACAGAACGGCATGTTCTCCTACACTGGCCTTACCCCCAAGCAGGTCTACGCTCTCAAGGACAAGTACCACATTTACCTACTCAAGTCCGGCCGGGCCTCCATCAGCGGCTGTAAGTAACCCGAATCTATAACCCCGGAGCACTATACTGACACAGTGTACAGTGAGCGAGAAGAACGTCAATTACGTGGCGCAGGCCATTGATGACGTTATTCGCAACGTGCTTTAAGTACATACATTGGACATAGATCAGGCTGCAGTCTGCATATAAGCTTGACTTTTTCGGCATTTTCGATTTACATTAGGCGGAATATTTGACCTTTTAACGACTGTTGATGATAGACTTCATAGAGAATGACAGCCTGGGGCTTGACCTCGCTACATACCACTCATATTTGGATAAATTATGGGGAATCTCGGAAGCGTATTGAAAAATCCAGTGCATTAAGAAAGCTATCTACTGTACAAAAAGCAGCAAGGCGGCGAGCGTTGCAATTCATAACCCAAACCCCTGCCTGTAGAAGAGCACCGAACTCGGTGGACGTGAAACTGTACTGGATATAGTCGTCAGCGCGCCGGACCGCTCGATAGAAGATGGCGCAATGGTCGATATGCTGAAATTTGATAGATCAAAAGCTACTAGAGAGGGACTTCGTTAAAGTCGCTTTCTCCCTCTTTGCCTTTGCTCTTGGCGCTTTGGTCATCTGATTGTGCGGAGCCTCCTTCAGGCATGTGTTGAGGGAGTGTAGTCTCTTTTAGTTCCTCTCTCTTGCTCTCTGGTTCGTCTTCCGGTTCCTCGGCCTTCTCTTCTGGCTCAGGCGCGGGTTCCGTATGGCCGTTCGTCTGAGCAGGTTCCTCTTCCGCATCGGTCTCGTCCTTAGGTGGCGGCGGAGGGGGCACCTCGTCTTCATCTTCCGAATCAACTTCTTCTGTCTGTGCTTGCGGTTGGGCGCTGGTCTCATCCCCAGGGAAAGGCGTCAGAGGCGGCTCTTCGAGAATCTGGCTCTGCCGAGGAGGAGACTGAGGTTGTTCACTAGGCCGGCTCTGGTTGGCGAGTGTTGCCGTGGACATTGTGGAGGTAGTTCTTTGGTGGGAAGAGCCGTGAATCGTGCTGAGATGGCGGGCCTTGGGGTCTGCACCGAGATAGTAACCGCGCACACCGACAATCGTGCCCTCAGACTCGCAAGCGTCCACCCACTCCGGAACGACGACCGGAATATTCATCTCAACGGCCTTCTCCCACAGCGAGCCCCGACCCTCGGTGCAAACAAAGTGTGTAGTATCAATCCGAACCGAGTCGATCAACTTGCCGCCAATGCGTTCCAAAGCAACACCCAAAGCCTCCTTGCGCTGCGGATCGAGAACTCCAGGTGTAACAGTAATACCGGACAGGTCCGTCATTTTGTGTGTCCGACACGTCAGCTTCTCGGACTGGTACGTACCAGCCGTTGTGCGCAATACCAGGTGGAAAGTGTATTCAGAGTGAATCGCCAGGCCGGAAATCTTGGTACTGCGCGTCTCCAGAGGACGGGGTATCGAGCCCGCCTTGGAGCCATTACGGTAGAGGGAGAGTGATTTCAGGGATGCAGTTGCCAGGTCGATTGGGTCCCACTCGAGGACCAGAGAAGTCTGGGTAGCATTGCGCAGGCGAAGAATAGGCGGCGACGGGGTCTTGACTCCGTAGGTATTCAAGATGCGCTTCTGGAGGGACTGGAAGGCAGATGCGTTGGCGGTCTCAGCGGCATGGTTGCGCGCAACGGTGATGTCGACGATGCTGCCGGAGGAGATGTTGTTAGGGAGGAGAACGGAGGGGAATTCGATCTGTATCCATCTCAGTCAGCATGTCATTGGTACTGGGGATCTGGCGCAACGGTCGCAGGCCACGATTCCCCATGTTTGGGTTTCAGGCAGGGGGTTGAAGCTTACGAGGCGGTTATCCTGGGTCAGGAGCACGGCGACACCGGCGTCTACCTTGCCGACAGTCAAGGAGACCAGCATGGTGGAGGGATTTTGAGTGGGGGTACAGTGGTAGATGTTGATGGGGAAGTGGTTGTCAGGTACGGAGTACGGAGTACGGGTGTTGATTCCGCCAGATCGGCACTTAGCGAGGCTTGAGGCGGGAACTGAAGGTACATTCTATATCTACTCCAACAAAGAACGTCTTCTACTTTTTAAAGTGAGAGTGTGATAACCGTGAGAATAATATACATTTCTAGTTCCAAGTAGAGGTGCAAACACTAGACGTAGGATAGTCTCCGCCACAAAAACGCCGTGCAATGCTGGTCCTCCATAATGTACAGGTAGAGAATCATTATATAGTACAGAAGAAGGTTGTACATGTCAAGCCCTTTCCATTCCAGGAGGAGCTTCGGATCTCGGATATGGATATGCAATCTGGTTATGCATTGCGCGTTGTTTTAACAAGCCCTCCAAGACCAAGCGTGCATCGTGTTGGACCGTCTCGAAGCTCTGCTTGACGAATGACGGGCGGATGATGAGATCCACCGAGCCGGTGAGAGGATCCCGTGGAAGCCATGAGTAGGACGAGGGGAGTGGTCTCCCTAAACGATCAAAGCCTTTTTCTTTCAAGGCTAGCTCGAACGCGAGGCGTGCCTGTCGAGCGCATAAAGAGCGAACCACTCGCTTGAGCTGCGTGATGTGGGACACAGATACTCTCCACCATAGCGTATCACGGTCTCGACCCTTCCAGCTGTGTGCGATCTTCGGGGCAATCGGATGGACTGGGGATCCCATGTAGCGTGCGGCAATCGGAGGAATAACATGTTTGGAACTGTATAACAAGCTCAAATTCTTAGTTGAAGCGGTCAACTTCATGGCGTGGTCTTAACGGTGGCAGAGGAGCGCCGAACGGAAGTAACAAATATTGGGATAGGAGAAACAAATCGGAACCATAGCGAGTTATAGAGAGGGTTTGTCGAGGATATTGTGAGAGCTGCGGAGTTTATATGCTCAGGATGATCGATGGGGGTCGCGTGCTCATCTGCCAGAGCGACGGACTTAGAGATCGTGAGGGAAGAAGTGAAGGAAAATTGTATACCGTAGTTTCCAATGATGCAGTGGCAGCTCTGCACCTCGACAGCTGCTGAAGCTCAGTTTCATCTCCCGATCTTCATCGCGTCCTCTTTTTCTGCCGACCCAAACCGGGCGGTGGCAGCCTCACTAATCAGGCACGAAATTGCCACACAATGCCGCTTTGTGCCTGATTAGGTCAGTGCAGATTTGAATGACACAGCCTCTGATCCCCCACTTCGCTCTTCCTTCTACCAAGACACCCGGGGACTTACCCATTTTTTTTTTCTTTCTCTCTTTTTTTGAGGAGAAACATCACGTACCTACACTTAGCGAGACTTGAGTCCAGTGAAGGTCACACCCCGCCACTATGCCCAAGAACAAGGGAAAGGTAAGTGCGCAAAACATTCAATCCCTCTCCTTGGAATGTGTCGCCCCGCCGCCATCCACCCATGAGTTGTCGACATTCCGAGGTCTCTCCTTGTGTTTGGATTGAAATGGCAAAGGGACACACTTGGATTTCCCTATCTTTGCACACCGCACAAATGACGTACAAAATCTGACATTTTGAAAACAGGGCGGTAAGAACCGTCGTCGTGGCAAGAACGAGAACGACAACGAGAAGCGTGAGCTCATCTTCAAGGAGGAGGGCCAGGAATACGCTCAGGTCGTGAAGATGCTGGGCAACGGTCGTCTCGAGGCTCTCTGCTTCGATGGCGAGAAGCGTCTGGCTCACATCCGAGGCAAGATGCGCAAGAAGGTCTGGATCAACCAGGGTGACATCATTCTTCTCTCGCTCCGTGATTACCAGGACGAGAAGGGCGACGTTATCATGAAGTACACCTCCGACGAGGCCCGTTCCCTGAAGGCCTACGGTGAGCTGCCCGAGCACGCCAAGATTAACGAGACCGATACCTACGCCAACGACGGTCTCGAGGACAACGTCGAGTTCGACGAGGACCGCGAGAGCGAGGACGAGAAGGAAATCGATGTCGACGACCTCTAAGGTCACCCTTACAACTCACAGAGCTCGATACTCTGCCCTGCAATAGTGCCAAGAAAAATTCCTTTCGTGGTACTCCCTATGTACCGCCAACCCCTCATACACTGCTGAGATTGGCCCAGTACCGTGGCTATGATGCTCTTGATCAAACTCGGAATGTAAATTCCGTCTTTGGTCATTTTTCTCTTGTTTTCGATCGAACAGCACGAGCACCTTTCAACCAGTCCACGACATTGGTCTTCCTCGGCCCTGAATGAGACCAAGGGCACCTCTCCCCACACGGCGGCTACGACAATCTACCAGGGTACGAAGCACTCGACAAAAAAGGCTTTCGGGATTGGATGATGGCGGGTATGGTATTTTGGAGTCGGTCACACTTCTTGCATTCCCATATGCGTCTCTTTCAATTGCCCGGAGTCGTGCTACAGAGAAAAGTGGTTGCAACACGCATGATGAACCTGTGTGGCTGTTTCCTTGCATTGCATTGCATGCTATGTCCTCTGCCTAGCCTTGCTTTCCTTCCATTCCTTTCATAGAGTTATGAACAAGGCCATGAGAATAAAAGTACTTTACCATAAATTATTCCTTTAGATATCCTGTTAATCAATTGGTGACGCGATAGACAAATCTATGAACGAGCATCGTGTGAGATGTCTTGTTGAGATCCAGTACGAGTTAGCGCGAATCTCGGCGTCCGGCTCGGCTTCAACGACCAGTCAGACAGCCCGATTGTGGAGTAGGAATAGAGCCAGGTTGATTATCTTCCACGCCTTACAGTCAGCCTAGAAGTATAAATTTGAGTCAAAGAAATCCTTCTCAAGTAGAAAGATACTATCCCAAAAATTCTCATCTCGCGTGACATTCAATCAAGCCGAACCCAAGGAGGTATTCCAATAGATCCTATCCACACCGACTCTGCAGCGAAGCCGCATCTGAAGTCATACTTCTCAACAATGACTTCATCCGAGGAGTTCAAGATCACGAAGCTCAAAAGCAATGACTTTGACGAATGGTCCACCCTCTTCAGAGCATACATCAACTTCTATGAGACTTCAATCCCCGAAGATCAGTACAGGAGGACCTTTGAACGAATTCTAGACTCTGAGTCGGACTTGTACGCCTTGGTGATGAGACAGCAGCAAGCGGGCGACTCAAACGATGGCAAGATGATTGCGATTGCGCATTTCTTCCCCCAGCAGACTCCGTGGAGCGAGAAGAACATTATGCTTTTGAATGGTATGCTCTCTTTGACATGCGATCTGATTTGAGTCCTTGTCTCAAGACTGTGTGACTAACATGATATAGATCTCTTCGTCGACCCGTCGCTAAGAGGAAAAGGCCAAGGCCGCAGGATGATTCAGGCTGTCGCCGATGCATCTAAGGAAATGGGATGCTTCCGCCTCCAGTGGCTGACGAAAAAGGACAATGTGACTGCACGTCGACTCTATGATACGATGGCCGATGGATCATTTGTTCAGTACCGAATGAGTCTGGAATAGAATCGCTCCGATATGCTATTGATCTAACCCGATAACCTTCGCGGTCGCTAGGTTGTCGCGCAATGGATTTCTATTTACGCTACTTTGTGTTGCGCTGGCTTAATAGATACAGAAAAGTTGAACCACATTAAGAATCCAAACTCCCTTCTCCACCTGTCGACCCCTCCACACAACCCCCATTCCCAAACATCGACTTCGCAGCTGCCTGCCAGACAGTCTCACGCTGTAGATAGTTTTCGAGTGTATAAAACAGCCGGCACTCTGCAGCCTCGTAGACAAACTGCAACGGAGTCTGATCATCATTGGGATCGTACTCATTGCGTAAATTGACGCTACCACTCCATGCGAATGACGGTGCCAAACTGGGGCTGGACTCGTTGAACTTCTTCCACTCGGTAGATGTAAGAAGAGGCGTTGAGGTATTGGCTGACTTCTGAATCAACTGGTTCGCTTGTGTGATGTAGCCGTTAATGTAATTGATGCCCAGAGACTGGCCGCCCTTTACGCCGCCAACGCCTTGCATGGGTGCTTGGCTGGGGCGACCGCCGAACGTAATGGTGCGAACGCCTTGGCGTTTCATGAGTTTGACGAAGAAGGCGCAGGTTGAGACGCAGTCGCCATCAGTGATCTAGATGAGAATGTTAGATATCTGCTCATATAGCCAAACCCAACAATCGAAGGGCTTACGATGGTAATGTTCTCCGCTGCGAACAAACTGCGACTAGGATTCAACGGAGCAGGCCCATAACCATTAATGGGGTAGATATTAGTTGATGTCGCGGTGTAGTTAAAGTTAGCCATCAAGCTTGAAGAGGGGCTGTCCAGAATTTCGTGGGGACCATAAAGGTCTTGCCAGGAGCTAAACCCAGCTCTTTGATTCGGCTGAACCATCTGTCTATAAGCAAAGACGTTACTTGAGTCCAGCTTGGCGTCTCGAGAGTACGCCTTGGTGAGGTACTTCGCAGCCTCGTGCGCTCGGTACCGCGTCGCGGTATAGGGGAAAGCATCAGGAAAGAAGATTCGGAACATGTCGATGCCAAGGGACATGTACCCACCCGGATTCGCGGCAACATCGATCAGAATGTTCTTCTTACCCGCCGCGGTGGCATTTTTCAAGAAATCAGTGGCGATTTGCGCGGTCTGCTGGGAGCTAGATGAGAAGGTAGGGAGGAACATGATTCCTGTGTCTTCGAGGCCGGTGAGGTTGGAAAAATATCCCGCAATGGAGTTATCTGAGTTGCGCCATTCGGTATCTGGGAGCCCAGTGACCACGGAGGCCTCCTCGGCACCCGAAGAGGAGCTGGAAGCGGTTGGCAAGCTCTGGGGAAGGCAATTGACGGTGTATAGCTCGGTGCCATTTTGGTAAGAGAAGTATCTCTCTGACGGTGTAGCTGTTCTCTCCACCGTCTGAGTTGTCCCATTACTATACTTGAGGTCCAATCGCGAGCCGTCAGTCCAGTCACTTGTGGTATACCAGATGCCATTTGCGTTGGTCGGAGTATTGGTGACGCTGCGGGCTAATGACGGGAACACTCGGTTATACTGCGCATCGCGGTCTTGTAGACTTTGGAGGGAGGCGTATGATTCGAGGTATTCGGCCACAGCAGTGCCGTTGATAGTTTCCAGGGGTGACACGTTATTGGCGCCATTTTGCCGAAGCTGTGCATCGCCTGGAAACAAATAAGCATTGGAGCAGTGAAGCGTAGTTGTGGAAACGTACTCAGAGTGTACACCTGTGGTAGCGAAAGTCCGTCTGTCGAAATAGACACCAGCGGCATGTCAAGCTCATAACTGAAGATGGACTGCGAGCATAGTTGGAAGCTCAGATGTCCGTCATATGCAGACTTGATGAGATGTGAAACCTCCAGGTCCATTTCGAATTGACTCGAATAGCCATTGCTGTTGACTTTGTCCTGAATCGTGTCAATCCCTCGAAGCAGGTCCGTAGATCGCATTTGATAGCCAGAAGGAGGCTCTATTGATTGACGTTAGTTTCATGCTAGCAAAAAGGGGATCGACATGTCGAATCCATACGTTTCAAAACATCAACAGTCGACTGGAACTCAAGGATTCTGCGAACTTGAGCAAGGAAAGTCACCGCACGCCCAGAGTCAAACGGCATTGACATTAGACATTGAGACGCCAAATCGTGGGGAACTTTAGCGCCGACTGCGACCGTTAGCTGCATTCTCCGATCAGCCGGCTGTGGACGCACCTTGGCTCTGATTGACATCCGAGACCAGATTGGTGATCTGTGCGCATGGCTCGACATCACGAACTTGTATGGCCCCAGTAACCGCAGCCAGCGGAATCAATAAGGGCGTCTTAAAATGCATTGTGATGCTGAAGACATTTGGTGCGAAGTGACGATAAGTTATGGGGAGGTTCCACTCTCAGGGGCCTTGTGGACCCTTGTTTGTTACTATTTTGGCCGATCTGCGCCAAGATGTGTCGCAGTTGCGGTTAAAATCTTCAGTCTGTCTCGGGATCTTTGTTTTCGCGTGGTGTTTTCAAAGGAATGCTACGAGTCGAACAATCGAGATATTCACTTTATGTGCTTTTATATCGTGAACTATGAATTTGGTTGCCTTAGCTACCGGGCTCTATGGATGTAACTTAGTTAAACTATGAAGATCCTTAATCGTCGAAGACGCTTTTTCGGAAAAACTTGAAGATCTTGCGGGCGGCTTCTTTGCCGACAATCGGATCCAGCTGATCGATCTCCATATTGGCGATATCGTTGAGATTCTCAGTCTCCAGAATCAGTCGCTCAAGAGCATGTGGCGTCACACCGGGCACGGCCCGGAGCATATCTTGTGGGAGAAGATTGAAGGTTCGATGCTCGATTCCAGCAGCAGCCATGACATCCCCAGGGTTGGCGGCATCAGTTAACTGAATATCCAACCCGATTTGCACGGCACGCAGGGGGTCTGGTTCTGCAGCATTTTTCTTCAGCTCCGCAAAGATCTCCGCAGTCTGATAGGGTGATGAGGACCAGATGATCCTGAGCCGTGGAAAAGCGAGGATGAGAAGCACCAGCATATGCTGCGCGGATTTTGGATTTGAGGAATTCGCCATTGAACTGCTGCTCGTGCTGGTGGCTTGGCCTGAAGATGAGAAGCCTTGCTCCATCAGGAAGGAAGTTGGGCCCGTAGCGGACGCGAATGCATCGAATGTAAAAGACTTGTTTTGATCGAATTCAATCAAAAGTAGAGGATTCTTGTAGTGCTGAAGCATAGTCTCGGCCTGGTTGTAGAGGCGACCGTTGCGGAGGGATGAAATCAGATCACGAATAGACTTGCGCTCTACACAAATCTCTGGTGTGAGAATGTAATCGCCTACCGTGAGTTGACAGGGGATTACGACCATATTGTTTCCATGCAAAAGTGATGGAAGGGCGCTTCGGAACTCTCGTACATCAACGACTACTCGCGGGGGAGCCGCTGTGGCTGCCAATCGCCCTCCGCCAGCAATACGAGTGTTGACTGTGCGAAGGAACTGTTCTTGTGGATCTTCGGCTTTCTTATCATGAGTCAAAGTAACCGCCATGTTCTGTAGATAATGTCAATAAGATGTCTTCGACGGTAGAGCATTGAACTTACCCCCTTTTCCTTAATGAGTTTCGTGAATGAGTCTTTCTCTCGACGAACGGCACTCAAATATCGTTGCTCCTCAACAGACCCACCATAGTAGATGAAGTAGACTTTCACATTCCGCCCCATGTGAGAACTGCGGTAGACCTCCACCCTGCGAATAAAAGCCGCATCTGGTTCGTACATGATAATGTATCGCGGTCGAACTTCTTCCAGTATGTGATCGTCCATATCGCCGTCGTATGGATGGATCATGACAAGGTCATTCATGTCGTAAAGTTCGTAAAAGTTTTCCATGTCTTCGAGATTATCAATCATGATTTCTTCCTTCTGTGTTTCTTCGGCCTCAGTGGGCTGAATTTCGTTGAGTAGGCTCACGACCTGGCCCGGCAGCTCGACCTCAGTCTGCACACTGCTGTTAGGTACACGCCCAGCGGCAGAATTGACTGCACCGCCGCCACGTACGCGGCGGCGCTTGTTCGGGGGAGGCCGGCCTTGAGGCTGGGGTGTTGCTGAACCCGCTGGCCGACCTGACCTGTCATCATCGGAGAGATTTTTGTTCACGTTTGAGAGGGATCTCTTCCAGTTGAGGTAGTCCCGCAGTCGACGACGCATCATAACTTCTGCAGAAGAGCCTTCCTCATCTTCATCGTCCTTTCGTATTGATTGTGCAACTTTGGCATGCATGGTACTTATATACTCGCGAAGCTGGCGGCAAGTCCGCTGGTCGCTGCACATTATCAAGATCGTACTGTTTGATTCATCAGGGGCGGTCGGGTTGAGATAAGCATCTTGCTCGATCTCACCAAGGACTTCTGCTACCACGTTCCACTTTGGAAGAGGCTCAAGGGTCGGCTGCAGATCGGTAGCAAAGTTAAGTGATGAAGAGGGACGTGACAAATCATCGTTGAGCTTGCCTTCGTACACTCGTGCCTTTGCTGTTTGGAAAAGAACATGAGCAGCGTCCAGGAAGAGCCAGGGTGAGTAGTTATGCTTGTTGGAGCCAGGGGGCGGCGAATGAGCTGCCACAATCGTGTCGAGATATTTCACGAAGGACACGGCATCGTATGTGAGCAAAGCACTTGCAGTAGTATTAGTGAGGCTCCAGTGATAAACAGAACAAACGGGTTGACGTACTGGAGAATTCCTCGAAGATCTGTCAAGTCACTGACGATTTGCCGGGTCCTAAAGCTTACGCGGTGCCAGATAGGATCCAGTTGTCTTCTGATCGAAATATCGAAGTTTCTGTGCAATGCGCTGTCCAGGGTCCACTCCTCCATATCGAGACCAGTGTTAGCCTTCCGGAGCTCCGCAATGCTAATCTCCACACATTCAAGAACAGCATTCTGAACCTCTCGCATTTTACCACTCATTGGCACCTCCAACTCGATAACTTCTGCCTTACGGTGGCCTTCCAAAGATTCGGCGACTGAAACTTCGAATCTAGGCCATAATGAAGCCTTAGGCAAGAACAAGTTTCGGAGAACATTAGCCAACGGTGCAAATCCAGTGGTCAAAGGTTCAGGTGAATCTGAGAAAGCTTTGAGAAAGCCGCGCTTGTTTGCTTGCCGATAGATGCGGACGATGAAAGCTTCAAGAGATGTTGCTATCACTCTACATAATATTGTTAGCTGGCTCCAAATGTCTGGGAAAGACATAGATCGTACTTATCAGCGTGCAAGATGATCATGCCCGAGACCTTCTCAGGATCAAGGAGCTCTAGCGAATGAATTAGCCACTCTCAGATTGTCCTAGAACTTCTGACATACTCGATAGCAAGTCCACGACGAGAATTCTGGATGTCACACTCAGAATACCGCCTTCGGCATATATTCGTTCCCTTATTTATAATCAGCGAATGTGCAGCTGAATCAACAGAGCCGAAACCCACCGCATAGACACTGTGGCCTTCTCCGTGTTGATCACCTTGAGCCCCCTGGCAAGCGGGGACTTACTTGTCGCATAATGCTCAGCCAGTGCTGTTCGTCCACAGTGTCAGCGCATGTTAATGCAGGGGTCCGGGGTCCTGCCGGCGTACCCTCTCCGATCCATTCATTCTCCCGTTCATCCGCACCAACCACCAACACCAAGTTATTTCCGGCTGCATCGTAGAAGTGAAGAAGGTTTGTTATGAGGTGCAGCAGTCCTAGCCCGCGAGCGAGGACAACCAGCTCATCCTCCGTGCGTAGTTCGGTGAAGATGTGCTGCTGATATTGCTGTAGATGGAGGTGGTCAACGCATAGTCTGGGCTATCGCGAGCGATATGAATACTTACCAGCGGCAGCGACAGCTTCACCGGTACATTGGTTCGTTCCGGAGGCATGAGGAGCCCTTCTTGACGCGTTGAAGGACTGCAGGGTCAGACGGGCGAAAGCCGTCGCGAAGTCACGTGTCTATGATGCAATGGACCGACGACCATCTACTAACTACAACATATTCCGGGAGTAGAGATGTGAATCCAGCGATGTCCAGACTGCAAGAGATCAGTTAAAATAAGGCCAATACAAAATTTTTGTATGGCTTCTCAATAATTACGGCGGAGAAAGGCATGTATGTCGTAGTATTTCATTTAAAGTACAGCTGGGGAAATTATCCATATATCAGCACTCAAATCCATTGTCTCATTTCTCGAGATCCAGATCTTTGGCTTTGTTCAGCTCTTTCTTCCTAGCTTCAATCTCTTCCTTCGAAGCCTTGGGTGGCATCTCTAACAGGGCGTTAGCATCTTCACAGCTATTAACCAGCTAGGCATTGACCCACCATCTGGGATTTGAGGTCCCTTGGAGGTATGATCAGCAGCCGATGCTTTCTGTCGCTGTTCGCCTTCGTCGCGATTTTTCGTTGGCTCATCTCCTTTCTTCGAGGCAGATGGGAAATTGGAAGGATCAGGAAGGATAGGCATATTGGAATAGATGAAAGTTGAGAGACTTCTTGAGACAAGCAAAAATTTATTCAGTGGTTCATGTAGAACATGTAAGGGTCAAGAGTATGCAAGATAAGTAATGAGGGGAAAGAGTCCTGGGACAAGAAATGCCAGTTATATAGATCCTAGGCAGAATGACGTCGGCGGCCGCTGGGAGTTGGTAACACACACGCATCGTGAAAGTGTAAAAAGGGATGCCTAAAATAGATCGAACTTCTGAAGCACTTCTAGCACTGATGGAAGTAGAGTTCGATAGATTCTACGTTGGACATATCTGGAGCTAGCCGTTCATCTCATGCCTCTGTTTATACTGCCGTCAAGAGTAGATGGGGCTCTTTAACGTGACATGGTGCTCATAGCGTTTTTGCCTTATAAGTGTCTGTGCTCGAGGTTCACGGCCCAATTATTTGTTTCTAGAAGGAACCAAAGACAGCTGAATTCAGCGATAGTTATATTATACAATTCAACTCTTCATGGTGGGAGAACTGAGGCTCCTTGCATAGTACACGAGTACATCGGAGATACCACGTGCCTTCACAGCAGCGAGCAGCAACGCCAAGTCACCGCCGTGTACTTTGCCCCCGCCAAACCGTCTCCTTCTAAGGCAACCGCCGGTCGGCTCCTTTCCAATCACCCAAGATCTATCTCTTTCCGACGTCGATCTGAAGGTAGACGTTCTCATCATCTGACCGACTCCGCTTATCTCCCGCCCTCGTCCTAGACGGTACACTAGACCCGCTCTCCCCCAACCGCTCCGCCCGGCCATGCGCCTTCGACCGACCTAACGCATCACACCCCTCCAATACCAATCCTCACCGGCAACTCCGGGCTTACGTTAATTCGACATGCCCTCGATCCTTACCGATGCGGATAAGGAAACCGTTAAGCGAAATGTCCCAAAACCCGCCAACAAGATCCTGGCTGTAGCTGTCGCGCGACTCTACGTTGCCTACCCAGATCCCCAGAAATGGACATATACAGGCGTGCAAGGAGCAGCAGTGATCTGCAACGACCTTGTCGGAAGAACATTCTGGCTCAAAATAGTCGATGTTTCGGTGAGTGCTCAAAATCCCCGGAAATAAGAGGTGACCAGTGCTGACAACATTGTGGTTTTTGACAGCCCAGTGGAAAGGGCGTAATCTGGGACCAGGAACTCTTTGACAACTTCCACTATAACCAAGACCGCACTTTCTTCCATACATTCGAGCTCGAGGACTGCCCCGCCGGTCTGTCCTTCGCCGACGAGAAGGAGGCCAAGACATTTATTAAGAAGATACAGGAGCGTGAGAAGCACGCGAGCAAAGAGACCACCAAGACTCCCTTTGCCTCAGGTCGAGGGCAGGGCCCTGCGCCTATTGCCAATGGCAAAGGCCCCAGCCGATCTATCTTTGGTAGCTTGTTGCATCGCTCGAGCCATGCTGCTCCAGCTACTGCTGCACCACCACCTCCTGCTGCTGCGCCGTCATTACCAGTCGCAGCTCCTCCCGTTCACATCCCGAGCGCTTCAGCGGCCAAGGCAGACCTGCCCTTTGATATAAATGATCCCTCGCAAAAGGGCCTATTCGACGAGCTCCAGCAAATGGGTATCACAGCAGACCAAATGGCGGAGCATGCCGACTTTATCAAGTCATGGATTGCTGGAAAGCAAGCTAACGAAGCAGCCGAGAATGCAACCCCAACTGGAAGAGCTGCTCCACCACCACCTCCCGCCGCCGCACCCAAGATAAATACAATCAGTCCCCAGGGCACAGGTAGCTCCGGTCGACGCGGCCCTCCACCTCCACCCCCTGCTCGCAAAGGTCGCGCCGACACGGAGGAGCCGGCATCACCTCCGCCTCGCGAACCGTCTCCGCCTGTTCGACGGTTTGCTGCACCTCCTCCGATTGCAGATGCCGGCAAGTTCGCTGAGCCGGCCGGCCCAGCACACCCGAGGCGCCCACGAGCCGTCTCAAGTGCTGTACCGGGTCCCCCTCCACCTCCACGTCCTCCAAAGACTCCAATGGAGGAATCACAGCCTAGTCCGACTCGATTTGGAGTACCTCCGCCTTTTGCGGGGGATCGCAAGGCCTCAGCGCCCCCTGCGCCCCCCAGTCGCAGCCCAGTTGCTCCAGGTCCTCCACCACCGCCCCCTCGTGCAGGCAGCCCGGCAGTCCAACCACCGCAACTACCCCCCAAGGTCTCAAATGCAAATCTTCCACCTGGTCCACCACCTCCCCCACCCGTGAGAGGACCTGCATCCCCACCACCACCAGCTCCCCGGCCCGTGCCAAGCCCTATCGCAGCAGCACCTCCTCCGCCTCCCAGAGGACCTGCCTCCCCCCCCCCTCCACCGGGTACCGGGGCACCCGCAGCACCTCCGCCTCCGCTTCCACCGGGCCGTGGCCCTTCACTACCTCCTCCGCCTCCGGCACCCGGTTCTGCTGTCCCTGGAGGACCCCCACCTCCTCCACCACCTGGTCGGCCCGCAGCGTCGGTTCCGCCACCGCCGCCACCTCCTGGTGCTGGTGCACCTGGTGGTCCCCCACCGCCGCCTCCGTCTGGGGGTTCTGGAGCACCTCCTCCTCCTCCATTGCCAGCAGTGGGCGAAGATGGACGAGGCGGCCTCATGGCTGCCATTCGTGCCTCTGGCGGCCAGGGTGGAGGAGGTTTGCGCAAAGTCAGGGACTCCGACAAGAAAGACCGCAGTAGTGCTATGGTCCCTGGAGGTGCCCAAGAGTCGGCTGCTGCGGCGTCTAGTTCAGGAGGTGCGCCACAGGGTGGATTGGCTGGTGCACTCCAGGATGCTTTGAAGAAAAGAAAACAGAAAGTCAGCGGAAGCGGTAAGTGATGATCATACTCCTGATACGATGATAAAAAGAACTAACGCGACTTCTAGATGACGAGAAGTCGGATGACGACGATTGGTAAATGCAATCTCTTTATAGGGACGGCTATCTCTTCGTAATACCTGGTCTATACGGGCATGTTTTGCGTGTATTTGAACATTGTTTTTCAGTTTGGTGCATCGTTTGGCCAAAAAGTCTTTGATTGTTCGAGAGCAGAGAATATGATACCGTGTATATACCCTCGATCGAAGTTGCAGTGGAAGGAATTCTGTACAAGCGTAGCATAACCACGGAGTGCCAATTTGCTCCTTTAATCTTCAGTTTCTGTAGAATTACCGTAGAAACCATGTGAATAATAGAGATTCAAACGATATTTCTGGTAGTCTGCAAATTGATCTCCGCAAGGCAAAAGTGTTCCCTTCCTATCACTGTCACTAGGAATAAATGGGAGCAAACAATTAGATAGGCCTCATGTATGTTGTTTTCTTTATTTTTGATTTTGTACATGACTAAGGGGCGAAAATATGAAGATATCCGCTCGTTGATTGACCGTTAGCTAGAACCCTGGTGCTAATTATGGCGCTGGCGCATTGGGCCTGCCGGGCTCGAGCTTCGGGGCTTTGCATGGCTCGAGTGCTCGGACAAAGTCCGGCCCTCACCGCGCTAGTTGCCCACTGCCTCAAATTCTGAGGCTTAACTCTGCTTTTACATATCACATGATGAGCACTGAAGGGCTATAGAGGGGTCTTCTAGTGCAGTGAAGATGCACTTAAGAAAATGGGTATGTCCTTTTCCGCCATCTTCGAGTAACAGGGCTGAGTAACAGGGCAAAAAGGGTCAAAGAACAGCGAAACTCAATCTGACCCGTGAAACCGAAATAGGAAAAAGATCAGGTCGGTGTTGATGATTCGAATGCAGATGCAGTCTTGCGGAGTCTAGAAAGGATGAGCCACAGTGGGGGCCAAATCCTCCTTTTTATTATGCAATACCCCGAGCCTCACTCGTGATGTTTTTACGCCAAAATCACCATGCCGACCCTCCGATCTGCCGGGCTGTTGGCCCTTCCGTTCATGCAATTGGCACAAGCTATCGCCTTCAAGGCTCCTGTGCCAACCGATGGACCTCAAGGGCAATTGTATAATCCAGCCAGACCGGAGACAACTCCGGGACTGGATATAAACAGTCCATTATTGCAGCGGCGCGATTCCACGTGGGCCTATACGCAGACCGGTTATATGCAAGCATCGGCAAATGTCTGTGGTTACTGGAATGGCGATTCGAATGGTCCGTATACTTTTTTCCCAATGCAGCTTTTCTCTAACAACTTGATTAGCGGGTATTCAATGCGCCGAAGACTTCACCTGCGTGTTTCATACAACTACCGACAGCAACGATGCATTCCCCGGCATGGTAGGATGTTGTCAAAGCAAGAACTGTGCTTTTGAAACTTTCTGCTACGACTCGTCTAAAGTGTCAGCCACCCCGTCCCTCACTAAGACCTTCGATGCCTTCGGAATGTACTGCACAGATTCGTCAGCGCCAGCCTGCATCTCATACACCTACCCCGATCTCGGAGTCCAGGAATTTGGCTGCGGTGCAACTGCCGACATTTCCTCCATATACACAACCGCATCACCTTTGACCATGACTGCATCCACAGAAACTTTGACGAGTGTTCTTTTGTGGACGGTTGCAGATGAATTCCTCAGCTCTTATACCTCTTCTTGGTCCTCGAGATACGGCAGCACAGCCGCGCCAAAGAACACGGGAGTATCTTCTGCCTCGGCCACCGCTACTAGCACGGGCACTCAAACCGAATCTGCCACCGGCCTTACCGAAACGACCAGCACGGCATCATCATCATCATCATCCCAACCGTCCTCTTCGTCAAACACAGGTGCCATTGCAGGTGGTGTTGTTGGAGGCGTCGTCGGCACCGCAACCGTTGTAGGCGCAATTTTCTTTTGGCTGCGCCGGAGCAAGAAGCAACGTCAACAGAATGCCGCAGTTGACGGAGCAGGAGATGGATACCGGGCTATTCCCGGAGGTCAAACGCCTTCAGCCTGGGGGATGCAAACACCGGCCGAAATGGAGGGCAACTACGCGCCTCACAAATACCCCGAGTTCCAAGGCGATATTCCCGACCAGGGTGCCCTTCGTGTAGCCGGCATGCAAGAAAGAGACACGGATGAAGTGTATGAAATGGATTCGGGTGAGGCCATCACGAGGGCCAACCCCGAGTTGCCGACCGATTATGACATCAAGCACAAGACCGAGGGCAACAACCCGGAGCCCAAGGAGCCCAAGGAGTCTACTTAGGAGCTATTGTTTGATTGCTTGCAACTAATCTGTTTATCTTTCTGCGTATACCCCAAGCGCGTTATGTGAGTTTTGTTTTCATGAGGTTGTTTGGCATAGCTAGAGGTTGTAAAGAATGGGTGTTGGTGACCATGGCTTTGGATAAACTCCTCTCTGGTCGAGTGAAGTGTTGAATACAAAATGCATTGCCATGGTTTGATTTTATCAATTACGGAAGTAACGTTCGTATAATCATGCATCAGGGTGGAAATCTATCAGGATTTATGGCGAAGAGTCAAGACCATGTGGTAGAACCCTGCTGATAACATTTCACCGGAAACCGTCCCGACTGCTGGTATTTTGTTGGAGCCAGTCTCTCCACTTCTGGTCGCCCAAGATTGATCTCACACGGGCTTCGAGCCACTCTGTGTTTCCCCAAAATCCCCACGAGGCCTGGAATCTACACCAGTCGACCAGTGCCGTCTCCCAGTGTCGTTTAAATGTTTCCCAATCATACAGATGCGAGTCTTTATTCTGGAGGAGACTGTTGCGGTACCGCTCGAGCAGTTGTCTCTCAGGTTCACGCATCGCCAACTGCTTGGGCAAAGATTCGTTGGACTCTGCAAGCATATGGAAAGGGACTGAGCACGTAAACAATTTCGCAAGATCGCAAACTCCAAATCCTAGCCCGACATACTGAAAATCAAAGAAGGCGACTTTATCTCCAGTAGTTGTCGTGAAGAGATTCTCGGACTTAACGTCACCATGAATGTACGACTCGATCGGCCTTCCACAGGGAGTCAAAAATAATGCAGCCATCTCGGTGACGGATAAAGACGAGCCTTCTAATGGCATACACATCGCTTCTGACCACTCTGAGTATGTGTCCTGGGCTAGAGAAGCGTACTCTTTTCGTCGGGTTGCAAGGTACGTATATCCTCCATTGAGCCACAGCCCACTCCCAACATCCTTGCCTGGGCTTTGTCTTCTATTATATTCTTCAAGGGGTGGCAAGACATATTCATCAAGGCTGTCTGGCAGCAGGCCCCATGAGCGACTGTGAAAACTGGCCAGCCAGTCCAGAGTCCCATGCACTTGTGTGCGGCTTAGCACACTCCTCTTTTCGCCCGCAACTGGGAATTTGGAGCGAAGATCGACCATGATAGTGGCCATCAGACCTTCAATTTCGTCCGCGCCTGGCTGGCCGTCCATGTTGCGTGTCGAAGCAAGGCATTTTGCAACACCAATCTCGTCGCCTAGCAGCGGGACCACATCACTATAAAAGCACTGCTCCACCTCGTAGCTCAGCATCTTACGCAGGTGGCCCTCATCATGGCCACCAGAGCTTTTCCTTGGGGGTGAGATGAGCTTCAAGATGAGAGGATATGTGGACCCCGCAGCTCCCAATTCCCCCCACAAAGTTGGCTGAGGTACTTCGCTGCGCCATCAGTCGTAGCTCTTGCAGTGATGGCACATATGTGTCCGTAGCCTGCCCACAGAGTCTGTAAGGTGGTGCATGAGACGAGGTCGCACGAGTGCCACGACAGCATGATGCTAGCGACGCGCTTGGGATCATTGGCGGGTGGAGGGGCCATGGTGGCTGGTGGTCGGTCAAATAAACGAGCACAGGCCACGGGAAGAAGAGTTCCGCCGTTGAACTATATTCCGCGGGCAATTCGAACCGATGTGAGATCAATTGATATGATCGTTGAAATTCCATCCATGGTGGATCTGAAATCGTGGGAAATCACGTGATAAACGGTAGTAAACATGAGGCTTAAAACGACGTCAGCGATCGCCGTTTCCAATCTTCAACATTGAGTTCCCTGTCTCATTATTATGAGGAGTGATCTAGGTGGCGGGGTGTCTTGGAAAAAATTTATAGCGTGCTGCCCTTGGCCCTAAAGTGGCTTTATTTTCGCTACCCTCCAACTTGTCCCTCGACAAAAACGCCAGTCGTCATGAACACCACTCCACAACAAATTCTCGATATCAAGGAAGCTCTGGTCTCTGCCGAAAACCCGGCGCACAATGATACGTAATTCCCTCGACTATGAGTGCTGTGCGAGACTACATAATTATTTCGTCGCGTATGGCTGGATGGCCCGCAACGGACGAGACACACCTGACCTTGATGCACTAGCCTGCCAGCCCTTGCGTTTTTGGGATGAAGATACAGATTCCGTCCGCCAGCGTCTTGACGTATCGTTGAATTCATTTTTGGATATGATATAACAACCCTCCCACTCCTTGGCGAGCCAGGTTTCTTCTACTGGTTAAATGGTATATCGATAATGTTCTGCGATGAAAGTTTTGTCCTTGAAACTTTCATCCGTGAAGACAACGACCTTCAGAGGAGGGATCGATTTGTTGTGATCTATGATACAGTCCCAGAGCTGGGCTCACATTGTCTTGGCGTTGTCTATGGCCAGAAGCTCTACCGCGCCGCATTCCCCATGACCCTTGAAAATCTGGACAGCGTAGAACCTGTCGAGGATCATGAGAATATGTGGTTCCCGTTGGAGACTATTCTAACCAACTGGATATATATGTTTCATATTGGCAAAATTACTGCTGGTCCATGGGGAGATGAAGATTTCGACCACGTGGCAATGTACAGATCGGAGATTGGAATATGGTTCTGTCATCCCTACCGCCCTGCTCAAGTCGACAACACCGTTGCTGCTATGGATCGCTACTCAGCGGCAATCGAATCTCGGATGACCCCCTAGTCAATCCTGCCTCTCTCTCAGAATACACCTTTATTTCTCGTTATAGATCTTGACGCAGCCTCCGCGCCTAAGGGTTGCTTTATTCGCTCACTATTAACAAGAATGAAGACTCCGCGGTTCGAGTTGATCGCTCCAGGTCTAGAAGTTCTACATAACAAGGCAGCTTTTGCGGAGCGTCAGAAGTTTACCACCATTCCTCGCGACGAGAATTGGGGCAAGAATATCCCACCGGTCTTGCTCTTTGCAGCTCCAGAGCTCTTTCAACATGGCATTTTCCATCCGTTTGGGGATGAGCCGGGGGAACAAGGATTAGAGACGCTCTTTGACCGATGGACAGAGTTTCTTGAAAGCGGTGTATGGACAGTGGGTATAAATGGAGTGGAAGGAGAAATCGATCAGATCCGAGATGCAGATACCGTCGTCTGGATAAATTATTGGATCGCCCCGGACTGGTGATATAATTCTCAAGACGCGGATTCAACGCACATTTAACGCACAGAAAACTGTCCATAGATTGTAGCTGCGTAAAGGAGATACACAATAATGCTTCAACAGGGATATAGTCGTTGTATAACAGTTGCTGGTTGAGAGAATCGTTAACAACGAGTCTTGAAGGACTATTGCATCGGGTATCAAATTGCGTAATTACGGGCCTATTGTGATTGCCTAATTGCAGGCCACTACCAGTTCATTCTGCTTCTACGATTCTGAGCTTTTAGTTCCAGCCTACGGACTTGAACATACATGATAACATTGAGCGGGTAATTCCAGGCTTGACGATGATGTCTCGAATATGTCTATACGCATGAGTGCGGACCCCAAAGTTCAGCCCCCAACGTAAGTGACTAACAGTTATGATCCGGTTGAGTGACCGGGAAACAACCTCGTATTATATTTTAATATGAAAGTTTGTGGCGTTTTCACATTACTAATTGCGATTCGCAAGGAGCCGCGGCAGTGTCCTAACAGAACTATAAAATGATCGCTGCCAAGTACTACTTTCCTAGACATTGAGAACAAGCCTTTCCCCCACATTTTGCAACCCTTGAGAAGCTTTTCAAGTGGTCCATACCGACTTTGCCACAATGGTTGAACTGGATTTTGAGGTTTACAAAAACGTGAGCAATTGATAGACTAAGAAACTAGACATTTTCAATAGTTTAAACTAACAGCTCCGTACAGGTGATTGGTGGCCAATTGAAAGGTGGCACCGAAAACTACCATGGCATCAACCCATTCACAGAGGAAAAACTCTGGCCTGCTCCTATAGCGACCGAGGAAGACCTTGAAGAGGCTGTGAAAGCGGCAAGTCTCGCTTTCCAGACATGGCAGCACACAAGCGTGGAAGAACGACGGAGAAGAGTCAACGATTTTTCCGATGCCCTCGGGGCGCAGAAGGATATTTGGGTTCCTATTATCTCCAAGGAGACAGGTCAGCCAGTAGGTGGCGAGAAATTCAACACCTGGAAATCGAGCATCCAATTGATTGCAGCCGTCTAGGAAGAATTAGCGGAAAGCGAGATCGATGCAGCTTGTGAATGGCTCATGGGAATTTGTATGAGATGCGAGATCTAAAATCCAGCTTTCAGTGGCTTTGACTAACGGCAAAACAGCGACGCTTGACCTACCGGAATATACCACGCAAGATGATGAAGAGGTCAAAGTGACTACGAAATATTATCCACTTGGTGTCGTCGGGGCAATTTGTCCGTGGAACTTCCCAGTCTTCCTTGCCGCCGGCAGGATTGCGAGTGCCGTTTCGACTGGCAACACCATAATCATCAAACCCTCGTGAGTTATGTGCCCATTATTGCCTGCTTTAGTCTCTGATTTAATTCTGTCCAGCCCGTTTACTCCGTACACTATCCTCAAGTTGGTGGAGCTGGCACAGCACTTCTTCCCTGCCGGTGTTATTCAGGCACTGGGAGGCAATGACGATCTGGGTCCTTGGATGACGACTCATCCAGGAATTACTAAGATCACTTTCACAGGATCGTCCGCTACGGGAAAGAAGGTCATGGCGGCTCCGGCTCCGACGTTGAAGCGCGTCACACTGGAACTGTGAGTTTGCGTCCTTGGCTCTCTGTGAACAGTCAAGGCTAACCAAGATAGTGGCGGCAATGACGCTGCAATCGTTTGTGCGGATGTCGATATTGACGCTATCATCCCCAGGATAGTAGGTGATAGTTAGTCTACCATTACAATAGTAGAATCAGAGCCTGCTGCTAATTGATTTCAATACAGCATTCAGTCACGCTGGACAGACCTGCATCGCCGCAAAGCGAATCTACGTGCAAGCATCAATCTATGATGAGTTCATGAAGAAGTTCACTGAAGAATGCAAGAAGCTTATACCGGGAAAGCTCGATTTAAGCCCTATTCAAAACAAACTCCAGTACGAGAAAGTCAAGTCCCTCTTCGCCGACTGCCAGAACCAGGGCTATGAATTTGCATTGGGAGGGCCCGACTTCAAACAGGAAACACCAGGATATTTCATACCTGCAGCAATCGTGGACAACCCACCAGAGCAGTCGCACGTGGTGCAGGATGAGCCTTTCGGACCTATCGCCCCCGTTCTGAAATGGGAGGACGAAGAGGAGGTTATCCAACGCGCGAATGGCACTGATCAGGGTCTTGGTGCTACACTGTGGTGTCGCAACACAGAGCAGGCTGAGCGTATTGCTCTTCGCCTTGAGGCCGGTAGTGTATGGGTAAACCGTGGTGTAGTACCACTGCCCACTGCTCTGTTTGGAGGCATAAAACAAAGTGGTCTTGGCGGGGAATGGGGCCAGCTTGGGTTGTTAAATTACTGCAGTGCGAGGACCTTCCATTTTGCGAAGAATTTCTGAAAGGAAAACCGTCTATGAAGCCCAAGTATCAATCGCTTTAGCATATAGCAAATGCTGTCAAAGAAATACAGTCGCAACTTCTTGCATCATTGATGCTGAGCATCAGGCTGCATTATTTTAGAACAACAAATATAATTATTCCTACCTTGGCCTGTTTCTGGGAGCCCGAAGTCGAGGGCCCAAAAGGGTGCTCCAAGGTGAATGTAATAAGGCTGTTACCCGCTTGGCTCATTGCATCCCCACAAATGACGGCCCTTGGTCCGACATCATATTTAGCCAACCTCGGGAACCCGGGACTTCCTTGACTCATCTCAATATCACGCAAGATATCACGCAAGTCTATTTAACCTCAAAAGTGGAGATGCCGACCGTGAGGCCATCTCTCATTTCACTCCCAGTGGAGATTCAATGCGCTATCTACGAACTCCTTGACCCCATCGGGTTGATATCCGTCAGTCAAACCAACTCTCAACTGCGAGGTATTATAAAGCCAACGCGACAGCACTTCGTTGAGAGACTTCTGGTCCTTGAATGCTGCGAAGAATGGGGCGGTGGCACGCCCATCTTGTCGGCGAGTGGGGGCCATCGTAACCCAGACTGGAGCCGACTGGAATGGCAAACCATGCGCTGGGCCTGCTCCGCTTGCCTTCGCCTTCTTCCGCACACTGCTTTCGATGACAGATCGCTTTTACGGCTTCGCTACAGAAAGCCCGTTTCGGGGTCACCGGCATCGAAGTTGACTACGAGCTGGAATCCATCTGGAAGGGTCGGGAGACCCCGTCGGAAGGGAGAGCCGCCTCTTGAATATTCGCCCGAGGAGAAACGAACTCGGCGACGATATGGACTCGCACTCTCAGATGATTGGAACCGCCCGCGCACATTCAATGAACTTCCTCGAAGGCTGATCAATTTCCAAGAATGCGGTATGTCCAGGTTCGAAGGAATGAGTCTGTCGAGATTTATCGACCTTAGCGACGAGCAAGAACACGAGCTACTCGTCCAAGAAGCACGCGACATAGAGGATGTACGCTGTGGCTTCAAGCGCGGACTGCGGAGATGCCTTGAATGCAGGTACCAGCGGAACGAGCTCAATCCCTATGGCTGGACAGACGGGGGCACGGAGAAAGTGCCCATTATGATCAGTCGGCGCCTCTCCTTCCCATCCATCACCGACCGCTACTTCCCAGATATCGGGGATGCGCTAGGGAACAAACGACCCGCGTGCGCCCCGCCGGTGTTTGCAGTTTACCGTGACAGCGCACGTGATCATCTGTGGCTAACACATATGGTCCGATGCCCTGGATGCTCGGTATGGCAGGAGTTACGGCATTTCCGACTGGGTGAAGTCTACGAGCATTGGCGAGCGAGTGTCGGGAGAGTAGGCGTGTATGAAGCCGAGGTGGGGAGAGTGGTTGGAAGTGTGGACGTCACCAATTGGGACGATAGGAGGATAACCAAGGAATTTGTGGACGGATTGCTCTGTAGCCGGTGCTTTCTACAAGAGCACGGGCGTGACGCACTTGGCAAGGAGCTTCTGCGATGGCTGAAGCGTATCCTGGATCTCCACAAAAGTGTACTCCGGCATCGAGTAGGATTCGGCTGGCCTGTATTCCAGCGCTGGTCCCATAAATGTCCCCGATCGTTCCGAAGGGAAGTTCAAGAGGTGGCTCGCGAGCCGTGTGATCTTGTGGAGAGGAATGAGGAGAATGATGACTTTACCGACTTTGATCTTGCGCTTTTACGAAAGAGACGACAACAATGGTTTGATTTACGGGCGCGCATGGTCGAGCAAAACAAGTTCTCCTGGCTTCCAGAGAACCCGTGGGTATTACACTGGAATGATTCGTACGATGAGCTTGAAGCCATGTACGTTTGGGTCAAAGCCGTTAGGCAGGTGGCGGAAGACCAAGTGGATGCATTGGTAGACTGGGCCCTGGAAAGCCAGACTATTCAGGGAAGAACAGTCTAGATGGATAGACTATGACTTAATGCCATTCCAGGCGACTGGTAAACCCATCGCTTAGAATAAACGGCTAAAGCGCTGATGAATAGCATCGATGTCAGTGGTAGACAGTGGTAGGCGGGTACTTGGAGCCGATTCCGATCCCGCGTACCTGACTGTTCCCGCCCAATCAAGGCCCTATCCAGAGCCCATGTGCGCCCGGTACGCGGAGACCGACGGCTTGTTTTCATTTAACTCGATTCGACGATAAACCAATTTGGCTATCTATCCAATGCACGTGGGACATTCGACGCATCCGCAATTACCGCTGCAGGTTCCCGATATGCAATGCACGCGATGGGCTTTATAACCCAGCCTCATCGCCGCCATGAAACGCGACACGGGCTCAATTTCTCACCATGAAGGCCACTACTGCTTCTGTGCTGCTCGCGCTCTCCGCCGCCGTCAATGCTCACCCGGCGGTCGATACCAAATACCCCTATACTGGCCCGAAGGTGCCCGTTGGCGACTGGGTGAATCCGACCATCAATGGCAACGGCAAGGGTTTCCCTCGTCTGGTCGAGCCGCCTGCGGTCAAGCCGGCCTCGTCTCATCCGACCAACAATGTCAATGTGATTTCGTTGTCTTATCTCCCCGAGGGCATCCACATCCACTATCAGACTCCCTTCGGTCTGGGCCGAGCTCCGTCCGTGAAGTGGGGAACCAGTCCCCACCACCTGAACCGTGTTGCAGAAGGCTTCAGCCATACGTGAGTACTTACCGCAGGATTGCTATGATTGCCACTGCCAAGAATACTGACAATCTTAGCTATGGTCGTACCCCGTCATGCTCTGAGGTCAAGGCCGTCACTCAATGCAGTGAATTCTTCCACGAAGTGTCCCTTCCCAGCCTGAAGTCTTCCACGACCTACTACTACCAGATCCCGGCTGCCAATGGTACTACTCAATCCGATGTACTTAGCTTCAAGACCGCCCAGAAGGCGGGTGATCCTAGGGAGTTCACTGTCGCCGTGCTGAACGATATGGGCTATACCAACGCCCAGGGTACTCACAAGTACCTCGCCCAGGCCGCCGAGGAGGGAACCGCCTTTGCCTGGCACGGTGGTGATATCAGTTATGCCGATGACTGGTATTCCGGGATTCTTCCCTGTGAGAGCTCCTGGCCTGTTTGCTACAACGGCTCCAGCAGCGAGCTTCCTGGCGGTGTCATTACCGAGGCTTACGAGACGCCGCTCCCCAAGGGCGAGATCCCCAACCAGGGTGGTCCCAATGGTGGTGATATGAGTGTGCTTTACGAGTCTAACTGGGATCTCTGGCAGCAGTGGATGGGCAAGATTACCAAGAAGATGCCTTACATGGTCCTTCCTGGTAACCACGAGGCCGCCTGTGCCGAGTTCGACGGCCCCGGTAACGTCCTGACGGCTTATCTTAACGACGACATCTCCAACGGCACTGTTGCCAAGGATGGCCTCACTTACTACAGCTGCCCGCCTTCCCAGAGGTTCGTGGTTGCCTCAATCTATTGTATTCGTCCTATAACTGACCCATCACAGAAACTTCACTGCCTTCCAGCACCGATTCCGCATGCCCGGTGAGGAGACCGGCGGTGTCGGAAACTTCTGGTACTCCTTCGACTACGGCCTTGCTCACTTCGTCTCTATGAATGGTGAGACCGATTATGCCGACAGCCCCGAGTGGTCCTTCGCCGAGGATCTTTCCGGTAACGAGACTCACCCCGCGGAGTCTGAGACCTTCATCACCGACAGCGGTCCCTTCGGCCGCGTCAGCAATGTGTCAGACACCAAGTCCTACGAGCAGTACCAGTGGTTGAAAAAAGACCTTGAAAGTGTCGACCGTGCCAAGACTCCCTGGGTTGTCGTAATGAGCCACCGACCCATGTACAGCTCTGCCTACTCCTCCTACCAGAAGCACATCCGTGCGGCCTTTGAGGCTCTCATGCTCGATAACGGTGTCGATGCCTACCTTTCCGGGTAAGTTTATCATAAAATTTGGGTAGGGCCCTATGCTAACAATCTACCCAGCCACATTCACTGGTATGAGCGCCTCTTCCCCCTTGGCAATAGCAAGATCGACACCGCCTCCATCATCAACAACAACACCTACCAGACCAACGCTGGAAAGTCCATGACCCACATCATCAACGGCATGGCCGGTAACATTGAGAGCCACAGCGAGTTCAGCTCCGGCGAGAGTCTGACCAACATCACCGCCATTCTGAACAAGAGCGAGTATGGTTTCAGCAAGATGACTGTTGTCAACTCCACCGCTCTGAAGTGGGAGTACGTCCGTGGTAAGGATGGCTCTATTGGCGATTACCTTTGGCTGGTTAAGCCCGGCAACGGCAAAGAGGCCGGAAAAGGGGGCCATGGCAAGAAGTCTCACGAGGTCGTCTTTTAGATGAAGATCTTAGTATCGTCAATTGCTTGTAAAAAAAATGACGCGTATAAAAATTCGGAGGGTATGGTTTGTTATCAGACCTGCCCCATTATGGCTATTGAATGTAGTATTGAATATGAGATATGATTCACTAAATTTTCCACATAATTGCCGCATATTTACCGCATATTTACCACATATTTACCACACTCGGAACTTGCATCTCCACCTACATTCGCCTGTGATGTCTTCGTGGAATCGCTGATTTTAAGTCCACTTCGGTTGTTTGCCGTAACCTTGTTCACTGTTAGGTCGGAGACCGTTCCGAGAACATCGGGGACGACATCCGACATGCAGATGAGCTAGGGCCAGAACAGACCCGAAAATCGCGAACCGAGAGCACCTGCCCAAATCAAAATAGAAAGAAAGATCGCCGTCCACCATTCAAGACACCCATCCGTGTATCTATATCGGCAACCCAGGTTCGGCTGTACTATTGCTTCGAAACTGTCCGATAGTAAGTTCAGATCGCCCGACTTTCCATTCGGAGATAAGACACCATTTACGGGGAGATGATTCGGAACAAAGTCCACATTGCTGTTCTCGAGACCGATGTCCCTGGTCAGGCCGTTTACGTGAAACGCGGCTTGTACAGCTCGCAATTTCGTGTACTCCTTACTGCGGCTGCGGAGCGCCTAAATCAAAATCCGGGAAATCTCAAGCATGGTCCAATCGATGTTCGAGTGACCGCGTTCGATGTTGTGGGAGGATTATTACCCCATCTTGAAGAATTGAGAACTGAATCTCACACCTGCAATGGCACGGACTGTTCAAAATCGCCCAGACCCATCGACGCAATACTAGTCACCAGTGCCGCAGCCGCCGCATATGATGATCTTCATTGGATCCCAGCACTCGAATCCTTCATCCAAACGGTGCATAACAAATATCCACTTGTCAAGATGTTCGGTTCCTGTTTCGGCCATCAGCTTATAGGCCAGGCGTTACTCGAAAAGAGCCCATCGCTTATCCTGAAAGAGCTGTCGACCAAATTCTCAGTTCAGGCGCAGCCAATCCATGAGATAGGCGTCCAGTCAATTACGCTTCACCCAGCGTTTGCATCAAGGTTCGCGCCCTTGGCTAGATTCAAGCAGAGGGAACCGTTTAGACTCCAGCTCATCCATGGCGATGTTGTGGCTCCTTCTCCGCTGCCTCTTAAGGAGGCAGAGCTACTTAATGCTTGTCTTCCTGAGCCTTGGATTAATATTGGCAGTACTGAGAAGTGTCTTATACAGGGTCTTTATTATCCTGGGCGTGTTCTAACACTCCAAGGCCATTTCGAGTTTGATGCTTTCGCTACTGCTGAGCTTTGCTTGCAGTTTAGCCGGAAGTTTGCTTGGCCTTCCGATCTTTTAGCATCTCATCTGGATGGTATTTGGCGCGCTAGTTGGAATGGTGAGGAGGATGATTCCAAGGTTGCGGCAGAGGCTGTTCTTTTGTTCTTTGCGGGCGAGGATTGAGAAATAAACAGCGTTCCTTTCATCTATTGCAAATATATAAAAAACGAAAGCCAATAGCTAGCTCCAATTTAAAGGACCTCGATCTATTGATATCATGGGATACTCACTGAGATTGAACATGACAAGGGTCATACAAAGGATCAACAGACAGCCAGCTTGATCTTTTGGAAACGATGCGCCCATCCTTCAGAATGGCCACCAGGTTATCCTGAATATGATCCAGCACCGTGATATCCTCAAGGGGATTAGATGTCAAGATGAGCATGTCGGCAATCCTTCCTCTCTTGATACACCCGAGTTGACCCTCCATTCCCAAATACTTTGCAGCATTGATGGTGGCCGATTGCAGAATCTCCTTCGCACTCAAAACACCCGATCGTATCGAAAACTCCTGGTTTTGAAGAACATGCAAGCCTGCCAAGAGATCGGATCCGTAGCAAATCGTTGCTCCAGCTTTGCTTAAAATTGACAGCGCGTCCAGTCCGCTTGCCAACACTTGTCGGTTTTTGATTTGGCTGGAACCGTCAAGAAACTTGTCAAACGGTGGTTGTGACATGCCGTGATAGGTGACCAAAGTCGGAGTAAAGACAACGCCTAATTTCACACAATAGGCGGCAGTCTCTTCGTCAATGAAATTCCCATGCTCGATGCCTCTCACGCCATTATCAACAGCATGCCGAATAGCTTCCACGCTATACGCATGGGCGGTGACATAAGTCTTTGACTGCTTAGCAGTAGTCTTTATCGCACGTATTTCCTCCGCTGTGAACTGGACCATATCAAGGGCATCTGAAGGAGACGCAACACCACCACCACACATGATTTTGATGAAATCGGCACCTTGCCTAAGCTCGTCGCGAGCAGCATTGAGGCACTCTGGAACGCCATTACATACGCGAGATAGGTAAACTGAGTGTCCACCGCAGCATTTGATCTCATCGCCTTGATAATTCGCACGGAAGTCACCATGTCCACCGGTTTGCGAGAGTGCCTTGCCGGCTATGAAGAGCCTAGGACCCATAACAAGTCCTTCTGTGATGGCTTCGCGAAGAGCAAAATCTGCGCCGCCAGTATCGCGAGCTGTTGTGAATCCTCGAAGAAGCATCTCGCGTGCTACGAATGCCGTGCGATATGCGATGCTATTAGGACTCGCAGAGAACATGTCCTTCAGAGAAGGCGAGCCAGGCGTCGCAGTGAGATGCACATGGCAGTCAATCAAGCCGGGACAGATGTATTGGCCTTGTAGGTCCACTCTGTTTGACCCCGTTGCTGGCTTCGTTGTGTCTCCAATGGTTACATTTACGATGCGGCCGTTTTTGATGTGGACAGTCGATTTCGGAATAACCACACCAGCTTCAACATCGACGACATTTGCGTTGAAGAATATGATTTCTGGGGCAGCTGTTTGAGGCAGCCACGGTTTGCTGCTTTGGTTACTCATAGTGCTCAGTGGATCGCGGCGAGCAATGCGGTGTTTGCGATTCGGGGTTCTTCCACCGTGGGGTGTGTCGTAATTTTTGCGGATTATCTCAGGCCGATTTAGCTCAAGTCTCTGCTGATTACAGCGCTGAAGGGAGGTTGCATTGGTCAACGCAGAGCGGGGAAGCTTCTCAAGAGATTGTCTCCGTGAGGGGTTCGACCGGGGCCAAAGTCCTCAACTACCGTAGCGATAAGCTTCGGCATGGCATCCCGGCACACCATGCCACATGTAGAAAAGCACCAGAGTTGACTTCGCCTTTGCAAAGATCTCCGATAGTGCAGTGATCCACGAGCGGGTTGGGGTTAATGAACAGTAGGATGGTTGGGCGGAGATGGAATCTCACCGCCAATGCTCCCACGGCTTTTACCGATTTAAACTCTTCTCATTTTAACAAGAAATGTCGAACTCACATTTCAGATGCACGGTTTGCCATCGAGGATACTCCAGCAGGAACCATTTACGGCGGCACGAGGCTTCGCGTAGGCTCTTTTTGACCCTGATGCACTACAGACCAGGTTAACGAAACCCCTCAGACAACCCGGAGTGTTCACCAGCTACCTGTGAATTTTGCGGCCAAAATTATTCAAGAAAGTAAGATGTCTTTCAGGGAATTTCACTTCGGTGCTAAGGGTCTAGGGATGCACTTCGGAGACACTACCAGAGCTGCTCCAGGATCGGAATCCAGCCTAAGCCAGGGCCGAACAAACGCGGTCCTTCACGCAAGGCGTGCGACAACTGTGCCAGGAATCGCAGTACATGCGATGGTGATGCTCCATGTGCCACATGTAAGGCCCATGGGAAATCCTGCTCCTATCGACGTCTCGGGGATCACCCAAATGACCCATTTATTTCCGACCCGAACACTCCCCGTGTATTGACAAGAAGTCAAACTACCCAGCGAGCTACGCTACAAAGTCAACAAGCCCGGGGCAATGACTCACTTCCATTTCTGTTGAACTATTCAGACTCGAGCATCCGTCATGCTGGAGATGTCAATCATGTTCTTTCTTTGCTCTCCACCACAGAAGAGCCGGAGGAAAGCCCCGATGCTGCTCTTCCAAGCCTCGAGCTCGGGGCTGAAAGAGAAAACATTTTTGCTGAAGAGTCATACGACATTTTCTTTGCCTCTTTGCAGGGCGAAAGATGTTCTCGAAATTCTCCAGCTCCAGAGGGATTGAATGATCCAGACAAACGGCATGTGGCGGCTATGAGTATACTGGATTGCTTGCTTCAAATACGTTCTGCAAACCCCGGAGCCTGGCAAGACTTCAATGTTGATCATGCGCGGGGTTTCTTTCAAGAGAGCAACGTTTATGATGCGACAATAGCTTACTTCGAAGAAACAGTGCGCCCTCGATCCCGCATTGTCCCGAAACCTTCTTTCGACCTAGATTCAATGTCTGCACCCCTTCTTCTGACTGTTTTTCTCATGGGCGCGACCTGTGGTGTATCCGACGGTCTCAAATGCCAAGCTCTAGAATATGCAGATATTGCGGAAGCTGCTGTATTTGAGAGTCCATCTTTCCTGCGACTTGCCTACGAAACCAAAGAACTCAACTGTCATTCTTTGCAGAAGGGAGCCATGGAAATTATACAGGCAGCGATACTCATCATCTTAGTACAGATATCAAGTTCCAACCCCGAGAATAGACGTCGGGTTCGGATCCAGCGATACCCAGCTTTGATATCCGTGGCTCGAATCACCGGTCTAACGAGAATTAAGAATATCTGGCATGATCCTGATTCTTCCTTGTGCCATGAGAGGTTCCTCACGAATGAGACTTGCATCAGGTTTGTAGCCACTAAATAACTCTTTTGCCTTGCAGTAAATAGCTGATTTGGGATAGGATGATGGCCTCTATTTCCATGATAGACTGTCATTTCATCATGTTTCAAAATGTTCCACCAAATTTCGCCCTAAAAGAATTACAGTTCGACCTTCCAGCCGAAGAACAAGGTATTGACATCCCCGACGAGGTCACATGGAGTCAATGGGCGATAAATGAGAGAAAATATCGGAGGCCACCATGCTTGAGTCAACTTGTAAACGAACTTTTGTCCGATAACTGGACCGGGCCTGAGGATCCGCGACTCGATAACATCGGCGTTTTTGCACTTTGGATTGTCATATCTGGTAAATCTCATACCCGACTTTCATGTTTTCTAGAAAACGAAAGGCTAATAAAACATCAGCATTTCATCCAATGGTGTTCCAATTGCGCTCTATTCCCTGGGATACAACTGATGCCACGAAACAAATAGAGAGAGCCCTCGAAAGATGGAAGTCTCTATGGGAACGTTTGCAATCCAAATTGACCCAGGATCAAATCTATCGGGCAGGCTTCATGACCCATGCACCGGACTTATGGAATTTCGCTAAGCTTTTACTCCGGACACCCTTACACGAAACTGGTGATATTGCGAGGGGTTCGATGGCTTGCGTGAACCGGCTGCTGAGGAGGCCTTCAAAATGAAACTTTTGTATAAACATACTCAGCATCTGAACGATCTATCGAGCCTAGTATGGTGACTAGATGTTACTCAGCGCCAATAGAAGTGACGAGCTCACACTGCACGCCAACACGACCCAGGAAGCCCTTCCACTCTGAACCTTTCCCAACCAACGGCCAGTATCCCATACCAAATGTTTCACGCCATTGAACGCATGGTACGTGAAGGGTATGGCAAAGCAAAACTTCAAAGCTGTTTTGATAGCAACAGGCAAGAACCCAGACGCAGCCACCAGAGTCGCTGAGTCAAAATGAATACCCATGGTCGGGGCAAGTAAGTAGAAAGTTGCGAGGCCATACAAGCTTCCAGAAAGAAGCACTCCCGTGATTCGGTGCAATGCGGATGCTGAAGATACATATTGCCATTTGTAGTTCGTGAGATGAGGGGCGATCGGGCGGTTTCGACGCTGGGCAACGAGGCGGTCGTGGGCGGACGCGGTCGTTATTTTCTGGGTTGAGATACATCTCCTCGCCGACAGGGGGATGATGCTCTGTGGAGGTGCGAGTGCTGGGTGAAACATTGCATAAAGAATTCCGGAGGCTCTCATGGCTGCTATTCCAGGACTTCGCGGCGAAGACCTGTGCAGGGTTGAGACGACTGCATTCACTCAGTAACGTACTACGCACGGTTGCCTTGGAGCTGCTTACCTGGATAATACATTTGGGCTCTCCTTGGAATGGAGACTATGCCAAAGTGTTTTGTGGTGACAAAAAAGGTGAAGAGAAAGACAGTGGGCGGCGTTTCCAGATCTATACTCACAGGGAGAGATACCCACAAGCGGAAAATACCCACATCAGGAGAAAACCCACACTAGGAAGATACCCACGAATCCACAACTCAGACACAAGACACCCACTCCCTCTTGACCCTAATTTGAAATAGACAGTATACTAGGCCACCAGCTCAGTATTATAAAGTGTAATGTGGTGAGGTCGCTCTAGAAGAGAAATCCCGAAGACTGTCTAACTCAATCTAGAGATGACCAAAGATCTGTAACATGGCATATTCGCAATTCGATGGAGATATATACCGCATTTTGGATCATTTGCTTTCATGGAATTAGTTTGCTTTCTTACTTTGATTCGAATGTTTCTCAAGAGGCGTGTCATATTCACAGAAGTATGTCGGAGAGAATGCCTGGGACATCAGCGTGCCCACACCTGGGCAGCCCGCAGTTCGTGAGTTCCTCTATCTATTCAAGAGCCTCATTCAGTTTACAAGGGGAGAGTATGAGTGAATTACCAGAACCAATCTGATGAACAGCCCTTGAATGCCGGTATACTTCGGCCCTGGATTAACCTTATTCCGAGGCGCGGGAAAAAAGCCGCGACTGAGATCATCGGTTTCCCTGTTATGACTGTCGACACCGAACTGACATGTTGTCTCCCATGGGACCGTCAGTGCCATCCGCCACATTGCTGCGCTTTCTGCGCTCGCAGTCTGGCTTTGTGACCGGCGCTTCAGCATGCGTCCGACCGCAGCTTCGGTCGCTGAGCCATGAGGCCGTCGCGACCGGATCATTGCGCAGATCCTCGAGCTGGACATGCTCTGCCAAGTCAGACATCTGCCCATCACTCGATACTGGCCTCATCAGCATTCCCGGCGCAAGACCTAAGTCAGCCGTGTCATCTTTGATTTCCAAACAGCTTATCATTCGACACGCCTCCACGAATCGGCGGCCATTCCTCAAACGCCTTTTCGACTTTCAACGAACCAAAACTGCCGAATACCAGAAAGCACGCAATCTCGGACCTACATTGATTGATGATGGAGAGGGCATCTTTAACATCGGCCGTGGGCTAGCGGCCAAGGCCTCGAACGAACTGCGGATACGATGCACGGAATTCGACATGAATGGCAACGTCACACTGGTAAACGGAGATTTCCGGAAATCAGAGTTGATCGCCAAAGTTAGTCTTCTTGAATCTCTGGGTCTAAGCCTTGAGCCTTTTCTGACTGGTTGTTTACTATAGTACGGCCTACTTCCCCGAGATCTCCGCAAAATCGACTCTTCCACACTTCCTCATATACTGGTTAGACCGCGCGCTATCTTAATTAACCTGTTACATCTCCGGGTCTTGATCAAGGCAGATCGAGTGCTTGTTTTCGACGCGTATGGATCCCAAGACTCATACATGCAATCGCTATTCATCTACGATCTAGAGGGGAAACTGCGCCAGAAACAGCCACAGGGAGCACAGGCTGGTCAAGCGTTGTCTTATGAGTTCCGCGCACTTGAAGCTGTCCTTATCAGCGTCACGACTGGCCTAGAGGAGGAGTTCAACGGAGTCAGGGAACCCGTCGTTCGGGTTCTCCGCGCGCTCGAGGAAGATATTGATCGTGATAAGTTGCGGCATCTCCTGATCTACTCCAAGAAGCTGGGTACCTTCGAGCAGAAAGCCCGTTTGGTGCGAGATGCCATTGATGACCTGCTCGAGGCGGACGATGACCTTGCTGCAATGTACTTGACCGAAAGATTGACCGGCAAGGAACGGGATGAAGATGACCATCAGGAAGTGGAAATGCTGCTGGAGTCATATCATAAGGTCTGCGACGAGATTGTACAGGCCAGCGGCAATTTGGTGACCAACATCCGCAACACGGAAGAAGTGTAAGTTTTAATCCAACTTGGGGAGCGAACTGGTTCTAACTCTAAACAGGGTCAAAGCAATTCTCGACGCCAATCGAAACTCGCTAATGCTGCTGGACTTGAAGTTCAGCATCGGAACTCTCGCTCTCGCCGCCGGAACCTTATACTCTGCCCTCTACGGAATGAACTTGAAGAACTTTATTGAAGAATCCGACTTTGGTTTCGGTGGTGTTTCGGCTATCTGCTTTGCCATTACTGGAGTTGTTTCTGTTTACGGTCTCGCCAAACTACGGAAGCTCCAGCGCGTTCGCATGTGGGGTGAATCCGGCGTCGGGGGCACCTCTCTGACAGCACTGACCTCCAGAGGTGCAAAGAACAATAACCGCACCAATTGGCGTGCCGATTCCATCGAACCGGTCTGGGGCAGTCTCCCAGGCGAAGCTCGATCCGAGCGTATTCGCAGACTTCGTGAAAACGCTGCCACGGGTGCTGCCAATGCCGCTTCACGAGGACCTGGTGCCCTTAACGATATACTGCACAAGGCGCAACCCCAACCAAGCGAAAAGAAAGAAGGCGGTTCTTAGAACGAATCTGCCTAGCCAGATACTACGAGCAAGGCTTCTTTTTAGAAGTCATTCTTAGATGCCTTCCACCTGCATATTTCACTGGATACCTCCTCGGATACACTTGATTATATGGCGTTCGATTTCAAGATTCCCAGCTCATAGACACGGAGTTGAGGGTCTTTCTAAACTGTGTACATTAACTAGCCTTCTTCCAGAGCACATTGGTGGCTCATGAGCACTCTTCTCACAGCACAATCTCATCTGATATCCACTTTCACATTAATTCACAGCTCATCATTTGGCTTTACCTTCCTCAGTCGCAGCATATCAACTCTATGTGGCCGCGCAGGCGCCTTAACCGTCCCATAAGACTTGACACTACCCTCTAATTTGAGTAAAATCAGCGCTGATGTAGATAGAAAAACACTACGTACGGAAGAAAGCTTACCTCAATACCGAGATTGCAGCGCAAATCAATCCTCACAAACTAAAATCTTCCCTGGATGTGATGTTTCCATTTGGGTATCTATCAACTGTGCGCCTGGTTCCCCATTCCCGGGCCCTCATGCAAGCTATGAGCGCGCTCGATCCACATCCGCGCGGAAGTTTGAATACCACCTTCCATGGCACACTCTCGCTCGACAATACTGTTGATCCTTTGAACTAGCTCGGTGCTTTCTTCACCTGGCTGTTTTCGTATGAGGTTGCTCGGTGCCAGGTTTCTTCGACGCGGGGAGAACAATTGCCGAGCGCCTACCACGCCGAAGTTTCGCGTGCTTGGGATACGCAGTTGGGTCTTTTCGACCTCGTATCCGATTTCTTCAGCGATACTCATTGTCTTCGCTGTTAGAGAGCCATACATCGAATTCAACATTCCGTCTCCGGTCTTCTCTTTGTCCTTGGCGGCTCGTAAAGCTCTCAGGTCTCCTGATGTGGGTTGTGGATTCTGCTCCACTGGCTTCGCTTCCTGCATTTGCGGGCCTTTGCTCTTCTTCGGTGGAGGATACCGATATCGGGATCCAGCGAGAGAGTGGGAGCAGCATGGAATGGAGAGAAACGGCAGCGGGGACTCCGGACAAGCGAGAGCAGCCATGAGCGGTGTCCAAACTGTAAGTTCATCCGCATGGTTGGAGATGATGAATGTTCCTTGTAGGAAGTCCCCAGTATGTGTTTTCACGCCAATGTCCACTGGACCAAGTGCATCGGCAAAGGGCTTAGGGATGTAGATGTTTTCAGATAAATGCTCTTGCACGGAGATGGGAAAAATGCCCCATGTCTTGCGCCGGCGAGCATCGAAGCCACAGCCCGAGTACCCTTCCATCAGAAGTACGTAAACCAGTACACCATTTCCACATGCCACATCTACAAAGCTCTGGAAAGCTGTCGCCTTTTCTTGCTTCGGGGTGGTTGTCTTCTCTTTCGGTGGATCAATGTCATACATCAACCGCCAAAGCTCGATGAGAAAAGCAGCGATGGCCAAGTCTTCGAAGACATGCTTGCTAGGCTCGGTTTTCTCAACCCAACGGTCACACAGGTCTTTGGCGTATAGCGTCTTGAGGCGGGCATAAGTGTCTTGGACTATGTGGCGGGGAACCACGTTGTCCTTAAATGAGCCTTGATCGGTGTCTTTGATTTGATCCTGGGGGTTATTTGCTTTTGATTGTTGAGCAAGTCGGATATTGAAGTTGAGAAGAACATGGAGAGTGCGTTCCAGACGGTTCGGTATGTCGGGTGTAAAGGGTAAGAAGTGGATTGACATCGTGCCTGCGCCTGTTCCAGGATAGGGGTCAAACCTGTATAAATATGCGAGACTCTTAACGAGTGGGTGGTAGAAGGGCATTTCTTCTTGCGCTGAGACATGCGGGGTGTACATGATAAGCAGGCGATGGGCGTCACTCTGCTCGTCAGCTTTATGAACAGCATCTGTGGTTCCAGGAAGAGCACCTGGAGATGCAAAAATATGGCACGTTTGCTCCAAAGCCTTGTCCAGGCTTGGATTTCGCGGTATCATTCTCCGTACCACAGTCCTGATCAGCTCGAATCCTTCAACCTTGGTTGCAGGCTTGGCTGGTATTCGATCTCCGTTTTCATGAATTGTGTTCAAGAGGCACAAGCTATCATGCAGTATATCTGCACGAAAAAGATGACTCGAGGTAACATTTGGGTTGGCCATTAGGAAAATTGCCGTGTCATACACAGCCAGAGACGAAATGTGAAGATCATGCTCATGGAGGTCTGGAGAAGTGAGCCAGCCTTCCGAGTCCATTTTCAGAGCAGATGGCCTCATGGTCTCTATCAGAGGCTTCCCTGAGAGCTTTGTGAGATCCCGAGTGTTCTTTCGGTTCGGCATGATCGGCTGGCATGTGGAGGATCTGACACGAGGCTAGATGTTGATATTGGGCATTGCAGGTATGGCGAGAGACGGTAATCTCAGAGTATGTAAATAGCCCCGTCCAATTACCATATCTTGATCCTCGACCTATGTATCACTCGTCTTCCCGTTCATGTTTGATCCTTGATCATTCCCATTGTGCGATGCCTCAATCCAGTCACGTGACTGATTAATCGCCGTTAAGCAACTAAGGGAAGTCCAGGAAGCACTTGAACAGATTAATTCAGATAGGTTCGACATGGCGAAGCTACTCCTTGAAACTTGTAAACAATGGCTTTGTTCGGAAAGCCCAGCAGCTTCGTGCTGCCCGACTGGTGTTCCACCCGAGGAACATCGTGAGCCGTGGTAGGAAGGACTATAGGACAGTCACAACTACGCAACTCAATATCGAACTGTTGCTTCTATAACAGCCATAATTTCCCCTCATCTCTGGAATTTGCTTTCTTTCCTAGTCACCAGTTTAACCCGGAATCTTTTCGGTTGATCTTATGAAATTACAGCCTGGTAAGAACACTTGAATTGAATAAGTTTCAGTCCACTGATTTTACACACAGTCCCAAGCAGCTTATACACCATGAATCTTCAAGCAGGGCTCTACGTCACAGTGCTAGCCCTCCTAGCTCTCCCAGGCCTAGTATCCGGATATTTCATTGCCAGCGCCATCCCAGTCATATCAAGCCCCATACCCTCAGCAGCTTCACCCCTCGCATCTCCCGCCGGCAAGGGTCACTGGGAATTTGACCTCTACAAGGACACCAAATGCACCCGTACCGCACGCACCTTGAAAGGAGATGGATCCTATGATTGCCGCACGGATGTGCCTAGTGGAGGGGCGAAGGGATACAATGTGAAGACCCTTGATTTTGACTGCACAGTCACGCTGTATCAGGATAGTGTGTGTTCGCAGAAAAAGAAGATTACAACCCTCTTGGCGAACAATCAGAACATGTGTTCATATGTTGGAGGGTTTACGAAGAAGGTGAAAGGGTATAAAGTGAGATGTTCGTGATTTGGTGTTTCTGTCCAGTGTTCGGTGTTTCGGTGTTTTTGGAATTGGGTGTTATTGATATTTTTTCTAATGGGTTTTACGATGGGTTTCAGGGGGGCTTCAAGCTTTCAGTTCTGGTAATTGAATGAATGATTATGTCTTACTCAGTCAAGGCTTTCTTGCATTAAGCGTCTGGTGAGATCGGTCTGGACCCATTGCTCAATCAGAGAGACCGTATCTCCAACGAGGAAATCGTAGTTTGCACCATGTGGGATGAACATGGATTGATGCGCTTCTACTTCATCTATACCCTCCATCAATACCGAATTCCAGTGAGCATTGTCGTTATGCTTCCAATGGTGAGAGGGCAAGAGAATGAACTTGCGAAGTTTCTGCTGGGTGTCATCTGAGCTGAGGCCAGAGTCTGATGTTGTAAGAGACACGCTTCCCGAAAGACTCTGACTATCGTGAGGGGTTGAAGTAGACAAAGTGGTGCTGGAGATATCAATCGATGGCCGATCCATGATGATCTCTTCGGTTTCCAGACCTTGCAAGTTTTGCTCTGAAGTGGGTGGATTTCTCGGTGGCAGTGGTGGTGGCAGTGGTTTTTGTGTCTGGGAATGAGAATCAGGAGTAGGTGGCTTCATGGCTTGCTCTGTCGGTGCTGCGCTGCTCTTCATGGAGCTGGTCTCGCTCTCTTTACAGATACTTGACGTCTTTCGAGGCTTTGGCTGCTGTTCGTCGAGGTCCATGTTGCTCATTGGACCGGCTATCCCATCTTCTTTAGAGATATCTTCTTTGGAGATATTTGGTGTTTCAGAGCCTTCCAGTGGCAGGGATGTTGGATTGTCGATCTGATCACTGTCCCCGTCCTCATTGCCAAGCTTCTCCTTGGACTTTCGTGGTATGCGCCCAGTGCTTGCGGTATAGTAGTTGACAAAACGGACCCTCTCGGGTTTGAATTCTGCGTTTTCTAGCTCAAGTAGACGTCGGTACCGCCGACGCAGCTCGGAGTAATTATTGACGCAGCCTGCAAACTTGAAAGATGACGCGACACGATCGTATATTGATCGTGAGAGGTTGTCTGTATTCTTGTTCACAAAATGCATGAGTCCCTTAAAGAAGCCACGCTGGACCAGGCGGTGATCATTCCTGAAAGGCGGGTCGAAGTTCGGACTGGGGGTGAAAGGCTTGTAGGCCGGCTCCATGCCTAGTGATTGCTGTTCTCCAACAAGCTCATCTTCAGCCGCAATATCCTTCTTTGGCATGGAGCTAAAAACACCAGTTGGGATGACGCGGGGATGTAATCCTAGGAAGGGAACGTCAAAGTTGACGAGTCCCAGGATTCGATGTTTTGGCTGGTCATTGAGCTGCAACAGCGCAACGTCTGCGGCCAGGATTCCACCGAGACTGTGGCCGAGCAGAACGACATCCAGATCCTCGGCCTCGTGTGGTGCTAGCCTACATCTACATTAGTCTCAACAGTACTGGCATTCTATGAGCCACGTACCAGGCGCTGAATTGTGTCACGGCTGTTTGAATCCCAGCCTCGCCCCAAGACTTGTATCGGGGATAAATGCGAGTGTAAACCACATGCGAATCGCTTAACAGGCTCGTTAACAAATCGTGAATATGCGCTGGGAGGTCATGAAAGCTAGCTTCGGAGCCCATGAAACCGTGAATGTAAATCAGTAATAGTCTCCGCCTCGTATCCTCAGGTGCTGGACCCCGAGGCAGCGACAGGTTGGAGCGATTGACACCCTCATAGATGTCGCCCTCCATCGCGGATCGCGTGGAACGAAAGGTGGACAAAAGGAACCGTGGACCTGATAAAACACGTTCCCACCTTTCCGCACAGCCACAGCACGGGGGAATCGACCAAGGCACGGCCCCTTTGCCACTTGTTGAGGGGCTAGGCAAAAGATAGGGTACAAACAAAAATACTGTAACATGAATCCAAGTGAAACCAAGGCGAGGATTTTCATTTGAGATCCTGGAAGATTCTTGATCATTGGTTCTTCTGTTGCCTCTGGGGATACTGTATCACGGGCGCGTACCTGACACGATATTTACGACATTTACAACATTTACAACCTTGACGACCTTGACGACCTTGACGACCTTCGCCACTGGATAAATTATTAGCTGCGCGCCCTACGTCATTTCTACCTGCGCACCTACTCAAAGGCACACATCCTCGCCCTTGACAGAGCGCGCGTCAACAACGATGGGAACCCGTGCAAATCCCGACGGGGACTCACCCCCGCCGTATTCCCCATATCTTGATCCCCAACTGGCCGCCGAGTCGGCCAACGTCCACTGTACGTAGAACCACCTGGTACATAGTTGCAAGACTAATGGCTCTCCCTAGATGACGGCCGCATTGATGTCAATCTTGAATCAAAGCTCGCCAAGCAAATCGCTCAAATCGCGAACGAGCAGCCAGAAGACCACCCGCCTGGGCCAGATTACAGCGCCCAAACCGCCGAGGGAATCTACTGTGATGTGAAACTGAACATAGTGATCCAGATCGTGGGCAGCCGTGGCGATGTACAACCCTTCATCGCGCTGGGCAACGCCCTTCAAAGTCATGGCCACCGCGTCCGCATCGCCACGCACGGAGTCTTCGAGAAATTTGTCAAAGACTCGTACCTGGAATTCTTCCCTATTGGCGGAGATCCCGCCAAACTCATGGCCTACATGGTCAAGAACCCAGGCTTGATTCCACAGATTGAAACCTTGCGTGATGGGGAGATCAAACAGAAGCAGATCATGGTAGCGGAGATGCTGGATGGATGCTGGAAGTCATGCATCGAAGATGATCCTGATACCAAGGAGCCCTTTGTGGCAGATGCTATCATTGCGAATCCGCCTAGTTTTGCTCATGTTCATTGTGCGCAGGCGCTGGGTATCCCCGTTCACCTTATGTTTACCATGCCGTGGAGTAGTACCAAGGCATTTCCACATCCGTTGGCCAATCTGAACTCTACCGATATGAACCCCAGGACGGCGAATTGGGTGACATATGGTGTGGTGGAATGGCTTACATGGCAGGGGTAAGTGCTGTTTGCGTAAATTGTGAGAATAGACTGACCCTGTGCAGGTTGGGAGACGTGATTAATCGATTCCGACGTTCGATCGATCTTGCATCTGTACCCGCAACAGAGGGGCCGTGTCTGGCTGAAGCGTTGGAGATTCCTTTCACCTACTGTTGGTCTCCTGCACTGGTTCCAAAACCCCGAGACTGGCCATCTTATATCGGTAAGTAGGAGAGGCTTTCACCGTGGACCTAATCGCTGACTATCTGTAGACGTGTGTGGCTTCTTCTTCGGAGAACCCTCTTCATACACCCCGCCTTCTGATCTGGCGGAATTTCTGCAAGCAGGACCACCTCCTGTTTATATCGGCTTTGGTAGCATCGTGGTCGATAATCCCGAAAAATTGATAGAGACGGTGCTTGCAGCAGTATCAAGAGCTGGAGTACGTGCAATCGTTTCAAAAGGCTGGAGCGAACTAGCCGGTACATCGGATGAAAACATCTTCTATATTGGCGACTGTCCACACGACTGGCTCTTCCAGCACGTCTCCGCCGTGGTGCACCATGGCGGAGCCGGAACCACAGCCTGCGGTCTCCAGAACGGACGGCCAACGACCATCGTACCGTTTTTCGGCGAGTACGTTCATCTCTCTACTTCAAGGACCCCCCAGAACACTAATCAAGCCCGTTCCAGTCAACCCTTTTGGGGCAATATGGTAGCCCGAGCCGGCGCAGGTCCTTCCCCGATTCCCCATGCCGAATTAGACCCCGACATCCTAGCCTCCGCAATCCAATTCTGCCTCACCCAAGACGCCGCTGAAGCCGCACGCGAGATCGCGCTCAAGATGCAAGTCGAGTCCGGTGTATCAGCCGCCGTAGATTCATTCCACCGCCACCTCCCCATTGACCGCATGCGATGCAGCATCATGCCCGACCAAGCAGCAGTATGGACATACGGCATCGGAAAACAGCGATTGATCCTCTCAAAAACAGCAGTCAACATCCTAATCGAGCACGACAAGATAGATGCCCGAAACATCAAATGGTACGACATCCCCCACCATACATCTTATGTGCACCCCCTAACCTTTGATATACAGCTACCCCATCAACCCAATCATAATCGAAAACCGACGCTGGGACCCCCCTAACGGGCGTCCTCTCTGCCGCGGGCGCAACAGGAACAGAAATGGCCAAATCGACCGGCGAAATGCTCTACAACCCGTACAAAGAATACAAACGTGCGCGTCTCGAAAGCGCCGCCAACAAAGCGCGCACCGGCGAATCCCAGAACCCATTCGACACCGGCGGACGAATGGTCGGCGGCACATTAACAGGCGTAGGAAAATTCTACGGAAACTACCTCAAGGGTGTTGTTATTGATATCCCCGCATGCGGCGGCCGAGGGGTTCAGAAGAGCGCCGCAGTTGTATGGGGAGAAGCCGAAGGAGTATGGGACTGTGCATGATTGGAGGTCTGGAGTTAAGGTCGGTGGGAAGAATTTTGTGGGTGGGATGGCTGGGGGTGTTGCGGGCTTCTTTACGTCGCCGGTGAAAGGGTTCATGGAGGAAGGGCCGGAGGGAGCTATGAAGGGGTTTGCTAGGGGGACGATGGGGTTGGCGACAAAGATGCCTTCCGGTAAGTTTTTCTTTTGGGGGAATAGGTTGGGTTTAATACTGATTCTTTGCAGCTGCTATTGGGTTAACGGCGTATCCGTTCCATGGGATTTCGAAGAGTATTGAGGCTGCGTTTAGGACGAAGACGCCCAAGGATATTGTAGGTGCGAGACTGAGGGATGGGTATGCTCATGCAAGTAGGATGCAATTGTCGAAAGACGAGGAGCTGGAGATTTGTCAGGTGTTTGATGCGTTGGTGTCGACGATGAATGCATAGCTCATGCAGTCATATCAAAGCAAAACCTGAAGTGTCTTGCGATGATATTGATTTAATGAATTACGGTGCAATTAACTCTTACATTTATCATTTACGAGATGAATTAATTTCAATCGAATAAATAACGCAGAAGATATCTTCCTCGTCAATTTCATATAGTCAAATGTGATACGACTTGGCTCGTAAGTCATCAAGTCTGGAAACTCTAGCATGGAAAGAAGTGAGAAGAAAAAGAAATGAAAAGGTCGTTCAGAACATTGATCCCCCCAAACACCAGCACATCTTTCGTCAGAAGCGGCGTATCCTGAAAGCCTAGAGCACGGAATCAGGCCCATGCCTTGGCCAATAGACTGCCCCAGAGAGGGATACGAGGATACGAGACCACGGAGAAATCCTTCTCCAGGCGCCTGATACTCATTCCGCATATTAATGGCAACGGAGTTGGAGGTGTATGCAAGCGTTGGATTGTTTTTTTTTTTCCTTTTTGGATGCAAAGAAGCCCATACCCTTACTCGATAGCGGAGCCAGAGGTAGCGGCGTTCCTGGGGTCCCACTTGAGCTTGAAGTCGGGTCCAAGCTCCTTGGCGAGGGCGGCCTTGACAGCCTCGAGAACGTGGGGGAAGACACCGAAGTTGGCGGGGTTCAGCTCGTCGTTCTCGCCGCCCTGGAAGACACCGGTGCGGACGAGACAGGTGTTCCAGCCGTACATGTTTCCACCGATGATGTCGGAGGCGGGGTTGTCACCGACCATGTAGATGTTCTTGGGCAGCTTCTTCTCGCCGTAGAGCTCCTCCATCCAAGCGGCGAGAACCTCGTCGGCGTAGATGTAGGTGGCGCGCTCGGGCTTACCGTACAGGGTACGCTCGAGCTCCTTGCCGGAGACAGCCTTGTAGTGGGCTTCGACGGCGAGACGGATAGCACCGAGGTGGAGACGGGGCGGGCCCTTGTGCTCGGTGGGGCAGAGAAGATCACCTTGGGAGAAGTAGATGGGGATGTGGTCTTGATCCTTGGTGGCGCGAGTGAGGAGTTGGCCGTTGTCAGAGTTGAGGAGATCAGAGATGATCTGGAAGTCGGTCATCTGATCGTAGGACTCGGCGAAGTAGAGGATGGCGTCGAACTTGAAGTTCGAGAAGTCGCGGGGGCGGGCAAGCTTCTTGTCCTCCTCGGTGAAGCGGCGGCAGGGAGAAATGGTAGGGTCCCAGGCGACGATGTCCTTGGGGTGAATGACGTTCTTGAAGCCGTACTGCTCGGCAACATCACGAATCTTGAAGCCCTCACCACCGAGAACCAGGACGTTGTCGTAGTACTCAGACAGAGCCTGCATGGGAGTGTGGGACTGGATGAATTGGTCGGTGGAGATGGGGTGGCCCAGGACCTCAGTGAGCTGCGCGCAGCGAGCCTCCTCAGTCTTACCACCACCGTTGGTCAGAAGAATGTAGGGGAATTGGATGCCTGTTTGTCATTAGCAAATTGGTTTCTTTCACCCAAAAAAAAAAAAAAAAAAAGTTTTCTTTCATGGTGTGGGGGACATACCAAGCTCGTTGTCACCGTTCAGGATGCGGAGAGCAACCTTAGCCTCCTCAATGGCCTCATTACCGTGTGCCAGCACACCGTCAATGTCAAAGGCGAAAGCCATGTTCTTCACCTTCTCGACCAGCTCGGACTGCATGGACTGGACCTGTCCAGCCAGGATATCCCGGCGAACGACACTGGGTCTGGAAGAACGGGACAGGCGCGACATGCGCGGAGACCGGGGAATGGGAAGAGATGTGCCGAAGGAGTTACGAGAACCACGGCGGTCCCGCATAGAGGGCTGAATGGACAGGTGGTGCATCATAGCAGAGGCAGCACCCAGAGAGCTGCGTGAGGCAGGAATCTCAAGTGTGCCGCCGCCCTCAGCGGGGATGACCTGGCCGGAAGGGTGACGGCCTTCGCGCGGCGAGAGAGCAGCCTGGGCATCACTGGGACGAGGGTCCCGGGGGGCGGCGTCAACGCCAAAGTCGGCATCTTCAAAGCGAGGCATGATGAGAGAAGATCGGAAGATCTACAGAGCCAAGTGTATAGAGAATAGGGTATGTAAGAATTGAAAGAGGTGAGCTTGACCTAGAAACGCAGTCTCTTAGGTTCGAGTCACAGAAGGGAATTGACGAATCTATGACGAAGGAGGAGATGAGTTGACTTTAAATATGAACCGTGAATCGGTCCCCTAAAGCAGGCGTCCCGGTCAGTGGAGCCCAGGTGCCCGACCCATATTTCTGCAAGCCTCCTATACGACTGCCATTATCTAGTGCCACAGCGAAGGAGAAATGACGTGGTCATTACCCAGATCAGTGTTAGACAGGGTGTTTCCAGTGTCAATGCCAATTCCAGTGTTCGTGGTCGTGTTCCCAACACCGATCTTAGCGGTAATAAGCTTAAGCCCCCTCGGCGCACCTTCCGCTTTTCTAGAGTCTTGTCGTAACCACTACAGTACTATCTACATCGACCCTATTCAGTCTGTTTTCTTGCAATCGTCCCCTTTCTTCTCTTCGTACTGTACTCACGACAGTTCACGCATTTCCGACGTCGTCATAGGCCGCGGATTACCGCTTGCGGACACCCGAAACCCGCATGGTGGGTAACGGTGGGCAGCGAGATCCACTGTATAGCCCACCGATGGATGGTCGGCTGTGGCGGACATGTAACCACGACTCGGGAACACGCAGGGAGAAAGAGATTGAACGAATGGCGATACCGGGTCGACCGCGGCCGGAGATGCCGCAACACGGTCAGATCATCTCTGCAGGTCGAGCAGATCTCTGGGTAGCTATCGCCAACGGCATCGAATTTCTCATCCTGGGCACGTGATTGGACACTCGAGATCCACCTCGGCGGCATAATGACGACATGTTTCCCGAACGGAATCCAAAGATATCCACGACCGGACGTTTTCGGGGCAACCGTCCATACTTTCCCAGCATGTTACGGCATCTTGTTGGTTGATGCTCGGGTTGTTTACACCGAAAATAGGTTACGGTGCTTTCGAGGCATTTTTTTTATAACGGATGTCTGTCCTCCGGGTTTTCGAAATTTTGTTAATCGCAGCTTTAGTCTTGCTACTCCTGCTAGACTCAATAGCGCGGTGGAGCAGAACCCCTCCCCCTCCCCCTCCAAATGCCCCTCCAAATGCCCCTCCAAGCATTTGCCAATGCTCTCAAGTTTGAGCAAGGACAAAAACAAGAGAGGAAATACTACTAGGAAATGCTACTCAGGTACCAAGTACCATAGGTTTAGGAAACGGGAATTGCTTCCGCCCCTATCTCGTATTTTTGATTGCGAATGTTTCAAAAGACCCACGATAACCCAAGGTAACCAAAGGAGCCTCAATCAAACCAAAAACGCCTCACGCCACCAGGGGCAATCCTTCCAGACGAATCTAGAGCAGAGAGGGCAAACACTGCGAAACAAATTTCAAACCCAAACCTAAAATCCAAAACCACATAGCGGTTAATGTACTGTAAGCCCTAGCTACAGTTGATCCTCAGGGAACATCCCGGCTGCGATAAGAGCTTATCACAACCTGCATGACGCAATCAGGAACCCACGGAGCTGATGTAAAGCTGACACTCAGAACACCAAACAAGCTCACCTCATTCAAACCACACATCACCTACCTCACCTTAGGGAAAAAAAACCACAATGGCACCGCGCTGCTTCATCGTCCGCCACGGCGAAACCGAATGGTCCCTAAACGGCCGACACACAGGAACATCCGACCTCCCACTCACGGCAAACGGCGAGAAGCGCGTTAAAGCTACAGGCAAAGCGCTAGTGGGGGACGACAGGCTAATTGTGCCCAAGAACCTAGTGCATGTGTAAGACATTCCTCCCCCCCCCTCCCCATGACAGCATTTCATGAGGCATTTCTGCCTTACACCACACTAGAGAATCAGAGTTTCTCTAGTCCATCCCATACCCTATCCACCTACCTACCTAGGTAGGTGGGGAGCGTTCACAGTTCACATTTCACCGATAATGGCGATACTAACGGGCTCCGCTAGTTATGTATCCCCGCGCACGCGCGCACAGCGAACTCTCGAGTTACTGAAGATAGGATGTCGGGAGCGACTGCCGTGGAATGAGAGGCGTAAGGCAGAGGAAGAGGATCCAATTCGCACGGATGCGAATGTAGAGATCACGGAGGCCGTTAGGGAGTGGGATTATGGGCATTATGAGGGGTTGACTTCGAAGCAAATTCAAGAGGAGAGGGAGAGGTTGGGGTTGGGCCCTTGGAATATTTGGACGGATGGATGTCCTGGGGGGAGAGTACGTCTTACCTGTTCCTTTTTATCAGGGCGGTTTTCTTTATGGATCGGATTGGATTGGATTGGATTGGATGGGATTGGATGGATAATGCTAACATCTATCAGATCCCCCGATGATATCGTTCGTCGTCTTGATGCAGTGATCGCTGACATCAGGGAGAAGTATCACCGTCCCTGCTTTGAGAACCCAGATGGTCCAGGTGATGTGCTCGTCGTTGCCCATGGACATATCCTGCGTGCATTTGCGATGCGGTGGACTGGAAAGCCGTTGACGGAGACGGCCTTCATTCTGGAAGCCGGTGGTGTGGGCACATTAAGGTGAGTTGAGCCGTCGAGACAGATTTGCAAGATCTCAAGACCCAGAATCCAGACTGACGGTGTCTAGCTATGAGCACCATAATATTGAAGAGCCGGCGATTATCCTTGGAGGTGGATTCGTCGTTGAGTAAAAGTTTACCATGTTCGCGGTAGTTTGAGTCTGATAGGACAAATTAGCATAGTCCGTAGACACGCACACAGTACGCGAGAAGCAGAAAAGACACTTACCGTATCAACTCAGTCCTCTTCACTCTCCTCCTTCTTAATTTTGGCCTCAACAGGGTCTGCATTCCCCTTGACGCCTTCCTCGCCGAGAATCTTCGCAGAGCCCATGAACATTGCACCGACATAGCCACCCAAGAAGCGCATATCGCCTGCTTGGACAGCCGTCATACGGAGCAAGTTCTCCGTGTCCGCAAGATTTGCATTGAGCTGTGCGAGTTGGCTGTGCAGATGGGCATATTGACGGGTTTTGGCGGCAGACATCGAAGCTGAACCGGTGCTGCCTTGGGGCATGGAAGATGCGCCGGGGTTGAAGGCGCCAGAGCCTGAGCCTGAGGTTGGGAGGATTGAGGCGCGAGTGTAGGTTGAGGTTTGGGAGTCGTGACGACGGTGGGATGGGGGAAGGGGTGGCATCTTTGCTTGTATCTTCGGGGTCAGCGGCGCCGAATAGACTCGATTGGCGGATTGGAAGCTGTAGTGCTTGATCAATCTGGCGAAGAATGTAGTGGGTGATTTTGTCAATCGCGGGGAGTTTGTTTACATGGGGCGGTCACATGACCATACTCTTACGGACAACCACCAAGTTGAACAGTTGAAGTTAAAAGGTTGATAGGACATTGAACATTATAAATAATACAAAAGCACACAGAGAGCAACTCAGTGATATAACGGAGAAAGTCTATCAGTTCGTGGGCTCCATGAAGAATAACGATCTGTCCAGAGGGCAGTGTAACATCAGACATACACCCCGTCATTAATTTCCAATCAATCGCGAACCCAGCCAAAGCAGATCAAGACAACACAACCGAATAAATCGAACCCCTCTTTTTTGCAATGCGCCAGGGACCAGACCACAGAAACTCAGAGACAGGCCAGACTGTCAGGCCGGTCGGATGATAACAGCAAAGGAAACATTGTGGAACAAATGAGAGATACCCCGAGCAGGAACAGATGATGATAATAACGCAGGCAATAATAGGGCAATAAGCAACGTATACTGGCCCCGATAATGAGGGTCAAACAAAAAGGAAAGGCGCCGTTTGAGGTAGTGTACAGTCATGCAGAGAGACGGAGAGCTGGCAGGTGGTTGCGACTGAGCGAGAAATCGGATCGAAGTCGGAGGTCGAGGGCGCTATATCAACATGCTGCAGAAGAGATATGATGTTCCAGTGTAGGCATGCGCAGACCTCGGGGAAGAAAAAGAAAAGGAGTCGATAATGCCGCAAAACGAGAGATGAGTATCAATGCAGGAGAAAGAAAAAAAAAAACCAGACAAAAAGCACAGCCTGCATCCCGACCACTCCGGAACAAAAACAAATAACAAGCTAATAACCCCCTATGTCCCTCATGTATATGTAAAGAAGCGAAGAGCCGAGTATTAACCAATACCGCAGTCCACGGGGGTAAAGGTGGCGTAAAATAATAACCCCGAAGAATGACAACGCAACGATGCAAAAATCAGGGCCCAAACATGACAAGAGTTGGGCCGATAGCCATCCAGTAGGGATGCGAGCGTCAGAAAATGAAATTCAGTCGGTCATCGATTGCCGCTTTTGGTATCGTGGGAAATAGGCATTCAGTGGATAGCCGCTGCAATGTGCTGGTCACCAAGGCTGACCTCGCTGCTGTGAGCCGAATCAACGTTCGCACTGGCACCGCTATCACCACTCTCCGCGCTGGCACTCGCACTTCCAGTCAGACTCTTGTTCTTGGGAGGGGGTCCCTTGGCAGGAGAGTTGCTCACCCCATAGTGTTGCTCAACTGATTGCGGGCCAACCGGGGGGCCGTGACCAGACGGGTTCCGGGGTACCGGTGTCCGCATGTTTCCAGGCGGCGACGGTTGACCGTTATATGAAGGGGCACCAGGGATTCCAAGATTGGGGTCATGGGCTGTCATGGGGCGACCCATGCGAGGGCCCGGGGGTCCAGGGAAGGGAGCGGCGGGGGAGTGGCTGTTTCGCCGACTCGTAGGGTAGGGACGCGGGGGAGCGAAATCGCCCATGGCACTAGCAGTGATGGAATTTGCGCGAGAGCCTGCATTCAAGTGACTGCGGTCAACGGATCCATATCTGTCGGAAGAGTAGCTCATTAAAGGGTTATCGAGAAGAGAGTCGTGGAGACTCGGGATTTCTTGCATGGCGCGGTCAGTTGGGCGGGGCTTGCGGTTGAAGTATCGACCGAATGCAGAGGAGGAGGGTCGGCTGTTAGGCATGGGAGGGCCGGCGAAGCGCTCCGGGTTATTCCTAAGTTGGCTCTGGCTCGGGGCCTTGCGTGCTCGGCGAGAGGTGATGCTCATCATATCAACCTGATCCGGGTCGACATGAGGAATTCCCATGGAATCCATCGGGTCAAAGTAATCTTCGTCCTCTTCGTCAAAAGCCGTCGCTCGGGGAGGTGGTCGTCGAGGGCCGGGGCTAGGGCCAGGGCCAGGGCCTCGTCGCATACCCGGAGGCATAGGCATTCCCATGCCCATGCCCATGCCCATCTCCTGCTCGCGAAGCTGTAATTCGCGCTTGCGCAAAGCCAGTTCACGCTCCCTCAGTGCAATATCAGTACCGGGACCAGCAGCGCCCTCAGGGAAGCCATTGCCATTAGCGTGCGGCATTTCACCTTCAGCTCCGTCGTAAACCACCAGGTGGCTGAACTCCTCCAGACCTTCCAATGACGGGTCACGGGGAACGCCATTTCCAGGAGGAGGCATAGGACCACCGCGGCCTCTTGGCATCATGCCCTGGGGCGGGCCTCGTCGTGCATTTGGTGGCAACCCCATGCTCGAGTGCGTGCGGCTCGATCGCATCTGAGCACCATTCATAGGGGGTCGCTGCGGAGGAGCAGAGGACATTCTGGGAGGAGGATGACCGATAACTGAGGCGGGAGGAGAATCGCCTTGTCGCGGCTTGGACTGGTTCACAATGTTGACATTGTGGAGCATGGCGTACATGGCCTCAATACGAGGCACGGGCACGTTGGACTCGGTGGCGAGCTTGATTGGGGATCCCAAGAAGGTCTCAACTTCCATCGGGCGGCGAGCCTGGAAATCCTGGTACATGGTGCTGGGGGCTTCAGATGCGGTCATCTTCTCAACTGTCTTCTGTCGGAAGTCGTTCGGGAATTTGCAGCCCTGCGCAGTGGCCAGCTCCAAAAGCTCGTCGATAATTCCGTTCACCAATTGGCGAACACCGGCTTTCTCCAGTAGTTGTGTGGAATTAGGGGTATCGAAAACGACGCTTGCGGTATGGAATGCGATCGGCCTGGCACAAGAATTAGCAACCGGATTTTGCTTCAGGAGACCACCAGACTTACCCAATCATCCGGTCAAATTGTTCCTGTCTAATATTTTCCGACACTTTGCATTCGACCTGGCCCGAGCCCAGGGTCATGGCCAATGCTGCGGCCATGTCGTTCTGAATAGATGCGGGAATAGAGGACTGCTTGTTGGTCGCGCCCACAATAATTTCACTGGAACTGAGGTGCTCAAACTCGCTAGCACCCGTTTGGGTGATTTCCACGTTGGAAACTAGAGAAAGGACCACGTTGGTCGGGTATCGTTGTTCGAGATGGGACTCGAGGCCGATGGTGTTCGTGGTGTTGATAAGAATGCAGGTGTGTTGGGGGGTAACGACCGATTCGATCACCGAAGCCAAGTCATAGACATCCGGGAGAGCCTTCACGCAGAGAATGACATAGTCATAGGCTTGTTCGCGGGAGGAAGCGTCTTCGGGAGCGCGAACAACTGGAGGCAAACCCGTTAGCTTGAAAGAGCCGGGATCAACGGGGGCGTGAGAGACTGATCATACCATGACGGGGCTTAAATCGTTCATTACCGAATGCTTTTGATCTGTCGATAAGAGCGATGAGTGAAAAGCTCTTTTCGGGGGGATTAAGATACTGAAGCAGGTAGAAACGTACTTGAAGGAGACACCGTATTGAGACACGGCTTCGAATCCAGATTTCCAGACCAGGGTGACATCGCAGGAAGTCGTCGCCTGAAGCCGCCACGATAAAAAGGCAGAGATCGCATTGCCACCCACTGCACAAACTTTCAGTCTTGGACGCCCCATTGCGAATGGGGAGAGAAGAGAAGACTTACCGGACAGGATGCGTAGACGTGGAGGAGGAGCCATGGTCGAATGTGGACGTGGTATCGAGGAAGGACCAAGTCAAATGGTCCAGCGGCGCGCAAGGCCACGGAAGAGAAAGATGGGGTTTACCACGGGGCCAGGGCGAAGGGGCGGGAAGGGAGGGGAGGGGGAAAGAAGCGAGTGTGTAAGCGTGTAATTGTGTAAGAGAGAGATGGGGAAGGAGGAGAGAGGAGAGAGAGAAAGAGAGAGCGAGAGAGATAGGAAGGAACCTGAGCCTCAACTTTCCAAGTGCGACCGCAAAAAGAATGTCCTTGATCCCCGGCGCTTTCAACGGTCGTGGATCCCCCGCCAGTCTCGATCCGGAAACGGACGATAAGAAAGGCTGTCCGCGGACGGTGGCTATTTGTTGATGCTGGATGCAGAGGTAGAATGATCCTTTTTCCAAGCAGGGCCTTTTACTGTACTTGTTGTGCTTGTGTTTCTTTTTTTTTTTTTTTTTTTCCCTCAGTTCCTATCTACTTAGTTCCCGCGCTATCAACGTTTCGTGGCCTTCCACGCAATCACGGTCTCGACGTGTCGAAATAGCTTAATATGTGCCCCGAAACAGGACTTCAGAGAACCACATCGGACTCAAAACTAGCCATTTATGACGACCCTCGTCTATATAGCAGCTAGCTATCCAGAACACCTCAGTTTTTTTAGGTACATGGACAGAGACAAGACCGGGTTTGCTTGTAGCTGGGACACCCGACTGTAAATAATGGTTCAAACGAGTCTGGCCCTGGCATGTAGCCAACCCACCTTGCTACTATTATTATCACTCTTGGTCATTTTTTTTTATTTTTTTTTCCTTTTTGTCCTTCTTGTCCTTTTTGTCCTTTGTCCTTTTTCCGTTTTCTGTTTTCTGTTTTCCAACTTCCCATGATTATGGCTCCACCCTCGTTGATCGGCAGAGTCGTTTTAAAACTTTCGCACTTAAACACTCTCGAACATGAAGCTGTGTGTCTGTGTGAACAGCACGACCATCTAGAAATAATATCGACGCGTATATCGCCGCGTCCCTGGTCACCCCCCAATCCACTTCTGAAACCCACGTACAACTAGCGTCTGGCCATGCAGAGTCAGCGGAAAGAAAAAAAAACTGAATTTTTTTTACAAATCAGGCCAGGAATTAACTCTCTACCCTGCGGTCTGAGCATACGCAGGACCATCTAGCACATCCGATGCCCTCCGGCTCCTTCTGCGCCAACGTCGCATTGGGCACATACCCCAGCCACTGAGCTCGTGCCGTTCTTGCTAGACAGGGAGCTTTTCTCGGGAGCTTTGTACTCTATTTCGGTCTTCAGTATTTTATCCCTGATCGACATCGGCTAGCCGTTGACAGTTCAACCGTGACACAGCCCGGATCACATCCAAAGCAGATATCGTAGGAGAGATCCCAAGACTTTCTTCCCCACACCGCATATCTTCTTCCCTTGAGCTTCGTTGCACTACGGGCCGTTGGTTTCTCTACTTGAGGACTACCCCAGGGTGGGCGCCCAGGTTCACCATTGACAACTCACAGTTCACCGTCTATACGGAGTCAATCTCCAATTTTTTTCTTTTTCCGGTTTCCAGGGAGGAGAGAGAAGGGGGAGGCGGTGTTGATACATTCCGGGATCGACGCGCGTGCCGAATGCGGCAGCATCCTGGTTCCCAAGGGACTGACATTTCTCGGGGATTTTGGATTCTTCGATTCCTCGAGCCTTGGACTAGGACTGGGACTGGGATTGTCTGTTTCATCGTAATCAGGAACCATCAATACAACCAAGGTCCGAGGTCCAAGGTCCAAGTCCAGACCGGGGAGATCGCAGTGGAGAGCAACTCTCATTGTGATCCACCGATACTTAATTTCTCCGACTTCCGAAGCTCCGACTCCGCGTGCATCGTAAGTACGCGGCCATGGGCGATGGGCCATACCGCCCAGTGGCAGGAAAAACGTGAACCACGTTTGCAGGTCGCCGGATGCAGGTAATTGTTTTGCTCGGATTCCAAGCTTCGGATTTTGAGACTTCCAGTTCAATTCAGGTTCAGATTATCATTTCCTAACAGCCCGACTCAGCCACGATCGGCTCTTGGCTTGAGGTCATGGCTTGGGCCGAATGTGAATGGGCGATCGATGAGTTCTCAGAGCCACCGTCCTCGTTTTGCACTATTAATCTACCCGGTACAGAGTACGATGTACATAACCGGCTTCTTAATTTCGAAACCAAGTAATTTTCGGACCCGCTCCGTAAGACAGGTCAACGCTCACAGGGAAGCTATCGACCCGATCGCGCATTTTCGTGTGTTTTGTGAACCGGGCGAGTATAACTCCGAGCTGCACAGTAGTCCCTGTAGCTACTTTCACCGTGTATGGAGTGGAGTACCTGCTGATCAATATCAAAAAAAAAAACATTATGATTGTCCGATCATGTTTCTGCCCATCTTCAAGCAGGGTACGGAGGCCAGTAAGAAATGGCATACCCGGACCCTGTCTCAGCCTCGCCCTCACGGCTCTTGGGCTCAGGAGCTTAAAGAGTTCCTGAGCACTTGAGCAATTGAGTCAGCGGCGTCTGCCAATGGCGCCCAAAGACCGAGCACATGCGGAGAACGCCGTGCCCAACGCCTCGTTCTGTTGGACGCCATTTCTTTCGCCTTCAGGACAAGTGCCGTGACACAAAACCAGTCACAAAAGCCACATCGCCGCTAGAGTCGAACAGTCGGCCCCTGGGTGGGACAATGGCGCGAGGTCCGAGACAGGGTTTTCTGGCTTAGCTTCCGTCCGCTGCCTTGTTTTTGATATGCGCTACCGCCGGCCGATCGTGGAATCCCGCGTGGTCTGAGTTTGTGGGACTGTGGGATTGGTCTAGCGATTCTTTGCCCGTATGGGAATTGGAAATAACTTGGCTTCTTTGGTTTTACGGGCGTCGCTTTCCATGGAAGCGACCATTGTTCTGGAAGCGACGCTTGTTCTGCACTTTTGCAACCCGCAAGATGTAACGCCAATTGGTGATTGGTAATTTGTCAGTTGCATATTTCCGCACATTGCACAGATGTGTGCACTATTCTCTCAAGTACCCCCGTACCCGTATACCACGAGCCACCATCCTGCCTCGTAGACCTAGTCACAAAACGTCTGCCGATCTCGATGTCCTAGTCCACGCCAGCTGGGGCCGGAGCCATCTTCACCCCGAACCTTAACCCAGGCGTTCATGCCGAAGTAGGGCCTCCACGCGTCGACGATCGACGATTGCCTGATGTCCGCCCGCGTCACAATTTCCCTGGCCCGGTTTGCCTCCCAACAGCTGTCATGCAGGGAAGCTGCACGAGTATTTAAATCGCCTAGCGGAAGTATAATCTGGAAATAGGGGGTAATGAAAGCACCATGCAGATCAGGGCAGCTCGTGCTCGCTTGGGCATGGCAAGAGCGAGAGTGAGCGAGAGAGACCCGCCAATCATACTCATGCTTTCAAGGGACCTGAGGACGGCCCCGGCTCGGCAGAGCTTGGTCTCAGGGTTCGAGAGGCTGTGGACTTCTTGGGAAATGATCGATCCTGGGGCCCGGTTTTGGCGGGTCTTGCTGAACTTGGTGGAACCGCGTCGTTGTGGCTTCCTCTACTTGTTGCATGTCGGGCGAGTCAGGATGGAGATTAAGATTAAAATTTGTCCTTGCTTCGAAGATACAAAGTATGGTCTGAGAGGCAAATCGATTGATAATTAGTCTCTTTTGATGTAATCACCTGGAATCAGTTGGGGAAATTGCAAAAATATCTCAGGCTCGATGAGGCCTGGTACCTGGTACCTAGAGCCGTGGGGACACGAGTCATGTCTGTGGCACCGTGCGGAAGACTACACGGGCACTATATATTAACCTCATGAGGCAAGCACTGCCCAGGTGCCAAGGTCGAACCAAGGTTTGTCATTGCAGCCCTCGTGCTGAAGTCTCACAGGTCTCGGGATCTATGAGAGATATCGGTGGTTGCAAGATTCTTATTCGGGCGATGTGCTAAATCCTGAATTATCTTTACATGATCAAAGGCCCGCCAAATAAGGACCTGAGGATATGTTGACCTCAGGGACATTCAAATAGGGACCTTCACTTGGGGTAGGTACCTAGAAAACGTTGGAAAGAACGCTCTTCAACTTCCCCGAGCACCTTATCACAGACTCGGTCTCTAGGAAGTGATTTGATAAGAGCGTGGTTCCTGTAAGCTTGCGTGTTGTATTAGCTGAGCAAGGCTCAACTGGTCCAAGCCTCTGAGTTTCGAAGTCAATGTCAGTCTTTGCTAAGTCTGACGTCTGTCACCATTCGTTGGCATCACAAAATAACCAACGTGTTTCTGAGCCACCACGGGAATATTAAAATTCATCCACGTGGGGGCCAGTTGATGAATACGGGTGGTAAGCTAAAGTGAACAGTTGAATGTTGGTGGTTAGATAACAGGTGCAACCGATAGGTCGCTGAATATATTGTTGAAAGAGAAACCCCACTGGCAATGCCTTAACTATCTAATCAAACTATGAAGACCTATTGGCTGAGGGATTCAGGTCTATTCCAACCTCGATGGAGACGAACGGACTCTGAACAAGTGCTCGCATCCCACATCGGCGGCACTTGGAGTTGAACTAGTACAAGGAAAAAGGACTGGAGGTAAGAGTTACCTTGATGAAATTGGAATACCGTGACAATAGAGCTCCCTTGGCGTTCCTGCTATAGAATAGGTATGTGTGCTGAAGAGTTGATTCACCAGAAGTTTCAGGAAGAAAGCTCAAATCCTGGCAACATCATCACTCGAAGGGTTATGCGCGGATAGGGCAATCCGGCAACAAGCATGACATCAGCTCTAGGGCGAGATGAACCACCCGGGCATGCCTAGCAGTAACATGCCACAAGCCCAGTCAACTACAACTACGGACTACAAAACCGTGTTCACTTTTTGACCGTTTGTATTTCATTCTGATCTGACATACAACGGGGATTCAGCCTCACGTGAGACCCACGAGAAAAACCCATAGCCGAGCTATTTGCGCCATAAACAAGACAAAGTGACTAGAATAGAAAAAAAGAAAAAGGGGTTCAGCGCGGCCGCAAGCGACCGGCTACCAAAGCATCGAAAGGTACTTAAGCCATATAGGTGGAGGAGTCGACACCACCCTCGGGGTACTCACTGTGATAAAGGGTTAGTGTGGGAAGTAATTAGAGAGACGGAAGGGTACATACGGAAGAGCGACCTCGAAGCGCTTCTCAATCTCCTTCAGGACCTTCTCATCATCCTCGTTGCTCACGAAGGAGATAGAGAGACCCTTGGTACCGAAACGACCGGCACGACCGACGCGGTGGAGGTAGGAGTCGGCATCGGCGGGGAGATCGTAGTTGATAGCCAAGTTGATACGCTCGATATCGATACCACGACCGAAGACATCAGTGGCGACACAGATGCGCTTGTTGAACTCCTTGAACTCCTTGTAGCGCTTGATACTATGGGGCTGTCAGTTGTGTCCGGAGGTGTGATGGTGCAGCGAGACTTACCGCTCCTCTTGGCTGACGCCGGAGTGGACAGCAATGGAGGGGAAGTTGCACTCCCGCAGAAGCTTGTCAAGCTCGTTGGCACGCTGGGTGCTCTTCACGAAGATAATAACCTGGTTGAACTCCAGGTTGTCGAGCAAGTCGTTCAGCTTGCGGTTCTTCTCCTGTTCGCTAAGCTTGATGTAATACTGCTGAAGACCGTGCAGAGTGAGCTTGGTATCGTCATCGACGTACACCTCGAGCGGGTTGCGCATGAACTTCTTGCAGATAGGGCGGACCTCCTGGGAGAGGGTGGCACTGAACATCATAACCTGCTTGTCGGCAGGGGTAGCGCGGAAGATTTCCTGGACGTCACGGCGCATATCTGGCGAAGACTTTACGTTAGAGGACGACGTTCCGAGATTGGTTGAACCAGTCGTCACTTACCGATCTGATCGAGCATCTTATCACACTCATCGAGAACAAAGGCCTTGACGTTGCGCAAGCTCAGCTTCTTGTCGCGGACAAGAGCGTTCAGACGACCGGGGGTGGCCACGATGATGTTCGGGTAGCTCTCTTTGTTCGACAGAGTCTCGATATCCTTCTGGATAGGAGTACCACCGTAGAAGACGGCAGTCTTGACCTCGGGGAGATACTTTGAGAAACGGGCATACTCGTTCTTGATCTGGTAGGCCAGCTCACGAGTGTGGCACATGACGAGAATGGAGCACTCGCCGGGGACGGGCTCCAGCTGGTGCAGAGTGGTCAGGACGAAGACGGCGGTCTTACCGAGACCGGACTTGGCCTGACAAAGGACGTCGACATTGAGGATAGCGGTCGGGATGCAAACTTGCTGAACTGTTCGATGCGGAGCGGTGGTTAGACTTAAATTCGACTCAGGATGAAGTAAAAGCAATTTCGTGTCGCACGGTCCGTCCATCTCGTTGAAGCCACCAAATAAACACACCGAGGCTCAAACTTCACCCGCCTCTTCAGATCCGCTTGGAACTGCGAATTCAGTCAAGCGAAAATATCAAATTTTTGCCAGCAATGATTTCTGCAGACGACAAGAGGGGCGCGGGGCGCATATCATCAGACCAGCAGTTCAGATCGCATTGCTTTCCACCGGGAGCTTCTATCGCTCGCGTCAAGAGTAATATGTGGAAGTAAATGACGACCGTAGCCATGGCCATGTGATAGGAGACACCTCGCAGCCGTAGCGCAGGAGTCGAAGGAACCATCCGAGATGGATGTACGTGGCATTGTTGTGGAACAATGATCCTCGTATCGTCTGCAGATTCGAAGGCGACAAATCGCCGATACCGATTGATGGAAGTTCTCGCGGAGATGGACGGACGTTGGAGTATATAATGGAGGAAGACATGTGGGAGAAACAAGTTAGACTAACCCTCCGAAGGATGCTCGAAGCCGCAGTCGGTGATGGCGCGAAGAAGCTCTCCCTTGAGCAGGAAGTCGCGGAAACCGGTCGAGTGAATGCCAACGTAGCTGCCCTTCTTGTCGGGGCGGCCACCAGAAACAGTCAGATCACCCTTCTTGTCATCATCGCCGTTGGCTGCAGCGGGGGCGGCAGCAGGGGCGGGGACGGTGGTCTGAAGCTCCTCGTCGGAGTAATCGATCAGGTCTTCTTCGTGGGACATGATGGCGGTGGTTCGAAGTGAGATGGGTGGTAAGTGGGTCGGAGCGTGTCTTCTCGTCGCGAGAAGCAAGGAGAAAGATGGGAGAGGGGGGGAGGGGTCACAAGGAGAGCAGGAAAGGGGATCTGGCGAAAAACCCTCGAAATTGACGTGAAAGAGGACGGTGTCGACCAGAGGAAAGAGATGAAATGGGGAGAGTGGATGCGGCGAGGGATACCGTTCGAAGCTGAGCGGCTTCTGTCACGTGTGCTTCTCTGATTCCGTTTTGGGACTAGCGTCTTCGGTGTATTTGATTCTTTGGCCAAGTAACGTCCTTTGATTCATTCTAGTCTTGAGCGACCATGGCCAAAGCCAAAGCTCCCAAGGAAGGGAAGAACTCAAAAAGCCATATTAAAGCACGACTAGAATTTTTACATCGTGCTGCAGAATATCTCCAGAGCGTATCGAAATCTCCCGATCAAGCTGAAGTAGCTACCACTGGTGACTCAACTGTGGTCGATAACGGGGCCCATGAGCCATTCACACCTCAAGACGCATCATATGACACGGGGCAGTTGATATCTACTTCTAAGAACCAGCACACTTCCAAGAAGACACTGTCCAACCTGTCCAGAGTATCAATATCTCATATGCGCGGGGTATCTCTGAAGACACAAACTCGGCTACCAGTCCCGGTGAAGCGATCCCACTGCAAGCGCTGCGATACGCTTCAGCTTCCAGGAGTCAATTGCACGCGTGAGGTGACCAATGCCAGTCGTGGACGCAAAAAGCCGTGGGCCGACGTGCTAGTCGTGCACTGTCTCGTTTGCGGTACTGAAAAGCGGTTTCCTCAGACAGACCGGAAAAGCACGAAGCTGAAGCAACGAAAAACACAAGCCTCAGCTTCAGCCACAGGATCAGGATCAGGATCAGGATCAGGTTGATGTATCAGGAATGTGCTTTTATAATTCAATTCTTTCATGGGACAGGGTATTTGCCACGTTGTCTCTGGCGGCTGCCCTGACAAGAAGGCAGCTATGCTAGCATTCGCTTTATCCTTTTTCGATGTCTGGTCAAGGAAGAGCTTTTTGCGCGCCATCACCGACTGTGGCTTCGGGCATCAATCGGAGGCTTAGTCCAACTTGTTTCCGAGTGGATACCTGATCGAATGGAGCGGCGGTCGCCTTCAATTGGGCACCACATTTGCGGCAACTGCAGAGTGTCCTCCGGCGCATTCTCACTCAAGATACCTGAAACCGATAAGTCTGAAATGGTCTCCTGGCAAGTGATATTGACGTTGTTGCGCCGACGTGGGTTGAGGTTACGGCAGAGTGAAACATCATAGAGCTCTTGAGCTCTGCGCAACTTGTGCAACCCGACAAACCGGCCAATGAATTTGCGCGTGTCGATGGCATGCAAGGTCCGTTTTGATTTGGGTTCTCTCCGTCCACCCATACCGACCAACTTCATCAATCAGCCGTCACTAAGGGCTTGATGGCGTGCATTTATCCACCGTCCTCGCAGCCCTGTAGAGTACAGAGTCTCGACAAAGATGACCTCAGATCATCTGTGCCCAGTTCTCATTGCACTTTACATATGCAAAATTCACATGAACTAGCCTGGAGACGACATTTACTACATACCGGCAAAGCTGAAAGGATCAATCATCATATTGAGCTGAGCAATGGCCAAGGAAATCAGACAACCTAAACCCATGTAAATACACAAAAACATGCAAAGAGGGGAATCGAAATCACAGATGAAACCAACTAGGACACTTTAACTGAAAGCAGGTCATGTTTATGCGCTTGAGAAAAAACATTAAAATCCATCGTCGTGGAAATCGTGACACTTGCGAAGGCCCACGGCCAAGAGAACGAAAGTGTAAAAAGAACCAGCTCCTGCGCCATCAATATACTGCAGTCCCATCTGGAGATCCAGAGTGCCGTGAGGCATGCAGTTCTTTCAATCGACTGTCGATAATTCCGATAAAACCAAGGAAATAAGCGAAGACGGTGCTTCACGGGATCAAAAGAGGGACGTCCGCGAGGACAAGTATCATATATCTTTTTTCTTTTTGTAGAGGTGGTGTGGTGTGAGATGATCGGGTTCGAAGTTAGGACAGGAGGGTATGGGATGAACCATCCAGTGGTGTCAAGTCGAGTCGGAGGACCCCCGAGATAGGGCTGGTCGGTTATAAATCATTGTGTATTCGAGAGTAAAATGGTGTTCAGACAAGGTAGGTAGGGTATGGTATTGTGAGGTAGTCGTGTCAGCGTCGCCGGCGAGAACTTTGATCCATACGATGATCCAGAGTCTCGATACGACCGCGAAATCCCTTGACGATATCTCGAATATGGCCAATTTTGGCTAACTCGAGATCCAGCTCGTCGATGGAAGCCAGGATGGAACGAGTGCGGGCGATCTCCGCATCGGCGTTACGGATCACGTTCCCGGCGCGGTCGTAGCTGTTTTGAATGGAGGCTTGCATTTGGTCCTCCAGCTGGATTTGCAAGTCAGAAGGTAAAACACAAGCGGATCCCGATTGAAATTTGACAGGGAGCAATGCGGGGAAATATCGTACATATTCGATGCGGCCACGGATCTGAGCCTGCAGACCGTCCAACTGGTGCGACAGCGCGCGAAGACTCATGGGATCCAACAACAAGCGCCCTTGGCTGGAGGCAGCGCTTGTCGCGCGCGAGCTGGAGTTGCTGGTTCTCCCTGTCCCTCTGCCCCTGGCGACGCCATTGCCGGCGTGGCCCTGGAGGGCAATTTGTTGCTGCTGTCGGAGGATCTGGATCTCGGAGGAGGTGAGGCCAAGCGAGGTGTCGGGGATGGAGGCGACGGACATTTGGTCCCGGCAGAGACATGCTCCGACCAGTCTAGGCGCCGATCAAGAATGGGAGGCCGAACCGACCGAAGGTCATGATGGAGGAGAAGGTAGGGGGGGGAGGGGGGAGAGAGAGAGAGAGGGGAAGGGAAAGAGGGAGAGGGAGAGGGAGATGATGAAAGATGGGGGAGAGAAAAGTGGTCGGCAGGCGGCTCGTGAAATGGCTGTTACACGGAAACAGGAGAAGAGCCAGTGGGAAGGCTGGAATCTGATGTTGATGGTGGGAGCACAGGCTTATATGATACCTCGGACGGGAAAGATGAGGAGGGGGTTTGTGAGCTTGACCAGGTACTCTTTGATAACGAAAAAGCAATCTTGTATAGGCGAGGGATTGTTATATACCAACATTTGATTCCGTTTATCGATTTCTTGCTTCTATTGATTTAGGTCCGTACCTAGTGCAGCAAGAGAAGATATGCAAATGGGCTGAATGAACAAAAGAATGCCTATGAAAAGATGTGGCATGGATGTCATTGCGCAGGTCACCCCTTAGGACTACAGCATAACATAACGTACCCTGGCACTACATAGATACCCAAACTCCTCGGGTACTGAAGTATACAAATTCGAGTGACAGGCTCCATCCAGAACCATGGATAGCTCTCCGCCCGCTCCGCCTTAGCTTCTGCTGCCATTTTCTTCCCACCGTCTCCCCTCATACCTTCGCCTCATCCTCCGACCCTATCACGTCGGAAAACATCCGCTGCCTAAATCGTGAGGCTGAACCGACGGCGACTTCACTACTCCATTGGCACAGACGCTCCGGTAGAGGGGCTTGCATACAACTCTCAGACGCGTACCCGCCAATACCAGCACTCCGGGAATAGCGCCTCACGTCCAGCCCGTGAGCATCGTTAGCCCATTCCTCCGATCCCCAGGTCTTCCTGCAGGCGCTTGCAACCCGACGGCCCGACTTGACTCGATCTTCGCGGAGGATTGGAGAAGGCTGACGCTTTGGTCACATTGCTGCAGGCTCTTGCATCCGCGACATTCTAGCCTCTCTCTCATTGACCGCTACATCCGCACCGGTCTCTGCCCTGCTTTCGGGCTCTTACCACGTGAGAGGCTCTTCAATAGATCGCGTTCGACCCAGACCTTTTACCTAGGTCGATCACCGGGTGCTGACGACGTCATTCGCATTCAATCGGGCATATTCTCGATCCCAATTCCAGGATTTGACAGCTGAAACGTGGCTTGGCGAACGCGTGGGGGGTAAACGACTACATTCGAGAAATCGTACGGAAATCATAGAGCGTCGAGATGGCCAAGGACAAGGAGCGCTCAGTTAACCCTGCGGCCGCGCAGCGGAAGCAGGATAAGCAGAAGAGTCTGAAGAAGGGGAAGGCCGAGGCGCAAGCGCGTCGCAATGAGAAACTCGCACGGCGCAACCCGGACCGAATTCAACGACAAATCAACGACTTCAAAGCTATGGAAGAGGCGGGAGAAAAGTTACGACCACGCGACAAGGAGATCCTGGAGGCCCTTGAGAAAGATTTACGGGGCGTATTGAAAGCACGCGAAGCTCTAGGCGAGAAAGCACCGACATTCTCAAGTGGCCATGGCCCTAGAAGAGACGGAGATGCAGTGCTCGGGAAACGGAGGAGAGATGAGGAACACGGGAGATACCCACATGAGAGTGACAGCAGCGATACAGACGAGGATGTACGACGGATACCCATGCCTCGGGATACACCGCCACCTATCCCACGGCAACCACGAAGACGGGGACCAGGTGCTAACGTGGACTCGGCGCATCGTGGACCACATGCGCTACCATCCCGGCCACCCAAAGTCGAGCACAAAACCGTTTACGAAGCCAAGCCTGAAATTCGGGATCTACGAAAAGAAGCTGTCAACAAGTTCATTCCTGCTGCAGTGCGCATGAAACAGGACTCCATTAGGGGAACTGGAAAATTGCTAGAGCCGGAGGAGATGGACAGACTTGAGAAAGCTGGGTACAATGCTACAGCCCCGGCAGATCAACCTTCTACTACTGGCGATGAACAATTATCATTGGAAGAAGAGGAGCGACGGTTCAGACAGGAGATGAAGACTGTACAGATAGAAGAGGTGGAGGACGAGGAGGCATAAGACTTGATGCCCGCTTATTGAAATGCTCCAATATTATTCACGTCAACTCTCTTAAATGAACGCAAACCCTTTAAATTTGTCATAATACGTGGATGAATAGACACAATTTGATCTATATGTAACCGTTTCGAGTTCGAATCTTTAGCAATGTAATCATTCGGATGTTTTAAGCTCGGCGATATGTATTTTCAAGGCATACCACCCCCGTTGTGCATTTAAGACCATAAACAACCAAAGCATTACCAATTAACGCCCCATTAATTGCCAGGGTAAAGAGAAAGGAAAGCAAATATCAACCCAAAGGGCTCAGGTATCAAAGATTCAAGCGACCAGTATATGACCAGCGCGACCAAAGTAAATTTACACGAAAACTCCATCCCTCTTAAGGAAAACCCGGGCATGTCATCGTCACAAAGGAAAATAAAAAAGAGAGTTAGTTTCGTCCGGCCAAATATAGCCAAGGAGAGAGCACCACCAAACACAAACACCATTTGCTGGCGGCAAGCAACCCCAAAACACAACAAAGCCTAACTCCGTGACGTAGAGAGGTATGCGCAAGAAGAGAATATCCAAACGACTGACAAGAAAGCAACAAAATGAAAAGACAAAGAATTCACGGTCTTCCAAAACACCAGTCCAAACGCCATGACCGAATACCGAAACAGCTCCACATGGATGCGAGGGTAATGAAAATAGGAAGGGCTTCAAAATGAAAAGGATCATCGCAAGTTGCGGATGACCTTCTTGCCGCGAGCGAGGAATGGACTGGGCATTTCGTCGCGCTCCGGATCCCAGATAGCTGGGGGTTCGCGATCAGAGCACATCAGCGAGTGGGCAGTGCGAGAGTCACTGGCGCAGCGCTTGAAGTCGTCGACAGGCCGACCGCCGGCGCGTGCTTGGGCAAGTTCCACTAGGGTGCGGCCGCCCATGTTGCGCTGCATGACTGCCTTGAACATCTCATCGCCGCCGCCACCGGCCTTGGTGGGGGATTGCTTGGAGCCGCTCTTGCTACGGGTGGATGATCCGGCATCAGCTGCCAAATTGGATGAGGAGGGAATTTTGGAAAGGCGCCGATGAGGGGATCTGGCGCGGCCTTCGCTGCCAGTATTTTGGGCCTCGGATTGGGAGGTAGAGGGCCCACCGGCCATTTGCGGCAGGCGAGATCCACTGGATGGGAAGAGAGGAGGCTGGTTGCTCAGTTTTTGCATCATGGCTGCTGTGTTCTGTCGGAGGAGAGGGCGCCTGGGAGCCTTGAATGGATCGGGCTTCACCTTGGGACGCGTGGGAGATGGGAGGTCAGGAGTATCGTCCTCGTCATCGGAGTAGGCCAGGGTAGGCTCCCATTTGGCTTTCTGGCGTTCTGCCTCGGCGAAGATATTTCGGGCACCACCCGCAGCAGAAGTACGACGAGGGGAGAGTGAGAGTGAAGCGATAGACATGGGAGATGGCTCAGCCATTTGCACATCTTGAGGCGAGTCCACAACAGTGGTCTTCGAGCGGCAGAGCGGAGTACGAGTCTCTCGCTTTTGGCGTTGCTTCTTCTCATTTGAAGTTGGTGATTTTAGCGAGAGCTGAGCGAGGTCTGTGCTTGAAGGCGCATCGCTATCATCAGTCACGGCGCCAGAGGACCTAGAGCTCTGGCTAGTCCGGCCCGAAGAACCAGAGCTCGAATGCTGAAGACTGGTCCGGAAGACATCCTCACGGGGTGTAGGGTTGCTGTTCCTCTTGTGTTTTTGCAACTCAATAGTCACGCGCTCCTGGACCTCAGCCTCGAAGCGCTTGCGCAGCCGGTCGAGTTCGCTCTGAACTTGGCGGTCGATCTCCAATCGCGCCTTAACCTCCCATTCCCGACGAACACTGTTTTCAATCTCAGCCTTGATCTGCTGCTTCTCCTTTTCGAGCTTGGCCAGATTCTGCTCCATCTCACGGACTTTCTGGACGGCAACCTCTTCGCGTCGGCGCAGGGTCTTGCCAAGATCCACTACCTCCTTCTCCTTACGCATCAGACGAATGATGGGGAGGTTGACCAGAGCTGCAGTGTCCGGTCGGTGATCAGGGTTGACGCGCAGGCAGCTTCCGATGACATTCTTCAGCTCTGGTGAGTAGTAGTCGGGAAGAGGGGCGAATTTGCCTTCACGAATCTTCTGAACGAGCTGGATGTGGGTTCGCGCGTTGAAAGGGGGCTCCTTCTGGCACAGCTCATACATGATACAACCGACGGCCCAAATATCCGAGCGCAGGGTGTACTTCTCGGCGGCGCAGATCTCGGGAGACATATAGAAGGGGGTGCCGACATAGGTCGATGCGAAATCATGGGACTGCATCTGCTTGGACAGGCCGAAGTCACCAAGCTTGACGGAATTGTCGCTACCCAGGAAGATGTTCTCCGGTTTCAGGTCACGGTGCAGAATGGTGACTGAACCCTGCTTCCCCTTAAGACCAGTCGACTTGGGCGCCGGGCCCAAGATGTTTGACCCGACCTCAACAGCGTCAGAGCCATAGTGACAGCGGTAGAGGGCAGTAACTAGCTGGGAAAGGATGCGCCAGACGAACTCCTCCTCAGCGTACTTGTTGGCCTTCTTCAGGTTCTTGATGACCATTCCAAGGTCTCCACCACCGCAGTATTCCATGTAAAGGTAGAGATCCTGGCTGACTTTGAGGTGTTCACGATGGTAGTACGCAACAATGTTGGGGTGACGGAGCGAGCTCAGGATGTTGAATTCGGCGGTGAGTTGTTCGCGTTCCTTTTGGGACATCTTGATGTAATTGATTTCCTTGCGGCATAGTATCTTCCATCCAAGTTAGCCATGTCATGCTTGCGATGACCTGGGAGCACTCACGAATCCGTCCGATTTCCGCTTGACCTTGCGAATGATCCCGAAGGAGCCACAACCTGTAGGAGGCGATGAGCATTGGGGTACGAGTGAGAGCAGTGACCACGGCAAGACGTACCAATCTTCTCCAAGATCTCATACTTATCCGCCTCAGCCAAAGCAATTGCCATGGCTATAGATGTACGCGGTCAAGACAACGGGGGTCACAGGAGTCGAAGGAGGATAGAAGAGGATAGAGAAATAAGCATGGAAGAAGTGGCCAACAAGTCCCCTGTCTGGTTAGTAAAGGTAAAGAATTGAAGTGGTAGAGGAAAAGTTGCAGACACTATGGGGTTTAGAGGTTCGGGAGACCCTGCAGTGTTTGGGTGATCGCTGTTGCTGAGCAACCGCAGACAATGACGCTTGACCCGGTGGGGCAGGCGGTCGCTGGGTCCAACCAACGAAAAGACCTGCATGAGGCTAACGATGACATCAAGTTGGAAAAGAGAGACTGCGTGGCTTCTGCTTTTCTTTTAGATATATATATGCAGTTTCTCAATTGAGAAACTAGGGAACCATACAGTACAGCAATTATGGGGTTGGCCGGATGCTGTGTAGCCCTAGGATCACGTGACCCGTTATCGATAAGGAGGGACCAACGGAGGCCCGCCATCCAACTCTCCCACTTCGTGGCAAGCTATATACAACGGGCCTGAAGATGGCGGAGCGGACTGTTTTACGCAAGGATCAGCTGGAGATCAGCTTGGTCAATGAGAAGAAGCTGATCAAGGAAGGTTATATCAAGGATGACAATCCGTTGGACCTCAGTGAGCCATTCCGTGAACTCTGCAGTGCATGTCGTAAAGGCGATCTGGTTGTCTGTCAGACAAAAATCACCGAGGGTGTCAATGTGAATGCTCGTGACCCGTACGATTATACACCTCTGATTTTGGTGAGTCTTGAGAACATGCTGTAAGAACCGGTTTTCTCGGAGCACACAGTAACAGGACAATCCCTTGCACAGGCGAGTCTCTGCGGACACTATGAAGTTGCGCGGCTATTGCTGGAGTCAGGCGCGCTTTGCGAGCGGGATACATTCCAAGGTGAAAGGTATTTGACCTCAAGTATCCTCCGAAGTAACGGGAACTAATAGACGGACTATCCATCTAGATGTCTATACAATGCCTTGAACGACCGTATACGAAACCTCCTACTCGAATATGACTATTCTAAATCTACGGACCCCCTCCAGCCTCTCGCGGCGCATCTGTCCTCCCTCCTCACCCGCGACTCTCCCGTGACGGCCGATATCGAGGTGGCCGCCGGCGACGAGTCCCTCTCCCTACACAAATTCGTCTTAGCCGCCCGCTCCCCATATTTCCGTGGCAAGCTTTTGGACGCACCAGAAACTGCAGTATGGAAGCTTCCCAATACTATCGCTCCGGAGGCATTCAGCGCTGCGATCAAATATCTATACCTGGGTGAACCTCCTCGGGAATTGCGGGCAGGGCCTGGAACAGGCTTCACCGAGTCCGAAGTGTTCGCAGGAATCGATAAGATTGCTAAGTACTTGGAAATTTCCAGTCTCATGGACAGCATCATGGATAGTGGAGACAGAAGGCGTGCAAGGCAACGGAGAACCACGGAGCTGGCGAGGGGGCGAGATCAGCTGGAGTATTGGTTCCGTGGGAATGTCCTCAAACATAAGGTAGTCATTGAGACGTCGAAAGCTGACAAAGTGAAGTGGGATCACAACAATCCAATCTTTGCAGACGTATTGCTTAGATCCGATGAACTTCCGGAAGAGGCCGAGGAGGCAGGCGAGATCCAGAAATCCACCCTGTTTCCTGTTCATCGGGCGATGCTCCTGCGATCGGAATTCTTCCAGGCCATGTTCATGTCATCTTTCCGCGAAGCTCACATGACGGATAATCTGCACATTATCGACGTGGATTGCTCGCCCGATGTATTAGAGATTATCCTGACATTCCTGTACACTGAACGGGCCGATTTCTCTTTGGAAGTCGCCGTCGATGTTCTCTTCGCAGCAGACATGCTCTTCATCGAGAAATTAAAGACAAAAGCAGCAGTTGTGATCAGTACCCTGGGCAGTGGAGTGTCTCAGGCCGACGCGGCAAAGACTCGTGGCCAAGACGAGGATGATATCGATATCTACGCGATCATCCGTGCTGCCTGGTTAACTCGTGTCCAGCGACTGGAAGAATTTGCAGCACGATTCTTGGCATACCGACTTGAAGCTCATATCGATTTGCCCGAATTCGCAGAGCTCATTCAAGAGTCGGCGGCTCGTATTCAGGCCCGACAGGAGACCGATTCTATTGAATTGCTGGACGATATTCGATTCTATCTCAATGAACGATTTAGGTTGAGATTCGATGATGCCGGTATAGACGGGTTGATGGATGAGCAGGTGCCTCCACCGAATGGAGAAGATGCTCAATCTGAAGATGTGGCGAAGATTACGGAAAGGGTTGAGGCCCTGGATATCTCCAAGCCAAGCGTTGACGCAGCATCCGGTCGCGAAATCCGGACTTTAGATGGTGCTGTTGTTGAGGATGAATTTTCAGAAGACGCCATGAACTATGAAATTTTGATGGGGAAGCTGGAAGCTCTGCTCGAGGAGCTGAATTTGGACGCCTAAAGCATTCGAGTTCCTTGCCGTAGACATCCAAAGAAAGACAGCACGCTCTGTCTCTATACGACATAACGAGGGTGGTTACATGCAAATGTTTGCCATCTGGGCACGGACTTGCCTGCACATTGACCATACATATACACATCCATACATCATTTTTGGCCTGGAGTATTTGGAAAATTGAAACAAATAGACCCCGGACCCCGAAATTTCATGAATTTTCGAGTAATGGATAGGATTTGGAACAGATCCCATCCCACGGTCTAAAATCTCAGTATCTGAAAGTTGAGAGCGCAAGCCTCCACAACTCTAAGGGTTGACTGCATTCGAATGTAGATGACAAGACCATTATTCAAAAAGTGTAACTAAAATGACCATTCTCTTAAGATGACGATCCACGGGATCTTTACCAAACTACACACTTTCGCTTTCTCTACCAGACCAGAGCACAAATAGGGAAAGAGCTTCTGATACTTGTTGTGTTTCGAGGGATGGTGGAGAAGGATGCCGAGAAAGACATACATACTTTTCGAGGTCATTGACATGGCCAGGGAGTAGATCAAAAACCTTCAATACAAAGAGGTGGCAAGAACTTGATAGAGCACGAGGCCTGGGCAATAATATGTACTTTTGAATTGACAAACATTATCCAATATATATATCTATATACAGGCGACCACAGGTCCCGATTATTCGCACTCTATATTAATATATGTATTAAAGGGCCACATGGCTGGTCCCTTGCGATTTGATCTTCCAGATGTCGACTGGAGAGGTGTTGTTGTTGCACATAAATGTGATTTCCCGAGTAGCGGATAGACACACTTGGGACCTGGCTTAGGTGACCATCGCCTCGAGGTACTGACTGTAGCCCCCGACGAGTGGGAGGGAATATCAGATTTTGTCTCGCAGTCGAGTGATAGCCGTTGCTGCTCATTATCGTAGATATGGAACCGAGGGCGAGGACCTGGGAGTGCGGATCTAGTTGAATCAACCAAGGTCGGAATTGTCGAGACCTTGTTGAATGACGATTGTTGAATGCTCTGCCTCGTAGGAGAGGCCAAGAATGCATTCACCGTCCTCCCTGAGGCCTCTCTTTGTCACTCCCTTCCGCACTTCGATGTTTCTTCTCTTCCATTTTTGCCTCCAGGTCCCGAATCTGTGTCTCGATCATTCCTCTCCGGGCTGTCAAGTTCGATCGCATTCCTTGGAGAGCAGCCATTTGTTCATCAAAAGTCGCCTCCTGGCGATTCTTCTGAGTCTGTGAGGAAAGTAAGTTAAGCATGCGTTTAATTTGTCAAGCGAAAGTTGTATAGACTGGTCGGAGCTCAACGGAAGCTCGGTGCAACTCACCTCGGCAATCTCCTCCTTTGTTTTCAGTCCGGCTCCGTACAAAGACCCTGCAATCGTAATCGAGGTCACGGCAGCTGTCAAGACCAACCGACGAAAGTTCTGAGGCGAAGGCATCTTTCTTTGATGCATCACGGTCAAAGGCGCGCGGGCAACGAGAAACCTCCGAGCTCTTCACCGCCTACCGCAGAGGGAGCATATTGATCGTCACCAAGACGCGTCCCCCTCGCGGTTTCATGCCATTTACTTCACGCTTTGAATGGCCAACAGCCTACGGAATTAATATGTCGTCTCCTGCGGTTCCTAACCGTCGGCCCCGTGACGATGAAGATGACAGTGACGAATCCGAGTCGACCACTCGCTTCTCCCCAGACCCAAGCAACAAGCGTCCTCGTCTCAGCGGGGTTGAAGATGGGGAGAGAAGTGATGAATATGAGAGTGATAGCAGCGGCAGTCAATACCAGTCCACCCAAATTGCTACACAGCGAAGGAGAGTTCACCCTGGGGTCGGCCCCGGTGGCTACAAGGCCGGCGCGATCGTGCGGATCAAAATGTTGAACTTTGTGACCTACACGTCTGCTGAGTTCTTCCCTGGCCCGAAGCTGAACATGGTCATTGGGCCTAACGGAACTGGAAAAAGTACACTTGTTTGCGCTATCTGTTTAGGCCTTGGATGGGGGCCTGTGGTATGTTATCTACCCTCGAGTTACTACTATGTAATCTTTGGAATTTCTAACACTCAACCTATTACTAGCATCTCGGACGCGCCAAAGATCTCGGTGAATTTGTCAAGCATGGCGCCAGTGAGGCGATGATCGAAATCGAACTTGCAGGGCCTCCTTTATTCAGCCAAAATCGAGTTATACGCCGAACCATCAAACGCGATGGCAACAAGAGCAGCTTCTTTCTGGATGGTGAATCAAGCAACCAGAAAAGCGTCAGAAAACTTGCAGGAGACTTTGCAATTCAAGTCGACAATCTCTGCCAGTTTCTTCCTCAGGACAAAGTGGCGGAGTTCGCTGCTCTCACACCTGTCGAACTGCTCCATTCCACCCAACGCGCGGCAGCCAAAAAGGAGGTGGTGGACTGGCATGAGGCTCTGAAGTCGCTGCGAGCTGAGCAAAAGAAACTCCAGATTGACAATGGAGCGGACCAGGACGTGTTGAAGAATCTTGAAAACCGCCAAGAAATGCAAAGAGCAGACGTAGAGCGAATGCGCCAGAGAGCTGAGGTCAAGCGCAAACTCGAACTTTTAGAGATTTACCGCCCGTTCGTTGAATACCGCGATCAACTTAAGACCCACGAAACTCTCAAGGCCAAGAAGCTCCAGCTTCAAGAGGAGCACGCGCAGCTCAAACAAGACCTCGAACCGGCAATGCAATCTGTCACGGCTAAGCAAAGCTACAGTGAGCGAATTAAGGAAGTAAGAGATCGTCGCAAACATCAGGTTGAGCAACTACACAGCGCAGCCGTGGCCAGTGAACGCAAAATCGACGAGTTACAGTCTGAAATCAAGGACCTCGAAGGTCAAATTGAGGCTGAAAGAAAAACCGGCACGAAACACAGGACTGAAGCGACCGCTGCCCAACAAACCATCAACAGATTGCAGCGCCAACAGGAAGAGGAGGCGGTAGAATTTGATCCGGAATACTACAACGAAAAATTGGTAATTTGACGGACTTGAGCTATGGTCGACGAAGCCAATTTACTGATGCCTTTCTAGAGAGTGAAACGACTCGAGAAACGCGAACTCGAAACGAAAGGCAAAGAAATCAAGGATAGACGGGCCCCACTGCTCGCCAGATGCCACGAACTTAAAGCACTGATCAGCGAAGAAGAACGACGACTGGAAAACTTGGACTCCCAATCTGGCCGACAGGAAGCCAAGCTGCAAAAGTTGTCCGCAGACTCTTACAAAGCCTATCAGTGGATGGTCGACAACCAAGACAAGTTTGAGAATGAAGTTTTTGGCCCACCTCTCATCACCTGCTCCGTCACTGATCCTAAGTATGCCAATGCTGTTGAGTCACTACTACAGAAAACGGATTTCACGGCCTTTACTGTTCAGAACAGGAATGATTTCCGCACCATGCAGAGAGTGTTCATCAGAGAAATGGGACTTCACGATATCACGCTCAAAACATCCTCCACGCCACTCAGCTCTATGAAAGCACCAGTATCGAATGAAGAACTTCGACGACTTGGCTTTGATGGATGGGCCAAGGACTTTATCACTGGCCCGGAACCGGTCATTGCCTCACTCTGCTCCGAGAACCGGCTACATCAAACGCCTGTCAGCCTACAAGACATCTCCGAAGAAGCGTATAATTCACTGGAGAATGCGGAAGAGTCAGCAATCAGTTCTTGGGTGTCAGGAAAGCACAGCTATCAGGTTACTCGACGACGCGAATACAAGGCAAAATCGACCCGAGTCCGTCAAGTCAAGACAGCTCAAGCCTGGACGTCGCAGCCCGTAGATGCCTCTGTCAAGCATCAACACCGCGAAGCCATTCAGACGTACAATCGGGAGTTCAGTGACCTACAGGAGGAGGCAAACGCGGAGAAGGAGAAAACCAGGGATCTACTCAGTGCGCTTCAGCGCTTGGAGGACGAAATGGTAGGCCACTCCCCGCATCTACCTTGGTCTATGATTAACGTTGTCCGCAGGAGGAGACTGACAAAGAGAAACAAGAGAAGCAACATGCGCATACGCAATGGCGGGCTATTCCCGAGAGGCTCGGTATGTGGTTCTGCACATGACTACTCTATGACGATCCAGTCGCTAAGTTCGCGCAGCTCAGCAGCAGGCTAAGCTCAAGGGCATTCAGGAGCTCTTTTTGGAAGTCAGGGAACGGGTTTGCCAGATTCGGGAAGATCAAATTGAGGTTTCGGTCAAGAAGGCAGAAGCTACCATTGAATATGCCGTATGTTCCCAAATAACCCTGACTATCTCCCACTTGAAAATTTACTCACACCATCTAGGATGCCGTTGAGCAGCTTCGCCAGGCCTACGAAGATCTTCTGAAGGTGGAAGTTCAACATTTGGAAGCCTCCTCGGACCTACAAACTCTGAGGAACAAGCACCATGCATTCGCCGTGATGCTCGAGAAAAAGACCGCAGAGGTGGCGGAAGCAATAGAGGCCGTCAAAGCAAACAGAACAAAGGGACGAGCCCTTGGCACTCAGGCCAAGAAAGTGATCGAGGAGAACCAGGGAGACCCCGATGCTGAAGAGGTGCACAACTTGCTCAGCGCGCCAGAGTACAATATGGACAAACTCCGTGCCGACATCGACTCCGAGAAGGCACGCCTGGAATTGACTCAAGGGGGCAGTCCTCACCTGATCAAAGAGTTCGAGGAGCGAGAGAAACAAATCAAGAAGCTTCAGGACAAGCTGGCCGATTTCCAAACGAAGCTGGCGGACTATCAGACAAGTATCGATGAGGTTCGATCTCACTGGGAGCCCAAACTGGACGCTCTCATTGCCAAGATCAGTGATGCCTTCTCAGACTCCTTCAAACGCATAGGGTGTGCTGGACAGGTTAGCCTGGACAAGGTAGAAGACGAGCCCGGGCCCAATGGTGAGCCTGGCGGCAGCGACTTCGAGAAGTGGTCGATTCAGATTCATGTCAAGTTCCGAGAAAATGAGAATCTGTCGCTATTGGATTCACATCGCCAGTCCGGTGGTGAGCGTGCGGTCAGCACCATCTTCTACCTGATGGCACTGCAGTCGCTTTCAGCATCGCCCTTTCGCGTCGTTGACGAGATCAACCAGGGTATGGACCCCCGGAACGAGCGAATGGTCCACGGTCGCCTGGTAGATATTGCCTGCGCGTCAAGCGAAGAGGAGGATACAGATGACAATGGAAACCCCATCGGCGGCGGCGGTGGTGGTCAGTACTTCCTGATCACGCCGAAGCTGCTGAGTGGACTAGTCTACAAGCCGGGTATGAAAGTGCTCTGTATCTACAGTGGCGAACACATGCCGGAGGACTACACGAAGCTGGACTTCAGACTGGCGATCCGCATGATGAAGGATATCAGAGCAAAGAACGAAGATGATGGCAAAGGCAAGGGCAAGGGCAAAGGCAAAGGGCGAGCGACGGGGAGCAGCAACTCTGTGGGAGTCTACGCTTAATACGATACGCCCCACACTCAATACAGCATAGCCGGCGATTTCTATTTTCTTGACTTTTCTGGGGAGGGATCGGTGTTGGATCTGGCATCTGGATCCTGGAATATGGAACATATTGGATAGGCCCATTTTCTGATATCATTCTGCGCAACTGCACATACCAAGACCCCCAAGAACCCAATATTGAATCGGTTTGACTAGGACCTGCCCAACAGGGAATCGTTCGATGACCCGACTCCACTCAGAGCTGCCGGGCCTATTGCTTCTTCCTTTCTGGCTCCATGCACGGTCGGCGTCCCCGTGTCTGTGCTCTGACCGGCCCCTCGACCCCGACCCCCACAACCCCCCCGGTAGTTAGATAGTTAGGGGATCGGAGATTAGAAGAGGAGGTCAGGGAGGTCGAGCCCAGGCATGATACGTGACAAGGCTGCAGCACACTAACATGATTATGGTCGCGACATGCAGACCAGCGATATAGCAATCGTTAGGGAAATGTCGCAGCTCAGAAAATGCCGCACACCCAACTCCGCCGGAGGGCTCCGACGTCAGTTTTTGGGTTGGGACCCCAAAGGATTGACATCCATGCTTTGGATCAGACGACGAAAGCGGACAAGATCAGTACTCTGCCTCTCCTTACTTCTCTCTGGACTGTACCAACAACTGCCGGTTCATGGGCAGATCCTCGTGGACAACGAGGGCGCAGTGTCATGCAGATCGACGACCGGGCGTTTCCGCCGCAGATCACAGGCTCCATCTCGGAGGTTTTGGATGCCAATCGTTGGGCGACGTTGGGCATCCCTTCGCTACCGCCAACTCTAAATGTTCTGGGGGGGAGGGTTTTTTTTTGGCGCCCGTGGTTGACCCCTGCTAGTTCTGCCCTCTTTCGGACACAGTCCGTCTCTGGTTTGGTCTGTGGGACATGCGTTGTCCAGTACCCTGGTCTCCTGCCTGCTCCAGCAGCGCTCTAGTAGCGCTTTAGCAAGGTGTATGTACAGCATACGGGGCTGATCGACACTGCGCATCACTGTGCATCACGGCGAGGGCTGGGAAATCATTGGCTCGATATTATACGATCCGCCGAGAATCCTCATGGCGATCCTAGCCAGTCAGATCCACCGAATGACATATCCCCATCCACCTACAGTAAAGCTCTTACCTCTCACCGGGAACCGGTTTGTCCTTACACGTTGCATTCTACTGTATACGCTTGGGCCAAGACTCCGCATGTTTGGCGGGGCTACGCTTTGACGGTTCGAACGACTGAAAGTCAACACTGCAGTGCTACATTGTTTACACCGTTCACCATTCACCGCCCCCTCAATTCCCCCCCCCCCATTCCCTTTCTCCAAATATGACGCAGTGATGGTATCCCCTCTCCAGTATCGACAATAGCTGCCTGGGAAACCCGGCCGTAGAAACCCCCGGCCTAGGAATAGACCCGACGCGCGGACGGGGATCAGTGGCGCCGTTTTCCCTGTTTCAACGGTTGGGATCCTGTCCCCAAATCCCCACCCCCCTGTAGTGTACTGTACGAAAAAAAAAGGAGACGCTACAATCTAGCTGGTGGCTTGATTGTCTTCCAGAGAGGCTGGAAGCGAGGCAATCAAATGTATACGATGTATCACGTCCTCGACCCTGTGATGCGTAGACGAGGGCGCTTCGAGGCCACTAGCACGGGCCCCCGGGGTGGTTGGCAAGCCCCAAGTGCAAGCCTAAGCCCATCATCCTGACGCCCCTCCCAACGGCCCCATCAACGTGGCGGAGGCTCTCGGAGATATAACCCCGGGGACGGTGTCACGGCAGCGGCAGCCAGAGAGTTTCGATCCCAGCGTCGCACGACGTGTCGCACAAATCTCAGGGGTGGAGGACGAAGCAAGCAGATTCCGATCCGGTCGACCTGATGATCATGACTAGACCCAGACCTCGAATCAGTGGTCGGGCTGGGACTGCAAAGCATTTACTCGAGGGGTAGGGCATCTCGCCTTCAGGTGCCGTGCAGTACGGAGAACATACAGGGTACATCGCGGCCAATGGAGGAGCACACACACCCTCCAGGATCTCACAAGAGATGCAACGGTGGGATGATCTACGAGGAGAAATACATTTCGCCACCCCTCATGAGGCAATAATTCTAGTCGCTAGGATAAGGTCTATGCCGGCAAGCTTCCAAGCTTCAAAGCTTCATGGCTTTGGCTCTCGCGAGGGCCAAGTCCAAGCCTAGGGTAGTCGATCATCCAGGATCTACCATTAGCGTAACCCGTATCCCAAAGCAGGGTCTGAAACATGACCGCGCATGTCGATAGGCTGTCGGAATGTGGGCGAGCCGTGGATTCAAAGTTGGGGAGTGGGATGGCGGGATCTCTCCGTCCACATGCTGCTTCTATGCTGATCTACAGACCGGTCCAGTCCAGTCAGGCCCTGGCAATGTACCGGGTCAGTACCTCCTATGAGGGTAGATTTAATCTACACAACAGTTCCAGAGGATTACTCGATGCTGACCAAGAGATTTTCTGGACCAGGGGGGAAACCAGGCAAAGCTTCTCCATTAGGCAAGACCCTAATTTAAAGAAGGCCAAACTCTGGCACCCACAGTCAGCACAAGGGAAACTTTAATGAACATGGTCCGAAGCATAGGAGTAGAAACTATGTAGCTAGGATACCTAGCTAGGTATGTAGCTACGAATCGCGAACCTCGGCAAGAATCAAGGGCCAACTAAAAGACGGGTAGCATCAAGGCAAATGTATAAATGAGCATACGAAACAAGGGATGAAGATCCACAAACAGATCTTAGTCGACCTCCCCAATGCGGTATAGGAAAGTCCGAGTCAGGTCCTGCGGCCGATCCTACGGGGTTTATACCTAGAAGGGTATGATGCAAGTCGCTAAGATCCCGCATGCGATCGACCCTCCCGACTGTGACGAACAGGTCGTGTTTCATCACTGACACAGACCAACAAGGTCTGAGGCAGTTCCCATGAGATGCATGATCATCCGTCGATCGACCAGTGCCAGGGGGTGAGGCGTATTGCACTCTGTAGGCGAGGTAGGCTGGAATTTGGGTTTGTGTGACTTTGGATTCTTCGGGTTATGCTTTCTTTTATTTCGTCGCATCGTATTCCCTTCGTACTCACATCCGCACTCGGATCGGGATTTGACTTCTTTTTTTTTTTTTTTTTCCCTCTCGGAAGTTTACTTTGAGTCTACTTGAAGTTTGAGTCTACTTGAACATGAGGCTATTGAAGACTATGACTTGGACTATGTCTTGAAAAATGTGAAACCTGATGGCATGGTGCCGAGTTACCCCCGGAGGCCGAGTCAATAGCTCATAGCTCATAGCTCATAGCTTGCGAGCACGGATCAGGGAGTACATACCTAGCGATAGAATGCGACTCGGGACTCACGCCCTACCGATGGGCATAGCTCAAATGGAAATAATACCGGAGACACTGCCCGAATGGAGCTATGGCCAGCGGTTGTCTGGGATGATCCTGCGATCCACCGGGGCGATCCCGCCCGAACAGGAAGGAGGATAGACGCAGAGTGACAGGTCCGCTTCCGCGTCAATAGACACGTCAGGACTCTGGATTTATTTTTATGTTTTATGTTTTACTTTTTTATTTTATTTTATTTTCATTTGATTCTCCACGTGAGACTGAGACTGAGACTGAGACTGAGACTCTCCCCTAAGTGATATCTATGCTTCCATAGAGGTGTGCCTTCTTGATCATCTACACCGATCAGGGCCCAGGATCCGGGTCTAGCGATCCTTCCCTTCCGCATCCCCGAGAGCCCCCCTATCTCCGTTCCCTTTCCTACTTCCACCGTCCGAACAGGACAAACTCCCGAATCGCAGATCAGATCGTGGTGACGACCTGGTCAGCTGTGCGCGGCTGCATCTTGCAAGTGCCATGTGTTCGTCAACCCTGACCGCGTGGAAACTGAATGAGATGTATCACCCCCCACTCAGAGAACAAAAAAGGGGGCATCGCGTGGCTCATGGGGCGCCCCGGATGATCCCCGATCGATCACCGTTTCGGGGTGAATGGCCCAAAGCGGCTACGGCGTAAGTGAGAAGTCTAGGCTCGTATCGACATGGGGATCCGAGGTCCTGGCAGTCGGGAGGACCATCTGGTGGAACTCTGCGGACCAGACTTTACCCCCAATTAAAAGAATCCCAAATGAGGAATGTCTCGTCGACAAAGTTCCAAGACAAGGTTGGGGTGGAAATGAATCCCCATAATTGATTGTAGTCAGTTCCACCATTGACCATATTTGTCCACATTTCCCACATCTTCCACCGAGCCGCACTTTCTGCCAATGATGACGCGTGGAATTTCAACTGTCGGCTCCAAGGGGGAGAGTGTCGATCCCGAGCTAACTGCCGAAGCGAGTATTAATAACAATAATAATAATGATAATAATAATCCTGGTGGATATTCTGGACTATGCATTCTAGAAAGTTGATCAGGAGGATCGCCGTCAGATCAAAGGATCAGGATCGTGTACATGTATTTGGTACATTTACAGGGACATGGATCATAAGACTCTCCTGCAACTAAAAACAATCCTATAGACATCGTACCACTTTATCCCGGGGAGCACGGAATTCTACCACTCTCCCCTCTCTTCCCTCCCCCCAAGTCTTGCCCCCCCCCTCATCCCCAACCCCCTTCAAACGGCCACGCACGGGGCAGGCGATCCCGGACCAGGGCTAAACAGGAGTGGATCCTCGCTTCCACGAGGCCGGGACGGGGCTCCACGCTGTTAACGGCCAATCCCCGATCGTGCACTGTGCAGATATCGTGCACGGCCCGTCGCCTTTTACGTTCCAGAACGCCGATCATTATCGTTTCAATTTCCCAAAGAGGAGGGTGATTTCCCAAAGAGGATGGTAGATGATCTTCAGGAGACCCTTGCGATCTGTTGGCACCTTCTATATTGGTATTGATCGTCGGCCCTCGTAGCTTAATCTGCTACTCGTTAGACTTTGCTGCACTCTACTTTAATTTACTCAACCAAGTCCTCCATACTTTCCGTCGCCAAAAAGAAAGTCAGATACAAGGTTCGTGTAAGCGAAAGGAGCCCAAGCGCTCAGAGCCGCCACCCCCGTCATACGCTTTACACGTTATGCACGATTCCCGGCCCCAACGGACATGAGCACTATTTAGGCTTAGCGGCGGGTGGCAGTTATGACCTTCCCTTTTGATCGGCCCCTGCCACGCGACACTCGGGAGATCCGGGGTCCTTTGTCGCCCCGGGGAAAGGCGTGCCTTTTTCTTTCTTTTTTTTTCCTTGAATAATGAAACTAGGTATTTCTTTATGCCTGATTGCTAGGCATTTCCTAGAGCGGACATGCTCTTCTCGTATCTCTTTTTCCACAAGCAAAATGATCGACACCAGATCAAGTTCGGTGCGATCAACCGTTTATGGGGCTAGTATGTGACAGGTAAGCAGGATCTGCACTAGCGAGCCCTCTGTGTAGCCGAGCTGGATTTCCCTGGGTTCAAGATGGGTGACCTGAACGGGGACTTTCCGGCCTCCTTATTCGAGTATAGCGTGAGATCTGCAGTCGACCATTGGCCACATGCAGCCTAGGTGGGCCCCTGTTCGCGTGGGCAAATCGTCATACTTTACGCTTCTTCCCCACCGGGTTAATCTCCGGTCTTTTGGTTTTCATTTTTATTTTTATTTTATTTTAATTCATATTATATTATATCTTTTTTTTTGATTTTTGATTTTTGATTTTTTTTTTCCGTTAATTAAATTAAGCTTTGGAACGGACTGTCTCAACTTTGCCTGCGCGCATAGGCGAACCTCGATCCTGGCTCCAGGCGTAATTTACTGACCCCATCGGCATTGCCCGCGCTGATCATCCACGCGAGACTATAAACCCTCGTGTGTCCCCGTATCCTGGGGCTCTTCTTCCCATTCCACCAACCCTCTACCAAATCGACATCATGGATCTGGCCAGTCTCCTGCAGGGCTCCGTCCCCAAGTCATATACTGAGACCTATGGCAAGCGTTCTGCGCCTCTGTCGCCTCCCGCCGAAGAGCCCAAGTGCTCGCTGCCCTCAATCTCAACTCTGCTCGAGGGTGCCGATGATCACGCAGCCAGTAAGTACCTACTATATCACACTATATAACCACACAATTCTAACACACTATCTAGAGCGTCAACGCCTGAGCCCCCAGCGCGATCACGCCGTGCAATACGATGTTCGCCTGCCCCCAACGCCTCCACTGCGTCCAGGCTCCGGCTCCGGCCATGCATCACCCTCATCCAAGGACCACCGGTCCTCCATCTCCTCCATCAACTCCATCAACTCCAACCCTCAAATGGGCCCCTACGCTTCCCCAGCGCCTAGCGTATCCTCCTACTCATCACACACCTCCCCAGTGGAAGCTCAACCCCCCACAACCACAATGTACTACCGCCCCCCGTCAACAACCACCTTCGCCCCCTCCCCCATTCACCAACCCGCCCAATCGCCATCCCTCATCTCCCCAGTTACCCCGGCCTGGCAACACCACCACTACTTCCCCCCTCCAGCACAACTCCATACCAACAAAACCACGATCGCTACATCTGCCGCACCTGCCACAAGGCTTTCTCGCGTCCTTCCTCGCTGCGCATCCACTCCCACAGCCACACGGGCGAGAAGCCCTTCCGCTGCACACACGCCGGCTGCGGAAAGGCTTTCTCCGTGCGCAGCAACATGAAGCGCCATGAGCGCGGTTGTCACTCTGGTCGTCCGGTCGCCGCTACAGCGCTGGTGGTTTAAAAGCCAGGCCTTAGGGTCTTTCTTGGGTTTTCTTTTCTCTGTTACTATTATGGGTTGGGTTGGGTTACTATCGGGTTGGGATGGAATGGTGTTTCTTTTGTTTCTCTGGTGTTTGGCTCTATATAACCGCCGTGATACCCTTGGATCCTTGTTTTTAGGATGGATTTGATATACTAGATGGGTGGGGCTTTTTCATATATCTCAAAATTACGAGGCAATGTATTATTCTTATGATGACTTTCTTTCTGGAGTAATTGTGTTCTTGTAATTGTGTCATTGTAAGCGCCCTGAGAATATGGTGTGCTGCGTGGGCTGGTGATTCACGAGGTCTGCGCGTGTACTCCGTCGGTCATACGATGACGGCTAGGGCTAGGGATCTAATGATCTAGGTCTGAGTCTGGGTCTAGGCCACTGCACATTCACATGTTAGGGAGCTGGTGTTCTCACATGTCAGCAATTGAGAAGTGGTCATTTATTTCGAGTGCTTTAAATAACTTAGTATATCATAGCTCGAAGCCACACACGGGTGGAAGGATGGCGGCGTTCTAGATTAGGGATGGAAGCCGCAAGCTTCTTTCCAGGCTATCGTTTCTTTGTTCCAAATCATTCAATCCCGAAATTATCTCAGATGCTCGAGGACTGGCCATTCTTATGACAAATGAAAAGGATTCAATTCAACGACTGTATATAAACTGGTCCGTGTGCCTGTAAACCGCCCAAATATATTCCCAAGACCGTATGTAGTTGGCCCCCGAAGTCCATATCTATCCCAATCCACAATGAACACCCACGTCATATCATAAATTATCTATGCCCAAGCCATACCCAAGCCCCAAAATACCTACTCATCCAGGACCCCCCTCGCCAACGCCGCCAAACTAGTCTCATATCTCGCTGGATTATGATCACTCAACATTCCACTCGCAAACTTCAACTCTCCAAACCAAGCATCAACGTCCTTAATAAACCTCATCTGAACTCTCGTAGCTGGCCTCCCAAGCCTTGGATAACTATCCTTCGCAAACTCTGGCGCCGTAAACGCCTCCCTCTGCAACACGCGCATCGTCTCAACGACAAAAACCTCACCGGGAGGCATTAATTTCGGTGCCCGCATCTCGTCACGTAGCATACGGAGCGTCTTCCACGCCCATGCATCTTCGCCTACGCCATCGCCGGCGTTTATGACTAGGGGAGGTTGGTTGACGTAGAATTTGTGGATGATGGATTGACGGAGCCGCTCGTGGAGACGGGCGCGAATGTGTGATTTTGCGCCTGAGATGTCGGATTTAAAGGACAACGAGGCTGTGTGCATATCGTGCAGAATGCCGAGGGATAGGGAGGGGACGATGTCGGAGCCGTTGACGACTGTTGTTATTAGGCCGCGGGTTGCGAGGCGGAGGAACGGGGACATGACGGCTGGAGGACCGTAAGCGTAGACGTGTATCGGGCGGCCTGTTGGAAGGTCGTAGGATTGCGCTGGTTTAGCTTTGATGCTTGTATCGCTGTCTACTGTTAAGAGACGACGGGGATTGTAGGATGCTGTAACGAAGGATGTGCCGTGAAGGGAGTTGTTTGGTTCGGCGATCATTGTTGCTAGGAGGGCTGCTACGCCGCCGCCTAGGGAGTGACCGCATAGCACGACGCCGTAGTCTGTAAATTCTTCGAGGGCTGCGCGGAGGGTGATCATTACTCGGCCACCGCCGCCTTCCAGGAGGCGTTTGGCGGAGGCGTGCATGCCTTTGTGCACTTTCCAGTTCCTGCCTTGCCATTCTAGGTCGTCGTAGTCGCAGGTCATATCTGTGAGGATGTCTTCAAACCCCCAGGTTCCGCGAAGGGTTAGGACAACGGCTTTTGATTCGTGGTCGATTGATAGATAGTGCACGAGCGGAAAGCCACTTTCGGTTTCACCGGCAGCATTGGAGCCTCCGGCTGGGTCGACGAAGGATGACAGGAGGATTGTCGAAGAAGGGAGGCCTGCGTGGTCGGAGAATGCATGGTGCTCATGGCTGTCTGAGGTGATGGGAGGAAGATTCTTTGTACCTCGGGGCACACCCATGACTTTAAGAGCACTGGAGCCATATGATGCGGAAGAGAAACGGCAGAACCGGCGAACATTTTGGACAAAATGCCTCTCGGGGAAGATACCAGGCACGAGGCCGTCACGATTGAGAGCTTGGATTGTCGCCGTATCTTCGTATGTACTTTTGCGCGGCCGATGTGCCAGTAGAAGAGATGTCTCGGAGCCGGCAGTGGCAACGGAATACATGCTTGGAGTATGCGATTGAGATCTCCTAAGCAAAGCCGATGAGCTGGGACGGTGGTCATTTGCAGAGATAGTACCGTCTGCTTCGGACCTTGACACGGACAAAGAGCTGGTGCTACGAACATGAGTTCGAGCGGCTGCAGGCGATCCGGGGCGTAGGTCACCAGCACGGCGCGAGAAGGAATCGGTGTGGGTTAGGAGAGACTCGTGGCTCTTTTCGCGCACCGCGAAGTGTCCTGACATGGAGGTCGTTCGATCCGAGACATCACGAGGAATGTGCTTGGCGTGGGAGCGTGGAGACTGGGGCGATGTAGGATAAGGCGATCTTCGTAGTCCCCTGTTAGGAGCTGGAGTGGTTGGCCTGTAATCGGGTGTTTGGGGCCGTCTCTTGGGATCTGGCTTGCTGAAGACTTCTCGCGCTGTGGCATCTTTCACAGAGGCCGTTCCTTTGGTGGGTTTGACGGGTGGACGTGTGCCATTAGTTAACGAAGCCGGCACTCTGATAGTAGGTTTCTTCAGCGCTGGACGCTTGGTATCGTCACTCTTCTCCGAGCCACTTGATTTCACTCGCTGGGTGAACTTTGTGAATGAGTTCCTTCCGAACGGCTGCTTTTGGCCAGTATCATCTCTAGGCTCGGGACTAGAAATACCAACATCCTTGATCGTGACATCACTTGCAGTATCCGACTGTGAATTATCCCGGTCTTGGCTTCTACGCTTTTTTGGCGGAGATTGTGGCGCTCGAGGTAAATGCCGTTGTAGATGCTCTGTGTGGACTGGGCTTGAGCCAACTGGCACGTCGTGAGGCCGCATCTGGGTGCTTTGCGATTTATTGAAGGCCGTGCGGAATACCACTGTATGCCTTGGCAAACGTTGATAATCTGGGGCGCCGGCACTGGCATTTGCATATTCATGGTCATGATGGTGTCGTTCTTCTACCATCGTAGTTCCAGGAGGAGCAGCTATATCGGCCATATCATCGTCAAAGATGTCTACCGTAATGGTGCGAGCCGTCAATAGTTCTGATTTGATGGAAGCGTGACAACCTTGGGGCAGTTGGCTCATAATATAGGCGCGGACATCTTCATCCGATACCTGCTGTTGCTCATCCAGAGGAAGCGACAAACGAGATCCACTGAATGTCTGAGCAATGCTAGATCGTCGCTGCACGGCATCAAAGGATTCTTCCCCTTTCCCAGGCATAACAAACGAAGCACTTTCAGGATCTGCTACTGCATCGCCGTTTCCACCAGGGAAATGGACTTGATGCGTCCCGACAACATCTGCCCGGGCGCCGCTATCCAAGATAACAGTATCCCAGACCACTTCATCTCCGCCGTTCTCTCGAAGACTTCTTTCAGTATTTCTTTTGCCCCACCGCTGCAGAAGTGCAAACCCTACAGAGCCGAGTAGCAGGTCTCCGACACCAATATTCTCGTTGCTGGCCCCAGTATCCACGGACCTGAACTCGCGACGTATTAGAGTGATAATGGCTGCGATGGCTCTCGACGATTCCGTAGAGCCCAAGATCGCATCCAGAGTGGACAAGAGGGCCTGTGAGAAATTGGAAACCGATGCCAACGTCGCAGATGAGATATGGAAAGTGGCCGCGGCGAAAAAGGATGCCGAGGTCACAGTAGTATGCAAAGTCGCCAACTGCTTAGGTGGTCAGCATTGGGTTCACTCTTGATGAAAGGACGCAGATATTACACTTCGCTCAAGCAGCGATTCGGCTTCTATCCTGCCATGTTCATCACCGCTTCGGATCGCGACATCCCTGCCCGCTCGAGTCAATATCCCCTCGATGACTGCTCGGCCCAGTTCGAACCCCGTCAGAGTAGTCGCGCGCGCTCCATCTAGGGCAACCCCACCAAAAAAAGTCCCCACGCGCAACGACAAGGAGGTCGATTGGGTCAGCAGCGATACCAAGGATGCTACTGGACGCGGGAGGAGAGTTGTGCCTGACGTCGCGGGGACATGACTGCCAATCTGCTTGTCCTCCTTTGTTTCAGGATCAGGATCCGGATTAGGATTAGGATCAGGGTCGAGTTTAGCAAACATAATGAGCCATGGGCAAAAGGTCTAGGAACAAGAGAGGGTGTCAACTCATGGTTATGACAATACGTCCATAGTTCAAGTGGCGATGCCTGATTTGCCCTTATCGTGACTTGACATGTGATTCCCAACGCGTTCCGTTGGGATGACGTCGGTACTTATTTACTCGGTGTCTCTACATTCAAAATTGAAGTCACTTCTACTTCCGAGGTTCGCTCACATCATGGCCTTCACATCGCCCGCATGCTGTACCTTGCGGATCATCCCACGGCTGCAGTCGCTCACAGTCCGGATCCCCGATAGACCCATGCTCTGCCAGATATCCGCCAACAGGCCCTTCAACACCTGTCGTGCGCCGTCGCGTCCATTGATACCGAGGCCATAAATCACTGGCCGGCCAACCATAACAGCCTTAGCTCCCAGGCACAGTGCCTTGATGACATCTACACCCGTCCGGATGCCCGAGTCAAACAGCACTGTCATCTTATCGCCGACTGCATCGACTATCTCTGGGAGAACATCCAGAGAACCAATGGCTCCATCCACTTGTCGACCTATCGGTTCGTCAGTACCCCAATTCTCTCAATGCTGCAGGAGCATAGGTGGTCAACGTACCGCCATGGTTGGATACCACAATTCCATCGCAACCGTACTCTAGAGCCATTTTGGCATCCTCTACATGCTGAATGCCCTTCAAAACAATCGGGCCATCCCAGTGCTTCCGGACAAAAGCAAGGTCCTGCCAAGTGTGCGGAGCACCTGCAAAAACCTGTCCCAGCCAGGCCCGTGACGCACCCACAATATCATCCTCGATCTGAGTTCCAGACTCCTTTTCGAATCTGGCTCGGAAGACCGGGTCGGAGAACCCGACCTCGCATCCAATGCCCTTGATAAAAGGCACGTAAGCATTATCTAGATCGGCCGGTCGCCACGCCAGAGACCACGTGTCAAGCGTAATAACTAGAACCGAGAAGCCGTTGGTCTTGGCCCGATTCAGAAGTGACAGCGTAATATCATCATCCTTCGGCCAGTAGAGTTGGTACCATCGCTTTCCATCTCCGCTGGCTTTGGCCACGTCTTCAATGGGGCAGGTACTGGCTGTGCTCATGGTGTAAGGGACTCCCTCTTCGCCGCAGACTTCGGCCAGGCCAGTCTCTTTGTCCTCGTGGAAAATACCCTGCACACCGACGGGTGCCATGATCAACGGGGTATCATATTTCTGCCCGAATAGTTCGACCGAAACGTCTTGACCGGTCATCTAGAGTATGTAAGCTGGTGTCATCATGTCATTCGAGACGGACGAACGCTTCGCATCATGCGGGGGATACTATGGAATACCGTTAGAAATGGCGCAAAAGACGAACTTGAATGCATACATCTTCCATTGACGAAACGCAAGGCGATTGGCATCCATGGTCGCCTTTTCGCCTGCCCCCCCAGCTACATAGTTGAATGCCCTGGCTCCAAGAGCCTTGCTTGCCTGCTCCTCTAACAACCGGGGATCGGTTGTGACGCTGGGCATGGTGCCCATAAGGGCACCCTTTCCGTAGATCTCTGTCTGATAGCTGCCGTAATTTTCCGACATGTTGGTTGAGTTGGAAGAGGAGCTAAAGCTGGGGAAGACCCGGGAGTTGGCGTTAGGTGGAGTCATGGGACCTCGGTTGCGCGTGGGCCAAGATCACCCAAGCTTTGCCTTACTCTTTCTCCATAGGTTAAGCCCCTTGTCTACCCTAGTATACCAAAAGGCGATCGTTCTTGTCGATGTTCTATGACAACATACTTACATCAAAGAGCATCCACAAGCTCTCCACCTTCAACCCGCCAGCCGAATCCACCGAGTGGAGGCGGTAGAGCAGGCTTTAGCTGAGGAGAATCACTGCACCCCGTCAAACGGAGGCTCCAGGACAATATGCCCCCGGTAGTTACAAAAGATTTTAGAGAAACGATCCTTAGACAACACGTGAAGTTCCAGCTTGCCTATTCTTAGACATACTATCATCCCTACAAGAGCCAGCTTCGAGAGAGCATAATCTGGCTCTATAAAAACTATATAAGAGATCATCTACATAGTCAGCCTGTGGATCCAGTCCTAGAAGAAGCGATCATGGATCAGTTATGGATCGATTATCAGAGACTAGGAGTGTCACACTGCAGAAATGACCAATTTTTGCAGCGATAAGGACGATCACTCCGATCTCCTTCTTGGCAACCTTATCCCTCGTGCAAATTTTCCCCCTTCTTTAATTTCGATATCAGATCCAGTGACCACTTGATCACCTCTAACTAGATGCGATCCGGATGAAACACACCCCTGAAATACGTTCGCAGTGACTCAATTGTAGGCATGGGGGGGCACGAAGCTAAGGAGGACGTGGGTCCAAGGACCCTTGAGCCCGTGCTTGAGACCACAGCCGAGGAAGAGAAGCAAGAACGCGTCTTGATTCGCAAAATCGACTTACACATTCTTCCGTTCGTGGTCTTATTATACTTATTCAGTTTTCTGGATCGAGGTATGTGATCTAGCTTGGTTAATAGTACACGGTACTGACGAACCGTAGTAAACATTGGCAATGCCCGCCTATACGGCCTCGAAGAAGACCTAGGTCTGGTCGGTGACCAGTACCAAATCGCGGTTTCGATTCTTTTCGTCACTTACTGCGTATGTCAGTCTCTATCCCGAATCCGAACCCGACTGACAGAACTTCTAGTTCTTCGAGGTTCCTTCAAATTTGGTCATCAAGAAACTCAGACCCTCGCGATATATCGCGACAATCTCAGTGATATGGGGAATCATCGCAACCCTCACAGGCCTCACGCAAAGCTATGGCGGTCTCATTGCCTGCCGAATTTTACTCGGAGTCGTAGAGGCAGGCCTCTTCCCAGGATTCATGACCTACCTCACCCTCTTCTACAGTAAACGCGAGATCGCCCTGCGAACAGGATACCTATTCAGCAGCGCTGCAATCGCAGGAGCCTGTGGCGGTCTCCTCGCCTATGGAATCGGCTTCATGGACGGTATCAGCGGGCTGCGAGGCTGGCGCTGGATCATGATTCTTGAAGGAATTCCGACTGTCATTGTGGGCGTCGTGACTTGGTTTTTCCTCGCAGATGATCCGGACACAGCATATTACCTGGATAAAGAGGAGCGGGACCTTGTCGTGCGTCGTCGTGCTCGCTACGTGGGACAGACGGAGTCTGCGCAGAAATTCCACTGGGCGGATGTTAAAGAGGGCGCGATGGATTGGAAGATCTATGCTTTTTGTATCGGGCAATTTGGTGTTGATACCATGTTGTATGGGTATAGTACGTTTCTTCCGACGATTATTGAGGGGATGGGGGATTGGTCTACGCCGCAGGTCCAGGCTCTCACAATTCCGTGCTATGCACTTGGTGCAATCGTATACCTGATTGTGGCGTGGTTGAGTGATCGGACACAGCACCGCGCGGTGTTTGTTTGCATTTTCAGCGCTATCTCCGTCATCGGGTACGGTATTCTCATCGCCGATGTGCCTTCCGGAGTACACTATTTTGGAGCCCTCCTTGTTGCATTGGGTCTCTACGTTACTGTCGGATTACCGCTAGCCTGGCTCCCGACCAATTTGCCTCGATATGGCAAGCGTACATTTGCTACTGGGCTGCAGCTTACCTTTGGTAATGTTAGTGGTGTCATGTCTCCGTTCTTGTATAAAAACTCTGAAGCACCGCGGTATGTCAAAGGAAACGCAGTTACTCTAGGCTTGGTTGGGTTTGCCGGTGTTCTTTATGGTATGATGTGGCTCGCTCTTCGTGCCATCAACAAGCGACGAGCGAGGGGACTTGAAGATGAGAAAATTGCCTCGTTGTCAGAGGAAGAGATCCAAGAAATGGGTGATCGGAACCCTAGGTTTGTCTATAGTACTTGAAAAGGTTGTATTTCTCAACTTTTGCTCTATTTGATGATACCCTAAGTTGCCCGAGAGTTTCAATATAGAAAGCTGTTCTATTAAATGACTTCAAACACATCCGAGGGGCAATGGTGAATGCAGGCACTTGAACAAATGGACTTGGAAGTATAATATTTGCCCAGGTGAACATTCAAGCAACATACGCTTCAGGCCAAGGCTCCAGGGCGATAACATGAAAACCAATGTGACCGGACGTCTCGGGTAGATAGGGACCATCACACAATCCAAGCTATACTCATAGAGATGTGTTGTACCTTCAAGTACAAACACTCGAGCTCTGCACAGACCACGTGACCCGTATCCCGGCGAACCACTGTTTACCAAAAGTTTCGCTTTCACCTCCGCTGGCTGACAGATTCGCGCTCTGCCCCATTCGAGGTCCAAGAGTGGATCTTTATAAAAGCTCTTGCTTTCTAAATACGCTCCGATCTACATCACGCTCATAGCAGTGTTCTTTCACCATGGAGTACCACGCTGTGCCTCCAGAGGAGCGCGCAAGAGACGAGAACGGCAACCTTTTGCCCTGGGGCTACATTTACAAAGAGTAAGTAGCCATCTCATCTGAATTCTGCTTTGAAATAGCCCTGACATCCGACCAGTGAATCAAGGAATCCCCGCCGACCGCCAGAGGAGTCAGGACCCTTTGGCAAGAGGAGAAACGCCCGATACGAAGCCCGATCCCGAACACGCACTGGCACACCAGCAAAGCGCGAGAACCCCAATGTCGCTGAATTCGGCCGTTTATTCTCGATGCAGCAGGAAGAAGAAAAAGTGACCGGTCTACCCAAGTCCTCCTCATCCTCCAGCCTCGACAACCCGCGCAAACAGACCGAAAAAGTCGCGACCGAGTGCATCCTGTACGGATACAAGGGCAAGGACTTCGAGTGGAAGGTGATCGACAAGTACGAGCGCATCTCACAGGGCATAATATGTGAAGACTACACACGCAGCGATCCCAACTCCCTTATCCAGTCTGCGCAAATGCTCAGCGGCGGCGACGTCGTTATCCGCGCCAACCTCTCCGCCGATGCAAACCGCAAATCTAAGCGCTATGACGGCGGCTTCCACTGGATCAAGGTGACCTTCGACTCGACGCAAGCTGCCGACCGTGCGTGCTTCTACTCCCCACAGGAGATCGACGGCTGTCTCGTCTTCTGTGAATTGTACCACGGCCACGGCCCAGCCGAGGATGCCCCCATTCTCGCAGACTCATCTACTGCGAACCGTCTGCGCAACCGTGCACCTCGCACACTCACCTCCACACACTCGACAGCCTTCTTGTCCAGCATGCCCAGCGAGCAAGACCGCCTCACGCTGCCGCGATCCTTCGCAATGAACAACCTCTCCAGTGTCGCCGACGGCAATGAGGAAGAATCTCAATCAATCGATGCCTCAACCACAACCGCAACCTCCGGCACAGCAACCGCTACAGCAACAGGAGCTTCAACAAGCTTCGACCGCTCCTCATCGCTGCACCAGCGCAGTCTCGCAACCGAGCCTAAGCCCGAGTCTGACTTCATGACGCACATCCCCACCGTCCGCCGCGCGAAACTCCGTCCCCTAGTCGAAGCGCTCCCTCCCCAACCAACCGTCACTGAGCGTGTGTTACGCTCGATCCCGATTCTGAGCTGGTTCACAGGTGATATTGTTGGTGATGGACCTCAATTGCGCGAAGACGGGTCCTTTGACTACGACAAGTCAAATGCGTACTGGAAGTTCTGGTACGCAATTGACAAAGTTCTTGGAACAGATATTTGCGGATTAAAAGAGGAGGCTTAATTGTACTCGCTTTGAAAAAAGATTGTTTTGGCAGCTTGAGATGCAGGTCTACTGCACCGAGCCTCTCTACATACACGTCTAGCTGCGATCTGCAGCTTGCAGATGTCGAGCGAGGTGTACTGCGAGACCACACAAGGGTGGCCCAGATGGGACCCAAGCATTACTCGGCGTCTTGGGAAATTTTGCGTTGTATGATAATCCTTTCGGGGCCATTTGATGTAGACATTATGAACCGTCCAGAATGGACTCTTTTACGCACAGGACTTTCCGTAGGAATTGCGAGACCTCAATAGGAAAGGCATTATAAGCAGGCAAACCGCGTAGCCAATGCACTCGGTCGGCAGAACCCCTCTACAAGCTCTGCATTAATTCGAGCCAACAGCGCAAATACCGAGGTATCGCATCCCATATGAAAAGGGGAAAAAAATAGAGTCAATCGGATGAATACATTTCATTGGCCATAGACTTTTGCTTGAGTGTCTATTTACTCAACCTTGCTCTCGAAGTTCTCGCCCTCAACGAGGTCGGGGATATCATCCTCATCATCATCCTTCTTGTCACCGCCCTGGGCCTTCTGCATGTTCTGGTAGCTCTCAGCGAGCTTGCGGAGGGAGGCCAGGGAGTCGGGGCCGAGCTGGTTCAGGATACCGGGGACGAGCTCGGTGAGCTCCTTCTCCTCGCCGTTGCCGTACAGGGCGAAGGTGTTGGAGGGGACGGAGGCGTGGACTGCATGAATTAGCTGGGGGGATCCACTTGAGGAGAGAGAATGAGAGCTGGGCTTACCGCGGGGAGCGGCGAAGTGGATAACGTTGCCGTCCTCCTTGAACATGTTGACCTCCTCGATGCCCTGGATGGGCTGGACGTTCATCTTCTTGAGGGTGGCCTGCAGCTTCTTGTCGTCGGCGCCGGAGTTACGGGTAACCTTCTTGACCTTGCGGCGGGGGGTACCCTTGCCTCTGTTGAAAAGTCAGTTGTTGTCCGGAGGGTCAGAAATGGGTGAGAATAGGTCGGATTCGTGGTGTGGTGCATTCGCATAACTGGGTCGAATTGGCGGGGACAAGTGTGGTAGTAAAGAACACAATCCGCCCACCGCACAATAACGAAGCCGGAACGCGAATGTGGGATGGCCATGGCACGAATCTTCCCGTTGCTCGGAATGGCGGGGGTTGCGGGTTGCGGGTTTCAAGCTTTAAAATAGAAGGATACGTACCCTATTCGGACAGAAAGAAGTCAGCAAACAATTCCACACAGGAGGTTTGAGATACAGCTGCTCGGATGGAGGTTCCAAGACGCAGGTCTGACACGAGCTGAGGTCTTCACGAACGAAGCCACAAGCTGTCACCAGCACGCAACACCTCTCGGTTTCCCATCAAGCGAGCTGAAGTCTCACACCCCCAAACCCAGTGACAAGAAAGACATACCAATGCGCACGGAGGCCTGCATCTTAGCCAACTTAGCCTGATCCATTGTGACGGTGATTCGGTCCTGGTGCACGTTAGCCGATAAGTCCCGAAGGAAAGCCGAGTGAAATCGCAAGTCGCAAGACGAAAAAAAGCGAAAGCGAGAGCGAGGACAGGAATCGGCGAGATCGTGGAATGCGTACCGAAAAGTGATGTGGTGGTGGGGATATGGGAGGGAGGGAGGAGAGAAGGTGATGATGCGCATGAGAGTTTTGTGTGGGGAGTTACAAATGCGGATTTTCGCTAATGCGCTGCGGCGACGGCCAACGACTAAATTCTCCTTACTCGGACTACGGTGATCCAGCTTGCTGTTTACATTTACAAGGCATCTTGAGATGAGCTCTGCCGGTCGGATAGTCGTGGTTGGTACTGGACGTGGTTTCGATTGTGGGCGATGAGGGAAGCAGCTCGGCTAAACCCTAATCTGGTAACTTTCTCGACTTTCTACTTTCTACTTCCCGACCATGTCCATCCTCAACGTGGTTCCCTCTTCACGTCAATCCAATTCGATTCCAGATTCCAGACTCCATGCTTCCCCCTAATTGACTTTCTGATTTTTACCCGTCGCATCCCATGGCCGGAAATACTTCTTGGATGTTTCTCCCGGAAACCCAAGCCTCCGCTGGACCTTGGCATTCGACAACGGCGCCTCAAACTCGCCCATCTCCCGCGTAATCGGCGTATTGGGATACTTCTCCCGCAGGAACGTCTCCGTCTTCCTACAATTCGTGATCGTATCACTCGTCGCATTAAACACCTGGCACCCCAACCCCAATGTCTGAATCGGCGCCTCACACATCCCACCCAGATCACGCGAGTCCGTATACGACCATCCATGCACCTTCCACAGCCCCGGCTCGGGCACGTAACTATAGAAAACATCCACATTGTACTGGCCAATGCGCAGGGTGTAGATCTAGTTTCCGAAGCGGGTCGCGAAGCCTCTAGCGACGCGCTCGTTGCATAACTTGGCGATGGCGTTAGGTATCGGTAGGACTGACATGTTGGTCTTCTTCAATGGGGAAAGAGGTGTAGTCTGCGTCACCTTGGGCGAAGGAGACGCTGTAGACGGCTGTGTTGCTTGCGATGACGATATTGGGGATGCCTAGTTTGCAGGATGCCTCGATGATGTTGTACGTGCCCTGCGTGTTGGATCGGAATGTCTCGGTGTCTGGGACGATCATGCGGCCTAATTTGCTTAGCATTGAAAGCGAATATGTCCGGAGCTGATTGCGCTGTGTAGCTGGTCACTTGGAATCAAATTCTGATGAATGTTGCGGACTTCTTGCACTAGGAGTCGACTGGAAGGGAAGGGTTTTGACTGACGCGAAGGTCATCATGACACCATTCACCCTGAATTCGAGGATGACAAGGTGCCAATCAAAGAACGTGGTATGATATAATCTGTCCTTGGAAATTGAGATGTAGTAAGTACATGGCTCTTCAAGCTGGCGCTATAGACAGGAAAAAGGTCAAAACAAATGGCCCAGAATTAATATTCGGGCTTAGCGCCGCTCAGCAATTTCAGCCTCAGTCCACTCCCAAAGTTTATAGGCGACATTGGCATCTTGTATAAAGTTGCTACCGTTGGCATGGAGTCCAACAGGGGTGTAATAGGCTCCGTTGACCAGGTTATCTCGCTGGGTACCCGCTGCCCATAGGGTATTCAGAGACCCGCTGTGGATATTCCGGAAGAAAAATGACGCTGCGACAGTCAAACTGTGCTTCATGAAAGAGCCAGAAGCCTTGGCGTGAGAGTACAGATCGCTGTTGACGGCGCCCGGGTGCACCGAGACCGAAAGGATCTCCGGATACCGGCGTGCCAACTCCGCTGCGAAGAAGACATTAGCCGCCTTGGACGCACCATACCGGTTCCAAGTGCTCCCGGCCAGCAACGAAGGAGTAGAGGTCATTCCCTCGAGAGTGGTCGGACTCATTAGGTGAGCTGCGGATGACAGAGTCACGACGCGCACATCGGGAGTCGCTCCGCTGGCATGGATCTGCGCAACGGTCTTCTGCAATGTGGGCAGAAGGAGCTTGGTAAATAAGAAGTGACCGACATGGTTGGTGCCCAGCTGGACCTCGAAGCCTTCCTCGGTCTTAGTGGGCGGATTGCCCATTGTTCCTGCATTGAGGATCAGGAGGTCGAGACGGTCACTGTCCGATTGGAAGGCGTCTGCGGCGGCCCGGATGGACTTGAAAGACGCTAGATCCAAAGGAAGGTAGCGAATGTCGGCTGGCGAGGAGAGCTCAGACTGGATAGAAGCGATGGCATCACGCGCCTTGCTCTCGGTGCGCGCAGCCAAGTAGATGCGTGCCGGGGTGTGTTTGGCCAGCTGGATAATGGTCTCTCGACCGAGCCCGGCATTGCCTGCGAGAAAGGCATGAGCGAATAATCCCACATGTAGACATGGTGCACATACCTCCAGTGACCAGGACAACCTTGCCATCGAGGCTGGCGATATCGCGCTCGGGCTTAAAGGAGGAGCCCAGCAGACCGAACGTGGCCTCGTTCAGGGTAGGTCCAAAGCTTGATATCCCTTCTATAGGATGTCGCAAGCTGTATCCAACAAAAGAACTAGTAACAGCCACATCGCGGAAATTCATTGCGATTGATGAGCTGTTCCAAGCTTGGATCAATGGAGAAATTGAGGTTCATGACGGGGAACCAAGGAGTTGACCGCCACTAGCGGCCGAACATGTGGATTTCTCCTTTCGATGAGTGCTCTACATGACCTGGATAGCCTGAAGTCAGCTAGAACAATATGAAACAAAAGCTGACGGTGATGGTGTCCCTGGTGCCTGGGGCCCCTCTGAAGCATCTGAAGGGTCAAATGAGATGCAGGCTTCAGATCTCCGATCTCCGATCTCAGCTTGACCCAATGCACCCCATCCGCCCCGCCTATTTCGGCAGCAAACAAGTACATTGACGCCCCCTGCATGTCATCGCGACTATCATCAACCTCGCATCACCCAGGGAACCACCGTCCTTCCTGTTGAATTTTCAATTTCTGTCTGCATCTTGCGTCTTGCATCTACCTTTGCGCCGGAAACTTTCAGACCGACTTCCAGCATGCGCTTCTTGTGTTTACACGGTGCCGGCACCAATGGCGAGGTGCGTACTTTCGATCGCGACAACTTCAATGCTAATCCCAAACACCAGATTTTCGAGATCCAAACCGGTGGAATTCGCCAGCAGCTCGAAAAGAAGGGCCACATCTTCAAATTCGTGAACGGCAAGATGGACGCCGCGGTGGAGTCAGGTACACATGCACCACAATGAAAATCCTACACCCACTAACAACCCCAGAACTGGAGGGCGTCGTGGACGGCCCCTTCTATAACCACTACCCACGCAGTCCCGCCGTGCCTAGCGCCCATCTAAAGGAAGCCTTCGAGCATGTCTTGAACATCATCGCCACTGAGGGCCCCTTCGACGCAGTGATGGGCTTCTCCCAAGGCGCCGCTCTAGCTAGCGCTCTGATTGCCCACCAGGCCAAAGCCCACCCAGAGCAGCCGTCCCTCTTCCGCGCGGCCGTATTTATCTGCGGCGGGGCGCCGTGGGAGGGCGCGGGATTAAATTATATTGCTTCGCAGCCTGATACGTACGCGATCAATATTCCGACTGCGAATATTGTCGGGAAGATTGATCCGCTGTATCCGGAGAGTATGAAGTTGTATCAGCTTTGCGAGCCGAGCAAGGCGGCGTTCTATGACCATGGATCAAAGCATATGGTGCCGTTTGATATGAAGAATACGGAGGAGATGGTTCGGGTTATTGAGGAGACCGTTGCTAAAGCTATTCGGGGTTGATCCTCTGGATTCATGACGAGGGATATGGTTTATGATTGTTGAGTGCTGGGTGATATTCATATGCCAGTTATTGCTGGTCGCTAAGCATTAGTATATCGATGTTTCTATCATGCATATTTACATGAAGGTTGAAATCAACGAGTTCAAAAAACTAGCGCTGCTTATCTCGCGATGACGGGGGCTGGTACTTGGTCCATGCAATTGCAGCCAGAAGCATCACGAGGCCGAGGATCAAGCTGTATCCCCTTTGAGGATTTGTGTTATTCCCCGAGGTATCACGATCATCAATTCATAAGCCAGCAGAGGTGTCGCCCTCCATGGGGAGCGTCTTCATGAGGAACTTCTCCAAATCTTCAATCTCGCTGGGATCAGCGGAGTGGCCAAGGTCACTATATGAAGTCAGTATACCACACCCCTCCCATAAAAGTGATAGAACATACGGATAGGTGTTGAACTCGACATTCTCAACACCAAGGTCCTTCAACATCTTGGCCGACTGCTTTCCAAACGCATGAGGAACCACCTCATCCTCATCACCATGAGCCAAGAAGAACGGTGTATCCTTGTTAGGCCAGTCTTCAGGTGTGTAGTTCTTAATGCGATCGCTAAGAAGCATATAGCAAGAAAGACCGAACACACCACCCAGCTTCTCCTTGTTCGTAAGGCCCGAGAAGACAGACATGGCACCGCCCTGCGAGAAACCGCCCAGCACAATGCGGTTCGACTTGATACCCTTATCCATCTGCTCCTTGATAAGAGTGTTGAAGTAGTCGCGCGATTTCAGGATGCCGGCCTCGTCTTGTGTGCGGATTGCCTCTTCGAAGTCCAGCTGGGGCGCCGTTAGTGGTGCGCCCTTGTAGGGGATGATGTGAGGGAGTCTTACGTCGCGACCAAGTTTGGAGATGTCGTACCAGCCGGGCATGCTCATTCCAAAGTTCTGGATTGCCTTAGTATGTGTTGTTGAGTGTTTGAGAGAGGACGTACCACTGTGATCGGGATGGCAGGTGCGTTAGGGAAGATGAAGGTAACTTCCTCAAATTTGCCACGACGGCGCCAGGTGCGGGCGAGATCCATCCTGAAATGGTCAGTTTTGTTTGAACAGGGTATGAAGGCTTCGATTCGTACCATCCGGCGCCACTAGATTGAGTACTTGTTAGCGGATACCTTGGTGCTAGCGGGGGTGACGAACCTGTCCCCGAGACCGTGAGCCATGATCACGGTCGCGGTGTGCTTCTTGAGCGCGGGAACGACAAAGGGAGCGCGTGCAGACATGTTGGATAGAGGTCTAATCGATGCAGATATGATGCTGTACAAGAATGAATGAAGGAAAAGATAAGCCGTCTTTTGTTGACTCCACCATTCTGCCGCCGAGGTTATCGGTAGCTTCACCGCTTTTAAGTGATGGATTCTACGTGGTCATCTTTCAAAGGGACTCAGTCGGTTTTTGTTTCTAGAGGGTTTTGTACTGATCAGATAGCTCAATTGAGTGGTCATATTAGTATGCGTGGAGAATTTATGTGTTAAGTTTATAAAATATGTATAGACTACCTTTTATATACAGCTCATTAGATGAAACATTAGTTAACTCGAATCGCGGCGCGATGTCGTGGTACCAGCAAGAAGACGCAATTCATCTCTCACAGACGCAATAACCGCCTCAGCCAAAGATTCCTCGACAACACCCTCCTGCCAGGACACAGAAATCACACAGCACCCATCACCACCAGTAATAACCGAGAACTCAAGAGCATTTCCAATAACACTAGCGCACTGCGAAAATACCATTCCTTTGATAGTAGGCTTCTCAGGACTCGACTCAGAGTGCACAACACCAATATTAGAAACTTCGAAAGTCTTGTCACGGTTCTGGCCGAGCTTGGACAGACACAGCTCCTGCTGGTAATCATTGACATATTTCAGGAGATTAGGTCCTGCATCTTTGCCTTTGCGTTTGAGAGCTGCTTCGATCGTCTGTCGTGATCTTCGTGCTTCATCCCATGGAAAATCGCCGGAAGATATGATACTGCGGATGTATGTCTCTTCAAAGTCTTGGACGTATACGCCCATTACGTCTTCTGTGATTTCGTCGGGAAGCCAGCGGCGACACGAGAGTGCGCCTGTGCAGGCGACATTTGAGTATTCGATGGGGATGTGGGCAAATATGGATCTCGCGATAGCCGTCTGCAGGACAGCTGTGATAGTGGTGTTCTCTTGACGACAAAGGTCTCGTAGAGAAGTGACAATTACTTTGGAGATTGGCAGCAGTCGGATGCAGGTTTTCGTGGGCTGTTGGATCTGACCAGCGGTCCATAGTCTAGGGTCTCTGCGGGAATAGACCTTTGCTTCGAAAAGCTTCTTTGCGAGGAAGAAAAAGGACAGAGGCATTAGGTGAAGGGCTTCAATATTTGGCAGAAGGGGCATCTTCGGTGACTCGACAAGAGATTTGGTTTCACGCTCCCCAGCTGTGCTCAATGCTCGTAGGAAGGATCGATGGAAAGCCTTGCCCGAGCCTCCATCGCCCAAGGCGTGATGGAATACATAGACAGCAGTAAAATGATTCTCGTTGTCACTGTTTGTCAAAATGCATAACCTCCAAAAGGCATTCGGTGCAGTGAAACCCGAGTTATGCTGTTTCTCAAGCAGGATCTGCAGATCGTGATCTGGGGCCGGTTCATCCTCATCCTCAGATGAAGTAGTCTGACGTTGATGGAAAGAAACAACCTGATCCAATTCAATTTGGGGTAACCGCACAAAATACGGTTCCTGAGTATCATCAGCCGTTGGAATGGCCGATAACACCGGATGCTCCGCAATAAGCGCTGCACATGCCCGGTAGACGTAATCCTTCACGGGGAGCATGAAGGTTTCCGGCAGATCATAGGTCGCAGCCACAATGACATTCAGATAGAAACCGATTTGATGCCGCGCCGTAGAGTACTGCTCCAGGCGACCTGATACGGGTCAATTGGGGTCAGGGGAAGGGTTTTGAGCGGAGGTTCACTCACCAACTGGCCGCAACTTTTCAAATTGATCCATTCCAGCAATAGCGATCCGGTTCAACAATCCTAATCTGGGATCAATAGAGAGATGCAAGAGGAAGCTTGTTTAATTTTAACTGCTCGGTGCTTAAGGTCTTATCCCACGTGACTCCATACAGTAGGCCACGGATTTCGGTTCGAAGCGACTTGCCTGATGTAGAATGTCAAATCGTCGACTTGAGATTAAGTTGTCGGTAATTGATAGGTCCAACAATTAGATCAAGGGGACATTGAAAATGAAATTAATAGGCATTCATGGATTATTTGCTCGGTCATTTTGACAGAAGGGCTGAAAAGACGCCTTGGAAAGTGTATAGAATGAAATCTGTAGAGAAAGACCCTTGAAGGAATCCACAGAAAGATGTGTGAATATAGTCCTGACATAAAAAAGTATTCCAGCCCACCAATAGCCCATTAGCTTAACAAAGTTCATCTAAAGCCGAGCGTCACCTCTTCCCTCGGGTGGTTCTTGCGTAACAATCTCAAACTCTTTCATAGTATCAAGAGCAGCCCGTATCTCCCTAATATAGGCTGGAATTCCACCAGCATAACAAACCGGCTCATAGATCTTGCCCGGAACGTTGCCTCCCATATAGGTCGAATTTGTCGTCGGGAAGAGGGACATCTCCGTCTGTTGCAAGATCTTCTCTTTCCAAGACTCGGCCGCAGCAGGCTTTGCGTTGATGTACTTGATATTGTTTCTTTCTATCTTCTGCATGAAGTCGGCAATTCAACGACCTTGTACTTCCACTGTGGTTGGTCCATTACTCAGAAGGGTTGGCCCGTGGGCTCCGTAAATGTGAAACATGTTGGGATAGCCGGAGACTGTCGTGCCGAGGTATGTTTTGGCCCCTGTGGCCCATTCTTCTTGGAGCTTGGTGTTGTTGATACTTTGTAGGCCGAGCTGTGTCATGACTAGAATCTTGTCAGAAGAAATATTCAATCCGAAGTGAGCTTTCTCACCTCCAGTGACAACATCATATGCGCCAGTCAGTAACGTCGATTAATAAAAACAGTTCGCAACTCACCAAATCCAGTAGCCACTGCAATGACATCAAACTCATGATGCGTCCCATCCTGAAGCGTAATACCTGTCTCAGTGAATTCCTTGATCGGGTTGTGTTTGATGTTAACCAAATCCACACTCGGCCGATTGAACTGTTCATAATAGTCATACTCCAAACAAGGCCTCTTAACACGAAAGAAATGCGGCATCTCCAAAGGTGCCAAGAGATCTCTCTTCCTAGGGTCCTGAATGCGAGCACGAGTCTTCTTCGCCCAGAAATTATACGATTTTTTGTTAGCTTTCGCGTTGAAGAGATTGTCCTTCTACACCGCAACCCAGTACCTGAAACCACCCTCGCCCCAAACTTTTTCATAAAAGGTTTCCCGCTCTTCAGGAGTATCGTCAAAGGTATTTTTCTCATACCAGTCGTAATGGAAGCCCGCGAAGCTAGTCTCTCGAAAGCGGAATAGCTCTGGGTAGAAATGCTTTTTTTGTTCCTGCTCTTTCACCGTGAAAGTTTTCTTGCGCATTGGGACGGCAAGATTAAGGGTTCGTTGGAATAATTTCACCTTGCCTGCTTCTGGACCCAGGCTTGGACGATTTGAACGCCGGATGCGCCAGTACCAATCACGGCGCAACGCTTGTTCTTCACTTCGACTTTCTCGTCTGGCCAGAAAGAGGAATGATGGATTATGCCTTTAAATTTATCCATTCCAGGCCAGTTGGGAATGTACTGGCGTGCCGCCTGAGTCATTGTGAGTTCTCTTCATACTATCGCATCTTGATTCATAAAGTTGACTTACAAATCCAGTCCCTAGAATCAGATACTTGGCAGTGGCCTTCCGACCATCCTGTGTACAGACAGTCCACTTTCCAGAGACAACATCAAAATGCGCTCCAACAACAACCGTATTGAAAGCACAGTCCTTCTTGATGCCAACGATCTGATCCACATGATCGAAGTAAGCGCGCAAATCCTGGTATGTAGGATAATTGCTCGACCAATTCCAGGTTTTCCAGACCTCAGGCCAGGAGAACTCGTATTCTGGTACCTCCGAGTCAACACCGGCACCGGGATAGCAGTTCCAGCGCCAGGTTCCGCCGCTATCATTCCCAGCTTCGAAAATGACAGCTTTGAAGCCACGGTCTCGAAGGATCTTTAGCATGAATATGCTAGCTTATTTTAAGTCAGAGTCAGGCATGGGGGGGGGGGGGGGGTTTCTACGAAGCTATAGCTTACCGAATCTAGCCCCGACGATTAAGGCATCGATTTCAATATTATCGGAATAGGGTCCAGATTTATTCTCGGGCAAAATCGAGTAATCGACTAGCTCGGTCTTGAAGTTTGGAGTAATTTTGTCCTCTATCATTGACTGTTTGGAAAGCCTTGGCCGTAACACGGTAATACCAAAGGAGAGTTCTTTCAGGTGTGATGGAAGGTGATCTTGAATAAAAATCCAGGATTATGTCTCACCTTCTAAACTCTGGAAAATCTATGTCCGAAGCACCAGATCTTGCACAACTCTTCTTGTCGGCGCGACGTATTGCATTCCGGGCCGCTGCAACGCAAACATAGTCACTGAATGACCTGGCATCACATCTGCGGGGTCACAGGGTATGCATTGGATGGCATATGTGGAGAGCGCGCCGAGCTGTACAAACATACTGAATCTGCGGGGTTTGCAAAGGCCGTGGAAGCCAAGAGTCAGTGATTTTGCCCCAGTTCAAACTCACCTCCATTTTTCAAAAATGATATTTGGTTTCAGTAGACAGAAGTGCCGACAAGGAACCCAAGTATCTTTCACTATTTCAGTTATTACTGATCACTTCCTCACATCGTCGTCATGCCACTCAACGCTGAAACCCTCGCAAACCTCCAAATATTAATTAACTCCGCTTGTACGGACACGAGCAGTAAAATACCAGGAGCAACAGTCGCGGTGATTGGGAAAGATGGCGAAGAAATATTCACTCACTCAGCTGGTAAGAGAGGCATTTCCTCTGCCGAGCCAATGACACTGGATACTATCTTCTGGATCGCATCGTGCACGAAGCTGCTTACTGCCATCGCATGCATGCAACTTGTCGAGCAGGGCGGACTCGAGCTAGACAATGGATTGCAGCTCGAGAGTCTCTGTCCTGAGCTGAAAGATTTGAAGGTGTTGAGAGATGACGACACCTTGGAAGAAAAGAAAAAGGCTATTACGCTGCGAATGCTCTTGACTCATACTGCTGGATTCGGGTACACTTTCTTCAATGAGCGACTGAGAAATTGGTCGCTTCCTATCGGCGTGGATGAATTCTCGGGGGGAATCGACGATATCAAAACGCCGCTTTTGTTTCAGCCTGGTGAGGGGTGGGAATATGGAGTAAGCCAACCCTCTCTATCACTATCACTCATGAAGACATAGAGCCTCTAACATGATCCAAAGGTCAGTCTAGATTGGGCGGGACTGGCAGTTGAGCGCGTCACAGGCCTATCACTGAACGAATACCTGACACAACATATTTTTCAACCCCTGGAAATTGAAAACATGTCTATGATTCCGAATGAAGAAATGCGTGAGAAACTTGCGCATATGCATTCCAGAGCTGCTGATGGGACGTTGAAACCAAGAGACCATCTTCTTCGTGCTCCATTGATTGTCGATCCGAAAGATGACAAGGAGACGAAGAGGATCTTCAATAGTGGCGGTGCGGGAATATTCGCAAAGCCACAAGAGTATTGCAGTAAGGGACTGCCATCTGAGCTTGAGACGAGACCGTACTTACGATTGCGCAGAAATCCTCGCGGTCCTCCTTAACGATGGGATATGTCCACGTACTGGTGCACATATTCTCCAAACTAAAACTGTACAAGACATGTTTGAGAACCAGATCCCCCAATTCCCCCATTTCGGACGCCAGGGCATTCCCGCCTCAAAGCCAGACTTGACAAATCCGATCCCCGATATACACCCAATTCCCGAAGGGGCCCCACAAGGCTGGGGCTTGTCGTTTATGCTGAGCAATAGTCAAGTAACCGGAAGGTCTACCAAAACAGCACACTGGGCCGGATTAGCGAACTTGTTCTGGTGGTGTGATCGAGAGAAAGGAGTTGCGGGTATTGTGTGTACGCAAATACTTCCATTTGCCGACATTGAGGTTCTGAAGCTGTGGGCTGGAGTTGAAACGGAGGTCTATCGAGGACTGAAGAGTCTTTCTTAGGAGGTTGAAAATAACATTTTTAATGCGTAGTTATGGTTCTTTCAAATGCTTGATGATCTCAGACATAGCATCCCATAAGAGGTGATTGTTAGAGTAAGCAATGATCTAGAAGATACATAAGGTGGGGATCAGGGAAGTCATGTCTTCATCCACCGTGATGAACCAGCTCTGATAATATGTACTGATAATGACCTAGGTCTTTTTTCCATAGGCATCTAGCTTACAGCACAGCTAGACCACCGGCGAAAGCAACACCGAGGATGCCCCAAGCAGCGGTCTGCATCGGAACAGCAGCACCCTTAGAAGTCGATGTCGACGTCGAGCTGGAAGCAGAAGTGGTGCTGCTACCAGACGAGCTCTGAGCCTCGCCCGTACCGGTAGACTCATTGGCATTGCGCCTCGCAGCTTCACCAGCAAAGGCAGAAGCCACGACATTTGTATTGTTGGTACAAGACGAGGGCTCGCTATAGGTAGTGGAAGAAGAGAATTGAACATCGGCGCACTAAAGACTATCAGCGCCATGATATAGAAAAGAAAGGTCAAGATGAAACTTACTGCGTAAAGTCCACCAGTCGGGTCTCCGTTGCTCTGGACCTGAATAGTAGCATTCATGCCATCGGTAATGTTGACACCAAGCAGCGCTGTGCTGAAATCAACATGCGGAAGACAGAAAGCACCGAGACCATTGATCTGGAAAGTCGGCACGAGAGTGACATTGTAGTTGGTTGCCGGGTCACTTCCGAGAGCAATTAGGACCTCGACGGCAGTCTGGACGTGGCCCATTTTCAGGGCGACTGGGAAGGAGCCGGAGATAGGAAGCTGGGTGCGGTTGGATGATTGGGCCATTCCACCGCAGGGGAAGTTTGGCATGGTATCTTCATCGAAGCCGCGGGAGATGGGATACTGGAGGTGGAAGTGGGCTGAGGCCAATGGAGCCAGCATAAGAGGGAGGAGAGTGAACTTCATTGTGAATATGGACGTTCAGGATGAATGGAAGGAAGAGAGGGAGCTTGCGTGAAAAGGGAAGTGATTTGCTATATCAACAATTCGGTGAACCCCGCCAACAGTGTCACTACTTGAATCCGAGAGCCGCTACAGAAAAAAAGAAGGCAGCTGCCGTTCGAAGCCATAGATTGGTTTATCTCCCTTGAGTTTAGTTCCTAGGAAAGGTCGGTTTACCCGAGACGCTTGACCTCATCGGGATAATCTGCTCAATTGAACGCAGTCAGGGCAAGTGCCAAGCCCGTCGATTTGAGCGTATTTAATATCCAACCCATTCGGAACTCGATCTTTCCTGGATCTTGACAGACTGAAACATAATAGCCGAACCATAGTCTAGACCGTAATGTGGTGGTATCGTGTGGCTGCATCATACTCCAGTAGAACCTCGGCCTCCATATCTTTCACATCAACAACAACCTGACGCCACATGTTGACCTCATACGTATCCGCTAGAGCTCCCGATGAAACTGTTGCACAAAGGTAGCGTTGCCCACGTTGAGATACTTGGCGGGCTTTGTCTCCGAGAAAGCCCAGGAAAGCCTGTGCCTGGGCTGCATCTGCAATTTGAGGACATAGCACAAGGGCCAGGTTTTGCTTCAATGGATCTGATGGAGATATTGATGGGGAATGGCAAGTCCAGGATATGACCATGCCTGGCCGGATGCGCTCTTTGAAATCTGGCACAGTGGTCTTGCCTTCGAGCGCGGGATCGCGGCTGGATGAGTATCTTTCGGATGGGGAATCTTTGCAAAGAGTTTGAACGTTCTTCTTGGCCGTTGAAGTCTTTCCGGAAGAGTTTCGTTGCGAGTCAATGTGCAACCTCCAAAATTTGGCGTGTAATGCTTTGGCCTGGTCGCCGCTTACACCGTCCGACCTGAGACAGCGGGATATGAACTGGGAAGAAGATAGCCGAAGAAGTTGCTCTCCAGTTTCACTTGGCGCAAGAACAGATGGTGAAACGGAAGGATTACCAGACTAATCAACGAATTAGTAAATGCGGAGATTATTGCACAGAATTACCCACTTGAATCTTGATATAATTTCTCAGCTCTTTGTTATTCCATGTCGATGGCACACCAGGGTTGTACCCCGAAGACATCACCTTCATTTCAGCAGACCGAAGCATCTCCGCATACCGAAGGGTGTTTTTGGTGGCCCCGGTATCCAAGAAGCTTGGACCGATACAAGCCAGCACCGCTGTCCTACACTCGTGATTTCCCGAGGGGTCAAAAACGTGCTTGAGAACCTTTGTCAACGTGCTCTGTCGAAAAGGGATATATGGCTTCTTAGAAGACTTTGAATTATCCATGATTGCCAACCCGCGAATACAGTCTTTCAATATGGATAGACTGATGTTAATCTCGCGGGTCTCTTTCATTCGGTCAGCCGAATGGTTGAAGATGTCTCGAGCGGCTTCTGAGCCTGCAAGGTCAACAAGGTAGAAAACGCCATCATCCAGAGTATTCTGTGTCGGATTCTGGACTCTGATGCGGCAGATGGCGTGTGTGCGAGAAGATCCATCGTTTTTCTCTGTAGATGCTGTTTGTCGGAATAAGGCGGATTCCTCAATCAAAGCAAGGAGATCTGGAGTACTAGTAACTTCATGCTCTTTTGCTCCGGCCAGCTGCGTATTTCCGAAAGAATCTTCCAGGATTGAGAACGGCGCGCGGGTATTCAGTAAATCGAATGCAGAGTTTCCTGCCAATTCGAAGATGGAAACGTGCAATCTGCGCTGTCCTTCTAGAGTGCCATCGAACAAGGCGCCAGCAATTAGGCGTTCAATTCCATTGACAGAATAAGTCTTTCCGGACCCCGTCTGCCCATAGGCAAACAAAGTCCCAATATGGCCTTCCCAAACCCACGGAAGAAGCGGCTGTACAAGATCCTCATAGATCGACTCTGTATTCCGGTCGGAACCAAACACTTCTCCGACACGAAAAGAAGAAGACTATAACCCAGTATGAGAAACCTATGCCTGCATAGTCTACACGCGGAATATGCATAATTCAAATAGGAAGGGATCATGACTAACATTCAACGGGGGTGGACCCCTAACGACCCTCCTCAACTCATGAAGATCCACAACTCCACTCTCGCCAACCCTCGCAAAGGCCGCAGGGACCTGACCGGAAGCCGTTTCCTCATCGAGCAAGGGCCTTATGCGTGTCGCAACAGTAATTTTGGGACTAGTGACTGGGTCTCCCTCATTAGGTCTTGGCTTGGGTTTGAACTGCCTGATCAGGTGCTGATGGCGATCAGCGTGTTGCAAGAGAAATTCCTCCATCATTTATTGCGCAACTGGTAATTAGTACTCGGTAGAAAGTTATGTGTGTATTTATAGTCATTGGACATGCTACAAGGTGAGGCTGTGATTCAGGGGCAGGTAAGCTGTGTGCCCTAAGCCCTACGAAGCCCGAGCCTCAGACCTGTGATTCATGCGGTCGCCCGAGATGTCTCGCAGGAGGACTCACAGATATTGAATGCTGGGGAGGCGCAGAGTGGGATCTCAGATTTTGATATTGGTCTCAGGTTGCTTTCCCTTTGTAGTAGGTGGGTAATTCTGTAGATGGTCACCTACATCAAGTTTAGTGTGTACTGTGGATCTGCGTGCATTTGAGTTTCTATGCCAGAGGTACTTTATGTAAATCTTGCAGATGTAAAAACGGCGGTGGGGGCGATTAAGGAGGCATTGCTCCCATGGACAAATTTGTACTCCTGAGCAAGATTGTAGGAAGAACGCATCACCGCAAGAGTAGGCTCAATCTATCCGCCAAGGATGAGATTATTTAGTATATGGGATGCAGCAGGCAAGCTCTCCCAGTCTTGGCCATTTCCGCCGCCCCCAAGTATCAACACAAAATCCATTCTCAAAATGATTTGAAAATGAAGCTGAGAGCATATTTGAAGGGCAGAGTGAAAGAGGGTTAAAGAGGCTTTTTATAAAATTGCTACACTGTTCACACTATTAGCGTATGTGCCATATTTCAACTATGCCCGTACACCGCCTTTGTTCGTCAGAGGCTAATCAGTGTACCAGACATGAATCAGACGCTTTCTCTCTCTATACACCATGAAAGATTACGTTTAACCACTCCTCACAATGGGCGGTATATATTACCTATACAGAAACAGCCGGCTAATTAAAGGCAGCGAAGCATATGGAATCAAGACTTACTCGTCGTTAGATCTGGTCAACTGGTATTTCAGATTCTTTCTCTCCACCATATACAGCAAGATTGCTCAATTAAATAGGAAATACGAAGGGTTTCTGATCCTGACACAGTCGATGCTTGCGCTGGTTCTGGAGGACGTGGTCGTTCCCACATTATCTACAATCCAAAATTTGGCAAATATATTCTCTGGGCAAACTCCAATGGCTACGTTGTAGCAATGTCGGATCACCCAGCTAAAGGATATACATTTCTTGGGTCTCAACCTGCCCTTGACCCCAAATTTGCTGATTCAATTCCTGCAGATTTTCAGGGCGAGACTCCCGGATCTATAGTAGACGTTAGCACGATCGCAGATCACAAACTTAAGAAAAGCTAATCTAACCTTCATCGACGATCAATATCACCAATATCCACAAGCTGAACGACCTCAACAACAACCTGCTCATAAGGATGAGCCTTTCGCAACGCCTTCACAGCGTTCCGCATAACCTCCTCACCAACGCACAGCGTCTCAACCTGATACTCCTCAACTCGTTCCAACACTCCCGGCTGACCAATATGAGGTGTAGAGCCAGCGCTGGGCCGGAATTGATCAACGCCGAGATATTCAAAGCTGACCTCTTCGTACAGGCCGCCCGGGTATTTCCCTGCGCCGGCGGAGAATACAGCCGTCTTGCACATCTCCAGGTGGGAGGGTGGCACGCGGAAGATAAGCTTGAACTGTGGGGTAGACATTTTAAGGCTGATGGGGGATCCGTGGACCGTCAAGTTTGAATCAATGCGGAAAGAGAGGTTTCGTATTGATGCACTTCCAGGAGGCCAAAGGTCTTGGAGTTCACAATTGATGCTTTTAACTTGGATCGAAATTTTTGAGTCATCGTTTATTTTACCCTAATCGTGGATGGCCCCGCCTTGCTTATCTTGGAGGTTTAATTGTGCGTCAGTTGAAGTCTTGGATTTATGGAAAGCGACGCCGTAATCGAACGATGCTGTCAGCTATATAAAATGGGAGTTCACAAGGCCTGGGCACAATTTTGCTTTCCATAATTATGAGCATGCAAGAGGCCCAAAGCGCGAGATTGGGGCAGCATCGGCTACCCGGATTGGGACTAGTCCCAATGCGGAGGGAAATGTGCTCATTTCTGCTCAGCGGGCTGACCCGCTTCCGGCAACTTTACTTCTTGGATTGGAACCATTTGGAAGTGAATTGGAAAACGCCTATCCATGCAGAAGATGCAATCACGTATATCGTAAATAATATCAATGGCCGTGCTCGAATGTCTGAATATATCGGCCAACCGCCAGTTCGCCTATGAAGGCGCCCGCAAGAACGGAGCAAAAGTAGCCGATGTTCATCGTCATGACGGCCAACATGCTATAGACGTGTCAGTATGACATGCCCGGTATGATGAGATGAAGGAACGGTGGGACATACAGTAGATAGGATACACCAGCAATGCAAAGAAACATCAATGCTCGCGGCAAGTCAACGCTAAAGCGCCAGGGAATCGGTCCCTCGGAGACGTTATGCACGATTTTGACTGACTCCTCCACACCTTGAGCTGTAACAAGGGAGGCCATCTTAGCATCTGGATCTGAGTCTATACGCCCAGCTTCTGTAGTCTTGCCTGCGATGGCGACGTAGCGGCGCTCAAGGTGAGAGGCCAGCCAGTGGCGTTCCAAAGTAGCCTTGAAGGCGATGAGGCAACGGTCGATAATGGCCAGCACAATCAGGAAGATACACGTGCCCGCATAGGTCCCTGATGAGGAGGGCGCCCATGCAGAGGAAAACAAAGGTGTGCTGTGTGTGTTGGTGAAGACCATCGACATGCCGGATCCGGAAGAGGAGTCCATGTTGCTCATGGAGCTCATGGAGCTCATGGAGTGATCCATGTGTGTGGTTCCGAACAGATTGAAGAGGAGAAGGAGAAGGAGAATAAGAAGAAGAAGAAGAATGAGAAGAAGTATCAGGAACGCAAGGACCTTCTGAATGAGATGCCAAGGGCGAGCAGATTAGCGGGTCGGCGCAAGCTGCCACACTTTCCACTGACGTTTCCGCCAGTGAGCACATTCTTGATAAGCCCTTTCTCTTCGACACTCTTGGCCTTGGTTTTGTTCCTAGATTTCCCAATTTGGTTTTCTGTTTCTCTCCCTCCCTCTGAAACTATGCCAGCCCCCCTGGTCTGATCATCATGTCCATGTCAATGGGCGACATGCCCATGGGCTCAATGTCCATGGGTGATGGCGTCCCCGGTCTCTTCTATTTACAGAAGATGTATTGGGCTGTCGTGGGGAGTGCAATCGCCACTGCCACAGTGGTTAATATCTTGAATAAAGTACTGGCGCAGCATCGGTGAGTTTCATCTCTATCATGATCTGAGTGCAACCCTAATCAAAGCAGACTGCGAGACACCTCACTCGCCCCCGCAAAGCCCAAATCATTTTTCTTTAGCGTTTATGCCACACTCACAGCAATAGCCCGAGAGGTGAGCTATGCCACCATCAGCCCTATCTCAGTGGGAAAATATACCATCCATTTTCCACCTCTTGGCCCCGTCCTCATCATTCTCGCCAATCTAGTCGTGGTCCTTGTCCTCTGCTTCTACAAACTCGATACAGCCAACGTGTGGAAATGGGAAGACGTCGGCTACCGCACCGGATTTATCGCCATCTGCCAACTACCACTCATCTTCCTTCTGGCAGGGCGACAGAACATCATCGGCTTCTTAGCAGACATGAGCTATGCCCGACTGAACTGGTTCCACCGCTGGATTGCGCGCACTTTATGGCTGACAACCACGATCCACATGGGCTTTTGGTTCCGCAACTGGGGTCGCTACGATTATATCACATACCAGCTGAAGAATGATCCACTCACAAAACGCGGGTTCGCGGCCTGGTGTATTCTGACTTTTATCGTGCTGACGTCGGTGGCTCCTATTCGAAGACTCAGCTATGAGGTCTTTGTTCTGCAACATCTGGTTACCTTTGTCGGATTCATTGCGGCTGTGTGGATGCATGCTCCTAATGAAGTCAAGATCTGGGTGTGGATTCCCATTGGTCTCTTAGTGTTTGATCGTGTAGCAAGGTATGCTTGGGGTGCATATTCCAATCTGTCCATGTTTCACCGCAAGGCCAGCAAGAGTGCCCTCTGGACACATTCGGCTACTTTTACTGCGCTACCAGGAAATGTCACCAGGGTGACCGTTAAGAACCCCGGTATTCACTGGCAACCTGGCCAGCATGTCTTCCTGACATGCCACTCTGTCGTCCCGTTGCAGAGCCACCCATTCACTATTGCATCTATCCCTGAAGACAACAAGATGGAATTCTTGATCCGTGCCGAAACTGGTGGCACAAGGCGATTCTTCCGGTATGCCTCAAAGGACAAGGTCCTCGGTGCCGAAACAGTGCCGAATGAGCGCAGTCGAACTATCTTTGTCGAGGGGCCGTATGGATCTATCCGAAATCTGCGCCAATTCGACAGCGTTGTGCTTATAGCCGGCGGCATGGGTGCAACGTTTGCCATGCCACTGCTGAGAGATCTCGTGGCAGCTTGGAAGAAAGACAGCCCTTGTGAAAATCAAAGGAGAATTGGCCAGGTTCGACGCTGGACGGCGACCAATCGGGCTCGCTTCGTCTGGGTTATCAAGTCTCGATCACAATTGAGCCTGTTCGAGGAGCAGTTGCAATCTGTGCTGGCCGATGTAGAGGAATGCCGCCGCATCCAGCCACGCTTCAACAAAGAGATCGATATCACTATTTACATCACATGCGACGAGAAACTCGAGCCTCCGACCACCCAGCAAATAACCCCATTGATTTCGTATGGAGTTGCAAACCGCCAAATGATCGAGTCCAGTGAACAGAAGGAAGTGATCGAAACAGATCATGTCTCGGCGCGCTCAGTTTCAGGCGTATCATTTACATCCTCACATATTGCTGCAATTGGTCAAGGCTGTCTCTCTGGCGGAGGATGCTGCTGCACGAAGCAGATCGAAGACGAAGATGCGATTCCCACCTGCACGTGTACTTGTTCAGGCCCGGCACCTACGCCACTAGAACTAGAGAGCATGACCGGGAAGACGACATACACCCAGACATCAGCGTCGCTAGATTCAAAAGCAAACTTTGTATCCGGCCGTCCATACCCACGTGCAATCATCCGCAAAGTTCTTGAAAAGGCAGAAGGTGAAAGCGCAGTGGTCGTATGCGGTCCGCGCGGGCTGGCAGACGATGTTCGTCGCAGCGTAGTGTGTCTCAGCGATGAACGGGCAGTTCATAAGGGCACTGGCGCACAGGGGATCTACCTGCATATTGAGAATTTCGGATGGTGAAGGGATGAATGCCTGTTTTAGCTGCATTATGTAAATATAGCTAGCATAAGCGATATGAAGACTAAGATCGCATGCCAACCCTGGATGGGTTGAAACACAACCCAGAACACTGCATTCAAGTACCAGCACGCCAATTAGACGGTCCCTTGTCGAACCGTGTCCCCGCAGAGGTCGCAGGACTTGAGTGCCGACTCGAGCTGCCCGCGTTAATGCTGTTTGGTTGGACAGATCAGGTTAATGCTACGGTCTAACGCTCAAAGCCCGGAGCTAAACGCCGCCAAGATATCGCCCCCGCTAGCCGTGACATCCGGAATAACGAACTATGGGATGAGAGAGAGTCTGTGAGCTTGTGATTGGTAATAAAACTTTGACATGCCTGACGGTTAGGTTCATCCAATGATACGAGAGTCGCGACCCGCGTTCCAACAAATCACAACGTCATCTAACGAGCCGCGACTAGAGTAATTGGATGGTTTGATGAAGGGTTATCTAATTCGGTTCTTTTTGGACAACCAGCTGATTTATAATAATGCAAGCCATGTTAGATTCAACCTCACACGTTTCTTCATTGAAAATAAGAAACAAACGCCAGTCTCCGGCAAATCAGTTGCCTCGCGACTCATAGCTCTCGATTATACAAAGTTCATTGCAGAACTCATCATGGAGAATAGCCGAATCCATAGGGAACCTGCCAGTGATAATGAATCGAACTGTGCTGAAGTCTTAGGTGCCATCTAACCCCATTTGATCCAAACGGGACTACCTACTGACATCCCAGGCGACGGCCGGGTAAACATTGGCCTACGACACGAATGGTGCACCTCTCAAGCGTTTCCAGACAATCCCATACCAGAGATCGGCAATATCAACGTGACACCACCAATGATGAACATAGTTATCCAGGTCGTCGGCTCAAGAGGTGACATCCAGCCTTTTGTTGCGCTAGGAATCGCCCTCAAAGAAGCAGGCCATCGTGTCCGTGTTGCGACACATGAGACATTCCGTTCATTCATCCTGGAAGTAGGCCTAGAGTTCTTCAACATCGGCGGAGATCCTCGAAAGCTAATGGCCTACATGGTGAAAAACCCCGGCCTTCTTCCTAGCATGGAAACCATCCGAAAAGGAAGTATCTCAGAGAAAAGAGAAGATATGCGCGAGATTCTTCAGGGATGCTGGCGATCATGTTTCTTGCCAGATGAAAATGACGACCCGGCAGCAACGCCATTCCTGGCAAATGCCATCATTGCGAACCCGCCTTCTTTTGCACATGTGCACTGTGCGGAGAAGCTGGGGATTCCGCTTCATCTCATGTTCACGTATGCACACTTACCATCCCGCTGTTGTCGAGCTTCACTTAATCTAAATATGTACAGAATGCCCTGGTCCCCGACACAAGCATTTCCCCACCCTCTCGCCAATATTCAATCTTCATCGTTAGGAGAGAAGATCACGAATTATCTGTCTTACATGCTTCTAGAAGAACTGATATGGGAAGGCCTAGGATATACGATTAATTCATTTCGACGCAAGACTCTCGGCTTGCCCCAAATTGACAGATCGTCAGGACCAAATCTGGTGGCACGTTTGGGGATTCCGTACACATACTGCTGGCACGTAAAGCCCCCATTATGAGTATCATGACTAACAATCTTCAGGTCCCCAGCTTTAATACCCAAGCCCGATGACTGGGGCGCCAGGATCTCAGTTTCGGGATTTTACTTTCTACCTCCCGCTGTAGACTACATACCGCCAACAACACTGCAGGCCTTCCTAGACGCAGGAAGACCCCCCATTTACATCGGATTCGGATCAATTGTTGTTGATGATCCGAAATACCTCACCGAACTACTACTGGAAGCCGTCCGACTCGCCGGCGTACGAGCTGTGCTCTCCACAGGATGGAGCGGATTAGGCGACATAAAGATGCCACCCGAAGTCCTCACCGTCGCAGACTGTCCCCATAACTGGATCTTCGAGCGCGTCTCTTGTGTGGTACATCATGGCGGAGCAGGAACAACCGCAGCAGCGATTGCAGCGGGGAAACCATCGGTGGTCGTGCCTTTCTTTGGCGACCAGCCTTTCTGGGGGAATATGATTGCGCGAGTCGGAGCGGGATCTGAGCCTATTCCGTTTAAGAAATTAACAGCTGAGAAATTGGCGGATGCGATTGGGTTTGCGCTGAGATGTAATGTGCGGAAGATGTCACGGTCGATAGGGGATGTTATTAATGACGAGGATGGGGTGCAGGCCGGTGTAAGGTCTTTCCATCAGCAGTTGGATTTGTCGATGTTGCAGTGTTCTCTTACACCGATGAGTGCGGCGACATGGCGGGTGAGAAAGACGGATATTAAGCTTGGGTCGACTTCTTCTGCGCTCTTGATGGATATGGGGTTACTTGATTTGGATAAGCTTGAGCTGTGAGTTTGGCTTTACGTTCGATATGCGACATGCTAATGGAAGTAGGTTACGACCGTGTAGTTACAAGATCCATGTTGGACCACGAAATCCCGTAACTGGTATCGCCCTGGCGATATTTGATTCAACTGGGTCGGCCATTAAAGGGTGCGGAGAAATTGGTTCGTCTATGAGCTGGAATTTTGAGAAAGCAACTCGCGAAGAGGATGTCCATTTCCGAGATTCGAGAGCTGGTACTTTCGTGAAGGGTTTCTGTCGGGCTTCGTCAAGTCTGGTGCGTGCGCCGGTTCATATGGGAATGGCGTTTACGCAGGGTCTACACAACTCCCCGAGGATCTGGGGGGACAACGCAATAAGGCCGCTTGAGACGGTTCAAGATTTCCCCAGTGGACTGAAGACTGGCGGGAAGGTACGTAGCCTGGCGTCCTGGTGGCTCCGAAGTACCTAGCTGACAGCGCTGTATAGCTAATGTGCTTGGATGTCTACGAAGGCATGACAAGCTTCATCACATATCCCGCCTCCAGTGCCCGACGACATAGTGTGCTGAAGGTATTGTCTGGCGTTGGGATTGGCATACTGTCTGGTCTCTGTAAGACAGTCTCTGGTAATTCTGCCTTTGCCTCGCTCAAAATCAGTCACTTACATTCATCAGGACTATCAGCCATCATCACCTATCCACTGGGTGGCTTGGAAGTGGAAGCCACTCACTATTTCTCACGGAAACACATCTCATCCTTGGATATCCAACTAGTGAAACAAGGACGGAGTGAATATGAGAAATTAAGCGACGAGCAGCGTGCTGCCATTGTTCAAAAATTCAAGGAAGCGACGTCAGGTTTGAAGAAGAAACGATTTAAGAACAAGATTGGAAGGGGTAAGAAGGTCAATATGGCGAAACCGAGGGTCAAAGAATGAAGTATCTTGCCCCAGTATATTCAATTCCTACTTACTTTAGATTCCTTTCCGTCAAAGGGATATATCGAGTCATGTCGGATAATTCTTCCGCGTGGGTCGGTCTAGCTACAGTGTACACGCATAACTACAGATAGAATCAGCGACGGCATCAAACAACAAGAATAGCATTCTAACCTTTGAAGCAAATCAAGAATAAAACCTGCATTCAAATACCCTTTCGCCAATTGTTCACATCATTTCCCCGGTGGAGTTGGCACCGAATGTTATTCCGAGCTGCCCCGATCGGGACCCCGGAACAAATGACATCATCCAGGAACTTCCAGCTTGCAACTTGAGGTCCGCTCAACATCACTTCTAGCACTCTCCCACCCCCAAATCTAAACCTCCCAATCCCACCACCAAGATGTTTCGTTTTGTACGTCCCATCAATCTCACCTCCTTCCAACAATCCACTAACATTGAACCCCAGAGCAAAACCCTCGACCCAATCACCCTCTTCCACAGCCCGAGCCTCGCCAGCTCAACCCGGGCCCTGAACATCCTCAAACAAGCCTCCGCGGCCGCCGGCGAAACCGCCACAGAAGACCAAGCATCTGACCACTCGTCGCACGCGAAGCAGCAGCGCGGCGAGTTCAAGCTGGAGGTGTCGACCGACGTGCCGACGACAGACCAGCTGCGCAATATTCTGGATTACGTCAACCCCGTTAGCGGTGTTGGTGGCCAGGGCGACAAGGCCACTTATGGAATTTCGGAGCTCGTCAAGGGGGCGAAGGATGCGGAGCAGGCGTTGAAGCTGTTCAAGGAGGATCCTGAGCGACTTGTTCGACCTGTGGTATGTATTTCCTTCTTCTCGAGCGGCTGGATATTCAGGATGATGACGCTGACCCATCTACAGACTGTTGACTGGATCAATGGACGTGCTGTTATTGGTGACAACGAGTCTGAGATTCTGCGCATGGTGCGCCAGTTGCCTACCAACTAAGGGACACCTCATACCCGGTCCTGTTGCATCTTACACGTTTGTAGAGAGAATCCTACAATGGTAATTCATACCGGCAAATCCGTCTATTATATGTATGATACAGATACAGAGTGTTTGAACTCCCCAAAGAGGCCGTGACCTTGCCATTGCACGTATCGCGTAGAAAGTACCTTGAGATAACTGATAAAGAACAAACGCCATTAAACTCATAATCCGCGGGAAATCTGGGCAGCAGAACCCAAGATCCAGCTTGGCAATGCGGGCTCCAGCGTGAAGAAGAGAAGGAGGAAACTGGGCCGGCCCCCACATTAGAACATGGTTCCGAAGTTGGAGCCGTCGGTGGAGATGGGTTTGCGCGGGGAGTTGCGGCCTGTGCTGTCGACAGCGGGTTTACGGTGGCTTCAAGATACGTTAGTGTTGGTTCAGAGAAATGAGAATCGAGACGGAGGTGCATACCGGAAGGTAAACCCGACGAACAAACCCTTGTTCATCTTCTCATCACGATCAGCCATGTCCTCCAACGCGCGCTGCTTATCATGGACCTCCTTGTACTTGGCCATGTCGGCCTCGTTGCTGAAGTCGTCAAAGTAACCGGCATCAGTCTCTGAGTCAAGCTCCGGCACGAATGGCGCGCGCTGTTCACGCAGCTGTTCGAAGTCCACCTCGGCGAAGTAGTCGTGAGTGTGGATCTCCTGGATGTTCTTGAACCGGGTATCCTTCGCTGCAACAAGCTTGGTGATGAGATCCCACGTCCGGCGGGACAAAAAGTAGTTAGGATCTTCGTAAACGGGCTTCCGGAGCACCTTCTGCCAGCGCTTGAGGTTCTGCCATGTCTCGTCGACTGTTGCACCTGCAAAAGGCGGGTAGCCGGCGAGTGCCTCGAAGAGCATGCAACCCAAACTCCAGTAGTCTACTGTGAAGTCGTACTGTTCACCCTTGAGCACCTCGGGGGCCATGTAATCAGGCGAGCCGACGATGGACTTGGCGTAGTTGACTTCACGCTCGCGCAGGGTACGGTATCCTTGGCGACGCTCGGCCATCGTTCGCTGTTCCATTGGGCGACCGAAGGGGACGGATGTATTGCCAACTTCTTCTAACTTGACGCGCATCGACTCAATCTTGCCGGGGCTCAGCATGCCAGCGGCCAAACCGAAGTCAGTCAACTTGACGTGGCCGGTTGAGTCGATCAAGAAGTTCTCAGGCTTGAGATCACGGTGAATGTAGCCCAGGATATGAAGAGCATCAACGCAACTAAACATCTCGGCAATATAGAAGCGAGCGTGTCGGTTGTGCAAGACACCAGTGTTGTTCAACAGAGTGCGGAAATCTCCACCAGGGACATACTCCATAGCCAAGTAGATCTGGCTATCATCCTGGAAAGCATACAGTAACTTGACGAGCCATTCGCTCTTAGCGGCAGTCAGGATGTCGCGTTCTGTGAGAATGTGTCGAACTTCATCCAGCTTGAACAACAGTTTCTTGCTCATGACCTTGAGCGCACAGACCTCGCGCGTGTCCTTCTTTTGTGCCAAGTACACCTGTCCATATCCACCCTGGCCGACCTGGGTCAAAATCTGGAAGTCATGTTGGCGCAGACGCGTTCGACGTTTACGCAGATGCGCACGCTCGCGACCGAGATATTTCAGCAACTGAGGCTCATACTCCTCAGCGGGTGTGGTAGGAGGCTCGGGGCAGGCGGCTTTGAATTGGGTGTGGCGGGTGTGACGGTTGTGGACATAGCTGAGGAGGTCGAAGTAGTGATCGAGGAAGTCTGTCGCACCTCGTTAGCATATCATTTTACCTTGGTAGATTTGTTTCTGGGACATACAGAGTTGTGTTACGTTGACCAGACGCTTGACGCGGGGTTGTTGCAACTTCTCCATCTCTTCAGGTGTCAGCCCGCGCAGCTGGACCTGGCGCCTGGATGTATCCGTATCCCGCTGCTGATAAGGCTCATGTCGCGAAAGTGCGGCGGCAGTGGGATTCGACCCGAGAAGGTCCTTGGGTGCACGAGTTGAGGGAGGGGTGTTCTCTTTATTGGCCTTGCGCGTAGGGCTAGAGGGGCGCTGGTGGATGACACTCTCATTAAAGTCCTCCACGCCAGTTTTGTCCGTAAACATGGGATGATTAAAGTGGTTGTGAGTGTTCTTGGTAGGCGAAGTGGGGGTCAACTTCATGACCTTGTCGAAGGCGTTGGGCAAATCGAGTGCGCCAGGCGGCGGGCGCGATTTGCTTGGGCTGCCGTGAGGAGTCTGAGGGGGACTGGTAAAGCCATCGCTGGGAGTCGCTGGACGGCCGAAAGAATCATTGCCAGAGCGAGTATGAAGCAGAGGCGGGGGTTCGGCAAGCGCAAGCGGTCTTCGGCAATATCGATAGCCATGGTGGATGGTTGTAGAAGTGAAGGTGGAGAGGGGCGTTGATGTGGCTCCCCCTTGTTATAGACAGGACTGGAACCTCGACCTTGACCACCTTCAAAATATTTCACAATGCCTTTGTCTTTCCCCTCCGAGGACCAATCTGTTTATTATGCGAAACTGGCAGATCAGCTCCACCGATCGGTTCGATCTTGATTTCATTTCCCCGTCCCTTCGATCCCACTTCAGCCCGCTTCCTCCTTCTGCGGTGTTGCCCTAGCAACTCCCCCACGTCATGCAGGCTGTGCAAGGCTAGTGCTCCAAAGTGGTCCTTTCGATGCGAATCACCAGCTCGATAAACTCAGCTGAACTCAATCCACCGCCCGGAGGTGCTCGCCCTGCAAGTCATCCCATCTTTCCGGGCCAAGATCGGGTTTAGCGTGCCCCCATTGCCAGGTTTCAAGAGCTGAAAAACTCCGCTTTCACTTATTCAGGGCCAGCCAGTCCCATCCTGACAGTCAGCCACTTGAACTTCACATGCCTACTAAGTCTTAGACTAATAGCCTGGTGGGATGGTCCCTAGGGGGGTCTATGGCGTCATTAGCCGAGTCGATAGTCTCGGTAGAGAGGAGCTACCTTGCTACTATCCGACGATATTGGGATTAACTCTGCTGGCTAGCAACTATTGACTATCTTCGGAGCAAGGTAGTAGTTACTCTGCAACCTCGATGGCCGACTAAACAAGGAAATTGGATGTGTACCGCAAGGAACCCCGGTCCACTGTAATCAAACTACCGGATTGGGAATGGCCTAGCCCGAGTGGAGGCAACGCATCCATGGATCCGTTGGGGTCACGGAGTTCCCGGTCTTCGGGTCAGAAATTGGTTCAAAATTGGGCTTTAATTTTATTGTGTTTCTAGAATAAGCACTAATAGACATCATGTCATATTTACGCCGCGTCCTTAGCCCGCTGGCCAGTCTGCGATATCGGTCAGTACTATATTTTCCATGGAAGGGAGAATCACCCACGTAGAATGCAAGCCCGTAATCCTCGGTTGTGAAGGTAATCTTGGCGCCCTTGGGGAAATAAAACACGTCTCCAGGGCTGGCAGTAACCTTCTGACCTGTCTCATCCGAAATCTCAAAGTGACCCTCTAGGATGATCTTCATCTCGTCGTAGGTGTATGTGTAGACGAGGGGTGTGCCTTTCTCTAGGCGGTAGAATCCACAAGACACGGGCTTCTCGGCATTATCCTTGTCACTAGAAAATATTAGCGCGTGTATTTCTAGTGCCATTGCGGGGTAAAGGCCTACCTGGAGATAACATCGCCGAGGAAAGCATTCTCGTTGGCAATCAGCGGAGGCTTAAAGGTAGACTGAGCCTTAGCATGGTAGGTGAATGCGGTCGCCATTGTTCTGGATGAATAGTGTGGAGTTGCAAGAGGTACAGACAAGGGCGTATTGAGGAGAAGTTTCAGACACCGGCTCTAGTCTGGTTTATAACTGTCGCATCACAGCACCCATTCCCCTCTTTACATGAGGGGGCAATCGCGATGGGAGTCACTTTGGTCGAGAGGAAGGCAACTCAAATCCTGGCCACAAGGATGTCCGGATATCATGTCCAGACTAGGCAGGCCAGCAGAGCGGCTGATAGTAGATTAGAGACCAGGGACAGTATGAGGGGCTTCGATCCTAGTGAGGGGAAGCTCTAGATTGAGATAAAGATGTAGAGCTGTCATTATCGGATCGCTGGAGAGTGTTAGCGGGATGTTCTCAATGACTATCGCTAGGAGTCCTTGATCTGTGACAATCTGTACGTAGCCTTGTGATGGCAATATTATTCTCCCTCAGACGTACATAGACATCAATCTATGCAAATGTTGAACCCGTTCACCGTCGGATCTTGTCATCGGGCGGGATGTTTTTGCCCGAAAGGGCTAGTTCATCCCATGGGTACATGCAAAAACGCCTCGCGCCTTTACGCTTGTTAAGCCTGACCGCCTTTGCCCTCTAGTTTCGTTTAATAGATGGCAGCTTCTTTCTCTTCTTATTCCCTCCATGGCACCATCTATCGCTTTCTCCGTCCCTCCGTTCTTTCAACGCTCAAATCCCCCCCCGACCGACCATGGTGCCAAGACCAGATTAATCTTGGTACCAGATTAATATTGAATAGTTTAGCTAGGCCTGGATATTTGATATCGACACATCATGTATACAACTAGTAATGCATTAGGGAATATCGAAGCCTTGGGATCTGCTTTTGGCATGTGGTGGTCAGTGAACCGACGGGTATACACTCTGGAGCAGTGCAGTATGATCATGGAAAAACGATGGCAGGTCAATTCGAACTTAAAGAATCCCTTCTACCCCCGCCAACAGCTTTCCTCTACGTTGCACGAGAGATGACTGTGCGGCGTCAGCGAATGGATCATGACCCGATTTAGGAGGACACGAAAAGAATCCAAACTGACCGTCGAGCTCTTCATCGCTTAAAGCTTCCTGGGGCTACGAACGATCACCTCCTCCCACTAGACTATGATCACAAGGTGAAAGGCGTATTATGCGAGGAGGGTGGCTGTGAGCCAAAACACTGCACCGAGCGAGCAATGGACGAGGAAGATGACTATTTTGTCGTTGTAAATAGGGCCACAATAGCGTCTGGAGAGCTCAGCATCCTTGGAGCTCGTCATCAAGGATGCTGAGAAGAAAAATGATCTATCACAGGAGCATAACGTGCTCTGTTTCGAGATGGAAGCAGCTGGAGCTCTTACCGAGTTCCCTTGTATGGTTATCCGCGGCATTTCCGACTATTGTGATTCGTACAAGAATGATATAACTATGGCACGGGTACGCGGTGGCGGTGACGGCTGCGGCAGTTGTCCTTCCCCATGCCTACTGAAGAAGTGTAGAGGTAACTTTATACCTATGCTAAAAAAAGAGAGGGCATTAGGTCTTGCCAATCGACCAATTTATTGAGACCATTATCTCAAATAACTACCATCATATCTGAGCATCGTGGAGAGTTTTAGACTCTCATTGTCTGATCGATTAGCATAGTGTACTCTCCTTTTTCCAACCACCACCATGTCTCCAAAAATAGTCAGAAATTGCCAGAAATCGCAAGAGAGAGAGAGAGAGAGAGAGAGAGAGAGAGAGAGAGAGAGAGAGAGAGAGAGAGAGAGAGAGAGAGAGAGGGTAAGGTCCTATTAGCCAAAAAGGCTAGACAGGATAAGTCTATCTAATCCGACCGCTCGGCTGTATTAACCTTTGATATCCCTAGAATGACACTAGCCAAGCGCATCGCTGGCATACCCTCATGCGCGAATACATGCGATTATCAATATCTGAAGAGCAACAGCTTACGCAGTGAATAATAAACCTTGACCAGCGCGGACCTTCCCCCGGCTGTCACATATAGGTGAAATGAAGTATACGCCTACCGAAGCGATACGAATACCGACGAACCAAAAACGAAGACCCTAAGGCTATATATACGTAGTTTAAAGCCAGGAAACGATGAATACCTTCGATATCCAACCAGAGGATATCTACAATTTCGATGAGACTAGCTTCGTTATAGGTCTAATCCACACAGCCAAAGTTGTTACGCATACAGATTACTATACTCGGAAAAAGCTTCTACAGCCAGGAAATCGTGAATGGGTTACTACAATCGAAGCAATCAACGCGACCGGTGTAATGGGTGATGGACTAGGTAAGGAACAGATGGGACCGAGGAGAAGGTATTGGATTGTACTAAGAAATAGTTTTGAACTTCTGAACTTCAAGACCACTCGGGGGTTCTTATTTGAATGGGCCGTTGCCCGAGAGTGACCATATTTCCATGGCCGTCCACCTTTGTTTTGCCTGCTGGACCCACACAAGCTTCCGGATGCATTAGCATGGTTTCTTATTCGGATTCCTACAGGACCGGCCCTCATTTATCTTCATTTCTCGTTCTTTTTCTCCAAAATTGTTGTAAGCAGCATGTGACATAGCCAGATTGAATCAAGTCGGTACTACAGTTCCGACAGCTTTGATGTGCTGCGCGTACTGGTTCGGATCTATCTTTCGAAGTCACGCTCGGTGGCCCTGGAAAATTATCTCAATCGCTTACAATTTTGTCCCCCGCATCGCGCTTGTGCTGCGGCAAACTAGGAGTTGGTTTTATGTTTGCTCAATCACGATCCGCCTTTGGGGATGCTGCACAGTCGGGATGTTCCTTAAAAAGGATCGCATAACAAGCACTAGCGGTTATACTTATATACTGAATGAGCTGTTGCATCTAGAACTTGCTACGACGCGTTTGTCAGTTTTACCACTTGCAGAGAAATTGTGCCCAGGTGTTATACTTAGGCCAGAATAGGGACTGCAACACATCTTGTTGTGCCAATCAATACTGGTCGAAATCGTGTCCATGTGACTTTCGGGCCCGCAAAAAAGGATTTTCCACCCCGCACGGGTCCAGTCCAGAAGCTTGATCCTATCCGATATGCGACCTCAAACTATCTAGGGGAATTCATCATTTAGTCTGATCGGCTGATTCTTAATAAATGGCCATGATGATGCCATCACCGCTGAACCGATACTTCTCAAATTGAGTGGCGGGGTTATGTACCCTCGGATCACGACTATGCCAACCCGAAGAAGCCGAGCGCCGGCAGCATGTCTCTTTTGTCGCGAGAAAAAGGTAGCCTTCGAAAGCTGTAATACCTTAAAGAATGAAGCTTTTTGCTGACCAAATTTCTAGCTGAAATGCGATTCGCAGAGGCCTACTTGTAGTAATTGCCTTGCCAAAAGCATTGATTGCCAACATGGCGCCACTCCACATAAACCAAGGTAGCCGGAATTCTGCGGACGATTCACCCAGGGATACTAATGTCTAATATCAGGCCAACTAATCATCGGATTACACAGTTAGAACAAGAAAATGCATCTCTTCGTCGGCAATTTCTTCAAATGCGAAATGAGAATGTTCCAAATGAAACTTCCTCAATGCAACCGGAGCCCGCCTTGGTTGCTATCAGTCCAACGCGAAGCCAACTAACAGTTTCTACACCTCAAGATTTCCGATTCTCGCCAATTGACCACCCCTCAAGTCGAGGGAGTCATCCAGAGGTTCCCGATAGCGATCATCATCGCAATAGTATATCGTTGTACCATGGTCCAACCAGCGCAGTCTACGATGATACCACGAACTCTGGGGCTGGAGATGAGAATACAGAGCTATCCAACTCTCCTATTAAAGATGAATGGACTCGACACCTTCTTTTTGCAGAGACAGCAAGACAAAGTAAGTACCCTTGATATGAAACACAGTAACCTTGGAATGTGGTTGTTGATTCAGGACTTATAGGACAGTTGGAACCTCTCAACCTTGCAGCAGGCAAACTCGATTTCGATGAAGTTGATCCTGAAATCGGAATGCATTTACTCTCCATCTACTGGAGCCGCCAGCTCTACACGGCTCAGATAATCTACCGACCAGCCTTCATGCGCGACATGGCTTGCGGCGGGACATACTTTTCCAGGCTGCTACTGAACGCTATTTTCTTTACTGTCTCCAAGCACTGCCCACGACCGGAGATCCGATCGGATCCAGAGGATATCACCACTGCAGGATGGAGGTTCCGCCAGCGATTCACCGAGCTCCTGCGAGACAGTTTTGATAAAAGCGAGATCACGACTCTTCAGGCATTGCTCATCATGTCAAACTCCCTATTTTCCAGATGTGACGAGCGAAGCCTCTCTTGGTTGTACGCTGGGAATGCTTTCAACATGATCATAGATCTTGGATTGCATGTGCTTCCTTCGTCCAACAAAATGTCAGCAGAGGAGCTCGAGGTCCGGAAACGGGTTTTATGGGGAGCATATTGTGAGCGATCAAAATCGCAATTACCTGAAATGCTACTAATTATTCGGCGCCTAGCAATTGACAAAATCCAATGTCTCTACCAAGGAAGACCCCCACTTCTTCGTCAAATTAACTTCAAAGCCTCTCTCAATTTCTTGGATGAATACGATGAGCTTGATTCGTTCCAAGATATTACCTATAAATCAGTGCACCAGGGACCAGCCATTCCCTCGCTGAATGTATCTCTTTTATCGAAACTCTGCGAACTTTCCACAATCACAGAACGCATCCTCTGTGAACTATACTCAGAATCTCAATCCATGAACCAAAGACAAAGCCAAAAGATCTCAAAAGACATCAACTCCGATCTAAGCAAATGGCGACAAGGTCTACCACCCCAGATCGACTACCTCCTTCACTCTTCCGAATCCGTCCTCCTTCCACAATCATTCTGTCTCCTGTACGCCCTCCATCCTCCATTCAAACAGCCCCCACTAAACTGAGGTTCTCCAGCGCCCTCTCCAATGTCCTAATAATCCTCGCCCAACGCCCTCTCTTTACAGCTCACAACCATTCCCACAACAGCACAACAGCCTACGAATCCGTCAACATCTGCACGACTGCCGCAAACCAAATTGTGCAAATCCTCCGCGACTATTCCCAAAACTTTTCAATAACAACAGCCCCCTACATGCTCTCTTACGCAACGTACATCAGTGCAACAATCCACGCACGAATAGTGGCACAAAAAGGCCGGAATTCGAATTCATTCCAGTCGCTTATGCTATGTCGGACTGTTTTGCGTGAGCATCAGTGTTTGTACATGGCGGCCGGGAAGGCCGGGGCGAATCTTGATAGATTGATTGCTCGTTTGGGAATCGAGGTTCGGGATGGGGTGCAGGGTTGGAATGGTGGTACTGATCCTGGACTTGGGTTTGGTGAGCAAGTTGAAGAGGCTGTGGCAGCTGTTGAGCGGGAGGGTTTGACAGAGGGCACGGATATGGGGACTCCGCAGTTAAATTGGGAATTATCGGATCTTGATCTTGAGACTATTGCCCAAGGATTTCGGCTTGATGGAGAATTGCATTATCTTATGCATCCAGTCGGAATCAGATGAATGTGTACATTATGACCTGTGAATAGCTGGCCAATCGGATTGTTTCGTCCCGGTGGAAAGCCGCCCGATGGCTGAACATAACCCGGATTGGCGAAATCCTTGGCCTTGGGATCTCAATTGAACATACGCGAGCTCTAGCATCTCTTTATCACTACAGTTTTACTTCTTTTAGGCGTACTCGACTTGTGGAGAGCCTACCACAGTGCCACCAAAATGCAGATTTGATACCTTGAAACAACACCTCCAATATAACTTCGAGGACGCGAAACAACCATTTGCCACACATTAAGTTTCGTAATAGGTTTGCCAAGGGTGATTCTGACGAAATCCTAACACCTCCTTCATCTTCTTGTTCGTGCACGGCGTCTCCCTCGCATCCATTTCCCTTGTATGAGGCACATCAGGACACACTCTCGCCAAAAACCCAGCCGCAGAAGGCGTATAATTCGTAATCTCATCATTGACAGCATTGAAAATCTGGAACTTCAATCCGTCTTTTTGAACCGCTAGATCACACATCTGCCCTAGATCCCGAGCATCGGTATAGCCCCATCCATGGGCAGCCCATTTCTCAGGTGTTTTGATGTAAGAGTCGAATACAGTACCTTTGTATTCATGTGGCGCAACAACGGGACCGATCCTGAGGACGTAGATATCGGTTCCAAAACGACGGGCAAAGCCACGAGCGATGCGTTCTCCGCATACTTTCGAAATGGCGTATGTGTCCATGGGGTGTGTGTCGACTTCTTCGTGGACAGGGAACGAGGGATAATCGACATCTCCTTCGGCATAGCTGACGCCATAGACAGTCACTGAACTAGCAGTGACTATCTTCTTGATCCCTAGTCTGCAGGCAGCTTCGATGACATTGTAGGTGGACAGGGCATTTCCCCGAAATGTCTCGTTGTCGGGAACAATCATGTTTCGCGAGTACCCAGCTAGGTGAATTAATGCATCAGGAAGCAAGTCTAGTGGCTCACGGAATGGTTCGGTCAATTTGAAATGCGATGTAAATGCGCTGTACACTTGGCCACTGTCCGCTAAGTCGACTCGTATCGTGTGCACGCGGTCTGAGAACGGCGCGGGGAGAGGGGTCAAGTCTAGATTTAAGACTTGGTGGCCTTGGTCAAGGAGATAATCGATCACATATTGACCTGCTTTTCCGGAGCCGCCGGTCACGATGATGCGTTTGCCCATTTGTATGGATCCGGGTTGGAATTAGATGGGATATGGAGATAGTTGAGATCGACAAGCTGGATGAGTAGGTAACAGATGAGAGATGCTTCTCACTAGCCTACTAGGCAGTAGATGAGAGCAGGCCAAGCAGAGTGTAGAATTAAATAATGCAGTATAGTTGGCTGGCTGGGCGGTGGAAACGCGGGGAGAGCTCGGGATATGACTTTCCGAGTCTCACCAATATGGGACCAGAGCTTCCGGGGGAGAAGGGGTTTAGCCGTCGCTTTCGACGCGGTGTTCCAGAACATTGAATCATGTTGCTCATGACTGACCGTAAATGAGTGTAGTCCCAGAGCGGACAATTGGAATTTAAATCCACTAGCATGGCTAAAACGTCATCTATTTACATGCGTTTTCATCATACTGGATGTACTTTTTGCTTCAAATTCAGGGCAGAATCCGTGTTATTGTCAGTTGAACGTGTCTATGTGGGTAATAATTTCGTTATAAAAAGTACAAGTTCGCCATTTGAATCATATCAGTGGTTGTGTCTGGGCGGGCCATCGCGCTGTGCCAAACGTTGATACTTGACAGCCTTCTTCAACACCATTCCATCGGAAAGTTGACTGGTTTCCTGGCGGAAGATTTCTTGCCATGGAGTACCGCTGGGAACCAGTGGGTAGTCCGTCTTGCTAGCCTCCTCAATTCGTTGCTGAAGCTCACTGTCATCAATCAGAATATCCACACGGCGCTTGCGCAAATCAATACGGAGCTTGTCTCCATCTTTGATAATGGCCAGATTGCCACCGGCAGCTGCCTCGGGACTGGCGTTCAGAATCGAAGGGCAGCCTGATGTTCCAGATTGTCTTCCGTCGCCGATACAAAACAGTGCATCAATTCCCTGCTTGAGTAATCTGCCGGGAGGATGCATGTTGACAACCTCCGCTGCGCCGGGGTAGCCCAAAGGACCTACGCCACGCATGATCAGAATTGTATTTTCGTCAATGTTGGGCATGTTTTCGAGCCGGCTGTTGTAATCCTCTGGGCCATCGAACACCACAACTGAACCCTCAAAGGCCTCCGGGTCTTCGGGGTTCGACAAATACCGTTCCCGGAAAGCAGGCGAGATCACACAAGTCTTCATAATAGCAGAATTAAACAGGGTACCCTTCAGATGAATAAATCCAGCATCCTTCATCAATGGATCATTGTAAGGACGAATCACACGACGATCCCACGAGTGTTTGCCACGGACATTCTCAGCCATCGTCTTTCCATTACAAGTCATAGCATCTCCGTTAATCTTGTCTTGGTCTAGAAGCTCCGCCATAATAGCCGGGAGACCTCCAGCGCGGAAGTACTCTTCTCCAAGATATTCACCCGAAGGCTGCATGTTCAATAGAAGAGGGATGTGCGATCCAAGTTTATCCCAGTCATCCATTGAAACCTGGACACCCATATGTTGAGCAATGGCGTTGATGTGAATGGGAGCATTAGTGCTACCTCCAAAGGCAGCGTTAGCCACGATAGCATTCTCGAATGCTTCGCGGGTCATCAGGTCGCTGGGCTTGCGGTCTTCTTCCACCATCTCCACAATCTGCTTTCCAGTTTCGTAGGCGCATTGGGCTCGGTGACGGTATGCTGCGGGGATAGCAGCTGAGCCTGGAAGAGCCATACCGAGAGACTCGGCGAGTGCATTCATGGTAGATGCGGTTCCCATTGTGTTGCAGTGACCCACTGATGGGGTTCTGCATCCATATTAGTTAAATTTGCAGTTCAAAGTATCGATGGGAGCTTACCCGCGAGAAATGTAGTCCATAAATTCATACTCATCGATTTCACCCGTGGCGTACATCTCTCGGCCCTTCCACAGAACAGAGCCAGCTCCAGTCAAGGCTCCCTTAGAGTACCCATTAAGCATAGGTCCAACGTTAAGACAAATCGCAGGAATATTCTTTTCATAGTTAGTGGCAATCCTTCCCTCTCCAAAATGGTAGTGGTATTACTGACCACTGTAGCCGCAGCCATCAAGCAAGCAGGAGTCGTCTTATCACAACCCGTCAAAAGAACGACACCATCGAGGAAGTAACCCGTCAAAATCTCCACCAGGCCCAAATAAGCCAGATTCCTATCAAGAGTCGCAGTAGGCCGTCTAGACGTTTCTTGAATAGGGTGTACGGGGAATTCAAAAGCGATACCTCCAGCTGTGCGAATACCCTCACGAACACGCTTCGCCAGCTCTTGATGGTGACGGTTACAAGGCGCGATATCAGAGCCTGTCTGAGCGATTCCAATCATAGGTTTGCCCGACATGAGCTCTTCACGGGTGATGCCGTAGTTGAAGTACCGCTCCATGTAGATGGCGGTCATGCCGGGGTCGCTGCGACAGTCGAACCATGCCGACGAGCGTAGTGTCTTGCCCGGCTTGCGGACCACATTAGATTTTCCGCCGCTTGAGGTCACGCCAAGACGAGTTTCAAGCTCTTGATTGCGTCGGCGAAGAGCGTTGAGCTCGGCGAGACAGTCCTCGATCTCGACCGGCTTGGGTGGAGCGTCACTGCAGGAACAGCCGTCACACTTCTTTTGGCAAGACATAACTGGGAGACTGTGTAACACTCTTCCAGAGTCTGAAGATTTATGGGGAAATGATGTCTTGGGGGACTCGTTATGTACCCGGGAGTGTGGAGGGGTCCAACCATCCTTTCGATATTACTCAAAGCGAGGCCGGCTTGGGAATTTCCTATTGGACTCTCCGGATTTGAAGACATCGGGGCCCGAGTTGGATTGTTGATATGGGCCAATGAGATGGGTCAATTTGGGGTCTATTACGGGGTGTGAGAGTCGGGGTTTTGTCATCCGGGAAGTCATGGTCCGAGTCGGGATGTGACCTTGGAAGTGGATATACAAGTGGGCTCAAACAACCCCACCATCGGCAAAAATTGGGGTGCGTGATGGATGCCGTTCCGTTCAACCAAGCTATGACTGCATTGATTTATCAGATCACTACAATGATCTGGTTTGTTATAGATCCTCTGAACGGAATTTGTTCAGACAAGACCTTGGATGACTTTGATTTGCATCAACCGTGATGAAATATATACTTGAACAATAAGATTTACGTGACAACCACTTAAAGCCGAACAACATCCTTGCACTCATCCAAAGTCACTTGGACAGCAGACTTAATCCGAGGACGCACAGTTGACATCCAAGAGGGTGTCATCAACCTGAACAATCAAATGTTAGCGCAATTCTCATGCATTGTTCCGTAAGACTTACATTCGTGCAAACAAAGTTATCATCCCCATCTGGACTCGTCACATCGATATTTGTCGCTTTGATATCCGCGCAGACCTAGAGCAAAGTCAGATCGAGCCCTAAAGCATATTCGCACAGTTCAACTTACATCGGGACTCGAGCAAACAATTGTTCCAACATCAGGGTCGTACTTCCCAGATGTCGTTCCCTTGATATTCGTGAAGAGTACATCCGAGATAGTGAGGCTGCTCTGTGTTTGGCAAGTTATGGTTAGTTTGGTCTTTGAAGTGTTGTAATATGTCCGGGACACATACGGGGTACTCATTGCACAGAGTGAGATTGTTTTGTCCGTAACACTGGGTGACTTCGATAGCGTAGTCGACGTTGTCGATTGTCATTGTGTCATAGGTGATATTCTTCACACTACCAGAGCCACCTCCACCCTGCAGATCCGTGGAGAGCGCAGAGGTAACGCCAGGCCAGACCTTAATGCGAGCACCGTCCTGTCACTCAGTTAGCGTTCATGGCCATCTGGTATGCTTATATCAAGTGCTGTGAAGCTTACTGAGGCATTGAACATGGAGATGTTGAAGATGAGCACATTCTCAACAATGTCAACCTCGTTTTTGTACTGGCCCAGAGAGCCAACGGAGATACCGTGCGAGCCATTGCAGTGAAGGTTCTGGACCAGAATCTCGGTGCTGTTAGGTTTGAAAGAGACACAGTCTGCCGGACAGTCAGCGTGAAGCTAGTAAGGAACGATGTGGGTCGCATACCATCGCCGTTGTTAATGATCGAGTCCTGAATAACAATGTTCGATGATCGATAGATATCCCTAACCACAGATTTCATTAGCTACCATGGGGCCATCAGGGAACAGGCAACTCACCAGCCATCCGTGTTCTTCGCCGTATTCTTGCTCTTACTGTAACCGCTGATATCAATTCCCTCAAACAGCACATTCGTCGAATTTGCCACGAAATGATACCACTGCGGCGAGTACCGAAGCTTCAACGGACCGATGGTGCCCCCATGCAGCCCAATGATTCCAACCAAAACGGGACGCAGAATGAGTGCATCCTCAGCATAGAGGTCATACCAGACCTGGCCATTACCATCCAAGGTACCACCACCGTACACGTTGACATCTTCACCACCGAGCTGGAAGAAGGTGGTTGCATTTTGATAGACTTGCTTAAAGGCGTGGGCTTGCCAGTAATCGGTGTCGTTCGTAAATTGGATAGTGCCCAGGATTTCTGTTATTTGCAATTAGCTTTTTCACGAGACTAGGTACGACATTCGTGGCACATACCCAGATCCACATGTTTGAGGAAAGTCATATCCATCGCCGTGCCGACAGTGTAGGTTTTATCGGCGTCGAAGACGACTTTGCCGCCATTGTTACACTTTTTCAACGCAGACAGAATGTTTGAAGCATCATCTTTCCCGTGGCCATGACTAGCGACGTGGCAAGTCTTGGTTCTAGCTTGACTGGAAGGAAGTGGCTTGAACGGGTGGTGCGGCTTGCAAGCGTCTGTTCGTGAGTGTCCCTTACCCTCAGCAGCAACTCCGAGAGACACGATCAGGCTAAGAGCCTGCGTCAACGCCGAGATCTTCATGGGGATCAGCAATAATTAGAATTATGCCTGGACTTTTGTTGGAAGTCTGCGGTCTCACAGAAGCGACAATCCTTCCTGGAATGAGTCTTTATATATCCGTGAAACATAACAACAGTCCTTACATCGGTCTACATCATTATGGTGCTGCGACGCTAAGCAACGCCTGCAGACGTGGATTTAGCGGGGTAGGCCGCTCTGCAACGACTTTTTCCGGGGAAATGGCATCGCATGTTGTGGGGAAAGCTCGGAGAAGAACATTTCGCATTAAATTGGCATGTTTATGAGGACTTCGGAGATTGAGATGCTCTATTTTGCGTGAGGAAAGTAATGAGCAGGAGTCTGATAGGAGGAAGATCCGAGATGTATTTCACCGATTGGGAGGAAAATTACCGGTGAAATGCACGAGTCGCTGGGACCTGCGCTAACCCAGATGTTGAGTCCCGACATTTCTGGACAGGGCTCCATTAAATCCGAGCAGGACGTTACAGTCGTCCATTTTGGTGATTTCAACCTTGGAAAGTTCTTGGAAATGATACTCGACGCGTCTACACCCTGAGCGGGTCGAAAGGATAAACGAAAACAATGACCTTGCCATGGGTTATATGTACAGCGGATCTCCCCTCGAGGAAGACGCACAAAGGGAATGATGAATCCTGATCCCAAACGAGTGGCAGACGAGTCTCGTCCAGAACCCAAGGCTTCTCTATGGACGCCAATCTAAGTGCAGCACTTCAACCTATTTTCCATACCCGCACAACCTCCATTTCATCTGTTCAGACAAGAAGTTTAAGCGGTCTTCTCGGCGATCTTCTTCTCGGCCTTCTCAGCAGCGCCCTCGGCGGCGTTGGCAACAGCCTTGACAGAGTCAACAGCATCCTGTTCCATCTCCTTGACGGCCTCCACGGAGCCACCCCCTGGCTGCGCTGCCACATGAAGATACGGGTAACCTGGACGGCACCAACGCATCCCAGGAAGAAGTTGACAGCGGCAAGCCTATGACATAATTAGCGGAGTGATAATCGGATGGAACAGTGTGAAACTTACAGGACGTTACGGGGCTTGATGATCATGCACCAGCGGGTCCAGATGGCTCCGGTACCCATCAGGGCGGCGTTCTGGGTGAGGGAGAGCTTCTCCGCAGGACGAGCGAAGTCGGCCATGCCGGCGATAACGAGGCACCACTGTGAGATATAAATCAGCCTCGCGTTCTTCATACTCCATGTATTCCAAAGCTCAGCTCCAAGTATAGCCTTTTTGCCCGTATTTTCGTCGACAATGGATGGAGCGTAGCGCTTATCAAATGGGAAACGGATGCAGTCATCGTACCTTCATAACGGGGGCCCTATTAAGCAAGAACAATCAGCAACCATCCCAAAAACAATATCAAATATGAAATTGAGTAGCGTATTCTTACCAGAAGTGCACAGTCTTCACACCGACAGGGCTGTTCCACATGCGCTGGAAAGTGCTCTGCTTGGTGGCATCGGCACCGGCCTCGGTGCTCGAGAAGCGGAAGCCCTGGGCACCCGGCCGGCGGAATGGCGCAGAGGCATTGCGGAAAGCAAAGCGAGTGCTGTTCAGGAAACGGAATCCCACGCGAGACGACATGGTGAATATGGTGCGGAGGTGACAAAGGTGTTGGGGTTGGGAAGAAGGGCGGGATCGGCCGGTGATCGGGGGTCTCGAGTTTTCCGTCGGGGATAGCACGGAGATATAAAAACCACCACCACGGGCAGGTCGAGGTATAGGAGATAGAGATTAAAGCTCCGAAGCTAATTCAAGTATCACATCAAGCTCGCGGCTCTCGTTCTCGTCGCATTCAAGCGATGCTTTTCCGGCTGAGGTAAGCTGTCCGCGCTAAACCCGATCAGGACTGGTGGCAGTCACGGTCTGCCGGGCGAATCATCGCCGCGGTGAATAAGACATCCTTTCGTCCCTCCAAGTTGTCTCGTTCTTCAATTCCGACCTGCCATACTGTCACCATGTCTGGCAAGTACGTCTTCACCAAGGGCTTGAAGGAGCTCCGCTTCCTTTTCTGCCAGACCTCTGAGGCCAGCGCGCCCGTAAGGTATGTCCACATGTCCCCGTGTCCAGCAACACCAACCCACCCATTGCTCTGGCTAAATCGTGCTACAGGTCTTTCCTCAACCGCGCCTATCCTACCATGAAGAAGCACAACCCCCACACTCCCATCATGATGCGCGAGGCCTCGGGCACCGAGCCGCGAGTGTTCGCCAGATACGGTACGACAAGGCGCAATCGAAGGACCTAGACAAAACTAACACCATTGACCGCACAGAGCTTGGCAAGGAGAAGCAAGAAGCGCTGTCTGGTTCGTATCCCCGGTCTACCCGGAGCCAAAGCATCACATCGCTAACTCGAACCAGGCCTGTCCGACTCGCAGATTGAAGAGCGCATCACCAACTTGGTGAAGCAGAGCTCATAACGACATATACCATTAGCACCTCTGTCTTATGTCCCTGTCGCGTTTCCCTCCGTTCTATAAAGTGTACCTATAGATGAAATTCGACGAATTCGTCCCAATTGACTACACGCTTCGAAAGTCTTTCGCACTATCTTTCTTTCCTACTCCTCCGCTTCGAGCGGTCCATTGGTTCAAATGGTGAACAATGCGGTCTTTCGCATGTTATGATTACTGTTATGCGCCAATTCAATGGTATAGCAACAATACACAGTACGCACGGAGCGGGTGTAGCCGGCCAAATCCGGACTCGATCTAGGATCTCTATTCCGATAACTGAATTCCCATCAAAACACGTCCAAGAACCCGACAATAAAAAACTGAACCTTACATCTCTCAATTCTATCCAGGCTATCAAAATCTACAACGAACTAGCATTCCCCACATCCCCAAACCTGAACTGCGACCAACTCATACTGCCCTCGGGATACGTCCAAGTCCTCTTGCCCAAGTCCATCCCCGCTGCGCCCGCCCCAATGTGAATAGGAAGCAAATGATCGAAAGTCGGATGCGCCTGGCGCGCATCAGGCCTCTTAAGCAACGCAGCCATAGCCTGCTCCCGCTCATCCGGGGCAGAAGTAACAGCCTCCTTAAGCGCCTCATCGAAACTAACAGCGTACGGCAACGGGCGCGGGTTACCCCATGCATAGCGCAGGTCACGCAGGTTGTGGACTGCCATTCCCGAGACGATGATTAAGATGTTTTCTTCGCGGAGGCGGGAAACGGCTTGGCCGAGGCGGTAGTGTTGGATAGGGTCTTCGTTGTCGAAGAGGGAGACTTGCACAATTGGGATGTTTAGGGGGTTCTCTTCTGGTTCGAAGGCTGGAAGGGGATTAGTCTTTTAAGATTTCAAGCTGAGAAGGGGCTTGTACTGACCGCACTTGAAGCTAGCCCAGACGCCGTGGTCGAGGCCGCGTTTTACGCCCTTGGATTCGATCCCCGCTTCCTTCAGCAGGTCGAGGACTTTATGCGCGACTTCTTTGCTGCCGACGTTGGGATACGTCTCTTTGTAGTAATGGTCTGGGAAACCATAGAAACTGCAATGATATTGATTAGTCTTGTTCGCAGAGGGTCTCGAGTATAATACATACTCGTAAATCAAATCCGTCATCTCAGCTGTGTTGACGTAGATAGTATCCTTCCCACCCTGCCAATGCGCCGAAAAGACAACCACTGCGCGGGGCTTAACCTTGGTGGTAATCTCGCGCCCGATTTCTCCAAGCTTGCGGTATGCTGGGTGCTCGACATCATACATGACATTAGGCTACATGTAGCCTCAATCAGTAAAGACCCAATGTGAGAACTATGAAGTCCAATTATTCACGTACCCCTCCATGGCTCAGGAAATAAACTGGAGTCTTCATGCTGGCACTGGAACTCTCGAGTTCAGAAGTAAATTTGGCTTTTGCGGAAGCTGCTGCGGCTACAGATGCCGATGCCGAGAGAGGAGCTACCGAGCGAGCGGTACGGGTGGATGATCCAAAGAGGCGACGGAAGCTAGACACTGTGGCGGTATCGCGCGCGAAAAATGCAATGAGCGCGGCGATGAGTAGAGTAAGAAGAGAGACGAGAAGTAGTTTGCGATTGTCGCTTCTGGACCCTGGTGGATTATTTGGATGCTGGGATGGAGCTTCGGAAGACATATATCACTCAATTTTCGGGTTGCGCGATGCAGTCAAGCTCTAGGGTGATAAGGCGCGGGATTGAGAAGGTGGCGCTAGAGAAATTTATAGAATGCAGGTGTAATAACCAGCCATAATCCGTGTTTGAAATCGAGGGCCTTTCGGAAGTACATGGGACCCGATAGCATAAGCCGAGCCGAAAAGTATGTCAGCGCGGAATGGGCCCGCTCGGAAATCCGGATATACATTTGGCACTCAAGCGTCCAACAATTCCCAATGTTCTAAGAAAATAGTAAAAATGATCGTAAAAATGATCATAAGATAAGTAGTTGAATTATATCCAAGTGAAATTCGATATCTCGGCAATCCATTCTTTGAATGCAAAGCCAGGCCCGGCTCCAGGGTATTACATCCCCATCGTATCCCGTACCAGTCATGTCTTTCCGTGAGGAAGGATTCAGATTTAATGCACATGCGCCAAGAACCAAAAGCATTCATCAAAAACAGATTCTTGGGTGAAAAAGACAAAAGCAAAAATGTACAGCCCGAGCCCAAGATGGGCCATCCGAACCAGGGTTGGTTCAACATCATGCGCCGGTCATTAGGAAGATACATGCAGTGGGAGCCCGTGTGGACGAAAAGGCGAAGAGAGAAAATAAGATAAGAAGGATTAAAGGTTTACATTAGGATGCAGTCGCCATCGCTTTGCTTGTTGACGGCTGAGCGAGAGAGGCGGGTCTTTTGCATCCGACCTCCTCCCTGCTTGAGATCCTCGAGACGTTCTCGGGCTTTGGACAATCCTTGCGCTAAACAACGTGTTAATGAATGTTGTTTTAGTGATTAAGGTTAGACTTACCAGCCGCACGCCAATACCATCTCTTTGCGTCCTCCAGGTTGGCAGAAACGCCAATTCCAACCTCGGTGAAATATCCCATGGCATACTCTGCCTTGGCAAGATGAGCGGTGGCTGCTTTGCGAGCCCAAAGATAGGCTTCCGTGTCGTTTTGCTGCAAAATGCCTTCGGAACCAGTAAGGTACCAACCACTAAGAGCGAGTTCACTCTGATGCTCACCCTGAGCGGCGGCACGGGTATACCAAATGATACTCATTCGGTTGTCGACGGGGTTGCCCATTAGGCCATATTCATAGGCCGTGCCCAGTCGGAACTGCGAGAACTTGTAGCCCAGGTCCGCGGCCTGGTGGAACAGTTGATTGGCATATTTCTCATCACGGATAATAACATCATTTCCGCCAGCGTTCTGGTACATGAGAGCCAGCTCGTGGAGCGCATGTGGGTTCTCCTCGTCAGCACGCTCAGCAGCACGCTTCAGCCATGAGACACCCTCACGAGGGTTTCGGGCTTGACCCAGCAAGCCCTTCAAGTGGATCATGCCCATCTTATACATCGCCGGGGTGTCGCCCAGCGCCGCGGCGCGCTTGTACCACTGCACAGCCTTGAATGGATCCCGCTTGGTACCACCACCTTCTTCTTGGCCGATCTCGGAGCAGACAGCAACACGGTAGGCAGATTGAGCATGGCCGTTCTTAGCGGCAGAGTGATACAGCGCAAAGGCCTCCTTGGGATCAGCCTCCAGCCCTAGCTGGCCTTCGCCGTAGCAATCGGCCAGGTAGAATTGTGCATCTGCGTAACCAGCTTGAACGAGTTTCTTCACGATCTTGTGTGCATCCAAGATATACTTCTCCTTTGCCTTGGCTTTTGTCTTGGGGTCAAGTCGATTGTTATCTCCAACAAGAACAGTAGCAGCTTCCACTAGCTTCTTAGCAAGGAGAAGCTGACTCGCCTGATCGGAGGGGTTGCCGCGCACTTTCTGGTGAAGTTGCTGCAGTTCCTCCTGCGTAACAGGTGTAAGTCCCATACTTACTGGACGTGTAGGCTGTGGAGCAATATGAGCAGCAACGGCAGGGGTCGGCGCGGGCGCGGGAGTAGTGACAGGTGCGGTGTTGTATTGGCGGACCGGGGGAGGCTTTTGATCAAGGCCCGGACGAAACGGCGCCGGGTGAAGGGGCAAGGCATCAGGATTATGCTGAGGTTCAGGTGCTCTGGTTTGAACTTGGTATGGAGCAGCACCGTTCGCCTCATAGCTACTAGGGAAGTATCCTTCCAGCTGGCGGGGTTCTGCAGGGATATCAAATTGGAAGCCGGCATTTTCGAACTGATTGGCGCCATCCCCATTGCGCATATTGGGCTGCGAGTGCGATTGCGGGATTCCATGTGCAGAATCTGGAGTATAAGGAGAGTATGCGCCGCTGGGTGAAGTGACAGACGGAGAAGTGGGTGTGTGCACAGCTGGCCTCGGGGTATCCAATCCCATCTCATCAATTGGACCCATGTGCATTTGCGGCATGGCATCAAAGTTCGGCATCTCGGGCTCGTCGCCACTTTCATAGTAGCTATCCAAGAAATCCTTGGGTGCGTAGGATACTCGATTGGGAGGATCAGGCGGTGGCGGGATCATTAGTCCAGGATCGATATCATTAATAGGACGCGGTGAAGGTCGCATTCCCCCAGCCGTGCTGGGACGTAGAGGAGCCTCGACTGGACTGATTGGACTGCTCGCATAATCATAGTCTGAGAATGGCTGCTGGGGCCCTGGCGGATAAATCATAGGAGGGGCCCCGAGAGGCATCGTCGCGCTTCGACCGGGCGGGCCCATGGGAGGCTCCCCCATCCGTGCGGCGCTAGCAGAGCGCGGGGGGCCCTGGTAGTAGCCTCCTCTACCTCTGCCGGGCGGCGGTCCGCGCGGAGGTGGTCCTCGCATATCTGGTCGTCGGCTGTTCGAATTCGAAGTATGTGGACGCGAGGGCGGTCTGCCACTAATATCCATCGCAGCCATGCCCTTCTCTAGGCCTCGAGGAGGAGGACCGCGATTCCTGGGGTCTCTGGGGTCTCTGGGGTCTCTGGGATCTCTGGGATCTCTGGGGTCTCTAGGGTCTCTACCTGGAGGAACGGCGGGGAATGGGTTATCGAAGGTAGGACCTGCGCCTGGTGGGCGACGGCCAGCCGCTTTGCATACTGTCAATGGTAGTTCATAGAGAGTTGGTTTCGGCTTCACCTACCACTTCTTGATCGTTTTTCTGGGGGCGGTCTACCTCCAGGGTAGCCGCGCCGGTCATCATATCCGACTGGAGGTCGTCCACCCTGAGGCGGCGGGCGCATAGATCGGGGTTGCGCCGACATATTCGGCGGCGACACTGGAGAACCAGAGTAACCATAGGACGGGTCTTCATATGCTGGCTCAGGGGCGTAGCCTGCAGCGCTGTAGTCGGGTCCGAAGCCCGCATCTTGCGCGTAGGCGGCGGGGGGTACTGCTTGTGAAGCCGGAGACTGGTTATACTGCCTCAACGGAGGCGGCCTTTGGGCTGGCCTTGACGGGGCTGGGTAGGCCATGGCTCAGGGGGCGCAGACAGGTTGGTTCTCTCGAGACTTCCGTGAGGTCGCAATCGCGCAAGTTCAGTCGCATGCAAGGAGGGTGCCCAGTCACTGCACAAGTTAGTCCACGAGTTCAGTCCGCAATCCTAAGGCGCAGACCACGTGCCCAGGGAGTACGAAGGAGCGCGCATGAGACTCACCGTAGTCATCGAGAAATCCCCGAAGAGAGAGTCAAAGGCGCGGGGTGGAGAGGTTGAGGGGGAAAAGGAAGGCAGGCAGGTGACTTTAATAAAAGCGAGACCCACAGGCACGCCGTCATTACCTTCACGCGCTTCACCTTCTGCTTCACCTCCGTGACTCTTGGCGCTGTCTGGTGGTTCCGTTGGACTGCGCCTCGCTTTCATGAGACATATACTCGCCACAATCTGAATCGCTACTCTTGCTGATTCGGTTAGGGGGGATCGGGGGTATCCTCGGTGCCTGACTAGCTCAACTGGGTAAGGCTCTGCGGAAACGGGAACGATGCAGGCCAGTCATGGCCCAGGCTGAATGCCAATCCTGGGCACAATCTCGGTGATTTGAGGGTTGGGAATCTTTTCATACGAATACGCCCTACCAGTATAATGCTGCTTTGAAGCACTTGAAGCACTTCGAGATTCTCTAATACAAATGTTATGGACCCTGGCTCAACCCACAAGTCCCATTGAATTTTCCACTTTGCACTTATTTAGTGCCGGAGACCCCACTTTTTCGCAGGCTCCCGCGGCACGCCCGTTTTACAACCCTTTTAATGACTGTTGTGATGAAACAAGATTACTCCTTTGTGATTCCATGGATAAACGTTCCTTGGTCCCACTCGAGTTACATCCATCCAGTCACAAACACTAGTGTGCTAATTACCACGGATCCAGTGTTGAGCCAAATATTGTCACCGCTGTCTTGGAGCACTAAAAAAAGATCAGAGTATAACAACGTCAGTATTGTGCGTTGACTATCCCGTGATAAAGAATTGATCATTGTTGAATTGTACCTAGTCAGCTATGATGATGGCATCAAAACCGTGGAATGCTTTTCTAGGATGATGCTGCATACACTGGTAGATAGATATGTCTACTGGTAATGTGCCCAGGTGACCTCGATCTTTGGCTTAGGCTTGTAAATAAGACGAAGTGAGACCCTTGTCAGCTCATAGGATCTTGATCACTTCCCGCCTTACTCATGGTTAGTATTTTCATCCAATGTTAACTAAAACTGCGTATATCACCCAAGGGAAGAACACCCAAGGAAGGAGGATTCCAAACTTGGTGGTTGCTACTGTAACCAGCGCGGCAATCAAACTGGAACCGAGGGATCATTTAGGTGACACTTTATTTTTTTGCTGTGACCAAGGCAAGAAGGCCATGACTTCATGGAAGAGCCATAGCTTGTCCGCGGGTCCGGAGAGAATACAAAAATGTTAATACCAGAAGCCCATAAGTGAATACATAGTTATAGTTAGGGGATCATAGGGTCATCCGACGGTGGATAACGTAAAGATACTCCCCTCGCATTTCAACTCCGTTAATGTGGGGAAGCAAAGACAATGGAAGAATGGAAGCAAGATGGAAAGCCGCAACCTGAGACACGAAAAGATGCTGCGCCACGCACAGCCGCATCCGCGCCACACCGCCGGCAACAAATGAGCGCTCCGATGATGCCGATGATAATCCTCGTGTCTCACAGAACCACTCCACCGAACCCCCTTTCCCTCTACGTCAGTGAGATAAAATCTTTCCGACTCTTCCGATTACACGAGAGGCAGGGTATCCACGATGTCTCGCGCTGGAATTTGGGCCAAGACGCTCATCGGGTGAGTGATGCGACATGGATCCGCTGCAGACAAAGAGGCTGACGTCCATGACCTCAGTGGTCTCGCTTTGTGTGTTGGTGGACCGGCAATGGTCCAATGGCTCCGGCCAAGCGATAAAGAGCTCGTTGAGCGGTACAGCCCGGAATTGAAGAAGCGCAGCCAGGAGCAGGGAACTGCCAAGGAGCAGGAATTCGACGACTACGTTACCAAGCTGAAGGAGTGGTCCAAATCAGACAAGTCCAGTATGTTGACGGAATGAACCGACATGCTTTCATTGGGTTTCACAGAATCGTCAGGCTAACGCGATCATCACCTCCAGTCTGGTTCGCAGCGAAAGAAGAGGCGGATGCGAAGCAAGCGATCATCGATGCGCAGCGCCGTCGTGCAAAGGAGGAGACTCGGGTACAACGGGAAGAGATGCGAAAGGAGATGCTGGGCGAGAAATGATTGCCATGGACGTTTGGAGGCTGTGTGACTCAGGTATCTACAACCTCTATCGTGAACTCGCACGGTCCCGTCTCTATGACTTGACGGAAACTTGATTTGCCACGATCCCTCTTCCTCAACTTTTACCGAATCTGTTACACAATCTCTTGATCTCCCGACTGTCTGTGTGTCTGTCGATCTCAACATACCCTTCCTACCCTTCCGGTGAAAAGTTACCCGGACGATTTGATGGAGCAGTCCATCTGAATCCGATGGACGATCTTTACGGTGTGTACGATATTTGCTTATTGCATTATTGCAAAAAATGCGCCTCTGCTGTTATTCGAGGCTTTGTGTATAGTTACCTGATTTGCATTATCTCTACTTCTTCATAATTTGACAGTAATGAATACTATCCCATGAATATCCTATCACCTAGTGCTCACACAGCGAGAACTCCCCTCTAGTGAATCCTTGATTATGGTCTTCACTCTTCACGCTCCTCTCCTTCATTAATTCCAACCTATACTTCTTCGCCTCCTCCAAGGACATGACTGGCATCGGCAAATCCTGGCGCACTATCTCCTGTAACTCCGCAGGTAAGCGCTCACCAAGAAGCCCATCAATCAACTTCCGTCGTCCTTGACTCCACTCCTCCTGCTGTGGCGGGACATTGGCCGACGAAATGATTCTCACGTTCGGATCAATAAGAAACAACGCAAGAATCTTGCGATGGCCAGGCTTCGATCGATCAGCCAGTGAAAACGGAGACACTCGGTGCTGAAGAACATTAGGGAATGTGAGAAGTCTATCCTCGCGACACACAACGCCTCCAAGATCCTGCGTAATGCCATCAGGACTATCTCCAAAGTCAGTTCCGCTGCCCGGAAATCCGTAGACCTGCTGAAGGAACTCGTGGCGGCCTTGTTCATAATAGAAGTCGTCAGCGAGGTCTTTTCCGGCGCGATGGCGGAAAGAGAGAGTGCTCTGTGTGATGTTTTCGCTGTCGTAGTAGTAGATGGCCGTTGCGCAGATTCGTTCGTTCTAAGAAGGATTAGTCTGAGAGTAAAACATATTGTCCAAGGAAGTCTTACAAGTTGTCCCTCGATGTGCCAGCTTCCTCCATCATACTCGGGGTTTTCGGTTGTGAGCTCGATATTAGCCAGCTTCACGATAATCTGGAGTCCGCTGTCCTTGAAATTCTCGCGAAGATCAACACGCTCTCGGAAAGAGGGTTGGTTCGGTGGCTTGAACGAATTCACGTTTGGCTCTGGAAGTTCGATCTTGCGAGCAGCTTGCCAGACCTCGTGACGATCCCAGTAGACCTCTTCATCCTCATCTTCCCCTTGTCTCGGCTCCGTGTCTTCAGAACCATCGACGTATTTGATATCTTCTCCGTACGGAATCCTTTGTCCCATTTGGGAAGGTGGTGCCAGACTCTTGTTCCAGAGCGGAATAGCCCTGTCAATGATCTTCTCGACGACTCCATATAGACCATTGTGCTCAATAGGGTGAACGTTGTTGATATAGGAGGTGATCCGACATGCGGGCTCACTTCCGACGAATTCTACGTCACAGGGAAGCCATTGGAACTTGTGACTAAGCGCATCAGGCACATGGCCTCGTGAATAACGCTGAGCTGGCGCGGGTTTAGGTGTAACTGGGAGCACCTCTCCCTGACCCACATAGTTCAGACAGTCATTCAGGCCGATGAGTTTGTCTCGGATAATGTAGGTACGTCCGTAGACAACTGCAAAGAGCGATTGGTGCACGAGATCGAGGACTTTGTTGTCAGTGCCGGGGTGATAGTCCTTTTGGTCGTCTGGGACATCTTCGAAAGGTGCCACCGCTTCTATGAGCTGTTGTTTGAGGTCCTTTGGGATTGCATTATCCGATTTAACCACACCAGTGTCAAAGACACTGATGATGCCATCTTTCTTGAGACCCTCGGTCTTCCACTGTAACTCTTTGATGATCCAGTCCATCATGGCTTTTGAGATATCCTGCCCGCTTTCGGACACTTCTTGTCGCCATTTGTTAGTGATGCTTTCGTCAAACACCTAGGTATATTAGTAAAGAATGGCAGGTATGAGTGGCGGTAATACCTTTCGATCCCAATCTGGTTTATCGGTGATAGTGTTCATCACCCGCATCATCAGAATTTCGCGGAAGGTATAGAGAAACCTAAGATCAGTTAGGTCGGCATGAGAGAAGAAAATAAATGCGTCAGCTTACCCGTCGTATGCGTCCTCTTCAAAATCGAGTGCATTGGGGAAAAGGGAGTTGTTGTCATTGTATTCCCGCTAATTCGATCAGTATGTTGCGCCTTCGGGCACTAAATCCCCAAACGTACCTTGGTATATAACAAGGGGAGGGTAAAACCTGGTAAGTCAAATCGCGATTCCTGTTGCAAAGACATTGCGGTGAAGAACTTTAGAAGTTGGACAGGATTGGACCAGGGAGCCAGTCTATATAAGGCCGACGGGCCCCGCCCGGCGATAGGCAGAAGGCGACAATTCCAGGCAGAAAGAGGCTCCGCACTCCCTGCCGCTGGCCTTTTGGCTTATTTTACCGAGTTTAATTCTTCGCTCGCTGTAAATCCGAGGTCGTCATCTTAATGGCTAGTATACTCTTCTGGCAGTTTTGGGATTCTTTCATTGTGCCATTTTCGATGGTGTTAAGGGGCCCGGAGTGAGCGAAACACGATTATTGCGCTACTAGAACAACTGGAACGGTACTCCATGGCGGCTTCATTCGGGGATTTAAGATTCAAAAAAGCGCTGCACTAAGAGTGTTTCTTCGCTTGAACACAGGAATTTGCATTCTCCCATTGGGACGCGGGCGAATTTGATTATTCTGAAATAATCTCTAGATTCCGTTTCGTCCAACTTAGCAGCCTCGCTTCTTCTTTTCCTCTTCCTTACAAATAAGTCGCACCCTATCCTGGGGTGCTTTATTGGTGGTTAGCAAAGGGAAGGGATCCTCAAGGATGAATTCAAACGTACCCTGTTGAGTTGCTAGCCCAATAACAAAACTGTTGATGTCTAATCCCTCTTCGAAGTGAAAAACAGATATTCAAGCCCTTCATGTGGGCTAAGGCATAGCATCAACACGCCAATAGCTGGTTGCTGTATTATCTTCTTCACGAGATGAGCGAGTTCCCGAATTGAAAAGGGGACCAATGGTAAGCAACAGACAGGCGGAAAGACTATTAGGGGAAGCCTATATAAAAAGACTTAAAGTAAGCTCGAGGCCTGGTTAGGGTTAACGAGAAACATCGAGTCACCCCAGCTAGGGCGTGCACCATCATGTGGCCAAAAAAGACCCCCGCATGGTTGGATCAATGTCAGACGGTAAATAATGATCGGCATGATGAAATATGGTAGCTCGATCTAATGGCATACAGGCAAGCCACGAGGCTTGATGGAGACCCTGCAGAGTCACGGAGAGAGCGATCATTGCATGGTCTAAACAAATCAGAGATAGCACTCGGCAGGGAGACAGGGCTTTGGTGGGTTCTGCCCCGAGCCAAAGATCTTGATTTGATGGATTAGTTATGTGGCGTAGATATAGCATGTTGAAGAGGGAACGCGATTATCATTGACAACGGAGAAATGCATGCTGTAAGTAAAGGCGAAAACAGGACTCGAGATCACCGGTTTTTTTGCCACATGGACGGAACATTACTCTCATACAAGTAATCGTGATCGATTGCCGCGCATCACTGGGTACTAGGCAACTCTCAGGGTCGCAGGAATGGGGCTGTGTTGGCCCTGTCAACAGGCTAAGTCGTGCGATGTCGCGTGGATACATCGTCTCCAAAATCAGGTCCCCGCGATCGGCAGATCAATTACCGAGTGCGTCATGCTGCACCAATAATCTCCAGGGGCTTGGGATATCATTAGACTGTACAACACTGTATAAAGTATGAGACGTGCGCCTGTGGATATCGGCAATGAGATACTCGTCTTTAAGGTCTCCGACAGGATCCGAAGTCAAAGGCGGCACTGCGACTCCGCGCGGAGCATGTTACTATGTTTAGCTTCCGTTCCTCAAGCAACTGCGGTACTGAAAGCTGAATTGTACTCTGCGTATAGGCAGCCACGTTAAGTAACAAAAATTCGCTTCCTGGCATAAACTCAATAACTATGTAAGATGAAGATTTTCAAAATGATTTATATTTACAGATGTCGGATATTTTTCAGGGTCTTCAACGTCGACCAATGAACCCCTCTACGGTGGCTGTTTGTAGTAGATTGCGTTTCATTCCCATCACTCCATACAACCCGTAGACCCGGAGGAGAATCCCGTAATCAGTCAGAAACCAAGTCCATGGTCTAAGTGAGCCACTGAAAGAGGGAGAAAAAAAAAGAATTGCCTTCGCTTTGAGACCGCGCCACGCTCACGTGACTCTGGGCGAAACCCGCCAGCAGCGGCAACTCCAACTTGTCAGCTTCACCAGACAACGTTCGTCCCTAATCGCTACCCACGAATTCCCTGCTTTCTCGATCTCTATTTATCCACTGATACCTTACTCTTGACTCTCTCGATTGTCTCCCTTTTTGCCTCGCAGCCACCGCGCTCGGTTGGTTTCCCCCGTTCAAAACAAAGCGACCCTGACTGCCTAAAGAGGTAGCCTGGTCTCTATCGACCTTTCACGAATCTTTTTCTAAGACCTTTGATACCAGATCTTCACTTCACGATGTCCAACGAAGCCCCCTACGACCCCTACATCCCCGCCGGCGCCAACGGAGCTACCGCGGCCTCCTCTTCGGAGAATGGCAACCAGCGCACCGCCGCATTGCAAGCGGTTCGTCCACTTCCCTTTCCCATTGAATGAGTTCCCGGGCGACATCATACGTGTCTACGCTTCACTTTTCGTGTCGCGAGGAGCATGCGCTGCTCTGTTGTGATGACCGGGAGTCGCAAGGTTCACATGGCAACCGAGACTAACATGATTCGCCCCTAGCAAATCGACGACACCGTTGGTGTGATGCGCGAGAACATCAACAAGGTCTCCCAACGTGGTGAGCGCCTCGACTCTCTGCAGGACAAGACGGACAACCTGGCGGTATCAGCCCAGGGCTTCCGCCGGGGCGCCAACCGTGTGCGCAAGCAGATGTGGTGGAAGGACATGAAGATGCGCGTGTGTCTGGTGATCCTTGTGGTTGTCCTCTTGGTGGTTATCATCGTGCCTGGTAAGTCGGAAGCCGATCCCAGCCTATCCCAGCCGATCCCAGCATTGGGGCTTGGATCTCGGAGAGTGGGACTTGAGACGCTAACAAATTGCTTTCCAGTGGTCGTCAAGACTAGTCACTGAGCCATGCATCTACTGCATTACGCGACTTTGTTTTGGTTTGGGAAACGTGGGCAATGATCTTTTTAACCGGGGTTTTCACGTTGAGGCCATGGAGCTACGTCGTTTTCCAGCCTGCTAATACCTCCTGCTGTTTTGTTCTTTGGGCGTGCTTTGAATGACCAAATCCTTCTGCCTTTTCCGACGAAAGCCTCTGTACTGCCAAATGGGGTTGAGCCTCATAACCGATTTCGTCGGGTGAAAGATGTAAATGATACTGCGATGCCGTGTTCGACTATGTTACCTTCACGAATAATTTTCTTACATCGGGTCCACTGAACTCTTTCGTACTCGCCTTCTTCTTTTGGATCTGTATGCCCTTGAGTGGAGGCCATTCCTTGGCAAAAACAAAAATGTCAGCCCACCATAACTCACCGTAGGACGTAAACCAGTCATAAAGCCCATCGGAAATAAGCGCTCGTGTTGGAGAGACGGAATGAAGCGAAGAAGGCCGAGACTAAGAGAATCGGGTGGAGGAAGTGGATAGCGGGAGACGAGTAAGAGACGCGGGCAGGATCAGATAACTGACACTAAACCCAAGCCGGATGACGTTTCTAGGAATCTTCGACTTGCAGGTGGGCTTCTCGGAAGTCTTAGACTCGCTTGCAGACCCGAGAGATTTGATGACGATTTTGCAAGGTGCGTGAAGATTCTGGTACTTTGTGTACCTTAGTGTTCCTTAGGGCCGTACTTAGGGTAGACAGAGAGGTACGATGAAAAAGGGTCGTCGTCTTCCATCCAGGGACCCTATGAAAAAGCACATTTACTAAGATCAGGTGCGGGCCCAGTTCTTCAATATTCTATCTCAGGATTTACCTGATTCGTACAATTCAATTTTCGCAGACGAAACAAGAAATGGACGGCGTAAATCACGCTCGCTAGTGTAGAAAAGAGGTCCCCACCGCCCGACCCCGTCATTGGGCAACTTATCGCTCCGACGGCCGGCCGATAGTCTGTAAAATCTCTCGACCCCCCCAGTTAGTCACACTTCCACCTTCCACCTTTCACCTTCCCACCACTCTATACACTCTTCGCAAAAGGGGAGACTCCCCGGGTTCGTTTCGCCAGTCCCAATTGAAGCTGCCGCATGCTGGTGAAGATGTTGTCCCTTCGCTCCGCCGTGCGGAGAGCGTCCACCAAGCCCCTCCGATCGATCTCCGCACCTCAAGTCTCGCCGCTGCGAGTGGTCGCTGCCCGTGCGGTGTCGACTTCTCTGAGTCAGGGTCGCGCCTACTCTCGTTCTGCTGAACCTCACTTGAGCTCCACCCGCAGCACTGTCGTTCAGCTGCTGAGTAACATCGGTTCCAAGCGTGAGGTCCAGCAGTATCTGTCCCACTTCACTTCCGTTTCCTCCCAGCAGTTCGCCGTCATCAAGGTCGGCGGCGCCATTATCACCGAGCACCTCCAGACCCTGTCGTCCGCACTCGCCTTCCTTAACCATGTCGGTCTGTACCCGATCGTCGTTCACGGCGCCGGTCCTCAGCTCAATCGCATGCTGGAGGCCGCTGGTGTCGAGCCCCAGTTCGAGGATGGAATCCGGGTTACTGATGGCAAGACTCTGTCGCTGGCACGCAAGCTGTTCCTTGAGGAGAACATGAAGTTGGTTGAGGAGTTGGAGCGCCAGGGTATCCGTGCCCGCCCCATCACCGCCGGCGTCTTCTCCGCCGACTACCTCGACAAGCCCAAGTACAACCTGGTCGGCAAGATCAATGGTGTCGACAAGAAGCCCATTGAGTCGGCTATCGCCGCTGGCTGCCTTCCCATCCTGACCTCCATGGCTGAGACTCCCGATGGGCAGGTTCTTAACGTCAACGCCGATGTCGCTGCCGGTGAGCTGGCTCGCGCGCTGCAGCCTTTGAAGATCGTCTACCTTGCCGAGAAGGGTGGTCTGTTCAACGGCGACACCGGTGAGAAGATCTCCGCCATCAACCTTGACGAGGAGTACGACCACCTGATGACTCAGTGGTGGGTGCGTCACGGTACTCGTCTGAAGATCAAGGAGATGAAGGACCTCCTGAGCGACCTTCCCCGCTCTTCCAGCGTTGCCATCATTCACCCCGCCGACCTCCAGAAGGAGCTGTTCACTGACTCCGGTGCTGGTACCCTGATCCGCCGCGGCAACAAGATCAACGTCAACACCTCTCTGTCTGAGTTCCAGGATCTCCAGGCCCTGAAGGATGTGCTTGTCCGTGATCGTGAGGGTCTGGATGCCCGCGCTGTCGTTGACCGTTACGTTGAGGGCCTACAGGAGCGCGACTTTAAGGTCTACTACGATGACCCCATGGACGCTCTCGCTGTCGTCCTGCCCCAGAAGGACTCTGAGATTGCTCAGCTTGCTACTTTCACCATCACCAAGTCTGGCTGGTTGACCAACGTGGCTGACAATGTCTTCTCCAGCCTCAAGAAGGACTTCGCCAAGCTGGCTTGGACCGTCAAGGAAGATGACGAGAACCTGACCTGGTTCTTCGACAAGGCCGACGGCAGCCTGAGCCGTGATGGCCAGGTTCTGTTCTGGTACGGTGTTGAGAACGGCGATGAGGTTAAGCAGCTCGTCCAGGAGTTCACCAAGAACGGCCGCCAGATGTTCGGTGATATTAATCTTGAGAATCGCCTCCACCGCGCTCACCAGGCCGCCATCAACATCAACAAGGGCTTCGGTGCCAGCGGTGCCTCTGCTGAGCAGAAGCGTGCGTTCTCTTCCACCAGCAATGTTCTTCGTGCTACCCGGGCCAAGCGCCCGGCCGTTGCTGTCAACGCTTTCCGCACCTACGCTACCACCAACCCCAACCCTCCCCTTGGCGAAAAGAACGCTTCCAACCCCCAGCCCGCCAAGGTTGCCCTCATTGGTGCCCGTGGCTACACCGGCCAGGCTTTGATCAGCCTACTCAACGCCCACCCTAACATGGATCTCCGCCACGTCTCCTCCCGTGAGCTCGCTGGCAAGAAGCTCCAGGGCTACGAGAAGCGCGAGATCATCTACGAAAACCTCAGCCCCGATGATGTCCGCAAGATGTCCGCCAACGGTGACATCGACTGCTGGGTTATGGCTCTGCCTAACGGTGTCTGCAAGCCTTTCGTTGATGCCGTTGACGAAGGTTCTCAGAGCGGCAACGTTATCGTTGACCTGAGTGCCGACTACCGTTTCGACGACAAGTGGACCTACGGTCTTCCCGAGCTCGTTGACCGGTCCCACATTGCCCGTGCCACCCGCATTGCCAACCCCGGCTGCTACGCCACTGCTGCCCAGCTCGGCATTGCTCCTCTCGTTCCCTTCCTCGGCGGCCAGCCCACTGTCTTCGGTGTCTCCGGTTACTCGGGCGCCGGCACCAAGCCCAGCCCCAAGAACGACGTCAACTTCCTCACCAACAACATCATCCCCTACAGTCTGACTGACCACATCCACGAGCGTGAGATCAGCGCCCAGCTCGATGCTAGCATCGCCTTCATCCCCCACGTGGCTGTCTGGTTCCAGGGTATCCACCACTCCATCAGCATTCCCCTTGCCAAGGAGATGACATCCCGTGACATCCGTAACCTTTACCAGGACCGCTACGCTGGCGAGAAGCTCGTCAAGGTCACCGGAGAGGCTCCCCTTGTGAAGGACATTGCCGGTCGCCACGGCGTCGAGATCGGTGGCTTCGCTGTCCACTCCAGTGGCAAGCGCGTCGTCGTCTGCGCCACCATTGACAACCTGCTCAAGGGTGCCGCTACCCAGTGCCTCCGTAAGTCCCCACATATCCCAATACTCAATCCCAAAACTAACACCTTTAAAAGAGAACATGAACCTTGCTCTTGGCTACTCCGAGTATGAGGGCATCCCCCTCGAGTAAATTCCCCGTTGATTTGCCATTGAAAGAAGTTATAGGGTGTTCTGTGCGCTGTTATGTATTTTGTCTCATACCCCGCGTGCATTATATACATCGCTATGGGTTGGAGACGTTGAAGATGTAGCATGGAGGTCATTCCTATCTACCACCTGATCTGCCCACTGGGTCTCGTTTTTGTGTGTGCTTGTCTGTTGTATTCACCTGAAAGAGTATTTCTCTTGGATGTTGGTGTCTCGTTTTTGTTTTCGCCTCTAGATTCCATTTCACGGTTTTTTTTCGGCTCTGCTGAGGCTTATGTTGATTCTGGGTTTCTCTAGATGCGAGATGATCTTTGATAGCATAAAAGTAATTTTATTGCACTCTGAATTGATCCATGATTTTTCTGTGAAATGAAGATGAGGCTTTTAGAACGTAGGAGTGATGAGACTTATCATCTTGGAGTGAAACCCTAATATATGCTGCCCCATGCCTCCATAATAGCCTCTCTTAAGCCGTCATTCTTGACGTCGATTATAAGGAGCCCCAGAACCTGGCACATTGATGGCGAGTTATCAGGTATCGTCTAGATATGACTCTAGACAGTCCTCTTTTTGTGAGAAACACTCTGTATCGAACCCTGTCTCCAGTAACTCCATTCAGATGAACTCACCCTCTCAGACGCTCTTTTGAAACTCACTCATTCCATTCCAATATTTCCACGTCCACTGTTCTCATTTCAAGACCACCAAGCAGCTGGTTCTTTCCATTATTTCTTTTCACCTGCTCCATCCCATTCACCGTCTCCCTCTGCACCCACTCGAACGACCAGCCATACAACGGTCCTCAACAAACAGCCCACCTTGCGGTGGCAAGACTGGCACTGCCACCATGTTTTACAGCCATGAAAGTAAGTCTCTGAAGGCTTCCACAGAGCCGAAGATATATGATGACCGACGCCACCCATTTCAGTTCTCACCTCCCCAGATCACGGTGTCGCAACTATCTGGTAAGACGTTTCGCCATCGCAGTAACATGCTGAGGCCAACACACGTCTAACATACACAGGCTCGTTGCAACTCTTGGCTCACGGTCCATCGCGCGACGAATCAATCGAAGAGCCATACAAGATGTTGACGTGCCAAGCGCATGCAGGGTCATTATCGACCCGGAGTCTCCGATGGCCCTACGACTGCAAGGTAGCTTGCTGTAAGTTTTCACAAGTCTGCAAGGAACTCGTTCATTAACAAGCCCTTATACAGATACGGCGTTTCGCGCATCTTTAACCAACAGTGCGGATACACTTTGCTCGACGCCCAAACAATGCACGACAAGATGATGACCATGCTGAGGATTGTGCCAGGTGCTGGTCTAGATCCCAGCGCTGGGAAGTCAAAGTATGGACATACCTTCGTTTCAAGCTAGAGTAATTTTGTCTTATACCTCTCAGGCCGGGGAGTCTCAACCTCCCATACGACCCTACCTTCCTTCCCGAAACTGGTCTACCCGGTATGGGCATTGATGTAATCTTACTCGACGCAATCACAGACGAAGCCCACAGCCAATACCCCAGTATATGGTCCAAATCTCCAGCGATCAGTCGTTCCAGTGGGTCTCAAAATGGGCAATTTCAGCTTGAGCTTCCTCTCGACGAGCTCATTGGAGGTAATGTGATGGCCGGGCAGGATGATATCAACGACTCTGCACAGAGGATAGGTCTGTTCGGCAGGAAGACGAAGCCGAGTGTTGAAGAAAGTGTTTTGTTGAATCCTGATTTCGAATTCGATGATAACGGAGATATCGTTGAGTTTGATGCGAGCAGGGTTTCTCCCAACAGAAGAAGGGGAACAAGTTTCGATCCGAGGCTAAGTGAGGGCCCAAATCTGCAGAAGGATCAAGGGGATACAGTGAGTGATATTGCTATGTCGTTACTCAGAGGCGCCAACTGACGTGGTTCAAAGGTCCTGGCAAACGACGAAGCAGTGCTCGTTCGTGACGATAACGTGATGGACCTTGATGTCCAACCCGGAGCTGAAGTTATCTTACCTGGCGTAGATGTCTTGACTGAGACTGTGCGCCTCGATAGATCAATGGAGAATGAAAGACGATTGAATCAGAGGCAAAGAGAGGCCAAAATAATTGTTACGGATGTGGTGACAACCCTACGAAACACAGACCTGGCACGATGGAACAGTGAGTATGAGGCAAACATGGCGCAAGCCGCAAAGCAGAAGCAATTGAACAAATTGCCAACAATTGCAAAGAAGAACGCCGCCTACTGGGTTCTTGGCAAGGGAATTGGCGCTGTCGGCAATCCACTCGGTCCTCAACATATACCTCACCCGCTTAAGTCTTACTCAGGCGAGGAGCTATATTACGCCCTTTGTCCTGAAGCTGAGCGCAAACGGAGACGTACAGAAGGTACCGGAGATGACAGTGATTCAGGGGAGCAGAGCCGCCAAGTACGCCCTCGAGAGGGACAGGTGAATCCTATGGACGTCGAAATCGCGCGTCACGCACCATCCAGCGTGCTAGATGACCACTCTTCCTTGATGCCATGGAACACTATTGTATCGATTGAGAGCTCCCACCGAGGCCAGCGCTTTAGAAGCGGAAGCGAAATCTCCTACGGTTCGCGACGCCGCGGTCGTATCCAAAGCGCAAGTCCACTGGCCGGACGAGGCTATCGTGATCGAGACAGCAGCCTCGACATCTCAGGCAATTTTGGTGACGATCTGGACGACTTCGAGATAACCAGATACCTCGAAGCCGGACTGTCCCCGGACAAAGGAGATATCAGTGAAATGGACCCGCGGAAAATCAACGGCGAGAAGCACATCGCCAAGATGCTTGACCAAGGCACTTTGAATTTTTGGGACTTTCTCAAAGACAAGATGCTCCCATCCAAAGGCGGTCGGATCGAATTCGAAACTCTCCTCCCGCCCAAGGAGACCTCGCGCACGGTGGCTACACAGGCTTTCATGAACGCGCTCACGCTCGCGACAAAAGGCGCTATCAGCGTCGGCCAGGAGCCATTTCAAGATCAGGGCCCTTCAAGCTGGGGTATTCGCTATCAATACGGTAAACTCTGGCTGGGAGTTGCGCAGCAGCAATAGTTGATGAGCACCAGTTCTACCACTACACCGATGCAATTACCGGAGACATGTGATTTCGCGGGGATCTATTCTTACGCTGGCTTTTTATTCCTTCCATTATTTTTACCATTTCTGACTCGATGATGTGGCTATTTCGGCCTCCCTACTTGCTCTGGCCAGTATGACACATGATGATTTCACGCAGTTATGGAAAATAACATTATATCGCGGCGATTTATTTTTAGGTGCCGGTGGGGGAACACGGGGCGACACAGGAAGGCTGATGCAACAGGGTCGGGGAATAGACTGGGAAAGATAGATTGAAAAGGTGTGCCTGGAATCTCGATCTATTAGCGATCCATGTATGTAAGCCAGCAATATTTACGCGGACTCGCCTTACTGCGAACGTTACCAGGAACCCGTAAGTTCTATCGTAAATCGGAACGTTGACAGTATCGCGTACGGAGTATGGGATACAGGAACGGGGACGACACTTTGGAACAATACTGAGTAAAGGTAATAATACCTGCGAAGTATATAGATCTGTTTTTATAGCGACTGGCCCTTTTGAATCTTAGCCTCGACGCGTCTTTTACTTTCCTTGGATTTAATTCCTCTTCTATCGATATCCTATCGGTCTGTCTCGTGTGCGTTTGGCGTCTCTTAACCGAGCGCGCCCGGTTGGAGATGGCCTTGGCGCCTAGATAGATACCTAGGCAGGCACCACGAAGCGCGGTTGGATTGAACTATCAGTTTGGTTTTAGTGGCTTTCTATTGAGTCTTGAGCTTTCTTTGATGGCTTCTTAGGTTGTGAGATGCCTATGGTGGTATTTACTGGATGCGTTGGCATAATGTCACGCGTAATCCTCTATTGGTCAATGTTTCCGCAGCAGTCCGGGATTGCAACGGATCAAAGAGAGCATAGCCACCATAACCACGCGGTAGGGGAGAAGTAATACACTCATGACATTCAAAGATAAACTATTAATGAGAATCATCAAGAATAAAAAATAAAAAGAAGCAAAAACGGCGAGGATACGATACAAAGGAGTGAAATGGTGAAATACCCGGACTCAAACTTACGCAGGGCGCGTTACCCAGCCGCGCCACTCGTATTCTGTCTCGGTCTTTCCATTTCTTCTCTTTCTCCTCTCTTTCCCCTAACCAAACCCCCCCTCCTCGCCTCACCGCGTTTCTTCCCCTCGCGTTACGACTTCGTTTTTCCCGGTATAGCAACAGTCCCCCATCTCATCTCCGTCATAATGGGTCGCACCGTCGATCAAGAGGTGCATGCGGCGTTCGTCGAGTTCCGCGCCAAGGAAGATGATAAGGTGTGTGACTGTATTTCGTAATATTTCAAACCCACCACAACAGACCAGCGTCACTAACATACGAGACCCGTTTCGTTTAGTGCCTCTCCGTGCAGTGTATCTATTGTCAACAAATTCGCGCAAAGAATACCTCGAGACAGAAGCAGCATTTGCTTGAATGTCCTGGTCTCCGAGGACACCCTAACGCGCCTCAGCCTTCCCAGCCTACTCCTACTCCCAACGGCATCGGCGCCCCCAATGGATACCCCGGTACCCCCAATGGTCCTACAGCTACACCATCAGTCCCTACAGGAGGCCCTACCATTCCTACACCCAACGGCGCATTGATGACCAACGGTGTCAACCCTCACGCTACTCCAATGCAGACCCCGTTGCAAACCCCATTGCAGGCCTTGCAGAACCGCCCACCGATGCAAACTCCGGGTCCACCTCCCGGACCTCCGGGCTCTGCGCCTTCATCAGTCGTGCCGTCGCGTCCGACCCCAAAGCCTAAGGCTAAGAGCAGCACATCCAATCTGCCCGCGCCGCCATTGGACGATGTGCACGCGGCTTTTGTGGAGTTTCGCGCCAAGGAGGAGGACAAATGTCTGTCGGTGCAGTGCATCTACTGCCAACAGGTTCGCGCCAAGAATACTAGTCGCCAGCGCCAGCACTTGCTCGAATGCCCCACCTATCTCAGTGTTATGAAGGACTCGATTCCTGCCAACAACTTGCTACACACATTCCCCGAGGGCGATGTCGCGCGATCACTTCAAATCCCCGTTCCAACGCTGGAGCTTGATTTCCGCATGAGCATCAAATTGAACCCCAAGGTGAATATCGGCCAGAGCATCTGGGGTGGCCAAGAATGGGTTTCATACGTTGGTGGGCAATGGGCCGGTCGGTGGGGCAAGGGTGTTGTTCTGGTAAGTTTCAATGATCGATGACACGATGCGCCATTGCTAACGCGCACACAGCCCGGCGGTCAAGATACTCAGATCGTTACTAAAGACTCGACTACAAAACTGCGCGCCAACTACCTGCTCCAAACTGCCGACGAGCCTCCGGCTTTCATCATGGTCAAGACTGAGGGCTGGCTTACCGGCGCGAAGGATGTATTGGAGAAAGTCAATGATCCCAGTGTGGCGGATGGCATCAACCCCAGCAGCTACAAATATCGCGTCAACTTGGCCATGGAAACTGGCGATGAGCGATACACCTTCCTGAACACTCTTATGTGGGTTGGCAGCGGTTGCCGCCGAGGCCAAGAAGGTATGTCCATCCAAATTGCCTTTCGTTCCATAGGTTGCCCCGCTCGTCGCATTTTTGCTAACTCATCTTGTTCCAGTAATTTTCGATTCATTCCGTGTCAATTAAACCAGGATGGTAACTATGACTGTTTTGCCGTTCTTGAGCGATGTCTTTCTGCAGTTCTACTATGGGAAAATATGGTGTTTTACGTTTCGATCGTTCCTTCGTGGCGCAGCTTTGTATGGCTCTTGTTTTAAATACAATGAATCTGGGCTGTGAACAGAGAGCCATGGCTAGCTGAAATGACCGTTTTGGGCCATGTCTTCCACCGTTTCTTTTTCTTTTAACTTCTGATGTACCTCCTTTCTACAAACATCTTGATATGGGTCAGGGTTTCCCGGGTATGTTTTATGTCTATCTTGAAATGTTTGTGATATTATGTTATGATTTTTCGATCATTTTGAACTAGGGTTTTTTCTTCTTAGTCACTTCTTCAAGCTGTACTGAATTTAAACTCTGCAATACTTTGTGATTTCCATCTATAGTAAATAAAATTAAAGCCATGTAGTGTGGAACGATAGTATAGTATACATACCTTTTTTACTCGTTACTCGTTATAGTTCACGATACGTTCTGGTATATTCACTCGTCCCGTATCCAACGTATTCACGCCTTACCCCAGACTAACAGACGTATCCACTTGGCTGCAGTGCATGGCCGATCGCTTCAATACCGTTTATACCGGCCCTTGCTAGCTCCCTTCAAGTAATACAAACTAGCTAAACGTAGTTCAGGTTTCTTTCATTACTGGTGTTATTTAACCCAAACCTTTACACTGATTAATACTCCGCTTGACTTCCCCCATAATTTACATAGGGCGGGGTTCCATGGATCACCTCCCGCTTTATCTAATCATGTCACTGCTGGTTGATGTATCCGGTGTATCTTCTGTACTCCGTACTCAACTCTGCATTTACCTGTACCTGGTATATTTCCTGTCTTGAGCTTGAGTGGAGATGGACCTTGGTTGTGGGTGGATTTATTTGGCTGGCCATCAAGGGGTAAGGTTAACCCACGTGGGCGCTTGTATTGGGGGTTTTTTTAACTGTAGATTCGAAAGTTCGGTATGGAAATATATTTCGAAAGTTTTGGTCTGGATTTTCACGCTTCGTTCAGAACCCGACCGTGATGATAATTTTGCATGTATCATTAGAAGGACATTGACACCCACTTATAAGCCAAGAATATTCGGTATGTTTTGTTTTTTTTTTTTCAATATAAAAACTGCGACTTGCGAACGGTTCTGAGGTTGACATACGATCTCATCTACCCCTGGACCTTCAGCCCTGGACATATCGTCATCTGGTTTATTTGTATTATTGCCTCCCAAGGAGACTAAGCTGATTATTTTTTCGTCGCCGAAGAGATATACCAATTCAAGCCTAGAAAGGAGTGCCATGGCCTCTTCTTCGGTATCCCACTATGTGAAAGCGACCGACGAGGACTTGCTCATCTACATGGAAGGTAGCCCAAGATACCATCTTGGTAAGCTTGTACTCTCACTTTACTCTTCAAGTTCACAAGAGACCCTGTTTCAGACTGTGTGAAGTCACCGTATAGCTCCAGTAGCCAGTGGCGTAAAGATTCATCCACCAGCATTCTTCAAAGTGGCACCAGTCACAATGCCAACACACGCCCCCGGATGCCAGGTCAAATTGGCAGAAGCTAGTGTTATACCCAAGAGAAAAAATCTAACTGAAGAGTAGAAGTGAAAAGTCCACAATCTTCAACTTTTTCAACAATTGGCTTCGCTTCCCACCTTTCTTTTTGTGTACAAGCTTCAACAACAGGTTTCAGTGATATCGCAATACAGATATAAGGAAAAGAACAAAGGACCATCCAGAACTGGCTTATTGAGTGCGAATGAAATGCCAAGACAGCGCTCAGAATCGTGCCGTGGGATTAATCGGACTAACAACAGCCCGCGATCTCTCCAGCCCTCTGTCAGCATTCATATTCTGTTCATACGTCACCGAGACCTCTTGCGTTGTTGTGATCCCTGGCTTGCCAAGGATACTCTTCACACTACTATCATCCCTGTCATCTGAAAGCGTGATGGCACGGCCTCCGTAGTAATGGTACGGATCGCGCCGAGCGGATGTGTTACGGCCATGGCGTTTGTCGGAGAGTTGGTAGTTTTCTGAAGAGGGTGGGTCGGTGCGGTCATAGCTGGAGGAGCGCATGCGGACGAAGAGGATTCGGAGGGAGGGGATTGAGGCGGCGAAGATGGTTAGGCCTGTTTCGGCGGAAGCCCAGATTATGATGGTAGAGCAGAACCCTGGTTTTTCTTAGTTCGACTGTGAGAAAATGTGCGTGGGAATAGAGACCTACAGGTGAAGTCTTGTACTTGGGACACGTTGACAAGCTTGGAGGTTTTGATGAAGGCGGTTGCTGCCGCGCTAGTAATATACTCAATTCATGTTTGGGAGGTAGTCCAGGATTAGTTTCACTCACAAGACACCCATGCTCATGGCAATGGCAATTCCAAACTTCTCACGCTTCTTCATTTGAAGTTTCCATAGTAATACCCATGGAAAGAGAGCAAGAATAAAGTCCATACATCCGGAGTATGCTCCCGCCGTGAGGGCAATAGTCTCAAATACACTGGTGGGCCAGCACTTGGCAGTTGCCATGAGCTTGGTATTCCAAAGTGCTGACGCAGGCCTGCACTGAGCAAGATAGCAGATTGCACAGAGCCACATGATTGCGTTCATGGTGACGATGATCGTCCACAACAGAAATTTCATCCATGTTTTGGTCACGATCCGAAGAAGGGTGATGGCAAAGGATGTCTTGCTAAGAACGCAGCCAATGATAATAATCACGAAACTGATGTAGACGAGCTTCAAGGCAGGCGGTACAATTTCCTCGTTCTCAATGGCAAAGACGTGCCTGCCTACTACTCCCATCTGCACAGCTTTTGTAATAAGCGCTGTGTAGGTAAAAAGCATCGACTGTTGCGGTCAGTGGGTGCCCAGAGAAAATATTTAACGGGGTTCATACCAATGCGAGACAAATAACAAGGTCATCCCAGCCAAGTCCTCTGCTCAGCATCACCTTGCACCAAATTCGCAGCCCAACCACCAGAGCAGGAATCAGGACCAATATCCAACATACTGCCAAAATAGTCGGGCCCTGGTTCTGGTCATCCAGAGAGACAGAAGCTGCAGTCATAATGTTTTAAAGGAAGCCCCTGTCAGCATATATAGAGATGACTTGAGCAAAAGAATGAAGCTCGATCGTGGGTCAATTCTTCGAGGGTGAAAAGACTGGTTAATAAATATTAAGACCTCCTTTTAGCATTCACGTATCCTCAAGTCTAGCATGGAAGGCCAAGGATACAACCCTTGATCTTCAAGCGACGTCTCAAAGATGTGATTAAACCCGCAATCACACGTCAAGACAAGGTACCGCAGCGCGGAAGTGAAACCCTGCATCCCGAATATGACAAGTACCATCCCGGTCTAGAACTGACGATCACATGTAACGACAACCATTGAAGGACCTAAATCACTACTGTAGATCATTCTCTAGGGACCATCCTGGCTTTACTAGTTGCCAATTGAAAGATGGACCCAAGGTTGGAATCCGCCACCCGCAACGCTCGAATTATATTTGATAGATCACAATGCACGACAGCGATCAGCCACGGGTGATCCGCTGGACAATGGGTATTTGACACGGTGGAGCTATTACTAAATCGAGCGTTGCGGGCTGCATATGAAACGGCCAGCCGTACTTTAGTCCGGCTCTCCGGGACTTAGCCGTTTATGCCCCTCACAGCTCGTGCGCGGCCACTAAGCCATGCGCTGGGGCTGCAGCTGTCATACTCGGGCTTTATTCCAAAAAGGACTAGATGCAGGTAGACTTGCATATAGTTTTTGGATAGAGCACATTCTAAAAGTCTCAAGTCCGAATCGACGGGGCCTCCCGTTCTGCCCAGCGGGACGTGCCGTCAACGCTCCGCGGACCGTCTCGCACGTTGAGGCGCCTTTCTTCAGGGTCGTGGTGGATTCGAGGGAAAGACCCGTAGATGACCAGAAAAAAGAAACAATGTAAGAGGATCCATAAATGATCGCTTTCCTTCGGGTCCCCTGATTTTACCTACTAAGACAGAACGAGCGTTAGGCCGGTTTCTTTCTCCGCACCGTTAGGACCCAAGATAATACGTAATAATTCCCCGAAGCTGTCATATCAAAAAAAAAAGTGACCTGTCAACCACAAGGTATACCTTATAAGTCTCTCTGCCCTGGCGGTAACCAGTGTAGATGCCAATTGAAACGGGCTGTTTGATCCAATGGAAATTCTCCGATCTGCACCATGACACAACTGGGCTACTGGTGATAGGGCAATCTCTTTGCTCCCTAGCTCGGTCTACGGAGCTCTAGGTCTTTGTCCGACGTACTTAGTCTGAATGTGCCTGAACTCCCACGGCCATCCCTGTTGCATTGACCACCTATTAGTCTAATGATAGTCAAACTCTGGAACTATCCGTCCAACCACCTGGTGGAATTGCCACGCCATCGGCCAGCATCATGTCCGTGCATCTTTATCACACACAGCTTTAGGCTTAGAATTGAAGTAGACCGATTGCCTATGAAAACGGGATCTGCGGGGAGCGTGTAAGATAGAGTCATTTATCTACCTCGCTAGTACAACGTTCTCGTTCGACTCATCGCAAATCGATTCTCGATCGTAGTCTCAACTTACAACTCCAAGTCAATTTTCAACACCATGTTCTCCATTTCAGAGCTAGTGATCAACGTCCTTCTGTCCGTGTGCATCCTTATCATTTCTCGCTTTCTTTGGAACTACCTCCGCTCCCCACTGAGATCCTTCCCGGGCCCGCTGCCAACCAGCTTCACCAACATATGGCGCCTGCAAGACGTGTTCAAAGGACGCTGTGATATCACGCATAATGAACTACACCGCAAGTATGGACCCGCTGTTCGGATGGGTCCCAATCTCCTGAGCCTCTCCGATCCGAACTTGATCAGTCAAGTGTACAACACCAAGAACCCGTGGCTCAAGGTATGGGATAGATTAATTCAACGTACTTCTGCTCGGCATTGAAGTTCTTTTAAGCTAATCGTTGGACCTAGAGTGATATGTACAACGTCAACGATGCTATCGTCTCGGGAACCCGTTACAAAAACCTCTTCTCGAACCAGGATGAGAAGTGGCACTCGACATTCATTCGTCCGATCAAGAACCTGTACTCCATGAGCAAGGTACAAGACATGGAGCATAACGTGGATATCACCATCGAACTATTTCTCGAGAAGCTCCGTGAGCGGTTTGTCCGTCCGGCAAAGACGTGTGAGGTGTCGGAATACATCAATTTCTGTATGTAATTTTGCATCTTGTCTACCTTGAGCCATACTGACGGTGTTGACTTAGTTGCATGGGACGCAATGAGCCAGATCACATTTTCCAAGGACCTCGGGATTCTTGAAGCAGGCTGCGATTACAAGGGCTTCCTAGGAAGATCGACAAAGACACTCGACTATTTCGCCTCGGTACCTTGCTCCCCAACCCAAAATCCAATCTAATAGCCATAGGACGCAACCCATACTAACCCAGAGACAATTCTAGATTTGTCAGGTCCCAATGCTAGACTACATCTTCGACAAAAACCCAATCATGCGAATTGGCCCACCAACATTCGTCTGGGCCAACATATTCAGCGTCGAACAACTCCAAACCCGCTACGAAGAAGCCACACCAATAAGCCACATCGACTTCCTAGCCAAGTTCCTCGAAGTCAAGAAGAAGCATCCAGAGCTTGTAAATGACGGCACCGTCATTCTCTACCTCCTCTCGAATGTACTAGCAGGCAGTGACTCCACCGCTGGAGCTCTCTGCGCCACGATCTACCATGTTCTTAAGCACCCGGCCGTACACAAGAGACTCGTTTCCGAGCTTCGCGATGCTAATTTGACCCTTCCCGCGAAATGGAAAGATATCAATGGTCTAACGTACCTCGAAGCGGTCATGCGAGAGTCGATGCGTATTAACCCGGGCGTAGGTCTTATTCTCGAGCGGGTCGTTCCGAAGGGGGGATTCACTCTCCCTGATGAACGATATGTGCCGGAGGGTACGGTCGTGGGTATGAATCCGTGGGTTATCAGTAGGAACGAAGAAGTCTTCGGAGCTGATACTGAAGCATTTATCCCGGAGCGTTGGTTGAAGGGGCCGGAGGAGACGGAGGAGGTGTTCCAGGCAAGGGTCAAGAGGATGAAGGCTGCTGATATGGCGTTTGGGGCCGGGTCGAGAGCTTGTCTTGGGAGATACTTGAGTCAGTTGGAGAGCTATAAGTTGATTGCGACGCTTTTCTGTTCTTTTGATGTGAGTCTCCTTGCGCCTGCGGGTTGGAATGAGGATTTGGGGTGCGTTTTTGCTAACGGGATACAGATGGAATTGCCGAGTCAGGAACATGAGTGGGAGATTACCAATTCCTGGTTCCTGTATCAGAAGAATATTCCTGTTCGGTTCTTTGAGCGGACTGATAGGGCTGTATGTGTTTAGTCTTGCTTCATATTGAGTTCCATTGTGCGTCGTTTAGGCGCTAGACGGGGATACGGGAAATTGGGATGGTCAACTTGCTTCAATGCCACAGTCAAATTGAGGGTTTGCATCAGACATTTATTAAGACATATTGAATTTTGAACAGTCTAACTGATGTAAAGGTATTGGAACTAGGCTTAAACAGAATCAAAATTTTTGCTGATATCGACAGTGATCATAAAATATTCCAAAGAGGGATTAGAAGCCTGAAAATATCAGTGAGCGTCCTTCATGTCTCCGGGATACGGAAAGAACTTACCCTTCTCAGTGTTGCCCTCGCCCATACTCTTGCTACTGCTGCTTCCGCTCTGAATGGCACCAAGGATACCATCCATATAGGGAGCACCACTCCATTTCTGGTGTGTCAGGACATCCACGCCCATCTCCTTCTCACGGGACTGGACCAGCTTCACGTAGGCGAGCATACCCTCATCTTTGAATGCGCGAGAGAGTTCGGTGGTAATGGTTGCATTGCTGTGCAGGCCAGCCAGGGAAATCAGTTGCAGGACGAATCTGGGAGAATTAGTTTGGGTTTGAATATGGACAGAATGTGAAGCTTACCCGTGCTTGGCGATGTCCCAGATGAAGGACTTCAGAGAAGCCTCATCAAAGCCCTGGGCCATCCAGTTGAAGGACGGGCTAAGGTTGTACACGAGCTTCTTGCCAGGGTACTTAGCGCGAACTTCACCGGCGAGAGTGCCAGCCTGCTCGACGTTGGGATCGCCAGTCTCGACCCACAGCAGGTCAGCGTAAGGAGCAAACTCTTTGGCGCGCTTGGTCGCGGCCGGGAATCCTGCGCGGTAGTGGTAGTATCCTTCGCGAGTACGGCAGCTGTCGCACGACCAGATCACCGGAGTCTTGGTGTAGTCGCTAGCCAGAGCCCGACGACGAGAGAAGGAAAGATCGGGGTTCTGCTTGACATGAGCCTTGTAGGCATCCCGTGCCGATTGAGAAGCACCCTCAGCCTGAAGGTGTGCGTCAACGGCTGCAGAAAGTTAGTATAGGTAAAGATTCCTAGGTTGATCCTCACGTACCCTCATCGAAGGAGACAAGTTTATGATTCTTAACCCAATCAAGCTCAAAAGCGTCAATCTCAGTAGGAGTGGCGCCCTCACGCTCCATGGCCTGCAGAGTTTCGGCCAACGGCTCCACCTCCTCGGTGATACCAAGAATGAACTCGTGGTCGCGCACGTCAATGGCGCTGCTGATCAGCTTGCCGCTCTCGGAGTCAGTGCGTGCAATGACAAGGTTCTCGCAACCCATCATGTCCCACTGGAATCGTGCAGCAGTCAAGCGATTGATGTGTTCGCCCATGGGGACAAGCACCTTACCCGCCAAGTGGCCACACTTCTTTCCGCCGTGAAGCTGGTCTTCGAAGTGCACTGCCGCGGCACCGTTCTCTGCGAATAGCTTGGCGAGCTTGAGAACAGCCGACAAGCCTCCGTGTCTTTAAAGCCAAGTCAGTTTCGAATGTTAGTTTCATCATCGAGGTAGGACATACCCGGTGTCACCGTCCGCAACGATTGGTCGCATATAGTCAACATATGGTGTGGATTTGCGCTCTTCGGCAGACATCTTCCGTCGCGCATCCCACTGCTTGCGATCGTGCATAGACTGAGCCTTGAACAGACGCTGGACTTGGTTCGGCACTGTGTTGTAGGGGTAATCGCCAAAATCGGGAGAGACTTCATTGGTGGAAGTCAAGAGTGACGAACATGCCCAGCCAGAGATATAGAGGATCTCTTGATTGGGAGCCTGCTGGGTCATCTGTACAGGATCGATAGCACCCACTTCATATCCGCTGTGTTAGCCCTGTCTGAATGGAAGGGGGAGCTCAAAACTCACTTGTATGCACGGGTTCTCCAGCAGCCGCACGCTCATTCAACAGATTGAATAGCTTCCGAGCCATCAAAGAGCTGGGGTATGACTGTTGCAACGAGCCACGCTTGCTCACGACGTCGGCCGCGCTGTAAGAACGCTTGATACCCTCGTAACGGGGCGAGCTCCACCATGCCTCCACATCCCGGACCTGCTGTTCGAAGAGCGCATCTTCAGCAGAACCAGCCTTGTCTGCGGTCGACAACAGCTGGAATGCGTCGGATGGCAGTGTCGTGGACACGGGGGGCTGGACGGTCGGTGACGACATCCGAGGATAGCCGCATGTGAACGAGCGCAGGGCCAAACGGGGAGCAGTCGTAACGGGGAGACGAGGGAGCCGTCGCGGTATCGATCGAAACATATTTGAGGTCGTAATTGAACGAAGGAAGGATGAAAGGTGAAATGAAAGAAAGAACAAAAGTTACGGCTCGGCGAAGTGTTTACATGGCCGTTCGACCTCGGGCCGTGCAGTTGTCACGCTTTCTGGGGTTCCCCGCGCCTCCGATAACCGCCACTTTACTAAGCTTCTCAGTCAGGGACTTGGTCACCATTCTGTTTACTCCGATCGGTGCTTTACCTTTATATTCTTGTGTCCATTGCATCTGGATCAGGCATACAGTCCATCCAGTCCGACCATGGACAGGACGGACTCAAGGGCCAGGTATCCATCGGCTCGGGCATTCTCTCCACGGGCCCCACTGACCCCTGCGATTGTTCGAGGTGTATGTCAAGGGCGCGCGTCCGCTCCATCCACGGTTGATCGAAGTGCAGTGGGTGCTGATACATCGCAGCAGCAGCTAACGGCTGGTGCTGAATCAACTTGAGCAGGCAATGGCGATACATTGCCGGAGTCACTGCATGATCAGCAACATTTCGTCACCTCGAGGTAGAGGACGTCAAATTCAAACTCACTGTGGGAGTCGGATCCAGCCCAGTGCATACCCAGCCAGATAAAGTCCGGCGCGAGAATCATGCGGAGGATCCATGCATGCGGGGAGTCCGGATCGATGACACATACGAGGTGGCCCATGAGTTCCGTCAAGTGCCACTCAAGCGCCACGATCAAGGGGTCGTGACCGGGCGCCAGTCCCAGTACACCTCGAATGATATCGTGGCAGTCCCATTGGAAGAGAGCGCCATGGTCGTATCCACTCGCCAGGAGATGGATTTGCTGTCGGGTGAAAGTGCGAAAGATTGCCATGTCCAGCATGGGCTTGAGAGCCGGCGTTTTCTCCGAACCGTACAGTAGGGACAGTCAAAGTAGGGACAGTATGATGAGAGAAAGAGAGGGTAGAGAGTAAGTCTCAGGCCTGGGATGAAAAGATTGAAGGGATTATTGATGTGGGACATCTCATGACTCTGAGAAGAATAGATGCCATTGTCGCCAGTAACATGTTATTGAGTATTGACAATCTGCGCCCTAGGCATCTTAAGAGCAGTAATATTGAAGGTATACGTCATTGAGAAGCGTGAACCATAGACTACACACAGAAAACACAATAGAACGCACAATGGAAGTATGCACAGATGAGTGCAGCTAGCTATGACGCGATAGGCAGCGTCGGAAATGCAGATCTTTCTGTCGTGCCTTTTCTCTGCTGGTAGATCGTAGTCTGCAGGCGCACGAATACGGAATCTTCCCGAAACATAGATTGGCTTCTGTTTATTTTCCCCCGCATGTCCCTGTCCCGTTCTACGGAGATCGCGAGGCCGATCGTATAGGTCCCATAGGTTGAGGGCACGAGACGGCCTACCTGATCTAGCTCCAATATTGGACGCTATAGGTCCAACTGCCAACGCAGAAGTCAGTTGGGATTCTAATAATGAACCGCTGGACAACCCCTCAGAGGCTTCTCCAAGATCGGCGAAGACCCCCGCATGGGCCTTATCACCAACTCCTCCTCGGATTCCTATCTGCCTTTTGCCATTCGTGGACCTTCCGTCTTATCTTTCGCCTTTCCCTTCGTTGTCATTTTATCTACTTCATTTCTTGTTGACTCTTCCATATATCATCAATAAGAACGTCTTGGTATGGAAAATATTAAAATCCCAGCGCCGTCCACGATTCTAGACTCGTCCGACACCATCTCGTCAGCGCGGGGCAAGCCTGCTTCGCCTCCCAAAAGGGCGAAGCAGATCGGAACAGCGGTGCAAAGGCCCAAACAGACAAAGAGCCGCAATGGTACGATCCTGCCGGATAGTATTTCTGTGGATAGCGCCCCTGGGCCTATCTACCTGCGCAGACTGCTGACCCGATCTATCCGCATCGCCCAGGTTGCATCACCTGCAAGGCGAAGCGGCTGAAGTGCGATGAAACCAAACCGGCCTGTCACCAGTGCGAAAGACGAAAGGTTCAGTGTGGCGGCTACAAGAAGGATTTCAAATGGCGACCCTTCGAAGAGACCAATGTGGCTGTGGGGCGGCCCACCAAGGCTAAGAAGGGTAAGCAAATCCCCTCGAGAGCTAGTAATTAAGTGGATCGTTACTTATCTATATAGCAAATCTTCCTAATATCATTACCAAGCCTGAGAGTTTCCCGACGCCCCCAAACACCGAGCATCCTACTCCAGCGATACGCGCTTCGCATTCTATCAATACATCTCCTCCAGAGTCTTCGTTGCATGGCTCCCCTGCTAGCATCAAGAGTTATCAGTCAGCTGACGCCCGTTCTTTTGATGAATTGCCTGTCCTTCGGGATGAGACTACCACGGGGGAAGAAACAGTCTCCCCGGTCGGGATATCTATGCCCGCTGATGACTCCTTCCACTTTCTTTCTTTCCTTGAGCCCTTTCAACACAATATTCCATTTTCAGATGAACTGTTTCCAGAACAAGGCCTGGATGGTGGTGCAGGTCCGGTGCCTTATAGCCCAGACTTACCAAATGACTACGAATCTCTTAGCTTCTCCCATCTCTTGGGCGAAGATAATGAAGACATCGAGGAGATCATTAGGCAATCTGACCCCGGGGCCGGACCCTGGGACTTGACCTTCCCAGATCAGGATGGAAATTTTTTCGACATCTCCCGTCTTCCAGGTCAACCGCTACTAGTATCAGAAAGCCAGGAGATGTTAGCTTTACGTTTTGACAAGCTCACTTGTGGTATTCTATCCGTCAAGGATGGCGTATCCGAAAACCCATGGCGTACCCTTATATGGCCCCTCGCCAAAAACACTCCTGCTCTGTACCATGCAATTTTCGCTCTATCAGCCTTCCACGCAGCCAAAGAGAACCCGTCTCTCCGAGTTCAAGGCGTGAAGCACATGCGACAGAGCATCACCTGCCTGAGGCAAGAAATCCAAAACATGCGCGCAGACACCGCATTAGCAACCAGTTTAGCATTGGCATTTGCGGACACCTGGGACCAGAACACGCGCACATGTGTCCAGCATTTGCGCGGTGCCAAAGCTTTGATGTTGCAGGTACTGAACGCCGGGTTACAGGGTGGTCTAAGTGCAGATGAGTTGGATCGTATTCGATTCTTGTACAATACATGGACCTATATGGATGTCATTGCAAGACTTACATCCTTGGACGAATCTGGGCCTCAGGACCTGAATCCGTCTATCTTCCATCTTCCTGGTGATGCTATTCATGAGATTGATCCATTAATGGGCTGTGCGGCTACTCTTTTCCCACTTATTGGTCGAGTGGCTAGATTGGTTCAGCGGGTGCGCAAGACTGCAACAAACTCGCTATCGATTGTGTCACAAGGAATGGAGCTGAAGTCATTGATTGAAGAATGGCAGCCGCCGCGCTGGTTTGAACCGCCTGAAGATCCCACTTCGGAAGTTCAGCACAGTATACAGATGGCGCATGCGTATCGCTGGGCGACATTACTATATCTCCATCAAGCCGTCCCCGAAATGCCCTCCGAGTCTGCCGAAGAGCTCGCCAAGCGCGTGTTGATCCTCTTGGCAACCGTACCTCCAACATCTCGTACAACGATCATCCAAATGTTCCCCCTCTTAGCTGCCGGAGCCGAGGTCGACTGCGAAGATGACCGGCGATGGGTCTTGGACCGATGGAACACTGTCCAGTCCCGCCTAATGCTAGGAGGCGTCGATCGCTGCCTCGACGTGCTACGAGAAGTCTGGGCTCGACGAGACGCACTGAGAGCAGGGAAACAACAGGACTTGCCGCCACCGAGAAGACCCGGTTCTTTCTCTAGCGAAGGGAAAGGTAGCCAGGGGTTGAGATCACCGGATACCACGCCACGAGCTCTTCATGGACATATAAATTCGGCGGATCATCATGACAGATCTATGCAAGGGAGAACTGGATCTACGCCTTCGAAGAGCGGATCTCAAAGACGAGGGTCGGCTCTTTCGCCATTGGAGAACATCCAGTTTGAGAGGACTGTGCGGAGTCGATTGCATTGGGTTAATGTTATGGGAGAGTGGGGATGGGAAGGTGATAATCTGTATCTTTCACAGTCATGGATACTCGCTAACGATATACAGTCTTCCTCGGGTAATGCTGTTCACCTAGGCAGTGACCAGTACGGTGAAGTACTTTTCTCCCACACTAATTTCCCACGACGCAGACTGAGAGATATCCCTTGTTGCATTCTGCTTCAATTTGTATACTGCAACCTTAAAGTACAGACTAGCGCGGCGTTCGAGAGCATGTTTTTTCTTTGATGTGACTTTGATGACAATAGTGTTTTGATCGAATCGGTTCTCCTTTGAAACTTGTGATTGCATCTAACTACCTTCATCTCCGATCTAGGAACTAACCCAGCATCCAAGATGCCAAGCTACCCCATCGTCACCAGGAAAAACTGAAAAGCCCCAATACGCAGACAGCCCACACCAAAAAGCCCTGTACTAGAAGCAAAAGCCCAATCCCACAGCACCTCACTCATCGCCAGTCACCCATCACGACTCTTTATCCCACTGACTCCCACTCCACAGCCCACCCGTCGTCCAAAGCCAGTAATCTCGACCCTTGATCAACCACACCATGAAGCTAGGTATCTGCCACCCCATGGCAGCTCCAACACCCCATCTCCGCCCAATGGGAACAAGCTGCGTCTCCCGAGTATCTTCAAGGAATAATCGATCAGCTCCGGACACATCAACACCGGAAGCAAGCAGTAGATCGCGTTTAACGTTAGCACAGAGCACTGGTACGGCGCTGAGAATTGCATGAACTGCTGGTCGTGCATTTGACGCTACGTCGCCCACAGCGTAGACTCTTTCCCCTGCTCCTTCTACGCGCAACGCGTTTGTGACATTCACCCGACCGTCGGCTATTAACAGGGATTTGTCGATAAAGGATGTATTGGGGGTGGTCCCGACTGCTGGAATGTAGATATCGGCCTCGAGAACACTTCCATCGGAAAGTGTTATAGCCGTTGTATCCTTCTCCTCACTTGGAGGCTGCACGTCCACGACTTTGGTTCCCTTCACCACAACAACACCCATACGCGCAAGTAATCCCTCCGCCTTTTTGGCGATGCTAGACCGGAGACCAGGTAGAATCTGAGAGCTCGATGTAACAACGGTGATTTGCACTTTGGGATTCTCAAGCTTGCCGCAAAACCACCCAGATGTCCCATTCAAGTGTTCGCCCAGCTCACCAGCTGTTTCAATCCCGGCAGGCCCTCCACCTGCGATAACAATACTCTTCGCTCGAGACATTTCTGTACGGAACTCAACCCATTCGGCTCGTAGCGTATCCGCACCGGAATTCAAGCCAAGCAACGGAGACGGGGTCGACGCCCCCGTAGCGATAACGAGAGCATGGTACTCTATGGTCTTCTCAACCTGATCCGTAGATTTAACCAAAACCTTTCTGCCTGCATGATCCAGCTCAAGGGCAGTCGCATGCTCAAATCGGAAGTTCTCCTCTGAGTATTTCTTGAATACCTCAGGGATAGAAACGAAAAGCTTGTCTTGAGGCAATAGATCATCTGAGATCATGGCCCGTGGACAGGCGGGGCGGCATAATATCTCGGTCGAGGGACTGACCAGGACGATCTTGTAAGACTCTGGATCTGGGAGTTTGGGTATGGCGTGTTTGAGGAGGTAGTGCGCTGTGGATACTCCGGCGTAGCTAGCGCCTAGGATGAGGATGTTTTTGGTTGGGGTTGGAGTTGGCGCCATTGATAATGAGGGTGAACTGTCGATGTATAGGTGGGTAGTTACAGGGACCTTGACAGTAAAGAGATATCGAAATATTGGCCAAGGGAATCTGCCTCCTTTTGAATGATTGAGTCGCATAAACTTCCATAGGCTTCTTCCGACGTCGATTGAGATATTGTTGCTAAGCGGAGGCTTGGAATTCACTGCAGCCTGACTCCAGGGTGATTCTCATAGTCTAAATGGCTGCGATAGCTTCGTTAAATTGGGGTCTAGAGATGAGTTCTGTGGTCTAGCAAATCATATTCCTTGATTGCCGGTGTGGCTTAAGGCCCGAACATCCCTGTCAAATTTCGGGCTAGAGATCGGAGCCTCGAAGGCCGAGTCACCGATAAGGGATAGAAAATGGCCATTGAAATCTTTTTTGACATTTACTGCCAAGTGACTACGGATACGTGTCCTGGGGGCGCCCGGTGCATTTCTTGGCCTCCCGTCGGAATCTCTTTGGCCAATGAACCTGGGAGCTTTCAAAAAATGATTAACGAAAAGGAATCCCTGTCGTGATGAGTGACTTAATCTACGGGGTTTTAACACAGCTCCACGATTGATGTCAAAAGAAGAGGCATTTCTGTACCAATGATGGTATGGGGACCCTTTGACCTACCACGTCGTCTCCAATACTGCGAGAGAAAACGGGGAGGCGCATCATGATCGGTAAAACCTTGAAGGTTGTTCGTAGTGAATAAGGGATTATACCCCTCTTCACCGCATCTCTTGCCTCAGCCTCCATAGTAGATCTAGATCCATAGCTTCCATCTCTAGAATTTACATCCCTCTCTTTTCTCCCTTCCTCCTCATAAAGGTATTTTAAGCACTTATATGGCGTCGCTCACCAAGAGCCAGCAAGTGGCGTGGTTGAGGTAAGCCTTATTTGGCCAATTCTCATAAGTTTCAAGAGTTGAGACCTCTGAGGCTCTCTTACTTTGGCGTGGACTTGGAATATCCCCATCCGGGCTTTGTAACATGCTAAGATAGGCCCACAGGTCCATATTTCTTTGTGTAGTGGACTTGCATTCGAGAATCAAGTTCTGTTGCGAATCAAATGTGGCCCACTCTGATGGTGAAAGGTTTGGACGGCCTTCACACGGTGCGCCTCAGCGCATATAGTCCTCTCGAAATGATATTTGATTAATGATTAAAAACAGTGGCTTGGGCAGAAGTATGAGAACTGACATAATCCTGAAGAGGCTTCCAGAGGTGTTAGTTGGTGCCTAGGTCAGATGTTTGGCTTGCTGATAAATGTTACCTGACATATCGTCAATATAAGAGCAATCCCCTACCGAATCAGATGAGAAAATCACAGTGCGCCTAGTCCCATGTGAATGGAGATCATGTGACGCCAGAAAAGTTTGCATTTCTTTGATTAATCGTGAGCAGAAATATTTCGACGCCAAATTGTGGATATGGCCTTATCGATCAATAGCTTGAGCTCCATGCCAAAGAATAGCGGGAGTCCGAGAGCTAGATTCAAACGATAGGCTCAGAGTATAGTGGGAAGTGACATTGTTGTGCTGCTTCGGGCACCAAAGTTGAGAGAAGCATCTTTGATCTGTATATGGTGTATTCCCTCACTGGTGGGTTGTCTTTTGCCAAAGTGGCTGGCCACTTCCCACATTTAGTCATCAGAAAAAGCTTTCTTGAAACACAAGTGGGGGCTGCTCGAGGTGTCTAGCAGGAGAGGACGTCGGCAAAAATTGGGGACAGATCATATGACCGGAGCTACGATGCTTTATACTGTAAATTTTACTGGGCCTACCCATATGTGATTGGCTCTAGAACTCTACTCAAAACACTACAAATAGTGGAGATCTAACAATAAATGCATTTTGAACAGGCACGATCTCCATCGTTCTCAGCTCATTTTAGCTTTGCCATAAAGCCCTATGTGCAAAGCGAAGAACAAAAATATCACCCGAAAGATAAATTGAGTTAAGTTTACCGAGAAATTGCAGCTCGTATAGACAAAAGAAGTGGCTGCTCACCGCAGTTTTACATGGCTGATCACAATGCATTTTCCTGCGCTGTGGCGTCTCTGCATCCAGCTGAACCATGGTTTGTGGGCAAATGCAGCTGATCAAAGCACAGAATCGAGCTAGTACCCAACTAGCTCCTTGAAACTATGAGGACCCAAGCGTGGGGAGTACTTGAGCATTTATTCTTGGTGACCTGAGAAGCGGGGCACGCAGATGGCAGAGTTTGGATGCGTCAGATTGCGAGATGTCACCAGCATGAACCATTGAAAGGGCGATCTTCCGTAAACCTACCTCTTATTTGCTCTCACATCTGCGTACCCCTCTTCTGTGTAACTGGAACTGCAGATGCAGCTCTATACTAAAGTTCCTACGCAAATTCTGCGTATAGCACTTCTGCTGTCATTGGGGAGTTGTTGGGGGATTCATGCTATTGGTGACTCGAGACAAAAATGTGACTAACATCAGTGAGCACGGTGCAATGATTAAATAGTGGGCATATCGCCAGAAAGCTGGTTCTAGTGGTAAGGATTTCCATTTTATTTTGTTTCCTGAGCTTCGCGTCAGCATGGGATCCATCCTTCCTCAACGAACTCCCCTGCAGATTTTCGATGCCGTTGCTGAATTGCGGCCTGATCAAATCTATTGTATCCACCCTGTCTCCTCAAATCTCTCGCTAGAATGGAAGACTATCACTTTTACAGACCTTTCCAGGGCTATTAAACGCATGGCCGTGTGGATCAAGGAAAATGTCGCTGATTCAGAGCACCCTCAAACGCTGGCATATATGGGGGTCAACGATATTCGTTACTGCACCTTCGTCTTCGCGTGTATGAGGCTACGACAGACCGTAGGGCGTTCTAACGATCGGCTCTTGAAGATTCACTGACATAGGACAGGCACTGCTTCTCTCCACGCGCAATGCTGAGTCGGCCTCGAGCCACGTCATGGGCGCTACCGAATGTTCGAAAATTGTGTACAGCCCCGAGCGGACTAAGCAAATTGATGAGCTAAAGACAGCCAATCCGTCTTTGCAATCATGGGTAGCTCCGGGTCCATGGGAGCTGTTCGATAATGTATACGAGCCTGACCCCGTGATCAAGGAGACATCAGAGGATCCTGAAAATCGGATTGCAGTGTACATTCACAGCTCGGGCACAACAGGTGAGGAAATAGAGCTCTCCAATGTGTATATCTCTATGATGGGAACATTACTGAAATTTACTCCTCATTGTCACGACAGGCTTCCCCAAGCCAGTCCCGTTGACCAACGGATACTTCCTCGCACTCGAGCAGACTGCTCTCTTTCCTCTCCCCACTGGAAGAGAAAGTAGTTTCGCAGCCAGCATGAGTCAAAGTCGACCGATTTTTGTCATGAGCCCCTTCTTCCATTTGATGGGAATTCTCAGTATGATGATCCCAGTGCTGTGTAACACACCATTCGTTCTCAGCCCCGAGAAGCCGATCACGGCGGAGCTCCTGGCGCAGATCGTCAAGGACACAACTCCTGATACATCAATTTTGGCACCATCTGTTTTAGAGAATCTCAGTCAATCTGAGCTTGGAATGAACTCTTTGTCCACCTTCTCCATGCATACCTTTGGTGGTGCGCCTCTGGCACAGGAAGTCGGGGATCGGATCTCCGAAATAACGCACCTGCAGTCAGTCTTGGGGTCAAGCGAAAACGCAGTATTCCGGGGCTTGAAGCACCAAGATAAACGTGATTGGCAATACCTGGAGTGGGACCCCAGTGCCGGCTATGAAATGCGCGACGCCGGTGACGGCCTCTTCGAGCTCGTCGTCCTCCGTGCAGAAGACCCTCTAGCTCATGCTGTCTTCCACACATACCCTGACAAGAATGAGTACAAAACAGGAGATCTCTTTGCTCCTCATCCGGAGAAGGATAGTTTGTGGCTATACTCTGGACGCCATGATGATGTGATCGTTTTGAGTAATGGAGAGAAGTTCAACCCCACCATGATGGAAGAGATTATCTCGGGTCATCCGCTTGTCTCTCGGGTACTGGTGGTTGGCCAGGGCCGTTTCCAGTCCGGTGCGATCATCGAGCCCAATTGGTCTGCCTGGAATGGTGAATCCGATGCATTGATCGATGAGATCTGGGCTAGTGTTCAAAAGGCCAACGCAACTGCCCCTGGCCATGCTCAACTCATGAAAAACCGCATCGGAGTGTCGTCGCAGACCAAACCTTTCGAGCGGACCGTCAAAGGCACTGTGAAGCGACGTGCGGTGGTGAATGACTATGCGGATGAGATCGACGCGCTCTATGCCGCTGATGATCAAGTCAATGTCGTACAGATACCCAAAGAGGCGGGGCGTGAAGATATCACCACATATATCACTGAAGCTGTGGCAGAGATCTTGGACGTCCCAACGTTTGGTGAAAATGCCGATATTTTCTCATCGGGACTTGACTCCCTGCAAACCCTTCGGTTGGGCCAAATCCTTCAGGCTTCTCTGAAGTCTGCTTTGCCTGACTTAGGCCCAATGTTTAGTAGCCCCCAGTTGTATTCCCGCCCGACAATATGCCAGCTGTCGGCATATGTTCTTGATCTTCTGCAAGGAAATGACTCGCCTCTCGATACGGCTTTAATTGAGAGCGACGCCGACCGGGAAACGAGAATCGCTGATCTGATCGGAAAGTACACTGAAGACTTCGGCAAAGATCATGCAGTCATTCTTACCGGTTCCACTGGATCACTGGGAGCTTATCTACTCCATGAGCTACTCCGCGATCTTAGCGTAACCAAGATCTACTGTCTGAATCGGTCGGATGATGCAGCTCCTAGACAATTGCAAAGCCTTCGCGACAAGGGACTGGCGACTTTCCAGAGGTTCCCTCGGAGGGTAGAGTTTCTTCAAGCACAGTTTGGCGCCGAGCGACTAGGTCTCGATGAAGCTAAATATGAGGAGATGTTGGGGAATGTGGACACCATTATCCATAACGCCTGGAAAGTGAACTTCAATCACAGGGTTGAGGCCTTCGAGAACCCCCACGTCGAAGGTGTCCGTCGTCTTGTGGAGTTCAGTATCGCGAGCGAGAAGACCGCCCATATTCATTTCATTTCTTCCATCTCCACTATCGAGGGATACAGCCCGGAGCGAGGACCCTCAATTCCAGAGATTATCTTCGATGACCCCAGCTCGGTACTCAGACAAGGATACGGAGAGTCCAAGCATATTTCTGAAAGAATCTGCGCTGCTGCCTCTGCCAAGTGCGGTGTCCCAACTAGTATCCATCGAGTTGGCCAGATTGGTGGACCAACTACGGAGAAGGGAATGTGGAATAAGCAAGAGTGGGTGCCATCGCTCGTTGCAACATCCAAGACGATAAAGCAGATTCCGAAGGGGTTGGGATCGGTATCCGTTCAGTGGGTTCCAGTAGTAAGTAACATTCCGACTATGTTTCACCATTAAGACTAATAATCTATTCTACCATTCAGGATGTAACTGCAAAGGTCATCACCGACATCGTCCGCACCCGTCGCGAGACCCAAGAAGACGAACCATGCGCCGCCTTCCATATCGTCAATCCCCGAGCCACAGAATGGTCATCGCTCATCCCGGCAGTTACCAAATTCTTTGACATGGAGGAGGTCGACATTAAGACATGGATCCAGACCCTGGAGAGCTTCACGAGCCCCACAGAACGTGATCTTCAAGATAAGCCGGCTCTCAAGATCCTTGACTTTTTCAAGGCTATCTCATTCGCGGATGAGGCTGGTCCGTGGACCGAAACCACCAAGACTCAAGTTGCTAGTAAGACACTACGCAAACTGGGGGCGATTGACCTTCCATTGATGGAAAACTGGATGAAACAGTGGGATTTCTGAGGAAAGCATGCATCGCTTGTAAAGGGATAAGTCGATAGCTCCACAACAATCTATCTCGTAGCTGTCTGTTCATAACCTGCATTATACTTGAGAATATTTACTGCTCACATTACCCTCCCATGCCTTATTGTGGACAGGACCGTGACTATAGCAGGGTTCTGGGTTGAACATGTCGCGCATTTATTGAATATAACGCAGCGCTAGGAACGGCCGGCAACGTTAGAATGCTCGAGCCCCGTCAGAGTACATCATTAGGGCTTGCTTATGCATCTCTTCCACGGGTTATCTGCAAACAAATCAAGACCTCAAAGTTTATTTGGTCATAGTAAATTGTTTGTCTAGCGATGGTTACTTTCAAATAATGGGCGTTGGCGGAGTTCACAATTAGCAAATGGCTGAGCTACGCGTCAAACCACACGGTCCAGGTTGCACACGGTGTCAGCCCCAAGATTCTGGGCTTCCATAGTGGCAAATATTCCATAATTCTTGACCTCGCACCAACCATCAAGGGGAACGTCAATACTTTTTCTCAAGCGCCTTGGATTAAACAACGAGGCAGCGATAGCTTCCTATGTCAAAGAACACCATGAATCTTACCCCTATATCATTCTGTCGGGACAATAATTAGCGGACAAGTCTGCTTTTCTCACAGATGCATCGAATGGGATCGGACGAGAGATTGCAATCCGGTGCGCCGAGGCCGGATGTGCGAAGCTGGCGATAGCTGCTCGTTCCTCGCTCGACGATGCCATGACACAAGTCCCAAATAATGTCCGTAATGCCGGTCGCGAACCACCGCAGATCCTCGCATTGCAAGTTGATGTCGCCTCTGAAGAGTCGCTCTGAAGAGTCGGTCCGCACAGCTGCCCGAACAGTCGGTCAAGCATTTGGTGGAAAGCTTGACATTCTCATCAACAATGCGGGCTATTTACCTGAGTTCAAATTCATGACTGCATCTGGCCCGGCAGACTGGCGGAAAGGCATGTAGATTAACTTGAAGGGTACACTTCTCTGCAGCCACTACCTACGTCCGCTGGTATTGAAGTCAGACAGTAAGATAATTATCAACCTGTCCTCTCATAGCGCCAATTTTTCTGACGCACGGCCGGATCATCGTACTGCGTGTCAAAATTCGCAATCTGTCGATTGACCGAGTTTCTGGCCAGTGACTACCATGACCAAGATTTGCTATCTCAGTGCATCCGGGTGTTGTCAAACCCGATATGCAATACAGGCTCCCGGAAAGCTTACGTGATGCTTTGGTTGATGATGTGACTCTTCCTGCTGATACCACTGTATGGTTGAGTCAGGAGCGACGCGAATGGTTGAGCGGACGCTTCGTCTCGAGCAACTGGGACATGGAGGAATTGGAGAACAAGAAACCAGATATTGTTGAAAGGGAGCTGTTTAAATTCCAGATGGCTATATAGAATAGGTTACTCGCAGAGACGTCTCGGCATTTATAATCTATCAGTAATCCCATGACGATGAACCCAACTGCGGGCGCGTTTGCCGAAAATGTACCTTGAAGATGTCAGAAATTTGTTGAAACTCACAGGACCCAACAATAAAGTCAGAACTTACATAGGAATCGTAAACAGCGTCACGCCCATAGTAATACCACCGATAGTAAAGAAGCAGTCGCGAACACCCTGGCTATCGATCCAGCCATTGATATAAAATGATAATCCAAAAGCGAACATGTTCTTGACAAAATTCATGGCCGCAAAGGCCTCACCAGCCTTCTCACGATGGCAATCGACGACATAAGTGACAACACCAGTGGTTCCCAGCTGGACTCCGAAATTGATGAGGCCGAGGCACACGATGACCGGCACTGGCCATGGGTCTTGGGCGTATGAAGATTGGCCCCAGGCAAAGAATCCTGTTGAGGTGAATAGAACGTAGGTGACCATGATTGGAAGACGGAATTCCGGCTCTATATGAAAGTTAATATAACGTGATCGAAAGCAAATATATGAAGGTCATACCAAATATACCACCGTTCTTCTTCGACATTCGGGTAATCAAACCATCAATCAAAGGCCCTGCTGTCAGAGTACCAAGAACAGATGCGACAAATGACGAAAGGTTTGTCGCTCCGACACCAACGACAGAGAAGCTATACGGTGGGGCAGAGAAGATCTGCGAGAGTGTGAGAGAAATGCCGACCAGCCACGAGATGCAAGTCGTAAACAGGAGAACCGCCCACAGCACAGCCGGAGAAGCCAAGAGATAGAATGGTCGGATGAGCGTATTCCAGAATGACGTATGGTTAACATAGCCACTGTATGGCATAAGCTGCTTGGTCCAAGAGTTTGGTAGCTCGGTAGATGGAGATTCGGCATCGGATGCGTGTTCAACTTGTTCCAGGCTTCTCTTCCCGTCGAGCATTATCTAACAATAATCAGTATCCAGAATTTGCAAAGCACCGGATCACTCACATTCGTATCAGTCGTATCTATATTGAGAGCCTCACGAGCATAAGCCGATTCGGGCATCCAGAAAAAAACGAGGACCAAAGCCAGAGCAAAGGCACCACCCATAGCATTTAACGCAATACGGTATGATCCGTATTCAATGATCGCAGCAGCTATCACCAATGATCAGCGCAAATTCAAACTCATCTGAAATTCACCATCTTACCGATCGGAACTGCAAGATTGATCCCACCCAAGACACCGAGGTTAAAGATTGCAGTCCGATACCCACGCTCGTGCACAAACCTAATGAAGTCAATATCGAAGGACAAAGAACTAAGCAAGCAACTCTGACCAGATATCCGAGATCGAAGCAGGAACCAAAGCTTCCATGGGCGCCATACAGAGACCACAGAACACACGTGCAGCAACAAATGATTCAAAGCTTCTAGCCCCTGCGGCCCAAAAGCAAGACACCATCAAGCCGAGAGTGGTACCGAGATAAACAGGGCGCTTTCCATATTTCACTGCCAAAGAGTTGAAAAGTAAACTTCCAACGGCGATGGCTGCAATGGTGCCGCCCTGTACGGCTGAGACGAATGTCGATAGCGAGACGCCGAAGTCTGCGGCGAGAGGGACGAATGCTCCGCCGAGAAGGGGACCGACGGCTAGGGTCATTCATTCAGTATAACATTCATATAGATAAAAATGAATAGATCAGGTCGGGATTACCTCCTACACAGCCGCATCCCCAGCCGTAGGCGACAGTGAAGAGCTCCTTCTTTCTGCGCGACCAGTTGAGAGGGTCATTGAGGGAGTCGGATGGCTGTGGGACAAGCACAATCTGACCGGTGGGGTCATGTTTGAGGAGACCCGGGTCTATGCCAGAGTATGAATTTGTATCTGCGAAACTATTTAGTGGGGCGGTGCCGGGAATGTGCTCCAGTTTATCGTCGTCTAGAATACCGAAAGGCATGGCGATGGATGGGATGAGGAATTAATTATCTTGGAAGATGAGTGAAGAAAGAAAAGAGAATTCGGAGCTGACGCAGGATAAGAGGGTTGAGCTAGTGGACTCGCTGATCTCAACAGACTAGCTTCACTATTCTATCAAATGGCAGCTTGGCTCAATCACCGTATGGCGATCGGGCCTTGATATAGATAACTTTAGCCCCATGAATAATTTCGCATTCGTATTGGTATCAAACATTCTGACTCTCGAGAATTGCTTCGATCGTGGCTTGTTCAGCCAAACCAAATCTCACGAAAAGAAGTGGTGCTCGAAGGCAAGATGGGGCTATCCCGGCCCCATTATGGGGAACCCTCAAGCCAGAATCTGGGGGTTCCCCACGGGGGTTCGCCGACTCGAAACGATAATTCCAGAATCTGGACCCTGCCACGGAAATCCATGTTCCCATATTTACTGCTTTCACCTGGAAGCCTCCATGGCTCACATTTAATGTCTATTCCATCGAACGAAGCCAAGACTCCAGACTAGGGATCGTCCAATCACAGTTGGAGGGACTACCTGATTCATAAGGGTGATTGATGTGCGGAAAAGGACCTTAGGATTTGTCGGTAGTTGGGCTCGAATCGCCACCCGAGGGTGAAAGCTCCACGAATGATGATCTGTCATCGGGGACATTGTGTGCCAGCCATTCACACGACAGATTGCTCTTGTACTAGAGGCAGCCGTCTCTTCGATGACTCGATAAAGAGAACAAACTTCCATGCCTAGCCTTAAAAACGCATTTAAGATAAGAGATCCCTTAAGTTACACGAGATGAATGCCATTAGAAATCATAATGCCCATTCCTTCTGTGGTGCATGTTCCGCCTTCCACGCGCGAGGGATAATTCCGCTCATCGGCTACCATGAAATGCGGGGGATGGAGTCTCAACGCCACGGCGTCGACGACCTCGTAAAATAGAGACTTGAACATTTCCTAATTGGCCGGACGCAGCCGCCCTCCATTCGCGTCCCAGAGTGCACAGTAGGGATCATCCAGAGCTCCACAGGCACCGGAAATCCCCCAGCGAATTTTGCTCCACCGGGATGTGGGGAAACATGAGGCACGGGGAGGGGTAGGTGTGAAGTCATTACAGCATATTCAACGGAGCAAAGTTTTCGGAACAGGGATATAGCTATGCCTTTGTTTTGAGCTCCATACACATTTTCAATCAACCAAAGATGGCACCTAAGAGAAGTATCATCGTCACTGGTAAGGCACACTTCCACGGCAGAATAACAAAAGTACAGTTGATAATTTATTTGGATAGGCGGAGCCTCTGGGATTGGACTGGGTATAACCCGGCACTTCATCACAGAGCCAAATACTCACATCACAGTTCTGGATGTGAACCCGACAACTGGTGCGCAAACACTGGATCAGCTGCGGGCTGAATTTCCATCAGCTGGAGTCTCATTTGAGCAATGCGACGTCTCATCCTGGGAAAGCCAAGCAGAGGTGTTTGAAAGAATACACTCACAGCAAGGCCGAATCGACGTAGTTTTCGCTAATGCGGGTATCACGGAGAAAGGAAGTCTCTTACCTGAGAAGGGCGGTAACAGCAATGGACCGACAAAGCCGAATTTGGCGACCGTAAATGTGAATTTTGTTGGGGTCATATACTGTAAGTGGTATCATACGAATACGTCTTATGGATACTGATATGAGACTATCTAGCTGTGCAGCTCGCCATCCATTATATGGCTAAGAACGAACTCTCCGGTTCTTCAAAGGGTTTGATTGTGTGCACTGCCTCAAATGCAGGGCTATATCCATTCCCTATGGCCCCAATCTACTCAGCAACAAAGCACGGTGTCATCGGACTTGTGCGGTCTCTCGCTCGTCCGTTGGAGGCAGAGAGCATTCGGATCAATGCACTGGCTCCGGCTGTAATCGGTATTACCACCTCTATCACTCGCTGACGGGCGTACACTAATAGGATCCCAGCCACGAACATTGCACCCAGTACAGATCTATTCAAATCAATGGCCCTCACGCCCATGTCAACTGCGACGAAGGCCGTAGCACAGCTTGTGGAGGACGAGACACTCACTGGAAGAGTTGCAGAACTGCACGGAGAGCATGTTACACTGGCAGAGGCACCAGCTTATGTTGATGAGGATACCGGGAAGAACATAGAGACATTCTGGAGCCTCGGATACGCGTGAATAGGGAGGGAAGAATACAGGGGTATCAATAAAGTTCTGGAGTTGATTTCATGAACATGCGGCAAATCGTAGAATATACAGAAAGAACACAAGTAGAGCCCCGGGCGATATGAAAACAGAAAATCAGACCAGGATATCGAATTTTTGCGAGCGCCAACCCTCTAGCCACCGTAGTTAAAACACCAGAACACCATCTTATAGGTCATTAAAACGCCCGCCATAATGTTTTTCAGTTTCAGCTGTGATGCCCTTCACCGCTAATCCTATTCATCCAGAAGAAGCACTTTCAGCCTCTCCAGCTTATCTTCGCAATGCACCTCCAATTGCATAATAACATCGACGGCGTCCTTTTTGGTGATGAGTAGTTGTGAAACAAGCCAGAAGTTATATCCGTTCTTGTAGAAGCCCATGGAGGCCCACTCGTCACTTGAGACCTTATTACGCAGTGCAATCCAGTGATCTCGCCAACGATTCAGGGCTATCCTGATCGAACCAAGCAGAGAATCTTCAGGAATGGTACCCTTGCTCCCAATCCCGTCGACTGGAGATTGCGATGTCGAAATTGCGCCTGCATGCTGATTGAGAAGTCCGACAAGCGTCATGTGCGTATTGATGAAAGAGAATAAAACTGCAAGTCTGATAAGCGAAGGCACCAAGACAATGAAGAACGATTGCGTACCATGAATGAGAATGAACATATCCATGACCGTCAAGTTCATCTGAGTAGGATCAGGGGGTTGTCCAGCCACATGTGAAGGGTCGAAAAGAGTTTTGAAAGCGCCATAAAGGGTAATACCGCGGGTGAATCGGAAATCGGGTTCGGATAATGGATGTGGTGACTGAAAAAGAGACTCTTCGCAAGGCAGTTCGCATTCCATTTCGGAATGCGTCAAACGACAGGGGTAATTCTGGTAGAATAAGAAAGCGCAGTCGAGCAATGAAATGATGCTAATAGTTCTGCCGAGTGTTAGAGAGAAGAAATTGATTCAAGGGTTGATACGAACCGAATACGACACTCTGTTTGGATCCATTGGTGCTCCAGTTGGTCTTGCGAGGTATGTCGGCACTTGACGAGACGTAACCGCCGAGCAACCTTGACAACTTCGCTGAAGCGGTTCTCCATCGCGCGGTTTCGAGATACGGGACATCCGGCCCAATATTGGACCACGATGATGATAAATCCAGCTTGGAAATTCTGGAACTTGGCCCAGTCACTAGACTCATCATCGGAGCTTTGATTCCCTGAGAAAGTGATAGCAATCTCGCTTTCTGGTGAGTAGACATGACTTGAGAAGATATAGAGCTCTGCAAAGTCTAGTACCCTCTTCGCGACGTATACCTCCCTCTGGTCACTGCTGTACATGGCTCCCATAAAGACAACAGAAGCAAGTAGAGGTATTGCGACTGTCTCTGGATCGAAAGAGGGTATATGAATCATGGCACAACTTGGTTGCCAATATTTGAAATATAACGAGATGAACTTTCGTATACGTGCCGTCGTCAACAGGAAATTAAGGTTAGTTGATATTTCCTCTTGGGATTTGGCATCCAATGGGACTGTCCATGCTCGAGCGAGAATGGACTGGATTAAAGCCATGGCAAACGGTCGCTCAGGCTCAAATACGGCCTGTTCCGGCGAGAGAGACAAATTGGGACCTTGGCCTGGATAGGCTGCTTGGTATGTAATTTGCCCAGTAAAGGGGTCTTCAGCCGTCTTCTGGCCATCCCCAAAAGGCCCATTGAAAAAGCCGAGGAATGTGTCTTGGAAGAATTGGAGTGACGATAGGTCGGAATCGACGAGAGTAGGTGTATAGTCTTGTCGATTGTTCTGCACGAAAGGGAAGACTTCTTCTGTAGCCGCCTCCTCTAGTTCAGTCTTGTTGTGATATACCAGCCCTCGTGCCCTATCGCCGCGCGGGGGTAGTCTGAATTGTTCGGTAAAGCTATCGGTGCCGCCATTTAAAAGAAACTTGATCGAACCGCGATCTGATGGCTGCTCGTATGTCTCGGCTTTAATCGGGGAGGTTTCTGAGAAGCATCAGTCATGGCCTTCCATTGCCATTCCGTTTCAGCATACCTTCGTCCAACCCTGGTTGTCTGGGTTGCGTGGAACGTTCATTGTTGCAATCGAGCCCTCTCTTCAAACAAGAACCACAGGGGCTACTCCCGTCACAGCGAAGCTTCATCGAGGTGCACTATTGAGATGTCGGTGTAAACTCGACATGACCCAAACAGGGGTGCAGCGCAACTTACCGACTGGCACGCATGTCGCCGTCGGCCTCTCTGGCCGGTCTCGGGTATTCTCCGGTCTCCACGCTCGACGCAATCGGCATAGTGGTCGCGCAAGTTGTCACTAGACAGCAGGTATAAGTTGACGTTTGGGAGCAATAGGGGAAAGGCGCACGTACCAGCGCGCAAAGGACTCGTTGCAGAACACGCATGAGTACGGTTTTTGGCCGGAATCTGTCGCCGGTTAGCAGCTAGCTCCCGGGGGGCATGTGGAGCGGGGTACGTACGGCGCAGTTGGTGTCTCTTCAAGTGGTCAATACGCGTAAAGGCCCGCTGGCATATTGTGCAGCGAAAGTGCTTGTCGGCGGGCTTCATGGTGGTCCATCGGGGAGGAGGGGAGATCCGGGGAAACAAGAGTGAGGATCGAGTCTGGGGGAAGAGCGCCTCTGGTATTGGTATTCCCGCCGGTGAACGAAGTGGATGTATTCCTAACTGTATTTTGTGTGGGGCTCTACCGTGCAGAATTACACGTGAGTAATGTACGGTAACGGAATGAGATCACCGCCTTCGCGGACTTGATCCGACTTGCTCCACTTTACAAGGATCCCTTTTCCTTCCAGTTTTAATTACAATGCTTTGTATTGTTGCTAAGTTGACATGTACTCCTTCAGCTGACTATACTCTTCATACCTACACGGGAATAGGGAAATCAATCCGGTCGTCATCCAAATAATCCACGTCGATTGTGTCGTTCTTCTCCTTCTCAGTCCATCCATCGCCAAACCAGCTCGTGGGATTGTCATTGACATATTCATAGTCAAAATCTTCCCAACGGGGATGGGCGAATACCTTCATGGCGTGCAGGGATGATCCTACTTAAGTTAGCCATGTCAACTAGGGGTAGCACATTGATTCACATACCAGGCCAAAGGGCAACAATGCGGCCATCTTCAGTGCCGCCCTTGTACCAACTGCGGCACTTTGCACCAAACACTGTTTTTTCAAAGTACTGGTCACAATACTGAGTGAACTGTTTGACGGCATTCCCCTTCACGGCCATTGTGCGGATATTGTCGCGCTGGATCTTACGAATACACTCCGACATGTAATCAATACCCTTCTCGATCAGCAGCAACAGATTTCCCTCACCCAGGCCAGCGTTGGGTCCGAGCGAAATGAAATAGTTGGGGAACTCGTTGGTGGCGAGCGAGATGTAGGTCTCGGGGGTCTTCTCCCAGTGCTTTTCCAGGGTACGTCCATTCCGTCCCTTGATAGGGAACCGTGGAGTGCACGTCGTATCGAATCCGGTCGCGCAGACAATCGCATCGACTGCCCGGTGCTGACCGTCTGAGGTCATGATCCCAGTCTCGTCAACTTTGATTATCTCAGATTTGATTACGTCCACCTTCTCGTCAGTCAATGCCTCGAGATAGCCAGGTCCCGGCGTTAGCCGGCGACATGCAGGTGGGAAGGATGGGACAAGGTCATCGAGAAGCTCTGGCTTGTTCCTCAATCGGCGTTTCATGTTCTCGACAAAGATATCATGAGCTTCAACTTGCATAGGATCTCCGATCAATGTAGCCCCGTGGATCGACTGCAATGCCAGTTCAACGTCTTTAAGTGCGTAAGTCAGCTCAGTTAATACACAATGGAGAGTCCAGTTCTTACCCTTTCGGAACTGCTGGTATTTTGAGTGATCTTTCTTGAACTCCTCGATTTCTTCTGCGGTGAATTTGACTAGATTATTCAATGTTAGATCTTTCATTTCAGAAACACGTGTGCGGACGTACAGTTCTCAAGTCCTTCGCCACGCTTGTCGACCTGCTCTCTGGCAAACGTGGGTGCAATCCAGGTCCGGCTACGCACATAGTGGTTAATGTGCGTGACCTTGGGGAGGATTCCAGGAACAATCTGGATTCCACTTGATCCATTGCCGACGACTGCGACATTTTTATTCTTCCAAGGTTGTTAGACGAAAGTTGGTTTGGGGTAGCCTGGTCCTAGACTTACCGAGTAATCATAATCCTCATCCCAGATAGCACTGTGCAAGAGCTTGCCTTTGAAGTCATGCAGACCTGGAATACTTGGCCACTTCCAGTTGTTCAAGGCGCCGGTTGCCTGGATAAGAATATCACACTGATCACTCCGAACAATACCACTATCCACATCTTTGACCTGATATGGCGTGCGTCAGCTCTGGTGCAATCTGCATGTGGTCGAGTGGCTTACCTGTATCTCCCACTTAGAGCTATGCTCATTCCAGGCAGCCTCTGAGACTTGTTGCTTCAACTTGATATACTTCATGCAACCATACTTGTCGACAACACGCTTCCAATACCTGTGGATCTCAGGTGCACTGGCATAAAACTGAGACCAATCTTTATTAGGCTCGAAAGTAGCTTGGTAGGTGTGAGCGGGAATATCTGGCAAGGAAAATTGAATTAATAAAAAAGCCCTCCGGTAGTTCGAGCCACAGACAAGCTTACCACACGCGCATCCCGGGTATCTGTTTTCAAACCAGGTTCCTCCAATGTCTGCGTTTTTGTCGTAAATGCACAGGTCGATATTGGGAATTCTTTGGACGAATCGAATACAAGCGAGAATTCCAGAGATTCCAGCACCAATGACCACAACTCTCAGTGGCCGTGCTTCGTCAACGGATCGTCCCTCAATGACAGACTTGGGCTCATGTGAGAGAGGCTTCTCTGCTGTGGAAGATCTCACATCCTCGTATTCTCTCTGCGGGACGGGCTTGGGGCTGCCACTAAAGACACGAGACAGGCGTTTCATCGTGAATCAATGGGATAAGGTGCTTGATGGTGGAGAGAAGGAGCGCAGACAATCGTAGTTATAGCCAACTTCCAGCGAGCCTTGTCCGGTCTATGGCTCTTTCAGGTGGGGAGACATCTGGCGAGTTATAACTCACCCATAGTTTCCGGAACTTACGCTATAAAGGTTTCCCGGTATAGTCCGATCAGCCGAATCTCTTTTAATGCCTCGGTGGCTCTAGTTCAAATCCAAATTAGGCGAATAACCAGAAAATCAACCCTTGTTCCAACACTCCTCCCCGATCTAGTGTCTCGTGCTACATCACGAGGCGGGAAATCCCCCATCCACGATCCACAATTTGCGGGTATAGATACTACATTGTCATGCTTCCGGATCCATAGTTTCCACGATCGTTAGCGGCGGTCTGTTGGGGGGGGGGAGCGGGAGACGAATGGCGTGGCGCTGTGACTGGTTAACCGGAAATCCCCCCAGTGGCAGTACTCCACAGAGAGTTAAAATGCGGGGGGAGCCTGGGGGAGCCTCGTTCGAAAAAGGAATAATTTAGTGGCTCAGCCGAATTCTTGGGAATCGAGCGGCATTAGTCCGGCTCCCAGGGTTTCAACAAGTCGTGCATCTCGTATGGCTCGGACATTGTCTATATCCGTTCGCCACCTATCTCGTACTCAAGCACACTAATGCCGAGTTCGGCAATGAGATCCACCGAGGTGCCTCGTCAAAGGGCCTAGCTCGCCTGTTCTAGGGTAGCACCTTACGCTTTGTGACGTGGAAGATTTGAGAGTGCGGAATTAGAAAGGGTCGTTTCAAAACACAGTCAGCCGAGAGCCTCGCCTAGTTATTGCCTAGCTTCTCAGTTCTAATAGCGACTGTCGTATGATACCTTTAGTCTCTTTCTTCTTAGCAATATAACTCTATATGAGTGAGAATGATGATGATGAAAAGTATAGAAGTCTTAACGGCTTTTGAAATTAAATTAGATATTACTTTCATCGGTTGTTAGATTAGCCGCTTTCCATATCTCTCAATCCTCACTTGGCTCCACAGCTATGGCTCAACGAGCACCATACAACCGCCACAACCACAATAATAAGTACAATGAGAACTGATGGCACGTTAATGGATGCTCCGAGCAAAGGTTAAAGAGATACTCACGACAAAGAAAGAGAGCCCACCACTTCCATTTCCTAGCGTTGCGCACGCTTCGAATTCCCTTGTCCAAGTGGATATTGGCTTGTTGGACGTTTTTGTGGGTCTCATTTGCCGTCTTGTCGATCTCAACAACAGCATATTCATGTTGATGGACAAGCTCAGCAACTTCGCGTGATAGCTCCGCGAGAGTAATCAGATCTTGCTCGATCTTGCGGATTGCGGCTGATCTCTGCGCAACGGCAGCGCGAGCATCTCTGACATGCTGGCTTCGCTTGTCCTGGACCTGATTATGAGTTATTTGAATACATCTTGGGGTTCTTGGGGTAGAAACATACACTGAACACCTGCTCCTGACCCATAATCACACTCTCTACGCCCTGGTCAATTTCCTCAGGTGTAGCATCGTCGTGGGCGATTTCATATCGTCGGCGCACCTGCGAGCGCATTTGACGATCGAAATCACTTTGGGATAACCTGTACGCTTCAATGTCTTGCCTTATTTTGTCGCTGATGTACTGGACCTGAGCCTGGATGTGCTGGTCATCAGGATTCGCCTCGCCTTTGAGTTCAGCGAGCATGTTACGAGAGGCACCAAAGTAGCCCATGATGTCGCTTCCGATAGACTCGATATGAAGGCGACATTGATGGTCCTCGGTTGAAGTGGTCGAGTCGAGAAGAGCTTGCTGGGCTGGTCGGAGTTCAGCTTGCTTCATTATGACATGGTTAAGCTGTTCTTCGATCTCGCGACGCTTCGCAAGTGTTATCGCCATTCCACTTCTAGGTTGGAGCTCTATGAAACAAATGAGAAAGATGCCGAATGAGACAGGGTGAGACGATTCTTACCATATTGAACTTGATTCGACTCAAGATCGGGAGCTCGAGTACCGTAGAAAGACATTTTGGTTATGGTTATGAGTGTACTCGGAAGGCTTGGAGGCTTTTGAAAGTGAGCCTTTTATTCTAGATGCGACCGCTATAAAACAACAAGCTTTATGCATATAGGCCACTCCCAAGGCAGAAACATTGTAGTCTTCAACAGCTGGACGGTCTTGATTAAATTTAGACGCCTGGAGATCGATCGTCCTTTTGAGCCTCAGCAACCTATTGTGGCAATCAATTGGCGAGCGCCCCCAAAACAATCTGGCGCTGCCTGGAAGACTTCCAAAAATAGGTTTTGCTTCTTCTGAGCCTTTGGACCAAGCATGCCATATTTGAATGCCACATAATACGCTGCATATTTTCAATACTGCGGCAGAGAGGTCCACTATGTCTCTGGTGCGTCTCGCGAGTGATTGTGCGACGTGAAACAATGCACTAGGCAGCTACAAATATGCAGTAACGCGTTGGACATCACCGAACTGGCCTTGGAGCCGGTGCTTGTCTTCACTGAATGTGTTGACTCCATTATACAATGCTCGATAGGCAAAATTGAATATCTAGCATCACAAAGAGCCCGGAGGCGCTGGCACTTTATGTTTGTCTTGGCGGGATTTCCTCCACCGTACACTACTAGTACACAACGAACTCAACTACGACGGCATCGTGCATAAATAATAGAGCCTAACAACCAAGAAATTTGTGGAACATGACATAGCGCTTGTCCACCATGGCCCCGAAGAATACTGGCGAGTGTTAATCCGAGGTTATCCAACGCGGGAAATCATGGCGCATTCTAAATCCGAGTTTTGTAATTCCTCGGAAATAACCCCAGAACCCACGGCATGACTACTGATTACCAGAGACTCACAAATCCACTAAACTCGGACATCGAGCGATCGGCGTCTACTTTTCACTGGCTATCCGTGTAAAACGATCCACCAGTTCCAAGGCAATAATTCAACCATGGCGCATAGACAGCACTCCCCATTCCCCGCCATCCAATGCTGCCCGCGATACAGCCAGGTGCGACCCATTGCACACGTTGCCGACCTTGAAATCTCTCTAGCTATAAAGTAAATCATCGCCCACAGTACCTACCTAGTGACTGCGAAATCCCAAACAATTTCTCCGAGCCGTGCTCGCTATTACGAGCCAACATGCCAGTCTTCACGGAACATTCTGCCGCATCGCGCGAGCTTCGCGTTCTCCCATCATTCGCACCCCCGCTCCCGCGTCTAGCTCCACAACTCGCAGAGAACACAACAGAAAAATATGAAGTCGTCATTGTGGGCGCCGGGCCTGCAGGGCTTATGCTGGATCTTCTTCTGGCACGATACGGATTGAGTGACGAGTCGCTGCTCTGCGTAGACTCCAAGCCAACCACGCTGAAGTCAGGACAAGCCGATGGCCTTCAGCCGCGCACACTCGAAACGTTGAAGTCGCTAGGTCTGGCAGACGAGATTCTCACCGAAGGATGTCAGATGTGGCAGGTAAGCTCCACCCTCCTCGGTAAAAAAAAAAAACCTTCGCTAACGGCAAAGGTCGCATTTTGGAACCCATCGAACGACAAAGATAAAATCATTGAGCGAACATCGATTGTCCAGGATGTCGCTGTACCTGCTCGCTTCCCACATGAAGTTACGATTCACCAAGGTCGAATTGAACGAATCTTGGAAACGGATTTGTTGCGCTATTCGAAACGCGGTGTACAGCGTAACACTAAACTGATCGAAGCCAAGATCGACGAGGAGGGCGATGCGGAGTTTCCGGTTCTGGCAGAGATTGAGACCGAAGGACACAGGCGAACCGTGAGAACAAAATATCTTGTTGGCGCAGACGGCGCACACTCTGTTGTTCGACGCAGCATGGGCCTCAAGCTCGAGGGTGAATCACTGGATCACATCTGGGGTGTCGTCGACCTCGTCGTTGACACCGATTTCCCTGACATCAGGAGACGATGTGCCATCCATTCACCGGCGGGCTCTGTTATGGTGATTCCTCGTGAGCGTATCGCGACTGGCGAGTACTTGACAAGATTGTATGTGCAAGTGCCCGGGGATGTGAAACCGGACAGCGATCAACAGACTGAGGATGGGCCGAACACTCCTCCCACGGCAGATGCTAGAGCTCGCCGGGGCCAGGTCACAGAGCAGACTATCTTTGAAAATGCTGCAGCAGTCTTCAAGCCGTACTATATTCGACCGAAGAAAGACGGCGCCGTGGACTGGTGGGCGGCTTATCAAATTGGTCAGCGGGTCACGGATAGCTTCTCCGTTAAGGATTCGAAAGGTGTAAATCGTGTCTTTATTGCCGGAGATGGTATGTGGAATCACTTCAGTCCGTGAAGTGAATGATTTGCTAACATTATATTTTTGTAGCTTGCCATACACACAGTCCGAAGGTAAAAGTCGGCCTAGTATTAGGAACTTTAGGAGATACTAACATATTTCAATCTTTAGGCAGGACAAGGGATGAATGTCTCCATGATGGACTCTTATAACCTGGCCTGGAAGCTAGTATATGCCATCCATGAACTTACGCCCAGCGTAAGCAGCGGACAACCAGATCCTCTCCTAGACACATACCACATCGAACGTCATACTATCGCACATCAACTGATTGAGTTCGACCGGGACTTCTCATCGATGTTCTCGGGAAAGATTGGTGCGTCCGAAGACGGTGTTGGAGGGCTTACCCATGATCAATTCCTCGAAGTATTCAGCCGAGGCAATGGATTCACCAGTGGGTGCGGAATCGAGTACCCCGATAACATTACGGCGGTAAGAGACCTGAAGGGGGAGAAGAACCCAATTAAAGGTACCGACTATCTGTCAGGCGTTTTGCGTCCTGGGCGGCGACTATTGAACGTGCGTTTGGTCCGTCATGCGGATGGTTATCGTCGCGATCTGCAAGATGGTAAGTTGCAATTCGGCTGCTTTTCTGCAATCATATGTCTGACTTGGTTTAGATTTCGCGTCTACTGGACGATTCCGCATTCTTTGTCTCGCGTCGACGGATTTGCTAGATCCTAATGGCACTTCTACCCAGACGCTGACCCAGCTTGGCGCCATGATTCCTCGGTTCCCACTGTCGGTGCTTGAGCAGGTAGCTGTTCACCCTCGCCTGGAAAAAGACTTCATGTGGACCGATATTCCACGAGAGTTAAAGCAATACTCTGAAATGTCGTTCTACAGCGGGTATGAGATTGATGATGTCTACGGCATTTACGGCGTCAACCCGGCCGAGGGTGCTTTGGCTGTTGTTCGTCCTGATGGATATATTGGTGTTATTGCTGCCTTGGGCGATGTGAAGCGCGTGGAAAGCTACTTGGAATCTCTGATCCGTACTATCTAGAGCATATACATCACTGGATGAAGCAAAATTCAACAATGGACTACTCGTTTGAACATCTATATTTATTTCTCTATATCTGCGTTTCCTCTGAGCGGCTGGCGACTCTTCACAGTGAATTATCAATCCTATCGTAAATGGAATCGTTTGACTTTCTTGCCTTTTTTTCCGTATTTCATCGCAGGGAATCCGTATACCCCCGCTTGGGCCCTAGCTGAACCCATGAGGCTAAATCACCACATGAGATCAACACGCACAATCCTCGGAACTGCCTTGGAGGTATGCCATCGTGGAATTTTATCAGTCATTAAATTCCAGGGAATAAGATATAGGTATTGCAATAAGCCTATGCCATATTGCATCTTGTCGCAAGCTCATTATGTTTCCGTACTCATCCGTATCTGCTGCGGCGCCAGTCAGTGGCTGATTTTTGTCGCTCTGATTAGTTGTCTCATCCCGCAAGAGACTGTGCTGAACACTCAAGTGAACAAATAACTTTCACGGACGGCGCAGCCTCTCTTGTTTGGCTCTCTCCCGTCAGCACATTGTCAAAAGATAACATTCGTCTTGTCAATTACATGACGTGCGTCCACAAAAGACCTTCCATAGCCAGTTTCCTTACGTTTGCACTGGAAAACTGCGCTGGGGAGGTTTGACGTTTGGTCTTCTTCTTTATTACACAACATGCGTCGCTCTGCCTTGGATTATTTCCCCCGCGCCTTTATGACTTTTCTTGGAATCGTTTTTTTTTCCAGCCCCGCCGGGCTCTGTCCTTCAACTACGTCTAAACCTCCTGGTCCTTCGGTCACTGTTTATACTCTTATGTCCGTTACAACATGATTTTGCGAGCTTGTCTGATGGAGGTACTTTTGTTCAAGTTGATGTTTCCCTATCTGCCGAAGCTTGTTGTTGTAATTATTCGCTCCATTTATTTGATTTTTCAATGAAACCTTGGGAGGTATTATGAAAGTATACCTCGTACCAGATATTGCCGTAGTTACCCGGTGAAAAGTTCCAAACCAACCTCCCGAGAAGATATTTTAAAGGGTTCTCTACACTTTCTTCTTAAGCTCTTTCTTGACATCATTCTAAGCATCTCTCCAGATCTCTTTTAAGAGCTCTTTTTGTTCCTTCTCTAAATTCTCCCTAAATACATAGCTCTGGATACTAGTACTCTGGTATGGCAAGTCACGGCCGTCTATTCGGAGCTCGTTGCACTATCTTCTTGGTCAAGCTGTAAGCCCATCAATACCCCGATACTTTCCACATAGAAAACCTGTGGACAGTTCTCGGCCTGTTCAGTGTGCCCAGCCACCCTCGAGGGGGACGATTGCAATTCTAGACATGTCATGACAATTCCCGATGGCGATCAAAACGGCTCAAAGTTGAGGACACAGCTTTGCTTGGCGCCTAAGCTAGAACGATGTCGATCACTCCTGTCGGAAACATATTCGACCGCCGGTCACCTGACCTCTCAAGGGCTCCCAGAATTGGCATAGTCAGCCTTACGGGGCCCATGGTAAGCCAATAGAGGCTCCGGGTTCTCCCAGGATCTCCTACAACACAGGGGCATCAGATTTGGGGCCAAGTATTTGCCAAGACCGCAATGGTTTCTCTCAAAGTGACTGTTATAAAGTCTGAACCTGCAGAGCTCTTGAAATCTGTTCAAGATCCCAAAAACTGTTAACAAGTTGCACGGGTCTATTAGCAATTTTGACTTGGCTTCTTTTCCTTCAAAATTTGCATTTTTGACCATTATGGCCGGCGGAGGTGGAATATTCACATATCGCGACGGGATTTCTGTCGCTCAGATCGTCTCATTTTCTGTCTACTTGATACTTGCCGTTTATTTCCGATATACGCACCGAATCGGCTGGTTTTGCATTGGCGTCTTCTCTCTACTCCGACTTATTGGCGCAAGTTGCAAGCTAGTCACGATCCGTAATGACTCGCAAGGCGTATGGGCCGCCATATTCGTTTGCGAGTCGCTGGGAATGATTCTTATCATCTTTCTATTGCTGGAAATGCTAGAGAGAATGTGAGTAGTTTTCCGATCTCACCAGAGAAGCACTCACTAATTTGGATGGATGTGACAGAAATCAAGTTATCAAATTCGTCACCAAGCGCATCTTTTTGATCCCTTCTATCATAACCTGGATCGACATAGGTATCTCCATCGCAGGATGGGTTGCCGTGATGCACGTCGAGTACCCTCTCGCGCCAACACCCTACAGCCAAGCCAGTATGGCCTTGCTGGCTGTCATCTATATGTACGTGGTCGGTGTTTTCATAGCCTTATGGCGTCGTCGCGCCGAATATCCCGAGGAAGAACGATGGGCATTAACGGGGGTCACCATTTGTATCCTAATCTTGGCTGTCCGCCTCGTATACTCGCTCATCTTTATTGGATCGGGCAACATGGCTTTCAATGCTATCAAAGGCGATCCCACAGCATACCTCTTTATGACCATGCTTCCGGAGGTAGCCATCATGGCTTTGTGCGCTTATATCATCGCCATGAAGATTTCACCACTGCAAAATAAGGGGAAGCACGTGTCACAGAAGTTAGTGGATAAAGAGAGTTTGAGGCCTCTTTCTTAAAGTTACTCCATATCTACCTAGGTACGGACTGGTACTTTATTATACAATAACACTCCCCATCTAAACACTCCACCTGTCTTTTGACACTAAATATCGCGACCTTACCAAGCAATATGTAGTCATGAACGGCTGGCTTTTATGTCGTTCAAAAGCTGCATGGAGCGACCAATTATACATACAGTCAGCCAAGCAATACAGGGGCAGGTGGCTCCCAGTTCATATCGCGCTCTCCCTGTCCCCAATATGCTTCGACCGCATTCCGTGCTCCTTCAACCACCTTCATATGATGCTTCTCCAGAAATTGTGAGAAGATGTGCATGATAACTGTGCGATCGCTCGTCGAAGTGGCAAACTTTCCGACCACATAAAGTGGCCATGTGAGAGTAGACATCGGTGTCGATAACACGCAAACTCGAAGCACGCTATCGAAAGCAGCTCGATATATCTCTCGATCCCTCCCTGTTGCTTCATCGGGGTAATGATCAGATAATATCTTGCGAAGAAGTAGTAGCCCGCAGTATTTGTATGCTCGAGCAATTTGACACATTGCCTCTAGGTAGGCATCTGCGGGAGGTGGAGTCTCTATTGGCCACGCTTCCAAGCTTTCAGCTAGAGCTCCCGCCTCATGGGTTATGTCTTTGCCCCCTCGGAGCCGGCCAACAATATCGGCTAGACGGTGCATTAATGGCCAGAGTCTGCCCGTACAACCGAAGACGGTGTCCATTTTGTTTGTGAAAATCGAACCATGGCTATTGTTTATTAGAAGGGGACGGGTCTCCATGGATAAGGCGAGCATGACGTTGAAGTATTGGAATACTTTGCAGAAGAATGCGAAGCATGGTGTTTCGGGTGTGTCAGGTTGGTAATCTAGTAGGATCTTGGCCCCTTGCAAATGACACCAAACATTGCTAGCGGAGTTACCGAGCACGATCTGATTGTTTGTTAGTATCGGAAATGATGAGTATGTCACTAGCAGGAATGCATTACCTCGTAGTATATCAGAAGTAAACTCCCCGCAAGCACGTTCATGCGGGCCATTTCGCTCAGCTCGGGTCGAGAGATCTCGATAGCTAGCAGGTGCAATGCGTGGGAATGTAACTGTGTCGCATGCTCCCGAGACTCCCCGCCAAGATGATGAAGATGCGCAGCGGCGACAGCTTCCACCGCGCGCTGAACTTGGATCGAATTTGACACGCGAGGTAGAACATGGAGCAGAAACGGATTCGAAATCCCAGGTTGTGATAAAGAAAACGTAATCAAGCTAGCGACAATGTTGTTGAAATGATACACGAGCCGTGTCTCCGTGCTACTCGGTTGAGGAAGTAGCGCCGGCCGGGTAGATGGCGAGCTGGCATCTTCATGCTGCCGTACGCGATGTCGGGTGAGAGAGTATTTTACCATCGTCCACTCCGGATAGCCGCATTCTACTCCTCGTGAAGTGCATATTCGACAGGCTGGCCGGGCCTCGTCGCATTTCTTGCGTCGTTTGCGACTGCATCTCGAATTAGCGTTGTCGGGATCCGTGGGTAGAAAGGCGGGAAAGATCTGTACCAGTTCAAGCAGCCCCATCTTGACCTCGTTCCTTGGCGTCGGGGCTGTAATGTCGTTTGGCCGGTTGGGTCTCCGTCTATCATGATGATTGTAGTGCAAGGACGATCTCGATTCTTCAGTGACGATGCGGAGAAATACGCGACATCCGACCGATTGGGAGTCATGTGATGTGTATGACCTCGTATTCAGAGGTCTGTATTATTTGCATAAATCGATGGAACTTGAAGGTGTCTGAATACAATATCAGAAAACAAAGGAGAGTTATACGCCCAAAAAACCAAGAAATTTGCCCTCCGTCAATCCGAATATACTCCTTGCTATTATGACCGTCTCCACTTACGCCCTCTGTGCTGGCTACTACCTCACCGATAATCTCTGGTCTCGGACAGCTGATGCGGCATAGGGCTTGCCTCCAGCTCAGTGGGCCCAGGGCTAGCGCGCACGTTATTGGCATCCCATATCCAACCACTTGAAATAGGCGGCGACATTTGTCCATAAGTGGAACCATCTGGAGTACTTGAGAAGGTGTTGCGATTTGGATCAGGGCTGTGGGTAAAGACAGTGTCCGTCGGCGTAGCCTTGGGTGCATCAAGCTCACTCTTACGACTGTGAGGCTCGGATGGAGTGGGGTGGCCATGACCATGGCCAAACATGGCCCACCGTGCGGTGCGTTCGGTTCGTCCATCTTGTGATGACACCCACTGACTGTACACGCGCTGGCGACCGAGTACGAAAAACAAGGCCACTAAAATTGCGACGAAGGCCACACCTGCTACCACGATGCCTGCGATAGCGCCGGCGCTGAGACCATGGGAGCCACCGCTTGCTGCTGCGCTGGTAGTAGTGCTGCTCGTGGTGGGCCTGGTTGTTGAGCTTGTGCCTCCCTCACTTCCCTCGGCTGGCATAGACTGGCCCGGCACCAGCATGTATGGATATGTGAGAGCTCGTTTGTATTGTTCTTCGAACGTTCGAGTGGCGTTCTGCAGGAACAAATGTTAGGAAACGTGAAATTTAGGATGCAGTTTGACTTACAGGGTTTATGACACCAACCATGCCATTATCGAGGCACGAGCCTATGGCGGTGCAATAAAAGAATGTCGGCTATATTGAGAAGCATGAATTTCATGATGAGACACTTGGAACCAGCATAGATGCTTACCTTGGTATCATTGACAACCAGTGACCAGGTGGGTGGCTTGGTAAAATAGTCAGCATGTCGAAAATTCCTCATCTTTGCTTACTTACTGGCCCGATAAGTTGGCCATCCTCTTCATTGAAAGAATGGAACATGCCCGACCAAAAGATAGGTGCACTAGCGGGAACACATGGTGCATCAAAGTCCGCCTTTACAACCGAGTGATTTGTGGGATAGAACTCGAATATTACAATGTCGCCAACATTAGCGGTGACGCTATGAGGCACATACTGATGAGGGCTTGTTTTTGGCCCTACTTGAATAGTGTGGGTTGCGATACCGGTCGAAGTCGTCGTCGAGGCCGTTGAAGTCGTGGCAAACGTCGGGGTCGCGGTGGTTGCTGCGGATGATTGTTTGCACAGTATCGATAAAGTGAGCGAAATCAGCAGCTGCTGGAATACTCGACCTGTAAGCAGCATCCTTAGTTTAGTAGCGCAAGAATATGCGAACAGCAGGTATGGGTGCGAACGCAGGTGGTAACGAGGATGAAGTATGGAGACGTGGGGAAGTGGCACTCGAAAAACGTGAGACACCCGTGGCTTAGCCTCTACTACAGGTTATGGCCAAGGTGCGGTACTTCCCTGGCTGTTCTTTGAACGAATTTTTCTTGTCTGGCCAACACTTTCCTCAAAGAGACCTTGCTCGTGTCGAATTAGATTCTCCATAAGCGTCGACTTGCCCCACATTGGGCTTATGTGCTTCTACTGATTTGCGGGCAGCTGGCCTTAAAAGGATATATTTCAGAAGACTGCTGCTTTGTTGAATTCAATGGAAAGGGAATGGCTGCACGCACTAGTATAGCTTCGGATGAAATTCAACCCCAAAAATTAGAGTAGATGAAACGCCTCTGAATGAAAGAAGATTTAGAATGGTAATCACGAAATTGGGCCTGTGCGCATGTCAAGAGGCTGAACGGCTCTTTTTTACAGGGTTCATCCTATAGTTGGTAACGCTGGGCGGTGCAGTCAGCACACCATGCATCCTGGAGGGGTAAGACGGTACGGCTATTCCGAGAACCTGGGTCAGCGTGGGGTCTAGAATTTGATCTACGTGTTTCATTTTCCAGCTTCTTTTAAGACTCTATTTCGATTCAGAAAATCTTGGATTTGCTAGCACTGGATTTTCGTTCCATAGTTATTCGCGATTCTCTGATCATCATCGCACGACTTGTGGACAGTGATTGGATCCGAAACTTGGGCTAATCCTGCATGCTCTCCCCGGCCAAGGAATTACTAGTAACACAGTGCAGGGAAAATAAAGAAATTAAAACTTTCAGCCTTACATATATATCATCCTCAGAAGACCCACTGCTCCAGTCATCATCCATGTCACCAACTCACAAAAGCGTAGGTCCGTGCTGATCTGAACCCGCCCGTTTCTTCCTTGATTCTTGAGTTGCCGTAGGACACGTAGTACAGACCTCATGTCATTGGTACAGGATGGATCGAAATCTGTTTCACCACTTACAGACAGAGGTTCTCTCTCGAACCCTTTTTCAAAACACACTAAACTAAATACAGTTACTTTGCCCCTGACACCTTTTCTTGGCATAATTCCAGTACAGCTGTAAATAACATGAAAACAGCTTTCGTATTAGACCTGTTTGGTCTTCAGAGTTTCTAGAACGCCAATCATGCAAACAAGTCAAACAATAGTTAAACAACGAGGCCGAACACTGTGGTCGAGAGAATAGTATATATAGAAAAAATTAGAACCGTTAGATGGAGGTTTCTTTGCAGGTGCCATCGCCGATCGGCAAAGCATGCATTTTCTCGCGTTCATACAGGTATCTTGATCGGTTTTTAGCCTCATAGCCCCGCCAATAACCGTCCGCCACGTATTGACAGCCGTAACTGCCCCGCGGCCGTCGTTAAACAGTCACCGGATTGCTTTCAGCCGCCTAAGTGATAGGTGCAATCATCTAGTCACTTACACTTTCCTGGATGACATCCGCAGAGCTTGATAGAGGTACCAAATATCTAATTTCGTCTGATATTCATCTGCCGCGAGGGACGTACGAGCCTCACGACTGTGCCGGTCCCATTCTAGAACCTAGAGCACATGGATCCTTTCAGCATCACCGTCGGTGCTCTTGGCATCACGGAATTTGCTCTTTCCAGCATCAGTCATCTTCGTGATCTTGTTGATGGCCTTAAAGAAGCGAACGATGTTATACAAGATGTGATTTTCAACTTAAATGCGATACAGCTTTCGCTTTCAGCTCTCAAGAATCTTCAATTTTCTGATAACACAACATATACCGAAGCGAAAGAGGATCTGAAGAAGACCGGTGTCGCTGAAGCTGTGAACAATTGTGGTCAGGCATGCGCGGAGTTTTCAAAGAAGCTTGAGCAGTGGACGAAGCATTCCAGCAGTACGAAGCTTTCCCTCAGGGATCGACTGACGGTCGGTTTATGGAACAAAGAAAAAGTCCAGACATTTAGGACGCAGGTCCATTCCTGTCAGTCTATCGTCCACTTTGCTATCGACAGCGCTAGTTTGTACGTTATTTAATGGCACGCTAGAGAGAAGATGCTAATCCATTGATGTAAGGATCATTTTGGTCCGATCAGAAAATTCCTCTAAGACTGCACAGCAGGAGAAAGAGAAGCAACTACGAGTTCTCGAGACTGCTATCCAGGAGCACATCCAACTCACAGAGAGAAAGCAAGGCGACGCTTTGCAGCGTAAGAAGGATCTTGAATACCCAGAGGACGAAGATGAGGACGAAGGCGGTGATGCTCAGCGAACTTTGGCAATCCAAGAGATTGACAAGCAATCACGCCTACTGGAAGCCGACCAAATCGCCTCCAAGCTTGTTTCCCAAACAATCTCGAAATTGTCTACCCGAGAAGTTGGCAACGCATACAACACGTATAACACGTCTTTTGGGGGCAGTAATAGCGGCTTCCAGATCGCTCACAGCACGGGTACGATCAATTGGAATGGCAGTCGCACCTGATGGATGGTCACGGGTCAGACTTCTTACGGAGGGTGTATCAAAGTCGTTGCCCAGGAGACTTGGCCTCGCGAGTTGAGTTGCGACTTAACTCACACTCTAGATCGCACGTTGGACCTGTTGTTCTTTCCTGAATGGAGGCTCTATAACTATAAGTACAATCTACCGTCGAGTGTAGTATAAGCCTATTAAATCCACATTCTATTCCTCTGCTCTGTCGAGCCATCTTCGGCCAGCCCACCGAAGCGAGAGCCCCTCTAAGGCTTGGATTGGTAACCTGAATATGCCCTTTAAAAAATTTGCCATCTCGTCCAAATACAGCCCGGGCCTTTCAAGAAGACGATCACAAAGTGCTTGTATCATCGGAGGTGTTATGCGGGGTCGTCGACCGACTCGAGTTGGGATGCTCTAACATTTCTGGGCTGGCGCACCAAGTCACTGCTCGATGTGCTCCATAGATACTGACACGACACAGTTATCATGGCATCGATATCGTTCCCTGGCAACAACCATGGGATCCAGGTTGGAGATAACTGTGGCTCAATCACGGCAGAGTTCCATCTGCGTCCGGGTAAGTTAGAGGAACGGAACAAGCTCACGGTCTGCGACTAGCCACCGCTTCCCAAACTAGAGCGACCGGAAAATCCACCTAACCCTTTGTCAACCGTCCCGTTCGCGCGCGATCCGGACTTTGTTAGTCGCGACACGTTGCTGATCAATCTTAAGTTCGTAGGGTGTTGGCAGAGTAAATATTTACGGTGGATGGTAGAGACAGTCGACTCAAACCTATTTTAGACTGACAGTGGCAACTGATGCTGCAGTCAGGATAAGTTCCGCGCAAAATTTCCCCATTTATATATTGTGAAGTACATGTAGGATTGATCGAAGTGCATGAATTATAACTAAATATATGCATAGATCCAAGCATATAATCATGTACATTAAGGTTCTCAAAATAAAACAGGAGAATCAGAGTGAAAAGGGCCGCTATGAGCCAAGAAAAAGTCGTCTAGAGAATGAAGGGCAAAACGGCGCCAAGTCCGCAGATAAGAACCACAGCCGAGAAGCTCGACTGCAAGACGGCACCGCCGGTGTAGACAGGGCCGCTTGAAGTTGTGGTCGAGGAGCCAAGGCCACTCTCACCAACGGGAGAGGATGTGGGCTTGGTGACAGTGTGGTAAGAAGCCGAAGGGATGCCGGAGGGCTTGGCAGACGTGGCAAAAGCGGAGGAGGAAATCACACCGGCGGCAACAGGCGAGACAAATGAATGGATAGGGACGGAGGACTCTGCACTGACACCCGATCCAGAGCCCGAGTTAGACTCGGATCCAGAGCCGGGAGTAGAACCAGAAGTAGATTCAGAGCCAGAAATAGATCCAGAGCCAGAAGTAGATCCAGAGCCAGAAGTAGATCCAGAGCCAGAAGTAGATCCAGAGCCAGAAGTAGATCCAGAGCCAGAAGTAGATCCAGAGCCAGAAGTAGATCCAGAGCCAGAAGTAGATCCAGAGCCAGAAGTAGATCCAGAGCCAGAAGTAGATCCAGAGCCAGAAGTAGATCCAGAGCCAGAAGTAGATCCAGAGCCAGAGTTGGACTCAGAGCCAGATGTCGAGATACCCGAGCTCGATCCAGATCCAGAAACAGATCCAGTGGCAGTAGCAGGAACAGTGACAGGGTAAACGGTTGTGCCAACAGCAACAGTCTGAGTTGAAGTGTGAGCCGTCTTCTCAGTCAGAGGGCAGTCCGTGACGGTAGCAGGGCACTTGTAGATAGTCTCAACCTTAGTAGTGTAGATAGTCTCAGTGGTGAGCGAGCTTTCAGCGGCACCCGCAGAGCTTCCGGTGGAGGTAGCACCGGCACCAACAACTTCAGTAATAGTAGGGATGGCTTGAGCGGGAGTGACAGTATACACGGTGGTTCCAGCAACAAGAGTCTCAGTGGTAGTCGCAGTGGTCTTCTCGCGTGCGGGGCAGTTAGTAACGGTTGCCGGGCACTCAGTGATGGTTGAGGTGCGAGTTGTCAGAACAGTCTCAGTGGTAACGTAAGGAGAGCCTGCGCCAGTGCCAGTGGGGGCGGAGGTCGTCGTGGCCTCGGCGGTGGCAGGGCAGACAGTAGTAGACACAACAACGGTCTCGGTGGTAACGAAAGTGGTCTTCTCGCGAGCCGGGCAGTCGGTGACTGTGGATGGGCAGGCAGTGATTGTGGAAGTGCGAGTGCTGAAGACAGTGGAAGTAGTGAACTCTCCGGAGCCAGAGCCAGAGCCAGAGCCAGAGCCAGAGCCAGAGCCAGAGCCGGAACCAGAGCCAGAGCCAGAGCCAGAGCCAGAGCCAGAGCCGGAACCAGAGCCAGAGCCAGAGCCATGACCATGACCATGACCATGACCATGACCATAGCCATGGCCTCCAGAGTTACCATTGCCCCCAGGGTGGTGTCCGTGGCCCGCTCCACCAGTGGGAATGGGGTGACCAGGAACGGAGAGACTGCCAGAAGGCCGCTTAGGACCAACGGGGGAGCTGTTAGTCGCGCTGGCGACTCCAGAGGACGGAGGAGTCGGTGAGCGGATAGGACGCAGTGAGACGCTCGAGGACGAGGTCACAGTATGGGCCAAGGGAGTGGAAGACCGAACAGCGCTTGAGGACACGGCCTTGGACGAGCATGCCTTGCGCGAGCGGTGAAGACCAGGGGTATAGGTCCAGTGATGTTGTTCATGATGATGATGATGATGGTGCGAGTGTGCGGGGACTGAAGACGGCACAATAGGAGAGAGCGTGACCTGGGCAGCAGAGCTAGTGGGAGCGGCGACAATAGGTACAGATACCGCTGGCAGACCAGTTTCAGTTTCAGTTTCAGTTACAATGGCGCCGACGGACTGGACGGATGCCAGGGCGGCCAAAGAAAAGAGTGAATATGTTTGAACCCGCATCTTGCTAGTTGAGTCAGAGAATGCTCTGAAGCGATATTCAAAAAGAATGGACGAGAAGCAGAGCTCTCAAAGGTAAAGAGTGAATAGTCTACTCAACACAAGAGCAGAGGAATGAATGATTGAGAAGAAGAGAGGAAATGGCCTCTAAAGAAGGCATTCCGAACTGCCTGACAGTGACCAATCCACCGTTTGGTGGATATCAACGTAGCGAGGCAAAAAGATCCGACGAGAGCATGAGTGGATCGGAGTCCTGCTGGGGCGTCAGTCCGGATCGACTAAGTGGAGCTTACGGCCCGTGCTAGTCAGGAACCGTGCTGTTCAAGTTTAGCGTCGGCTGTTTTCTTCCAAGTGTCTGATTCAGTGGCGGTGCTATTGCTTACCATCCAGGGCTCACTCTCGGACAGGCCGAGAGAACATGTTTTGGTGCCATCCCAAAATAACTTCGTGCTGGAAACTGGCTGCACAAAGCATTTCCACCGATAAGCTTCTTGTTGTTGAAGCATAATCGAGTGATGATACGGTATTAGGAACGGCTTTGAAGCTTTGAAGCTGCAAGAGCTTGGTCCATTGATAATCGGGTCACGACAACCGTTATCCTGTTAGAAAGCAGATGGCTAGACAATTCCTAAATGTGCAGCCACGGAGCCCGGTACTGAACGAGCAAGACATCATGTCGATTAGGTTAGCTTCGAACTTCTTGGCCTGGCCGAGAGACTTGACGTAAGATTGACCGGAAAAAAATAAAGCAGCGATGCATTGGTGAGGGCTCTAGTGGATTCCTTAATCCAATTCAGCACTAGCTCAGGGAACACGCGAGGCCCCTAAAGTCGCCACTTATCGCTTGTGAGGTGTACCTATAGGACCATCTCAAAAAGGGGCCAGCTGACCGCTCGTTCTCAGGGTCGGGAGCGGAGTCCATAGCTAGGGTCTCGGTTTGAGGCTCGGGAGATTGAATTATCGATCTCGAGGTAACCTATAACCGGATGCCGACGGGTTATGGAAGGTTTCCAGGCACGCTTTCGATCATGGAGATGTGATGAAATCAATGCACGGTCATCACCCATATCTCGAGGGGTGATACAAGAGATCGTAATCATCAAAATGACGCAAATTGAAAGGAAGGGGGAGGAATTGAGTCTCGAAGAACGAGAGATGCGCGATCGTGAGCTGTCTGATCCACTTATTACGGGCCAATTACAGTACGTCAAACCGCGTCCTCCAGTCAAGTCCCTTTTTTCTCTAGTCGAATTATGCTCCATGCGAGTTGCGATCCTCAGCCATGGATGAATCACCAGCTGAGGCACCGTTCGCTGCACCAAATATATCTCAAACTCCAAATCGAGAGGTACCACGCGGTGGGATATCCGAAATCCAGAAAAAGGCTCTCCGCGACTGGGTTCGGAATCAAGAAACCCGACCAAGACATGCAGCCTGTATCGCCTGGTTTGAACGCACCTACCAAAAGCGCATTACTCAATCTACCGTGTCCAATATCCTGTCGAAGAAATATGACCATCTCGACTCGGGGCCCGTGAGCTCTGCTCTACGGAAGCAAATACCCCAATGGCCCTTGCTGGAGAAAGAGCTGTCCGATTGGCTTCTCCAACAAGAGCAAGCCGGGAGAACAGTCAATGGGGAGGAGATCATGGCCAAAGCTCGCGAGCTATGGCCCCAAGTCCATGAGGAGGAGCAGGTCATGCCTCAATTCAGCCAGGGCTGGCTAACGAGATTTAGAAAGCGATATGCTGTTCGCGTGTCCGATGGAATTGGAATTGAACTTCCGACGACTCTTGCAGCGAGTCGGAAAGAAATCAATGGCTTACGTACGTTCTGCGGCGAGTTCATGCCCGAAGACCTGTATAGCATGGGTGAAACCGGTCTTCTATGGCGAAAGGCCCCTTTCGATACAATCCCAAACGAGGGCCAGTTATCACTCTACAAAGAACGATCTCGAGTCTGCTTGATGGTGTGTACCAACTGTACTGGAGGAGACCGACTTCCACTGTGGGTGATTGGACATAAAGAAAAGCCAGAACCGCTGCGCACTCTGAATCTCAAGGCCATCGGCGCCCAGTGGCGCCATAGCCGAAACGCTTGGGTTACCACGGCCACCATGTCAGACTGGCTTCTCTCATTTTATGAACATGTTGGTGATAGGAGAGTTCTGCTCTTACTTGATGAATGTCATGCCCATCAGGCCGCAGTCGAGACTACTCCTCCGCCAGCAAATGTCCACATCCAGTTCTTCCCCAGGCGGGCCAATGGAATCACAGCACCCTTGACAATGGGTATAACACAGAGCCTGAAAGACAACTACCGCAAAAGATACCTCTCATATCTGGCCGAAGGGCTCTTCCAAGCCGGCCAAAGTCCCGTCCGTACAATGAGTCTGTACTATACCCTCGACTGGATCACGCGAATCTGGCGATGGGACGTTCCAAGCGCTACAGTTTTCAAAGCCTTCCGACGAAGCACTCTCATTGAACCACAACTCCACAAACTCACCGCGCCCAAGATACACGGAATACACGAGCTCTACAACACCGTCATTCAATACAATCAGACCGGTCAACCAGCAACATCCCTCGAACAGTACCTGAACCCAGTGGGCGAAGAAACCGACGAGCAACCCAACGATACACCGTGGTCCTGGTCAGACACAGAGACTGCAGAGCTAGATGAGGCTTTCACAATCATTCCAACCAGTGAACTGTTGCCTTCTGCACAATCCGTCTTCAACAGTATCCAAGAAGTCTTCCTATATATGCAACACCACCAAATCGATAAGCCAGAACTAATTCAGTCGCTGGAAACGATTGAGAGACTGGCGATGAGGGATTTACTGAATTCTCAAAACTAGTCCAAGCTTACTACATTCTAACTACACATTAATCATCAAATAGCAATGCATGCTCTCTGCACAATCGTTAAATACCTCATTCTCCAGTAATCGCCAGCCCCTTCATGCCAAAAGTCCGCAAAAAGCCAATTGCACAAACTCAAACAAGCAGCCACGCCAAAGATGCGATCCCGGTAGTTCGGTCGCCGCTTTTCGGCGGTTTTTTTGCCCGCGGACGAGCTTCCCGCGGCTTTACAGGCTCTCATTGAGGCTATTATGTAGGTCTACTATTCACGCATGTGGCAACTATGCCCCTAGAGTTCCTATTTTGGTATCTACTGGGTTAGGGGGTTCTCGACCGAGAAGCGGCATTCGGGAAACGGGGAAACGGCGCGTCAGTGAAGGAGCCGAGGTTACGGCGGGCTTTGCGGGCCGCTGGTTTCATGGTACATGATCATAATGGAGAATTAGATATACCGATGTAGATTCAAGTTGCGTGCTAGACTGATAAGTCTTGTACGAGTCTACCGTTGTACAGAACTTGACTTGAATTAGCGTCCTGTTCCCTGTAGACCATCATGTATCCGGTGCATTACCTCTGCCAGAGAGGGCGACAAAGAGAAGTGAGGGCCCGAGTTAGTTCACTATCACCTCCAATTCTCTTTCCGAGAGCCTACGAATCTGGCACCTTGCAGCATGGGCTTATACCTGGTCTTTGAACTGGCACCTTGCAGGGGATCACTAGGATGACGTCGACAAAGTAATCAAAGCTGGGGAAATATCTTCCGTTGCCCGCAAAGATCGATATCCCCACATTTAATCTCGAGGTCCGCCCCGTTACATATTCTCTGATTGGGTGGCCTCGGGAGCTCCAGCTTACTCTTAATATATTTATGGTACTACCCCGCAGTCTTAGTGAAGAGAATGACAGTGAACAGATTCAATGATTGTTATACAACTATGCTAATCACCATGATAATTTGTAACTCAAAAAGAAAAAACACAAAAGGAAACTCGGGTATTCATAATCATAATCACCACCTCCTCACAGCTTCGCAGCACTACCAGGCGACGAGATCTCGTTATAAAGCAGGCTGGTCAAGAAGTCGGCATAATCCTCACCAGTGACCTGGCCAGCAAAGTATCTCGCCGCAAGCTGGAACTTGTTACCCTTAGGGCCATTCGCAGCAAGGCTATCAGCCTGCTCCTGCAACAGACGCAGAGCGTAGTTCTTATCGACCTTCTTGCCTTCGGCAGTGGAGACGTTGTGCTTGGACCACTGCCACAGCTGGGAGCGGGAGACCTCGGCAGTGGCGGCGTCTTCCATAAGGTAGTTAATGGGGACGCAGCCGACGCCGCGGAGCCAGCCTTCCATGTAGGAGAGACCGATGTTCAGGTTCTTGCGGATACCGTCTTCGGTGATGCTGCCGGGGACGTTGGTGTTGAGGAGGTCGTTGGCTGTGATGTGAACTTCCTCGCGGCGGACGAAGAGCTGGTTGGGGGTGGGCATGTACTTGTTGAAGACTTCCGAGGCGATGGAGGCCAGGGCCGGGTGGGCGACCCAGGTTCCGTCGTGGCCGGCGCGGACCTCACGGAGCTTGTCAGCACGAACGGACTCCATAGCCTTGTCGTTGGCGGCGGGGTCATTCTTGATGGGAATTTGAGCGGCCATACCGCCCATTGCGTGAACACCGCGACGGTGGCAGGTCTTGACAAGGAGCTTGACGTAGGCATCCATGAAAGGAACGGTCATGGTGACGGCGGAGCGGTCGGGGAGGACGAAGTTGGGGTGTTGGCGGAACTTCTTGATGAAGGAGAAGATGTAGTCCCAGCGGCCGCAGTTCAAGCCGGAGCTGTGGTCACGGAGCTCGTAGATGATCTCGTCCATCTCGAAGGCGGCGGTGATGGTCTCGATGAGGACGGTTCCACGGATGGTACCGCGGGGTAGACCGATGTAGTCCTGGGACAGGTTGAAGACGTCGTTCCAGAGGCGGGCCTCGAGGTGGGACTCCATCTTGGGGAGGTAGAAGTATGGGCCGTGGCCGCGGGCGACGAGCTCCTTGGCGTTGTGGAAGAAGTACAGACCGAAATCGAAGAGACCACCGGAGATGGGCTCGCCGTCGATGGTGAAGTGCTTCTCATCGAGGTGCCAGCCACGGGCACGGGCAATGAGAGTAGGTAGGGTGCGGTCGGTGCGGAGCTTGTACTCCTTGCCACCCTGCTGGAAGTCGACCTGGCGGCGAATAGCATCGTACAGGTTGACCTGGCCGTTGATCATGTTCTCCCAGGTGGGAGCGGAGGAGTCCTCGAAATCGGCCATGTAGGTCCAGACATCGGAGTTGAGGGCGTTGACGACCATCTTGCGGTCGGTAGGACCAGTGATCTCAACACGACGGTCGACGAGACCGGGGGCCGGGGGAGCACCCTTCCATGCGTCATTCTCACGGATGTGCTTGGTCTCGGGGAGGAAGTCGGGCAGGACACCCTTGTCGATGTTGGCCTGGCGCTCGACGCGGCGCTGGAGCAGGGCCTTGCGAGTCGGGTTGAAGGTACGGTGCAGAATAGCGAGGAAAGCGCAGGCCTCCTTGGTCAGGATCTTGCGGGCGTCGTTGGGGATGTTGCCGAAGATGGCAACATCCTTCAGGTTGGCTTCGATGGAGCTCATGTTGGATTTAGTTGATGGAGAATGACCGATCATCCAAAGCCGGGGAGGGTGAATGTGAATGATTTTAAAAAGGAACGAGAGAAACTCTCATCCGGGATTGTAGCCACTATATACAAACCCATTCGACCGAAGGCGGAGATAGCACATCTCGAATACGTCACGTTGAACCGTGGAACATGAGCCGCGGCTGTTCGCACCTCCCGATCGGGGGCCAATGGACGGGTCTCCGGCTATGCTCTTTGGACTTGTCCATTGAGCTATCTGAATTGACCACTCAGTTCTGCTGACTTTCCCGACGGGAAACTAGAAGGAAGGCCACTTCCTCTCGGCCGACATTTCCCGTTCCCCGGATTCTACACTCAAGGCGGCTTCTCCAAGGCGGTCACGTCGGGCTACACTCGGGATGCGCCGCAACCCGAGTCTTATCACGGCAGCGACCTTCGGATGGCTGTCTACGAACCTGTCTCTCTCGTCCGGAAATCGCTACGGTCTTATACCTTCGTGTGGCTCGATCCGTGATGACGAGCACGTCGAACTCTCCATAACCCTGGGCTCAAAGCTATCCCTAACTCTCCCGATCGGTGGCTGTCCCTGCCTTTCCCCCGCATACCCGAGAAGTCCAATCAGCCGCGGTTCAGCGTTCCAGATAAGCTGCCTCTGAACATTTGCTCCAGTCGCGCTCTCGGTAGCTTTCGGTTCAGCGTTCAGCCTGTTTGGACTTGGACCGATTCGCTCCGGCTTGTGATGCGATGATGCGTCATGTTGCCACATGTGATGGGCATGTGAAAGCTAAAGCTACCCGGTCAAGTAGGTCCCGCCCACCTTGAGCTAGATACATATCTAGTGATGTTGCAGGTGTCTAGACCGAGCTTATTTGATCCTTAGCCGTTAACGCTCTGCATGATTACGATCAACGGCCCGTCTTTAGCAGTGGAACCGTCCAAACGCACTAAACCTTGAAATCCACACGTTGAGATCAATTGTCCATGTATTTCTATCTCAAGTCAAATCGGCCAAATGCCGTTGTGTACAATTGCACGCTACTATGGTATCAAAGCCCACGCGACATCCTAAACCGTCTCGATATATCGACGCACCTCCCTGCGAGTCGTTAGCTTCCCATTGCAACCATGTAAAACGAACAACTTACCAATCGGTGACGGCCTCCTCCCACAGACGCACCTCGTGCTCCCGGGTACCCCCAAAGTGATCCACAAAGGCATCTCCAAATGCTTCGCGCGCAATACTATCCGGTCGCGTAAACGTAACGATCGCTTCCTTGAGGGTCTTCGCGAGTCGCACGCCCTTGTCACTGGAACCGCCCATATCCTCGCCTTTGGACAGTGGAGGTGTGGGGATCTCGAGCTTCTTCTCGACTCCGCGCCATCCCAGTGCCATGATAGCTGCCAGGACAAAGTGCGGGTTGGCGTCAGCACCGGGGACACGGACTTCAAAGCGGGTGGCCTTTGCGCTGGCGGTTGGTGGCGTGATAAGCCGGATAGATGCTGCGCGGTGCTCCAGTCCCCAAGAAACGGTCACGGGTGCCCAGAAATTCTCGACCAGGCGCTTGTAGGAGTTGATTGTTGGCGCGAACAGAGGCATGATATCTGGCAAGCCGACCAACAGACCTGCCAAAAAGTGTCGGCCCAGATCGGAGAGGTGCTCGACATCGGGGTAGGGCGGGTTGGGGTCCGCGGTATCACGGATAAAGGCATTCTTGCCATCGGCTGTCATAAGTGAAATGTGCATATGTCCGCTATTACCAGGAAGACCCTGGCGCGGCTTCGCCATGAAGCATGGTGTGATGCCGTGCTTGATTCCGTACGCCTTTACGACGTATCTATTCGAAACGACCTGTTAGCACGGCCCCGATGGAAATTTGGATACACCATACTTGAACAATCCTGCTTTATCTGCCATCTCCTTCGCCTCTCCGAATTGTAATGCCTATCGCGACCCGATATTAGCAACCGCGCAAGCCTCAGACCGCGACTCCACTTACTGCCTCATACACGCCCGGGCCACTTTCGGTGTGCCATCCCTCAATATCGCAGCGGAACTGCTCACAGGCATCGAAAATGCCGTAGTAATAATCTTGGTTGTGAAGCGGCCGAGTAATCGAGTATCCGAACATGCCCTCCGTTAACGGCGGCAAGGAATCGACCGCATTCTTCTGCAGGAAGGTCGCGGCATGCGACGCCGTTCGTTCGGGAGTAGGATGGTCGCCCGGTGCGCGGAACTGATAAAACTCATACTCGGCTTCTAAAGTCAGCGTGGTGGTCGAAAAAAGGCGAGCGCGGTTACGTCATACCTCCTGCCATAGCGCGGTACCCAGCCGCCTCGGCCTTAGCAGCAGCGTTCTTCAAGAGACCCCGCGGACACGCGCAGACCGGCTCGCGTGTATCGGGATCCAAGAAGCTGACTAGGAAGAAAGGCACATTGTTCTCCCAAGGAATGCGCCGGAAACTGCTCAAATCAGGTATCGCGAGAAGGTCACGGTACCCGTTCTCTTTGTTGCTGATGGTTAGCTCTTTGTAGTAGGTTTGATCGTGCTGGTCCCAGCCGAAGATCACGGAGCAGAATCCGAAGCCCTCTGTGACGATGGAGAGGAATTTGGTCTTCTTCATGAGCTTGCCGCGCAGCATCCCATCAACGTCGATCCCGGCCACTTTGACCATACGATCATCTTTAAGCACATCGGCGACATTCTCAGCAGTAAGGTCTGACATGGCGACGGGTCTGAATGAGGAGTAAGCTGAAGCAGCGCGGTCGGAAGATAAATAGAAGACCGACTGCTTATCAGCTGGATGCAGGGGTGATCAAGGTCCGGCCCCGAGACCGAAAGTAATCAAGAGATAGCGCGATCCGCGCGGTATCGTCACCGCTTAGGTAACCGATCCACATGCCCCGCGCATACAGACCGCGCTGTGGATGCGAGGGATGTTCAACCTCATCTGTCTGGTAAGTTGAACCGCGGTCTACGAGTGGAGCTAGCATACAGACATATCTTGTGGACTCGTCCCTCGATTCATTGTTAACATCTATACTCTTTTGCAGTGCTCAACCACCCTCACATCATAATGGGCCGCCTCCAAGGAAAAAACGCTGTTATCACCGGTGCCGCGGGGTAGGCAAGCTCTCCCAACCATGCTTCCAATTGTATAGCTAACGGTCTCCGCGAATATAGTGGCATCGGCCTCGAGACCACCATCCTCTTCGCCCGTGAGGGCGCCAGCGTGCTCATGGGCGATATCTCAGAGCCCGCCCTGGCCAAAGCCATCGCCAAGGTGAAGGAGGTCGTCCCCAACGCAGGTCGTATCGAGACCATCCGCTGCGACGTGTCCAAGGAGGCCGACGTGCAGGCCATGATCGAGTCTCAGGATAGCTGGGGCGGTATGGACATTATTTTCAACAACGCGGGCATCATGCACGCCGACGACGCCGACGCAGTTGACACACCCGAGAAGATCTGGGATCTTACACAGAACATCAACGTCAAGGGTGTCTGGTTCGGTTGCAAGCATGCCGTATTGGCTCTGCGCCGTAACAGCAAAAAGAACGGTAGCGTTATCAACACTGCTAGTTTCGTCGCTTTAATGGGAGCTGCTACACCCCAGCTTGCCTACACTGCTAGCAAGGGCGCAGTCCTTGCTCTGACTCGCGAGTTGGCTGTTGTGCACGCTCGTGAGGGCTTCCGCTTTAACTCTCTCTGCCCCGGTCCTCTGAAGTAAGTGACCCTGTTTCTGAATCAGTATCTGGTCGCATCAGCTCATCTTTCATTTTCAATAGCACCCCCTTGCTGCAGGACTGGTTGGGCGACGACCACGCCAAGCGTTTCCGTCGCGAGGTCCACTTCCCCAGCGGCCGATTCGGCGAGGCTGTCGAGCAGGCTCAAGCGGTTCTTTTCCTGGCTAGCGACGAGAGCAGCTTCGTCAACGGCACTGACTTTGTTGTCGATGGTGGATTGAGCAAGGTAAGTTGAAGTTGAATCTGAATCCTTGGGAAATAGCGTGGCGCTAATGTGACCCTAGGCCTATGTCACCCCGGAGGGCCCCGCGCCGGCCGCGCCCAAGAACAACGCCCAGTAGAAGTGAAGTGTCCCCATATGAGATTTGATATCTTCCCTATGCTAGTCATGTAATCATGTTCATGTCATAAGAAATACATAGGACCAAAGTGGCAAGTTGATCTCCGGGGCAGTGCACGGAAAGGAGTGTGGGGAACACGATCCCCGGCTATCTCTCATCTCGGCAACTCCTTCGGCACTAGTCAATCAGCTCGATTCCACGATGGTATCAATTGCAAATCATCCTCATTTAATAAGAATTTAATCATCTGATTTTCAATCATACAACAGGTTGATGTAGCATGACTGTAACCGTGGTCCGCTACCTCAAGTGTGGCATGATACGCAGGGAGCTGTTCTCCACGTCATGCAATCCCCGCATTCCACGGCTACCTTTAAATTCCGCTAAGCCGATGTCTAACCCTCACGCGCCACACTACTCTCCCTGCCTTCGCCCTTAGCACTCCTCCAAAACACTTCAACCTACGGACCACCTTCAAACCACCTCTCCAAATTACTATACTACCACAATAATGTCAAACTACGCATTGAACAACTCCCACCGCAGCCATCCGGCTGGCCCGAGTCTTAAACCTCGGCCTGGGCGCTGGTACGAATTCTACCCCTATTCAGTCCCAAACCCGACTAACCACCCCGATCGGCAGGTACATCCCCGTAGTGGCAGCAGTTGGTCTCGGTACGCTTCTCACCTGTCCTAGCTCCTTTCAAGAATCCTGCTAATACAAACCAGGCTTCTACGGATACAACTACTACATCGAAACGAAATCCAAAATCGAGTTTGCCGAGATCGAGGAACAGAAACGTCTCGCGGCCAACAGGAAGCTGATGGATGCCTATGGGAGCAAGGACTCGTTAGATGATGTTCAGCAGGCTCTTGAGATGTATGGTCGGTGATGGACTCAAATTGCGATGCTGGTTGTCGTGATTCCGATTCCAATTCCCGAGATCGATCCCGATCTCGAGCATTATACGATTCATTCAGGGCGTTTAAGCGGCGTTTGTCAACTATATCCATGATGCTGTTTGGCATCGAGATTGCATGGGTTGATGGGCTGGCATTTTTTATGGAGCGTTATATTGGGCTTACCTGTTAAGGGGCCCGGAGTCTATATTCGAAGGCTCCTACTATATTGAATCAATCATTTACTTTGTCTAACTTGTCTTTCGCTTCGCCTATTTAATTATTTTTAGTGGGTCGTGGAGCGTTAGGGGTGGGACTGAACGGTCTGGGGAGATTGTCGTGCCAACTATTCCTGGCTGCACTTTCTTGATGGGTGTTAGTGGCGGTCACTTTGTTCAATTCGTTTACGTACAATACCCGCCATTATCTAGGTAGCTATCTGGGGTAAGTGGAGCTGTGTTGAGTTCTAGTTGATCGACTAGCCTTTGTAAGCGATGTCGCTTGTGTACAATTTCCGTGTTTCATAGATGACACTACAGATCGTCCATGCGAATGCCACAGCCCACACAACAAGCCTTTGTAAATTCACATATTATTTCAAGTTACAAGTACTAGCAAGACAAAGCTAGTGTAAACATCAAGCTAGGGAGTCATCTAGCTGCTGGAGTAGAAACTACTAACCGACCATCCGTCAAAAACGCTATAATCCGCCATCGGCGACGACCCATGCAGCGTCTCATAGTAAACCCGATTCCCACAGTCCTCTGCCGTACTCTGCACATTATTACACTCACTCTTAAGAAGTGAAGCAATCTGCTCACCGACATCCCTCCCCTCAAACCAAGCACCATGCAAGAAACCAAAATACTGCGCACTAGTCGCTTCACCAGCAAACCACAGCCGATCGATATTCGCCCGCAGGTTCTCATGCATCTCGAGAGTTGTCGACGGAGGCCAATTTGAGTAACTCCCATACGCCCAGGGTGTTGTACTCCAGCGTGGATACATGAATGCCTCGGGCTCGGGGATGTCGACATCGGGGAACATCTTGCGTAGAACGGCCATGGCTTCATCTTTGGTTTGTTCATCCGTTTGGCGCTCGATGCGGTATGCCTCTTGTGAAACAACTGTTGCGAAGATAATGTTTGATTCTTCGATGAAGCCTGGTGCGGATAGGGATTGCCACACGGGGTAGTAGCCGCGGGTTGTAGGGTCGGCGTAGAGAAAGTACTGTGTATCACGGGGCCAGAATGTTTCGTTGAATTGGAGGAAAATCTTTGTGTAGGTTCCCATGCTGAATTTTTGAATAGCGGTCTGCTTCCAGGAGGGTAGCTCGGGGGCAAATGAGACTGCGTCGTTTTGTAGGACGCCAAGAGAGAATGTGCATACTGCGTAGGCGGCTTGTACGCAGCTTCCGTCTTCTTTGTGGATGGTGACGCCGTCATCGGAGTAGGTCACGTTGGTGATTACTGAGTTTAGGTGCAGACGGGGGTCATTTTTCTTCAGGAAAGTGGAGGCTTCTTTCTTGATGATCCTGTTGTAGCCACGCTGGTCCCAGACGTAGTTGTTCTCATCGCTAAATTGGTTGAAGGTTAGGTTTGAGCCTGCGGAGCCGAAGATGAATGAGCTCTCCTCGGGCGAGTTGGCATCTTCCCAGTCTGGGTGTTGTTAGAATATGAGATCACAGGCAATATACTTAGGAGACTCACCCCATTCCCACCATTCAACGGCCTGGCGCTTCATGTCGTCCTTTTTAGGCTTCCAGCCGGCAAGAGAAAGACCAGAGCGAGTAGTCTGGTCCTGCAGGTTCTGCTTCAGGAGAATACCTGCCTGCTCGGAAGCACCTTCGTACATGTTTTCATACTCGTCAAGAATAGCAGAGTAATCAGTATACCCGGTCTCATTGTAAGTAAGGATCGCACTGTAGTTGGAGTAAGTGTTGTTCAGATCCCACTTCTTAGCGAAGGTCCAAACGGGGTTCTCTGGACATGGTTATTTATCATTCATAAGCGCTGAGATGACATGATATCTTACCTGGACCTCCAGGAGAGCCAAGTCCTTGCACCTATTGCACCCTATTAGCTCACGGATCGTCCACTGGTCCCAACAGAAGTTTCATACCCAATTGGCACCTATCTCAACGGTGTATGGATCGCCACTGGGCTTTTTGCCAAAGCCAGTGTGAGCCACGCGACCTCCAAGGGTATCCCGGTACTCGATGATCACAAAGTCGTGAATGGATGAGTTGGATAGAGCTTGCTAAATACCCATTAGCATCGCTCCGATCCACACTAAGAAGAAATCCCGTACAGCAGCAGCAACACCGGCCATTCCACCTCCGCTAGCAACATGTTAGCCTATTGTCTTCCGAATACCATGTATTCGACTTACAGAATCGCGACCGTAGTCTTACTGCACTTGGCATTCTCCTCCCTGGCTTTGGCCGTTGCCGCCGCACAAGTCTGCGCGACTAGCGCTGTCAACAGCGTCTTTTTAACGAACATTGCAGTGGCTCCAAACAAAAGGAAAGCTCAATAACCCCCTTCAGGAGCGACATTCTGGTTCATAATAAATATTCCCCGCCATTCCCTGGCAGAGACAATCCAATGTTCATCTAGATCCACCCCGATACCGCGGTAGGCCAAATTCTTGATATCAACACAGTGGATATTACATAGACACTAGAAGACAGGGGCCAAGCTACGTAGAGTTGGGTAGGTACATGCGACGATCGACCAAATAGGGAGGACAAGCCGGGCCAAGAACGGCTTAAGCTTTGCGGAGGGACAGCGCGTGAAGCTGGGCAGGGAGCGCGGGGTGGAACTCACCGCGGGCCCACACCTCAGCTCAATCGGCGATTGGTTTTTCTCAAGTGGGTATGATATGACACTCGCTGATACCGAGATACCGATCTCTCTGACTAAATCAATTTGGCCTTCCCCCGCATCCGAACGCAACCCTGTCGGCGCTATCCGTGATCCGTTCATGACGGCCATGTGCTTTCCTGGGCATTCGGTTGGATACTTAGAGGCTCAGCGTCCAGGTTTTGGTTTCGCTTCGTGTTTTTTTTCCCTCCTATCATTTTGTTTTGATTGAATTTTACAAAAATGGATGTTGATAAACGACCTCCACTCGAGGGTGATGATGCTCAGTTGGCCGCTTTGGGTCATAAGCCTGAGTTGAAGCGGCAGTTTTCTACTTGGTGAGATTGTCATTGCCGAGTTAGAGAGTGCTTTACTGACTGTAGCCAGGGCGATGTTGGGTCTGGCCTTTGCTGTGTTGAATGTCTGTGCTCAGTTCCGTGTGAATGCAACGAAAGTCTAATTTTGGTTTAGTCGTGGACTGCTCTTTCAGCCAGTCTGTCGATTAGTCTTACATCGGGCGGGAGTACGAGTGTGATCTGGGGTAAGATTGAATTGTTGAAACGGATGACCTCCCTCCTGTGGAAATGACTCACACTGTACAGGTCTGGTTACCGCGGGCTTCTGCAATCTCTGCATCGCGACTTCGCTAGCCGAATTTCTCTCGGCATATCCTACGTATGATCATCTTTCATGCGCCAGATGTATAAGAAAATTCCATTGACTTTTTTTAGGGCGGGTGGACAATACCATTGGGTGGCAGGTAAGCTTCCACACTTCAATTGACCTAAATACTTGCTAACCACCGCACAGTCAGTATGTTTGAAACTCTCCACCCCCTGCACATCCCATTGACGAGTTGATAGTCGCTTGGCCCAAATGGGTCCCCATACTCTCCTGGATTACAGGATGGATTAACGTTGCTGGATGGGTAAGCCACTTCATTCCTTAGCGGCGGGAATTTGCTAATCTCCAAAAGGTTGCTCTCGTGGCCACCAACTCACTTTTATCAAGTCAATTGATTGTGGGAATTATTTCTGCTATGCATCCAGTAAGAGAATTATCTTCCAGTACTATTTTTCATCTAACGCATGAATCAGAGTTACGATCCTCAGCGCTGGCAACAATTCCTCATCTATGTCGGTCTAACCCTCGGGGCATTTTGCATTAATGCTTTCGGCAATGCTATTCTGCCCACCATCTACCGAGGTGCTTGTAAGTTAATTCGGTGTTAGCTCTCAAAGCGTGGCTAACATTTCCAGTCGCTTGGTCAATTGGTGGCTTCGCGGTTGTTTGTATCACGGTGCTTGCGTGCGCTTCACCTGATTATAACACAGCTAAGTAAGCTGGAATTTTCATTTTTGGGTTTGACTGGGAGTTAACAATTTTCAGATTCGTTTTTGCCAACTTCATCAATACAACAGGATGGCCTGATGGTGTTGCATGGCTCCTGGGAGTTCGTCTGTCCGTTCACCGGAATGGCTCAATCGACAAGCTGACTTTCGTCCTAGTTGCTCCAAGGAGGACTCGGTGTTACGGCCTTTGTAGGTTCAATTTACTCATTGAGTCTCAAAACTTCCAAATTGACTTGTGATATAGGACGCTGTTGCTCACATGATTGAGGGTAAGAATTGGATCTCTACCATTTATTGAGCTACTCTAACCTAAGCAGAGGTTCCTAATGCCTCCATTGAGGGGCCCAAAATCATGGTCGCATGTGTTGGTATCGGCACCGTGACCGGTGCGATCTTTCTAATTGTCCTGCTATTCGTTGCCGGCGACATGGACACGGTCACCACTTCCGCTGCGGGTCCCCTCCTCCAAATTCTCATCGATGCTACAAAAAATAAAGCAGGAGCCATTTGTCTCTTGATGTGAGTGCTCCGGCGGATCTACAAGAATATAAACTAATGTGATTAAGGCTTCCCATTGTCTGTTTGATGCTTGCTATTCTCAGCGTGATGACTACAAGCAGTCGAATGATCTTCGCCTTTGCACGGTAGGTCCATCTCTTTACCTAATCCAAACGTCTTCTCACGTTCACAGTGATGGTGGTCTCCCTGCATCTCGATTTTTCGCTACCGTGCATCCTACGCTGAAGCTGCCTCTGAACGCCCTCATTTTGACCGTTGTGGTCGTTATCTGCTTTGGATGCATTTTCTTGGGTTCATCCAGGTATGATCACTTCCTATCTAGAACACGGATCCAACTAACTTCTCAGCGCCTTCAATGCTATTATCTCAGCTTCCGTTGTAGCCCTCGATCTATCATACATGATGCCCATCCTTATCAACTGCCTGCAAGGACGCAATGCCCTGCCCGAGAGAAAATGGAAGCTGCCTAAAGCCGTTGGATGGTTCTGCGATATCGTTCGTATCTATCCACTATGCGTTTCAAGCTGTGACTAACTTGATTCAGGTCTCCCTGGCATATATTATTTTGACAACCGTGCTTTTCGTCTTCCCCCTTCCAAAACAGTGACTGGAAGCAGCATGAGTAAGCTGAACACAAACCTAATGTTGAGTATCCAGCTAACTTGAATACAGACTACTGTATTGTTGCTTTCGCTGTCATCATCATCATCTCCGCATTCCAGTGGTTCGTAGATGGCCGGAAGAACTACACCGGTCCACGAATTGATCTGGCAGTGGATGGGTTGGAAACCACGCCTACGCATGAGTCCGAGCATACTTACCACGAGAAATAAGCGATATACTACACTTATGGCAGCTGCAAGGGATATCCGAAGTAGCTGCCATCCAGAACAAAAGGCAGGATAAAATCTATCCAGATCAAATATGTATTTACTCATCTGCGTCCAGCCCACCATAAGCTATAGAAACTCATCCATACATCCTCAAAAAAGCGCTGGAAGAAATCTCGGCGTCTTCCGATGCCAAACCTCCCACTTCTCCCCAAACTCCTCCCTCAACATCCCCTCCTCATCCCTAACCCTCAGCCCAAGCACAGTCAACGACCAAACCAAAATACCAACCCCCACTGGAACCCCATACCCCACCAAACTCTCCAAAACATCCTTACCAATATAACAACTCGCCACCCCATCCCACCTCAGAAACACCCCCATGCAGCCCAGATAAATCAAGTACTGCCCCGTATAACTCGGATGTTGCATCCACCGATAAACACCACTAGTAACAAGCTGATCCGGCGCCGCAAGATGGAACGTGAAATTCCTCCCTAATCCCCCAAACGCCGACAACCGAACAAACGCCCCGAGGAAGATTACAAATAGTGACGCCAGAGTAATCGGACTCCAGGTGAAGACGGCCATGTTTCGGTTCTCTGGCCGCGGACAAATTTGGTGGAGCCGGTCAGGCGCGTAAGATGGGGTTATTGTCAGGAGAGCATGGTACAGAGTGACTGTGAGTGTTGTGCGGCGGGCGATGGTGGCGCCGGCGCCTGCAATCCAGGTGATGCGGTCGGTGCTGTGTCGATCTTTTTGGGAGGGTGAGGGGTTTGGTGGCGTTGTGCAGAGGGCTGCTAGGTACCCAGCGCCTGCCATGGTCAAGGCTAGGAGGGTGGAGCTTGTTTGGGTCATTTTAGATGCGTACGGATGCTCTGGGATGTGTGGGAGTTAAAATTGGTTGGTCGGTGTATTTTGGCTTACGGGTGCCAGGGCAGTGTAAGTGTCAGCGTGGACCTCGGGAGGTTTCTGACGCGACGCGCTGATCACGATCTGTCCACGTGGGTCCCCGGATTTTCTCGGTTGCTCCATTTTGAGGCTATAAATTCGATCATGAAACGATTTACAACCTACTTGAATTGGGAGTGAGCAGGTATGAGAGTTTCTTGTTGGAAAGCTCTCCATTCGTTGAAATCTAGCATCCATATCGCGTACTAGGCCCGGCCATTCTCATTACAGACCATAGACAATAGCAAGAACAGGCCCAACAACTGCCAAAGCGGGTACTTCGTACCCAACAGCTAAGCCACTCGAAGTCGCACTCGCTCCAGTCTCCGTGGCAGTGCTGCCCGAACTCCCAGAGCCACCCGACCCGCCCGTAACTGTAGCTGTCACAACATTATCTGTCAACGACACCGTGATCGCATGCTCGAGTGTACCGGAAGTCCAAGTAAAGTTAGCCCCGCTAACAGGAGACGAGATCACACCACCGGTATTATACAATGTCTCCGTCCCATTTTTAGGAAGATTGTCCGGCGTATAGAAAGTATTCGTACCGCCCGCAACCTTATCCCCAAAGCCAAGTTTCTTACAAGGGAAATGTTCCATATAAGTACTACATGCTTCCCCATGTTCTCCTTCCATCAATCCTCCAAGCCAGTAGTCCGCTCCCAGAATGGCTGGATCTGTATTGGGGCATTCGTCCCAGATGGTGGACACAGCCGCGCTGTAGGAACAGCAAATGCAGGCCCGGCCGTAGTCGGACATTTCTTCGACAGTAAGCTGCTCCACATTCGTCTCATTGTTCGCGCACGTCGTCAAGTAGTTGCTTATCTGTGTGATTCGCAAGTCAATCTTCGCAAAATTGCAGGAACAACCGCCTGGGGCGTTTTCAGGAGGAGGCCAGAAGGGAATTTGTTCGAGGTCGACTTTTGGGCAGTAGTTGATTAGGTTCTCGCCAGTCTTTTGATATTCGCAAGAGTAAACCTGGTTAAAGTGTTAATTGGTTGCAGGATGTTTCAGTTTGTGAGAATTACCTGGTTCCAGCAGCTCGTGGCCATGCAATCAATCTCATTGTCCTTCTTGATGCATTCGCAAACATTGATGCAGTCAACACCCAGATTTGGACATTGAGAAGTCATGCATGAGGTGTCGCCATTGCATGATTTGTAGCATGAAGAATCTCCGCCATCGCAGCTGTTGTTGATGCAGCTGGCGTACCTGGTATCCGCGTCTTCGTAGCAAGCCTTTAGACCCTTCGGATCAGCACAGACGGACAAATCCTCAAAATAACCAGCTTTTTCGGCTAGCACAATTCTGAAGGCTGCCAAAGACAGCAAAAGAGACAATTTGAACACCATTTCTTCTTAAGCACGCACGAGGTCCAAACACAAAGGGCGTAAATAGGGTACTTATCTACGAATTCATGTCGGGTAAAGCCGAAAAGTCTAAAGAGTCGTCCCAGGGTCCAAAGCGTGGCTAGTGCTGACGCCCAACACCGGACCAATGGGACACTAAAGCGCCTTGGCACTTGGTGGTTTCTGCTCATCGAAATTTAGTCCAAGACGCTGCTTCGTTTAATTTTGCCTGGACTGGTTTTATTTGTGCTTTGCCAAGATCAGGAGTCGATTCTGGTGCCGGCCAGTCTTCCTCTGCCCAATTGCAAGGACGTTAGTTCCTGAGCGGAAAACCAACATCTTGGCACGGGAGGCTCTTGAACTGACTAATTTTTCCGAAGCCTCAAGCAAGTTGCTGCTTTTTTAATGACTCGCGGTGTGGCTTGAACCTTGGTAGATTTAAGGCGTGTATGAGGCTGATGGCCAGTATAGGGTTCGGAATAGTTACCATGCCTGCTCTGTGAGAAACAATGAATACAGCCATTTGATTGAAACGCGTGCTCCATTGAGGAAAAGGAGAATGACAGTTGACCTCCTCTCCGTTTGATCATCGACATCCTAAAGTACAGGTTCAATCATTCCCTTTCATCATTCACTTTACTAAGTCCTTTTTAACACCACTCTCTTCACCATCAAGCTCCAAGCAAGAGTATCATCCAACCAAACATTCCTACTCGACGAAATAGCCGGACACACCACCTTCATAGTGACGAAGCTCACAATGCCCCCAAATAGTGTGAAAGCTAAGGACGTCACTTATTCCCTTATAGGAAATTCCAGTTGATTGAACCATCCCCCCCAGGGTGACATGGATATAAGAATGGATGTGATGATGAAGGGAGCTTCGCTTGCTGCGCTTGGTAATTTCACAACCAGCCATTTCACCCAGGAGGGTGCCGGTATCCCCAGGGGAGACGCCGATCCGGCTTCGGCTCGTGTTGCGGCTGTTGACATGGCCTGGGCTGGTGGGATTAATCAGTACGTTAAGATTCTGGAAGACTGGGGCGAGACGAAGGTCTTGGAATTCGTACTCCTTGATCTCCCCGCATCTTCTGCAGCATTTTGATCACCCGCAACCAACTCTGGGGAAGGTATTTCTGGGGATTTGCCACCTACGGTAAACAACATTGGAACAACTTAACACACCTTTTCTTCGTGGACTAGCCACACCTTGCTCCTGATCCCTTCGTTCTAATTACGCTTAACAAACTTCGAAATTGCGTGCTACCCATACCTGAAATTAAACCTCCCTCCACTACCAATATTACTCAAGCCACAATACCCCATGGCCGACCATATGAAGAAAAATGAAGGAAAATGAAGAAAAAAGCCGGTGAATGAACGGCCCGAGCACTAGTTGGTCAATGTCACCTAAGTATCCATCGCGACCCGTGGACGCGGCTCGCCAGAAATTCCCGAGTCATTAGTTCCCCGTGCCCCCGGAAAATCATTTTTCGGACGTTTTTTGAGGATTTCAGCTCTAACTTGATGCGCTCACCGGTATTTTTTGAGAGGGCGGATATGCCAAGAAAGGTTGAACCCCAGTTGAACCCCGAGGATGGGGATCGACTTGAATGCCGCGATTCAATCGCATCTCATAGAAACATATCGATCAACTTGATTGTTTAAAGTAGATGAATAAATAATCATGAATTCTATCTTTCTTTTAGTTCTTATGTCTCGCCGTTTCGTGTCAAACTGGTTGAATGCTGGGTTTTTGTTTTGGATTGTGACGATATATATTCGTACTACGCACCACCATTTTCATAACCTTATGCTACCAATATTTCAAAAATGATCCGCTTTTACATCACGAAAAGCGTACTGATCACGAATAATCAGTAGACAAAAACATTATCATCTCGTTTAAGCCAAGAGTAGACAAGTTATTCGCAACCTCACTACCATAACATGTACTGTAGTTTTCGAAATCAGTTCGTCCTCCTAGAGACGGGAAGAAAAAAGAGCGATAACTGGATATTTTTATTTCTCATCCACGTAGGTATATCTACCTTATAAATTAAGAAAGTGTTCTTTGGCGGCTGACTTATCATAGAATCTCCTAAATTTTACAGAAGCGGTTCTACCTCCTATATCTACTGTATTTCGAAAGCCTAGGTATGGATTTGGCCACGAACCCAGAATACGCGTCCAATGGATACCTCCTTTATATAATTCGACTTGAACGAATTTCAGACAAAGTCACGCTTTGCTCGACCCCTAATAACCCCTCGCCGCGTGAGACTAACTTAGCCATCGAGCGTTATTATAGCGATTCAAATGAGGAGCTCGCTTCATATAAGGCTAATTTACTACTTCCGTTGATTAAAATTATCAGTTATTTGAAATAAACAGCGCCGATATTATACTTCTAACTCATAATCAGAGATATCCTTTTTACGTAATTTCATACCGTTGATTTCTCTCTCTCCCCTTATGCTATAATATCGCTTTCAACAGTGCAACTTAGGTCTAGCTTGGTTTTGTAGTTACTCTTACTAGTAAATTATCTATTGTAGCGAAAAACCCTTTCGTCCAGCCTCACACGGTGAATATATATTAAGCGCTCGATATCCGCAACGCGCTAGGCCAGTGTATTCTTCGAATCTAAGCATTAGTTACGTCAGACATAGATGCATCCGGCGATAGGAATATTTTCTACCACTTTGACTACCACTTTGAGAAACGCTTGAAACATGCTCCATGGTGGTTTGAAAGTAGGATACTATCAAGTCTCAAGAATGATCCTCCACAGTACGGCTCCCAACTAGCGGAGGCTACGGGTTCGTCTACCGTAGCTGCAAGTCAGCACATTGACTCTTTACAGCCATCAAGACGACTTTGGCCCGTATTTACAGTAGTCTGGACTTTTTGCAGACGCCTCAGTTGATGATGTTTTCGTTGATTAGGTAGGTCACACAATGATTTCTTTTAATCAGCGTTTGGGGTAAAAATAGGTACCAGCCATAGAAAATACGTTTGGGGTGTCAAGTGCATCCTCCAATGGGATGCAACCTACGTCATGAAGCCTAAGATCCCCATGTTAAATGTATTATTGACAATAGGCAGAGCCAAGGAGACGAGAGAGAAGGAACTTAGAGGTCAATCCAAAGTTGTAGTCCGAAAAGGCCTTCATCGTGGTGGGATTTTTGCCCGTAAATGTGTCAGATTCGGATATAATTCGGATGATAGCCTAGCCAGTCGTCTTCTAACATGACAGAGATGCCAATGAAATAGGTACATGGCAGTGTAATTTCTGGAACCGAACTTCGGGTCACGTTGACCAATCCATTTTTGGAGTACAGGACGGCCTGGTAAGGATCTCCTCGGGATTGATCGGCATTGGCAAAACATGTTTTACGGGCAAAGAGTGCAAATTGCCGAGTTCACGTAATTCGTCGCATTGAGTCTTGGCACCGTTCCTACAGGTAGCGGCTTTCTTTTCCGATCCACGGTTCATTCGCTCGCTGTTTCAAGTCAGCTGTCAGGCAATTCAAAGTATTCTCGACTCCGCAAGTCATCTTTGTTCGCCTACATTTTCATTGCCACAAATTGACGTGGAGCAGGTCTCTGGCCAAACATTCCGTCTGGCGCGATGTCCAGGGCCTGAATGCCCCCACACAGGACAATGTTGCTGGCAAGGCCCGGAAAGCAAAAGACACCACATGCAACAAAAATAATAGTACTTTGCAATAGCTAAAAAGCCCTCACCGGCATTCTCCCTCCTATCTTTCTACATTAATTCGATATGTATATTCAACCCATCAGTTTACCAGTTGATACTATTTGGAGATGACATGACAAACTCACATATTACACTTTACGGTTACACGGACAAGCCCGTTAGACAGCTCCTGTCTTGGTGTCCCAAAGTGATCTCGAGTGGCAGGAGAAAATCCCCCTGGAATCAGAGACATACACGAGGTATACACTTTCAGCGGAGGACACAGACCCATATAGCGTGTCGGTGTTCCCCTACCCGAACTGATACATCACCAGCCAGAGCTTTGTGCGCGGTGGTCTAGGCGTTATGAATACTAGCGTGCCCTGAATGTAATCCAGGGACCCTTCAGGATTGGTTAAACACCCCCAGATACGTCATTGACGACAACAGTATCCAGCCAGAGGATTTTTACAATTTTGACGAGACAAGCTTCGCGATGTGTCTAATATTATCACATCAGGTTGTTACACGCGCTAGTTTTACCGCCCAACTAATCCCGTGTGACCGTCAAAGTGATAGCCGTACTCGTTTGTATGAGCCATCACAATAATACTGTACCTGCTATAGCAAACTACTTAGCTGTTGAACTACGATGGGCAGCAAAGGCTCAAATATGGCCATCTGGACTAGTTTAGGGTCTTGTGAATATCAATGATCACCTCACTACACTTAGATATACGATTCCTTAAAAAACTTGTTGGGCCTTAGAATAGACCCTCCAATGCGACCTGATCTCTGCTCGTGTTGGCCCACAGAAGAATGTCTCAAATTGCTCCTATCATCATTAAAAGTGACTAGACGTCGTATTATGACTAATAGTTTATCGGCAGGGAAAATGGCAGGATTCAGGGGAAGACCTCGAAGTTGTCACATCCCGTCCGTGATTTTGAACAGGGCTGGTTTTCTCAAAGTCACTATAGCTTTTAGCTGGCTGTCTTCCGGACAAGGTGCGTTTGATAAGAAGTTGTATTCGTCATTTCTAGGCATACGACCACAGGGCATAGTGAACAGGGTTTTCCGTCTGCTCGGCTATACTTAAGCCGATGATTTTTCAGCCGGCTTACCGTTTCCGTTCAAAAAGGGGGGAATTTCTTCTTGCACGGGTATGGGTAAATGAGGTGAAAGTTTCATGATTAAGTGTCAAAAGTCATACCTAGGGTGTCAGTCCCCGTCACCTGGGGTAACTTATCTATAAATCTTGCTCTAGCCATAGTTCTTCAAATCCTAAGAAAGGCTGGGAAAGCTATCAAGTATAACCCTCCACCTCTGACTCTACCAAATCCATACTATGTTGCTGGAGATACTAGCCAGATATGGACTGTCAAAGCGCCTCGCTTGGTTCCTGGTGAGTCGACCCGCTGTCAGGCCCCACACTCCAGGCGATCTTGCGACCCTACATTTCTATTTCTGTCCGAGCTAGAAATTTTCCGATCACTCGTGAACATAGCTTTGACATCATCCTAATATTTTCACATTCCTTGTCTTGGCACTCTTGGCTGCTTTACCATTCACATGCTTCTCCCTTTCCCTCTCTCTTTGGTTCTTGTTGAGCCTTTCACCCGAATGTCTGAGTGACCGCCTCGGTGATGGCGCTACGGGCACCGTGGAAGTTGACGTCATATTCCCACACAACAACACCTTTAAGCTTATGGTGCTTACGCCCGCTGTCGTTGCCATCTAGAGCACTATAACCATCTAGCAGCTCTATATAGTACATTATAGTAAAATTGGAAGAAAGGCCCCATGGAATATCTTCATGTTAGAATATTCTGCTAGACTTCTTGGCGAACTTTCATTAGCCAGATCTAAACTTGGAAATACGGCAAGCCCCGAGGATATGGGATTATGTCACAACGCGACTAGAAGAAATAGATCTGTAGTTGCCAAGCAATGCTTGAGTTCTAGTAAATGATTGACAAGTCGACGGACATCCGTAAGTCCCGACAGTAGATACACCTGGATCTTGTGGGCTTAAAAACAGTAACTTGCTCTCTCCGGCCGAGTTCATTCTTTGGTCGTACCATGAAACGAGGTCCCTGCAGCACCCCTTCCTGGATGAAGATGATAGTGAGTCATGTGGGGCTGGTTCATGGCTCGTAGGGCTTGGCGATCCACTGGTAGTAGGAGAAGGACAGAGGGTCTGACCTTCGCGGCGCTGATCTAGTCAATTAGCGATCTAGTGGAAAACCCGGCGATCCTATATTCAAGGGGATAATGAGAAAACCATCTTAGTGTTTAGTTTTTTCCACTACTAGTGCGGGAGACAGGCAATTTGTGAAATATGCCGGAGAAACCATGTCTCAGCATTTCCTAGGGTCCACCGGAGCAAGACATTTGCTATGGCCTGCTCCGTCATTCAATGTCAAGCAATCCTAATAATATACTTGAGAACAATTATTCTTACGCAATCTTTAGTATCACCTGCATAGTAATTGATTGGCTCAAAATACCTGTCATCAGACATGACACGAGCTTGTGGGGGACATGTATGTAAATAGCTAAAGATAGTTACTTGAATAGTACCATATAAATATGGGCGGTCTCTCCCATACTTATCTTCAATTACAATTCAATTTGTATGCGAACTCTGAATAATCACTGAGACCAAATACACCGCCCTCATGGTTCGTGTGAACATACTTTTGGCCTTGGCCATTACTTCTTTCAGTGCCACCATGGCAGCCCCTGGGGCTTCCACTTGTGACCTCAAGTACGACGTCTGCCGTGGTGCCCCTGGTGCGAATTTGTCGACCTGCGCCTCTGACAAGGCCGCCTGTGAGGCTGCTAGTTCGAGTTGCCAGGCCAAATACGATGCCTGCCGTGGTGCCCCCGGTGCAAACCTGTCGACTTGCGCTTCCGAGAAAGCTGCTTGTGACGCGAATGGCGGAAGCACTTCGACTACAACTGAGGCTCCTCAGCCCACCTCGTCGGGCACTAGCGACTGCCAGACTAAGTACGACACCTGCCGTGGTAAGCCCGGTGCGAACCTATCAACCTGCGCCTCTGACAAGGCCGCCTGTGAGGCTGCTGGTTCGAGTTGCCAGGCCAAATACGATGCCTGCCGTGGTGCCCCCGGTGCAAACCTGTCGACCTGCGCTTCCGAGAAAGCTGCTTGTGACGCGAATGGCGGAAGCACTTCGACTACAACTGAGGCTCCTCAGCCTACCTCGTCGGGCACTAGCGACTGTCAGACCAAGTACGACACCTGCCGCGGTAAGCCCGGTGCGAACCTATCGACCTGCGCCTCTGATAAGGCCGCCTGTGAGGCTGCTGGTTCGAGCTGCCAGACCAAGTACGATTCATGCCGTGGTGCCCCTGGTGCGAACCTATCGACCTGCGCTTCCGAGAAGGCTGCCTGTGACGCGAACGGCGGAAGCACCTCGACTACGACTGAGTCTCCTCAGCCTACCTCGTCGGGCACTAGCGACTGTCAGACCAAGTACGATACCTGCCGCGGTAAGCCCGGTGCGAACCTATCGACCTGCGCTTCCGAGAAGGCTGCCTGTGACGCGAACGGCGGAAGCACCTCGACTACGACTGAGTCTCCTCAGCCTACCTCGTCGGGCACTAGCGACTGTCAGACCAAATACGATACCTGCCGCGGTAAGCCCGGTGCGAACCTATCGACCTGCGCCTCCGACAAGGCCGCCTGTGAGGCTGCCGGTTCCAGCTGTCAGGCAAAGTACGATTCATGCCGTGGTGCCCCTGGTGCAAACCTGTCGACCTGTGCGTCTAAGAAGGCTGCATGTGACGCGAACAGAGGCGGCACTTCCACCTCATCAGTTGGCTCTGCTTCAGCATCCCCTTCGGCGCCTGTCTTTAATGGTGCAAGCCGGCTCTCAGGCAATATTGCTGTTGTAGGTGTCTTGGCTCTCGGCCTAGCCATTTAAGTTGATTAAGTTGATTACTTTGGTGAACTTGTAAATCAGAATGTACGAGTGACTTGAAAGGGCGCATATAAGAAAGATACAGAAAAGAAATAAGAGACAAAGAATTATCTCGACTTGATATGGTAGATTCTAGATGATAAGGAGATTGTGAATGGGATAGAAGTCTTCCACGTGGCAGTCCCATTCTTCAAAATGTAGAAATTGATATTAATCTTCGGGACACTGTGTGGCTTATTGATAGGAGGACCAACCTCACCAGAAAGGAAGGAAAAATGTACCAGTAGGCGCTCACATAGTGATTGAGTATTATCTTTCAGGCTATTCAACTATTCAACGAGCTCTTGCCAACAAAAGGAATCATTCAGCAAATAGAAAAGGCGCACGAAATACCCTGGAAGTTGATGTTGAGCTTGAGACTGCGGGGTCATGCTTCAGCCAGGTTGCCTGCACCTTTTGCCACCTGTTCGTCTTTGGCTCCCCGCTTTCTACAGAGAGTTACATATGGTCACAATCTCGCATGCGGAATATTTCCCGGATCTGCATAGAATGACGAATCCGCGATCCTGACACCTCACAAAATGTGCTCCATAGGTGACGGTGATGGGTCTTATGTAACGTATGTGCTGTCGGCAGCTGCACGTTTCAGGACACAGAGAAAGGCAACTGGGCGATCGTGAAGGAAGCAGGAAGCTGCTTCGCTTTGCATATCTGATCTATGCAGCTTGACGTAGTAGGCTAATATGGCGTACTAGAACATTGACGCAGTATAAATACTACCTTCAGGTAGTCCCAATCCCGATTTTACGAAATGATTAGTTCCAATATCTTCAATCGATTAATTCTTCACCATGAGTATCGACGCGGAGCATAATGGCCTCGCTCCCATTTTTCAATACGATGGGAGGCCCGTGGCAGGCTTCATTCCTAAAGGCCCAATTTGGCTGCTCGTGCCTCCCTGGAACAATTCGAATGGCAAATGTATTATCCCCAACCCCAAGGAGGATGGGACACTGGTAATTGGAAATACCAAGCGAGGCTATATTATGCCTACCTTGTGGATTATTGGAAGTCATGTTGGAACCTGGATGGAGATTATTGACTGATCTTGCCTACGCTCTCACGGTATGAGGGAGCTGTCAAGATCGAATAGGCAGTGATAGTCCGCAATGAAACTTTAGCATTCTTCCCTAGCTACAAAGACAAGCTTTCGAATACCGAACAGACTTAAAGTGCCAAGAGAACGGTCGGTTGAACACCCGCAAGCACCTGCAGCCCCGGGGAAAAAATTCTTTACAATCCATCGCGCCTCACCCATTACTCAGAGCTGAAAGTCGGATTCTCCCACCAAGCGCAATCTCGAAACGTCCATCATAACAAGTATAAAGACCGAGAGGCCAAATTAGTCAGGTTTACAAGAGTTCTGCGCTCAAATTCATGCACGATGACGGACGCTCGACGAAGTTTTCCAAAGTCCTACTAGCGGAGACACTTTGCCATTCGAGGAGGACGACTGGATTTAAAATGATAGTGGATAGGGGATTAGTACAAGCCGTGCGTGAAATTGGGTAAATTGTACTCGAGAGAAGCGGCCTAGAGACGTGTGGCTGCTGGTTCGCCTTGGAAGTTGACTCCTTGGCAGAAAAAGTCACATGCAAGTGCTTGGTGTTGACGTTAGGAGGAGATCGAGGACGTTGGATTTCCTCCAGTTCGAACTAAAGGGCCCTACCGCGTGGTATCCATACTCCACACGAGGCACAACGAAATGGAAGCAACAATCCCCTAATGCCCGACATTTCTCGTATTCCTGTCTCGAATACCCTCGAGACCCCCCCATCCGTCCTAGTGCCAACCACTCACCCCTCGGTCTATGACCAACCAAGTATCCATCACGTCTTGGCTGGAACCACTCCCCCCCGAGTCTATCCCCGAGACAATCTACCCCGGTCGCCCCGGAATTGTAAAATTCGGGTCCTAACTGGATTTTCTCACCGGGCAGAGGTGACCCGGGGGATTGCGAAACCTGGGGCTGGGCATGGGATGCCGAAATATGGAGCAATGAAAATTTTCTACTCTGGGAAAGTTTACGTTTTGCTAACCCCGACAAGGTCTAGATGGACGGGTTGAGGGAGCTAGTGGCTAGTAAAAGTCTAATTTGAAAATTGTTTGACGAAGAAGTCTTTGTTACTCGCCGTGTTTTACAAGGGGGTTGTGTAGTTTGTGTTCAGGTACAAGGATTTTCTTTGGAGACCCGGGGTTGTTGTTTCATTCTTGAGTATCATCTAGTCTTGTACTTCCTGTGCACGTTCTCGATGATACCTTGCAATATTATATATGCAGGGCGTGGAGTTTATTGTAGACCCCTGTCAGCATGATCAGCACTATCCACAGAGGTAAATCCCCTCGGCAGTTGTAGAGAGAAAATCTCAGCTCGCACGGGAAAACGAGGTAGTCCGTGCAGGGCGACCCAAGGCTCGCCTCAAGAACTAGTTCTGAATGAATGACAGCTCGATTGCTAGGACCAAATGTACAGTGGCGGCCCCGGGCCCCCTGCAAACCCCAAAACCCAAACCCCGGTCCCGTGGGGTCGCACGCGGGCCATAACATACGAGCTCACGGCCTCGGCCACAACTCCTTTCACGGGCCTTGGCCCGATATTAAACCGACAGTCGTGGTTGGAACAGGGTCTGAGGTCTGCGGAGTTGCGGAGCGAGGTGCTATAGGACGCCACGTGAACGGCCAAGACCCTGAAGCCAGCGCCCGCTTAATCTTGCCCCTTCTTGGTCGCTCTTGGTTTCCCCAGAGGCGCTCGCGGGGAAATTGAGTGGCTAGGCGCGCCCCGACCCTAAGTGGTTTGTGGGACCACGGGACGCAGTGTCCAGATTCGGCTCGGGGGTGGCATTCATGTTGTGTGGTATTCGGGAGATGACCAGTTACTGGAATGGTATGCCAAGACTGACTTTAGGCTGACACTTCGGCCGTGCGGTCTGCCCTATAGCCGTGCCAAGCACATTATGATTTCGCTAAGGATGTTGTTCACGGTACAGAGGGATGGAACTGAAAATAGAATAACTGACTAGCACACAGCTGGATAGACATCTGGACCCTGTCGGTGTGACACCATGACAAGCCGGACATGGCCGTAGACAAGGTCACCCGATCAACCCACGGGACTCGGCCCTGGAAAGCGAGAAGCCGTAGGATATTGCAAGTGAACCCCGGATGCCGAGTATAGATCGGCTTAGACTCAAAAGAAAATGATCACGACGTGTAGAAAAAAAAGACTAGTCTAAGTTCTGTGGCGCAGGTGCGGCACTGTCCAATCACATGACTGGAAAGCACGGGGATTAACCCGAAACGAGAAGATGCGCCGGCAGCCGAGGACTCAATTTGGTTTCGAAAAGAAGTGGAAAACTCGGCCCATGCGACCTGGACCCGAGCTTCTAGTTGGCCAGCTTATTCTAGATCCTCCAACTTTAGAAATCGATCCAATTAGCGCGGTTTGGGTCCCTACTAGCGCAAGGTTCTCTACTACACTCAGCCAACCAGCCGGCGTTCGCCTAACCCACGGTTGGACCCGTGCAGATTTCCCCAGGGTTTCCAACACCGCATGGCATGTCCATCGTCTGTTTACGGTATAGTGTCGCCCTCCGTAGCCCAGATTCGACCTAGCGAGCGCGCGATTTCAGCTCTTTTTGTCGGGGGGGTTTTTTTTAATTTCTTTAATTTCTTTTCTCTCGTGGCAAGGTTCGAGCAGCCATGTGTCTGGGCATCGCTTGCAGCCGTCGCGGGGCCGAGAGTGGCCAAACTCTAGGCAATTTCCGCTATACGGCGCTAGATCGTTCTCAGGGCCGTATTCACTTTGACTTGGGTTGGGATCCGGGGTGTTTCCACCCTGGGGAAATTTGCATATAAACCACCTTCTATCCCCCTCACTTTTTTCTTCCTCATCCTTGTCTCATCTTCATTCAAACCATCACTACTCCACCCATCCCCACTACCAACATCAACACTTACACAATTACCCATCCTACTACCGTCGCTCAAATGCCCGGTGGTGCTAGCCCTGTTCGCGGGGGCAGCATCGACGCTACTCGCGTCGAGGCCCCCGTCACCTTCAAGACTTACATGATGTGTGCCTTCGCTGCCTTTGGCGGTATCTTCTTCGGTTATGACTCTGGTTACATCTCCGGTGTCCTTGGTATGGACTTCTTCATCTCGACCTTCGAGAACATGCCCATGGTACGTACTGGTCTTTCACCCGCTTCGGGGTCATCTGCTAATACATTGTACAGAGCGAAGCCACTGCCAACCCCGACGCCTTTGTGATTCCCTCGTGGAAGAAGTCCCTCATCGTCTCTATTCTCTCCGCTGGAACCTTCTTTGGTGCCTTGATCGCTGGTGACCTCGCTGATTGGTTCGGTCGCCGCACTACTGTCATTGCTGGTTGCTTCGTCTTCATCATTGGTGTCATTCTCCAGACTGCTTCCAGCAGCCTTGGCCTCCTCGTTGCTGGTCGTCTCATTGCTGGTTTCGGTGTCGGCTTTGTCTCCGCTGTCATCATCCTGTACATGTCTGAGATCGCCCCCCGCAAGGTTCGCGGTGCCATCGTCTCCGGCTACCAGTTCTGCATCACCATCGGTCTCATGCTGGCTTCTTGCGTCGACTACGCTACCGAGAACCGCACCGATTCCGGCTCCTACCGTATCCCCGTCGGTCTCCAGATGCTGTGGGCTTTGATCCTCGGAGTTGGTCTCTTCATGCTCCCCGAGTCTCCTCGTCACTTTATCCGCAAGGGCCAGAAGGACAAGGCTCGTGCTGCTCTCGCCCGCATTCGTGACCAGCCCGAGGACTCCGACTTCATCGAGCAGGAGCTCAACGAGATCGATGCCAACTTCCAGTACGAGCAGACTCTGATCCCCCAGAGTGGCTACTTCGAGTCCTGGTTCAACTGCTTCCGCGGCAACATCTTCCACCCCAATTCGAACCTCCGCCGCACTGTCCTCGGTACCTCCCTTCAGATGATGCAGCAGTGGACCGGTGTCAACTTCGTCTTCTACTTCGGAACCACCTTCTTCAAGCAGCTCGGCACCATTCAGAACCCCTTCCTGCTGACTATGATCACTACCATCGTCAACGTCTTGTCCACCCCCATTTCCTTCTACACCATTGAGAAGATCGGTCGTCGTCCCCTCCTCCTGTGGGGTGCTCTCGGCATGGTTGTCTGCCAGTTCATCGTGGCCATCATTGGTGTCACCGACGGTGACAACCCCCACGCTGTTTCCGCCATGATCGCCTTCATCTGTATCTACATCTTCTTCTTCGCCTCCACCTGGGGTCCCGGTGCCTGGGTCGTCATCGGCGAGATCTACCCTCTCCCCATCCGTTCCCGCGGTGTCGCTCTCTCCACCGCCTCCAACTGGCTCTGGAACTGCATCATCGCCGTCATCACCCCTTACATGGTCGATTCTGACCAGGGCAACCTCGGCGCCAAGGTCTTCTTCCTCTGGGGCTCCCTCTGCACCTGCGCCTTCGTCTACACCTACTTCCTCATCCCCGAGACCAAGGGTCTTACTCTGGAGCAGGTCGACAAGATGATGGAGGAGACTACCCCCCGCACTTCTGCTGGCTGGGTCCCTCACTCCACCTTCGCTGGCGAGATGGGCCTCACTGAGAAGGCTGCTATCGGCCCCGTCGTCACCCACGCTGAGGTCTAAATGACTCCGGATAGTTGGCTTTTGCCTTTCGATCTTACTCTCCTATTCTTTTCCCCCGGTGGCTGGTCCCGTTGTTCAGCGCAATACCAAAGTTTCACGCCTTATGCTTTTATGTGCCATTGGCTTCATCGCTTTGATGATGGAATGTAATTTTACGTCAGTTGAATCTACTTAATTATTTTTCAAACCTTTTCTTGTAAACTTCCTTTATAATCTTTCATTGTAATTGTAAATGACAGAATCATCCTTCTGTTGTAATGAATGGCTTTGATCGGTATCTTCCTTGGCAGCCAAGTCCGTTTCTCGATGTTCTTTTGTGGCCGCTCCCTACGTACCGGCTTTCCTCTGCCACTTCTTGGCGTTCCTTTTCCGATTTAGAGCTCAGACCTTGCCGCTTTTGGCTCACTGAGCAAAATCTAAGCGTAGGGGTGAGCAGTCGAAGAAGTGACCTCAATAAGATGCACTACGCTAGCCCTACGCACTTACTTTCCTCTCTCGCATGATTGCCTCGATTGTCCTATCAAGATAGTACGGGCGCCATCAATATGCCTATTCATCCTAGTAATCTTACTGTAGTCAATTGTGCTATAATGAACTTTGCTACTGGGTCAACTAATCAGTACTATAGCCTATACTAGAGTTTTTGAGTGTTTATTTGATGATGGCCGAAAATTCTCTATCAAAATTGGTTGGATTCACATATGAACTAATAGGAAAATTATTTGTCCCGAGTCGGGTTGGAAGAGTGATGAATTGAAGGAGAGTGATGAATTGAAGAGCTACCGACGGTAGTGAATATGGTTGCATCTTGCCATCCATCAGATATTGCTCGGCTATTCGAAAGGCTTGTAAGTAGGCATCAAAGAATATACACTAACATCATAAGTCAAATGTGCATCTGCGAGACATTCTACCCAGCAATAGACCACCGGCACTATTCACACAAAACATATTTTCCTCGATAGAAGTACTATTTGTTTGCTACTGTGAGCCGACCGCCTACTGTATAGGTTTGATGAGATGTCACAACGCCCGGATGTTCTCAGGATATTACTATTGCCGCTGCTATCCCTCGCTACAGAACATCGGCAAGTCGCTCCGCAAATAAAGTCCAGACTTGGAGCCAGAGTGGTGTGTTCGGGGATTGGGCCTCGGAAAAATATCGGTAATTGTGTGGCGCGGAATCTCCGCATTGCACGCACAGACACGATCTGGTTGAACATCAACAAAACATAAATACTGCATCTCAAGCCGTGTTGGTTGCTACTCCAACCACCAGCGCATTTTGGTTTCTTTCAATCCTGTGCGTGGTTTTATTTTCATTCAAGATGTGGTCAACTGTTCTTACCAGCGTTGCTGGAGTCCTTGTGGGAGGGCAGCTGGCAGCTGCAAACCCCACCGCCGGTTCCCTAAACTCTTTCATATCGAAAGAGGGTCTGCGATCATACCAAGGTATCATCGATAACCTGGGAAACAAAGGTGTTAAAGCACCTGGTACAGCCGCTGGCTTATTTATTGCCAGTCCCAATACAGCGAACCCAGACTGTGAGTGAACAAAAGAGTATGAATTCGCGCTGCAATTCTGATTTTGATTCGCAGACTTTTATACATGGACTCGGGATTCTGCTTTGACCTTTAAGTGTTTGATTGATCTATTCGATAGCGGCAGATCCGACTTTGGCTTGAAGAAGAGCGAGTTGGAAACCGATATTCGGAACTATGTCTCCGCGCAGGCAGTTCTGCAGAATGTATCCAATCCATCTGGGACCCTGGAGGATGGCACAGGCCTTGGTGAGCCCAAGTTCGAAGTTGATTTGAATCCCTTCACCGGTTCCTGGGGTCGGCCTCAGCGGGACGGCCCCGCTCTCCGGGCGACTGCTTTGATCACATACACGAACTACCTCCTTTCCCAGGGTCAAAAGTCCGAAGCATTGAACATCATGTGGCCCATTATTTCGAATGATCTGGCATATGTTGGCCAGTACTGGAACGATACCGGTTTTGACCTCTGGGAAGAGACTAGTGGATCTTCGTTCTTCACATTGGCCGTTCAACATCGCGCTTTGGTGCAGGGAGCAACTCTGGCACAGAAGATTGGCAAGTCATGCGCTGCTTGTTCATCTCAAGCACCTCAGATTCTTTGCTTCCTGCAGAGTTTTTGGAATGGAAAATACATAACTGCAAATATCAATCTCGACACCAGCCGTACTGGTATTGATGCAAACACCATTTTGGGAAGCATCCACACCTTCGACCCCGAAGCTTTGTGTGATGATTCGACTTTCCAACCTTGTTCGGCCAGGGCACTGGCAAATCATAAGGTTTATGTTGATGCTTTCCGTTCGATCTATAAGATCAATAGTGGCATTGCCGAGGGTTCTCCTGCCAATGTTGGCCGCTACCCAGAAGACGTCTATCAAGGGGGTAACCCATGGTGAGTTGATCTCAGATGTTTCGATACTCCACCGCTCTAGGAAGCTAAGAAAAGAATATAATATAGGTATCTCACCACCCTGGCATCGGCTGAGTTGCTCTATGACGCCCTGTATCAATGGAACAAGATTGGCACCCTTGATGTCACCGAGACTTCGCTGGCGTTCTTCAAGGATTTCCATTCATCCGTGAAGACTGGCTCCTACCCGGCACATAGCCAGACCTACAAGACACTCACATCTGCCATCCGAACTTATGCCGACGGCTTCGTCAGCCTTGTCCAGAAATACACCCCTGCTAACGGCTCATTGGCCGAGCAGTACAACCGGAACACCAGTGTTCCACTCTCAGCTAATGATCTGACATGGTCGTTTGCTTCCTTTTTGACGGCGGCTCAACGTCGCGATTCGATCGTGCCTGGCTCGTGGGGCGAGAAATCTGCCAACATTGCCCCAACCACCTGCTCCGCCTCACCTGTGACCGGAACCTATAAGGCCGCCACTTCGACATTCCCTACTTCCACTTTTGGGTGTGTTCCCGCGACCGATGTCGTGCCAATCACATTCTACGTGATCGAGAACACATACTATGGAGAGAACGTCTACCTTTCCGGTAACATCAGTGCGCTCGGAAATTGGAACACTAATGACGGACTTGCGCTCAACGCAGGGCTTTACACTGAGACGAACAATTTGTGGTTTGGCAGTCTGGAGCTGGTTTCTCCAGGCACTCCATTCGAGTATAAGTACTACAAGATTGAGCCTAGTGGTGCGGTCACCTGGGAATCCGGTGACAACCGGGTTTCTGTCGTGCCCACTGGCTGCCCTATTCAGCCCAGTCTACACGATGTGTGGCAATCTTAATTTTCTCCTAAGTTATGATCAGACAGTGGATTCCTGTAGTACGATTTCCTAGTGCAAGCTTCTTTCAAGTTTGCTAACATGATGAGTATGTCGTCCGCTGGCTCCCTCTAACTACCCACCATTTACGCGGGCTTAAGTTTGTGCATCCCCTAGGAGATAATAGGATATCGCTACAGTTTGAAGCATCTATCTGGGCAGTAATTTCTATAATTGTTTGTCACGGCCGCTAGAGACGAGATGGAAACCATCGAAGCGCCGATAACTATAGATGGGAAGCTAATCTAACAAATCCCTATAATTAGTCGATAAATTGGAAGGCTTATTAGATAGTAATAATTACCTAAGAAGTATTTACTATTGAGATTCTGGAGGCGGGAGAGTGTGTATTGCTAAGTAAGAGTACGAAAGGAGACTAACCTATCACGTGCTTGACTCTGAGCAGCTCAGTGAGTCTGAAGCCCGGACTGAAATGTACTCAAGGAGCCCGGCTCTGAACGCGCCCATTGAAGCGGCGGCGGCTAGAATACGAAACCCTCACCCGGGAGAGAAAAACAAGTACGGATAGCGATCTAGGTATCCACGCTCGTACACGCGCCGACTTAGCCCTTCGAAACCTTAGCAACGGCAAATCCCCGGCTCAAGCACCGCCAAGCCCCACGAACATCATCATCTTGGCATCCGCGCCCCATTCCACCGCGCAGACGGTCTATTGTCGCCAAATACTCTCCGGCAATATCTCCGCTCTCTGAAATGGTCAACCATTGGTACTAACACTTGGTGCGACTTGGCGCTGTCGCAGTCGTTCCCAGGCTTGACATGGATTATGAAGATTAATGCGGAAGACCCCCGTCGCCAAGAACGAGTACGTACGCGCAGTACGTTGGACCCAGGACTCCGTCAGGGACCCGATGCCGTTCAAGGGTGTAGAATTTATGCATGAAGTCTGATCTGGAAGAGATCGACCAGAATAATATCTGCATACCGAAGACATGCCTCTGCGCCCACGGCGTGCACGATGCTTGGCTGCGAAGCGTCCGTGTCGAGTTTGGAGCGGATGAAATGCTAAATTTCCGTGTCGACATTATCATCACCACGGAAAAGGACGTCGAACTCTGTTGTTCCTAGCTACAGAGCTACAGATTCAACGAACCCAAGCTATCAGCTCGCGATACATCGACTCGTCATTCCCACAGCCCGACCCTGTGCCCTAGGGGTCTGGACCTGCACCCCTTAACTCACTAATTCTCGATGTCCGCGTGGCGCCTCGAAACATTAGTTTATAATGCCTTGGCAAAGCCATAACGCCCCATGATCGTCGCCGGATTCATCAGCGCCCCGTCAAGGCTGATTTGTGTGGTCGGTATTTACGTGCAAGACAAGTACCGGGTCCAATCAGCGGCTTGATGATGATGAATTAGCTGATTCACATCAGTGTTTCTGGATCAAGCTTGGAACCCGCTGTGGGTCCGGCATTGGGCTTCACGGGCGAGTGTACCTGGTTGATGTGCAATGTGACGGTTGTGATTTGGGGGTTGGGCCATTGGAGCCGGGGCATTTCGTCAGCTTTAGTGGCATTTCGCGTCTATGAGGCAACTTTGTTTCAATGAATTGAAACCTTGTCCAGATTGGGACTTAGGGGTGGTCTTCGAGTAGTATAAAGACGGCGAGTTAGCCGTGGGTCTCACTTGGATCATTATCGTTTCAATCATTGCAACCTACTCTTCTTTTATTTCGATCTACTCATTTTGTTATATAACAGCAATGGTTCACATTATTTCTGCTGTTGCTGTCGGCCTTCTTGGTCTGACCAGCGTTGTGTCCGCTCATCCCGGCCACGACCATGCCGCTGAAGCTGCCGAGCGTGCAGCCTTTGTCAAGAGCTCGTCCCTTCAGACTCGCAGCCTTGCCAATTGTGCCTCTCAGCTCAAGGCCCGCGGTCTCGAGAACAAGAACGTTGCTCGTCGTCAGGCTGCTGTGAAGCATCTTCGCCGTCGTCGTGGAATCAACACCCGTATGTACTATCTAGGCCCCTGAGTCTTCCATCGAAGGGACCGCACCGGAATCATGTATGGTCTAACATCAAGCAGATGCCCACTTCAACAAGGCTCGATCCCTGGATAGTGTCCTGAACACCGACCACCACTCCAACCTGACTCAGGTCGACATGTCCACCGACCCTAGCATCCTCTTTGGCTCCGAGGCTACCTGCATCCTGGGTCCTGATGTTACCCAGGGACCGTACTGTAAGTCCTCACAACAAACCCATTTTCCTCATCATATACTAATAAATACAGACGTCACCGGTGAACTGATCCGCGAGAACATCGTCGAGGGCCAGAAAGGTGTCCCTCTCTACATGGACATCCAAATGATCGACACCAACACCTGCAACCCCCTCCCCAATGTCTATATGGACATCTGGCACTGTAACGCCACCGTGAGTCTTTCTTCTCTCTTACACACATGAACATCACTAAAATCTTGTAGGGCGTCTACTCAGGCATCCAGGCCAACGGCAACGGCAACTCTGCCGACGCCGACAACCTCGACGCAACCTTCCTCCGCGGCATCCAGGCCTCCAACGCCGACGGCATCGTCCAATTCACCTCAATCTTCCCCGGCCACTACACCAGCCGTGCAACGCACATCCATGTCCTCACGCACGCCGCAAACGACACCTCCGTACAAGCAAACTCAACTCTCTCAGACCTATACACCGCGCACTCGTCCCACATCGGCCAACTCTTCTTCGACCAAGATCTTATCTCTGCCGTCGAGAAAACCTCTCCTTATTCCACCAACACTCAGGATCTGACTACGAATGCGAACGATAGTATCCTGTCCGAGGAGGCGGATACCATCGATCCATTCATGGAGTACGTCTACCTTGGCGAGGATGTGAGCGATGGTATTTTCGCTTGGATCAATGTTGGAATTGATTCGACTGAGGATAGTGATGTCACCCCTGCGGCGTATTACACTGAGGAGGGCGGTGTTGAGAATGAGAGCAGTGGTATGGGTGGTGGATCTGGTTCCCCGCCTGGTTCTTCTTCCTCGAGCACTTCTAGTGCTGCTGGAGTGAAGAGTACCGCTTAGATGAGACTAACAGATGATGGGATATTGGAGAGTTTTGAGAAGGTTTTGTTTCTGATAGTAAGATGTTTTATGTAAAAGACATCAGAGAATCATCATTCACCTATTAGGCTGAGCAAGCGATTCTTTTCCTTGATTCTATTACCTTGGTCGCGCATTCAAAGCGCGTTCTTCTAGAAACAAACGAAACCTTCATGTCTGAAGTTGAACTCGCCGAGCCAACATCTTTTGCAACAACTCGAATACGGTTTGATCTCTTCTATTTTGATCGAAAGTGAAGACCCAAGATCTCACTCTCCATGGAAAAAGCATGAAATATTCGCAATTATAACCCTATCTGCCTTTACTGTACCATTTGCGTCGTGCTCCATTTCCCCTTCGTTCACAACCCTCGTGGACGAATGCCGTATTGGAGCCAATGTCATCAGCGACAACAAGGCTGTATGGTGCTGTATTGGTTTTGTTTTTCGGCAGATTTGTCCATCCATGACTGGTTGATAGACAAACAAGTGTTCTGGCTCACTCTCATCAGTGCGTTCTTCTTTGGACTAGGACGCATGCTTGTCACTTCAGAGGCTGATGAGAGGAAGATGCTGCTTCGGAAGTCTGGTCTGAAGCTTTCCCTCCCTCTGTTGTTTTCAAAAACTTAGATGCACTTTCATATATTGTATAATATTTAGAACATTGATGATAATTTGCTGAATATTCGTTTCTTATGGATATTTTACTTCCTGGTGGCATGTGTATGTGTGTCTTAGAATAGCGAGTTAAATCAATAGCAAGCAGAAAATTTACTACTGGCTCTACGAAAAAGGCCCAAATTGGGATAAAAGTCTGGTCATGAAGGGCAACTGAAGTGAAGAAAAGTCACATAGTTAACAGCTAAGGCTCACTCCACACCAGCGCCGGCTAGATAGGCTCGTGCCGTGAGTATGGGCCTTCTTAACTGGCAGCAGCACTAGCATCCGTATTCCAGAAAGAAGGTCGCTTTAGAGAGAATTATTCTCTTTTCTTATCGACATTCGCAGGAAGTGTATTGAGCCTTCCAGCAAAGATAGATCGAGAAGCCCACGGAGCTGGCCAGGCGAGATACATATCGACATGGGGTCCGTCTTCACCCGACGCAAGATGATCGATAACCGCAATAAATATATATGCTCCAATACCAGTGAAAATATGCCACCTGTAATCATAACGAGTCAGCTTCAATTTGACGGAATTTTTCAATGCGCAACACTCTGGATAGAACATACCAGCCATGAAGTTCTAAGAAAAAAGCCCATGGAAGCCCTATAGAATGACGTGTACTTCTCAGAGACAAGCATGCCCACCCATCAAATATCCATACAGCATATCCCATGTGGAAGATGACTAAAAATACAATTAGCTTCATTGAATGAATTAAGATGATGCCGCTTATGATGCCTCTTACCTGCACCGAATCTCACAACCCCCCAAATCTCCCTCCGTGCAGCCGATCCTTCGACCGTTCTGACATTTATAAGCTGTATAGTCCGAATTCCAATGACAGCAATAGAAAGGACAAAGCTGAGAGAATGCACAATAAGCTCATCTGCTATCACATGGTATACAACAAGAGCCATGAGGCTAGTGCCGAGGACCACTGCCATGATGATTGAGGTCTTCAGGCTGGAGTTGACGGTCAAGACTCGGTGAAGGACGGGTGTTGTTGTGAATAGCATTGAGAGGTCATCCACTGAGGCCCGGATGTTAGTAACTCCACCAAAAGTGTGGTGAAGGCATATAATTACTCATTTGGGTATGGTATTTCAAGCTCATATGGAATGCTGCTGAGCATATACCCACTGTCATGAGACCCCAGTAAGGGATGGTTCGGAAAGCATTGGCCTTTGGGTTCTGCTGCATGTATAATTTGCGGATTCCATATATTGCGTAGATGACTAGTGAATATGTTAGAATATCTGCAGTTGCGAGCAGAAACGTGTTGCTTGGGTTGGGTGGATACCGTAGACGAGATTGGTCAAGGTGTTGATGAATTCGGCGATGTATCGAGTGACGCCATAGTCCTAGTAATCATAGTGTTAGCTACATCACGACAATTGCCTTGATGGTTTTAATGTAGTACTTCTTCGCAGAAACTGCCAAGATATTAGCTATCAATGATCGTCCAATACTTGGCGGGTGGTACTCGCTTGGATTGACAAGTCGGCTGACCCCAAAAGCCGCCAGAATAGTTATGCACGACCGGTCTAATTCCCATTCTGTATCCTCTATGTATTCCAAGCTCAATGGTGAATGGTGATAATAAACATAGACATAAGCGGGAGAAGACGTTGAGGTTGGAGATTAGGCTTCAACAATGTCGAATTCGCACTAGCAAGGATCAGTAAGCTGACTGGACGCCTTAAGATCGTAATCCAGCTACCAATCTTGAACTGTGGCTCGGATCCTAAAATCAAAGTTTCGGGGTTGAAATTGCCGATAGCTTGAGCTCGAGATCATCTAAATTACAATTAACTCAATTGGCCATTGTTTCACGCTATTACTTGTGTCTAAATGCTTTGGCCTCAATGCGGCCCCGTCCTCATAGAAAACGACCCCTAAGCTCGGATTCCCTACGGAAAACATAACATGGATCCATTCCAGGGTCTCCCGACCGAGATCCTCCTTCATATACTGCACTATATCTTAGGCTTCGTGGAACTCATCCGAGTCTCCGCATATGCACACGCAGTCTTAAGCCGAGTCAAAATCTATTAGTTTGGAGATGATCCAAATCGCCGCCCAGATCCACCGCCTAGCTTGCGCTTGTCTAGCTCATCTCTAAGAGAGTTTCTGTGCAGCACAGTGCTGTCTTGCCATCCGAATGGCAAAATGATGGAGCAGGGCCGTTTTCGTGGATTGAAGAGTTTCGCGTCCACAGGGCGTTATGGCGACTCCAGATATTCTCTGACCTGCATGCCGCTGCGGTCAAACAGAATGATAACTTAGAAAATTCCGATGGAGAGTTTTTGAAAATTTGGAAGTGGTCACCCATTCAAGTTCAAAATATCGGATGGAATGTTGAAACCGTCCCTGGGCAATCGAACAAAATACAATGCGTCGCATACGCCTTGCAAGAACTAGGCGCGCACTGTACATACCAAGGCGAAAGACCTTGCCCACGCTCAGGAATATCACCATTCACCTTTCCTGTTCCCTTGTTTTACATCTCTCGATATCCCAGAATTAGAGGGGCATCCAAAAATATTTAGTTAATTAGCTACATGTTATGGTGGATCTTTACATCTATCACCTCGTATGTTATTTGCATTAGGATTTGTTATATTATTCACTATAGGTTGGTGTTCCCCGCGAGTTCCTATCCCCACAACACGCAAGGCAAAAATCGAAGACTCCACATGGGGGAGGTCAACCAGTCAAAGTAGAGGTTCGCGACCATTTACAAGCTACGTCTCATGGCAGCTTAGTCTTGCTTTCAGGCCTGGCTTGGTATCGACAGGGCTCGATGATATATGGCCGTTCAATGAGTTAGGGATGTTCGTTTGGGACGTTTGTATTCTAGGGGATTGATGGACACACCTACAGGGTATATGCATACTGGGCTACATGATTCGGATTTGGATGTTGTGAAAATTGGCCGTGATGAGCTAATGAGGTGGTGTACGATAATTGGGAGGTCGTTGGGAGGGAATCTTCGTAGAATTGAAAACCTCGGGGGCTACGACGGCTTAAAGTTGGTTTAGAATGAGTTCAGTCATGATTGATTGGAATTTCATAAAAGGGCTTCGTAAAGAGTGACTGTGCATAAAATATAAACAATGTAAATAGACCAATATTGACAAATCAAGCCCAATAACAAAATTATTCAAACCGGACCAATAGTACTCGATCCCCAGTACCGAGTCACAAAATCACCATCTATATAACATTGCATTCTCAAAATCTAGGTATGAAGACCTTAGATGTACTCCCAGGCGAGTTGGTCAGAGGTGACGTTCAGGCCCATGGCAAGAGCATCGAAGCCAAGGCAGTCAGAGACCTGACCGGAGGGAACAGTAGCATTCTGCAGAGCAGCGTACACCTGCCACTGGGAGGGCTGAGCAGAGCGACGGCCAGCGGTCAGAGGGGTGGCAGTAGCCGAGGGAGTAGCGGAAGAGGACGAAGGAGCTTGAGGAACAGGGCAGGCCATGAAGCCAGAGGCGCCCTGACCAGAGTAGGTCCAGGTGCCGAAAGAAGAGCCGGGGGTGTACTTGAAGGGTCCGGTGGAAGAGCCAGCGGGGATATATCCCGAGTGGGGGACAGTGAAGCTCAAAGCACCGGAGCCATCGACGTAGATCTGCTGGCCGCCGGGAACGATGACGTCCAGGGCGTTACCACCGTAGATGATGGCATCGTCCTGCTTTCCGCAGCTAGCCCCGACGGAGGAGGGGCAGTAGGTCTGCGACTTGCCACCGAGCCAGAAGTGGCCGCCGGAGGCAGTCAAGGGCAGGAAGTGGATGTCGGAGCCGGAGTGGGCGGCGGTGACACCGAAGGGGGCGTTGGAGGACTTAGTAGTGCGCGAGCCGGGGAGGGCGGCGGCGAGGGAAGCGAAAGACAGAACGGCGGAGACCTTCATTGTGAGAGAGTGTGCTTGTAGCGAGAGTGTCGGAGAAGTCTATTATAGTGTACAGTCGTGACAGATGGAATGTAGGAAGGAGAGGGAGCTTTATATCCCATCAGTACTTCGCTGGTACCAACTTGATGGCCCCATGTGCTAGGGGAGAGACATTCTATGTGGCTCCATATCTGAGATCGACAGCATAGACTGCAACGCTACCACCGATGCCAGACTGATATCATTCTTGCCGTGTTGAGGTCAATGTGGAGCCACCCTGTATGTAAAAGCAATTCGGAAATGTAATTAGGCATAGCACTGCTCGCTTCGGGCCAATAGAGTCGGATTCGTTGCCTATTTGGAAGCTATTCCATGACCGTGAAGAACCGTAGCTCCCGATTGGGGAAAGTGGTGGTAAACGGTGAGACATGCAGAGGCTAAGTGTAAGTGATCGACACGCCTCTTCCAGGGATCCCGGAGCCAATTCGGGGTTGTTCTTCTCATCGCTTTTCGCGACCGAGACCGAGAAGTGGACAAGTCACAGATACATTAATCTCAGCCGTGGCGAGCGGAATTAATATTGCAATTTCGAGACTGCCACTATGTATTTTTGCCGCTCGCGATCTGAGCGAAGACCCTGACGGGTGAAGTGTTTCATCGAAACCAGAGTGACGCAGAGAGTAGTAGGGATCGCCGGACCACCGGGTGCGCGGTGGAGCTGCGAGGGACCAGGAACGAAAAACCCAGTGTGCTATCTTTGGTGTGGCTCAACACAACTAACGGCGAGTCAATAGCCATGGATAACTCGACGGATCCACCGTGTCTCGGATCGCTTAGCATCACTCTCTGAAGGTGATGTGTGATGATCCGGAGGCTGTGCACTCGACGGAAATCCCCGTATGTCGAGCTCGTAATCTCCATAGAATATAATCATCCTGTGTTTCAAGGAAAACAGATTGACCCTTCCCAAGGTCTGTGGAAATCGGAAGGTGGAGCCACCGAACCGTCTAGAAGCAGAATAAATCTGTGACAGGGAAACGAGGTGATCGGCGCCAGTACCAGTTGCCTCTGCAAGTTGCACCGCCACACCCCATGCGAAGGCAACAATCCATGTCTTAGCTGTCTTAGCTTCCAAGATTTCAGAAGGCGGAGTAGCTAATGAAGAAAGTCGGTTATGGCGTCAGATAGTTGGAGCTTGAATGTTTATTTCTGAATTTATCCGTTAAAGGGCACCCTGGAAGCCGAATTAGGCCACATCAATAGTTGAGAAGATCGTGATCAATTATCCATACACTCAAACGCTGCAAGACCCAACGCCGAAAGCTCTATAAATAAACTACATCGGATAAGAGAAGTCGGTAATAGCGACACTCAGTATTCAGCCACCAACGGCAAGTCCCGCGAGCTTTTACCAGCCCAGATCCGGAACTTGCCTTCAGTAGGCAGAACCCAGTTTTGGGCACGCACGCTCCAATAACTCAAATCCTTGCGCGACAATGTCATGTTGACCGTCTTGGTCTCACCAGGACTGAGTTCAATCTTGGAAAAGTTCCGGAGAACGCGCTCGGGGAAATCGATTGCCTCACGATCCCAGCCGAGACCGCGGTGTTCGGCGACTTCGTCTGGGAAGGAGACGTAAATCTGCACCACTTCCTTTCCTGTGCGTGTGCCGGTGTTGGTCACCTGCATGGAGAGTTCCAGCATGGCTTCGTAGAGGAATGGATTACCACCGGGACCGCCGCCTGCTGCCGATGGCGTTCGCTTTGTCTTGTAGCCTTCTGGGTAGGGGTATGAGCCCGGCTTGGTCCCGGCGTGGCTAAGAAGGTAGGGGTAGATATATTTTCCGAGGAGTTTGAAGCCCGCGGGGACCAACGAGTCGCTGGGATTTCCAGGAGCTTCATCGTAGTGGGGAGGGTCGGCTGCATCCTTTGGGCGGGATTTGGGGAGGCGGGACTTCTCCTGAACTGGGTGGATCTTGAGCGAGGAAAATTCGAAAGTCGTGTAAGAAAGACCGAAGCCGAACTCGTATCGCGGCGTGATGTTGTGACGGTCAAAATACCGGTAGTCGATATACAACCCCTGTTGGAAGGTGACTTGGGGAACGGGATCACCAGTCTCGTATAGCACCTGCGCGCCCGGGCCGTAGTCCTCCAGGGAGTGACCAATCGTGTATGGCAAGCGACCACTGGCATCAACGTCGCCGAATAGTACGTCGGCTAGGGCGTTTCCGCTTTCTTGTCCAGGAAGATTGGCGTAGACAACGGCATGCACACCGGGGAAGTCGATCCAGGGGCCGAGGACAACGGGGCCAATCGAGTGCACCACGACGACCGTCTTACCATGGCCACCTCCACAGCGACGGGCCACGCGCTCAATCAGTGCAACGCCATTCCTCTGCAGGAATAAATCGTTGCGGTCTCCATTGACGCCGTCATTCTTGATGAAACCTTCCCCTCCGTCGGAGTTGGCAAAGACCACGCAGAGATCCTGTTCCTCCACGTCCTGTTCGGCAACAGCGTTTGTCAAGTAACCCCGAATGTCCACTGTCTCTGAGTTCCATGCAGTTTGCAAAGCGTCCCAGGGGGTAACCAGGTATGGGAAGTCGACCGCCCCACTGCCCCAGCCCTCAGCTAGAGTACCCTGATTGCAACCGCGGTCGGGACAGACGTTGGGGCCCTGTCCAGGACCGGCATCTTCTCCATAGACACCGACGCGGTATCTTCTCTCAGATTTGGACACATTGCGATCGAACGGAAGCGTGTTATCGATGTTCTTCAAGAGCACAGTACCCTCTGCAGCCACCTTACGGGCCACAATGGAATGGGCCCGAGCTCCCGTCCCCTGTACGTCAACAAAGTGGTTGACAACCTCCTTGCTAAGATCGTCAGGGCTGCCGGGGTGCAAACTGCCGATCTTTTCCGTGGTCCACGAAGAGAAGTTCGGGCCTCCGTCACTCTCCGGCGGAGGCCGGTGCCAGTTGTCCTGGCGGAAATGGAACCAAGCCGCAACAATACGGGTGACCATATCGTTGATCCGATTCATAGGGACAGACGTGTTCAATGCTGCGCGGGTCAAATGGGGACCCCAGAGCGAATCACCATCTGCCCATTTGAGACCATCACCGGGCATACTCATGTCGAGACCACTGAGAGCGCTCTGCACACCTGATCGTTGAGCCAACCAATCCGACTGCACGAATCCCTGGAAGCCAAGCTCATCTTTGAGAATTCCATTCAAGAGTTTGCTGTTCTCGCACGCATGGCTGTTGTTGACCTGCTGGTATGCGCACATCACACTCGCGACGTCAGCTCGGATACTCTCGGCGAACGGCCAAATGAACACCTCATGCAAAGTACGGTCGTCAATATTCGATGACAGTGCCGTTGGGATACCCCACTCGTACGGCTGGCGGAAGTGTTCCTGTTCGTTCATAACGAAATGCTTTGCTGTTGCCATCACCCCGTTGCGCTGAATACCACGAATGGTCTCAGCAGCAGCAACCGCTTGTAGAACGGGATCGGATCCAAAGGACTCCCAATTGCGACCACCAGCAGGGTTCATGCCCAGTGCGCCCATTGAAGGGCCAAGAATAACGTTCACTCCTTTATTACGGGCTTCCAGTCCCATAGCCAATCCGCGCTCAAGCATGAGCTCGCGATTCCAGGTCGCTCCAGTAGTGATGCCCGCAGGGAATGCGGTGATATTTTGGGCGTACCGTAGACCCAAGGGGCCATCTTGAAGACAGAGCGATGGGAATCCAGTAATTGCAGCAGGACCTTAAAAGAAAAGCATCAGCAACCCGGCTAACCAAGAGAAGACGAGAGCTCATACCGGTATTTCCAACGCAAAGACCCATCTGCCAACCAGTTCCAGTCGTAACGTTGACCTTCTCGATCAGCGTCATCCGCTCAACCATATCATGAGCTTTATCGTAGCTCTCTTTCCACGCAGCACCGGTACCTCCCAACGGGGTAGGATACCAAGGTACAGATTCCTGAAATTGTCATTGTCAGCACAGCTCACCTAAAGAAACCTCCGAACCAGCGTCACATATTGAGAGTCAGTCAGAATTGAAAGGAAGGCCTACATAGTCCTTTCTGGGTCTCTCAGACCTCAGCCAGTATAGACCCTGCATAGCAAGCCACATAACCGCAATAGCAGCCAGTCCCAAAGGAATAGCATGCCACCATTTCGTCAACGGGATCAAACCTCTCAATCCCGACCTCAACACCACGCCCCCCTCATCTCTAGAACCCCGCGAGCCCTTAACAAGCGGAACCCCATAATCATCATCGTCATCACTGAGCACCAGATTCGAGTGTCCATCCTCTAGATCCGTATCAAACGACTCCCCGAGCATACTCTTCCGCTCGCGCTCCAGAACCTGCTCAATGCGTAGCCCCACATCCTGGTCATTCTCAGGAACATCTTCCATCGGCAGATTCGTTCGACTCGAAGACGCAGCCTCGTATTGTTTGTCTTTCGACACAGGTAGCAGCTTCACATTGTCCTCGTCTTCGGAGCCGCTGGAGAAGTCCTCGACGCGAGCCCCCTTTCCATGACGAAGGTCCTCGAAGCTATCTTCTGAGACGAGGAGAGATTCGTCATCGGATATATCGTTGTTCACAGACGAGTAGCCCTGTCGACGCGTTGAGGCTCCGGTGCCTCCGCTTGGTCTGGTCATTGCGTTTTGCTTGGCGTGTGGATGGGGTTCGATTATCGGCGCAGGGCGTGCATGCTGGTGTGGACTAAGACATTAGAGGACCCTATCGGCGTGACGGGCGGTTTGCCAGGTATGGCACTGGAACTCGTGATGGAGTGGAATGGGGATTGGAAAGTTCGAGGTAAGAGCTCAGGGAGGGTCAGGTGACGTCCCACTCGATGTCAAAGTCCCTGGCGATCGCATCGTGTGGGGCGACGCATATTTTCTCCAAAGTGCTTATCGGTCATTTCTACCGACGCTGCCTGTAATGGGGAGATAGAGGGGAAGGTTTGTTCAACCTTCTACTAGGAGCTGATAGACAAGATGGAATCGTATTATGAACAAGACTTTTTATCAATAGACCACCGGAATCTAACCAGCGACGGCCTTCCAAAGATGCGTATCTACTAAACAGGGAGGGGGAAACAAAGTGGAAAAAGAAAAAGCAACCAAACGCCGTCTATCTAGGTCCCATGCAAGCCACAAATGACAAGGTTCTCATGCAACAAAAATATCATCAAAAAGACCATTACACATCAGTGCTCCAGGTATTTGGAAGCAATTACGTCTCATCGTCGGTGTCAACGGGCTTAGGAGTTCCCTTGGGAGAGTTAAGCTATGAAGAGGTTAGCAAATGTTCGGATGAGAGTCAGTTGTAGATATGTACTCACCCATTCGATGTGACGGAGACGGCGACGAGTCTCACGCTCCTTCTGCTGAGCACGAGTCATCTTCTTCTTCTTCTTAGCGCGGAAGTTCAGCTCGCCCTGCTCATCGCCAGAGTTGACGGCGGAAGGAGCGGCGGAAGGAGCAGCGCTGGTGTTGCCCGAAGCGGGAGTAGCTGCGCCGGATGGCGAGTTGGTAGCGCTGTCCTCGAAGCGGTCGATGGAGATGGCGTTGTTGGTGCGGCTAACGACGCGGCCATCGGCAATGTGCAGCTGCTCAGGGCAGAGGGCACCAACGAATTCCTCGTTGTGAGAAATCATGACAACACCACCCTTGAAGTCACGGATGGCAACAGCCAGACCACCGAGGGAGTCGCGGTCCAAGAAGTTGGTCGGCTCGTCGAGAACCAGCAAGTGGGGGTTGTTCCACATGGCACCGGCCAGCACGACCTTGACCTTCTGACCACCGGACAGACCGGAAATCTCGTTGTGGTTGGCGATCTCGGGGTCGAGACCAATGTCCTCGAAGTGCTTGGAGATGATCTTGGGCTCCAAGACACGGTAACCAAGACCTTCACGCGAAGCCTCGTGATCATCGAACTCTTGGACCATCTTGGAGAAGCCCAGCTCGATCAGGGTCTCGCGAGAGATCATGCTGTTGTACCTGGGGAGCCAGCCAACCCACTTGACCTCATACTGGAAAGATTTCTTCCACTTTTGACGACCAATCAACGCCTCAATTTTGCGCTCTCCACGGCCATCCTTCAGATCGATGGGCTTATCCAGCTGCGCCTTGTCGGCGTCGGTCAGGATACGGGTCTGCTTGAGGAAGACTTCGCGGTCATCACCGTTGGCGTAACGCCACTGCAGGTACTGGCTAGGAGTCTTCTCCAAATGCATCTCAACGTGCTCCAAGGCGTGCTGCTTGATGTAACCCATACGCAAGTTAGGATGCTTCTCGACCTTGCCGCCCTGGGGGATGGTCTCGCCAGTCAACATCTTGATGAAGGTGGACTTTCCAGCACCGTTTCCACCGATGATAGCAACACGGGAGGAAAGAGAGAGGGAAAGGGAGGCATCCTGGAGGGATGGCTTGGGGGCACCAGGGTAAGTGTAGGTGCAGTTGGTCATACGAAGAATAGCACGAGTGTTGGACTTGATACCCGACAGGATACCGGGAGCAGGGAATTTGAACTGCACATTGGATGCAGAAAGAGTGTAGTAGCTCTTGCCCTCGGGCTTGACCTTGACGAAATCGGCAAGGTTGCCGGGGTAGCAGACAAGCTTCTTCTGCTCGTAGTGGTAGATGTCGGTGCAGACTTCGTCGAGGAAGCCGGAGTCGTGAGAAACAATCAAACTGGTGATATCGGTGTGTCTCTTCAGATACTCCTGGAGCCACTTTACGTTGGCAACATCCAAGTGGTTAGTAGGTTCGTCAAGCAGGAGAACATCGGCCTTCATGAGCATGGCACGGGCCAAAGCGAGCTTCATCTTCCAACCACCAGACAGGGAGCCGACGGGCTGGGACTGGCGACCCTCTGGGCCATCGGTGAAACCGAACTCAAGAAGAACCTCCTTAATATGCTCCTCGCCCTGGAGGGCGATCTGAGGGTCCTTGGAGACGTAGGCCAGAATGGTAAGATCGGCATCCTCACCCTGGTTATGCTCCACGAAGCAAGTGCGGACCTCCTCAGGAGGAGGGAAGCCCTCGAGCTTGTCGTTGGCAATACTGCGCATAAGAGTGGACTTTCCAGCACCGTTGCGACCGCAAAGACCGTAGCGGTGACCCTTAACCAGACGCAGGTTGGTGTGGTTCAGGAGGAGCATACCACCGTAGGCGAGAGAGAAATTGGCGTTCACAATGACAATCTCGTTGGGGTTGGTCTGAACAGGCTTGCCGAAGATACGCTCATCCTCGGCAACATAGTGGGCCTGGACAGCAGAGACAAGAGCATCAACCTGATCATCCGCAAGCAGGCCACGGAGGTACGGGCCAAGGGAGGAAGGGATGCGATCGAGCATGCGGCAGTTGACATCCTCGCGGATCATACCAGCAATGAAGTTCTTGGCCAGATCGAGGAACTTGACATCGCCGAAGCCAGTGAGGCCACCGTGCTCCTGGATCTTTGGGTTGAGAACAGCCAAGACGTCGTCGACAGTGGTCTTCGAGAGGCCGCCCATGGCAACTTCCTTGTCGGCCATAGCCTTCTCCATAACATCGAGGGCGCGGGTGGCCAACTCACGAACCTCAGGAAGAGAGGCACGATCCATGACACCCTTCACACCAGGTTGTAGCTTGGGAAGGAAGGTACGGGCCTCAGCTGGGTCGTGGACCAGCTTGGTCAGGTTCTCCACGACGACAACGGTCTGGCGGAGGGTTTCCTGGGGGGTAGTGCGAGTGTTGAGAGAACGCTCAAGCAGAGGGGTCAGGAGAGCGAGCACGGGGGAGGTGACAATAGCGACAAAGGTGGTCTGCGAGAGAGCGTGGATCGCCTTCTGAAGCGACTGGGCCGAGGGCTTCTCGATGGACTCAATCAAGAGCGGGATGCGAGTACGAACGTCGTCGTTGTCAAGAAGGGTGGTCAGGGCGTTCATGGCCTTGACGGACTGCTTGGTGACTTCACTCTTCATATCATGCATGCCGGTCTCGACAATGGGGATCAAAGTCTTCAAGGTCTTTCCCATAGCATCGCGCAGAACATCCTTTTCGCGCTCTTCCTCCATGGTACCGTTGCCCATCTGGGCCTTCAAAGCCATCTTTTCAAGGAGGGCATATCCGCCAACGAAACCCTGCCACTTGCCAGTACCCTTGCTGAGATAGGACTCGAGGGACGGCAGAAGACCGTTCACCATAGCCTCGGGGCTCAGGCAACCGAACAGAGCGTCGATAGCGTATTGGGCAGCATCGCGAACAACGGCGCCCTTGTCGGCAAGAGATTCCAAGACGACGTTCAGAATACCGCCGTCATTCAAGAGGAAGACGACTTCACTGAGAGGGTATTCGCGAGGGAAGCGCTCGAACAGAGCGCCGATGATCAACATGGCACTCTCGCGGCGAGCTCCGTTCTTCTTATCGGTGGCGGCCTTCTTGACATCGGCCAGAACATTGTAGTTCAGGAGACCAGCGCAGCCGGCGCCCTGAATCAGCAGGTTGGCCAAGGCATAGGAGTTGTCGAGTGACACCTGAGAGGACTCGGCGCTGAAAATAGAGTTGAAGAGGGAAGAAATCTCTTCGGTGGTGGGGGGAACACCGGAGGGGCCCTTCGCAACAACAATAGGCATGGTAGCGGAATCAGATGGTGATTCGATGTGCGGCATTATCCGATGCGAGACTCGAAAGGTCTAGCAGATGCAATAAACCGAAGGGTATGTATGAACAGGTCGTGAAAATGGGGGGGCCTCAAACAATGGGAGGCGGGGGGAAGAACTCCCGGACCAGCAGGACAAAGAGGGGAGAGGCACCAAGTGAAGGTCGTAAGGGAACGATCTCAAATGAGAGTAGAAGGTGCAAGAGCAGTGACAGAAGCAGACTGCTATAACCCGCCTAGTCTGTACAAAGGTATGGAGGGGGAAGAAGGGAATCGCAGATCAGGCTTATCCACGCAATTTTTTTTTTTGTTTGGGAGGCGACGGCTTACATGGCCCAATCAGGAGCGGTGGCTTTGGCATGGGCTCCAGCTAACCCCTTTTGGGCTAGCCTTATCAGTTGATGCCTCAGGTGTATATTACTGCCTGATCAATATGGTGGCAGTGCGTCTTCGGATTTGGAATCACGGGCTAGCACGTGTTCCCCAACGGTACAGGTACAACCTAACCTCGTTCCCATGGCTAACCAGAAAAGTATCGCCAATACTTTGAAAGCCACCGCTATACTCTCCGGACCGATGCTTATCCTTCCATCCGAAAGCGGTGTTGTTTCATATACCCTCGGCGTCCTCGGCTCCAATGAGTAGCCGGCGGGTCTCACTTTATAGATTTATATGTTGCTTGTTCACACAGTACTCAGTGTGAACTCGGGACACGTAGATAAAAGAAACAAACATAGAATGCAATCTACCGCTATGAAAAGAACCCTACATGTTCTGTTGAGAAAGGCCGATTTCGCTGTCCGCATGCAGCCGCCCCGGGCCTCGGTAGAAGAGCATTGGAAGCCCCGCGCCCAACCGACGCGGTCAGATGTTGGTCTCGTCGATCACAAGTACCTTTGTCCCCCTTCGTTCGGCTTCTTTTTCTAACACTGCTCACCCTCTTCCTCACGAAAATCTATATAGCGAGCGTTTGGCATCGTTACGACTGTTTTCTGCTCCTCTTTGCCCCCGCAATTGACCTCCCGCCCCCACACTTCTACCCCGGACCCGTACACACTCACAATGGCCCTGAGCTTCAGAACCACCCGCCATGCCACCAGACTGGCCCAGGTAAGCACAAAACGAGACCAACTGGCTGAAAGCTGGCACATGTAAAAGAAGAACAATTCAATTAATGAAGATTCCTAGGCCTCGCGTCCACTCTTTTCGGCCCGCCACTATGCGACCGCCGAGCCGGACCTGAAGACTGCCCTGAAAGAGGTTATCCCCGCCAAGCGCGAGCTTCTTCAGAAGGTCAAGGCCCAAAGTGATGAGACCATTGGCGAGACCAAGGTCGGGAGCGTCATTGGAGGCATGCGTGGCCTCAAGGCCATGCTGTGGGAGGGATCGGTGCTGGACGCCGACGAGGGTATCCGGTTCCACGGAAAGACGATCAAGGATTGCCAAAGGGAGCTTCCTAAGGGCACCACTGGAACCGAAATGCTCCCCGAAGCTATGTTCTGGCTTCTCCTGACCGGCCAGGTCCCCTCCACCTCCCAGGTGCGGGCTTTCTCCAAGGAGCTCGCCGAGAAGTCCTACCTGCCCCAGCACATCCTGGACTTGATCAAGTCTTTCCCCAAGAATATGCATCCTATGACCCAGCTTTCTATTGCGGTCGCTGCTCTGAACACCGAGTCCAAGTTTGCCCAGGCCTATGAGAAGGGCCTGAACAAGGCCGAATACTGGGAGCCTACTTTCGATGACTGCATTTCCCTGCTCGCCAAGATTCCCCGTGTTGCCGCGCTAGTCTTCCGTCCTAACGAGATTGACGCTGTTGGCAGCCAAACCCTGGATGTTGCCCAGGATTGGTCCTATAACTTTGCTGAGCTGCTCGGCAAGGGCGGCGAGAAGAACAGCGACTTCCACGATCTCCTTCGCCTGTACCTGGCTCTCCACGGAGACCACGAAGGTGGGAACGTCTCCGCCCACGCCACCCACCTGGTCGGCAGTGCTCTGAGTGACCCCTTCCTCAGCTACAGTGCCGGTCTTCTCGGTCTGGCCGGCCCCTTGCACGGCCTGGCCGCCCAGGAAGTTCTCCGCTGGATCATGCAGATGCAGGAAACGATCGGCACCAAGTTTACTGACGAGGACGTCCGTACCTATCTGTGGGATACCCTTAAGTCTGGCCGAGTCGTTCCTGGCTACGGTCACGGTGTTCTGCGCAAGCCCGACCCTCGCTTCGAGGCCCTGATGGACTTCGCCGCGACCCGCCCTGATGTTCTTGCCAACCCTGTCTTCCAGCTGGTCAAGAAGAACTCTGAGATTGCCCCCGGCGTTTTGACCGAGCACGGAAAGGTATGTTGCCCTCATTCGAATGCTATTGATCAACACTAACAACCTCCAGACCAAGAACCCCCACCCCAACGTCGACGCTGCCTCCGGTGTTCTCTTCTATCACTATGGCTTCCAGCAGCCCCTGTACTACACCGTTGCCTTTGGTGTCAGCCGTGCCCTTGGACCCCTAGTCCAGCTCATCTGGGACCGTGCTCTGGGTATGCCCATTGAGCGCCCCAAGAGCATCAACCTGCTCGGTCTCCTTAAGAAATAAGCTGCACGTTGAGCGTGAGCGCTGTGGTTATGAACATATCATGGCTGGTTTGATATAGGCCGAGCGATGAAAATGATGCAAGCGAACTTTGATTTCCTCTTTTGTTTCCTAGACTGTTTTATCTGGCTGGTGTAGGCGTTCTTGCGAAGGGAGCTGTCCCTGACAAGAAATCGTGAATAGACTCATTATTTTAAAAGCCTCATCATTATTCAAGTAGTGCCCAGTCAATATCAGGAAGCTGTGAGCATAATGTGGTTGAAATGTAAGGCTGGAAGACGATTAATTCGCTATTATAGCTAGACTAAGAAGACACCACTCCGACACAACATTTGGAGGACTAAAAGGGTAGAGAGAATGTAACTTATCAATTCGCTTCCGTTATGTCTTTGTTTAGGCCATATAGCCTTACTCTAGTCAAATAATCAAATAAGATGATACCTAAAATATCGTATAGTTCATAAAGGTAGTAGCTCAACAACAGTATTATAGCAACAGTATTAGAGTTTGGGTGCCTCCAAGACGGTCTCTACTTCTTCACCACGATCCCAGCGCTCCTGGTACTCGCGCATTAATACCTTGGCAGGAGGGGAATTCTCCACGAAGTCCTTAATCGCAGCCACGGGGAAGACATAATGAAGCCCACAATAAACAGAGGCACTGATAACTAGACCTGACAAGAAGCAGATGTAGTACAGGTGTGTTAGACCGATAGGAACAGTGACACCGGAACTAACATAAGCAACGAAGCCAGGTAAAGATGGCACAGTGCCGCAAACCCACTAGAGCACATTAGCAAGGGTGAGAGTTAAAAAGGTTGAATAGAACGTACTGCAACAATAGCGCGCCAGTTCAATCCATACGTATACCAGTAGATACTGGAGCTGTCTCCGATGAAAAGATCGTCCACTTTGATTTTGCAGCGGTTGATGACGAAGTACGATGAGATCATAAGACCGGTCATAGGACCCAAGAACACGGAATAACTGCTCAGAACAGCAAGGAATGTTGTCGCCGTATTGACTAGCTTCCATGGATTACATGCGACCGAGATAGCAGCTGTAATGTAAGCACCGCGACGAATGTTGATGTATCGTGGGAAAGTGGCTGCCAAGTCAAAGCCTGGTAGGCAAGTCAGCAGGAGAACGAGAAGAAAAAAGGGTGATACATACCTCCAGCCAAAGCATTTCCGGGCACATTAACCCCTATTTGCGAAATAACCAAGGCAGCACCCCCAAAGAAAGCCGCCGCTCTAGATCTTGATCCACCATGCTCAATAATCGCACTAAAAAGTGTCGGTAGGTTCCACTTTGCCTCACCATATCGTTCCTGCGTAGCAGCCGTGACCAAAATCCCAATAATACAACACACAATTGCATAGAAAGGGAAACTTATTACTTGCCCCCAAATGGCATCTCTTGGTTTGCGTGCAAATCGCGCATAGTCATTCTGATTCAAGATACCAGCGGCAATAGATCCGATGGTACTGATTATTCCGAATGCGATGTTCCAACCGGATGAATTACTGCTGGCGTTGGAGATAGTTGATCCAAAGCCTTCAGGCCCCATTGTCGCCAGGGACCAGACCAGAAGAACAATTTCAAAGACTATGATTATTGCGGAGGATCCATAGAACAGGTAGTTCAGTTTGAAAGGTCGGATATAGATTACTGGTAGTGAGATGATCATGAAGATGATATATGAGACGAATGTCGCAGTTGTTGTGCCTGTTGAGGCGGAGAGAGTGTTTGGGATTCGCTCTTCGAGGTTTGGCCAGATTGCTTGGAGACAGACGTAAACACTTTCACCGCCAATCCAGGCTTGGAAACCGTCTTTAGTAGGTTAGTGTTGTAGTTGAATTGAGCGAGAGAATGGGCTTACACCAAACTGTGAAGCGTGTTAGTACAGGTGTAGCGTTAGCGGGACACACTGGCTTACCAATTGAGAGTAAAATACGATTCCAGATCACGAACTGACTTCCATACATTCCCCACACATATCTGTTCACGACCGGGAAGCCCACTGTAATGGTCAGGAGGAAGTTCTGTATATCTCGCAATTCGACGTACAGTAGTAATATGCACCCGGTAACGAGTTCAGCACAACCAAGATAGTAGCAATAATTTGTCCAACCACGATAGCTATTATGGCTTGCCACCATGTCAGTCCCAAAGCAATGAGAGAACTGCCAGTCATATAGGACGATATATTTGAATTGACAAGAATCCCTAAAGCGGCCATGTCAGTTCGAGCATATTTCTGATCCAAATAAGCACATACAGAAATTGTGGAAAGTCCAGAATCCCCAGGTGCGACGACCCTCCTCGATAGGTTTGATATCATTGTTGATCCACCGATCTGGTTCAGGGCCACCTTCACTTTCGATCTCGAGTTTCTTTAAGAATGCCTTCATAGCAGCAGGAATAGACTCTCGCTGTAATCCTAGGGAGAAATTAATAGGATATGACACAGGACTACGTGGACAAATGTGTCAGTAGTAACATCCTAGTTGGGACGCTAGTACCGAACTTTCCCTGGCACTTATCTACTCCGCACTTATTTCTAAGGTTAGCCGATCAAACAATCAACTGATCGGCTACCAAGAAAAAAGTTCATGATAAGACTTCTCCAGATAACGACATATTACTCCCCATCGCTAGCTATGACCAAGGAAATCCTATTGACGGCACCCGCGGGCACCGTCGCATTGACCCCAGACCTGTCCAACTAATAGCTTAGAGTTGTTCCCTAGATTGGGAAAAGGCAAACAAGATGGTACCGTTGTGGCGACCTTGGTAAGTCCTGCCAGCTACTTAGGAGGAGAAGTGTCACTTGGGTGCCATTATCAGGGGTTCAATTGGTTGCTCGCGCCACGCTTCTCCTCATCTTGTGATAAGACCCCCTCTCGGCTCGGCCAAGTTCGTATTTCAGAATACGCTCGAAGGCTGACAGGTTGCAACGAATTAACTTTACTAAAGTCTGTTTATCGGCGAACGCGCCCATTCGTCTGCATTGGCGAGCATTGATATCCGAATTCGGTTCCAAGGTCATGGAGAGACTGGGGTGTTGACGGAAGTCTACGGTACTCGCAAGGCACCAACGATAATACATATTCAGTCTGGTCGCCCTCTGATTCAAATCGGAATTTCTTTATCAATACATCGCACTAATATCTCCTTATTCGTGGTAAACCTCGAAGAAGCGTCGATCATGACCAGAACAAGCGGTCTTTACCGCATCGGCGTCGATGTCGGTGGTACCAACACAGACGCAGCTATCATCGACATCGCCGCCACAGACTCCGAATCGCATGGAGTCTGCGCATCTAGCAAGACCCCCACAAGTGTGGATGTCACATCTGGCATCCACGCCGTGATCGAGAATGTCTTATCCAAATCTGCGGTCAATCGGCGAGACGTTCTCAGTGTAGCTATCGGAACCACGCATTTCGTGAATGCAGTTGTCGAGGCAGATGCGCGCCGTTTGAGTAAAGTCGCTGTAGTGCGACTTTGCGGACCCTTTACAAAGCAGGTCCCGCCTTTCTCAGATTTTCCGCCTGAGTTGAAGGATATCATGGCTGGTCCGGTGTTTTATTTGGATGGAGGTAAAAACGAGAATCTAATGGAAGTTCTCACAGCTAATGAATGGGCTGTGATTTTTAGGACTCGAGATCGATGGACGTGAAATCACTCCATTAAACCCTATTCAGGTGCAAGAGGCTGTGAAAAGCATCCAAGACGCAGGAATCGAAATGGTCGCAATTGTGGGCGTCTTCTCTCCATTAGATCACCAAGGTCTACACGAGGAAACATGCAAACGCCTAATGCTGGAACAAGACCCGACCTTGTCAGTGGTGTGTTCAAACGCGATCGGTGGAGTTGGACTATTAGAGCGCGAGAACGCGACTATTCTTAATGCCTCGATTCTCAACCTCGCACGACGTACAGTGCGGGCATTTTGTGACGCGATAGTCAAACTGCGACTGGATTGCCCTCTATATCTTACGCAAAATGATGGTACGTTAACGGATGCCGCTACTGCGGCAGAGTTGCCGATCAAGACGTTTGCTTCAGGTCCGACGAATAGTATGACCGGCGCTGCATTTCTAGCATCCCTGGATCGCGGTGCAAAGGGTGTAGTCTCTGAAACCCAAGTGCTTGTTATGGATGTTGGAGGGACTACGAGCGATGTCTGCGCTTTACTTCCATCTGGTTTCCCCCGTCAAGCTCCGAATTTTGTCGAAGTCGGGGGTGTGCGAACGGCCTTCTCGATGCCCGAGGTTTTGTCTGTTGGGCTGGGTGGAGGTAGTCGGGTGGTTTTCGACCCAGATTCCGATCAAGTGCATGTCGGACCTGAATCTGTTGGACACTATTTAACTAGTCAAGCACTTGTGTTCGGCGGTGATGTGATGACGACCACCGATATTGTCGTTGCCTCTGGGAAGGCAGAAATCGGAGATATCAAGCGAGCCCAAGCCATTCCTGGAAACGTGATCACCAAAGCACGTTTGCAAATCAAGAAGATTCTGGAGCAAGCGGTGGAGAGCATGAAGGTTTCTGATTCACCAGTTACCCTGCTTCTAGTCGGAGGTGGATCCATTGTGCAAATGGATGACTTGAAGGATGTTGCAGAATGCATCATCCCGCCTCATCATGACTCCGCAAATGCAGTCGGCGCAGCAATCGCCAAAGTCGCCGGTGAGATTGACAGTATTGAGATCTTATCAGACCGCGACGAGAAGGCAGTTCTGGAAGAGGCGAAGGAAAAGGCCATTGAAGCTGCTGTCGCTCGTGGCGCAGACAGAGCAGACGTCAAGATTGTGGCTATTGATAAAATTCCTCTGCAATATGTGACGAACAAGGCTACTCGGCTGGTAATCAAGGCGGTTGGGCGCTTGGCACTCCCAGATCTGAACACAATATCAATTAATGGAGCCCATACAAATGACACACCCACTGATGCTGTGATTGAAGAGTCCGAGCCCGAGGCCAAAAAAGAATTCCATCAAAAATTGGCGACTGGAAAGCTCCAATCTTTGGTGAAATACTCCGCATTCATTAATATCGACACCTACGCCCCTGAAGTGCGTAATGGAGTATGGTACATTTCTCCCTTGGACCTCGAATTCATCGCAACAGGCACCGGCATCCTCGGCACAGGAGGCGGCGGACCCTCATACCTCCAGTACCTACAATGCCTCGAGAGTCTCCGCCAACCCAATGCCAAAGGCAAGATGCGTGTTGTGGACCCAAGTAGTCTTAAGGACTCTGATATCATCGTCTTCGGGTCATGGTACGGAGCACCCAGTGTCTCTGGTGAGAGAATGCCAGCCGGCAGAGAGATCATGACTGCAATTGATCAAGCAGTCAAAATGTCTGGATATACCCACTTCGAAGGTGTTATTGCGGATGAGATTGGGGGTGGGAATGGAATGTCTACTTTCCCGACTAGTGTCTATTATGATATTCCCGTTGTTGATGGGGACTTGATGGGGAGGGCGTATCCCACCATGGAACATGGTGAATTTGCATTCCTTGATAATACCAAGTTAGAGCCCGTCTGATAATTCCTGGGTATAGGTACCGCTTACGTATATGGCGAACCAATTACGCCTTGTGCATTGGCGGATGGGAAGGGAAATTCTTCTGTTGTCCTGGTAGGCCATCACTGTTTCAATTATTTGTCCAGCAGGACTCCGAAAGCTAATCACATTAGCAGAAAGCAGAGTCCAACCGCCGAGTCGAAACAATGCTCCGCTCACAATGCGTAGACCTCGGCCTAAGTATCGCAGTGGCCTGCACCCCATTGCCTGGCAAATCAATCAAACGTTACGCAGTCCCAAATACCGTATCTCAATCATGGTACATCGGACGTGCAGTCCACAAAGCCCGATACTCCAAAACTAACATCATCGATGCAATCGTACGTCTATAGAACCACTCCACATTGAACTACCAAAAATTAACAGCTTTAAGTTCGACACATCCCCCGGCCGTCTCCTATACACTGGCAAAATCATCGACGTCAAGCGCGACGTACGCCGCGGCTACACTATGGGCCAATGCACAATCGCCCCCCTGAGCAGCGAAGAAAAAGATCCAAACTCTTTTACTTCTGAGACCCCAAACTCAGATGAAAGCCGCTGCCTAATTATCCCCTTTCAAAATGAATTCCTCTACGCCGCGTACGCCGACGCCGTTAACCCCGACGACACCTCTCGGCATGAAGTCATTTGCACAGTTCCAGATTTGATCTCAATCCTAGGACAAGACGGCGAGGCAATTGGGTCGCAAGAGCTACGATACGGGCTACACGTCAATGTCATCGGAATGGCAGCGCATCCTCTTTGGACGGGCGACGAACGGGGACTTAAAGTGGGTGGACCTGAGGGTTTTGGACTTGATATGGAGTGGAAGAGTCTTGGACCATATCAGGAGCCGAGAAGTGTTGTGCAGGAGTTTAATGTAACTTCATAGATTGATATTTGACTCTTCAGCCTGGATCCAGATTCTTGTTCCATCATGACCTTCAACGTGCTAAACTGTGTGTAAAATCCCCTACAACCTCGCAGACCCACTAGCGATCTTCTCCCAGTCCTCTTTCCCAAAGGATGAATAATCTTGCTCACCGGGCGCAATCCAAAGGAACTGATTGCTCTTCCCTTCGGGGACTTTAGTCCCAACAAGCGCCGGATCGACACCTTCGTCGCGGAGGGGGACCTTATTCTGCTTGTGGTTGTGAATATGCGATGAAGTGTCGACCACGCGCAGGAAAACAGGGACAGCGTATCGCGGGAGCTTAGAGCGAGCAAACCGCGCAAGTGCCGCGAAGTCAAAGCCCTGGCGTGCTTCGGGTGTGATCTGAAGAGCAGCGCAGCCGGCTCGACCTTCGTGATTGGGGAGTTTGACGCCGTAGACATTTGCCTCGGCGATGCCGGGGAATTGGCCGATTACTTCAGCGACTTCGGCGGTTGCTCTGGAACTGGGTCAGTTATGTTTGTTTTATAGAGGCTGCGGTACTTACACGTTCTCGCTCTTCCATCTAAATGTATCACCAAGACGGTCGAGGAAGTACCAACGGCCGTCGTTTTGGCGGCGGAGAGCATCGCCGGAGCGGTAGTAAATGTCACCCTTCTTGAAGACATCGCGAAGGAATTTCTTCTCTGTGGCGGAGTCGTTGCGCCAATAGCCCTGGAAGGCATTCTCGTCAGGGATGTGGACGATGATCTCGCCACCTTCTTCATAACTTGCGCGAACGGCAAGGCCAGTCTTGGGATCCCGGAGCGCATCGCCGGTTTCCGGGTCAATGGCGACAGGGATAAAAGTGTTGTGGAGTAGGCCACGCATCAACAGTCCATGGTGTCCAACACTACCCGCGGTGAAGGGACCGCAGTTATAATTGAATAGGCCGAAAATACCCTCCGTGCTGTTGAAGAATTCACCCACTTCTGGGACACCAAATCTGGTGCGGAATGTTTCCCAGACATCAGGACGAAGGCCGTTGCCATACATGCAACGCACCTTGTGATTCTTGTCCTCGGGCGATGGAGGCGGCGCAAGGAGGTAACGAGCCGTCTCACCGACATAGACGAAGATGGTAGACTCGGAGTCTCGCACATCTTTCCAGAAATTGCGAACGCTGAATTTGGGTCCCAGGGCGATACTGACGCCCATTGTCAGGGAAGCGATCAAACTGATAGCCGCGGTACCATGGTATAGAGGCATGCAGCTGTACCAGCGGTCGCCGTCGGGGCCATCCTTATCTCCCATCATGTCACGGCGGATGAAAAGCGTCGTGTAGATCCGGGCCATGGTAAATGCACAGCCCTTAGGCATGCCCGTTGTTCCCGAGGTGTAGAGCAGGATCGCCGGGAATTCACCTGCCACGTCCCTCGCGAGATCCGCAGGAGGCAGGCTAGCCGGCATGATTCGGATTTGCGCCTTGAGGGACTCATCCAGGGTCAACAGTTTCATGCCCAGCTCACCAGTCAGAATACCCTCGCATTCAGACACATGAGTGCGACAGGTTTCATCTTCATCAACGAGAGTGAGCTTGGTTCCACTGATCTTGAGACAGTGCACCAGTGCATCACCAGTTAGGTTGTAATTGATCGCAGCAGGGGCACAACCAATACTCCAGGTAGCGATCCAGGCAATGATGAACTCGGCTCGATTCTGCAGGTAGAAGCCGATCAGATCGCCTTTTTTCACGCCTTGGGATAGGAAGAAATGGGCGTATTGGCAGGCTTGTTCTTTGACTTCGCGGTAGGTATACGACCTTTCTCGGGTCCATAGGCAGATCATGTCGGGGTACCTCTTTACTGTGTCTGAGAAAACGTACCACGGGTTCCCGCGACCCTTTTGCACTGCGGGAATATTAGTATATGCCCATGAGCGTGGAGCGGTTGCTCAACTTACCGGCTTGTGCATATTCGCGTTCGCCTTTCTTGGCTGTCAAGACTGCTGAAATGTCTTTCTTGAGGTGGAATTTGGCGTTCAGGTACGCTGCCACTGTCGCGCCTCCGGCCAGGGCGGCTGCCGCAGTACCTGGTATCATATTAGAATACACAGATCTTCGCTTTTGATCCATAACATATGACGACTAACCCAGATCCATCAGGTCCATCTTTTTGCTTTGCAAAGCCCCGAATTGTCACTGTGGGGTTCAATTTTGAGATTATAGATCGGTTCTAGTCACAGCAGTGTAGCCTAGAAATCACAGAACCACCAAACCACCAATGCAATAAATGCAATAAAATGCTCGATACTCTAAAACTCGTTCAAAGAAAGTGAAGTGGACAAGGGGATGCGATATTGAAGATGGGGTAAAGGTCTCTTGTCAGCGGAACAAGCGAAAGATCCTCGGCACAACAGAGCGACTCCGCACGCCAGATGACGAAGGCCCAAAGTCACTAAAAATATGGCCGAGCTTCCGTTGGGAAACCCAGTGGATACACCGGGCTTGGTGGAACCGATGCGGGGAAGAGAGTCCACCTCGGCTGTTTCGCGCTTCACTGTGCACAGCTTCATAGTACAAGGTCGGCATAATATGCTCCGTGTCAATGGATTTACCAGATAGTGTGTCAGTAATACTCGCTCAGCTCTTTGCTGGGCGTAAGGCTGTCGTGGACGCCGCCCTCACGCGATTTCTTCCACGCCCACGCGTCGTCGCGATCGCCTCGGTTACTTCCTCCGTCTAGCATGCTGGCAACGTATCGGCCGATCGTGGGTAGGAATTTCCAGCAGTGGAATGAGCCTCCTATGGCTAGATATAAATTTGGTAGCCGCGGGTCTGGGTGCTGGGTGATCAATGGGTGCTGGTCGGGAGTGATCGCGTCCCAGCATAGGCGGAAATAGTCCACCTGGCGGTCGCTAGTGAATAAACGGGGTAGACGCGATCGTATTGAGTCGATGCATTCTTTTTGAAGCTTTTCTGGAACAACGCGTTGAGTTGTGAGCGGGTAGTCCGAGGCTGGCGGCACCGAGTAGCCGTGGCTGGTGTTTTTGAAGGACTGCGTAGTGGTGAACTTGAGCAGTCCCGCATCGGTTGGAGGTATGACCTCTCCTAGATGCATATTAATATTTGCAAGAATCGTGGCCTTTCAGTGTATCTTACCTTGTTCACCGTAAACGTACACAGGAAGCTGGTCGTACAGCTTCCGCTCGGCATCCGAGAGCTGAAAGTGCGCGACACAAACGCCAGCCGCAGTCGCTTGACTTTCGACACGATCGGTCTCGGGCATCTTGAGTTCAATCTCCACAGAACTCATCAACTGACTCGTCCAGGCTCCGGTGCAGAGAAGCACCTTATCGGCCGAGTACAAATCGCCCGACTTGGTCTGCACGCCCTTGATGCCACCTTCACCCAACAGCAGGCGAGTAGCGTCATCGACCTGATATCGCACTCCCATCCGGATAATCTCGTTAGCCATAATCGTCAAAGCCCGGCCGGCGTCAGCCCAGCCGGCCAGCGGATTTAAGTAGAAAGCCTCAAAAGGACTTAAAACAGCATCCTCAAGCACTCCGCCCCATTTTGACCGCACCTCATCTTCAGACATCGGCTGCAAAGGGTTGGAGCCGAGGATTTTTCGAAAGTTCGCACCAATGCGCCCGGCAAGGTCGCTATCTTTCTCATCCATCATGATCCAGCCAGTCTGATGATAAACTCCTGAATCTTTGAAAAGGGGGTCATTCTTCCACGCGTCGATGGCTTCAAGCCCCAGCTCCATATATAAAGAGCTAGAGTAGTCCGCACGGATAATCTTGTTGATGTCGGTCGATGCTGCATCTTGCGAGGGGGCAGGACATCGGTCTAGCACGGTGATCGAGGCGGGATGGGACGATCGTTTGGCGAGATGGTAAGCGGTGCTAATGCCGAAGATGCCAGCGCCGACAATGAGGATCTCGGATTCCATGTTTACGGTGTTTTTGAACTTTCGTATAACTTGAATTGGGGTTGGGGTGTTGGCGGGGGAGGCACATTCCGTTGAAGGCTGTTCTCCACTTGGCGTTATCCTGCGAGCGATGTACGACAAGAACCCTGCGGTCTACACACGCGCCGGATAGCTACGGCTAGACAAGAGGTTTATGTTCGTATCAATGATCGGCACTCTACCGAGAAAACTTCTACCACGTTCATTTTCAGCTCCGTTCCCTTATCGTCACTTGGGACGGGGAGGAGTGACTGCGCAAAAGTGCATGGAATCTGATTCCGCTAAGGAGATAGCGGACTCTTAGCTGCATTCCTGGTCTATGAATAGACCACACCGATTACGAAAGTACGAAATCCCCTCTCTTTACCCAAGGTATGAGTTCCGAATTATCTGGCTGGGGAATAGGTGGTACTTGGGTAACAAACGAATCATGCAGACTGATGATCTTGGGCTACGAAGTGCTTCAAGGGGGTAACAGTTTGAATCAAAGCAGTATGCCTTACATTGCTCTATCTCCAGGCACCCACAAACTTGATCAGCTGATTGGAGGCTCGAGGCTCACGCTTGTTGCGGCTGAAGCATTCTAGCGTAGGTTCCTTTCAGGATGGCCCGGCCCGCTCAGGACCACACGCCTTACTCGATTTAGGATATAGCACCCTTTTAAAGGATTTTATCTGTGTTCATGATTCGCTCGCTAGGCACCATGACATCAGTAGGTAAATAAATGGCTCCCCTCATTACATTTCCAAAAATACCACAAGCCACAGCAAAATAGCCCCAATTCACCTACATACTGCGCTGCTGTTGCCTGAGGCGCAGTGTTCGTCGTGGCTGTGAAGTGCTAACCGATGGAACTTCGTTTTTGGCCTTCACCAAGAGCATAAATCAGCGAAAGATGCCGCTGAAATGAGTTTCGCTATTCAATCTCGAGGCATCATAGCCTGCAGCCTTCGACCTTCGACCTTCGACCAAAGCCAATCGCCATTTCAACAGTCTCTTTTCACATCCCTTTCCAAGCAGTACACAATACTTAGCACTTTGTTCGCTCCAAATCTTGCAATGGCTTCCTCGAGCATCTTCTATCTAGGTGATATCATCCTCGTCAACCTCCCGGGGGATAACACCAAATGCTTCGGAACGACCGTGAAGAACGAGAATTGCGACAGCCGCCTCGGCAAAGACAAGAGGCAAGCTGCGAAAAAGATTCTCCAACATGCTATTGCATACGAAGACCTCAGCGGCGGTCTAGCCAAGGAAGAGATCAAGGACCTTGCGCAGATTCTTGTCAAATGCAAACATGATGCAAAGTGCCGAGAAAAGCTCCAAAATAAATGGCTCAGTCTTTTTGAAAAGCACCGTAAGAATCAGATGGCTACACAGCAGCAGCCTCTTGATACGGAAGCTACTCCACCGTTGCCAATCACTCCCGAAGACATCGAAACCAGTGATATTACTGAGCCCTCGACTGTTCAAGACCCCATCACCAAGGGGCAAGTTGCCTACCCCGTCCTACGTATCCCGGATCCCGAAGAGTCAACGACAGAGGTTCCAGAGAGACTAGAGGTTCTGCCGCTAGTTTCCTTGCGGAGTGCTCCAGAGAGTTTACCCGCTTACCACCCCACGATCCACGAGGATCTCCCCATTAGCCTGTCTTCAAATTGGATACTCTCTTACATGATTGGTTTCGTCATGCAAATAGGCAAGAATGTTCTCGCTATGATGTTCGTGCGATTCGGCAGTGTCTCCACACAAGATCAGGCCGGTCGGATCACGAAACCAGTGACTCATCTCAAGTTCCTGCTTGGTTTTGATTTTACGATCAGAAATTCGAGGCTCGGGATCTGCATGTATACTTTGGTACTTCTTGCGCTGTTTCGATTGTTTTTCTCTGTGTTATGGCCTTTGTCGGGGTATGTTGTAGGAGGATATTTCGTTCTCTTGGCGGTATCGGGGGCATGGAATCGAAAAGTGGCCATTGAGGAATGAGGAAACTATATATTAATGTTTATGTATTGCAACTATGTTTAAATGAATTTCATGATCAATTGACTTCAACTCTTCAAGATGGGTGGCAGTAGAAGTAGGGAGATGATTGTGTTTACATGGGGCCAGATGCTAATACTACGACGATCATTGGTGACAGAGTGTGGAGTCGCGGGACTGATGACGCATAGAGTGAACTCAACAGATTCCAGACGCTTCAAACCAGAATGGCGTCCCTGGAGAGACTGGCCCTCGGTTACACTCGGGATAAGAATTAGAAGTTGGGATCATCCCGTCTAATCAGCGAGAGATCTCCGAGGGAAACAGATCGGCCTAGTCCCAGGCCGCAGCCTGCGGCCTGTGGTTTGCGGTCTGCAGGGATGTTGACCCCAACCAGGTCAACGAGACTCACGGAGAAAAGAGGGGCTCTCAGGGTTCCCTACTTGTTCCGGGCGATAATTTCATAATCTCATCTTGTCGTCGGGGGAGGCCACGGGAGCGTCCAGGGGCCATCAGTTAAAGTTGGGCCAAAGCCCGGTAACACTTCCCCACACGTCGTAATCGTCAAACCGGTGAATCTGCCCCTCTCGTAGATCTCTTTTTTCCTTTTCTCTTCTTTCCTCCTACACATACCCTTGCATAATGTCTTTCCCTATCCCGCGGTCTTTACCTCGGCTTCTTCGCTCCTACGGGACCGTCCAGGGCCCTCCCAGTGCTGCCTCTATCGCCGGTCGAGTACCCAGTGTTCTGGTTGAGGCTACCAATGCTACCACCCCTCGTATTACCTGGACTCGGGAGGAAGTCTCTCAGATTTACAACACACCCTTGAACCAACTCACATATGCCTCGGTAAGTCAACTCGACTGCATCATCCCGAAGCTTCCGTCTGGAGCTTCAATTGCACCACCCCAAGACGAACACATCACGGAAGACCAAGCTAATGCCTCCCAGGCCGCCGTGCACCGTCGGTTTCACGACCCCTCCGCCATCCAGATGTGCACACTGATGAACATCAAAACGGGTGGCTGCAGCGAGGACTGCTCTTACTGCGCCCAGTCCTCTCGGCACGACACGGGACTCAAGGCCACCAAAATGAGCCCTGTAGAAGACGTGCTCGAGAAAGCCCGAAACGCCAAGGCAAATGGCAGTACTCGCTTCTGCATGGGCGCCGCCTGGCGCGACATGCGCGGCCGTAAAACAAGCCTGAAGAATGTGAAGCTCATGGTCTCCGGAATCCGGGAGATGGGCATGGAAGTCTGCGTGACCCTCGGTATGATCGACCAGCACCAAGCCAAGGAACTCAAAGACGCCGGCCTAACAGCATACAACCACAATCTCGATACCTCTCGTGAATTCTACCCCAACGTCATCACCACCCGTTCCTACGACGAGCGTCTCCGCACACTGGATCACGTCCGTGACGCAGGCATCAACGTCTGCTCCGGCGGAATCCTCGGCCTAGGCGAGACCGACGCAGACCGCGTTGGTCTCCTGCACACAGTCTCCAGCCTGCCCAAGCACCCGGAATCATTCCCCGTCAATGCTCTAGTCCCCATCCCCGGAACGCCCCTCGGAGACAGGAAAATGGTCCCATTCGACCGTCTCCTTCGAACCGTCGCAACTGCCCGTATCGTTATGCCCGCTACCATCGTCCGCCTCGCTGCCGGCCGCATCGCTCTGACCGAGGAACAGCAGGTCGCCTGCTTCAACGCTGGTGCTAATGCCGTGTTCACTGGAGAAAAGATGTTGACTACGGACTGCAATGGCTGGGGCGAGGATCGTGTCATGTTCGACCGTTGGGGCTATTACCCCATGAAGAGCTTTGAGAGACCGGAGCCTAAGCAGGCTGCCGAGACTACGACCCCGCCTCCTGCGGATTCTGAGGCTGCCGCGCAGGTCGCGGCTAGCTCTTAGCTCTCAGCTCCTGCTCGTGTTAACTGTGACCAGGTTTATATAGATTCTAGGCTTGCAATAGCGCCAAGCGAGCCTTCCCAATGGCTATGAATACATTGAAATTCCAAGCAATTGTTTTTCTCCTGATAATTGTTCTTGCGACCGTAGAAATAGCCTCGTTCGTTTGCTAAGGGTTTCCAACCTTGTGAACGGGCCAAGACCCTTACAGAGTAGTCGAAACAGTAATTGTCTTGGCCAAACCTTACAGGCAAACACACCGGGAAACTCGTTCTGGAAAGCGAAGTGCGTCACTGATCAACAGTTCAACGGTCATCGGAAAAAGTAAAAGCCAAAATAAACCTGAATATATCATGCCGACATCGGAAAGTGACAAATCGGTTGACGGAATGTTGAAATTCAAGGCTTAGGGTTCATGGATGCCTGGACGAGAGGCCGAATGACGAGCAAAGAATTTTCAATACGAAGTTATCTTTGAAATAAAGTGTTTCCTAGAGGTTGCGCGAGCATAGAAAATGGGGCCTCAGGTTTAAGGTGTCGGTCAATGTTCAAGTCCGTGATGTGCAATGACCTCCTATGTGGGACTAGCGGGGACGCGCTCCTCTGGGAGCTCTCGTGCTTGAGGCTTGAGAATGTCTGGAGGCGGCTGATGGTCGGTGCCTGCTTGTGTTTATCCCTAAGCCTAAGAAGTAATGCAGTTACAGCTCAACACTTCATTCTCCCGGTCCTTCGCATTTCTTCGCAGGTCTTTGTAGATCCATCCGTTGGGGTTTCAAGTCTTCTCAAAAGACTCTTTGCATATGAGTGAGTACATTTAGAGGTCATGGACGCCTGTCCATGCCCTTGGTCCGGCTGTAGGTCCGTACAACCCTCGCTGTGGGCTACCTTCCTCGTTGGATGACACGTTCGAATGGAAATGCAAGCGTCCTAGGTTTATTCTATCATTGAACCGTTGCCACATGGACATGACCTGATGTCAACGGCTCGAGAGCCATACAGCCTATATATGAGTTGCATATGAAGTCACCTGAGTAGAGCACGCAAACTCTTGACCGGAGATTTATTGCTATTTCGAGACGATCACGATCAGATAACCGAATCAGAATGAGACATAATCTACCGGCGAAGACCACAGACCTCTAGGACTCCGCGACACCCCGGGTTTGCCGGGCCTATCGCATAGGTTTCCATGTTGAGGATTAGTGAAGACGCTTAAAGAGAGGCTTTCGGTCATTTGATTGGTTTGGTACACGCTAATCAACAAATAGGCGAATTTCAGGGGCTGCAAAATGCGTCGATTGGGGGGGCGATCGACGGTCTTGGCATTCACGATGGCACGAACCGAGGCCAAGTCTTCCACTGATGCACCACCCACATCATCAATCCACCTGTTCGCAGCAATGATCTACATCTAGAAACTGCATTTTGGATCCGGCACTTGAAGTCTCTAACAACAAACCATGATTCACAGACTTCATCATACCCATGCGAACAGTCCTCGGCAAACTATGCGGGGAGGAACTAAACTTTACATGTGGGAAATCGGAGATCAGCTCCGATCTAGGCCGGGGCAGCTATATTCATCTTTTCATTTGGCGTCAAGTTTTTGTTGGGGAAACGGGATCCACTGATGGATCGTTCGCGTCTCGAATTGCCCCCCTTCACATGCTACTCTATACCGACCAGGCCAGACCGGGACTGATATAAACTAAACGTCCGCCGCCATGCCATCACCCACCCACCGCAAACATGGATACCAAACCTCAATCGAAGGATTCCATGAAATCCACCTGGCGAACAGCCGATCGCAAAGAATGGAACCACCACCACTGGGCCCTTGAAATCCTTAACGCCCACCCGATCGCCCTAGACAAAGACGTCCCAGTACACAGCAAAGATGAAAAGATTCCTCACATGCCCCAATGGTCCCTCCAACGATGGGTCCTGTTCTACTCAGCCCTCCCACTCATCCTCCACCAAACCATCATGATGTATACAGGCCACACCCTAGGCCCCATAACAACATTCAACCTATACTTCCTCGCCTTCAACGCAACAGTCATCTACCAAGTCCACGTTCTCCGCCGTCTAGGCCACATCTACGGCTTCCTAGATGGCGACAAGCACGAACGCGACGGTGTCCCAGATGTAGGCGTCGCCAAGGTGGTAACATCACTCTACAAAACCACCGGATCTCGCCTCATCCTCTCGGTTTACCTCGCCTACAACCGCAACATGCTCCCCTCGGAAATGAGCTGGCTCTGGCTACCCCTCGAAATCGGTCTCTACGGCATCGTGCTCGACTTCTGGTTCTACTGGTACCACCGTCTTATGCACGATGTCAGCTTCCTTTGGAAGTACCACCGCACGCACCATCTCACTAAACACCCCAACCCACTCCTTGCGGCATACGCAGACCACGAACAGGAGTTCTTCGATATGGTCGGTGTACCGATGATGACGTACTTTAGTCTGAAGCTTATGGGTCTGCCTATGGGATTCTACGAATGGTGGATTTGTCACGAGTACGTGGCGTTCGCGGAGGTATTCGGACACAGTGGTCTGCGGTTGCATATGACTGTGCCGTCGACGTTGAGCTGGTTGTTGCAGATGTTCGATTGCGATATTGTGATTGAGGATCATGATTTGCATCATCGGAAGGGCTGGCGCAAGAGCCATAACTATGGCAAGCAGACTAGGCTCTGGGATCGGATTTTCGGAACCTGTACTGAGCGGATTGAGTCCGTGGAGTCGAATGTTGATTATAGTGACAGGGTTACGATGCCTTTGTTTTAGGGGATTTTTTACAGGGTGCTGTTTAGGACGATGTTAAGAATAGAGGACTTATGAATTGATGTCTTGTTATTTTGGAGTTTCTTTCTACTCATTTAGCTCTTTACCTGAGGCTTGCATACTGCTTTCCTAGCACTAAGTGCGGTCTTATAGTACTCTCGAGATACTATTAAACCTCTGTTTCCTTTATATTCATTCACTACCTCCACTCCTTACCGGGAATAGATATTTTCCTACAAAGATGACAATTGTTCCACGGATTCTTTAAAGTCAGAACCTTATGGAGGAAGAGGAGAAGTAATAAGAGAAGTGATTTATGTGGCTACTTATAATCGGGTGCTGAGAGTTAATGGAGGTTAGTGAGTATAAGCCTCGGGAGGCTTGGGAATGGTAAATGGCTTCAAGTGTTTTTATTGATTGGAGAGAAAGAAAAAGCAAGAGAATGGTTTTAAAAATGGAGTTCGTCAATTTGGAGAGTGTGCTGTTGTATCTACAATGAGGCATGCTTACGTTCTTGATTAGCCAATAGTGACGTTGAGGATGGAGAACATGGCCTGACTGTTAGTGTGTCAGTACTCAAGATTAAGAAAGTCGAGGCTTTGGTCCTTAAAGTCTTGACACTCCTTGTTTTTTTGAGCGTTCGTGCCATGCTTCTGAATACTGATTGGCCCTATGTGGAGTAGGGTGTATATGCATTTCCAAGTGATTGAAGGTTTCAAGCTTCGGCCTCAGACACTCCCAGAATTCAGGCTAGCTACGAGAGGCAAATTTTTCAAATTGGAGACTAGTTAAGATACCTGTGCGATTGAATTGACCTCGGTCTTCGGTATTGTGTTATGTTTACATCACAGGATGCAGCATGTGTTAAGACAATGACCGATTCGTGGGCTGAGGCCAAGTCGGCTACATGGTAACCAAACGGCCTTTTTGATTCTTGAAAGTGATCTCGGGCTTATTCATAACTACAAAATTTCGATATTGCCCTGTGATTTCAATACTGCTTCCCCCAGTACACAGCAGGGACTGCACTTGAAGGAGCCCTGTAGGCCCACAATGTTGGCACCCGGTCTGTAGACTAAAAATTTGTGGATTCAAGTAATATAGTGACCAGAGTATAGATCCACACAACAGAAATGGTATATCGAGACTAGTGGAGAGATCAAGGCCTTCTTCAAATGTTTGTGGAGGCCTTTATGCCATCTAGCGGGCTACCTGGTTCTACATAACCGAGTTACTGTTGTACTTTACCAGTGCCTTGAATATACGAATAAAAAGGCCTATGCCTGTAACATGGTGTACTTGTTAACTAAAAGTACGCTATTTCTTAGCAGAAGACGAGAGATGCGAGATGCGGCGTGTACATTTGTGGACTGCAGAATATCATCCTTTAACCTATGAAGTGGTACATGTTGAGCCTTTTAAGCGCAAGGGATCTATTATATAGAAAAAGGGAAAGGTCGCTCTGGATACTGACAAATAGAAACTGCTGAGAAGTAGCCACAATTTGAATAGTGTGGTTTGAACACTGCGGTCCTTGCCGTTCTTTCCGACCTCTTTTCCGATACCTTTCCCGAGCCTTTCCCGGTCTCTTTCCCGACGATGATTTTTTTTAATGTCTGTTTCCGAATTTCTCCCAAATTTCTCCCCAACTTTGTCTGTGATTTTTTTGGCTTAATCAATAAACTTCCTAATGAAAGGGAACAACTGTCACTTAGTAGTATGATTCAATTGAGTCGGAAAAATGCCATCAATGCATTCCAAAGCAAATCTATAAACAGGCTATTTTGAACAAAAATCAAAGCTAATGTCGCATCTAAACATATCCCATATAAACAGAGAATGATATAGTACAGGTATCATGCACATAAATCATACAAATGAAGCATAGCGCCTCTATTTTGCGTTGTTCGCGCAAGAGAAGCTGTTGTTGGAGGCATCGTCGTGAATCGCCTTACCAGAGACGTAAAGACCGAGACCACACATACAACCACCGATCAACACAATGCACATGTTGAGTGCGGTGAGGAAGATCTTGCGGGGAGAGGAGAACCATTGGCCCCAATTCAAGTGCAGCCAGTAGACACCGGGAAGACCGTAACTGAACCAGGAAGCGAACAGGGAGCTGATCAGACTCAGCAGGTCACTGAAGACGGGAATAGCATCGGCGATGATCCAGGCAATGATCCAGCAGATGAGACCGATGAGAACCC